CAAAACTGCGTAGCTTCTGTGCCCAGTTTATAGGGGAGTGTGTGCCATATACCATAAAGCGCTCTTGCATGACATTCAACATATCGGCTATATGTGGAACCTCCCCTCGATCTACGGCAAGCACTGCCCGTTGAATGACGAGGAGCTAGGCTATCTTAATAAAGGCAGAGAAATATGGGGTATAATGTAGAGAATCGCTAAATGTGGCATTCTGATCCGCCGATAATCCAAGAACCGCCATAAAAACGACGATAATGCTGTCGTAAACTGTGTCGAATAAAGCATGGTCCAATAACGAGATACACAATTGGATCGTAGCATAATTGAGATTTTGCCGGAGCTATGCTGCCACCAGACCAGTGCTTTGCTGTTCCTATGCAAGCTCGGCCGCAGCTTGCATCACTCGATCGAGGGCTGTCACCTGAGCATCGGTAAGACGATAAGAGAGCTCAGGGCCTTGGTTCCGCCAGACGCGCCGATAAACGAAGCTTAGCAGTTGCTTCTACACTTTCTTGTATGTAGTGTAAGTGCCTTCTTGAAGCTTGTGCACTAATGAGAAGTTGGTGGTCTTGCGGGTGAGGAAGCTACTAACACGCTGCTGATCGAAGATGTTGATCCGGTCAGTCCGGAGGGATTCGCGGGCTTGCTCGATAAGACGGTCAAAGGATTCAAGTACGAGAACGAGGTAATTATCTGGCTGATCGGGGTCGAATAGGGGATGAGGCGATGGGAGATCAAGGAGCCGTGCAACACGACCCAAGTTATGGCCCCGAAAGTACCGCTCCCATTGCGTTAAGTCAAGCCATGGAGAGACCTCAGTCTTATGGCGCGAGGTGATGTTGGGCTTAGGCGCTTGGAGCTTTTGAGCCAGAGTCTGCTCTACCTGTTCTCGGAGGCCGAGGGGTGGTCTCTCCAGGGCGTCCGCAAGTTGAGCCGGTGCCGGTGCCGGTGCCAGATCAGAGCCGATAGGCTTACCGCTATTAACGAGGAAGTAGCGGGTGTAGCTCTTTGTGTGAAAGGTCTGGCAAACGACAGGAGAGTAAGCAGCAGTGCTGAGTGGAAGGGACGATGTGGATGGGCGGTCTGCAAAGCCTTTACTTTTACTCCATTGATGGGCTTCCCTCAGATGGCTGAGTAGAAGCCGTTGGTCTCGGATCACGTACGGCTGATTAAGAGGGCACAGCTTGCAGCAGTAAGCGTTGTCGTAGATCCGCAGGTGGGGGATTGGGGGCGTGTGAGTGGGCACGTGGAGCTGCTTCACTTCTCGGGGAGGGAGTAGAGAGTCCGGGGTGAAGAGACGAGCGTATTCCTGGACTTTACCGAGTGGGATAGTAGCCTTGTGATGGTCGTACAAGTGAGAAGCAACCGCTGTAGAGTGAATCGCATATCTGCAGCTCGTACAGATCAAGACGTTGTAAGTTGGATTGAAAGAGAGAAGATCCATTATATTATTGTAATAAAGGGAGGGTTCTAAGGCTTTTGCGGGGGTTGGAAAGACAGACGGCTTAAAGGTGGTTTATGTTATCTTTTAGCAAGTATCCGATTCGAATTCGAGCACATCGAGCAAGTTGAAATAGAGAATACCAAGACGCGTCCCAGGTCTGACGCGTCTTAGCTTCCTCGCGGGGGGCGCGCGCGGTGGTCCGTGCAACCCCACTCCCTTCTTCGGGCCTAGCGGGGGTTCCGGCCAAGCACAGCGGGCGCATATACCCTTGATAATATAAACTTTAAATTCTTAAAGAAATAAATATTATATTATTTTAGAAATTTACTCTTTTTTATTTAATATTTTATATTCTAAAATTATAACTAATATAACCCTAGTCTATATTCTAAAATCCTCTTCCGTTATAACCTTATGCTTAGCCTAATATAACTCAAATTAAATAAGAGCAGCCGCAGCTATACGGACTCCCTAGATTGCCTTACCTCCACCAAAGCTAGCTGCCTGACCACACCACCTAAGGAACTCGTCGACGTCTGTAAACGTCCGCTAAAACTGCTCTTCTAGCCACTACTCGGCCCCGCCTCCGTAGAAGATGCTATAACAGAACGGTATAACAATATCCGTGTAGAGGCAGCTCTGGCAGTTGCTCTCCGGGTCCGCTCGCTGACAGACAGCCTGGGGATTATAGCACTAGTAGCACGCGTGGTACGGAGTAATCCACGGCCCTCCTTGCTTCTAGTCCTTAACACGATTACGAGCCTCAAAGAACTCAAACCGACGCTAGCACGTAGGGAAGGCGTGGTCCCAGGCATCGCCGAATGCCCGGCAGAGCAGGCACGTGCCTTGAACCGCGAGCAGGTCCTCCTGGTACCGGCTTAGCTCGAGGTCGGCTCGGCGCCGCTTCTCCTGGATAGCTGCACTACTAGTATACTGGAGAGCCGGCTCGGGAGACGGAGCAGGAGACAAAGCGAGAGCTAGGCCAGCGCTGCATATATCGCAGATAACGTCCTCGTCAGCCCGACACCGTCGCTAATACGGCTCCGAGTCGAGGTGCTCGCTTAAGCATGCCCGGCGGCAGTCCTGGCCGAGCAGGTAGCGGTGTAGGGCTCTCCTCTCGACCGCAGTACCCTCAGCGGCTTGCGGCTTCCACGTAGGGGAGAGGAGGACCAGCGAGTACGCCTCCTTTCCATCTCGTCCGGCCCGGCCAGACTCTTGGGCGAAGTCGACTAAAGACGACAGCTTATTGATGTGTATAACCAGACGAACGTAGGCATAGTTGAAGCCGGCGCTTAGTGCAGACGTGGCTACGATATACGGCTGGTTCGAGGAGGCAAGCCACGTTCTCAGCAGCTCCTCCTTCTGCTCAGCCGTGCCTACGTCGGCTGTGTACTAGGAGCAGCAGAGCAGCTCGGCTAGCGTAGCAGCATCTTCCTTTGTCCGCACGTACAAGATGATCTTGTCTCGAGCCCGATCCAAGAGCCGGCTATTTTCCCACGCGTCCCGAGCCCTCCACGCGCCCTCCTCTAAAAGAGTCCCTAGCCTAGTGGCCCGCTGTACTATATAGAAGAGGTTCCGCCGGTTCGTCGATGCCCGGATCACTTTAGGATTCACTAAGTTGTTCTGCTCTTCAAACGTGGCCTGTATTGTCGGTGGTAGAGTGGCTATCAAGTAAACAAACTGTGTACGGATGTTGCGGATTAAGGTGAGGTCAACTATAGCCTAGCGATAGTCGGACGCTGTGATGGTCAAGTGAGCCTCGTTAAACACAATGCGGCCGAGGTCTTGCGTAGCCGCGAGCTTGTGGGCATAAGTCCGAAACTGTTCCGTACATACTGCTTTAACTATAATAAATACCAAGGGTGCATCTTGCTGCTCGCTAGGCGCCCACACTAAGTGATCGATCCCCAACTCTCGGACTCGGTGGAGGAGGTCCCCTCGCAGAGACACAAGGGGCAAGACTAAGATCGTCACCCTAGCATTAGGGAGGATGCAGGGCAGTATAAACAGCAGGCTCTTCCCCTCGCTAGTAGCCATAATAACTACCACTTGCTTAGTCTATAACATAATAGTAGTCACAGCCCGTTCTTAGGCTACTAACCTCTATTGCAGCGTATTATCCTAGTATAGCTTTCTGGCGCTCTTTAGTAGAGCTATAGCTGACCACTTCTTCCGTGGCCGGTAGACTCCCATAGCGATCTTCTTAAGCATTTGCGGACTACTAATGTCTTTACCATCCCGCTTCCTCTTCCTAGCAAGTCCAAGCAGTTGGTCAAGCCCCTACAAGTCCTTCCACAGAGTTGAAGCACGCAGATTCCGGCGGATAAGGCCATCCCATATATTCCCAAAGTTAGCATTATATTGGTTTGTATATGCCCGATTAACAGTCCGCGTACTATGGTTCCGCTGCTTGGTCATAACCCGAATGTTAGCCTCAATCTCTTCGGCATCCTCGTCGTTAGCCCCGTCGTCAACCTTAAAGCACCCAACGTTAGCTACAAACTTAGTTTTAATGATATTGACTGTCATCTGCCGCTAGTTGGCTATGTGTAGCCTGGGGATGCTGGCCCGACTACACGCCTGCTCCATGCACCGCGTGAGCCGGTTGTTAGCCTAGACCTTCCCGTCTTACCACCACAAGTACGGAGAGATAATGGTATGCGGGGCAGACTAGCGAAGGAAGACCTGGCGGAGCGGGATGACAACTACCAAGTAGTTGAGCAAGAGGTCTCCAACGAGTGCAGGCAAGAACCGGATATTATCCTTAAACTTACCCGTCTGCTGCTGACCTTTGTGGTATGTGGTGTGCAGCATAACTAGCCCGTGCTTGAGGTAGACGTTTCGCCGCCGCTAGGTGTTACGCTAGGTGACGGAGAATAGTTCACTCTCGCGCAGAGGCTGGCCAGAACCCATGTGGATTAAGACTAAGAGCCTTTTTAGGAACTCGTCAGCTACGGCCTTATACTGCTCAATCGCCTTCCCTCGCCAGACCTTAGCGCCATCCGCGGTGGCATCCAGGAACGAGTCCCGCAACGGCTTCGAGTCTTGGATAACGGTTAGCAAAGACCTCGCCAGCGGCTTTACCAGCTTAACGTTCTCCTGGTGCTGGCCAAAGAACTAGCCAAAGGCATCGGCGTCTAAGTTGTCCTTTAAAGCCCAAGTACGCATCCGCGGGAGGTTCTGGGCCCCGAATATTAGCTCGTCGTAGAGTAGGTGCTGGGCCTGCTGGAAGTCGGAGAGTAAGAGCCGCGGCACGTGATCTATATGCAAATCAACGTCTCGGTAGGTCAGAACCTTCTCGTCTACATCCCACTGTGCTTGGTGCGGCCCAACGACCTCCTTTGAGACAGTAAACAGCAGTAAGCGCCAGCCGAGGATCTCGCCCATGGGAGTCTCGGTGTCCTGCTTTAAGAACCGCCCGCAATACTGCTCAATGCGCTCGAGCGTATCACCTAGCTCCGCCTTCTCTAGACAAGCGCTAGCGTGGAAGATGATCAGCTGTACAACCCAGATCACACCAGACAAGCAGCTATTATAGTTGCCTGGCTCTTTCCACGTCTTGGTATACGGCTTGACGCTGAGTATGGCACAGAAGCTAAGCAGTGGGGAGCTGTACCGATTGCCTCCAAATTCGTGGCAGATTAGCGCTATTGAGAGGACGGACATAGCATCTCTCAGCGCAGGCCGGTCCTGCTCGATAGCACTTTGGAAGGCCGCTTCCCACGCCTTTTTCTGGGCACCCGTGAGCTAGATGCTGCTTTTAGGGGTCCGCTGGTCGTCGTCTGCCGTGGTGAAGTGGCTGCCGCGGTAGGCCACCCGGTAGCAATAAGTCAAAAACTGCTTCTAGTAGCCGAAGTTGGTCTTGAGCGTATTAGGCTCCTTCTTGGGGTCGAACGCGCGTAGTTTCTGCCCTAGGGCAGCAGCAGTGTGGAAGCGGCTCAGCGCTAGCTGCTGTGGCCAGGTCAGCATACAGTCGGGACCGTCGAAGCACCAGCTGTGTGCCTCTATAAAGATCTCGTCTATGATTTCCAGCATTAAAAACAACTCGGGCTCGCTCTCGGCAGTCTTTGGCACCGCAAACGAGGCGTGCATCTCGTCCTTCTTCAAGCCCCGTGTGTGCTCCTCGATGCCCGTCCGTCGAAGCCACGGCACCACAGCAGATTTATGGCTACCGAAGCCATGAACGACGTTGGCTTCTGCTTTGGCATCCTCCTCTACAACCGCTACGTCCTCGCTAAGCTGTTTGAAGAAGTCTGCCTCCCTTAGATCTAAGCTCTTTGTGCCGGCGTCTACAGCTCCTTTAGCGTCATCCGCCACGAAATACCGGATGTGCTGCTTTTCGGCGAAGAAGGTCTGTAGCTTGCACCTCCGCCAGAGGGGGCTCTTCTGATGTAATACAGGCTTCTGCTAGTGCGCCTTAGACACGTGTAGCTGGATGGTCTGGAGGCTTTGTGTGAGGCCCGCCGAGCACGTCAGGCACTGGAAGCCATCCTGGAGCCGTAGGCCAGCCACTACTTGGGTCGGTACGGCTACCTGCTCCGGGACCAGCAGGCCGTAGGTTGCAAAGAGCTCGACGAGAGCCTTCAACGGTGCACCTCGCAGGCAGTGCGGCTTCTGCCTGAGGTGTCGAAGCCAGACGCTGCGTCCGGGGCGTAAACAGAACCCGCACTGGGTGCAGAGCAGCACCTGCCACTCCGGCTTGTAGAGAAACCCGTCGCTCATAGTCCGTCCGTAGGCCGCCCTACCCTAAGCCGTCGCGGAAGACGACGAGGCCAAAAACAGAGGTCATCGACCGGCGCTGGGCAGCACATATTATGGTGAACTTATCATGGTGGACTGGTCCGTGCATCCCCCCCTGATCCAGGGTCATTTCGCTTCGGGAGCCGCATAGTTCGCCATAATAAGTCGAATTTCTAGAGGTAGGCCCGGGGCATTGTGGATTTATGGTGCAGGATTTATGGTGGACTGGTCCGTGCTTGCCCCCCTGATCCAGGGTCATTTCGCCTAGGAGATTTGGATTTACGCCGCACATCCGCCGAATGCTAGGGGTAGGAGATGTTGCCACAGAAAAGTTGCTGAATTTGTTGCTCGTAAGCTGAGCAAGAGTCGAGTAGACTGGTCCAATTCTTTGTCGTGCGAACAAGACATCCTGAGTTTGGGGAAAGAGTTGACGATATGCATCATAGCCATTTATGATAATGCCACCTCCGTTGCCCTTCAGATCCACAACAAGCTTCGTCTTCCCATCTCGTTTCATCTCTGCCAACATTGTCTGGATGACTGCTTGAAATTCTGCTGGGGTATTTGGCTCGAAGCTATTCATGGAAATGACCCCGACATCGTTGTGGCCCGCAGATGTGAGATAATATCCAGAGATCTGTCCATCTGATGAGCTGACTTGAGCGATTGGATATCCTTTGAGTCTGGCAGTATTATTTACAGGATCTCCAGGTTCGAACGGTGGAGGGGCAGGTGCTGCGACTTGGACTGCTGTTGGGTTTGTGCAAAATTTCTGAAAGGCGGATTCTCCATCCGTCACACCGGAGAAGTTTCCAGGTACGCGGGCCATTGTCTGGAAGACGGATGTTGATCCATTGGAGAAATTCAGAGTCGTGTTTGGACCTGGATAGAAGAACCCGTATCTACCATCTCTGCAAAGAGTCAGCATCCTCCTAGGAAGCATAGCCGAACATACCCAGCAAAAAATCCTTGGACTGTGAGCCCAGGTGTGAAGTCCAGAGCAGGGTTGTACATGACAGTATTGAAAGCAGCATCGGGATCTTGCTGAAACCCTTTATCGGCTTCGGTTTGCATAAAAGTGACAGCATCCTGACCGTTGATAGTGGTAATCGCAGATGGTTTGGAAGAGTTCGCAGTCATTCTTAGGATCTCGTCTGGAGATGTCAGCTATGATCAAATCACCCGGGATCTACTTACCGGTTACGTAGATCTGGGGCAAGGAAGTCCCGTCCATGCTCACTGACACCAAGGACACATTCCGTGTAAAACGAATGGGTCGTGAGATGAGATCTCCAGCAAACCGGCTGCGAGAATCAGCATTGAACAAAGCCGCTAGATCACATACAAATGGCCGTCTTTTGCAGACATGAATGTCTTGAACATATCCATTTGCCACGCATACTCGTTTGGATAAGAATTATTCTTTAGATTGTTGACTATCCTAGTCACAGATCCCACGAGATCCACAGCTGAGTAAGGAAAGCCACTAGGAGGAGCCTTCTTGAAGGAAAGATCTAATTTATGAGAATGGGTCGACCAACTTTGAAGGGGACTCACCAGATTGAAATTCGACATATGGCAGCAGAGCTCCAGACACAGCGAGAGCTTCTTCTGAATGCAATGGGACAGACTGCAGACAATTGAAGGCCAGTTCACCAGGAATGATCGGGGTGACTGAAAGTCGTCAGCTCCAGGACGACAACTTAGGCGGCACATACCTCCTGGGTCTGCTGCTCGCATTGGCACAACCATAGCACTCACTTGAGCACAAGGCTCCGTTGTTGCATCGACAGACGACGCATGAACGGTGTAGAGAAACACCGAGATTAAGAGATGAGACCACATTATTCTTGCAGACTACAAGCGTGGGACGTTCAACATCTTTAAATCGTCTCAGCTTTGAGGCGCCATTCGAAGAGATAAGAAAGTTGCGATAAAGCTTCTCTAGGCCGAGGGTGAATCTTCCTCAGCCAAGAAGCCCCATAGTTTGGAGATCGTTTCGATGGAAGTCAAAGCGGATGTCGAGGGCACGATAACAAAGTTCGGCCAATTGCAGACCGTAACATCCTTGTGCGCTGAACTGAATCTTGATCGGATTCGGATAAAATGATTCGGATGTCGACCTTGGATACCTGTGGCTAATTCGTTGAGATATTGGAAGTGCCAAGGAAAGGGACGGCAAACGAATTCACCAATCAGATGAAACCCAGCTGCTCAGCTGTGGCCAAGCGTTCTCGGTTGCTTGGACCAAGCTTTCGGCAGCATGATGAACGTCGCGACGAGACATTCTTTGCAGCAAAGTATTCTCTGGACTGCGAGGACTTTCTGGCAGGATGAGGAAGAATGTGAGGGTTATTGAGGAGACACTCAAAGGTGCTACTATATCCAATCTCAGGACTGAAGGAAATTTGGAATTGAGGAGATTCCAAGGCTGAGATAGCTGACGCTCTCGCGATGGCTGTTCATGGCATCGTGGGAGAGCATCGTGGGAAAGCATCGTGGCAGAGTTAAGACCGCTAGCAAAAAAAAAACAAAAAGAAAAGCCAAACAGCTCAAGGACCCCGATATTGTGTACCTATTCCGGAACCAAACAGGAGAAAGGAAGAGTTAGAAAGGAAATCTTCCGTGATGCAGGTGAGAAGATCATGAGATAAGAGAAAATCCCGAGGCATAGGGCCTGAACAGGAGACCAGATGAGCTTAGAAGGTCACCGTCAGCCCCGATATGTCCACCGGACCAAGTATTCGTCAGCTTGCATCGCCATACTAGACTTCTGTATGCGCTCTCTAACTTCTCTGTCACTTGGCTTGTGGGTTTATGAGTCGAGTTCGACCTCAAATGGTGGCTAACCAAAATGTGTCGGCGGTTGTTCTGCTCGTCTTTGCTTGGGCTGTCAAGCTTCCTTCCTCGTGTCTGTATGTCTCTCTCTCCAAGGGAGAACATTGTGCAAATTGTGGCAGATTCGTAGAGACCTGCTGTCTATCCAACACCGAAGCAAACGTTGGGGTGAGAGGTGGGACCAAAGTATCCTGTGCTCGATCGATCGTTCAGGAGGAACAGCTTAGCAGCTTGCCTTAGGTGACAGAAAGAAACAGCGCGGTGGCTTCTCGCATTCCTCCTCTCTACTCCCCAGGCGCCTTTTGTTCTCCCACTGCATATTCGAATGTCGAGAGTTAAGAGGAGGGTTGCTGAAGGCGGGGAAATCTCGAGGGCGAATTGGAGATTCTCGGTGGTTCGCATGTGGGGCGTGCGATTGTACTTCAGCGGAATGTCAGATTTGTCGCGTTGCAGGAGTTGACTGACACGAGTGTCTGTCAGTATGTCAATGATGATGATGTTGTTGTAAAAGCGGTACCGCGGTCGTAAAGTTAACATCCGAATGCAGTCTAGCGCCCATCCTCCAACTTCGATCGAACATTCTGTTTGTACTGTACTTCGAGTCAAGTGTGGAAGCACACACATCACACTTCACGAGAAATTTAAGCAATGTGCATTTCTACAATGATTCACATACCTCCATCGTTTTGTTCAGCAACCGATGGTTGAACAAGCCACAGGACTTGGATTGAACCTCAGACTCCCGCTGAGTTCCGGGACATTAACAAGGGCTGGAAGCTCTCTTCTTCCTCCAGAACTTAGCATGTGGAAGTGAGCACCGTGGCTGAAGAATATGTCACCAACTTATGTTTGTTGGCGCATTCGATGCCATCGAAAGCCGCCGTCGCTCATGCCAGTTCATCGATTGCTCGTACCCTGCTGATGAATTCTCCGCGAAGGAACCTGAAGAGCACTCTGCCCCTCTCCATTTAGCATTTACCGGATGTCACGCCTTCAGTGGAAAGCGGTCTTTGATTTCATCCTATTGTTCGCATCAAAGGCAGATATTCCGCAGTAGTCCTCATCAAGTATCTCAGCCAGACTCGACAGCTTTGCGGTGCTATGCTCGGAACATAGCTGAACCGAGGCTTGTACAAAGGAATATGATCTATGTCATGGGCTGTCAATGGGAGGAGCGGCCATACAGTGCGAAGATAGCTCGACCCAATTCTCATCTGCTTACATTTCTTGGCGTTCTGCAAAGCCCAGCAGGCGAACTCTGAACTCTGCAATTGCTTGATGTACTATGCTTGCTTTTGCAGCCCTTGCCGATATTGAATTCTCACGACAAGGTGCAATGTTAAACGTTGGTCATGATCAAAAGAATGCAAAAGCTTACCTAGAGTTGTTTCCGGCACCGAAGTGGTGTAGGCACATCTGAGTGCATGGTAAACTTGCAGAACTGAAGAACTCTGTCAACTCTGGCGTAATCATTCCTTCTGATGGGCTAGTCCCAGTGGACATTAAACTCTTTGACAGCAGGCAAATTCAATTGATAGTCGCTGGTGATGAAGCACGTCGTGCCTCTTGATTTGACGTGATATGAGTTGCAGACTTCCTGAAGTTGAAGACCCATCTCGGATAAGAATCGCATGTAGCTGCAGCCAGCCTTGTCTAATTCAACTGGCACTAGCATTGCAAAGCCTTCTTTCCTTCGCCTCAAAATATCAAAGCCGAACTCCAAACTCTCTTGTGAAATCATCCGAGCAGAAAGATAATTCGAACTTCAACCACATTCTTGGAACCTCATCTTGAATTCCAACGTCGAGTCCTATCCAACTCTACGCGTCAACAGCTATCAAACTCAAACGCGCAGCAGCCATGGATTATCAGTCGGTATGGCTTGAAATCAAGGAAGACTTCTTCTCCCAGACAGACAAATCCAAGTATCCAGAATACACCGCTCGCGATCTTGAGCGTCTATTTGAGTTCTTCAGCCAAGAAGCCAACAACGCCTTCCCTAACGAGACATCACCGGATCAGCAATGCAGGGCCGAGTACAATGTATGGCGCATTATCTGTGAGTACTCCTGACCGTTGGTCATCGTTTGACATTCGACTGACATAACGCCTCAGGGTCGGAAAAGGAGGCTCCCCCATTTCCAGGAGTCATCCCAGCCGGACTCGAGGTCGATATCTGGATGAACCCACCCTCGTATCTTGAAAATGAGGACATATGGTCTACGCTTGCGACCGTCGGAATCACAAACGAGAACGAGGGCACGGAAGACGAAGACAAGCAGGAACTTTTTGCTGCTTCGGGCGTCAACCACAATACAAAACATGATTGGTCTATTGGACTCTACAATGACGGATGCCCAAACTGCTATGCACGCGACCATAAGGAATTCGAGTGCCGAAAGACTTGCCAACAATGTTCGGGACCACACACTATCAGTGATTGCCACATGAGCCAGAATAGTGAGTGGGGCAAAGAAGCATTGAAGACTGAGGAGCCAGACGTGGAGGACGAAGTCAAGATGCTAAAGGAGCGCATTCGAGAGCTGGAGGACGAGGTCGCTTTGTTGAAGACAACGAACACGGTACCGAAAGCGGTTGTCATAAAGAGGGAACGAGACGATGATGGCTATGATGGCTATGATGGATATGATGGTCATGACGCAGAAAGTCACAAGCGTGTGAAGATGGAGTCGGGTTATGATACATGACTAGGTTACGATCTTGCTCTCTATTGGGCATACCTGGGCGTGCGACAGTGATTTATCCTGTAATTTTCTTGTTCTCCTTGTTTGTAGCGATAGACAGAAGCATGAATGACTACTATCTCCTTGCCCACGTCCATAATCAATACGGTGACGTTCGAGCGAGCCAAGTACTGAAGTCGAGGTCGTACTTTCAGACCCACCTACTCTTGCGATCGAAAGACAGAGAAGCTAAGTAGAAGCATGGAAAAGCTCAATGGTCTTAGCTGCTGTGTTTTCTTCGAGTTAAGTTTCCAGATCTCTTTCAGACTTCCTCGTCAGCACAGCAACCGAAGCTGATAGTCTCCTTACGCGAACTCTAAAGACGGGATACCCCACCGACATCCCTCTGCTCCTACACAAGCCAAGAGCTTTCATCCAGCGTTTGGAAGATTGTTGAGCAAATGGCCCCTTCGCAAACCCATCAAGCTGTCCATGAACATGAGACGACATGTATTTCACACACGACCGCAATTGCAATCAAGTCTGAAGCTGAGCATGTACTTCGCATCAATACCCCCGATTGGAAATATAGCCAAGAAGGTAGACGAGAAGAGGGGCAAGTCATGGGACGTGGGGTAGGTTAAGCGATCTTCGAGCTTTCCCCTTTTTGATGTACAGCCTTGGCACAAGGATCCGAGATAGCTCCCGAAACTTTGAACCTGGAGACAACCTGCAAACTCAGACCTCTCGCCAATCTAAGTTAGCTTCCAGTGCAAAATATGGGATTCATGCATGAAAAGGTTTTGTGACGCTGGCAGCAAGCCATGATTGAACTGACTTTCTCCCTCGAGTACGAGCAACTCGAAGCTCACATCAGCGAATTCGTCTTAGTGCGCCCATCAAACAATTAGAGTGCGATCTACAAATCAAGCACTCGAGACCGAGAATAATCTTTGCACACTCGAGTATAATGGCATGCGTCCTACATTCTCATCAGATGTCCTAGGCCGAAGAGTTATGTCCATGTTTTCAGATCGAGGAAGAGGAGCTGCAGCCCTCGAGGCGAGAACAACGTCCAGAAGCTCAGACACAACTTGAAAAGCTTGGCAACTTGGCAGCCAAACCAAACCAGGTGATTCGGAGTAAACATCAGCTTTGTTTTAAGTCCGGTAGACTCGGATTGGGTGTAGAAGCCCCAGAATTTCGCCTCATGGTCGATCATGATCTGCACATAGACGTCACTGCGACCGTAGCATCAAACTAGTTGTTGGAGTAAGAATTGTCCTCTCGACCGTAAAATCAATCTTTGATGTTGTGATACTGTGAAGCATCTCCAAACCATAAAGCATGATCTTGGCTCAAGCTTGATAAAGTCAAGAGATCGAGTCCGTGAGCATCATTGCTTATTCCCATGAACATCTTCTGGAAGGTTTGCTACTTGACACCAACAATGATCAGGATGGTTCTTCGCACAGACATTCGGTGTCGCAAATACCAGGAAGTGATGAAACAATTCGGGGAGATCGCCAAAAACGGATATGCTTGGCCAAAAATCGTCTGACAAGCGTAACACCGATAAAACCAAATCCTATCTACGAAAACAATCTGATGATTTGGCAGCCCCACCAATGGGGTCACCGCAAGAAACAAGTCAAGTTGCCATAATATATAGGATCCTGTAGTCTGGCATTCCATTCAGTAAGCCGGTCTTCGATCTACATTCACTGTCCATATTTCAACATGAAGTTTTCTCACGTTCTCTGCTTGTTTTCTATCTCAGGCGTTCTAGCATACCCAATCGCTCAGAGTAATACTCTCGCCACTGTCGGCTCAGGTTCGACAAATGCGACAACCGATTTCTCGAGTGCGGTGGATACAAGCAGTGAGGATGGAACCAACGACCCGGATACAGCGGTGGACGATATCAAAACCGATGCAGCCAAAGCCAGTTTTGGGTCTAAAGGTTCCAGTGCTGGTGGTGCCAAAGGTTCCAGTTCCAACACGAAGGTGACATCCGCGAGTGTCAAGTCAGCGGTCCAGAACTTCGCCAACGATGCGAATACTGTCTCTTCCAGCTTGAACCAATTAGGATCAACGACCGACACGGCTACAATCAAATCTCTAGCCACAACCGCATTCAAGGCCGAGTCGGATGAAGATGGGCAAAGATCAGTCCTCGCATCTGCAGCAGGTTCTGCTGGAAGTGCATCGAACAGCAAGATCGTCAAAAACACCCCCACGGTCTTGAATGGATTGTCAGCAATCATGAAGAAACCCACTGTCGCCACAACGAAGAGCAACCTTGCTACGATCCAGAACGCGAGGTAAGAACAAGTCTGAGGTGAAGAAATGGAGCTGATGAATATAGAAACCCAAACATCTTGCCCAGCATCACTCAACTTTCGAATGCCGCATTGGACGCAATGGGTCTTCCACAGACGGCGCAGAAGTTCCCAGCGACGACGGGCTAGAACTAAGACAGCATACCTAGCCGGAGACATAAGTGGTTCTTGGACATCATGTACATTACCTTGATATAATGTAATTGATTGGGGATGAAGCAAGCTTGTGTGATGAGATTCGAGAACTGCAGAGGCAATGAATGAGAAAGTGAAAGTGAATCGAGTCTTGGAGTTGGGGGAGTAGCTTGGGGGCGAAGTCTTCCCTTGCTCATATTCATCCATGAACATCGCAGGCCAGGGGAAAGAAAAGCCAGTTCTCTCCTGCCAATCGACTTGGCACTTGCCAGCATTATCAGTCACAATGATGTACACGTCCCTCAAAGGATCTCGTGGGTCGCAGGAAGTAGTTTCTGTCATTGCCAACGTCCTCCACTTCTTATAATGCCTACTCAATTCGGTGCTGGCTGACCACCAAGCAAAGTCCCAAGAGGAACACAAGCGTATTGCTCGTCGTCATCATTAATTGGAACCGAAGTGCATGTTCCTGTAACATAAAACCCATTGATCTCGCATGCATTGCAAACTTGTCCTTCATCCGCTGCTGTGCATCGTTCGATTGGCGGGGTGACTTAAGGAAGAGCTGTCGCAACAGCTAGGAAGCCGACGAAGGAGATGAAGGTGAATCGCATTTTCTGGGACTTTCGAGTTCTATTTGCATCAGCGAAGGTACTCTTGGGCTCTGGTTCACACTCACATCACTAGGTTCTGATATGCTTGAGGATCAGCACATGAAGTTGGGATTCACCATCATTTATACCTCTCGACACAACATTCTTACTCAAGTTTTTCAACTTACACATCACCTATTCAAAAAGATCGACGCAACGATGTTCATCTCCCTCAAGCCTCGGCACCGAGTAGGGTTTGGTGCGCAGGTTTACGGCATCCTTGATGTCGATCAGGAACAATGAACGAATCCAAGCAATTGAAGACCTCCATGGTCTTCAAGGTTTTTTGACGGTTTGTAGACCAAAGGAGTTTACTGATGAAGGTTAAACCTTAATTTTTGAGGGGTTGCGGGGTAGTGACCAAGTGCAAGCCGAGGAACAAAATAAATAATGCTTGGAGCAATTTAGACTCTCCAAACCACATACGATGTGCAAATTGAAATCCAAGATCGACGGATTAACAGCTAGTAAGATGCACATTGCGACGGCGCCTGGAACTTCCCGGATCGTGACCTCGGAGTCGAGGGAAGTGTAATCTGCAATGAAAACATCCTCGCAGGGCCTATTCCTGTTCCGAGAGAGAAGCTGAGGGGTAGGAGATAGAGGTTGCCGTAGAAACAATGCCAATTCGAACTGTATCCCAAGATTCTGCAGCTTGATCTCCTTGGTGTGGTAGTCTCAATCATGTTGCGCTGCTTCAAGTCGAGCATTGAGCGAACCGCAGATGAATCGGCAAGACTTTGAAAAAGCTCTGCCTAGTTCCCTGCGCTCCGTAGTCCCATCCTAAGGAAACCACTTCGGAACTCGGATGTTCTGCTTATCCATCGAGGGATTGTTGAGAGATAATTGAGAGATCATGCGGAGAAGACTGCAGCTAGTCACGTGAGAGGCCCCAACTCGGACAACCTGGAATGTAGACTTCTGCCGTACAGTTTCGCTTCTTCGAGGTAGCCTTTGCCATAGCTGACAGCCAGGAGGGGATACAGATCGTGATGTCCTTCCTGATCACTCGATCGAAGTCGACAAGCTTCCTTTGCTAGAACATCTCCATCCAACCAATGCATTATAACCACCCATTCAATTTGCTCAACTGTAGCTATATCAGCGCCAAAGAAAGTAGGAGCCAGAACAGTCTTTAGACCAACGCATTCGAACTTTCGCGAAACGAGCTATTGTCTTCCATGATATGGATCAATGGCTGATGAGGTGCTGAGACTGGCTGAGACCTGGCGACGTCGTGTCTCGTACCTGCATACTTCGCGATCATTGGGACACAGCGATTTAGGCCATGCAACTAGCATCTCGATTTTCAGACGATGCTTCCAATTCAGTTGAATACATGGAAGAGCATCATGAAGACTGCATTGCTAGGCGACAGATGTACAAGCTACGACTGACATAAAAAAGAAAAACAGATCTGGTATAGGGGGGGTAACGTCTCAAATGGATTGCAAGGCAAAACAGGTGCTGGAATGAAATAGAAAGGAAGATCTCTCTCAGGAGAGTTTGTACTGAAAAGAGTTTCTCCTGATGTGTCCTCCCGTTAGCCTAGAAATGTTGCAGCGATCTTCGGTGGGTATCGAACACTGCCAGATCTCAGACTAAAACAGGGGGTTTTCCAGCTTCATCAAAACTCACCAAATCCACTGATCAGTAATTTTTACAATCGCGAGGGACCCTAAGGAGAAGGATGAAGACGGGGAAATGAAGATTAACTGCGTCGAGTACTCTGTTGCATTCATCAATATCAAAATATCAAGGAGAGACAAAGTACCGTTTTCAGATCCCACGTTCTTGGACCCGCCAAACCGCATTCGGTCAGGGGGCTAGCTGCACATTACAGTAATCGTTGAGATGGCTGCACGCGCCAAGCGACCCAATCCCGGCGTCCAGCGAGTCACGGTCTATCCATATCGGGCTTAATGCAAGACCCTTCTTGCATATCGCGTTGCACCCAGAATTTTTGGTGCTTTCGCTTTTCCACCTTCCGCCGCGTTTTGACGTTTGACATTTGACATTTGACATGTGCAAGTGAGTGATGGATGCGCCTCCGCCTCCGCCTCCGCCTCCCCTCCACATATTCTACATCTGCTGCAATGGGCAATTGGCATCCATCTCCATCCAACCGTCAGCCGTGCAGCGGCACCTTATCCTCTCTGCTGCGCACCCGGACAGTTTCCAGTGCCCGCAGCCATGGGGATACATTGCATTCGCTGCTGATAGCAGAAGCAGAGCCACGGGTGGCCGTTTCAAGCGTGGCAGACAAGGTACGATCCGTCTCAATCTTACAGTAACGAGGATCTGGTTTGGGGGTGGTTTGGTTTTCCTAGGGTTCACCCGAACGCTGGGCATGGTCCGGGCCCAAGCAAAAAAAAAAAAAGGGTTGAGAAAAATAAATGGACCGCAAATTGTGGGAAATGTGGGCGTACCCGTGGCCAGCGAGGCGTAGGTACCTAGGTAGGTACGGCAATTCGACCTGAAATAAAGTCTCACTCGCTCCCCTCGGCCTCATGCTTTCTTGTCCTTTCTCTCCCCTTTTGTAAACATTCGAACTTTTCCTCCTTCCTCCTTCCTCCTTCACACCCCTATCATGGCTCCTTCACCACCACCATCGTCGATGTCCTCGTCCACCATGGCAAAGTCCCAGAAGCCACAACATCTCGATCTCAATGGTAATCCTTTCGAGCTGCCGACCTTCACCATGAAGGAGATTCACGATGCCATTCCCGCCCATTGCTTCAAGCCTTCCATCCTCCGATCAATGGCATACGTCGTCCGCGATTACTTCTACCTCTCCACCCTGATCTATCTCGCCGTCACCTACATTCCTCTCCTTCCCAACGTCTACCTTCGATTTGCTGCCTGGGTCGCATACACCACGGTTCAGGGATTCGTCTTCACCGGTATCTGGATTCTGGCGCACGAGTGTGGACATGGCGCCTTCTCCAAGTCCAAGAAGCTCAACTACACAATGGGTCTCATCATGCATTCTTTCCTTCTCGTTCCTTTCCATTCCTGGAGACTCTCTCACTCCCAGCACCACAAGGCCACAGGAAACATGGATAAGGATACCGCTTTCGTGCCCCATACTCGCGATTCATGGGTCAAGACCAATTTCGGAGCCAAGGCGAAGGCCAACATGATCGAATTCGCCGAATTGGCTGAGGATTCCCCAATTTCTGCCCTCTGGCACGATATCGTCCATCAATTGTTCGGCTGGCCTGGCTATCTGCTGTTCAATCTGACTGGACAGAGATACGGAGGTGCCAAGGGACTGAAGATCACACATTTCTACTTCGGCGAGGACAGCGTGTTCTTCAAGAAGGCCGAGCTGCCATTGATCCTTCTTTCTGATATCGGTGTTGCTGTCATGATCGCTGGTCTCGTTGTGGCTGGTCAAATCTTTGGAAGCTGGAACGTTATCGTCCTTTGGGGAGTTCCTTGGTTATGGGTCAACAACTGGATCGGTAAGTCTGCCACGCAGTTGAGGAGAATGATACTAACACAGATAGTCGCAATCACCTTCCTCCAACACACCGATGCCTCGATGCCTCACTACGACAACAAGACATGGACCTTCGCTCGGGGTGCCACTGCTACCATCGATCGCGATCTCGGCTTCATCGATACCCATCTCTTCCACGATATCATTGGCACACACGTCTGCCACCACCTCGTATCCACGATTCCCTTCTACCACGCAGGCGAAGCTTCAATCCACATCAAGAGAGTAATGGGCAAGCACTACAAGGCAGATACAAAGACTGGGTTCTGGACAGCTTTCTTCCGAAATCAACGTTCATGCAAATTCGTGGAAGAGACTGAAGGCGCAGAGGGAAGCGGTGTTTACATGTACCGCAACTTATACAACAGAGAAGGAGAGACGAAACCACAAAACTTGGCTGGTTGTGTTGAGAAGGAGCATAAAGAAGTGAAGGAGGTGAAGAGCGCTATGGCGACTGCCATGTCTTCGTCACGCAACCTCGATGCACGACGACGACTTTCGCACTCCGCACAACTCGCTACCTTGCCGATGCTTGCAGATGGATGATTGGCATATAGATCTTGGGTGGAATAGATTCTGGCATAGTCGGTATTTTGCAAACTTGCATAGACTAGATTAGATGGCGTTTGGTGTCTTCTTGTTTTAGAGCATTCGAAAAGGTTATACTTTGAACATTTGGATGCATGATAGATCCTAGATACTCGCGAAAAAGACCGTATTGTATTGCATTTCAACTTTTGGAGCAGAGGGGTCTTGTACTTATATACTTTTGGTGATGTATGCCCGCTGTCTCGGCCCTGAAGTGGGGTTTTCGGAATTCTCGGCATTTCACTGGTTTGGGTTTCTCATCCGCACTTCTTTGTCACTTTTGATGCAGCACCAAATAAGACTTGCATGCGGTGGCTGATTTAGGACCACTGAATCTAGTGGTTCAGCGCTTGCTATGTTTCACGTTGCTACCTTGTATTCCCGAAGCGCTCGTGTAACCTGTTTCCAAACTAATGTCCGCCATCATCGCTCACAAGCAATGTTAATCCTGCGAATCATGTTAGCTCTTTACTTGATAATCTTCCAGTGACCTTACCTGTCAAGGTGATGACGAGAGTGGAAAGGCCATCAACCACCAACCCAAGGGTTGTGAAGTCAGGATCTTTCGCGTGGGCTGCAAGTAAGGCCCCCAAAGCTCCAGTTGTCCCTATGGCTTCAACGAAACCCAGTGTCTTGCCAATGAGGTCTGGTTCGTCGGAACTGAATGACGGAACGAGATGTATCCCAACAGTCTCCCCGTACGAGCCGATACACAAGAAGAGACCAGACACAGCGGCAAAGCCTTTACCAGCCGCAGCAGTCGTACCCTTCTTCTTGGCATAGTAGCTGGCAATTGAGAACCCAATAGCTATAGCATTACTGCCCATTCCCACGGCAACACCAGTACACTACGGAAGCTAGGTCAGTCACTCTCTCGGGAGGAAGATGGCTAGAGCTTACTATGGACGCAAAGCTGTCATCGAGGTGTAGCTTGACCTCTTCCGAGTAATTGCGAGCAACAATCCAGTTGCATAAATGCACTATGCTCCCCGCGAAGGCCACCGACGTGGTGATAATCGTCATGATCGGAAGTGCCATCTGCGGCCCATCATGGTCTACAGGGGCGGCTGCTCCTACCTCTGCAAATACATGTGCGGTTTCCATAGAGATCGTGGCGAACTTGAATATCCCCACGATGGAGGTGGTGAGTCTAGAGCATTTCTCGTACTTGTGGATTCGAGCCTATGGTATCTGTTTAGTGACATGATACTTTCTGCTACTTTGGAGAAGTACCTTTGCATCTTTGGACAGGGAATGCTGTGCAGTATTGGCCGCTGGCTTAGTCGAAGTTGAGAATGATCGGTGAGCTTGCGTCGAATTGTTGACCCCCATCTTCAACATAGGAGACCTGTTCGCGGATAGCGACATGTTGGATTGACCCAGTCGTTGAGTCCCAGCGCTCATGGATTGGCTTGATATACCTGCGCTTCTGGCTGGAGTATTTGCCACAACGACAGACTCGGTCGGAATCTGCATGCTCATAACGGACTTGAGATCGATCGAGAAGATATCACTTCGCTTGGCAACCGCACTCAGCTCGTCCATTGTATTTCCAGGATCAATATACTTGGCAACATTGTCATCACCGATTACAATCCCCAATACTCGAGCCAGGACAAATGTACAAACATTCATGAGAGTGAAGGGCTGGGTTTTTGGTCAGCACGGGAATGTCAACTGTACAAGGGCTGCTTACCTGCTCTGCATACCACTCGAAGAGAGAGGTGATGAAGGGGAATTTCCACTTTGCTTCAAGGAACTTCACCAGCCCGTCCATAAAATCCCCAACTGCTTGCCATGCGGTCTTCACGAGAGTCTTCACTGTGTTGAAGAGGAACCAAAAGCCCGCTTGAAACACCTCTCGGATCTTCTCCATCGACTTCGAAGGGTCCGAAGCAGCATCTGAGACCTTTGACCAAAGGTCCTTGATGAAGTCCAAGAGATCTACGACCACAGTTTGGAACCCATTCCACAATGTAGTTGCAAGTGGAGTTAGGAATTCAACAAAGTTCGGGACCTCAAAGTCATCTCCAAGTCCGGATGCGTCGAACTCCTCTGCAAAAGCTTCCAAGATGATGGAAAGTGGATTCAGCTTCATGATGATCTTGATGACTGGGTTATCGAACAGCCAACCGAGGGGAGATTTTTTCAATCTCGTGTTTGGATCCTCGCTACTTTGAATCTTTGTGTTGTTACCCAGATACGGCTTGAGGCCCATTTCCATGAGATCGAACAAATCGTCCAGATTCTGGCTGTTCGCTCGAACCAGCTGCCCGGGCAAGGTCAAGACTGTTTTGATGGTTGTCTCAAGCAACTGTCTCCAGTTAGTACTTTATTCTGTCCCATTGTCGGTCATTCACCTTTTGGTTCTGCTTCGTCTTCTCCGGATTAAAGATGAGGCCAAGCATCTTGAAAAGTTTGCCAAAATCAAGTCCAAGCTTGTCTTTCAAGAAGGTTCCCACAGCGTGAACGAGTGGCCCGACAGTGTCAACAACGAATGAGATAACCTTCCCGGCAATGGTCAAGATCAACTTGACACCTTTCATTACCACCTTAAACGCAACTTTGAATACGTTCTTGACTTCTCCTCTAATCCATTCCAGTGCATCTCCGAGGAAATCAGTTACGCTGCTTTCTGAAACTTCGATGGCCGACATCTTCATTGTTGCCAATGAACTGACTGCCGAGTTCTCCCGCTCGAGTGTGACTTCAGTTCCAGACTTGTCCGCTGATTGAGATGAAAGACCGGAGAGCATAGAGGGAAATTCTTTCAACAATCCAGCTGATTGCTCGAAGTCATCTTGACGATTTTGCAATGCTCCTTTCTCGAAGATGGCCTCTCCGTTAGTTGACTTTGCATTCGCCAATTTCTCGGGACTGTTCATCTTTGAAAGACCCTCAACCACTCTCTGACCACCGTCAATCACCGCGGTGTGTGTAATGCCCTCACGAGAAATCTCGATCGCGTAGGCCGGGGTCTTGAGGCTCTCGGATGCTTGCGATACCACAATGAGCTGACCTTGTCCATCTGTGCGAACCTCTCTGGTTTTTGTGCTCAGTCCGTAAGAACGGTCATTGATGAGAACCACCATGGATTCAGACTTGATCTTGACAGCAAAATCCTTTCCAACGCTGCGTCCATCCGTACTCCGAAGAGACACTGTCGTGACATATGCTTGGTACTTTGTGAGTGACCTTGGTGCCGCAAATGAAATAGTAGACTCAGACCAACAGGTTGTCTCAGGATCACGAAGCAGATGCTTGACATCATTGGCTCCCGTTCCAGTGTAAATCAGCTCGCTGCTATTCATCGCCGCGTTGAACTGACATGACACTCGAGACACATTCTGGCGAATAGGCAATCCTGATGAAGCCAAGGTAATGGATCCATCTTTCTTCCATTTCCTGGAACCTTGGATGTAGTACAGATCGTCGTTGTCAGCGACTGCGAACATGGTGATACAAGTCTCTTCTTGGTTGTTTGGGTTGATCTTCTCGTTGCAGACAACTTCCCTGAAGCCGATCTTAGGAAGACCCGTGACCTCTTGTGGTACATCGGTGGGATGTTTGAAGTTGATAAAGCCGATACCTTTTTCAGAAGCAAAGATCAAGTCGGTGAAGCTGAGAAGATTAGTGAGTGTCAGAGGAAAAATAACGTGCACTCACTTCCATGGATTCTTGCTCGAACAAATAGCATTGATCTTCCCAAGATTTCCTGGAAGCGTATTCTTGGAATTCGTCTTGTCGAGAGTCTCTGGTGCCAAGGAATATATCAGGCATTCAGTACGATCGCTCTTTTCGGAAAAGACAAACAGTCCATCCTCGCCCTGAAGAGAAGCTGGTTGAACGTCCAAGATCTGATCAGCTTCAGAATCAGGGGAGAATGGGACCCATGGATCGGTGACATTCTCAGTTGGGTCAATGGCATAATACGTCGCAGCCTTCAATCTCTGAAGCTTGGTACCTGCGAAAACGACTGTCGTACTCTGGCCTACTTTCCTACCTTTAACTGACCCAATCAGAATGCTCGTGACACTTTTGCCACCTTTGGGATCTGCAACATCTCTCCAAGGAATTTCTACATTGAGATGAGCAGAGATTCATGGAGATGTCTGAGGATACTCACTGCTCCATTGTGACAATCCAGCAGATCCTGAACTGCTTGCAAATGCAGATGCAGGAACGAATGCGGTGTGAACTTGCGTTAGGTCCTCGCCGACTTGTGTCGCTGCTGCAAAGAATACGCCAGCTTTCTGATTTGTCTTTGGATCGTCCACTGCGAATACCGAGACATCGAACGAGATGACTTTTGCAGTTGAGGGAGAGACGTCATGTAAGCTCCAGCCCTGTGAACCTCCAGCTTCATGCACAAGGCAATTCAATCTCTGTTCAAGTATCAGTTCACTGACCAGTCGTTACGGGACAACATTCACGGACATCACCTTTGCCAATGGCGAAAATCACTGGCTCTCCTCGGAAGCTTCGAACCGTCTTCAATTTGCTTTTGCTACTGAAATAGTCGACAGGAGCAGCGTATTCAGTGAACTCGGAACAAGCTCGTAGCTCAATTGTTGGAAATGGATCACTTCCATCATCAGAGTACTTGACTCCATTTTCTTTTGGGGGAGCAGGAACTTTGGTCGCAATGACGACCGGCTTGGTCAAATCAGACTGGGAAACCATGGCAAAGGTAAATGAGAAAGTCTGATGAACCGCTGAAGGGATGCGTCCATGAGCGGCTCTCCCCAACTTCATATTGGCAAGTTGACTTGAGCAAGAAAAACATTGACGATTGCAATTGCGTGCCGTCCGCAACCTGCGGGGGAAAGTTGGCCATGATCCGATGCAAAGATCAGCCAGCCTTGAACTCATTCATTAAAGCGACAGCTCATGTATGCTGTGAATGCAGATGCAGATGCAAATCCAGACGCCCTCTGCATGGAGGAGAAAAGATGGTTCCTAAACAGAATGTCTCAGACACGCGTAGCGACATCCTCGCTTGATCTATTGAAATGATAGACGTACCCCAAGCATTCAATCATTGACATACCGTAGTCACTCCAAACCGAAGCTCAAGTCGACTTCCTCAACGAATGCAAGTGGACAAGGTCATAATGGAGTAGCCAAGCAATGCTCTGTACGGCTCAAACTGGATTACTCAAATTTTGATAGTGTTTGCGCAAAGATATCTCGCTTGTGCCCCTATCAAAACTGTCGATGCTCACCCGCAAGCGGAGGCAATGAACGGCAGCTGTCTACATTGGGAATAAATAGTGGCTTCAAGGCTTCTCAAACGGCACGAGCCGCCCGTTCGGGCCCAGAATTCGCAAGCCTCAAAAAACTTCTACGCTCCTCACTCGCTACGAAGAGTGAATACTTGAAACATGGGCAAGCCGCCCCTTGCTTTCCGTGCTTTTCAGGTGACCATCGTGAGAGCAAAGCAAAAGAGAACATGCGGCTAAGATTCAGCTTGAAAGCGGTGAAGGGAGATCGTGACCTTTCGGAGACGAAATCCGCTCTTCAATTCACCTTCAGGTCCAGTCATTGGTCCAATCAGATTCTTCGGGTTCCCGTTTCTATTTTCTTTTCTTTGATGTATGCCACGCCCGTTCCCTAGAGGAACCGGAAGATGGTTCCAGTTAAGTTCCATGCACCTTGATTCAAGGTTTGTAAACGCCATTCAAATATCACCCCGCATTTCAGCTGTATTAGCATCGGCATCTCTCCCGCTATCAGATTGGAAAAGAGAACACTGACTTGAGATTCAGCTCCAGCTCACTGAGACTGCAAGCCCTCTCTTTCAGATCACACGCTATGCAACTCGATCATATCACAACGCACTCCGTAGGAACCAGACTTGATAGATGCATCTTGTGGCTGGCTGGGAAAGAGGAGACGAAAGAAACATGATCATCTGGCACTTCTGTCTACTCTTCGGAAAGTCACATAAACTCGTCAATGATTGTTCTTCGTCCAAACATTCTTCTTCATTTATTGCTTGTGACAACTGAAGATGGGTTCCCCTGCAGCAGCAACTCCTGGGACTCTTGCAGAGTATGACATTATCCTCTCTATTTCAGAAGAAGCTATCAATCGACAGTTTCAGATCCTCTATGACAAGAAAATCGACGAGAAAGGTGGCGCGCTTCCACCTCCTCCTGGAATGGAGCAGGATGGTGTAGCACCACCACCGCCTTCAAAGTACCTCATCAATCATGAGTTGGAGATTCACCTCGCAGAAGAAGGATTGAGCGGGCAGCCAGAGATTGACTATGAATCCGGAATTATTGGACATACTAAATGTCCAAAGGTCAGCTTCAAGGATAGTGGAACAAGCAACAAAGGACGCATCTCATTTGAATTCGAGCGTGTTGAAACAGCCAAAGAACCAGACAGCGTCTTCAAGTATTGGGTTGGCAAAGGCAAAGCTGCCGAAACCAGGTCTCAAGTCATCAATGGCTATACCATGTCGTGGGAGGTGAATCTTGGTCAGAAGAACATACAGGACATTGCCGGAGGTGAGACATTCCGTCATTCTCCGATACCCGTGCTCACCTTACCTCTAGAGCTGCTAAATCCAGCTGAAAGCAACTCCTCACCGGAAACTCTCCATCCTGACGCTGTCAAGGCCATCACGCCTTTGGCCAACGAGCACTTCACAATTGCATCCATCTTTTGTATCTTTGAAGCTGCTCAAATTGCAGACTCGTTCAGGCTCTTCGATGCGGAGTCTAAACCACTTCCAGACGTATTCCATACTTCTTTCATGACCAAAGTCGCAGGTTACTTCTCACTGTGAGTTCACCTTCGCTTCAGCTTTCGAAAGACATTAGTCTAACTTCAGTAGACTCCAAAGGAAGATCAAACCAGGCCGAGCAACGCCAGATCATCCTTTCGTCCTCGGCTATGGTCTGTCACAAACCCTGCCTACAATTCCATCTCGCCAGCCAAATGCAATTCCCGACTCAACGCCCAAATTCTTCATTCCAAGGAAGTACAATGTGACCGTGACCCCAGGACAGGGCTCAAACTTCACTGCTGGAACTTTCAACTTCTGCATACTCACTCATCGGGATGAGAATCAACCGGGTCGAGATCCAGTGCGATCAGATCCGTCGAAGAATCTCAATGCAGGCAAACTCGACAAGACCTTCTTCGACTTGACTCGGACTCGCGAGCATGATGGATTGATGGCGTTCGCTCGTGACTTGATCTTCGACAATTTTCTCTGCAAAGAAGTCGCAAATTCTTTCTTCATCGACATTGAAGCCATCTTCAAGAAGGCGATGGACAAGGGGTCGATTGATTCTTCGGAATACAAGACCACGCCGTCGATGAATCTGTCATCGCAGCCTCCATCTTGGAGCAAGAAACAAACAGCAGAACTTAGTGGAAAGATTAAGAGGATGTTACTGGACGACAAGCAAAATGTCACAGGTATGCTTGTGACTATCCTTTGAGACGAGTTCCCAAGCTGAATTGCCAGGATTTTCCAAGCTTGATGTGTCATGGCAGTCTGACCTTCAGACAAATCCAAATATCGAAGAGAAAGATGCAAGACGCCACGCTCAACTGATCTTTACCAGTCAGGTCAAGGAAGACTTCGATGCAAGTTGCACCACTACCAATTTTGCCCTTGTACTGACATATTCTAGTTTGTTGATGTCGGCTTCATCAGTGATGATAAACTCTTCGCTCACGTAGATATGATCTACAAGTACGTCTTGAACATCTCTCCAGGAACAGGCGGTTTAGTGGATATCACAAAAGACGATAAAGCTAGCTCGCTTCCCGTTAGAGAGACAAGTGGAAAGTTGAAGCTCATCCAGGCTGAACGGAAGGACGGCGAGTATGGTGCATACTTCACTACAACGAAGAAGACGGCTGCATTGACAGATCTGTGGAACAATCTCAAGTCTGTTCTTCCTGAACAATTTCAGTCGTTCTTCGTTGATGTGCTTGATGCTATGGAGAAGGCTTGGGCTGGTAAGTCAATCCTCTGAACGCCCCATCTTGCTGCGTCAACATTTTGAGCTCACTGACTGACACTACCTTCAAACAGTGAAAATAGCAGACACGGCCATTGCTGAATACGAGAACAAGTGGAACGCAGGCATCACTTCCATCAAAAATAAAGTGATCCTTCCTGCAGGCAACGTCTTCAATTTCTCGGGTGTCGATGTTGATTCCCAAGGCAACATGTACACACATGTCAGCTTCTCCAATGGAGGAGAGAAGATCAAAAAGACCCATGGGGATCTGAAATCTGGGGATAAGCCCATGGTGGGCGGGGAGAAACCAACGGCGTGAGTGTGCAGGAAGGAAAATAGTTTTTTGGGAACATAGCGACAAGAATGAATGTTCATTCAGATACTGTTTAAATGCGCGGTGTCCATTGAAATCGAGCTGTTGTCTTGCCTGGACCGCGGCAATTGACTTGATTCTCTACTACTCTTCCACTGGCTCGCTTTTACAATGCGCTGAAGTCATGGTTACGATGATAATTATGGTAACTGACATCATAATACCAAATTCACATCATGTATGGGCAGTAATTTGCAGTAGTCGAGCTCAAATTGCAGTTTACCAGTGTAGCTTAAAGTACTCACTTTGGGATTCTGTTCAATTTAGGTGACTTGCATTGCAATTTAGCCTTTGGATTGGGATTGATGAACGGCAACCTGTAAGCTGCCGCCGCCATTTTAAGTACTGCTAACTCTGCATGTGAGGATAGTGCATCTAGACCTCAAAGGCCTTGACCTGGCTGGAGTATCCAGTTTCGCAAAGGTACGGTACGCTTGTACAATAATATGATGACATCCTGTGAGTGAGTTCAATCAGTTGAACCGACCGCAACAGAGCTTTGCAAACGAATACATAAACATCGAATCTCCTTTGGAAATGTGCAATTCAAACACCTCAAAAAAAGACCTGATTGATTTTTCAAAATGCATTCTTTCCATCTCCTCCTTCTCACCTTCGCCACGCAACTGTGCGTTGCCATGAATGTCCCAGCCAACATTCAAAACTTCTACAACAACATCAAAAACGCCGGCTCATGCAGCAACATTCTCCAAACAGGTTACTACGCAACGGATTCCGGTCCAGACAGCAAGTCCCTCCTTCGTGAAATTTTCTCAAGCTTACTTTTCCAGCATTCTCATACTGCGGCGATCACCTCGATGACTATGGAGTGATCTATCTCCAAGGAACAGATGGCGCGCTTGCCGACATGGATATAGATTGCGATGGTCTGCAAAACGGACCTGGTGATGACGGCCGATGTGGCTCGTCGACCGATACTCAAAGCCAGTCCTCTTTTGAAGATATCATTTCTGGGTATGGACAAGGAGTGGGCGAATTGAATGCTTTCGTGCATCCGTATGTTGTGTTTGGCAACGAGGGCAGTAGCGGTGGCTATCAGAATTTCAATCCTCAGGACTATGGAGTTAAGCCATTAAGCTTGATGGCTGTTGTTTGTGGAGGTCAGATGGTAAGTCTCGATCTCTGAGTTTGATACAATGCTAACGAGATAGTTTTATGGTATTTGGGGCGACGAGAATGGCGATGATGGACCAAAAGCCATGGTTGGAGAAGCGTCGATCTCAATGGCAACCCTATGCTTTGGAGATAGCGTGAATGGGAACAGCGGCCATGCCGATACAGATGTTCTTTACATTGCGTTCACGGGGTCTGACGCTGTTCCAGGTACCAGCGCAAAGTGGGACGCTGATTCTGTGGGGGAGTTTGAGGGTAGTATCCAAGCTTTGGGAGACAATTTGATTCAGAGGATTGGAGGTGGTGGTTCTACGTCACCTGCTTCATCATCACCTTCAGCAAGTTGCCCTCCATGCTCATGGGATGGACACTGTGCAGGTGAGTCGCGTAATCTGGAGGTCCGGCACGTACTGACGAACTTGACTAGGCGCCTCTTGTGACACGGCAGATGATTGCGATGGAAGCTTGACCTGCATTGATGGCCAATGTGGAGGGTGTAATTAGGCAGGCCACTGTTCTTATCAATTGAAGTATCCAAATGTCGAGGGAAATGAAACTTATTCAACGGATAATGACTGCTCTGATGTTGTACTGTGTGGAAGTGAAAAGGTGCTGCGGGATGAGGAGCAAATAACTTATAGGAGCAAGAGCGAGAATGTTGGGCAAGCATACTTCATTGAGAATGTCGGACTGTGAGTGTAACATTGCGAATTATCGCGCGAGAAGTCCGCAAAAATCTACCGCAGCGAGAAACGATCTAGAGTCTAGTGGAATGTTCAATACCATCTCTCACTTGAGCCCCACGAGCTGCAACGACTCAACTCTAATCCTCGCGATAGCAACAAAAAACAAACGCAAGCAAGAAACTTCCACCATCTGGCTGGACTGGCCTCGCTTCACCCACACCCCACTATAACCCCTATCCCGCTTCGTCCCCCGGCTATGCAGCATAGCCCACTTCATTCCTTGAAGCGTACTTCTGCTACACATTCCAAGTTCTCCTCGTATTAATGACAATTAGACTTGCATAAAGAAGATCACCACGTAAACGCCAAGAAAATATCGCAAAAGTCGGCCCCGGAAAACCCGCTGGTGACGAGGCGACCGATGAACCTTTGGATGATTGACAATTGACGACGGTCTATATAGCAACAAGATGGCGCTTTTTTGGCGGGTGGATTTCTTGGCCATTCTTTATGAGGCAATAAAAGAAGTCGCAAAAGTTGAATCGAACCGACAAACGAAATGGGAGCGAAATCTATGTGGCCAATGATTCCTTCGACACTGATGATGTTTCTTCTTGCGCTTACGTCGTACGCTGCCATGTTGCACTTGGTCATGATGCTTCGACGGTATTGCGAAGAGAATGAGTGTGGAGTTAGGCGGATGTTTGTGAATGCTGGGCATTGAGGGTTTTCAATGGAAAAGAGTCAGAGCTGAAGGAATGTTCTTATTGAAGACGAAGAAGTGGGTAACTACATCGACGACAAATGTTGTGGAACTGACGAATGAGCAGTGTAACCATCATCGAGCTGGTTCCTCGGTCCGCCAGAATGCCTCTTGTGTAGACGACCAACCAGAGAAAATGGAATTGTCAAGAACGGGGTCAGAATCAACACCTGGCAAAGGCCACCATTGTATCCTTGATCAAGAGCTGGGTTTGACGACTGGATCAGAAAGACCACTTGGTAGGTTGAGCTGCTGGAAGAAGTTGGAGCAAATGAAAGACAAGACGCAAAGCTGAACCTATCTGGTAATGCAAAATGTGTGTTCATAGAGCATGCTATGCAAGTGAAGTCAGCCAATCCTATGTAAGATTACATATCATACAATTCATACAATTCGTTCATCAATTACCCGTCGTCGACTGCTGAGGTTTGGGCTTCACCAACCCTTCTCTGAACCGATCTGGAACTCCTCTCGCGGCATATGTTCCAAATCCAACATATGCCCCAATTAATTTACTCCATCTGTATTCCCCTCGCTTCAACCTCTGAATTTCTTTGTAGGCATATTGGTTACAGTACGGGAGACCAGTGCTTGGATCTCTATATTTAGCTGGATAGCCAGTGATAGCACAAACTTCATGTGAAGCTTTAGACCCTGAAAAAAAAAGTCAACATAATTCATCTACACCTAGAGCCGACTTACTGGGAACTTTGACAAACTTCCTATTGAACAAGATTTGTGTCTGTACATTCTTGTCCTTGATGGATGTTTCGTCAAAGTTTTCGAGGATGAGATAATTGACTGCTCCGTGTTCAACAGCGGGCGGCGGCGGCGGTCCTTCGGGAACAGCTGGTGGATTAGGAATAGGAGCTAACGGTATTGATGGTGCTCGAGGAGGCGGTGGGAAGTTGTAACCCAGACCAGGAAGAGGAGCGGATCCATCTAAAGCTGGCGGGGTCGCAACGAATTGAGACCTTACTGTACTTTGCATATACATCGGTGGAGGTGGAGCAGTTAAAGGAAGGCCAGCTGGAGGTGCCAGGACGGAAGATCTTGGGGGAGCATGAACGATGGGTGTGATATTTGGAGGCGGTGGTGGTGCAGAGATCTCCACGGGTGGTGTGGTGGGTTTTGTCGGTAATGTTGAAGATACTTCTGTACTTCCATTGTCTGGCTGGAGAACAATCTCTGGCTTGACTTCAGGCTGCGAGACCTTTTCGGGGATCGGCGTGGCGTCCGGCATCGATTGAGCGTCTTTCGGAACATCTTCTGTAGCTTCATCTTGTCCAATTGCACTTGGGATGCTGGCTTCTGGTGGAGCTACAGAACCACTCTCAGATTCTTCCATCTCGGCAGCTTTCCTCTTCCTCGCCGGTTTCTCCTTTTCTTCGATTGTCAAATTCTTTCCCACCTTCCTCAATTTTCCTCCAATCCATTCTGCCATACCACTCCACCACGTAATGACTGGTCCTTCCAAAGTTCGATCATGTAATGCAGCCAATTTTGCCCTCTGTTCTTCTTCCCTCTCCTGCTCTGCCTGTTCCCATCTACTCAGACTCTTCGAATTGGCCTTCTCCACCCTCTCGGCCTCCTTCAATCGATCAGCTTGTGTCAAAGCGGGTTTCTTTGCAGCTTCTTTCTTAGCAGCCGCTTTTTCCATGTTCGCCAACTGCTTCAAGCGTTTCACCTCCCTATCCACCATCTGCATGTGTAACTGCTGCTTGCTCTGTTGTGTAGTACCTCTCGCTGAAGCTCGTGTAGGGGCATCTTCAGCAGTAGGAATCCAGGAAGTTCGCTCGGATTTCTTCTTCGGTCGAGGTGCAGGAGATTGGGAGAGGGTCGGATCGATTTTGACTCTCTTCTTGAAAATCTTAGGCATGCCACCTTCCAACTTCCGCTTCTTTGCCTTCTCTGCCTTTGCCTGCCTCTGTAATTCCTTCTCGCCATCGAGGTCATCATCGCCCGCAGCCGGTCCCTGATCATCGTCGTCGTCCGATGAGTCCATCTGCACGTCTGAATCCGCCTCATTGTCCTCAAATCCCACATCATCATCCGCCTCTGCAAACAAAAGTTCGAGCTCGTCATCTGGATCTTCTTGTTGCAGCAGATTTGCCAGTCGATTTCCAGCCGTCGCACGCTTCTCACGCGTTGTCGCTAGCCATTCTACCTGTTCCTCCTCCTCGTCCTCCTCCTCACTTCCGCTGCCACTTCCGCTGCCCGCGTCTTCGGACTCCTCGTCCGTTCGCATGGGGGTATCCTCGCCGCCCTCTGCCATCTTGACCTACTCTACTCAGAGCACGACACCGTTGAGGAGAGAGTTCGGGGGGATCAACAGACGATTTCCATGAGATGCATGCACGGCTCGGTCTGGGGCTTCGGTGATGTATGTTGAATGTCGGTGTTGCGAAAAGAGTTGCAGGGAACGCGGCTGAACAGGCTGAAATGACCGACATTCACGATTGCCGAAAGCGGGCGGAACGATCCCCACGTGATGAGCAAAATGTGAATCAGGGGTTCCAACTTTGCATTGGGGGGCATAAAATCCCGATTGGGCATTGTAGAATTCTTGAAGGGTCCATTCTCTCTCTGGCAGATTGTACAGCGCATCGCGAACGAGGATCGACTGGTTCATGGCCACGTTGAGGCTCAGACGATACCTAGGTAGGTAGTTGATAAGGAAGCAAGGCATCATTAATTGTGCATGCCATGCCTCTGCATATCTCTACCTGCCTACCTTGCTTGGCATCTCTGCATATCTTGTGCAATCAATCAATCAATCAATGTTCCTCGTTCCTCATCGGACTCTCGGTACTGTGTGCCGAATGGTACGGCTCGACCTGCCCTGGTTCTACCTGCATCTGGCTGTCCGTCGCGGTCTTTGACTCTTGACTCTTGAACCAGCGAGGCGGCGCTAGTGTTTCACGCTGGAGGATCTGCTGCGGTTGCATCAATCAGAGCAACAGGATGCCTGCACCGCGATATGTAAATATGCAGCCAAGAATATGCAGCGTATGCAGAAACCAAAAGTATCACATCCATCCCCAAGTCATCCAAGTCATCAAAATGCACGCACGCACGCACGCACGCTGCCGGGTGAAGCATGTTTCTCCTATTTGAGTCTCTCACGCTCGCCGCGAACTTCATGTGCCCGTTAGAGTAAGGAGAAAGAAACACTTGCGTAAGGTTCGAAGGATGAGCGAACATGGGGAGGGGGATGAGAGCCGGCCCTGGTACGGTAAGCCGTTTTCCACGTCATATCTCTATCGAATTGTGGCCAGCCACGATGGGAATCAGCCTTCAGATCAATGCGTTCGTTTTCCAATGCGGCGAGAAGCATAGAGAGGAACTTTATGAACAAGCAAGTTGAGAATGTTTCCTGGGGAGGCGTTCACCATTCCCAGTCCGTTTCGTCATCGGTTTGCGAGGACGAGGACGAGGACTTCACCCAGACTCGTATATGGGCAAAGCGAAGGCGAAGTCGCGGAGAATCAATGCAAAGAAGCATCCCATTGATAGGACACGACTCCCCTCTTCAAGAGCAATGTCTAAATCAGTACATACCTCACGGACGTCGGCAATCGGGCTATTACAGCCTCTTTATCTGAATCCGCAGCAATGGTGTCAAACCGCCTTCTCCGCACGAATCTGAATCTGAATCATCCTCGTCGTCCTGCGCAATGGAATCATCGTCAGCACTTACGCTTGTATTATGCTCACTTGCAGCCTCACTCTCCGTCGTCGTCCCGTAAATCTAAATCAAACGTCTAGTCCGTAATGGCGGCGTCAGGAAACGGGGGAATTGGAGATCTCTTCTAGAAGTCCCACTGCATTTTGCCGCTGTTGAACCTGACATTGTTCAGGGATTGTCCTTTCCAGGAATCATCCCAAGTCGCACCGGCGATGCGACTCTCGGTGGACCTGGACTGGACCTGGACTGGACCTGGAACTCTCTTTACTTTACACTGTTATGCTGGGGCTGCGCCCGTTTATTTTCAGCAGTCCGATCCGATCACTAAAACTATCTCCAGAAGAAAAGAACTCTCTTGGGGTCGGATCTGCATAATGGAGTATGACAAGGCATAGAGGTACTGTAGGCATGATAGAGCATCGCAATGGGGTGAAAGAAACAGGACAGGAACAGGCGTCGAATGATGGCAAGCTGAAACTGCCAACCAGCGTGTTTTGTGGTTCTGTCGTCTCCTTACTTCCTTGTCCCCTCGCTCTCCTCACTCTGCGTTTCTACAGTATCTATGGATAGAAGAGATCTCATGTCATCCCATGTTAGGGGGACGCTGTCAACTAGACTGTGGACTGGACGATGCAGATGATGGAGAGAGAGAGAGATGGAAAGATAGATGGGGGCGTGGTATTTTTATCCCATAGTAGGGTATTCGACGACGTAAATGGATATTGCATTCATATATGCCCTCCCCCAATGTCCATGCTCGTTTGGATGAATGCGCGAATCTGGAAATACTTGCACGTTCCGTTCCTCGGTACTGTATGGTTACTATTGTACTGTAACATACTCACATCTCCTGCTTCCCATCCATCCCTCGATCGACCCGACTCGGCTTGCCTGCTTCTCTCCTCTCACCCCATTGAACCCAGCAGCAGCAGCTCTCACTTGTCACTTTCGCCCTCGGTCGCCGTTGATTTTCACCTGGCGCGCGTCTTGTCTGTGACCAGGCACGTCGGTGCAGCTGGTGTGCAGTGCGGGCGGATTCCCAGCCAGGATTGGGGGGAGTTTGGTGATGCAGGTCAGAGGCACTTGCACCTTTTCAGCGGCTTGAAACACGACCAGGTTGGAGACGAGGTTGTGTCAGCACCCAGCGCAGACCACTGGAGGCCGCTAAAACCAGCCCTGAGCAGCCATCCCAGCAGCCTACATAGGTAGCAAATCGCTCAGCACACGCTACTGTCAGTACCAGCGGAGAAGCTAGCCGCAGCAGAAATATCGACAGCAACAGCAGCAGCAGCAGCAACGGGGGGGGCCAAAGGGCAGAGAAGAGGTCGAAAGCGGGTTGCTTGCTCGTCTTTAATTCTAACAAGGACGAACATCAAGGCCATTCATTCACAATCACATCACCAACTTCGGTCGTCTCTTCCCATCTCTCCACGCCACCCTCGTGTCATTTAATCCTCCTTGGTCCGTTCTCTCTTTCAGAGTGCAGTACAGTACTCTGGCGACTCCGACCCAGTATTTCGTCGACCCAGCATTACGGGAATACGCAACAGCCAAACCCACATTTTCCAAAAGAAGTGCGTGTGCGTCTGCTTTCTTTGCTTGCTTGCTTGCTTGCTTGCTCGCTCTCCTTCTCATATCCTCCTCTCCTGCCTCGAACCAACCAACCAACCAAGCCTCTTCCCTTCTCTTGCCCCTTCCCCCCTACCCACCTCGTCCAATCCGCATCCACGCACACACACGCTCTCTCTCTCTCCTCTTCCTCTCCCTCCTACATACATACATCAACCCCATCGTCTCTCCTTCACTCCTCCCATCTCTTCTCTCCCACCACCCGTCGACGAATTTCTCCCCCTTCGTCGTCGTCGCACCACCACCACCACCACCACATCTACCGCCTCTTCGAAAAATTCTTTTTATTAATGGTCGTCTGTATATTCAGGAGCAATAGCAGCTGCAGCAGTCCCAAGAAACGGAACTTGTTCTCTTCCCCTTTCTCCTTCTCGAATCCACCTCCAGAGCTTAATCCAAGCACCAGTCGTCTCAGCTTTTTCCAATCGCGGACGCAGTGCTTCAACGGACGACCGACCCCTTATCGGCCATCAATCACCCATTCCTTCAAACAAGAGAGATTCTTTCCCATCAATCGTCGCTCTGCCTTCTGCCATCGACTGGGCCTCGCCGCAGACGCACAAGCAACAACTTCTTCTTTTTAATAGATTCCCACAATCTTCGTCTGCGAAAACAAAAGAAAATTTCCCGCCCTTCGAATCTGCCACGACCACCCGTACCGTACACTCCGGTCAAGCCTCCGTGGTCCCGAGATACGAATTTTCCAAAGTTTCAACGTCCTCATCCCTTTCGTCTCCCGACTCGAGCGATTCGACACTCTGCTGACGCACCTCGAGCTGTCGCATTCCGTCATTGGCCTCACAGTCGCCTACGAAGGAATAGGGGAATTTGACGCACGCAACGATACATTCGAATACACCTTCCTACCATCTCTTGTGCCAGATTCGAGAGATATTTGGTGGACGATAATCTATAATGTCATCTGCAAGATCCGAACACCTCACCTTGGGTTATTTGCCGACTCCAGCCACGAGTCTGCCTCGTTCCGGATCTTCGACCGCCAACACTTCACCCACAGAACCTTCCAGCGGAAGTGCATTACGATCACCTTTTGGATTATCAGGTGGTTTGAATTCTGCAGGGAAGATGGCCAGCAACACGCGATCAGGGGCTGGTTCTCCATCGCACGAGTTGGGCGGCGGTGCAAGCAGATTGTTTTCCAAGAGGTAGGCATACTTTTATTATCCCTAATTTGCATCTGCTAATTTGACCAGAGCTCGAGAAATCCAAGCTCAAGAAGGTCTGCCAGTGAACGTCTGGGGACCACCGACCAGCGGAAACTCCACACCACTCCGTGAAAATATCCCCGAATCGCCTACCGATGGCTTTCCTGACTTCTCACATCTCCCCACACCCGAGAGCCTCCCATCAACGACAAGACGAGCACGAGCTGGGACGGTCCCTTCCCGCTTCTCACCCGGAGGTGTTACCAATGGTCTCGGAGCTCTTCCCTCACTCGTAGCCAAAACCTCGAGACCAACACCGTCACCAAGTCCATTCAAATCACCATCACCATCCTCAATCGGCGAGATTGGTGATATCAATGCCTCCAATGCCAGCAATTCTGCTTTACTATCAAGATTACGAGCTGGGTCAATGCCACAACGCAGCCAATATTCAGTCGCCGGACCATTCGGACCCTCAGTATTTTCCACAAATTGGGCTTCGGGTCGTGAACGAACTTCTACTCTAGCTAGCATCGCCAGCCAGGGTTCGAACCAACCCAGCTCTCCTGCACAATCACAATTTTCTCGAGAGGGAACCGGTGACAATGATATGCAGATGCGAACACTAGACTACTTAGGTCTGGCAGATACTCCACAACCTCCGCGAGCACAATTGGCAAACCCTTTCCTGGCAAATATCGCAGACATCAGCAAATCTAACAGATTCCGATCGTATTCCGTCAATGCCAAGGAGAAGTATGCTGAGGACGAAGAGGAGGAGTATGGAACTGGCAACTTGACACCATACGAAGCACAACAGGCCCAACTCCACATGCAACTGGCTGCCACAAATGCTGCTATTCAACAGCATAACCTTGCCGTCCAGGCTTTTGCTAATCAAGCCTCGTCCAATAGACCTAGAGCTAGAACAGCAGGTGTTCTCGATTCACCAGCAAGAATGATGAAGCAATTCTATCCGACTGGAACTAGACTTGACAACAGCCTCAATGCTGCAGATCTGGGGATGGCAGAATCTCGAGAGTATGATGACCTCCCCGCTGCTGTCGCTGCCATGTCCATAGGTAGATCCACTAGTCGAAACGATGGTCACCTTAATCCGGATGATAATCTCGAAGGACCAACCAGAGCTCTTTGGCTCGGTAGCATTCCTTCCTCGACTACTGTTTCAACTCTGACAGAGATGTTTAAGCAGCATGGTGCCATCATCTCCGCTCGCGTTCTCACACACAAAAACTGTGGTTTCGTCAATTTCGAACGTCTGGAAAGTGCAATTTCAGCGAAGGTTATGATGAATGGAAAAGAGATTTTCCCTGGAGCTGGACCTGTTCGTATCAACTTTGCCAAACCTCCCTCTCCTTCAGGAACTCCCGGTCACGATGGGACATTCCCATCGCCCAGTCCAGATCCATTCATGAAGGGTGGCGAGAATGGCACGAACGGCGATGCCAATGGCGTCAGTCCAGGTGTCATCTCGAGACCTGGCACTGCTCCTTTGGCCATCCCAGCTCTGCGAGACATGAAATCCGACATCTTGAACATTGTTGGTGAATTTGGTGCTACCCCTGATGATAAGGTCAAGATTACTCGCAGCTTGGATGCGGCCATCTCCTACGACGGCTTCCAATCCGAGATTCCAGCTATTCAAGAACCATCTCACAACAGAATTCATGATGCACCCAAGCTTCGTGACATCAGAAAGCGAATCGACAATCAAAGCTGGTCGCCTGCTGAGATTGAAAACATTGCAGCAGACATGCTTCCAGAGATTGCAGAACTCTCTTCTGACTACCTCGGAAACACGGTCGTTCAGAAGCTTTTCGAGCACTGCTCAGATGACATGAGAGATGCTATGTTGACTGAGATCGCCCCACACATGTCGGAGATTGGCATTCACAAGAACGGAACCTGGGCTGCACAGAAAATCATTGATGTGTGCAAGACGTAAGTAAATTGCAAACTTCCCCCTCCGCCTGGATTTTTGGGTTTGGCTAACTTTTGAATCTTATGTCTAGACCAAAGCAAATGGGTATGATCGTAAACAACCTCCGTGCTTACACAGTCCCCCTCTTCCTCGACCAATACGGCAACTACGTCCTTCAATGTTGCTTGAAATTTGGTTCCCCATTCAACGACTTCATCTTCGAGGCAATGCTTAGCCAGATGTGGGAGATTGCCCAAGGACGATATGGAGCCCGAGCTATGCGAGCCTGTCTCGAGAGTCACCACTCTACCAAGGAACAGCAGAGAATGCTAGCTGCTGCGGTCGCCCTTCACAGTGTCCAGCTTGCCACAAACGCAAACGGTGCTCTCCTGCTCACATGGTTCCTCGACACATGCACATTCCCCCAACGTCGTTCAGTCCTCGCACCTCAGCTTGTCCCAAATCTTGTCCATCTTTGCACCCATAAAGTTGCATATCTCACTGTTCTTAAGGTCATCAATCAAAAGCTGGAATCGGATGCCAGAGATACAATTCTCCAGGCCCTGTTCTTCTCTCAGAACGACGAGACCCTTGAGGCTATTCTGTCTGACCATGCTTGTGGAGCCACCTTGATCTTCAAGGTCTTAACGACACCTTTCTTCGACGAGAGCATCCGTTCCCAAGTCGTTGAAAACGTCAGGAACGTTCTTCTCCGACTCAAGGCTCAACCTGCTCAAGGATACAAGCGATTGATGGATGAGGTTGGACTGTCTACTCGAAATGGTAGCACCGGTCCTAGCCGTGATCACGCCCCCAATGGTCACTCCAATGAACGACCAAGACCGGGTTCCAACCACAGCCAAGTCAACGGCCACATTCCTCCCCCTCAGTATGGCAACCAATTCTTCCCTCAAGTTCAGCAACCTGGTTTTGATATGGGTATGGGCATGCAACGAACCGATAGTATGGACTCGAATCTTGGTCCGTTCCCTTCGTACGGTATTCAGGCTCCGATCTTCAATCCAGCCAACGTCCAAATTCCTCCCATCAACATGCAACAACTCCAATACCAGCAACAACTTCTTGCTCGAGCTGCACCTCCCATGAATAACTTTTACCCGAACATGCAATCCGGCTTCGGTTATGGTAGTGCCAGTCCTTCTGTGGATAACTACAGAAACCAAGGACTCCAAAACTCCAGCCCGATCCAGCCTCCTCAACCCCAGATGAACCCCAATTCAATGCTCGGCCAAAATTCATTCGGTCCTCCGGGCTTTGGAAACATGGGTATGGGTGGATACGGTTTTGCTGGTATGGGCATGCAAGGAATGGGATATGGGATGCAACAAGAGCAACAGGTCAATGGTCGACGGGGACGCGTACGTTGATTCCCATACCAGCGGAAGGGTCATGTCGCTAATCAAAATCCAGAGATGATTGGATGCGAAATATATACTTAGGCTTATATGGCCCTACTTCTCGACGCATAAACGGATTTATCTTTGTTCGGGCTGTATGAAAGGAGGTTTGTGGTTATGGGAAAAGGAGTTTGGTCGGATTCTCGAGGGTTCAATTCAACCGACAAACAGATCTTGCGATAAGGGATTGCCGGGATAAAAACATATGTTTGTGTATACAGTTGTGCAGGACAGGACTGAAGTGTATGGAAATGGGATTGAGTTGGATTGGTTGATAGGTCTTATCATATGAGCGGCAGACTTCTTGAGAGAAGCGTTGAGCTACAGCGGAGCGGTTTAGAGATGGGCTGCAATAGCGTGAGCACAGTACAGGAGTCATGAACATTTCATCTGTACATTTTTTATCTTGCTTGTGAAATATACCTAGCAAGTGCTTTTCTGTATTCAATTACCACCGCCTGCATCCAAGATTTCCTTCACTATATCATTTCAAGCTCTGTCGTCTTTTCAAAACACTCTAATCACCTGCCTTACTCACTTCGCGCAACACCACCACTCATCTCCATCCCTTCAGTCTCCGTCTCGCCCCGTCTATTCATACTCCCTTTAATACTCCTCGCCCCAGGCAACACAATCCACAACCCCGCAATAGCAACCAACAACGCCAAAATCACCGGCTGCAAAGTCTTCACCCCCTTCGCTTGAGCAATAGCCCCTACAATGAAAGGAAAGATCGCACCTCCCGACCCCCCAAACGCCGTCGCGAACCCAATAGTTCCCACGTGCAACGATTTCGGCAGCAGTTTAGCTACCAACACAATGGCAGTCGGGAACATCGGACCCATAAACACGCCCATCAACGCAATCGCCACTGCAGACACGACCAGATTCGGCACCAGCCAGAAGATGAGCTCGAGTGCCGCGGCACAGGACAGGTACAAGATGACTGATTTCCACTCTCCCAATTTCGCCGTCAGGAACGAGAGGCCCAGACGACCGACCGTCATACCGGCCCAGAAGCCCGTTGCAGTGGCACCGGACGCAAAGGCGTTGGCGTGCCGGACGTTCGCCATGAAGGTTACGATCCAGCCGCCGAGGGAGATCTCGGCGCCCATGTAGCCGAAGATGAAGAGGGCGAAGATCCAGGTTAGTTTGTTCTTGAGGGCTTCGCGGGTGCGGCCTGTGGAGGAGGAGGAGGAGGGGTCGCGGGGGTTCTCGGCGGCGTAGATGGTGCCGGTTTGGGACCAGAAGGTGGTTGATGAGGTGAGGAGTTCGAGGGTGGATGTTGCTATCTGGTGGTGGTGGTGTTTGCGAGGTTAGGTTGACAAGGGGTGGAGATGACGGTGGGGAGAGAATGCTTACCATGATGTAGTAGAATGAGTACCATCCCAGGCCTCCGGATGAGATTAAGCCTGTTGCTATGAGGGGAGCGACAGTTGCACCTAGGGCATAGCAAGCTTGAAGGACGCCTTGGACTTCATTCGCATTCGCCATGTTTCCTATCCAGGCACACCATGCTGCGTCGATGAGACCGTTGCCAAAGCCTACGAAGATGAACATCACGACTAGGACTGGGTAGGGAGGATGGTTGGCGATGATGATGTAGGAGACGAGATGGCAAGCTGGACCTATGATCGCTACGCCTCTTTGGCCGAGACGGATGTGGACGTGGTTGTTGAGGATTGAGGAGAGGGAGTAGCCGACGAATGGAGAGAGGAAGATTAGAGAGACGACTGTGTAGCTTAGGGTGTAGTATTTTTCGAGCTGTTGGAGGTTAGATTTGACTTTTGGGGAGGAGAATGGGATTTACGTGAGGTACTAAGGCCTAGATATGGTCAGCTCAATTCAGGCTTGGAGTAGAGGGACATACACCATATGATCCATCGTTCATGCCAACAGTGAAGAAAGACCAGAATGTTGCAAACACTCGATACATGTTTATTCGCGGAGAATGCCATGTTTGAAGAGCTTCGACAGCTGTATCTGGAGGAATAGCTTCTTCTCTGAGATCTTCAACATCTGGATGTCCTAGTTTTGGTTCGCTTCTGTTTTCGCTTTGGTGTTCGCCTCCTGAGATTGATGCTCGCTTCTTGTCTGGGAAGTAAGGGGAAGAAGGAGCTTGAAGCTCAATGTCAAATTTGGAGCTACTTGGCTCGGTGAGAGTGAGGGTTGTCATGATCAACGGAAGAAAGAAATGATGAACCTTGGGAGAAAGCACAACGTACATTGACTATGGGACATGTATCCTTTATATCAGAGCGGTGTTTTGTTCGCTCGTCGATCCGCAGAGTGGGGGATGCTGACATAAATTCCAAGTCAATCCCCGCCTCTTTTGGGCTTCGAAACACATGATATGCCGCTCATACGCGGGGTTAGTATTTTGGCTGTATTAGGAAAGAAAGAAGATTTTTTTTTGCGCTTTGCTGAAGAGAGGAAAGTGGCGGGTCGTCCCGTCTATATGACGACATAAAATATTAAAATTATCTTTCTCGAATATCGAAACATCGTGTGTCAATCATGAGGATGATTCAAATCTACATTCCGTTGCAGTTTTCATAAGTGAAGCTCAACAGAACCTTACAAAAGGTTGCAATATATAATTTAACGTTGGACTTCTGTTGAGTCTCTTGGCCGCGCTGCTCGGTAATGCTTCTACTGAGTCACACCGGAACATCGCTTCTTATAATTATTACACTTTTCTTTCCCCTCCATTATCTGCCCCTCATTCCGCCAATATGGCAACAGATTACTCCAAACCTCCACTGGACCTGAAATGGCGATCCCATACCCTCTTCATCATATCCACAGTCGCACTAGGTCTTTTCACAGATCTCTTCCTCTACGGCCTTGTCGTTCCGATCCTTCCATTCATCCTCTCTGACCGCCTCCATGTCCCTCATTCAGAGATCCAGACGTACACTTCGATTTTGCTCGCGTGCTTTGCTGCATCATCTGTCTTATTCTCCCTTCCAATTGGGATCATTGCCGACAGATTGTCAACTCGTCAATTACCTTTTCTTGTGGGATTATTCGCCTTGCTCGCCAGCACTATCCTACTTTACCTGGGTCAAAGCATTGCAATCCTGATTCTAGCTAGAATTCTGCAAGGAATGAGTGCAGCGGTAGTATGGACGATAGGACTAGCAATGGTTATGGATACAGTGGGAAGTGAAAAGTTGGGAGTGACGATTGGAAGTATCTCAGGAATCATCAGTGTCGGTGAATTGGTTGCTCCAGTTCTCGGTGGTGTGGTCTACAAGAAAGCAGGCAGCGGAGCAGTTTTTGGAATGGGTTTTGGACTCCTCGCTATCGATTTTGTTATGCGTTTAGCGATCATTGAAAAGAAGGCTGCGAAAAAGTATGGGTGCGATGAACAGGAAGGAGAGGAGCGGGACGAAGAAGCAGATGAGTCAACGGCTCTTCTCTCGAATGGTTTAACAAAAAATGAAAACCTCGAGGAATGGAAGATTGGGAAAGATCAACCATTTTGGATTCGAAAGTTGCCAATTCTGTATTGTCTCGGAAACAAGCGTCTGCTCACGGCACAACTCGTGGCTTTCATTCAAGCGACCCTCCTTGGAACCTTCGATGCCACAATTCCAACCGAAGCCCAGGATCTGTGGGACTTTGATTCTTTGAAAGCAGGGCTATTGTTTGTTCCTCAGGTCCTTCCATATCTACTTCTAGGTCCGATATGCGGCAAAGGTGTGGACAAGTACGGAGCAAGACTTGCTGCTGGGATTGGACTCGCATACATCACCATACCGCTCATTCTCTTACGAATACCTCAACCAGGCGGCACTGCCGAAATCGTCAAGTACTGTGTCCTCCTCGCTCTTACTGGACTGGGTTTGGCATTGATTTCAGCACCAAGTATCGTCGAAGCCAGCTACGTGATCGAGCAGTATCATAAAGCCAACAAGGACTTCTTTGGCGAAAACGGCCCTTATGCACAGCTATATGCTATCAACTCTATGTGTTTTAGCCTTGGTTTGACCTTTGGTCCACTTTTGGCTGGGTCTCTGAGAGATAGCATTGGATATGGAAACATGAATGCTGTGATTGCTGGGCTGTGTGCAGTTGTCAGTGTATTGAGTTTTATGTTTTTGGGGAAGATACCCAAGGTAGTCGAGAGCTGAATGATGATCGGGAAAGGCGATCATACTCTGGTTTGAGAGTTCGGCTCGAAGAGGGAGTTTACTTTGGGAGCCTTGACTTTGGGTAGACTAGGAAGATCAATTCAACCTGACATCCTTTGTTTGGGATGCTTATGATTGAATGTTGTTAATCCTCGGTTCAAGTCAGATTGAAAGATATTCTCGAGACCGTTCGAGAGACAAACCAGGCTGTTAATCATTGGAAGGACCGACTCGCTTCGCAGCTGTCGCCTATGCTCTCTCCTTTCTTTAACTAACAACGTTGTACCTCTTTGCAATCATCCTCGACAACGTCAATATTCTTTAATCCAGTTGCGAAAAGATTACAGTGCTACTATAGAATCCCATGACAGCAATATTACCACCAGGCTGAATCGGGTAAAGCTCGGACCTCGAACTTCCAGCCAGCCTCGCCTCGCACGAGACCCGATAAGCATCGCGACAACCTCACTTCTTGCAGCCCTCATTCTCCTACAGCCTTCTCCCTATCACCATCTCGAGAATTATGACGACCTCTGCGAAGGATAGCAAGGGTACGCGCCCGGCTACTTCAGTGGTCAAGGTGCTAATAAATGTTCCAGCGGCGCCACCGAGCGACGATGAGTCGACAATCAAAGTTGCGCCCAAGAAGGACAGCAAGGACAAGGACAAGGACAAACCCAATGGCCTCAAGCTGAAGAAAAGCCTGCCCAAGATTGACAAGCCAGGAAATTGGCGCCATGGAAGTGTAGCAGATGGTGAGTCGTCAACGAGCAAATGCGACCGTGGGGCATTTCACTAATACTGCTGCAGACAAGAAGAAAGGCGGTGATACTCCCTCTACAAATTCTGCTGCTGCTTCACCAGGTCCTATTGTGAATCCCGTCGATGATGCCCTCCGAGATTCCTTCTCTTCGGGGAGACCAATGGAGGACAAAAGCGAGACTCTCAAATGCAATACGTGCAAGAAAGCTATCCTCCAGACTGCCTTTGCGAAACATAACAAGGAATGTCAGAAAGCCAAGGCCGAGAAATTGAAGAAAAAGAAGGAGGCCAAAGAAGCTCGAGAGCGAGAGAAGCGGGAAGAGAAGAAAGAGAATGACAAGGACGAGGAAGGCGATACCAAGATGGACGATGACGATGATAATGAAGAAGAGCCATCTCCGGAAAAGAAAGGTCCCGGTGGGTTGAAGAGCGCAAAGAAAAGCGCGGGCAAAAAGGTCGATGTCGACGACTCGAAGAAAGGCAAGAAGCGCAAGGCTGAAGGAGACGCCGAGAAAGGTCCAAAGCAGAAAAAGAAGAAAGAAGAACCTAAGCCGAAGGTTCCTAAGCAGAGAGGTATAACCACCAGATCTATTCCCAAAATCTCCCTGCCATCTACTTCTGTTGTCCCTGTCGCTCCTCAATGACTTTGCGAGAATCGAGCCTTAATATCTAGGCTCTGGCTCGCGGAAAAGGAGAGTTGCGATATCAACACATTTATCGTTTTGTCATCATTTCTGTTATCGCGAGCCGTTTTTGAAATGACGGGCGCAAAAAGTGGTTCAACGTCTGGTTATCTCTTCCAAGCGCTAACGAAGTCCAGGTCCGGTTGATGTTGAGAGGCAGTGTGGTGTTTTGAAGGACGGCGTCGCTTGTGCTCGATCCTTGACCTGCAAAAGCCATTCTATGGGAGCCAAACGTGCTGTTCCAGGACGATCACTGCCATACGACATGTTACTTGCGGCATATCAGAAGAAAAACCAAGCCAAGCAGCAAAGTACGTATCTCCCAAAGTCAATATCAACATCCCTGACCTCTTCGTAGAAGCTGCAATCGATGCCAATGCCCCACTCGAGGATGAAGAAGAAGGCAATGGTCCTGTCGATTCCGATGAAGAATTGACGGCGGTCATGCATGGCCTTTCAAACTGGGAACCCCAACCTGTCGTACCACCCTTGGTCCACGTTCCCATCGAGAAAGAGTATCACCGAAGACGGCTACGAGATCAATTGATGACTGCAACCAATAACGGCACAGTCAACATATTCAAGGTCGTTGGTTATGGAGCACAGAAGCTTCCCCCTGGTCATCCTGGCTTGCAAGAAGAGGGTCCACCCGGTCAAAATGGAGAAGAAACCGCCGAGGGCTTAGGTATCGGAATGGCAAATGTGGCTGCGAGAAGAGCTAGCGGTTTTAACATGCAAATGCCTCCACAACGACGACCTTCAGGCAGTCAGAGATAACACTGTACATTCTTGGACAAGCATACATCATGGGCAAGGGTTGCATGGGAAGGCGTTCATCTCGGGTGGGACGGCATGGATGCTTCGGCTGAAGCTTGGGTCTGGGGCGTCTGGTTCTGTGGCGGCCTCCCGGAGTTCAATCCCTCATAGCCGGCGTGCTGTCAACATATGCCTATAAAATGCGAGGCTTTCCATTCTAGTCGGAATAATTGCTGCAGTGATGTGAAGATCCTCGTGTTTTGGCTCAGTGGCTACTTCCTTTTGTTTGTTTCTTGTCTCGCTCGATCTTTGTTGCAAGTTGCTTGTCTGAGTGATCTCTGATCTGTTCAAGGCAGAAGAAGTTGGGCTCTAGATCTGTGACGCGTGTGTTGAAGCAGACACAAGCTGCAATCTGTTAAGTACTTGGTTTCGTCCGATGTTCTGTTCTCCTTTATTCACAACATGGCTGCCTCTCTATCTTGCATTTAAGCCTGCGAGAAACCCCTAAGAAATGTCCTAGTCAACTATGTCTCATGTTATATCTTCACCTGAGTTCATTGCTGCAAGCATCTGTCTCCCGTCACTAAATGCATGCACACCTGATCACATGTCAAAATTTGGTAATGTTGATTAGGTTGCATTGCTACTTCATTGCGATCAACGCTCAGCTACGGCAAACACTTTGCTTTTTCCTTCGGGCCTGAAATTCATCACTACCCAGCAAACACGATCACCTGCGCCAGAAACTCCATGTAAGTGTCCATCTATCGCCAGCAAAGAAAGAAAAGACAAGCATACACCAGTGTGATTCCACTTCTAAAAGCCATTCCAATTCAGCCAATTGTGGGCATAATCGAAAGTAAGCTGAGCATCGTAGTGGAAGTTCAAACAATGACCACTAGCCAGAGGGGCATAGTACTCATAGTCAGCGTTAGGGTACAAGCTCTTGGTTTCGGCGAGACTCGAATTGTCCCCATTTCCGCAGTTGTATGTTTGCCAGAGCCCAGTAGGAGTTCGAGCAGTGATTGGATCAGGATTGGTACACATGAGGGAATCATGTTGACCTGTATCAAGTTAGTATATGCGTCTGCTTGGCCATGGACAAAGGATGCTCACCAGTGATATCCAAGATCGGATTCACATATCCTGTGGCAACCTCAGGGCCGAATACAAGTGCGGACTCCAGCTCGCCCTCTCCGACTGTTCCACTATTCTCCCAATCGAGGTCGACGAGACCTTGGTCGAAGTAACCTGGATAGTAGAAGCCTAGTTCGAATGCAGTCTTGTTGTCGATTGCAAGATAGCCAGAGTTCAGTGTCGACCACTTCTTGGGATTCACTGTCGACGCTGGAACTACGGCTGGCACGAAGACAGACTCGATGAAGCCGAAGTTGTACTTCGAGGTAAGACCTGTCAGGATAGTTGCGTCGGCATCGTTCGGATCTGAAGTGAGGAGGAGTCCTGTTAGCGAAGAATACAAGTGGGTTGAGGTAGATGCTCGGCTCCCTTCGGTGGAAATGGGGCAATCAAGTACAGGTGAAGACTTACATTTGACAGTCAGACCATTACCCAGGACGGAGCCATAAGAGTGACCAGCATAGACAATCTTGTCGAACTTGCGACTCTTCGAGATTGGAAGATTGCCATTGCGGGCAATGGTAATGATTTGATGGCTGACTTCGACTTGGAGAGGACTCTGAAGGACATTTACAGGATCGGGATCTATAGAGAAGAATGTCAGCCAAATTCACACCACCGTGTTGCTGGCAAGAGCGGGGAATTAAACGCGACTTGAACTCACGATCGGAAAGACCATTGCCAAGACGATCAATGGAAAGAGTTGGATATCCTTGCTTGGAGGCGAAATCGATCCAGCTGTACATGGCGCCATCATACGAAGTTTCTAGGGTTCCATCACCAGACCAGTCTATTGAAGGCGAGTTAGAACCAAGGGGAACAGTGGAAGTCTGATCTCGAACTTACAGTTGCGGGTGTAGGTGATGCCATGGACAAGCACTTGGAGGGTATTTTCACGCGACTCAACGAAGTTCTGGGGCTCACAATAACGCGCAGCGATATTGTAAGTACCAGAGACTTGTTGAAAGGTGATAGGGGTGGTGATGGGAATGATCGCATTGGCTGCAGTGACGGTGACAGGGAACGAGATATCAGTGCATGACGGCGACTGGTTACCAGCGCCTGCAAGAGTCTTGCCGGCGAGGGTAGACGCGACGAGGACGAGAGCGGTCTTCATGATGGACAACATTCTTACTTTGACTTACGCGTCGTGGTTGGGGATTGAAGAAAGAAGGTGTCTGGAGAATGAAGCTTCTTCTAAAGATTGATTTCCTGGGTCCTTTATAGGTCTCCTACATCTTTCATCGGCCGCAAAGTTGTGCTAGTGGCATTGAAGCGATACCGGCCCATCTCAGGGACAAATGTTGGGTTCAGGACAAACATTGAAAGCGAAATTCAAGTGAGCACATTGAATCGTTGTGCCTGCTTAGAAAGCCATGAGACTGACCATCGTGACAATCTAGATTCTATCAATGTTACGCTGTTGGTCAGATCTTACTTTCTAGCTATTGGTCTCCAGCTCTGTGTGGACGGTGTTGTGCCGTAGGCAAGCTGCTCTCTCTTCCTACTGGCTTTGTCGGATTCACCTACCAACAACTTGCTTGCTATTTGGCACTTCTTGTGTAACATCTGGCCTTTTTTACTCTCCATTTAGCTCTGTCTTTTGTGAGGCATCTTTCATCAGGAGGCACAATAAGCCACACTTATTCGAAAGAGCCTCGGGCATGGCTATCTGTCCCAGTCACCGGGGTTGGAGGCACAACATCGACTTTTCAACCAACAGAGACCTCACCATGATGCATCCTTTACTTTATAATTGGATACTCCGTCTAATGTGATCACTGGGCCAGAAGATGTGATTATCATGAAGCAAGTGCACACCGTCGAGGCACACTTCCAGCTTTCAGTCTCTAGAACTTACCACCACTCCACTACACCATCACCTTTAATCTGTATCACCTACGCTGGTCAATTCGTAAATTTACACCAACCATGATCAAGCCTTGGTCTTCAATGCGGCGTACGTAACGGTGCATTACGCAACTGAGCCGCAAACTATCGGTCACACTTTGCAGACCCGCTTAACTCAGTTGGGAATGCCGAGTTCTAGATTTTGTTTTCTTCACCAACATCTGCAACTATGCAAGGAATCTTGATCTAGCGTTCAACTACGATCTACGATACATTTAACTTGGATGCAATAGCTTTCGGGGTTGTCCGAGATGGACATGGCTGCCAGCTAATTGAATTTGATAATCCTGTGCCACCAACAGCACAATTCCAGCACCCTGGTTGACACCACATCCCACATGGCTCTGTCATGTCTCAATTCCCCAACACACCTTGCCCGCAGGATACTTGTATCACGTTGGACGGAACTCGGAATAATTGCCAATTGGCTCGAACACGACTTCAACTCTTTTGATATCATAGGCTCCTTCAAATACGACGACAGAACTTCATGAACTATTCATCACGCTCTCCATCCAGGGATACACTGATGCATTGGCCATTGGATATCCCATGTGCAGTGCTTTGTCAAAAAATCTGTCGATTGTCAGCAAGACCTAGGAAAGGATGAAGTAACCCCGCCTTACCTCGCCTCTTTTGGTGTGCCGTGCTCGAAGAGGAGCATCGAGTCCTCAATTGGCATGAGTCCATCATGTGTTCCCTACTCATGTTTAGACGATATCCAACTCTGATAGGGATGATCACTCACATTGATCAGCAGAAGTCTCGTCGAGGGCTTGTCTAGCAGTCCGGACTCGAGCAAGGAGAACTTCTTCTGTACTCCATTCTTGTAGTCGGCAATGTTCTTGTATCCGTGTTTCAGCGCCATTGCTGGGCTCAGTCTGCACAAATATCAATCCATATTCGTAAGATCACGTGCGAGAATACTCACAGGAAGGGATACTCATGCCCATCCGCCTTCTCAATCCACTCCTTGTCAAAGAACTCATGGACACCAGCTCCCTGCGCGATAGAACCGATCAAGCGATCTTTGTGGGTGTGCGCAATCCTGACAGCGTGATATCCACCAGAGCTCAGCCCCCAAACCAGCACCTTCTTCATGTCGAACCTTCCATTTTTTTCCATCCATGCAAGGACGCTATCCCATAACCTTTCGCTGCTCTCTGGGTCTGAGGGATCGCTTGGGCAATCCGCCGTTCCTGGAATCTCTACCACTACCGCTGCCCATCCTCTGGCGATGAACTCTTCAGTCCTGACGGTGTTATCTGGTCTATAACCATCCAGACCTGTCATCAGCAGAACGGCAGGGACTTTCTCGACTCCCTCTTTCGCTTTCGGCATCCGGATATATGCGGGGATGTCTGCTCGATCTTCTCCTGCCTTGTGCGTATGTGGGATGATGACTTCTGTCACTGGTTGCTCCCAAGTCTTGGCAGCTTTCATATAGACTGCCTTCTGAAGCTCCCATGCTTCCCATTTCGTGTTGTCATTGACAGCCGGGAACGAGCCGATGTAGGGAAAGCGAGCAATGCGGTAAAGGCAGGCTGCTCGAAGGTAGAGCTCACTTGCCTTGACTGGGTTGGTCGAAACGAGTTCATCGCCTTGCTTGGTGAGTGAAGCTGCAATGGGGAAGAACGTTTTTGTGTACTCTGGGCTGGTGCCGTCGTTGATGTTTTTCTTGCAAGGATCAGCTTGAGATGTCCATATAGCTGGAAGATTGTTTCACCTCGATTAACTCCAAGAAAACAGGCTCAAAATCTTCAAATTTTCCGTCATGGAATGGGTATACGCTGATTGTGCACTGTCACAGTTAGATTCACCCTTGGTCACTTCCTGGAATAGTGCCTACAGGAAATCTCCACTTCGTCTCCCAGAGCTGCTTCATCCCCTCGTGATGTGCCATCTTCTTTTCATATGCTTCTTTGCCCATTCTCCAAAGCCTGGCTGGTTTCTCTGGGGAGTAGCCACCACCTTCGTTGCTCACGAAGGTCCTCTTTCCCAGGCCGAGGCCAAGACCATTCCACAATCCCATCATCTTGACGAGTCTGTCGAGTGCTAGTACTTGAGAAACGCTTGAGAAATCAAAGATACAGATTGAGCAGAAGAAACAGAGCGATTGTAGTCAATAGTTTGAAGGAAATGGTAGACGGACTCGAGCAAAAGTACACACCCACCTCAGCCAACGCGCGAGACCCGGGAGGACGCGTTCTATATATTCCAAGAAAAGGTACGATGCGAGGCTGCATGCGGAGTAAACTCACTTCACCTGCACGGACTATCAGAGCCATCGCAAAGAGTTCGGTACTCCGACTGTCTCGGTTGTTGAGTTTTTGTACGTTGCGAGGATGTGAAACCTGTCGGACTTCCCCAAGGTCGTCCGAATTCGGCTTAGCGTCCAAGTCCATGATGAACCTCATCAATCTATTCTAGGATCTGCGAATCGAAATTCTTGTCGAGGAAGAGATAGAGAATGAGGATTTTGTAGCATCTTGAGCAGTCCTCCGCTTGCTTCAAACCGCAAGCCAAATGGGTGAGTTGTGCCAAATTGTCGAGGAACAGTTATGCGAAAGTCCCTCGAGATATGCAAAAGTCTTTTGAAAACGAAACAAAAGTCAATTTTGCTTTAACTCACTTGAGGAGAGTGAGTATATTGAGTATAATACTTGGGTCTTGTATGGGAGTTCACAGCATCTCGACCTGAACCTGACTCCCCTTCCCCAGGAACGACGCAACGGAGAGGAGTCCATCTTCCTTCACCAATATGTCCGCCAGATACGCCAAATGCCGAGCGCGAGGCCATGCATCCGCAGAGCCGCTCACATCCTTCTCATTGAATCCTGCTCGCCCTTTCGCTCATTTCTTCGTGTCCGAACCGCTGTCCACAGTGTCATCCTCTGCCGATGGTCCAAACTTTGCCCACAGCAATTTCGTCCAAGTGATCATTTCCAAGGTCCCAGCAATTGCTAAAAAGGTGAAGACGACAATCTTTACAGTTCTGCTGGCACCGAGGTCTCTGAAGTTGGCGGATGGGAGAGGCTCGTTGTGGTTCGAAGTGTTTTTTTGCGATGATTTGGCTCGTCGTGACTGAAAGTACGCAGGCGGTTTGCGATATGATCTCAAATTCAGGGGTTTTCGCGATAATGTCCTGCGAGTGAGGGCTGAAAATCCCATTTCTACTGCTTCGATGCTTTCTCGGCGATTTCTTCTAAAGAGCACAATGCGATACTGAGGGATTGTGGGCGTTGCTTCATGCTGCTGGCCATCTCTTAAATACTTCGCAGACACCCTGCAGTGACTCCCCTCGGAATACGCGTATCGAAGTGGTACATAATCACTCAAACGTTGGTCCGCTACTCAGGAGTTTGTCATACCTTTTCCTTAAGAAGCCAATCGTCAAAGATTTTGCTTTACAATCTCGAGTCTCACAATTTCGCGATCAACGTCGTCCTGCGCCTTGCTTCTTCAGTCATTTCCACCCTCAAGCTCGACCTCACCCATACCGATGAGCTGAACACTTTGCAAATCACGAGGCCACTCTCCATGCTTAGTCTCGTGCTGTGCCTTGCACGCTTTTCTGCATAGACTTCTTCTTAAGCTCCCCTCTGTCTTTCTGTCTTCCGCCTCATAGTGGAGGCAAGATCAATTCCATGTGCAATCACGTGTCTTCAGTACTTCCAACTGCACCCCTGACGCCCCTTACGCAATTGAAGCTATTGGCTCGGTAGCGAACCGAGATCTGATTCCCACTCGTTTAAGATCTTAAGATCTCTGATATATATTTAAAATACGCGAACAGGCCTCAATCAGGAATCGGTGCAACTTTATCTTCTCCTTTGAGGCATAAGACCGAAGCGACGACAAAATTTGATGACGCTTTCTAATTTTCCACTTCCTTGATGGGCCTTCGTGGACCGAGGACCTGATTTTCTGAGATTTGGTATATGCTTTGATGGCAATTCTATATATCATGGCTTGATGTCCTGCTGAATATGATCTTTCGTGTGAATCCCATCTTGGACGCTACTCCACGCTACCCCTGAGACTCCCAGCTTTCACCCTTCAGCTCTCATGCTTGGCTTGCTGTCGGCTCAATCCCATCATGTTGTTCAACTTGGTCTTTGCAATTTTTATCGCTCTGTCTCATGCAGCAACTTTCTTGACACAAGAAAATAGTCTGCAATCCCGAGGTATATTCCTTCTTAACATTTACCGAAAACGTCGCTCACAATTCTGCAGACAACACAACTTCCGGCATATCTGAAGATTTATTCGACAAGTTCAAGCTATTCGCCAACTTCACATCAGCAGCATATTGTCCCAGCAATGAATTGGCTGATTCGACAGCCGGGACTCTCATCACGTGCCCAGGAACAAATTGTACTCTCGTTGAAGCAGACAATGTCACTTCTATTGTGGAATTTGGAGGCTCGTGAGTGTCTCTTGTCCAATCACATTCTGAATCTAAAGTAGGCAGGAATGACACAACTGTGACGGATATCAAAGGGTTTGTCTCCTTGGATCCATCTAAATCACTCGTCGTCGTCGCTTTTGCAGGGTCGGGCTCCACTGTTCGAGATTGGATTGCGGATTTTGCATTCATCATGGTTGAGTATACGCTCACGGGATGCACCTCATGTTGGATTCACGCGGGCTTCTCGACAGGCTGGAGTGAACGTCGTATCGTTGTCCTCGATGCAGTTACCACCGCTTTGGCTGACAATCCTTCCTACTCCATCGTCATCACTGGTCACAGCATCGGTGCTGCAATTGCGACTCTGGCTGCTGCTGAGCTGCGGAGTATGAACTATTCCGTTGATACATACACTTTTGGCTCGCCGAGAGTTGGAGACACTGCTTTCGCAACATTTGTGACAGACCAGGCTCCTGCTTTGGGAAACAATTACAGGATGACACACTTCAATGATCCCGTACCGCAGATTCCTCCTACCTGGATCGGCTATGAGCACACGACTCCGGAATACTGGTTGAGTGATGGAACAGATACGACCAATAACTACAATGCGAGTGATGTGGTTGTGTGTGGGGGAATTGGAAATGCGGATTGCAATGCAGGGGAGGGACTAATCCCTATTGATGGAACGAGCCATAGCCATTACATAGGGTTGATCGATGGGTGTCAAGGGAGTTTGTCTTGGTAGACAGAATATGTCAGGTCATTTGATGCAAGTGTCTGTCACATCGAGTTCAAGTTGACCGCTTCCCCTTGCTTTGTGCCAAGAGCTATCACGAATCACATTCCAATCGCACCTTGCCTTCCTTTTTTTGCTTCTCTTAAGTCATTCCATACCCGCGTTCTTCTTCCCAAAAACATCTTAGTCCTTGCTTATTATACTGACGTACAATGAACTCGTTTCAACTCCTCTCTCCGGAGAAATCTCTCTATCCTGCAAAGTGTTGTAGACTTGGACTTTCAGGTTCGACTAAATGGCGGATAGCGGCGTTTGTAGATTGGCATGTCACATCGACACTTCCCAAGAGGTTCTCGGATTTTCTCTTGTCAATTCATCGTCAGCATCAATTTCAATTTCTAGTTCTGAATCCCAGTCACTGACCCAATTCCTTCAGTCAATGTACCCTGCTGGTCATTTAATCTTCACCACTTGCTCATGCTTAGAACAATATTTTGAAGTCCCATCCTAGGGATGAGTTTTCGTCCGAAGTGCGGGTGCTTTATTTTGGCGCTAGCCCCTCTCTCCCGCTATTTCTAGATGAAGCGGCGCAACAAGTACTTCCACAGATTTACATATGCACACAAATTCTACAACAACACTTTACCTTTCCGCATCCGAAACGGAGCCCCTCGAGAACCACTTGTGGCGTATAAACGTCCTAAATCAGTCAATTCGAGACTTACACTTTCTAATTGCGACCTCCCAATGAACCCAGCAACTTGCGCTCTGACGCACACCAGGAGCTTTGCGCCGAATCCGAACTACGGCCTCGACTGCGCATTCCCTGCCATCTCCCCCCAAATCGTAGCGATCATGTCAGCTAGCAATAGTAAGCTCTAATCTATACTCAATGGAAACTATCTTATGCAGACCTTGCTGACGAGTCAAACAGCAATCCCTTCCGAAGAATCAAAATCCGAACTTGTACCTATCATCAACTCCGACGATTCCTCTTCAGAAGTTGCGCCGAAGTTGAAAGTCTTCACGCTCTTCCCTCTCCTCCCCCTTGAATTGAGACGCAACATTGTAAGCATCAAAGCTCCATGTTCTTCATCCTCGTTTGCTGTTGATTTCGCGGGATTATGTTCCCGAGGAACATCATCTTTCAGTTCTGATTGCTATGAAAAGAGCTGGTGCTAATTTATTATAGTGGTGTCACACATTCCTGGACACAAGATATGTGTGCTTGGATACAGACTCTCTGGCTCGTTGTCGACATATTAAGTGGACTTGGGAAGGCGAATATGAGTCTCTCGCGCTCGAGAAGAGCCAAAGCCTCCCAGTGGCAATGTTCGTCAACTCCGAAAGTCGTCAGGAGGCGCTGATGCACTACATCACCGTCGAACGACTCAGATACATTGGCGTGACTCCCATGATCAAGCCCAAACCTCTGTGTTTCAGTATCGAATCGGATAGGGCGTATATATCGCAGTATATGCTTCGCGAAGGTCACTGTGATAGATGGTTCAATTCTATCAAATTCAAGAATCCTGAATTTTTCGATCGTCTGCAGGTGTTGGACATTCGAGGCTTCGAGTTTGACAGGAAGTCTCGGCATTCTCTCGTTAATGCGGCGAAGCCGCGAGATGAGGACCACATGCGTGGAGACTACTTCTTCTGTCAACCTTTACTTCGTTTCAAAGGTCTGAAGCTCGTCAAGATATTCATGCAGGACTTCATCTACCCAACTCGCAGTTTGGCGCTTGCCGAGCAGGACTTGCTGAGGTGTGCTAATGCATTTTTCGAGCGTCACAAGGAAGTATGGGGTGGCAAGCCTCCAATGGTGGAAGTTCAAGAATATGATGCAACTCTTGGTCACAATTTTGGACTATGATATGTTCTGTGTGGGGCTGTTGCGGTTTATTATTAAAATTCTAACTTATTTACATGAGCCCTCACATAACTTGCGGGCAATTCCTCATTTGGTAAACCAGGCTCAATATTCATCTTGAAGTACCGGAAGACGAGATCTTCAACCTTTGTAAACGAATTATCGAATTCCGAGTAGACGTTCATGGGATCCCGGACGCGATCTTGATCCAGGTTGTGCGGTAAGAAGAATGCAAGACTTTGCGCGCGCCCTAGGCTGCGAGCCTGGATGATACCAGCATTTCTATCCACGTTGAGAATGCGTTCCTCAGGCCAGACCTGCTTGAAAGTCTCCACGTCCAAATCACCAAGTTCTCCGATGCGATCCATTATGGTCCACATGTCGGTGACAATAGCTCCTCGGACGATGAGCGTGGCAAGCCAGATTCTCACGGGAGTGTAACCTGAGAACGAGAAGAAAGTTTATATCGGTATGTGTCTGGCTCGTCCATAACCCTGATTTTCTCAAAACACTGCAGCGCCTGCATCACCAATCGGATCTCATCATGCTTGCAGTTTGTGAGCTCCATGGGCTGTATTAGACCATCCATTCCGACTAAGCACACGTCTTGGAGGAACATAAAGACCGAGAAAACCATGCTTTGGATCTTAGCCCGAAGGCCAATCGCACGAAGAACTGTCGCCATTGAAAAGTCGGGTCTGTGCGGAGTTGCCTGCAGCAATGCTTCGGCGGCAGAATGCAGTGGCTCATCGGCAGGTGACACGCAGCTCTCATGTGTTTTCGCTAACTCGCGTTCAATGAACTCACGAGCATCTCCTCCGAATCCGAATTCGTCGACGTCCTCGGGGTCTGCACCGTCGAGGGTATGGAAGATTGACTGCGGGGCTTCCTGTCGTGAAATGAGAGGCATGTTGGCAAGATTCGAATGTTCAAGGACAAGTTGGAGATTAGGAAGGTGAGAAACTGCAATTGGAATTGCTCCGAGCTGGCATTTTTTAATTTTGGTGGTAGCGTGCAGTCCAAATTAAAAAATTAGCTTACCATAGTACAAGTTTTGGACCTGAAGACATGATTTACTTACCCCGCAAAACAGTCAGTCGACAGCAACCTCATGAAGTTCGATATTGAGGAGCTTATGCACCCGTAAGGAAAACAGGGAGAAGACAAGCTGATGTTTTAGGATGAAGACAGGTCGATGTTGAGGTACTTCAGCATACAAAGAAAATATCAATAGGAATAGGTCGACCTTTTAGCGAAGGCTGATAGGGGGAAGCTATACCGTAAACAGTTAGCCTTGCGCTCGGGAGTACTAGTATAGCGTCTTGGCACGACCCAACTTACCAGAATAACGAAAGCCATCAAAACAGTGTTGGAATGGAATGAACTCGGAATTGAGAAGTCCTGATGCTGGATGGAATAGACCGAAGTGAGTGCTCGCTCAGGTGAAGATGTGAGAAGGTCATGCGACGAGTTGTCGTATAGTAGCGAATCATTTCTCGAATGATCGTCATTTGCCACATTTTATGCGGCTACTAGCGTAGAAGATTCCATATTGTAGATCTGTCTGTAAGACATCGTTTGTGGAGGTGCTCATGTAGCATAGCCATGCTGATGCGCTGAAAATGCATTACTGGACAGGGGCAAAGATGTGGGCACCGGAAACTCCCGTGGTTTTCTAGAATATGACATGGGGAAGTGAATGCTCCTAGAATATGCTTTTAAATCAGTTTCTCAATGTATGAGTTCTATATCTGACCATTTGACCCTAAGATTGCATGGAAGCTGCTCTAAGCATCATCGGAAAATAGAAGGATCATCAGCCCCAACCATTGAGGAGCAAGAACAGCACTTGGGTGGGGTGGGTGAGCATGGGGACCAAAATTTGGGGAATTTCCGTGCATTTCACATCTGTTGGCAGTGAATGATATTCCCCACCGGGACAAAGCTCCACGAGGAGGCCAATGAAGTCTAAATACAAACGTTCCAGGGGATGGGGTCAAAACAAACTAGGTCAGCCTTACGGGATAAACAATCTTGCCGTCTTCATGAGCAGTCCCAAGAACCATCACCGTGAAGTATGATTTGGTGGATTGTTGGTGTACTCTTCGCGTGGGATTGCATACTTCCTTGAAATCCCGCGCTTGTCAGCATCCATGCAGTGTCACAAAACCTGTGGGTGGCCAGTTGATTCCAGCCCTCGGACAAGCTTCACTTGAAGTCCGAACTCTTGGATAGATAACAGAATGGAACGAGGTTCCCCTGTCTGAAATGAAATCAAGCTTCGCTGCCCCTGCATACTACACCTTTTCTGCTTAGCTGTACGGCATGAACTCCGGTACGAAATACGACACCTGTTTCGGGTTTGTGCTTTCACAGGCGTCAATTCTGTCCTTGTCCTGAGATGTGACTGGAGATTGTAGGCTATCATTGTGTGATGTATGCCAAAGAGGAATATTCGTACGGTACCGTACGAACTCGTCTCTCAATATGACTAGACGATAGTCTTCATACACTGAAGATCGCTATGACCTGCAATAGGTCAAGAGTTTTCTCAACATCAATGTTTTCTTTCACAGAGAAACGTCGGGCTGAAAGATATAAAATCTCTTGTCTAGATAATTTCAAAAATCGAACATCAAACAACAACAAGCAATTGAGACCCGAGATGGAGTTATTTCAAAAGTAGGAGTGAAATGCAACTTTGCCAAAGACCAATCGCCCTCGATACCATTCAGTGCTCCCGAATTTTAGAACGACTGAGGAGTCGTAAAGAAGAAACACTTGGACTACGTATGACAACGCACTACGTTGGAGCCAAGTGTCGTGCATCGTCTCCCGCTACGACAATCTCTAGAAGGATGTCTAGACCTTGGGAATCTATTTTGATCAGATCAAGGGTGAATTGTCATCAAAGCTTAGGACGACGATCATGTAAGGAACCGGCATCTGACGGGATTTTCACTACCCCCCACAAAAGGTGCATCCTACTCTCGTCCTTCAAGGACGTCGCTGTGGAATTGGGGCAAACCATTGAAACAGATCTGGGGAGAACACTCAATTAGCGTGCGCGGGCCATGAGAAGTTTCCGAATTCTCCTCGCGGAATATGCCATATGCAGTTGGTCCCGTCCGATGACCGCGATATCCGTAAAGCTCAGCCCTACGAGGCTCATGCCCTTACCTATAATCTGGGAGTCGGTTTGACCGTCCAGCATTGTCGATCGTTCAGAAGCCTAAGAGCCAGGCATTTGACGGTAATTCGTTGACACCCGAAGATTGGGACACCAGCGTGGCACTGGCTGGTGCTGGCGTGGCTAATTTTACGTCAATTGGCGTGCGCCTCGTCCCATGCAAATTTTAGCGAATCATAAGCGTCGAAGGAAAAGGAGAGACTACGCGCCACTCGAAGCATCCAAAAAGAGTCCTAAGCTTGATGAACAAGACCGCCATGAAATACCTCATTCAGTTGGTATATAGTGAGCTACGTTGTGTTTGATCATGGTTGGTAATCGAAGGGAATCGCTTTGAGTTCCGCGAGTACGGCTCTTGGCCCTGAATTGTCTCTGCGAACACCAACAAATTCGATCTTCTCTATCTCTATCGCAGAACTAGAAATGGTCTATACAGGCCCCTCTCGTGCCTGTGCAAGATGCAGACAAATGAAAAAGAAGGCAAGCTCTCTCTTCCCTTCAAGGGTTAGGACAGTGGCTGATTGATACAGTGTGACCAGATGCGACCACAATGCACAAGATGCATCGAGGCCCGGATCGAATGTTATGGCTATCGGGACGAGTTTGATATCCTATATCGTGACGAGAGAGCAAAGGCTAGAGCTCGAACGATCGCTCCAAAGATGGGCGAAGCGTCCAGCAGAGCGGCTCTTCCATTGATCAAGAGGGAACCTGCTCCAACTTCTGTATCATCGGCAGTAGGTGAGTAGTACAACTCTCGCTTTTTAGGGTTTCTCTGACCGGACCAGACTTATCTTTAACCTCAGTGAAAGCACAAGATATGATACCATTCTTCCAGCAGTTCTCCGACCCTGCAAAGTCTTGCGGTTGGCCAGGCTGGCTGTCCAAAGTGCCAGAACAATATGCTGCTGCACCAGAAAATGCATGCTTCAAACCTGCCCTCCTCGCAGCATCTTTTGCTATTTTGGCCAAAAAGCAAGACGACGTATCGTACCAAAATACTGCCAGAGCGTTTTATGTCTCTGCATTAGAAGCCATATCCCAGGCGCTGAATGAAAATCGGTATGACGACTCGACAATGCTCGCAATTTCGTTGCTCGATACTTTCCAGGTCAGCCACATCGATAAGACTACCTTGCAGTAGCTGACATTCTGGGTAGTTCATCATGGAAGAAAGTGTTGGCACACATGGACAACATATCGCGGGATTGAAAGCTGTTCTTGCTCTCCGTCAAAGTGGGGCAGACGATAAAGAGGAGTGTGCCAAAGTGAAGGCAGAGTCCGACGGTAAACTTGGTCATTCGATCTTCGCCTTCATGCCGCAGATCCAAACGCTGCTGCATGAGATTCGCACACACCAAACCCCTTCCGAAGGTTCTGTCGAGTGGGTGACAAACCTAAGCCAGGAGTTTGGAGGCGCTCGTTCAGCAACAGCCTTGTTGCAATTTGGCAAGATTTCAGCACAGTCACACCAGCTTTGTAAAGTGGTTCGTCGCGATCTGGTAGAAGGTCGAATCGACTTCGAGGCACACCTGGATAGCACCGAGCTAATGTCCCTGGTCCAAATATCAGAATTGGTCGACCAAACCAATCAGAACTGGAGTGAGAATGGGAATTCCAAATGGGAAATCACTAGAAGACCTAACGGCTTTGGTCTCAATGCTGGTGGGTTCCCATTGATCTTTCTGGATTCCTACCACGATCTATGGACTGCTTGTGTGTGGAACGTGAACAGAGCGGCTAGAATTGTCTTGATGGACACCATCATCGAGAGTGCCGAGCTACTTGCAGCGTTCAATACGGATCCAAAGCAGGTCGAATCTTTGGTATCGTCGGCTTTGAAAGCACGAGGAATCATAGCAAGTATGCTCGAAAACATCCAATGCAGCATACCATTCATCACTGGCCAAATCGATTCGGCTGGAAGGCTCACGGTTGGTGTGGATGCCACAGCACTCAGCGGACTATGCATGTTGTGGCCACTGAATGTGATACACTCTTGCAAGTCTATCAGCCTAGTAGACCGCCAATGGGCCAGAGATATGCTCCTGGATCTAGGGAGGCGTACAGGTATAAGGAGGGCTTGGGCGCTGGCAAGTCGTAAGATCGAGGTTGACGAGAATACAGTTGCGTCTAGGCGATTTGTTCAGTGATTGAAAAATCATAGTCATGTATGATATACCGGAGTTGATGGAGTTTGAAGAGCAAGGTCGGGCATGAACTGAAGATATCCAAAGGAGGCGTTTGAATGAGAATATTATCCATAAAACGTCTCTTTCCATATGTCTCGTAAAGACATGACCTTGGTTGATTGTAGTCCAATATTTCCCAGGGCTGACGCTTGTGCTGAGGTATGTCTGGCGCCGATTCCGAGGTCTGAAGCATCTCGGGGACAATTAGAATGATCGGAAGTGATTTACGAAGATCTGTAGTGTCCTTCCTAAGAGCTTCCCACATAGTTCAACTTTCGAAAGGTCCGGGTTTGACTCTCGTGGAGTAAGGGACCGTATAGAAAACAGATCGGAACTGACTTTAAAAATATGCACGTGACCGATATTTTGATCGTCAGACCGCGTCGAAATGTTGCCTTCCCTCCCAACTCAAAATTCAATGCGCCTCAACGTACACACTGATGTGATTCGATTCAAAGCTGCACGAATTGCAGCGCGAACGGAATAGATGTCCAAGCAGATTTTGCAATCAGATCTCTTCCACCTAGCGTACAGAAGCCAACATCTGGCGCAAAGCTACCAACGCGAGCATCTCAATCTCTATCGTTCTTTCTCCACCACCATCCGAACCTATCCTCGACGTAGATGACCTCGCATTCGACTGCTTCGCCTTGCATATACCCCTGCAAATTGTCTCCCTACTCTTCACTCAAGCACGACCACAAACGCCTTCGCAATGAGCGGTCCTCTAGACAAGATCTCGGCGCCGGGGTTGAAGATAGATGGAGAGCTACTCTTCAATATGCGGAGCGAGGTTGCGCAGATGCTTGATCGCAAAAATCTTAGCTTCCCAGGCGCACAACCTGTTAGCTTTGCGCGCCGGCATTTGGACGAGTTGTGCAGACAAGAGTAAGCCTTTTGCCCCACTATCCACAGCTCTCCCTTCCCCTCCGCTAACCCCTTTCTGTAGCTACTATGTCTGTGAGAAATCGGATGGCATGCGATACCTTTTATACCTCACTACAGGAAGCCGTGGAGAAGAAGTCCAGTACCTCATCGATCGCAAGAACGACTACTGGTTTATACCTCCAGATGGTTTACACTTCCCTGTACCAAGAGACGTCTCCGGCTTTCACGTTAATACTCTGATTGATGGCGAGCTTGTGATGGACAAACTTCCTGGGAGTGGTAATCCGCCGAAGTACCAGCCGAAGTATTTGGTGTTTGACTGTATGGTGCTGGATGGAAACAGTCTGATGAATCGGACCCTCGACAAACGACTTGCATATTTCAAGGAACGAATCTTCGAACCGTACCAGAAGCTATTGGATGATTATCCCGAGGAGAAACAATTCATGCATTTTATTGTTGAGCTCAAGGCTATGCAATTTTCCTATGGTATGGAGAAGATGTTCAAGGAGATCCTTCCCAGCTTACCACACGGCAACGACGGCCTAATCTTTACATGTCGAATGACCGATTACAAACACGGGACAGATCAAAATATCTTGAAGTGGAAACCAGAAGCAGAGAACTCCATTGACTTCCTCTTGAAGCTCGAGTTTCCTTTGAGGCAACCCGACGCACAGGATGTCGCAGAAGGAGTCACGCAACCATACGTCGACTACGATGCCATACCAGTATGCAATCTTCACGTCTATGCTGGAGATGGTAGAGAGGAGAGGGACCCGTGGTTCGCAACGATGTATATCGACCCAGATGAATGGGAGTCTCTGAAGAGACTCAACGAACCTCTGGACGAACGCGTTGTAGAGTGCTTTATGGATTCGCAGAAGCGATGGAGATACATGAGATTTCGAGACGACAAGACAAACGCCAACCACATCTCCACTGTCGAGAGCGTGATCGAAAGTATCACGGACAGAGTCACTGAGGAGGACTTGCTGAACGCTGCGAAGGGGATCAGAGACGAGTGGAAGAGAAGAGCTGCAGAGGATCACAGCAGGATGAAAAAGGAGGCCGAGAGGAAGCGAGTCGCTAGTGTTGGGGTTAATAACGGACCAGCTCCGCTTGGTGGTGCTGGAGGTATGAAGAGGAAGGCGGATGAGCAAGGAAATGCCAGGCCAAGTCCTGGCCCGCCCGGAAAAAGTTGATCGCTTGCAGTAATGAGGATTCATCTCACTTGGGACTTTAGAAGGCTGGTTGGGATAAGGCTATGGCGACTAATGGTCCTTGCTTCTTGAATTAACCTGCGTTTTGCAAATGCTGTTGGGACATTGGGGGGCGTTGAGGATTTTGATGCTGGCAAGCATTGCGATTGTGGGTGGCGTCTTCACCGGTCAATCTTTGTCTTACATGGGATTCCTGCTTGGGAGATTACTAGACGGCACGGCTGGTGAGGTATGGTTTTCAGAGATCTGCCTGGACGGCGATCAGGCGCATACTATCGTTCCCTAAGTTTTGTGATCTGGCTAGCTATGAATGAAATAATCAACACCTCGATCACAATCCTAGCGGTCCGTGAAATATGCCTTCTGAATGTGCTCCAGATCTTCAGCCATTCACAAGCCAATCTGACGCTTCTACGTTTAAACTCTTGGATATTGAGTGTTTACAAGCTATCGTGACTGTAACAAACTATTCTTGCAGCCCATTTCGTGTTACTGCAGTCGACGACACTTAATTCACAGCATGACTCTTTTTACCATCGCTTCACACATTCTGAAGCTGGTAAAGATGTTTACTTCAAGTTCATTGCTTGAGTTAATCTGCTGTATCTAAGTATTGCTGTCCTGAACTCCACCTAGCGATAATAATTGTAGAAAGCAACGCAGGCGAAAAAAAATAACAGGGAGAATAAATACGAAAATTAATGAAAGTCTATGCAGTTGGAATATGCTGAAAATGATCAAAGCTCCCGTCAATGCAAGTTAGCGTTGAATATTGTTGAAAAGAAGGCATTAAGTGTTCGAATTTGACGGCTTAGATGAGGATCACCATAGCGGCAAATCCAAGCAAGTCAAACAAGCTGAAGCTACGTTCGACTATCGATGCTCCACTGGTCGTCTGCTGGGTGGGAGAGGTGGTAGCAGAGCTACTTGTCTTCGTTGACGAGCCCTTAAGAATTGTCGCGGTGGTTTGAACCCAGCTCGTCGATCCCGACTTGCTGGTGTTGTGGGCGACAGTTTGGATTTGTGTCACGGTGACGGTGACTTGTGCTGGGCAATTGCAAACAGCGCCAATCGTGCATGCGATCGATGAGCCAGTGTCCGAGTATATGGTCGCTAGAGAGAGTGCAGTGGTCGTGATCGGTGGTAAGGTGAATGAATGAGTGAGAGACTGCCCAGTAACAGTGGTGGTCTCCAGAGAGATGGATGGTGGCAGACTTTGGATGTTGCTCGAGGGACTTTGTGATGGACTGACATCTGTTGTCGATGGCGTAGTGCCAGAAGATGGCAGAGAGGTAACAGATTGGTCTGGCGTGCTTGAAGGAAGTTGAGAAGGGGCAGGCAGAGATGCCGAGGATACGATCCCAGAGGACATGGCTGGACCTTCTGTGCTATTGCCGTTCCACTGATAAATTGACAATCTATTGCTGTCTCCACAGATCTCTCCAGAATTGCCAGCACATGCCATGCCACACTGTAAGTTCTGTACTGAGGAAGCTCCACCCTCAATGGTATCTCCACACCAGCACTCTCGACCATATTCGAGACCTGCATATTGAAATGGGTAGCAATTTGCAGTACATCTTTCGACTGTATTGCTGTCATCTGGAAAGAATTCTCCTTGGAGGGCTCGCATCCCAGCACCTTCTGTATAGCAGCCTAGATAAGTATAGACGCCAGAGGTTTGTACGATGATGGGAAGGGAGTTTGCAGAAGATGAGGGCGTGGGCAGTGCAACAACCGTGCCTGACTCGGTTACGGATACTGTGATTTGCGCAGGAGTGTCTCTGTATCCATATTAGAGATAGTTGGAAAATTGAATGAAGATTTAAGATTCTTAGAACCATATGAAGGGGCAACATACGCAGTCTCCGTGACAGACATTGTCTGCATAACAGACATGGTAAAAGTAGCGTCGACTTCTGTGCTGGTGCTAGTTCCTTGAATCTCAGACTCAGCAACAAAGACCGTGCTACAACAAAATTCGTGTTAGCAGGGACTAAGTATTTGCACATGGTAGGGAAGACATACCTCAACTGGGGAGAACTAGTGATTGTAATATCGCTCCCGGACTCAAAGCTCGTCTGGATCACTGTACTGACAAGCACGGATGTGGAAACGACACTATCGATGACAGAAGTGGTTTCTGGTGATGTTGTAGGATCGGCGAAGGTGGTACTGACGGCCTGGATACTAGAGTCTGCGGGCGCAACAGAGCTTGTAGGACTAGTTCGGATTAGCAATTTCTTCTTAGTATTATCATTGTAAGGTGGAACTCACGCTGCACCCGCAGAAGAAGTGATTGTCACAATATCATCAGTGGCAGTAGCAGTTTCGACAATGGTGCTGATCATCACGGATCCTGACGCGTTGTCAGAGGAGGCAACATCTTGAGACATCGTGGATTCTGCAAATGTCGTACTATCTGCCTTAGCAGAATCTGTGAGTGGAATGGAAGTAGAGAATCTATGAGGAGTGAGCGGTCAATAAGGGACACCTATCTTTCATTCTGGATGGCAGCTTACATTGCAGTGGCAGACGATGTGACGGTCACGACGGTCACAGGAGGAAGTACTGTGTCGACAAAAGTACTGATGACAACAGAGTCCGCAGCTGAAGTAGTAATTGAAGCAGTTTCTTGTTGGGTCGATTCTCCAAAGGTCGTACTAGCATCTTGAGCGGACTCAGCGACCGAGAGGGAAGCGGAACTTAATCAACATTAGCCGTTGTGTTTAACAGAGATATCGAAACAAAACTTACGAAGCTGCGGTGCTCGAAATTGTGGTCAGATCATCCGCGGTGGATATTTCTGTCACGACTGCAACGGATTGGACCGTGGTCAGAGCAACGATAGAAGCAACAACGATATTCTGCCCACTACTAGTAGACACCGACAATGTGATACTTAGATCTTCAGTCGAAGGGGCACCGTTTACGATATCACCAAAGGAATTCGACTTGCCGAACACTGCTGAAGACGTAGTAGAGCTGCTACGAGTAAGAACAGTAGGTGATGCCGAGGGTGGAAATTGTGTGGTTTCGGTCTGAGCAGCGGTAGTGAGAATAGAAGTTGTTGGATGAGTTTGAGTGAAGCTATCAGGTGAGATTACGTTGGTCTCTGGGCCTTTGATACTCGAGGCAACGGAGAAAGTGGCTGGGGTGATAGTTGTGTGGCTTGCACTCAATTGTGTCGTAATATCTGCTGTGCGTGAAGTCGAACTTAGCACAGCGAGTGTCTTTGATATTTCGGTATTGTTAGACAATGACGACGGCGCAACACGAGCGTTCAAAGCAAGATCAACTATTGACGTATCAGCAAGATCATTCAAATGCATGTTGTGGCACATACCATTGCGTCGCTCAATGTTCTTGCCACTGCGAAAAGCAAAATCGAACCCGTTAGCTGCGCATGCAGCCAAAAGGATGGTGATAGAGGACGTGAACTTCATCTTGCTGTTGATGAGAATCTTTCTCGTCAATGAAGATGTATAATGGTCTTGTGCGCAAGGCTGGATTAGAAATGTATCGAGGGGAAGGTTGCGAATAGGAAAGGTCAAATTTGTGTTGTAAAAGGATGCGGTAGGTAGGTCAAAGCAAGAAGAGCTTAGGAAATAAGTCGCAAGCGGAGTAGTGAATCAATGGTTGTGGTTGTTAAGAAAGAGTAGCAAGCGGGGCTTAATTTATACTTTTTAGTACTTCAGGCGGTGAGGGATATTTACTCCAGTGAATTACTCTGTTCTCCAAATGAAGACTACATGACGAATGGCGGTGATTCTTCCATCTCAAGTTCAACATTCATAATGAGTTTGCAAAGACGGCAGTCTCCCCACGTGAGCAGAGACTTTGCCTGAAAAGCCTTGTCCAAAGCTCAGGTGGCACGAGGAAACATCAAATATAAGTACCAGAACTTTGTTTTGATCCTTCATAATTTTGCGAAAGGTGTATTGTTGGAGATCATACATCAATCCAGAGGGAACAGGAGCACGTGAAGACTCGAACTCGAGGTCACTAGCCACGTTTGCAGGCATAAATGAGAGCATCATGATTACTCTTCAACACAGGATAGGACAAAATGAGGAAGCAGAACTGTTCATAGATGACGTAAAAGATAGAGGAGAAAGATGCAACCTCAAGATATGGAGGTCGATGTAGGTACCACCCACTAGCGATGACTGAAAGACTTTCGAATCATCACAAGCACAGACAAAGCAATCAACAAAGACAATAAGATGAAAGTCAAGAATATTCGACGAGAGCTGGAACATTAATCAGTCTTTTTGACTTGGAGAATACATGCTGTGGTGAATCAATCCCCTAATGTGTTGATGGTAGAAGAGACAGAAAGGAAGCCTCATGGCTGAAGTTGTTCCCGCCTAGCGTGACTCGCCAACGCGTCCAAATTGGTCTTCGTACAACGCGCGCATGGAACTCCTCTCCAAAATTCCACTCATCGCATCGCAACACCCAATTCTTCTCCAACGAACGCAGCACGCCGTGCCAATCCCAATCAACAATACCCTCAATTTAATATCTGCGAGTTCGCGACTGGAGGTCTCCCATCGAAATGGCTCCGCGCCGCGGTGCTGCGGAAGTGGTGGCCGAGGAACCACAGCTTGGAAGTCTGACATTCAATGAACCTCTGTCATGGCGTGCAGGAAAGCCAATACCTACTGGAGATCTTCTCAGGAGACTTGATGCTCTGTCTAGCGAGCTCAGGGAAATGGACCAGGAGGAAACGGATAAGGACTCGTTGACCAAAGTGGCAAAGGAGCTTGCGGGGCACAATCTACTCAGCCATAAGGACAAGGGAGTTCGCGCATTTACAGCATGCTGTTTGGTTGATGTCTTGAAGATATGCGCTCCTGATGCGCCATTTACTCCAACCCAGCTTAAGGTATACACACCTATTTATTCTCTGTATGCGACTTGTAGCTAAAGTACAAATTAGGACATCTTCACACTATTCGTTACCAACATCCTACCTGCCCTCTCAGATCCCTCTCATGCCTACAATACTCAACACAAATATGTCCTTGTTTCTCTCTCTGAAGTTAAGAGCATTGTCCTCTTGGGCGACATTTCAAGCTCGGAATCCTTGATCTTACACCTCTTCAGCTCTTTCTTCGACATGATCTCGGGCTCCTCGAAGTCCTCGACTGGAGAGCAGATATCGAAAGATGTGGAATATCATATGACACAGATGTTGGTAACCCTGGTGGACGAGTCACAAAGTGTGCCACCAGAGGTCGTGGATGTTATCATGGCCCAGTTCATTCGAGCCACCCTTTCTCCTACTGTCAAATCTAAACAAGATACGGACGAGAAACAAGCTACTCTACTGCTGAAAGAGCTCCCTGAAGCCTACAACATGGCAAAGACAATCTGCAATTCCTGCCCTGAAAAGATGTCTCGTTATGTTAGTCAATATTTCAATGAAGTTATCCTGGAAGTCTCTGGTGGAGTACCTAGGGCGAATGGACATCGAAGAACGAGTGATGGCGCTGGCGATTCTGATGATGATGAAGCTCCAACTGGTCCAACAGAATCCGACTTGAAAGAACTCAAGAAGGCGCATAACCTACTACGAGAATTGTGGCGTGCTTCTCCAGCTGTTCTGCAAAATGTTATACCTCAATTGGATGCGGAATTGTCAGCAGAGAATGTACAGCTGAGATGCCTGGCAACCGAAACCCTAGGAGATATTATTTCTGGAATTGGCGCTGCTGGACCTCCTCCACCTCCACATATGGATCCAGCTGCATATCCGCCTGCAAAGTTGGAGGATTATCCTCAAGGACCCATCTCCTCCAGCATTCTTACTACTCCCATCTCACCCCAGTCTTTCGCACAAACCCATCCGAGTGTATACCAGAGTTTCATGGGTAGGAAGAACGACAAGTCTTCTGTTATCAGATCTAGCTGGACTCATGCAATCGGCCGGATATTGCTTACGTCGGCAGGCGGCATTGGTTTGAGTCGCGACGAGGAAAATTCCTTGGTGAAAGGGCTTGCTGAAAAGTTGAATGATGCTGATGAGAAGGTCCGACTTGCAGCTGTGAAAGTTGTTGGTGAATTTGGTTTCCGAGACATCATGAGCAAGCTTGCATCCAATGGGAGTGTGAATAAACAAGGGTCGGTTCTGTGTAGTCTCGCAGATCGAGCTCGCGATCGACGATTAGCTGTTCGAAGCGAAGCCATGATGGTTGTCTGCAAAATTTGGGGTGTTGCAGCGGGGGAAATCGCAGCAGGAAACGAGAGTGTCCTCGACACCTTAGGCACGATCCCATCAAAAGTCTTCGAGGCTTTCTACGCAAACGACTTGGAAACAAATGTCCTACTCGATCATGTTATGTTCGAGCAGCTGATCCCTCTCGGGTATCCTCCGGCTAAGGGAAAGGCTTCAAAAGCTACCAACGGAGAGTCCCAGACTCAGATCAATGGCGACGGCCCATTCGACCCTGACAAGATCAGAACGGAGCGTATCTTATTTCTCATCAAGTCTCTTGACTCAAAGGCACGAAAAGCTTTCTTTGCCATGCAAGCTCATCAGCCAACCTTCTCAAAGGTCTTGGATGTCTTTCTCAAACGATGCGAAGAATTCAATGGCGGTGTCATAGATCAGGATGCGAAAGATGTGAAGCTCAAGCTCGACACTACTATCAAGTGGTTGGCCGATTTCCTACCTGATAGCTTTAGAGCGAGTCACGACTTGCACAAATACGCCAAAATGCATGATCGAAGAAGCTACCAGCTCCTCAGATTTGCCATGGCGCCTGAAAGCGACTTCAGTACTGTTCACAAAGCCATCAAGGAATTCCAGAAGCGTATCTCTTCGGCACCTGGCGGTCAGAGCGGTTTGTTAGAAACTCTGATGCCCATTATCTATCGATCCGCATGTTTAGTCTACAATCGGAGCCACCAACCGCTGATCTTGCAGTATTCTCGGACTGATGAGAACGGTTTGAGTGCGACAGCGCATATTGCCATGAAGGAGATATCAGACAAGCACCCTGAGATTTTCAAAGCCAGTGTGAAGGAGTTGTGTAAATCTCTCGAAGAACAAGCACCATCAGAGACCAAGGACAATGATCCCAGCAGTGTCGATACGTTGAAGGCTTTAGCCTCCTTTGCGAAGGCCGAGAATAACCAGATTCCCAATGACCGCAAGTTCACGCAGACCCTGCTCAACTTTGCACTTTATGGTACTCCGCCAAAAGCTGCTAAGTACGCGGTCAGTATTCTGGCAGCGACGACAAACCGGAAAGAGATGCATATGAAGGATCTGCTGGACAAGTCAATGGATGGGTGGGAATATGGGAAGGACCATTTCCTGACCAAGCTGGCAACCATTAGTCAATTGACCCTTTTGGATCAGAAGCTCACGGAAGACTCTAATGACGAAATCATCGACATCACTACGCAGCAGATACTCTTGCAAGTTCGAACACCAAAGTCTGATGACGATCCTGATTGGCAGTTCGACCACCTCGACGATGAATGTGAAGCGAAATGCTGGGCCATAAAGACGCTGGTAAATCGTCTTCGCACAGTGGAGGATCCTGAGACTGCCAAGAAGCTTGCTGTCCCAGTGTATAAGCTTCTGAATACTCTCATTTTCAAGGAAGGCGAAGTCACGAAAGCAGGAAACACTCCAAAACACCACAAATCTCGTTTACGACTTCTTGCAGCGCAACAAATGTTGAAGCTGTGTACAACAAAGATGTTCGACGAATTTTTGTCTCCGATTGACTTTACTCGGCTGTCTTTCGTTGCGCAGGACCGACTCGAAGTAGTCAGACGTGGTTTCATCGAGAAGCTGCAGAAATACATCGTGAAGAACCGACTTTCCCAACGCTTCAACACCATCATCTTCGTTACAGCATTCGAACCTGGCAGCAACGGTAGCTTGAAGGAATCTATTATGACTTGGATTCGCTCTCGTGCCAAAATTTCCCATCATGCTAAAACTCGAACTTTCGAAAATATCTTGCCTCGTCTGATCCATCTCATTGCGCACCATCCTGACTACAGTGTTGAGCCAGATGAGTTGAAGGATATTGGAACATATTTTCTCTATTACCTCAACGCTGTCGCAACCGAGGAGAATCTTCCCTTGATATACAAATGCGCTCAACGTGTCAAGCAGGCGAAAGATGCTATTCCCAGTGCTGACTCGAATAACCTCTATGTGTTGAGTGATTTGATACAAACCTTGGTCAGGAAGTACGAAGAGAAGAAGGGTTGGAGTATGCAAAGCTGGCCTGGTAAGGTCGGCTTACCCGTAGGACTTTATGCAGCCTTGCCAAGCCATGAAGTTGCGCAAGACATTGCAGAGAAGAGTTACTTGCCTGACGATATGGACGACCTTCTTGATCGGCTGATCAGAGATGCTGACAAGAAGAAGGTATGTTGATGCTGTCATTCAAAATGGGTTGAATTGTCTAATGTCTATCATAGAAGCGCAAGATCGATGATCGAGAAGACGGTTCCCATCCGGCAAAGAAGATCAAACCTGAAAGCAAGCCACGCCCTACGAAGACACCTACAATCAAGAAGGAGAAACCAGTGAAGGAAAAGAAGACACCAAAGCCAAAGAAGGTGAAGCCAGCGACAACCACACCTGCTGGATCATCGATTGAGCGGAGGAAGAGCGGCCGTGGTGCGAGTGCAAAGAAGAGCTACGCGGATAGAGATGACGATGAGGATGATGAGGAAATGTGGGATGGGGTTGCAGAATGGGAGTATATCGATGACAGTGGTAACGAGAAGGCCAAAGAGGATGCATCTGAAGCTGATTCTGCGCCCGAGGAAGCAGAGGAAGAAGAGGCAGCACCGGAGTCTGAAGAACCGGAGCTTGAGCCTGAAAAGGAACCTACACCAGAAGTTGAGCCAGAGGAAGAAGAACCCGAGGAAGAAATTGAGGGGGAGATTGAAGAAGTGGAAGTCACGCCTCCCCCTACCACCAACGGCAAACGTGCATCTCGATCGAGTGCCAAGAAACCCCTATCTTCAGCATCAAAAGTCACGAAATCCAAGCCCGCGCCAAAGACAAAGGCAAAACCCAAAAGTCCTGCCGCAAAACCTGCTGCCAAAGCCAAGTCGACGGCAAAGTCACCTTTGTCCAAAGCGAAGAAGGGCCAGAATGCAACTGCCAAGGGGAAGGGGAAGAGTCGTGCGAAGGATGTGTTTGATATGGATGAGAGCGAATGATGAAACCCTGTATGCGATATGTTTGAGTATTTACCACGACAGAAAAGCTTGCAGTCAGCCAGTCCTATTCGAATACCCAGCGCGGAGAGAAGGTGAATGGATATGATACCAAGCAAGCAGGCAAGCAGAGAGGAAGTAATGATTGCTCAGCTGTTAACTCACGATGCTGGATATGGTTCTACGTTTATGGACGTGTATGTAGTTAGTTAGCTAGCCCGTAATGAATCAAGCTCCTGTGGAATAATTCTTTGTCTTGTGGTGTGACGTGGTTCTTGTTATTGTTGACCGACCAAAAACACGTCCTCACAATAATGAACCATCCAATCATGCACCCTCACTAGCGCCACGGAGGTAGTGCGTGTATCAAGAACGAATCAGAGCTTCTTACGTATGACAAGAGCAAGATGCTACTAGACCTGATCGGGTAAGATGGCACGCGCACCAGGGCTAGTTTAGCGTGGCAGAATAGATTTCAATGTTGCGTTAGCGGTGAAGGGACTTCAAATTTGCGATATTTTGAAGACGGGAATGGGGTTCTTACCACGGCGCTGCATTTGAAGATCACTACCACACAAAGGGAGACCAGCATGATATTTGCGATGTTTGTGAATTACTGGGAGATTAACAAGATTTTCGGACATGGACAGAATGCATCATGTGATTCGTGTCGGCCGACAGGAACAGGAAACGAAATGAAATGAAAATGCAGGAGTGCGGTGAGGTGAGGTGTCGGTGGCGATGCTGGAGACAGAATCCAGGATGCAGGTCATGAATCTGCTGCTGGCAATAAACAATCGGTGAAGCACATCAGGCATAAATAAACATGGCAGTTCCCTGTCGGCAAATCACATAAAATCGGAGGGACCATCATATGTTTCAGTCTTGAATTCTCACAATTCCCTACTTCAGTCCAGTCACCGGCTGAAAGCCAGTTCTGCGACTCAGGTAAGAACGCTGGCTACGATACAAACAATCTGGCGAGCTTGCAGAAATGCAGCATCGACAAATCCCGCCAACCACTAACTCGCTCGCACTCTCTCTCGCTGTGAAGCAGAAGGGCAAGCATCGCAAAATCTAAAATCCACTCCGTCTGTCCCCACCACCATCATGCTCTCTCTCTGTGTAATGCGAAAAGGGCGAATAAACGCTCCTTGTTCTGGTATCCATCCAGTTTGTGAAAATCAGAAATGCCCATCCTCAAACGCCAGTATGATACAGTAAAGTGACTTTCCCTCGCTCTCTCGCCATGCATGTGATTGTAGAAACAGATAAGGAATTTGAAGTGCAAAGGAAAAGGAATAGTGCGTGAAGTTCAGCTGGCCAGCAACAGCAAAGTCAGCCGCCCACATCAGACGCCATCAGCCTGACATGGCTGGAATGTCTTGCTCGTGATGCAGAGGTAGGTAGAAACCCACCGAATCACGTGTCGTAATGTCGCCGCCTTGCCAAGGCTTAGCGGTAGTCAAGAGAGTGCAGTAGAATATGCACAGGAATCCTGGATGCAGGACTGGACACCCAGGAAGCGATGGCAGAGCAAACATCGATCGCGCATCAGAGTTCAGTCCTCAGCTGCTCGAGTTTGCTCGACTGCAGGTTCATCGTCCATAGACATCGTTGTGTCGGCATCGTCGGTGCTCGTAATTGGATCGCTGAAGGTCGGATCGGTCGCCACCTCGCTTCCCACAGAATCAGCATCGAGACGGCTGTCAATTCTGGCTTTCATGGCCTTAAGACTTGCTCTCTCCTCGTTGCTCAATTTGCCCGCTCCAGCAATATTGAGAGCATCACCACGTCCGATCATGGCAACAGCAGCCGGAGGAGCTTCGGTCTAGATTTCAAACTCGTTAGCAATGATCTGACACAGTTACGTCATGACACGTAGCATGAGACTTACAAGAAGAGTGTCGACCAGCATATTGAGACCGCCTGTCGCTTCTATTTCTGGAGTGGATGTTGCCATAGCGGCGAGATTGAGTGCAGCCTGTTGACGATACAGGTCCGATTTGTTCCACCTGCTGCTCAAGGAATCCGTAACGGATTGCCAAGCATGTGCTCGGTTCTTGAGTTGTGCAGCATGTTCAGCGCGTGCACTGAATCGTGATGGAACGTAGCCTCCGCCCATCTGCTTAACCCTGGACAGTGTCAGTGGAAGTAGGACTTTGCAGCGCTGAAGATACTTACTTGGCAATAAAGTCAAGAGCGATACCCTTCTCTGGGAGCTTGTAGATTTTGCCAAACTCGCGATGCTCAAAGAAACCAGGCTCTTCCTCAACATCAGTATCATCGTTCTCAATCTCAATGTGTCCACTGTTTCTGAAACCGCGATCGATAGCTGGGATTTCGACAGGAGCGCCCTTGATCGTACGGAATCGATGAGCTGGTCCGAGAAATTGTGGAAGAGTAGCCAAGAGATCATCAACGTGCGCTGGGCATCGCCATTGTCGTAATGGATTGGGCTCCTTTGCCATGGGGGTAGGGAGACAGTCCAAGTGCCAGTTTAGACCACAGAAGCTGCAAGGAATGATCATACGATCGGGAGCAGAAGCGGACAAGTGACAGGAATAACAGAGAACGGGATTGCCTTTAGCATCCTTCTTCCTGAAGTAGTCGATGTTGAACTCCTCGGCATTTTTCCTGTAGTTTGTTAATATCTTTTATGACAAGCATTGAATGGATGCAACTTACTTCGTGATCTTGGGCGGTGGTGGTGGTTGCACCTCTTCATACTCGCCTTCTGTGCCGGTCTTAACATCGGTAAAGTACTCACGGATGTCCTTGGGGAGATGGAATGAACTTGGATTAGTATCTTCCAGCCAATACTGCATCTGGTCGAAAACTTTGACCTTTTGGAAGGGCCAGCCGCGTGAATCATCGTCCTTGGCTTGGCATTTATTGCAATACCATGACTCTCCGGATCGTTCTGCGACATCATCTGCCAGGGGTGGATCGCAACATTTGTTGTGAAAGGAGCGAACACAGCCGTCACAACACACGAGATCACCGTTTCCACCACAGGCGCTGCAAAAGTCGTTGTTGTCTATCTCCTCCTGTGGATGCGTCCAGTCATTAGCTCGTGTAATCAAATTAGGAAACTGAATAATCATGACGAAAACGAGGGTGAAGACGGGAAGGAGGGAGGAGAGAGGCGGGAGGATGGCTGCTCGGAGGGAAGGGAATCGAAGGGAAGGGAGGGCGGCGAGAGAGAGAGACGAGACGAGACGGTGGCAGATTGGCGGGTGATGTTTAATGTGGGGGGTTGCATGGATTGGTGTGTTCGGTAAAGGCGGAATGCAGAGATTGTCGCGCGGGCGTTGGCGTTTGCGTTTTTTTGCAAGGCGAGCGCTGCCCAGCCCAAGCAACGTGATGAATCACACTCGTGATCATCCAAGAACCATGCCACCGACCCGACGATATTCACCTACCCGACGATACCCATCGAAGGAAAACGTAGAATGAAGCCATCATGATGAGAACATAGCAGAGGAGATGGAAGTTTGACGGCTTACCTGGTTGCTGGTAGCTCCAGTACCACTGGGGGATTTGGGACCGCTCTCTTTGGGCAATCCTGCAGAAGTTCCACCCTTCTTCTTGATCGGTCTATGGTGAGAACAAAACGTTAGCATCGCTGTAAACAAATTTGATGGGGAAAACGGGTCGTTCGATGAGGTGGTGATGGTAGTGAGTTATGCAGAAGCAAGACAATAGTAGGGCCAGCGGTCGCATTGTGCGACAGCAATCATGTCGCCTCTAGGCAGCGAAACAGAAAGCAGGTAGATAGAGGTGCAAATACAACAGAAGAGAGGGGAACCATTCTGGCGTCGTGATGGGGACAGTGATGAGTGAAAATGACTGTACTTACGATGACTTCAAACGGAGACCGGAGCCAGCTGCCTTCGTCTTTCTCGTTCGTCGGGTAAGTAATGGAGGAGTGCCAGCGCGCGATGTGTTGACGGATCCAGGAGCAATATCTGGACGGAAGCCAAGTGTCGTAGGGGAGCTATCTGGCTCTTCTTCAGGGTGATTGCGGGTGTGGTGTTGCTTCGGCTTCTTGACGTTGAGTCGAATCTGAGCGCGTCTCTTGGGCGGCGGTGCACCAGAATCCACATCTGAGGCAGACTCGGGCTCTTGCACAGCTGGCGCACCTTGCGTTGAACTTCGTACATAGCTCTCCTCACGGCCAACATACTTGTTGGACTTCTCTCGGGCCTCACGCTTTCGCTTGCGAACTTCTTCATTTTCGATGACCGTTGGGCCATGACCGTTCTTGGTCTTCAAGAATTTGGCTGGTACTGCAGCAGCGACGGGAGCAGAATCTGATGAAGAAAGGGATTCTTGCGAAAGCAAGGCGGCTGGAGCCATATTGTTGTTTGATGCAGACAACGACGAAGATGTGTCGTGGTTGTTTGCGTGGTCGGCGATAGTGGTGTTGTTATGGGTGGTGGTGGAGAGAATGTGAGTGGAGGAAGGAGAATTGTTGTCGAAGGAATCCGAAGGGCTGGAGCATTTGGCTCTGGTCCTGGGGGCCTTCGCCGCCGAGACTTGGGGTGCTTTGGGTGCTGAGCTCGCTTGTCTAGTGATTGGCTGGCCCTGGTTGCTATTGTGTGCAACGTTCTCGGCTACCGAAGCCCCAGAACCACCCACAATACCAACACCAGAGACGCCTGAGCCAGCAGGAGCTGAAGAAGAAGCAGAAACTCCAGAAGCGACCGCCGCAAAATTGTTGGCGCTGGCATATGGCGAGATAAATCGAGGTGCTGAGTTTCCCAAAAACCCAAGTCCGATGCTACCAGGCCCCAGACGGCTCGATACAGGTCGAGCTGGCGAGACTCCCGCACTCAGCACGCCCTCTCCCAACAAATTTTCATCGATGGATGAAAGCGAAGACGAGCTCGATTCGCTATTCAATCGCACTCTCTTGGGCGTGGAATTGATCATGCCATTTGGCGTAGGTGATTGTGACATCTTTGTCCCGTTGGCACTTGCTTCTCCGTGGCCGTTCAATTCTAATGAAGGTAACACGTTACCCATCTTCAGCTTCTTGTCAATATGCTCATCAGGATCGTTGGTCGCCACTTGAGGTGAAGCAGGCATTGATGCTGGAGCAATGGACGAGGCGTCAACTTGGGGGTCGGTTGCGACAGAGTTGGCAGTACTGGGTCGAGGTGGTAAGGCTGAATAGGGAGTTTTGTAAGGTTGCGCAGGAGGGTTGACAACTTGAAGAGCAGCCGCATAGCTGTGTTGAGCAGGTGCGGGATCGCTGCCGTCCCCGTTGAAATAATATTCTCCAGTACGGTCTTTCTTGCCCTCTCGCTTCTTCTTTCGCATGATGATGTTGAACTCCTGAAAGTCACGATCCGTGCCGCGTCCGTTGTAGACAGCCTCGATCAGACGCACAATTCTTTTGTTCTTGCGGTGATCATCGTAGAGGGTTCGTAAAGCATAAGCAGTTGGATACTTGAGGGAGTCTATAGCGTCTTGGACAGCTTTTTCGACTATCTTGTCTGTCAGTTCCAGATTGATTGAGGGCAAGCCATCGTCGTCCATGGGCAATGGTGGAACAACAAGAGGAGTTAACGTCGAGGGTGTAGGTGTTTGCGCGGGAGGATATGGTGAGTGATGAACAGGTGCTGGTGTCTGAGCTGCATAAGCTACTGGAGCTGCATTGATTGGGGCCGCGGATGGGGCTGGAGTGGAATATGGCGAGGCTACATAAGCAGCAGGAGCAGCATATGGAGTTGTATTTTGAAGTACGGGTGCTTCATAGGTGGTAGGAGTCGTCCTGGACGCGGGTACGGGAGATTTGTGGACAGAAAACACGCCTTGGCCATTCGATTGTGGGGGGACACTCGATCGCGACATGGATGGGACTGGACTCGCAGGCTCCTCTGGTGCCTTGGTCGCAGCCCGTACCTCAGGGGTCTCGCTTCGTTCTTCTGGTTGAACTGGCAATGGATTCGAGAAAGGTTCGGGTGTCATCGCAGACTCGCCAGGGGTCGTCACTGTCGAAGTCGCAGCCCTCTTTATGTTTGTCCTACCAAGACCATCGCTCTCCAATCTAGCAGTGACAGCCTTCATCATCTTCGAACTCGGTCGTGTTCCCAAGGGCGCCATGTTCTGAACCACACCATGTCTTTCGATTCCCGCCTCTGCAAAGCTCGGTCTTGGAGCAGGCAGAGGAGGCTCAACCCATTTGTCCATGAAAGTCCGTGGTCTCTCTGCTCTTGCGGTATTCGAATTTTGAGACTCGCTCGGCGCAGCTGCAGGCGTTCCAACATATGGGCTGGAGACGCGGCTGCCCCGTGTTGGTCGAGGGGTGCTCATTGTGGTGATGGTTCGCCTTCTCCTCCCTTTCTGCGACCGGATGTACCACGAGTCCTGCGCACCGCTAAAACTCGGTTAGTAAAGCGGAAGCGTGAGCAGAAAGGGGTTCGAGTACTCCTCTATGTTACGAGCGCATGCACGTCTGAATTTAATCGCGGTTGGAGGTGTTGCAGACGCGTTACTTTGGTTGAAGTTGGAGGAAGAAGACGCAAGAGGAGCAGCGATTCTGCGAAATATCGAAGCGAGCTCCTTCTAAGCGAAGCCCCCCTAGCCAGATTCGAGCCTGGCACCTTCCGATCGTGAATCGGAGCGTTCGGGTGAATTTTTCTATCGCAGTCTGTGGCTCGATTTCATTTGTGTCTTTCTAATATCTTACAGCAATCGGGCGATGCGGATCAGGTGTTGTGTTGTGTTTCTTGACGAGGTGCAGGTTTCTTCTGTTGCTGGTGCAGCTTATCGTGATATCCGAAGAAAAAAGTCTTTCAGGGGCGCACGTTCTCCGGTTTGGATGATGCGACAGATATTAGGCGCACTCAAACCCTATTACCTCACGATTATACATGGACAATAACGACGCTTCTTAGATTTCGCATTCACAAAAGATTTGTGCCGAGTACAGGTGGCCACATCGTTGAGTCATTTTAGGTAGGCATCGTTGCGTCTCACAGCATTTCACGCTACAGGAACCCCTATTCCTTCGCCACGCAGTAACCGATGTCCTGTGCATGCACGAACATCCAACAACAAAATTTGGGAAATTGGCTGCATATCTCTATTCTTCGAGAAGCTCTAATACTCTGCATTTGTGAGGCCATCGAGCCGTGAGAAACTCAAGACCAGATGACGCATTTGCCTTGTAGGCGCTCGTCTAACGAGGCTAAACACGGTTAGAGCAAGAAGTGCTTGACAAGCCCCATAGCAGTGTTCGCAGCGGAAAATGGATGGAGATGCGAGATGCAAGATGCCATGTGTGATATACACCGTGGGATCTCCCTACCTGAGAAGATCTGAAAGTCTCGCAATGCCATTTTGTCCCAATATCGTCCCAGTTATAAATACCATTTACTCGTCACCACTTTCATCATCATCGTCATCCGCAGCAGCAGCCTTCTTGGCTAACTTGCTCTTCTTCTTCTTGTTTTTCGCCTTGGTCTCCTTTGCAAGTGGCTGCTCCAAGATCTTGAGGACTTCCTCGTCCGTGATCTTCTTGTCAGACTTGATCTTAGACAAATCAGGAGATGGCGGTGCAGCCAGCCGTTGCAAACCATTCTTGGTAATAGCTGTGCAAAATTAGCATACGTCCAAAGAGTAAGAAAAATCAGCGTACCAATAGTGGTCAACAGACGTCCAACTGGCTCGCTGTCTTTGTCTCCAACAACTTCGTATTGACGGAAAACGTTGCCCCGAACACATTCAACGACACCAACCTTAGCATCGCGCTCGTCTTCCAGTTGTCGCAAGCTGAATGGGAAGACACCAAATTTCTTGACAACCTCATTCAAGATCTTCTTGGAACTTGGTCGCTTCAGAGCATAGGTGAGAGTTGTACGTCGGTGCAGTGTTGGTCTGTTCTCCAAAGTCTTAATCTTTCCAGAGCCCAGACTAACACCCATCTCAACACCCCATACATCTCCAACTTCAGGAATACCTTCACCCTTAGTACCATCACCAGGAGCAAGAATGATCTTCTTTTTTCCCTCGATCTCATTCCGCTCGAACTCCCAGCTGGTGGTGTGCTCGACAAGATTGCAATCGTAAGCCTTGACGACTTTCTCGAGAAGTGTTGTAATCTTGCTTTGCGTAGGTGCCTTAATCTTTGCAGCTTTGGCCTTCTCCTCGTCCGTACCAGTAGCTAGCAGTCCCGGGGGTACCATCAACCGTAGGAGCAACTCATTTGCCCAGTATGTTGCCAGTAAGAGATCAGCGGATCGACCAGAGATTTCATCATTTGCGTTTTCTGCAGAAGGAATGATGATTGTATCGCAGACAATCGTACCGAAACCGTCAATCTGGGCGCCCAACTGGATCTTGATCGCTTCTCCTTCCTTCAGCGTAACTGCGGCTTCGGCCTCGTCGGAAGTGAGAGGGGTATATGGCGTGACGAACGAGGATGGGGAGACGGTGGTGGGGTGGGAAATTCCTGTACAGAAGGTCAGAACAGCTTCAATGATCATGGCATGATTAGGGCGCACCCTTCGAGATCTTCTTGCCGCGGTAGACTTTGCCGATCTCCTCCTCCAAGAGCTTGTCGCCCTTCTCGCAGATGGTCACGATCTTCTCGCCAGCAACGCAAAGAGCCGTTACAGCTTCCAACACCTTGTGAGAAATTTGAGCAGCGGACTTGTACTTGGTCAGGGTATCGGGGTTGTTCAAGGTGTAGTCTGTAAGAAAGTGTGTTAGCCCATCTCTAGTAGTATCAGTCTCTGGGAATCTGCCATCTTGCAGACGTCCATCTTCCATAGCGGGGTCACAAAGAGCCCCTCATTAGGTGAATGAGACAGGACAGCTTACCAATCTCCTCGGTTTCCTTCTTGTCGGCCATGGCGTCGATAATTTCGAGATATGGGCCTTTTGTTCAGAATTACTCGTGATCAAAAAAGCACGAAAGTAGGTTGTGTAGACGGCAGAAGAGGAGGATGCTCTCACCTCGAGTCGTATTGTTGATGTGTGCGGCACGCTAAGCGTTTTGAATCCCTGCTCTGCTCCTGCCGACGTTCACTGCTATCTGGGCAACCGTAGTCTTCTTTCACTCCAATCCAGCCATCGCGTTTCGTTCGCGACTTCAAATCACAGCTCACTTTTCTCAGTATCAACATCTCCTATTGTCCAGAGCCACCTCACAGCCTTCCACGACGATCGCAACACTGTCGCGAATGTTGTCGCAATGTCTTCTGAACCTCAACAGGCAGATTCGGAAGCTGACGCCTCTGCGCCTGCTCCCTCTTCCTCTTCCGTCCTAACACATCGCCAGCGTACGAAAGAAGACTTCGACAAGATTCTCCTCGACACATATGTGAATAGAGATCTGGTGCATTCCTCAGCAATCACGGATGACCATGACAGTCGCATAGCACATTACACCCACATAAGGAATGAGCTAGATGATTACAAGAAGGTTCGCTCGGATTACAAGGTGTGGTTTCCTCCCAGTCGACTCTATGGTGAAGGCTACAGTGGCTATGGCAATGGGAGAACAGACGGTCCTACCAGGCTGTTGTATCCTCAGCACAAGCCTAGGCTTGGACACCGGAAGACTCAAAGGCTCCGGATCAAGCGCAAGGAATTGTTACAACAAGCTGAGCAGGTGGAAGAGTTGGTGCCTATACGACTGGATATTGATTGGGACAAGGTCAGATTACGAGATACCTTCACATGGAATCTCCACGATCGGGTCGTAAATACAGATCTGTTTGCAGCGCAATTCATAGAGGATCTTGGCTTGGCAGTCCCACCAGCAAATCCCGTCCTCGACCAAGTCCAGCAGCAAATACGGGAACAACTGAACGATTTCTATCCTCAAGTCTATATCGAGGAAGATGCCTTGGACCCTGAGCTTCCGTATTCGGCGTACAAGAACGAAGAGATGCGTATACTTATCAAATTAAACATAACAATTGGGCCTACAACTTTGGAGGACAAGTTTGAATGGGAACTGAACAATCCACTGAACTCGCCTGAAGAGTTTGCCCAGAGTCTTTCAAGAGAATTATCTTTATCAGGGGAGTTCACAACAGCAATCGCGCATTCTATACGGGAACAATGTCAGCTATTCACAAGAGGCTTGTACGTTGTGGGACACCCATTCGATGGGCGACCGCTAGAGGATGCCGATTTGATTGCCTCGTTCCTCCCGTCTCCATTACCATCCGTTCTTCGACCTCAGCAGCAAGCCAAGGAATTCGTGCCGCTGTTATACGAAATGAGTGAAGCAGATTTGGAGAGAAGTGAAGTCATTTGGTCGAGAGAACAGCGCAGACAGAAACGATCGGTGAACAGGAGAGGAGGGCCGACATTGCCGGATCTGAAGGATAGGCAGAGAACTGTTCGGACTTTGATCGTATCTTCGGTTATCCCTGGTGCCGCAGATTCGATAGAAGACAGTCGGTTATACAAACGTGTGGGTGGTACAGCTGGAAGGAAGAGACCTGGAGCCCGAGACGATGATCTTTCAGAATCATCAGAAAGCGATGACGCTGCTCCCGAATCACCTGCGATGGCGAACTTGCTCTCTGGAACCGCGAGAACAAGAGGTATGAGAGGGGCGGCAACAGCAGCACAACAACGTATGGCAAACATCGGTAGGTCCGAAACGCCTGAAGCAGCAATCCTTCATCATCATGAAACAAGAACGTCTGCAAGGAGATTCGGTCGTGATGCTCGTGAGGAGAGTATGGAAAGCTCTAGCATGATTGTTAAATTGAAGATTGGAAAGGAGAAGTTCAAGAAGTTGTTACGTGATTTGAGGTCAAAAGATAGACCTTCGAATTTAACATCTACTCCTTCCTACACTCGGGCAACTTCAGCATTGGGCACTCCGGCTCCGGGCTCCATGGGGCCTCCTTCAACACCTGGGGTGCAAAATCAAACACTGCAACCTTCATCAACGCCAGCACCTCAAGGACAAATTGGAAGTGTTGACGCACCGCCTCCTCCTGCTCCAGGCCAGCCTGTTCCCGCACCTGTAAGTGGTCTTTCGATCCTGATAGCACCCTACCCAACTGACTGGTCTAGCCTCCTCCCCCAGCATGGCTCACTTCAGGTCTCAATGCTCTTCTAACACAGTATCCTAACGACCGTTTCGAGGGTGTGATGCGATACTCTGCCGTAAATACAACGACAGAAGCGCCCACAGCGCAACCACCAGCAGGCCAGCCTATACCCGATAACGTCAAGTTCATGTATCTACCACGGATACGCTGTCAAGACTGTCCAGGGAAGTTGTACACTCCCGGTCCCGAGACAACTGTTGGCAACTTCGAGGTGCACCTGAAGAATCGACAACACAGAGAACGCGTCGAGGCTAGGGTAGCTTCGAGTTCTACTGGAGGAAGCGGATCTCAGGCCTCAGGAAGTTTTTGAGCTTTGTACTCTTAACATAACTGTACCATAAAAGAGGCGGAAAATTATTATATCAACGGTGTTGGGGAGTATTATAGGTGGGAGGCGCGCATATATGATTGGTTCTTGTCCACTGTATGTGGACTTGACATGATGCTTTAACTTTGGATAATGAAAGACTATCAGTCAGATCTTACTTGTTCTCTTTTCAGTCTCCTCAAAATAGCTTGCTTCTAAGTTTTGCTCTCCCCCACCACCCGAAGGGGACCATTTTGCATCAATGCCCAGTGGCCGCTGGAGGCTTCTTTGACTCCAAATACCAGAAGACATTTCCTTTCGCACAGACCACGTTACATTACACATTAAAGGCGATGTATGGGTTTATCGCGGCTTCGCAGGCTATTTACAATCCCAGCGCAATTCCAAGTGATAGCGCAAGGTGGGGAAACCGCCCACATCCACAATCCACAGATAACAACGGCCACTCCCGGCCCATCACCTCGTTTTTTGAGCTTCCTGTTTGTGTGTGACGATTTTACATTCGTCAATTGTGACGATGCCGAGGCTTGTTCGCGACGGGCAACTCACATATCATATCTCTTGGCCATAGAGCTGTTATCGACAACCTTGCTTGCTGATAACGAGGAGCTACATGATCGCCCAACGTTCTTGGTATAAAGTGTGGACGCCACTGTAACCACATTTATTGCCTCTCGTGAGCTTTCATATGAACTTTTGTTTGCATGATGGATCCTGTTCACGGCATGCCGATTGTGGCGGCGAGGGAAGATGAACTACACGAAAGTATTGACGAGAAGCTTCATTCAAATGAGAAGGGGTCGATTAGTGAGAAGTATGCCTCCGAGGAAGATGTGGAGGTCGTTGCTGTCGATGAGGATGGAGATGTGATTCGGGAGTCAGGTATGTCGACTGCTTGTTGTTTTAGTGTCCATCTCGGTTTGGGTGACTAACCTACTTCTTCAGACTATACACCAGAAGAATACAAGAAGCTTCTGAGCAAGATTGATCGATATCTGCTGCCGTTGATGTTTGCTTCTCAATCAATTGTATGGGTCTGGAAAGCTGACGCTGTCAAGGTGGTGTTGCTACGGAATTCAGCAGACAGACAAGACTTCTTTGGGGACACAAGCTGTATGTTCACGCCCTTCTTTTCCAGTGTTGATTGAGTTGCTGATTCATCTTCTTCCAGCTCTTCGGACTCCGAGCAGATACTCATTTGAAGGGTCAAGAATATCAATGGTTAACAACGATGTAAGACAGATCCCCGTCTCCTTGAGAACTCTTGCTGATCCTCTCATAGTTTCTACCTTACGTATCTTTGTGGCGAATTTCCAAGCAACTTCCTTTTGCAGAGATGGGCTCTCGGACGAACATTAAGCATATATATGTTATGCTGGGGTAAGAAATCTTCCATTCCAAACCGACCGAGACATTGGCTTATCATATTCACCGCAGGTGTCTGTGTGATCTCCGTATCTGCTGCCCAAAATTGGGCCCAATTAATGGCAATTCGCGCCCTCCAAGGCTTCTTCGAATGTACCATCTCACCTGGTTTTGTCCTCATAATCGGAACATGGTACCGAAGAGAAGAACATTCCTCGCGAGCCCTTTTCTGGCAATCTGCCAATGCTGGATTCGGCATCATTGCCGATTTAGTGAACTATGGCATCGGAGACTATGCTCAGAAACATGGTGGGTTGGAGCCATGGCGAGGAATCTCGTTGTTTCTTGGTGCGGCAACCTTAGTTGCGAGTCTGGTCTGTTTTATCTTGTTGGGAAGTCCGAAAGAGGTTAGGTGGATGAATAAGGAAGAGAAAAGGATGGCGTAGGTCCTAGTCTTGGACATTTGAGAGCTTCTGCTGACCAAAATGACTGCAGTGCTGCTCGAATCGTAAAGAATAAGGCAGGTCGCGATGTGACTGGTATTAAATGGAACTGGACTCAGGTCAAAGAAGCTTTCATTGACCCTGTACTCTACTTTTCTATGGTCAACGCTTTTCTGTCGTCCGTTCCCAATGGGTAAGTTCGGCCTCACAACCTTCTGCTTGCATACATAACTCACTCCTGACAGCGGACTCACAACATTCGGTTCATTGATGTATCAGTCATTCGGCTTCTCGGAACTCCAAGTTCTCCTAGTCGGTATCCCTCGATCCGTCGTCTCTCTGATCATCTTCCTCATTGTGGGGATCTACACTCGCAAAGTGAAGAACCGACGACTGTTCATTATGGCCTTCTCGACCATCCCTCCCTTCGTCGGTATGCTCGGAATGGCTCTCCTTCCCAATAATTCACACTATAAATGGACAAAGTGGGGCCTCTACCTGATCACCGTCCCTTTCGTGCTTGCTCTCTTCTTGGCTTGGACGCTCATCCCCTCCAATGTCGCTGGTCGTACCAAAAAGACTATCATCTCATCCGCTACTTTTCTCGGGTACTGCGTAGGGAATATGTGTGGCAGTCAAATTTTCAGGACCAAAGATGCACCACAGTATATCCCAGGTACGATCGGATGTGCGGTTTGTCTTGGTGCTGAGTTTGTGTTGATCAGTTGCTGGAGAGGCTATTATATGTGGCAAAATCGAAGAAGGGATAGGCTGGCGGCTGAGAGTGGCATCTCGCGGGAAGAGCAGGAAAGGCTTGGACGAGAGATGGGAGAAAGGGATGTTACGGATTTGAATAATCCCTACTTCAGATATACACTCTGAGATGGGGTGAGGACTTACCAGCGGGTCTGACTGTATCAAACACTTCGGAGATTCAATAGGGTTACAGTTTTTTAACCTCGAGGAAGAATTCACTGTTGACGGAGGCGATCATCTTGCTTTGCTCTGAATTCTGTGGCAAAGGACGATTTAGTCAAATAGCGGCCATCGTCTCTTTCGGATTTTACCCCTACCATCCTTCTCCGATCTATCCCCGTTCATTATTCCCTCACTTTCTCTTAATAACCCAACATTGCTACTTCAGCTCGATTCACGGCATAGTAGGAGTCATCCTCCGGTCCTCGACCTTCTCTGAGCGCCATTTGCTGACAGTGCAGCCGATACCCTGCTTGAGACGGCATGCACCAAATCGAGATCGCAACCCAACGAAATACAATTGACTTTTGCTGCAAGATGCTCTACGCACCAACGCCCTGCTGATTCCAGATTCCAAACAGGCAGCCGTCCTGGGAATTCTCCGCTCGAAGTCTGTCAGCTTGTGAGTTGTTCGCCAACTCAGGGGCGAGGTTGAAAACTCTGCGCAGCCATGCTTTCTTGCCCACGACACTGGCAAGGCTACACGCTGGCGAGAACTTCACGATATTACGGAGCAGATTGCGGTGAGTTCTGGATGAGATGACCAACTTAACTGCCTCAGGAGAGACATGCGGGGTGACGTTGACCGTTTTCTCGACCTGAGCACGAACCTATCGCTCCTCATTTTCTGATCTAATGAGAGACCTCGATGAGGGCGCCCGCATGCCAACGCAGTGAAACCTTGCAGAGCCACGCAGGCGGTGCCAACCTAAGGACAATGCGCAACGCTCGAACTGAAGGGTCAGCTTGGGCATGTCTCTGTCGGCCCAATGATACTATTTTGCGTTCGTTATTGGAGCAAGTGACATTTTTATGTCCCGAGAGTTTGGTTCGTGATACGCGCCACTATTCGGGGTCCAAAATGGGTGAAGGGAAGGCACTGGTACAAGGCGTTCTTCCATATGTCTTTTAAAATCGGATTTGCCGGTCCCTTTAGGTCGAGAACAGTTTTCGAACGCTGAGCTTTGCGTGCAGGGTCGCTCAGGCCTCAATGGAGGTTGAAGTGTATCTCTCAATGGGCTGGACGACCCTGCTTTTGAAATTTCTTTCAGTTGTTCCCTTGCGCAAGGCTACGGCAGGTTGCATGGGATTGGGCATACCTTCAATTCACAACATTTTCACGATCAGAACAGCAGAGCGTCGTCCTTTCGCAAGCAACGTGCTCTTTTCCAACTCTTGGATTTGTCTATGCAGATCATTGCGGCTCAAGTGCAAGCCTCACGATGAATTCTGTAAGCCCTGATGAACGTTACTTGCTGCAATGAGGTGGCTGATGCCTGCCACGGCACACTTCGTCTCGGGAATTTCTATTCCTGCTCAACAACTTCATCATGCGTCTCCATGCACTTAACACCACGACACGGTTGCACAAGAACATTTTCACGTTGTCGCAGCCTTACAGAGCAGTATTTGCCACCGAGAAACAGCAATGCAAGATGACTCGAGGCCAGCAGAATCGCTTCAGCTCTCTGTTTGAGATAGACAGATCATCCATAAGAAGATGTTGATCACTGCAACTCCTCCACGTCTTACTAGATCATCCTTGGAAGTTCAAATCAAAGGCCAAAATTCCGCCAAAGACTTCATCACACCGCGGCTCTTCCAATACAATCCCCTATCCCAACCGAAGTTCACGTGGTCCTGTTTCTAGCGTCTACAGTATATGGACGTCATGGCGAAGAGCAACGCAAGTTCTGCAAAGAATGCCACGAAGTCCAAGGAAAAGTTTGTTTTTCTCCTCAAAGCCCTCTTCCATTTCCATCTACTAAGTAATATCCACAGCAGGCACATCCTCTCGAAAGCAAATTCCGGCAAAAAGACAAAGAGTCCTCGACAAGCACAAAGTCACCATTTCATCAACGAAGGTTCCTGCAGGAATGCCGACAGTTCAACTGAGGTTCAAAAGATCAGGAAAGAGTGCAAAGTTCAGCTACAGAAGTGGGCGTATGAGAACATGAGCACGAACATGACGTTTGCTGAGAGGATGGAGAGGAAGAAGTGGGAGGACCAGACTTGAATGAGAACTGCAGCAGGGATGCTTGAAGGGAGAGGGTTTAGGATTCTGTATTTCATATGATCCTTCATGAGATGTATTTCAGAGAACATAATGATACCATCCAACAACATGATTATTCCTCTCCTGTGCAATCTTGCTTTGCTAAAGTAAAGTCGATTGTGGATACTTCATCTGATGCTCAATCAAATCAAGTACTGGACTCTTGGCAGGTCATAAGTAGAAACGCTGACAAAGAAGTACCATAATTGGTCTATTTTCAAAGCAAGCCGTATTGGGGCTGTTGGTCAGCCGCAGTTCTGCGCCCCACTGCAGAATTCTCGAACTCCCTTTCACGACATATACGCACCAAACATCCACCCCGGCCATATTCCACCATTTTAGTTCCATGGATGGAAGCGACCGAATGGCGTTGCTCGAATCGTATCCAATTCTTTTCTGTTCAGGCTAAATGCCTCATTAGTCGCATATCCAAAGACCGAAAGTTCATTTGCACCATGGTATGCAGCAAAGGGAAAGAAATGGACCAGTAAGCATCCCTGGATTCACTCCCCAAGCTGTGCCACTTTGATCCAGGACGACTTGTGTAATACTTTTGGAGCGTCGTGGATTCAAGAGCAACATTGTGCCTCATAGGACTTTCCATCGCAGTTTTTTAACTGCCACAGAAATGTTGCTCGAATGGAAACGGCTTCTCTTAGACTTCACTGAGTTTTCTTCCCATTATATCCCATTCTATTAGATATTTCCATCTTAATCAACTCTGTTACCGAGGATCTCTATCCTGCTAAGAACTCTTCATGTTGTAAAGGCAGGAGTTTTACAACCACAGGAAAAGAATGTCCTCATTCAACACGGCCATCCACGTTGGTTTTTGGACGAACTACTCAAAAGGAGTAATTCTAGGCTCGACTTTGACTTTAAACAACCGCAATGCTGGTATACTCATCGCCGCAATTGCGATCTTCATTCAAGTCTGTGTACTCCACTTCTGTGACTTTCTCTCACTTCTTATGTCTTGTTTGGTGGAGATGTACCAAGTGGAAACGCAACCTGGGAATCTCACCATCAGTTAGAGGCTCAACTGACATCATGGACAGCTTATTGGCGGGCAATCATGGGGGATTGTACGATTTATCGCACATCAGTTATGTACAACCACCCAATCTAGGGACGGCCTGCATCACCAACAACAAGCGATTCTGCGCAACAACAACTCCGACATCAGCACTATATGGATGTTCGCAAGGATAGGATATGCTTGGCACTCCCGATGTCCCAAAAGCTTTCAAAAATCCATTTCTCTCATTCTTATAGGAACTTTTCACTTGCTAGTATTTGACGCAGCTAGTATACTGGCCTCCCATATCACGACGACCGATAGCGAAGTCCTTGTAGCTTCAAGCCCTTACTGCGGTTCATAGGCGCAATCCAATTCAAGCACTTCAGAGGAGGCCATCTTTCGGTATAGCTATCTACAGGAGGCTACCCAATCTAGCCACGAATATGTGCAGAACTGTATGGCAGAATCCCAAGCACTGCCTGAATGCAACATATACAGACGTTTACAACTCAACTGGACCTCGACCACTGATAACCCTTGTCCTTTTGAGAAAATGTGCCTTGGTCCAACCAATAGTACTTTGCATTTAGACACGGGTTTGGTTGATTCTCGCGCGGACCTGGGTATCAATGGCCAAGATCGCACTCAATGGAGGAAGAAAATGAGTTGCGTGCCTATCACAACAGATGGTTATAGTAAGAATGGCACGAGCTCTGTCGTCTACTCAGATGTTCATTATGAGGGTCAAAACAAATTCAACTACACCGCTCTCTTCTATGGAACCAGAAACCTAGACCTTTCGGTTGATCCAGCTTTGATGAATTCGACATATATATACACAAACTATGTGGATATCAGATTCGACCCTTATAGATATACATCTGCATATGATGTTGAGTAATTATATGCTCCCCGTTGCACTATACTGAGCTAATGTAAGTCAGAGCCGTAAGGTCTGATGCAGATCAAGATGGAGAGTTCTCGCCTATCCCAGCTTTATCTGTGCCGGATGCTACATTGACGTTGATTTTTGCTACCTTTTTCCTGTCGTACTTGGAACCCAGCGATGACGCTTGGTTATCCGCGCACACAGAGGTCGACGTAGATATCCTTATAGCCAGCAATTCGGACGACACAGTCTTGAAAACCTACAGTCAAGACCAGCAAGTATCTGTTTTAGCTTGCCGGGAACAGCAGCAGATCTGTAATCCTACGAGACATTCGAATAATACATCCGTTTGCACACCCTTTCGCTCCGTCTCTCACGACTTTACTCGGGACTTGGAAGATGTTTTGGACAATGGCCATCAATTAATGATCGCAAAAACGCTCTTGGACGTCGCCCCTGGATTATCTTTCCCTGATGACATTGTTCGTTCACCCCTGCTGGCGGAAGACTTGGCCGGACTTCCATTGTCAGCTCCACTAGCCCCAAATCAATGGGTACTGGAAGTGGAACATTGGTTTACAATCGGCCTGGCTAACTTGCAACGCCTTATGCTAGACATTGTCACGGGCCCTTCTTCCAGTCAGTACTTACAGTTTATTCCTCAAAATCAAGCCGACAATGATACGGACTTACACTGGATGTGTGGAAATCAAATCATAAGGCGTAGCGACTATTCAAATTTCCGTACTTGTTCGATCAGTCTGATCTTCGGTTTTGGACTTCTCATATATGTGGCCAATCAAAGCTTGGAGACAGTTGTTGGCTGGTTAAGGTTCAAGTGGAGGGCTGGGAGGTCGAGGCAGCGAGCGTGGTGGGCTGAAGGGACGTTGCAGTTGCAACGGCGAGTATTTGAGAGTATGGGAATTCTCAACTGGGAAGTTGATGAGTGGGACAGAATACCCGTCACTGAGGAGTGTAGGATTGGTTGAGCAGAAAGGGATATCAACTTTCAAAGAGTCAGAGATAGGTATTGCGATTACAAAGATCGATTCGAACTCAAACTCAAGCAATGGAGAGGAAATGGAAGTTGAGAACGCAAGGCAATCTTCTTTCCAGACTTCGGCAATAGAAGTCCCGAGAGTAGAGGTAGCCTCGGCGTCTGAGCACTAGCTTCGGGTGCTGTCTTGAAGTACTGTTTGATGTAGGAAGTAAACGAGCTGGATTGGAGTTCAATAAATTACTAGAGCATGTATGCTTCATAAACCATTTAACATCGACGGCTAACCCTCAGCAGTGTCAACCTTCATTCTAGATGACCGTCAACCACGAAGATTCCTCGTATGATGCCGACAAGACTCTCTATGTGCCGAATTGCCAATCCGTCTCACAAGCTCATAATCAACAAAACAAAGCCAACAAAATCCCATTCGACATTTCACACCTAAATTCGTAAGCGTCTGTCCCCTGTGGCAAATCCAACACTTACAGGTCATATGATCACATCCTTCCACCTTCTCGATGTTTGTCTTACATCTTGGACAACGCTTGGTGGTCTGCTTGATCATCTCCTCCGTTGCTCTCTCCTCACTTCTAGCCTTCCGGCCACTGATTCGATAGTCGTATTGTTCGCACGTTTCGTCTTTGTGCCATTTGATGTTATGAATTGTGCAAGCTTTGTAACCGCAGGAATTGCAGGTAAGAATGGGGTTGAGAGAATTTTGTGCATGAATTTGGCCATTGCGGCACGTTGGGTTGAGACACCAGCGAAAGTCGGGAATCTGAGAAAGCGTTGAGCGAATTTGGAGTGTTTCGTAACTGAGGTATAAGGTTAGCAGAGTTCAAGTACCGTAGGTCACTCTTTCTTTCGAGAATAAAGCAAATAGCCTATCATTCAGAATCATTCAAAGATAGAACTGTTCTTAGAGAGATGTCACTTACAGTGCAAATGACGCCTCCGAGGCATGCAGTTTCATGTCTTCATGCCGAAAGAGCTCCTTACAGTTTGTTCCAGGGCATCTGATTCGGTCCCATATAGTGCTTGAAAGTTGTGAGTCTATCCATGCTTTGAGGTCATCGTCGCAGATGCTCGGCAAATGTCGACATCTTCTTGTTGGTCGAATCGGGAACAGAGAAAGTGCCTTGCGGTCACCACACACAGTACAAAGACGGTCTTGCACTTCCCTCAGTGCGACATTGTTCGTGCTTGCTGATATTGCTGACGCTGCGGCTTGAGAGATTTGCCGTGGAAGTGGTGTTGGGGCGATTCGTGAAGGCTGGGGGAGCTCCGTGACTTGCTCAGAATCCGAGTCTTTGCTGACCACATATGCACCGATGCCTAAGACTAACGCAGCCACAGGCATGAAGTCTGGGCGTTGTGGGTTGAATACATATATCACAACACCAAAGAACGCAGCACTAAATAGCTTAGCGTTGACGCGAGGAGAGGTAGATATGTATGCTCTGAGGGCTATGCATGTGGCAGCTATTGTCAAGGTATTGACCTGGCCAGAAGTCAAAACATAAATCTGAACGGCTATCGCAAGGGCGACAGTAGCTAGGATATCGAGTCGTCTAGAAGTCGAGATCCAAGCTCGAAATCCTATGATGACGGCAATTGCAGCTAGAACATGGAGTGGCCAAGAAGAAGTAATCCAAACCACTCCATCTAGAATATGAGAAGCCACAGCGAACAGGTTGTCAAAGTTCGTGAATGCTTGGTAGATTTGCGCGAGGATTGTGACTCCGATTCGAATGCAGATCCAACTCAATCGCAAGATCCAGTCCCCGAGGCTGTTAATGAACAGATTTGTTGCTTGGAAATGTTGAGTGCTGAAACACCAAAACAAAGCTCCATTGATCGCGTTAACACACATGCTTGCGACCGAGAACATTGCAATTAAAAGTGATGTAGCAAACCCAAAAATGGAATGTGCCAGGAATAGCGAGATCCCAACAACTTTGACCACAATACCGATCATCAAGCAGAATGAACGAACGAGAACATAGAGGAATATAATAAGATCGATTATGGTCTCAGCTGAAGGACTTTCCCTGGAGTCCGTGAAGAAATTATAAAGAAAGGGACATAGAAAAAGCAGAAAGTTGAGATGGCAAACGCAGCCTCATGCACGTTCCCGTGACTGGATCAAAGCCACCAGAGCCTCGACCAGTCACAGATTGGAGCGGAGATTCCAGCTGCTGCCTGGTTAAGAGATGTGATAAATGTTAGACATTTTGGATAGATCGACGCAGGAATTGCAAATTTCAGAGAGAACCATACAGAACTTCTACTTCACGGGTATACTCCTCGTCTTGGCTCATGCTCAAAGAACTTCTTTGGCAATACCCACTCTGGATACCGCTCCTCAATTGATTGTGTAGAGTGCCTCACAACATCATATCCAAAGTTAAACTTGTGAAATTCCTCGGGAGTTTCTGATCAATGTCAGTGATATACGCACGTGACCTTTCATTCCATACAAGGACTCTGAGGATACGACTTACTGGGCACTGTATCTGCAGGTATGAACTTGGCCGCATCTCTCCGTATCTTTTCGGGTTCGTCCTGGCCGGCGTTGCTGAATATCTGTATTACGCTTGCTCGCTTGATGCGGATATCTTCAAAAATCCCTATCCGCTCTCCAAGAGTATCCAGCGTGCAGTTCGTCAGCACCATCCCAAGAGCTACCGCATCCTCGATTCCTTGTGCTCCTCCTTGTCCTTGGTCTAGTTGGATTCAGCATGATCACTACTTGCGGGAGAGAGGAATACTCACGAGGTAACATCGGATGTGCAGCATCTCCAAGGAGAACCAACTTTCCTTTGTGCCAGGATGGAATTGGTGCGCGGAAAAGAAGGGGCCATTGCTTAATGTCGGTTGCTTTGCTAGAAATCAGTAAGCATTGAGTCAATTCGCTGAGGGTCTATCTCGCAGCTCACTTGAGAACTGCAAGAAGTGAAGGATGGAAGCTAGAGTATCTATCTAAGAGAGCACTTTTGTCGACTGACGTCTGCCAATCTGACGAAGAATCAGCTTCAGCATTAAAAGTCAGGAAAATACGTCTCATTACCCTCTCGAGAACCGATCACATCACTATGGAAGATGGCAACAAAATTGTGCTCCTCTTTGCTGCTGATTGTTAGCATTGTCTATCAACGACTTGTAACACTCACTTTCGACACGGGTAGGAAACTAGTCTTATCCCTTCTTCAACAAAGAACTTCATACAGCCATTCTCTCCTTTACCGAACCACTCCGTTTCAGGATCCGAGTCTAACGCTTTTGCAGGGATCAAAAATCGATAGGCAAAGTTGTAACCCGTCGTTGGTAGTGCTGGATTTGATGTTCCAAGGATTGCTTCAACAGCAGAAGTGTGAACTCCATCGGCGGCGACTACCAGATCACCTGTTATACTTCTGCCACTAGCAAGTGTAACCGATCCAGCTTCATAATCCTACAATATGGTGAGACCAGATGCAGGGAAAGAAGTTGTACGTACATAGGAAATAACTTCTGACTTTAAATAAGCCACAGCAGGCTTTCCTTCGCCATCGCTCCCAGTCGCAAGCCTTTTCAGCTCCTCATGCAAATCTACTCGATGAGCCAACAACCAAGGAGCACCGAAAGTCGACTCCATATAGCTTTCATCTGTTTTATGGAACGTTTTCAACGACGTACCATGCGCTCGATAACTGCGCTTGCATGTCACGAGTTTTGCCCTTTCTGTGTCGAAACCCCATGCGAGCAGTCCCCGGGAAGCATTTGGTGGAATGTGAATGGCAGCACCAATTTCGTTATTCAATGAGGAGCGTTCATAGACTTCGACCAAATGACCTGCCCGTCGACAGGTAATTGCCGCCGAGAGTCCTGCTATGCCAGCGCCGATGATAATGATTTTGAGCTGTGCAGGTCCTACAGGAGACATGGTTGACGGAAGCATGGGACACCTTAGCATCGATATCATCGGAAACGATTCGACGGTACTTTGAGCGCAGACTTTTGCGAAGTGGTAAACGTATGAGTGTTGCAGTACGATGCAAGAGCATTGAGGTGACTTGATCAATACCAAAACCACGATGAACCTTTCGCCCACTCTTGCTCGATAACAGACTTCCCATTGCAGCGAAATCCAAGTCTGGTAAGCTTGGTAAGACGATTGATAACATGGAGAGATTACATGCAGTAAGAAGCAGAAGAATGAGAAATAGGAAGCATCCCCGGAATGTCTTGCCCAAGATTCGCCAATTTTTAGGGGCCTGCAGACACCACCCTGAACCGCGAGAAATTGAATGCATCTCTGGACATATATCCAACTCGACATAAATATCTCGAGAATGCATGCCATCGCCCGTCAACCAGAATATGCATTTAGCTGGCAAGGATTTTCCATTCTTTGGCTCACCATATGAAGACACATGAGGAAATGTCGCGGCGTAGAACGTCGAGGTCTAGTGACACACTAACCTTACCCACTAAACTCCGCTCCGGGCGGGATGGAACATATGTTGGGCGGAGATGATCGCGGACTGCTATCGCATTCATGAATTGCTTACAGCAGCAGAAGTATCCAGGAAGGTCGAGATTGGTGCGATGTAAGCAGTGCAGTAACCATAGGAAGTTGGCCAGTAGCCTTCCCGAGATGAGACTTTCGGACACTCGACTGGGGACGGAGGCTTTTGGATTATGTCCTCGAGTAGATCTGTGAAGACAACTTTCATTGCGATAATTGTTTCCTTAAAGAGAAATTGCCAAGATGAAGGAATGATGGATTTGGAAGTGGATGATTGAAGGTTTTCGGTGACTTGGCGAACGAACGGTCGGACCTCGTTCCTCGTTCTTCGCTTCAGCAGCTTCCGTGAGCTGACACGACGACGTAAGGTTAACATCCAACCAACATAGCTCAATCAAGAACGGCAATTCTGATTGAGTTTGACTTGGAGCTTGAACCTCCCGTCCTGGAGTCACTCTCAAGCAAATTCCTCGTCTTCGTGAAATCTCTACACAATCTCGTCTTCCCAAATCGTGTATCAGGACAATCAACCCCATCAAACTCAACGAAAATGGCACCCAAACCCTCCTCCTCAAACACTATAACGCGCATCTCCACCATCTACCAAATCTGGTTCCTCTACCTCGAACCCGTCATGGCCCTCGCTGGCACCTACCTCTGTGTCTTCCAACCCGATCGTATGCTAATTGGAACCGTCCCTCTCCCGGCAATCACCATAGCATCTCCAATAACCATCACGCCCTTGATGCAATTGCTCCTGACCAACATCGGGGCCCTTTACGTCCTGTTTGCCATCAATGAAGGACTGGTCCTCAGACTGACGAAAGAGAAGAATGTCTGGTTGGCGGTCATTGGCGCGATGTTGGTGAGCGATGTGGGGCATATTTGGGCTGTCTATCAGATTGCGCCGACGAGGATGGGGGAGTTCATGGCTTGGAACTCGGACGAGTGGATTAATTATGGGACATTATGGTTTGGTGTTGGATTGAGGGCAGTGTTCATGATGGGGTTTGGGAGGAATTGACGTTGGTGTGGTAGAAGGGATTTGAAATGTTGAAGAGGATGCTGGCCATGCTTTAAGGAAAATGGGATTGGGGGAGATTGAGATATGATAGCTGCTTGAATTTTCAAGCTTCTTTGCGGTTGCCCGTCTGCTTATGATGTGTCTAATACTTTTACAAGCCTGTTCGAACCCTTGTGACCCTGATATCTACTGTCTATCGATGTTATACAATGCCCCCCCCTCCAAAAATGCAGCAAAGTCCCAAATAATCCAACAAGTAATGCAGAGTACCCTCTCCACCTCAAGCTTATAACCCAGAATCGTCTTTGGTCGCTGGCCCCGCATTATACCAATTGCTCCAAGCATCACAATCATCCTTCAAATGCCCCATACTCATACGCGTATCAATTTCACTCGCTCTTTCCAAGAATTGTACACCAAGTCCCTCACTCACATGCCATGCAATATGACAGTGCATCAACCATGCTCCGGGGTTGTCTGTTCGGAAAGCGAGAACCAACCATCCATTGCCCGGCAACATCGCAACATCCCTCCTTGTCGGATTGTCAAAGTTCAGATCATCGATATTATTCTCAGTGAAGATGATAGGAGTACTTGAAGCAATGTTGGGAGAAGCGCCAAGACGATAGAAATCGTGACCGTGTAAATGAATGGGGTGAGCTACCGGGAAGATATTCTGGATCACCCAAAAAGCCCAGACATTTGCATCAGGTAATTCATACAGGTTGAGATCTTTGATCGCTTTGTAGGTATCGTTGGACTCGGCGATGTACTTTAGGGTTGGATTCTCCCAGTCGACGTCGATAGAGCCATCATTGATAGTCCAGCGAAAGACTTTGTGGCCATTTTGCGGGACAGATGTCAAGTTGACGGTAAGGGTATTTTGGGCACTGTAGGTCGCTTCGAAATCGTCTCTGGATACGGCCTTGGGAATGTAGGGGGCGAGGGATTCCTCGTCGTAGCAGCGCGGTTCAAAGTCCGCAGGGGTTGATGTTGGGAGATCGAGAGAGGAGCCTTGATAATTGAAGATGGCGACGGTACTTTGGTTGTTGTAGTTGCCACCACAGCCAGCTGGAATCATTGCCCGGAACCAGTAATTTGGAAGATCCTCATCTTGGTCTGCTGTAAACACCACATCGAGACGTTGTCCAATAGCAAGGAAGACCCAGTCTGCATCGTATGGTTCAATTGGTACGAAGTCAGCTTGTACCACTGTGAATTTGTGATTGTCGAGAGAAAGCATATAGGCGTTGTCCACAGCAGTATTGACGAGCCGGAGCATATAGGTGGTTCCCTTGACTAAGGTGTTGTTATGATAGAAACCTCCGTCGCCATTGAGGTTGTTGATATTAGTTCCGTTCACAAGGATGTTGTCGCCCTTAGGAGGACCAGTCCTTTCAGCAGCATGGCCTACATCCCATGTTGAATTGTAATAGAAATCTGTGATTGGTAGAGTACCAAGATCCTCATCGTAATCAACAGTCGAAGGGCCGTTGATGATCATGGTCCCAACAACCCCATCGCCATATTGGTACGAAAAGTGCTGCAACGAATTAGCATAGTAAAAAAACGAAAGTGAGGGGCTCTGGGAGCCGGGAGCTGTCTCAAGAGCTCTCGTTTGTAATATGTATCGGCTCTGCCCGGCTCCCAGAGCCGTCATATAAGAAAACAGTAATTTAGCAAAGGATTTGACATACAGAGTGATACCACGTGGTTCCTGGACGAATAAATTAGCATTGTATAAAGCTGAGAATATTAGGCAGCCCCGATGACCCAGCAAGAGTGGGTCTTTGGGTAGCGTCCCGCTGCCCCATATCTTTGCTCTTAAGGGCTAGAAGCTGCGGAGCTGCCGTACAATAAGACAGCAAGCTGATGACAGAACAAACATACCAAATTCTGTAGCTTGGAACTTGTAGGTCCTTGTAGCTCCAGGTGGAATTGGGCACTCAGTGACACCATTCACGCCATCTTGAGTACACGAGGATTGCTGTGTGATGCCATGCCAATGCATGCTTGTACTGGATGACAGTCAGCTAAGAGAATGTCTTTGAGACAACAGTGCGTACCCGTTATGTTCCATCTTATTTGTAACATCGATTTCAAGAAAGTCACCCCAGTCTGTTTAATATGTCAGTATATGTCACGTGAAATACTGAGCTTGAACTTACTAGCAGTCAAAACTGGACCAGGATATTGACCATTGATGACCAGCATGTCTCTTGCTACACCATCGGGGTATAAAGTTTGGTTGGTAATCTCGAGCGAGTAATGAACCGTTCGTCCGGTATTTGGCCACTCTACCTCGGCATCCGTGTCAATATCAAAATCATCATTCCAGCACCCTCGAGATGTGGGTCCGTGAGTGCATTCAGATGTTACGTTAGTTGCGTTCAGAGGGGATCTTGATATATGTGTAAGGCGTTTATCAGGAATGACAGAAGCCAAACCAAGTCCGAAAACCAGGCAGCTGGACAAGAACGCCTTGACCGCCATATCAAATCTCGAGGCCGTGATCTTCCCCGTATGTAAACAGATTTCTTTGAAGCTGTGAGATATCAAGTGAAGTATGAGAAACGTGCCTGTTAGTGCATAGATATGCTGTTGCTCCCTCGAAACCTTGATGGGCTCTTAGACTTAATGGACCTGCTTTCTTATATGTGCATGCCGTTGGTGGTCGACGGTGAGAGACTCACAGCTGTTGTGCTAAAGTTGGCTCCGCCTTGTTTCCAAGAGCGATCGTAATAAAGTTAGGTTGCAGCCTCAATAAAGTTCGCTCTAGACAAAATAAGATTTTCGCTCATCCGAGCTCGTGCAAGTCCTCGTACAAGCAAATACAACGTAATATTGACAGTAGGCAGACTTGTAACGAGAGCGAATGCACAAAATGATTGGATACAAGGCAGGAGAGAAAAATGGCGCAGGTACATAGGTAGTGGGGTGAAAGTTCCAGGGGCTGGAGAAATGTTTTAAGCATGTCCCAAGACTCAAGTCAGAGAAGCATGGGAAGGAGGCACGGAAGACTAAGCCAGTCAGCCGTTCCATTTTCTCACCGATGATACGATAAATGCTGCCAGTATGGAGGCTGAGGATGTGGATTTGTGTAGAGTAGATCCCAGAGGAGTCAAGCGTGTCGGATCGTTTTACGAAATAGTGTTCGGTGGTGAGCCTCAAAAATATATGGAGTGAACACATTATTGCGACCGTCTGGGTAGCGATTAAAGAGACAGGCGTCCAATGCGATTACAAGAAATGCCAAGATTTAACTATAAAAATACCACCGACCTGCCAAGCAGCCAAGTAGCCGAAAGCTTTTGGCGCTTAGTCGCTTTCGTAAGACACTTTGACTCAGCCGCAGCGAATGGAACTTCCTTCCATGAGACAGTATCAAGACGAAAGGTAATGGACGGACTTCCACATCATGGAAATTTTAATGCGAGCAGGAGAGACGCATGTCCTAATCTGGTGTTGATGGAAGAAAACACATGCTATTTCAGAACTCACCCGCGTGGCGGCAAATCAAATACCCATGTATCGACGATCATTGGACGGCTCGTCTCCAGCCTTGTGGAACTCGACCAGAATGCTGGTGACTAACGCGGCCATCAGCCTTACGAGAACGAGTCTGACTGAATCTGATCTCATACTTAATCTAAACATCAGAGAATATATTAATTCGAGCGCCCAGGACTTGGGATATCCGAATTAGATACCATTTGAAAGCTCAATCAAGCCATGGAGACGAACTTATCGGAGCAGGCCGGGGAAACTCTTTCTAAATGAACTCTTGGCGATGCGATTGAATACCAACAAGGCGCACGATCAAAGGAAGCAGTTAAAGTCGCCAGCATGATTAAGCAAAATAGATATATCGTCAGAGAGCCACGGACGAATTTCCATGATCTCGACAAGAAAGAATTAAAAATTGTTATCAGCCAAACAAAGACTTCAATCGAAGCGTAAGTCGCAGCGGCACAAGCGATTGCGAGCGGACCGGGTGCAGGACAGAGCCACATCGGACTGCATCTCAGCGTCATCAAACGACAATCGAGTCATCTTATGGCTGTCGTACCTAGGGCGTCCCCAGACGATTCCAGCATCGGAGAAGCAAAGAGCCAGGCATGAGAATGTGTAGGGGGATGCAGGTGTCGGATTTGCGATACGAAAGACTGCATAATTGACACCAAAGTTTTGGGCATCCGCAGCTGGAAGAAGAAGGTTTGACACCCACCAATAGACCAGCATGATGTCAGTCCTTGGCAACAGCAAGGCCTCGAGATGTATGCTTGGGACTTGCGGCTTCGTTGCTGTACTGCAAAGACATCCTGCCTTTACGTCTGCATCAGTCTGCTCCATTCGACGCCCTTCTCATATTGCCAACGTCAAGAGCCAAAGACGAACTGCTATTATACAAGCTGTCCTTCTCGCCTTGTGTCTGCTTTGCAGAAATATAGATCGTTCTGCGTGTAACGTTCGTGATAATCTTGTCGTATTAAGGTATGTAATCGACAGTGTTAATGGGGCTGTGGATTCGACATGAGAACGCGGCTCAAGATGTTCGTGAAAATGGGCCACGGAAGGCCAGGCTTGGTTGACTGGCGTCCGCAGAGCCGTTTGCTTCGTGAATTGTGATTATGGGACAGAGAAGATCGGCGGGGCAAAAAGCCTGAAAGGTTCAGTCAAGAGGAAGGATGCAGTACTTCGTACACAAAATAGCAATGACAGTCTGCTTCGCTGTACGAAGACGACTGCGAACCTGAACGAGTGATACACCAAGAGCGGCAGAAACAAAATCCATCGCTCGAGAGTCGCATGGTGCTTGGAGGGGAAGCTCGGCAGATCTCGAGGTTGTGGGGAATATGCAATCACTTCATTGCCAGATACCGAAGCTTGATGTTGCAGTCAGTGTTCGCTGATGAACCCGAATTATTCTCAGATGTGGTGATTACTAAGCGGGCGCGAGCCATGGCATGGGTATGCCCAGGGTAACGCTACCTTAAGTTGCTCCTACCACAAGCCACAAGGTAAACATCTCGATACGCCTCGACATGTGAATCCTCCGTAAATCCTGTTGGGTTGATCTTCTGTCTCATCCAATGAGGTCCTTACCTTTCCTATCGGAGTCACAACTCGTGATTTGAGGCGCAGCAGCCTCACAGCTCAGCAGGCTACCAACCTCCAGGCAACGAGAACGATCTTATTTATATTCTATCTGGTTGATCAATCTGAAGAACGTCTCGCCGCCCTACTATATTGACGACAAATTGTTTCAATCAGCCTTTCGTGACAGAAGTCTCCCGAATCCTTTGATCAGTATTTTTTCAACCATGGATGATCATTCAGAGGGCCAGGACTTTGTGTTACTTGATGATAATGACATCGATGGCTACAACGACGATGAGATTCTTCAACAAGCCCCCGAGGTCCTCGCTGAGATCCAGAAGTGGCTTCAACCAACTGACTATGGCGCCGAGTCCAGCGAATATAACAAACATCTGAACTCTCACGTCCCAGGTACCGGCCTGTGGATTCAAGAGACAGAAGCCTACCGCCAATGGCACGACTCATCAGACCATGGCTCACTTTGGACGAAGGCAATTGCAGGAGCTGGAAAAAGCGTGTTTGCGGCCATGATTGCAAACAAATTGAAAATTGAGGAGAATGTTCCTGTGGTCACGTTCTTCTTTCGTCAGATCATCGCCACAAATCATGACCCGCAGTCGCTGGTCAGAGACTGGATTTCAATGACCCTCAATCACTCCCCGCCCCTTCAAGCCAGAATGAAGAAATATATGGACGATCGGCGAGCTCTTCACAATATCTCGACCAACGAGTTCTGGCAAGATATCCTGCAAGCGCTAGTTTCTTTACCGAAAGTGTACTGCATCGTTGATGCCCTAGACGAAATGGATATCGACAAACAAGATTTTTTCAAGAATCTGGTTAGTCTGGGCAAGCGGAGGCCTTCATCGATCAAATTGGTGATGACAAGTCGTCCTTTACCACGTATCGAGGCATTTTTGAAGGATCCATCGATCCTTCAAGTGAGACTTGAACAGCTGAAAGTCGACAAAGACATTGCTTTATATGTTGATTATCGACTAGATAGGCACTCTGAGATGAACTCAGAACTTCGAAGTGCTGTGAAACAAGCGATCGGGCTGAAGGCACAGGGCTCATTTCTCTATGCAAGACTCATGATGGATGAACTTCTGGATCACATGAAACAGATGATTCCAGATATCAAGTTCATTCAACGAAGTCTGGACTGGCTCCCATTAACTTTGGAAGATATGTACAATGGGATGCTTTATGATCATGCTCTTCGGACCCAAATACCACAGCACCTGCAACTTACCATCCTACAGTGGGTCACTCACTCATCACGACCACTTCGTCTTCTGGAGCTTGCAGCGATGCTTGATTCACAAAACAAATCTGGAAAAGTTGCAAAAGACACCAAAGCGGTAGTGCGTGCTGCTTGTGGGCCTCTTCTCGAGATTTTGGAAGACGAAACTGTTTCAGTTATACATCACTCATTCACGGAGTTCTTGACTGACTCGGGGAGGACTTCGAGAGAAGCACCGCATAACTCGCATCCTCAGTTTCCTGTGATCGACTCTCAAGAGGCTCACAAATCCATGGGGCATACCTGTCTTGGGTACCTCGGCTCGGGCTGCCTACTCAGCTGGAAACTGGAAGAAAGAGACGACGATGCCGATTTCTACTATCCTCGAAATAAGACCCAGCAAGGAATCAAGATGTCGTTTCCATTCCTGGATTATGCGATGAACAACTGGTACGTCCATATTCGCAAAGCAGGATCTCTTGATGCACTTCTTCTTGGGGAGCTAGATGCTTTCATGAAAACAGATAACTGCCATTTCCGAGCGTGGATTGATATGGTCTGGGCACACACCAAAAACTTGTCTAAGGTCTCGGCTCTGCACGTTTCCTCCTGGGCAGGAATATCAGTCTATGTCAAGCACATCATTGAGCGTGGGGATGAGATCAATGGCCGAGATAATCGCGACCGAACTCCTCTTTCCTGGGCAGCTGCCAAGGGTCACACCGAAGTTGTTGCTCTACTACTTGAGAAAGTACCTGATCCGGACTTGGACGATTACAATGGGCTCAAACCATTACATTATGCAGCTCAAGTCAATCACCATGCAATTGTAAAATTGCTGCTCAGCGCAGGAGTCAGCCCATTGACAGGAAAAACAAGAGATCCCGGTCGTCGTTGCGGAAACTCCCCGTCCACAATAGGTGAGAGCCCGTTGATGTATGCTTCACAGTCAGGTTGTGCAGAGTCAGTACAGGAGATGATCCCCTATCTGGACACGAAAGACCTCAACAGAGCTCTGGGCTGGGCTGCGACCCATGGTAAAATACAAGTTGTAGATCTGCTTCTTGCACTGCCACAAGTCTCCGCCGAACCACCAGAGCACATGGACGCACCACTGTTCCTCGCCTCCAAAGGTCTACATTATCAAGTAATGCAGGCTCTTCTAAAGCATGGTGCAGATCCCAATAAGCGGTCCGTAAATTATCGTCATATGATGTCAATGTCTGAGAGCGGCTCAACTCCGATGCATGCTGTCTGCGGCCCCAACGGTCCACGGGGTGTCTCGCGACAGTCTGATCCTGAGAATATGGCGAAATGTTCCAGACTACTTCTCGATGCAGGCGGCGATATTAATGCAATTGATGGGTCTGGAAAGACGCCATTGCATTACGCTGTTGGTGAAAAGGGGGGCGACCAAGAGGATGATTCAATTACCAAGATCCTACTTGAAGCAGGAGCCGACCCGTCTGTGGTGGACAACTCAGGCGACACACCCTTACATTTGGTTTCCCTTCATAAAGATTCCGGATCTCTGATCGAGTTACTTCTCGCTCATGGAGCTAGTCTAGATGTGCGGCGCTCGTCAGACGGCAGAACTCCTGTCCACGCTATGATGAACTGCATCCATGAAATAAACGTCAAGCCATTACTCCCGCATGTCAAAGACTGGAATATCCGAGACTCGAAGGGCAATTCCCCACTGCATATTTTACTCTCAACGTCCTACCATCCAGCAGGCACTCTTCAAGATCTTCTGGATGCCGGTGCTGATCTAAATTGCAGAAACAAGGCGGGAGAAGCCGCGATACATGCTCTTAAAGAGACAATGCCTGGTGGCAACAATTCTGTTCTGCCAAGTCTGATTGCAGCGGGCGCTGATCTGGAGACAAAAGACAAGGAAGGACGAACATATCTCCTGCGAATGTTGAACAGACATATGCACCACAGCGAGGATCCATTGAAACACGTCTTGAATCTTGGTGCAGATATCAAAGCTCGCGATTATAATGGTGATGATATTCTACATCTCGTTTGCAGAAAAGTCCACAACACAAACATGGTCAGTCAATTTGTATATTTGTCTTACCCTCTAAACTTACTTTGTTTCGTAGGTTCAAAATCTTCTAGCTACTGGGGCTGATCCTCTCACGACAAACCATGCCGGGAATACTCTTCTCCACGAAGTTATGGCTACCTACACCGCTGGTGACGCTGAATACACCGTTGGCCTGATCAACATTCTGTTGGACGCTGGGATACCGGCTGGGGCTCGTAATAATCTTGGTCAAACTCCTTTCCACGTGGCAATGACCCTTTCGCCGCCGTCGTATCTTGGTCCTGAAAAGCTGGATCCCTTAGAGGAAATCTTCAAGACTGGGCTTTCAGACTTCATCAACGCCGAAGACAGCAGTGGTGTTCGACCCATACATCTGGCAGCGACAATCTCTGAGTTCCTTGTGGCACGACTGATCCGTCATGGTGCGGATGCAACCGCTGTCACCAACGATGATATGTCTCTACTCCATATTGCTGCTAGAGCGAGGGAGAGTAACGTGATCGGCCTTCTCTTGGAACATTTCTCTAGCACTGGGCGGACGGATATCTTACACCTGCGTGACAGCGTTGGTCGTACTGCACTTCACTATGCATGTCGATCTGGCCGTCCTGAGAGTGTAGCTTTGCTACTCAAAGCGGGTGCTGCTCCAGATATTCTGGATAACAATGAGCGATCGCCACTCCATGCATGCATTGAGTTCGAACAAGAGAGGATTCAACAAGATACAGATCTTGAGAGACCCAATCCATTGCGACCAGTTTCGCTGAATGATTTCTGGAACCAGCAGCGTCAGAAAGGCCAACGTCGATCGATGTGGAGTAGTATCTCTACGGAGGATGATACTACTAGAATACGGGAGATCATCCGTCTCTTGATAGACTACGGCTCCCCCGTGATATTCAGTAGGGATCACGCATTCAGACGCGCTCAGAACTCCTCGCCATTAATCTTAGCCGTCTCCGAAGGTTGTGCTGAGATGGTCGACGAGTTGTTGCCGGTCGTGGAAAAGGCGATGGCAGCTGCCAAAGCGGAAAACAAACCGTGGGCCAGTTCCACTGCTCAGCCCTTTCAACAACAATATCTTCTCAATACCATAAATCCAGAACTATCGACTGATTACATTGGTAAAGATGGAGATGCCCAACAGATCAGCAATTACTTGCTTGCGCTGAGGCAACATAAGGCTATAGAAAAATTACCAGCTTTGGGTGCTGATTTCACACCACGACCTGGGAACTGGGATCTGTTCACCACTCTGGCACGATACGGCTACGTGTCAATGCTTGATAAACTTGGATCGTCCATTTCGAAGCCTGGTTGGGTGAACGGGATCGAGAGCCAGAGTCAGAATCCCCACGATTCTCTCAGACCATATCTGATAACGGCAGCATCCAGATCGTTGCCGAATCTTGATATGATCAAGCTCCTGGTAGAGAAATTTGGTGCAGACGTCAATATTCAACCGAAAGTGCGTGTTTACCGATCTGGTGGCAGTGAAATTATGCCAGATGGAAGTGCTCTGCATATCCTATGTCAGGCTAATTATTGGTGGCAAACCGAAGCTATCGAGTACTTACTGTCCCAAGGCGCTAGCACCGAACTCAGGAATCAGAACGGACAGACTCCATTAGACGTCGCTATCAGCAAAGACCATTCTATGGGTACCTATCGTCGAAGGGAAACAGCGAAGATTCTTCTCGAACATGGAGCAAATCCTAACGTCATGGATGAGAAAGGATTAACGTGCCTCAATAAAGCAATGCATGACATTGAACTCGTCCGTCTTCTCATCAAGCATGGCGCAGACATCTCGTTTGGAGATCAATCAGTCCTTTTCTCCGCCATCAATGCACAAGATGTCCAGGCTGTGGCTGCCTTGCTGGAATCTGGTGCTGACTGCAACATAAAGCCCAAACCCATTGACCGTTCGAAGCTTCTTCCTCACCAGCGAACCAATAATCGCATGGTCGATGCTGAATACTACGCACTTCATTATGCTGCGAACCCAAAATTCAACACAACAAAGAAACGCGACTCCGCCATTCAAATCCTCAATCTGTTGTTGAAACATGGAGCGAACCCTTACATTCAATACAGTGAGGATGGAACGATACTGCACGATATAATGCAGACTGGGGGTATTATAGATCCGTTCCTAGAACTTCCCGATTTGCAGCTTGAACATCGAGATCCCAAGGGAAGAACTCTCCTTCTTGCCGCTTGTCAATCGGGTTATGCTAGCACGAACCCAGCTGCTGGTCGTCCTCAATCTTTCTTGCACTCAAACACTCCATCGAGACTCCCGCAGAGAAAGCTGGGTGACCCGTGTCAATGCCTTGTGATATTCGAGAAAGGGGGAGATCTAACAGCGGTTGACCACGAGGGAAATAACGTATTGCATCTCATGCTTCAAGCAGGGCATGATGGTGACGAATTCAAGAGGGCCTTCCGTATGTTTTTCGACAAGGCACCTTCTCTTGTCGCTCAGAAGAATGCTCAAGGCAACACTCCATTCCATGTCGCGACATCAGGACAGCGGTTCTGGGCCAGAGACACCTTGATGGAAGCAGGAGCAGATCCACTAGACAAGGACGGAGACGGCAAAACAACGCTCCATTATCTCGCACACCATCTATGCTCGCCCTCGGCAGGGGAGTCGTGGCTTCCTATGTTCAAGAGATTCCTCGATCTCGGTCTGTCAATCAACGAGAAGGATAACGTCGGCCAAACCCCAGTATTTGGATACTTTGCCTCCTCCTCTGGCTCCCTGTTTGGTCCTGGTTCTATGTTCGGTCAAGGAAATCCCTGCACCCACAGAGAATTCTATCAGCCTTGGGAGGACGCTGGTGCGGATCTGTTTGCGAGGAACAATACTGGTGAGACGCTGCTGCATGTGGTTGCAAAGCAGACAGCGAACGATAGGTTCAACCGTTCCACCAGGGACACAGTTGACACTTTCAAGTTCTTGATTGAAAGGGGACTGGATCCGATGGCTGAGGATAATAATCAGAGAACAGCTTTGGTGAGTTCCCTTCTCGATCTGTAAATATTGTCGCTAATGATTTCTAGGATGTTGCTGCTGCATGTAGCAACGATGCTGTGTTGGCACTCTTCAAGCGAGACAAGCAGTAAACTATGGTAAGAAATAAGGAGGGAATTGACGTCGGAGATAGTTGTTGAATGCGAATAGGATTGGACTTCATCTTATCCTGCCTGAGGAAGTTGGGATAGTGAGACAAACAGCGGAATTAGGTACACCTCAGCGTCACACAAATAAATGGTAGTATACGCCCAAAAATGACAAAACGTGCGTACAATCTGATACCATGGGGCTACTCGGTAAAGCATCACAGCAGTGATTGGCATGTTGCAAGCGATGCGGAGTTGGTGATTCGATGAAATGCTGTGCCGCCGCCAAAGAACACTCCGCACTTCATATTCCGACTCCGTACCCACGCCTATTTTCCGAGCTGCTTCGGAGATACCTTCACGTGCAAGATAAACATATACATCTTATGAGAAAGGTATAAGTAGCCCTATTCTCTTCTCCATTGTCTCCTTTTCAATTGAATATCTCAAGTCTTCTTCTTCCAACAAAAGTTTCCAATTGAACCCGCTTCTCGTGTGTAACTTTGTCTCCTTGTACCACCTTCTTCAACGATACCCCTCGCAGCAGCCATCCTCAACTTCCTTCCAAACCACTACCCATCACACACTTTCACAAAACCCCCCACAGCAAAATGCCCAACCATCTCCACCAAGCCAGCAAAATCGACGCTCTCGGAAAAGCCCACCTGCTAACCCCCAACCCGAAACTCGACGCCGCCCTCTCGAACTCCAAATCCAACAGCCTCCCCGATATAACCATCACGCCCCTCCAAGGCCAATACCTCGCCATCCAATGCAAGCTCCAGCGCGCCAAGACCGTCCTCGAGATCGGGACCTTGGGCGGCTACTCGACGATCTGGTTCGCGAGCACCGGCGCTCACGTAACGTCTATTGAGATTAATCCCAAGCATCGCGACGTTGCGGTCGAGAATACGAAGGGGCTGGACGTGGAGATTGTCTTGGGGGCGGCGCTGGATGTGTTGCCGAAGTTACATGCGGAGGGGAAGAAGTTTGATTTTGTGTTTATTGATGCGGCGTGGGAGGAGCAATTTAGCTATTTTGAGTGGGCGACGAAACTTGCGAGGGTGGGTGGCGCGATTTATGTCGATAATGTGGTGAGGGAGTTGTTGGAGGAGGAGGAGTTGGGGGCGGAGGGGAGTTTGGTGAGTAAGGTGGGGAAGATGAGGGGGGTGCAGGCGAGTTTGATTACGACTTGTAGTAGTCATAAGGGGGTGGAGGAGGAGATGATGGATGGCTTCATGTTGGCGATTGTTGAGGGTGAGAATTGATGCGAAGTGGTTGATGGCGGGGTAGAATGAGGGATAATTTCTTCATCGATATGTGACAGACGAGAATCATGAATATGGAATTTTGTCCCCAATTCTCATTTATTTTTCGTGTTACTAAGTTGTGTACATCGAGTCGAAAAGTATTATTAAACATTAGAGAAATTCCTCCATCCAAAACTTCTCAAACACACCAAGCTGCAACACGAATGGTATCATCAAGATAGCATGCAACGAGTGGTATCATGACAGACTGACAAAAGAAATGGCCCCGCATGTTTTTTGTCCATCTTCCCTTCCCGTCATTGATCGTCAATCATCAATCTTCATCACCGCCCACCATTCGCTGGCTTAGACAGTCTCAGGTGCAGCTGCAGCTGCAGGAGCACTAGCCTGAGCCTCAGCCACCTTCTCCTCGTGAGCTCTCTCAGGCAAGTCCGTTCCATGAGCAACCCGACCGTATTGCGTGAAGTACAGATTCATGTTCCTGTAGTCCCAACTATTGGCCAAGACCAAGACGCCAATGGACAGGAACGGGACGGTGAATAGATCCAAGATACCAAAGAAGATGAATCCGCTCGTAACACCAATCTTGTTTCCTCCATCGTCGACACCCCATGCGATTGGGTATAGCATCCAGAAAAAGACGAGGTAGCCGGCAAGAGCAGAGTAGTGCCTCGTGATGTTGAGACGCTTGGCTGTGATGGAGCCGATGTGTAGGAGAGATGCGGAGAGGAGGAAGTAGGCGAGGAGACCGAAGGTGAAGAATCCCCACTTGTAGGTTGAGGGAGTCATGGCACCAGCGAGCCAGATGGCTACCCAAGCCCATACGAGAGCGATGTTGTAGATAATTGTAGCCCATGAGACGCCAGAGACGAGTCCGACCGCTAGGACGATTGGGGTCCAGCCGACGAACCTTTACTCATTAGCTTGTCGTTCTTGCAATTGATGGGGTGTGATGGCTGAGACTTACCAATTGATGTATCTAGCATAGAAGATTTGTCTTGTTCCAGCGGTGTTGTCAGCAGTCCTGATAGCAGTAGAGCCCAAGTCCGAGGCCATGGCGAAGTAAGTAACAGAGCCTGTCAGGAGGGAGATTATGAAAAGATAATGGAAGATCTTCTCTCCTTGCTTGGCGAAATAAGCTAGAAGAATTGTCGCGATGAGAGTAATACAGTACACCGCGCAGACTGCCCATAGCCAGTCTGAGCCATGGACGACTAGATGGAATGTGCCAACGGGAGGGTTGATGTTCAGAGCATCGTTTGATCGATCGAGGAGAATGACACCCATTGCGAATTTGTGCGACTTCTTGTTTTTCCGAGGATATACTGAGTGTTTGATTTACTGTCTTAATGGACCATCACTTGAACGGAAGCGGGCGTGGCATAATTATATACCCCTCTTCTATCCAACAATCACATCATGGAGAATTCGGCATCTGACAAACGGACAATCACTCCGGGAAAGCGACCAGAAAACTGGTTCCAATCGCTGACCATGCATCGCGATACTTCACGATCATTGGGAAGCCTCCGGAATCCTTCTCCCTCCGCGAGCAAAGAACCCCATAATCAGATGATGACATGCGTCAGAGAGTGAGAAAAAAGAATGCAGCATGTGATGAAGCTATTCAGGAAATGATGACCAAAACCATTTCAGTACCGTGCTTGGGCGCGGAAGCGACGGCGATGTGGTGGTGTTATGTTTTGCGGAGAAGAAAGATTGTTGGACGATCGTGAAGAGAAACATGGTGGTTGTGGTCAAGGGGTTCGGCATGTTCGGGATGTGGTCGAACAATTATTGGATGAGGATGTTGAAGCCGAGCAATGAGGAACATTGAATGATTGACGCATATACCGACATTGCAAAGACAGGCATTTGGCAGTACCGGCAGGGAAAGTAAAGCGATGGCCAGTCCCGTTGAGAGAAGAGGAGCAAAGTAGGAGCAAAGTGTGAACAGTGCTGCATCCTGCAACTCTCGTTCGATAATGAGCATGAATGATCGACGTATGGATGGAAAGCTCCGGTGCATCCGCAGTCCTCAATTGGAGGGCTAGGTATTGCACCGCATCGAACGTTATTGAGGGGATCAAATTTTGATGAGGGGTATAGTTGAACATGATATTGAAACGATATATCGTGATCGTGGCGACCAATGTGCGACATCGCTGTGACCACACTCAACGGCAGCTCGAGCGGGTTCGCCATGTGGACATTTACCTCCGGATTACATACCGCAATACTTTGATTATTTAATGTTGCATTCACAGAAAGTTCTAGAGAGGCATGCCGGGGGGTGAGCTTCGGCCATACAGGCTGTTGCAGATCTCGAGATCTGGGCATGGCGGTTCTGTTGATGTCTCATGCCTGTATCCACTTGCAGCTTTATCGGTGCATTTCCTCCTTATTGTTTTGCCTGAAGTTCGAGTTTGCATTCGTTGGTGTTGTGATGAACGGCTACGGCCTATGGTGGGGCGTTCCGATCGCGACGTTCTGAGCTGGTCATCCGTTTAAGGGCATCTTCAAAGATGCATTCAGGCCCCTTCTTGATCATTAGCTCTTGGATATCATGCCATTACCTGTTAATTTCCATGCCGAACCATGCTACCATAATCCGAGTCATTTGAACTGCCTTTCTTAGCATAGCTTCTGTTAAGCGAAAGAAAATAGGGGGGCTGAGGATCTCAAGCGAGACTAGCACTTTTCATTTCTATAAACTTCCGTCTAAAATTGCGACCTCTTCACATGAATGCCAATTCCTTAATCACAGCGTCTGCTCGTCCATCTCTTTCTTTCCTCAGTTCAGCGGCAAGTTCTTTTGTATTGTCTCTGATCCTCTCGCCCTCTTCACCACGCGCTTTGGTGAAAACAGCTTCGAACTCTTCTTTCACACTCTCGAGGTCACCTTTAATTAGCTGTCCAGTCCTCATAGCTTTACCTTTCGCGCTACCTTGACGAATCTTATCCACTATCAGCTCTCAGACTTCCGGGCGAATACTCGCATTACTCACCTGCAAAAACTCAAATCCCAATGGCTTTTCTCGTGTCGACAACAACGCTGCGTTAGTTGCTTGGTCACCTTGCGCGAGCGGCCAAATCATCATCGGGACTCCTTGAATTAAGCTCTCCGCAATGCTATTCCAGCCACCATGTGTCAAGAACCAACCAACAGCTTGATGCTCAAGAATTGCTTGTTGATCAACCCATGCGTTGTGGATGAGTCTCTTCCCGGAAGCGTTGATCCGCTCAATGAGAGATTCATCGAGGGAGTTGGTTGCTAGACGGCCACCAAGGGCAAAAATGAAGGGGAAGGAGCAGGATTCGAGAGTGGTGAGCAGAGCGGTCACGTGAGCTGGCTCAGTGGTGGGAAAGAACATGGAGCTTGAGTTGCAACAGTCAGTGACTGTCGAAGAGATCTTCAGGAGCATGATTTCCTTGGCTTACCCAAACGATATATATAGCACAGACTTGGGCTCGAACTTATCCAGAAAGTTTCGGATATTGTCGTCCTTGAGAGCGAGTCCTGAACTCCACCCCCTTGGTGCAACAGAAAGACCGACTCCGTATATTTTTTGTATCTCGCCACATGCTTTGAGAGCATCTCCTTCAATAACCTCAGATGATGCGCAGATAATTCCATCGGTGTTCTTCGCGAGGTCGACCATTGTGCAGAGCATTGGAGCAAGACCGGCAGGTGTTGGTCCGTTGCTCGCTTCACGTTCATAGTCGTACATGTCTTTCATTCCTGGAATCTTGAAAACTGTGCCGTTGAGTCGATCAGTCCCGTTCTTGGCTTTGCACACCTAAAGCGCTTGTTAGTCGGAAGCTGTCACCTGACCAGTGTGCTCACCTCTTCCAAGATCCCAGGTCTTTCCCTTCCATCCCGAAGGCTGTCATCCTTGAGATACTTCTCAACGGTCTCCTCATAGTCCGCAAACCCGCCAAGCCTGCCTGGAACTAGAAAGCTATAAAAACAGCTTGTGCTTGGCGTCCAATGCATGAATGTCTTGCATTCTGGTCCCACAATCTTCCTGGCATCTGGAAGAAACATGTTGGTGCCAAATTGATCTTGGATGAGTACTGTCGGCTTGGGCCATTCCGCATCATTTGCGGCGAGTTCTCCAAGGGTCTTGAGCCAGCCGTCACCGAGCTGTTTGAATGCCACCATCATGAAGTTGGCTCCTTCCATCTTCGCGACTCTGGAGAGAGGTTAGCAATTGAAGCGTACGAGCGATTGATGGTTGTACTCTGGATCTCCAACACCCACAAGACGAATTCTGTCTTTTGGTATATCTGCATATTGAGCAATGTCTGCTTCAGCTTTGGCCACTATGATGCATAGTCAGTATCTCTTCCCCCACGATTTCGCTTGAGCTTACAAGTCATAGCATGATGCACAACCGTGGTCACTAGCGACGGATTCAACTGCAACATGCGCACCATGAGTGCATTTCCACTCGTGATGTGTCCCCAAGCCGGGACGAGAAGCCAAACATGATGCTGCGTGTAAGCCATGTCGGTATCTGTCTCGAGATAATTCGTCAAATCAAAATTCCAAAGGCATACATGGAGTTTGAAGCTCGAAAAAGGACCTCTTTATGCAGAGACCTTCGATGGCGCATCCCCCTATTCAGTAGTGCTGACCATAGGGCTGTCAGCTCGCTAAGAGCGCAAATGTTTCCACAGGGTTTAGTGACTTTAATGTCTCCGGCGCCGTCTGAATTGATTGGCTGCTTTTACTGAGAGTTACGACAAGCGAAGAACTTATTCAGAATCCACCGCGAAAATGATTTACTGACTGCCTTTCTATATCCTCCCTCCAGTCATAATCGCCTTTTTCTCTACTACTTTGAGATGACTTATCCGCATATTATCAACTCGCACCTCTCTGTCCCAAGGAGAGCTTTTCATTTCTGCCTGTAGCGCCTCGAATCTCTCTCTGACAGCCTCAATCGCAGCCTCCCACATATTCTGTCGTATCTGCAGGCTTATTACTCGGTATGTTTCAGCAGCAACAAGATTCCGCTGCTTTTTCATGTCTTCGGATAACCGCGATAATGTCGTGATTGCCTCCTTGCTCTGTCTATTAATGACCTCTCCGAAGGCGATCTCGAGATACTCTATCTCGTTCTGCAACCTGCCGTTTCGGTGAGCTTTGTATAGATCTTCGAAGGCTTCGCGTTCCGCATTGCTCGGCTGTTTTAAGCCAAGATGCGTAGGCTGAACGCTATGAACAAACACGAAGCAATCCCATGGGGTATTGCCATTATCATCTGTGAGTTCCGTGTGGATTAAACACGAACGTTGCTCCTTCAACAAACTCAGCGCGTCGAACCAGCAATACATCGCTGCGATATTTGTTGGTCATGGCCACCTAGATAGAAGACTTACTGGTCCAGACTCCAGCCTCGTGCCAATTTTGGAAGGCGATCGAGTGTTATCTCGTATTCTAGTGCAAGTACTACTAGTTCGGTGATTATCAAGCTGCTGTGCGTATCTCACTTTAGCTATTTCATACGCTGAACAGTCAAATTGTTCACACTTGCCATAGTGATTTGTTTATTGAAGTTGATACATGTCTGGCAACAGTGGTAGTGATTACAGATATGTTTACAATTTTAACGAAAAGCAAAAGAGGGATTGGTAAGTTCAATGACTATTCTGAGTATTTTTCTCGTATAATAGAACAACATGATGAATAATTCTAGCACCTTATACGAACAACATATTCAATCTGGCTTGGAAATAATTCCAAGCCGTCATGGCGCCGTATTTAGCTGGAAAAGACGGGGAAATGAACTCGTCCAACGTTGCGACGTTCTCGTCGCGACCCGGCTTCGCAAAGTAAGCTATGCTATACCGGTCTCCCAATCTCGGCTCAGCGTAGTCGACTGGGAGGCGGACCCTGTGCTTGGTCGAGACCAGGACGTTGTTCGTCCACCTCTGCATGCAGTCACCGATATTGACGATTACCTCACCTCGGCGCTCCACAATTGGCAGATAGGTACCGTGATGCGTCTGGTCCTCTATCTCAAGACCTCCGACGTTGTCTTGGAAGAGAAGTGTAAGGGTTCCAAAGTCGGTGTGCTCCGATATCCTGTTTGCTTTGCCGCTGCGGATCGTCTCGGCGTCGCAAGCCGGATAATGCGTCAAGCGTAGCTCGCTGGTGTTGGCGGAACATCTGCTGACAAATGTATCTGGTTTCAACTCCAGTCCAATCTCTATGCATCGTAGAAGCACGATGTGGACAGCATGGCATATGTGGAAGAACGCCTCCATGAACTACACGACATATGCATCATTAGTGAACGACCAAATGGAACAGGGACATGAACAAGTACCGAACGAAATCCCGGAAGATCGCTTTCATCCACCCAGCGATTGAGACACAGTTGGTCGTCTTCTAGGCCTTGGTCGAATGTCTCCTAAAATTATTAGCCTAGCTTCCGTGTATAAACAACTGTACGCTATGTTATGTACTTTGATATCCACTACAGTAGAACCATGTCTATGTCTTGTGGATTGTTCCGTTAAATTGGAAACTACCTCTTGCCCTACATAGCAATATCCACGATGGGGAATTGCCACCTTTGGATGGGCTGCCTTTAACTTAATATCGACTGGGAGCGCATGGAATCTTCTGTTCTAGAAATATTCATCAGCGTGGATGATATACATAAAGAGCCTGGGAGTTATATTGATTCTGTACCCAATCGATTGCCTCTTCCACCGTGACATCATCAATGCCATGCCTTGTGAGGCTAACGAACCCGAAAGTTTTCAATGCTCCCACGAACTCAGTGCAAAAGCGCTTCTGGTCATCGTGGCTCCCGCTAATAAATCGAGATAACTCGATAGACGGGAAAGCCCTAGGGGTTGTGAGGACTTCAGTCAAGCCTGCATTCATTTTGATACCGTATTTTGTCCTTCTTGGAGGTAGTTTGTCCTGAGCCTTGGTACCCCAAGCTATTTAAATCCAAGATCAGGGAGTTTCGTCGGACCGACTAGACGTCCAGCACGGCAGGTACCTGGCCAATTGCTGCGCTCGTGCTTATGACTAAATAGAGACTGGTAGACTGGGAGGTTACATTACATATAAACAATCATGATGGACAAGGATCAAAAACATTACAAGACTTCATGGCCATTTAAGCGGCTACGCTACCATCAATAAAAGTTATTATCCGCCCCATTTCTCCGCCCTAAAATCTAGTTTCTTTCCCTGTTTCTCTCCTTTTTTTCTTTTCTTCTTGGGTTCTGCAACTCCTTTTTGGTTTGGCGGCACAGTCGACTGAAGCTTCGCCTGTTTGGAGGTCCTTTACTCCTAAGAGCAGCTCCTCAGAGGTTGCCCAGTGCTGACAATGCAATTCAGGCTGATCCTCTTCTAGGGGCGCTTGTTCCCGCTAAACCTGAAAAGCTTATCCTTTATTATGTGAAATGTTGGTTGTAACGCACAAATTAGCTAATTACTGCGCTTGTCTTTATGATTAAATAGAGACTAGTAGACTGGGAGGTTACATTACATATGAACAATCATATGATAGACAAAAATTAAATACATTACCAACTACAATACCGCCTTCTAATCCTTTGCTAGTTCCTTGCTACTCGGCCATTTTGAGAAGCTGAAAGAGTGCCCGCAAGTAGAAGTACAGACGTTTCCAAGTTGTAAGGAGTCTGTTGACCCTCAATTGTATCTAAGACTTCTTGACTACTCAAATTAGAACCGTAATATAAATATATCCACCCGTATTTGCAATTAGGCAGTGAATTTCGTTACGCTAAAGTGGAAGGACTCATAAATCGTGCTTTATCCCTTAAGCTGCGGTAAACACTACCCCCCGGCACGGCCCCACTCTGCCTTCTGTGATTTGCTGTGCTGGCGAATCCTGAATATTTGACTGGCTCGCTGAGCAAACCTAGCGGCCGCACTAGCGGTGTTCTGAACCGCAGCTTAAGGGACAGGATACGAATATTATAACAATCGAATTGACTTGCGAATCATTCCAACCAAGATACCAGACCTTTATAAACGTGGCGAGACACAATAAATACTCCATAACCTAGGAAAGATGCTTGGTATGTCGAGATCTTAGCAACTTCAAATCTTTGACAGCCGCTTAAATATACCTGGCACGCCGCCTTCGACCACCGCAAGACTCTCCCGTCCAATGTCAGCCAAGGTCTTATATCCAGCTAGCTGCATACACAGTTCGATGGTTTGCCAGTCGTGTGAATAATTCTTCCCGCTCGTCGTAGGACATTTCGCCATCCCACGAGCATATGGCGGGTGAGTGAGGCCTGGCGTGCGCTTGCTGCTCAAACACTTCGTGCACGCACGACTCGACACTTTCTGGAGGCGATTGATTCTATTCCTAAATTTGAGTTTTTTCTCGTTCACTCAATATCCCGCCAATATTCTCAAGCCTCTCACTCAGTAGGCTGCAAATGGTAGCAGACGCCAATTTGCCCGTGACAGGTCCATCGACATTACGAAGACCAGGGACTTTCGGCAGGGTCATATTGTTGGCATGGAAAGATGGAGGTATATGAGAACTTACTGACAGAGCAGCCCGGACTCTTAAGCAGGGAGGCTTGAGAGTGAGTCTATATACACAATAGCGTAGAGCGCAGACGGTAGTGCGATAAGTGAGGAATTGGTAAAACGAGTGCTGCTGTCACGTTTCGACACATATTGAACTTCCAAGGAGGAGGAATTTTATATAGAGCTTTGACCATTGGATTGAAAGCATGCACAGAACCCGAAAGCGAAAAGTATAAGGAAACTTGAAGTGGAAATGAGGCTCGTCAAATACACATGACATGTAATAGGTCGGGGTAAAAGAAATACCAACGCCCGGTTCACAAGGATACATCTGTTGCAACCGCATGACGACTATCTGTTTGGGAAATCTTTGCATATGTAGCATGCATGCAGATGCACCTCACGCCATCCGAGGACCTATTGCGAGACCATAGTGTCGCATAGGGTGTAGCGTGACTTGCGGCTTCTCGCGAGAGCCACCGGCCAACCTTTACGGATCGTCTTTTTTTCGGTCCAGTAGCCTGTGCCACGTCGCTTGGCCTGCGGTTCATCTCGAGAGCGACGGTTCAACATCTGGGGATGGGATCTCTTCTTGCAATCCAACAGTCTCCTCCACGTGTATGCGCTCGCGGCTTATCGCCAGAGCCACAAGCCAACGTTGGTGTTTTTCACATCTAAGTAGTCTTCTCCACGTATCTTAGCGGGATACATGCTATCGTTTACTTAAATCTCGCAGGATTCGAGACTGGCCTAGCTCGTACCATTGAGCCTCATTGTCGTTCAATTGTAAGCCGAATCGAGAAAACGAGGCGCCAAAGGGATCCAGGCGTTGCGGACTTCCCTGAGCATCACCAAGTGCTTTGGAAGTAGATTGACCGAATTCATTTAACTTATCCAATAACCTGATCAAAGCACCCGCTTGGTGCCAACCTTTGCTATGGCTGTCGAAAAACGACATAAACCAATCATATTGGTGACGCACCCAAGAGCGTGCTCCACAGCATTTGAAAGGGCAAGCATCTGATTGCAACAGCTAAGAATGAACCTCAATAATGACTCATTCTCAGATCTTCCTGACCCGTGCGCAAGATGTTGTTTGTGTTCATGAGCCATTTACTGGTGCGTTTTATTTTGGGCCAGAAAGATTGAGTGATAGGTAGACAGCCAAACAAATAGCGGAAAACGATTACGATGAGTATACTTATAGCAGGGCACTGGAGATCATTGAAGAAGCAGGCGCTGATGTAGGTCTCGTCTAATATCTCCTCCAGCAGTAGCCAATTCCCAATAAGGACATCAGTTATCCGAGCTGACATCACTGAATATGCCATAGGGAAAACGCATTTTGGTAAAGGATTTTGCGAAGTGTATAATTCCGCCGGATGGAGAACCTTCCGCTATTGTACCATCACTACGCCACGCAAAGTCGGAGGTAAATGGAAATGGGGTAGGGCTGGAACATTTTTGAATTTATAAATCTTGCTTCAAAGGTTTCGAGCCCAGACGCTAACTTTTCATCTTCAACCTAGAGGGATATGAAACTTCCCGAAACGGTTCAGCTGAACCCAACTATCATCCCATCCCAGACTCTTCGCACGTTTCACTTTGCCTTTCTGATTCGCAGTCCACGTCTCAGCATCCCCAGCCTGTATAAGTGTTCCGTGCCTCCTAAATCAGCTCTAACTGGATGGCACGGATTTCGTTCGAAGGACAGCGGCAATAGAGAACTGCGAGTTTTCTTTGACTACCTAAAGGGCATAGGGCACATTGGAAGAAGCAATGCATGTGCAAAAGAAACGTCGACCGCGGAGCCGGACGATATTTGTGTCGTAGATGCGGACGACTTGCTGGCAGATCCTGAACGCGTCATAAAAGCATTTTGCACGTCCGTCGACATTCCGTTTGAACCATACATGATCTGTTGGGACAAAACCGATGATCGACAGCGAGCCGAAGCTTTGTTCAAAGATTGGGCTCCATTCCATGATATTGCCATTCAGAGCACCTCTCTCATGTTGCGACCTTCTGTAAGTAGCCTCCTTTTTCCGTGCAGGTTAGAAAGTAATATATACGACATCCAAACTGATGGAATTCAATTTATTAAGATTGACGACCTTGATCCGTCGGTTGAGTTTGCTGAGTGGGTCAGAATGTTTGGGAAGATGAGGCACGAACCATTCAGCGGAGTGTCGAGGCGAATCTTGACGACTACCTGTACTTGAAAAAGTTTAAAATCTAAATTGGTTGGCCGCATTTAAAGATGTAGAACCAATGCCAGTGGCTGTGATTAAGAAAATAAATGGATAAATCATTGTATAGAAACGTCTTGTAGCCATTAGGGTCGTTGGATTTAAAGCGTGACAAGGACGACATGAAACTTGGTGCGCAACACCACTCACTAGACCTTCAGAAGCCCTATTTACTATGCCCTATCATACCTTCAGAGTTTTTCGAAATCTTATTTCACATCTTCAATAGACCAATTTCCCTGAGCCTATACTTTTATCGTGTGACATTGAGCTGCACTATGATTAGCAATTTCCTCAGATTGCACACGGAAGGAAGTTTACAAACGTTTCAATCCTAATCATCATACTTAGAACGCCCTTAGAACATTTGTCCTGACGAGACTGAATCCGACTGCTTGATAATCTCCGCACATTCTTTTTCCCAAAAGAGTTCCTTTTCGGGTTCCAGTTCGTCGAACCAGACCGCATCAGGGTTGAGTTTTGCGAAAAACATCCGCTCAATCCATGCTGGGTCGAGAAGAATTTCAATGCAAACACGGGTTCGCCATTGATCGTGGGCGTTCCTGCAATACCAAGTTTTCCACCAAGCGTCGTCATTGACGGGCCGCGTACTGTGCGCGCTACGCCACCAATCTTGCTGTATGCAGTGTTGAAAATCTTATATGCTTTAAGTAATGGGACTGAGAAATAATGTCTTGCTCCGCTATCTCGCTCAATGGACCTACAGTATGGTTAGTTAGCAAGCTTCCAGGGACAGTCCAAAATGAGCCCAGGCTAACATGTAGTAAGGAACCAGTCCAAGTTTCCCTTGGAGCCTCCACATTTTCGCCCAAGTATCGGCATCATCATTTACATTCGGATCAGAGGGCTTTGGGTCCTGATCTGGGCACTAGTCATGCTTATCATTCGAATAGCCTCTTGGACCACCGGTGTCTCCAATTCTCTTGGGTTACTGAAATGTGCTTGAAAAGCTAAATGCTTGCCTGATGATACTGCGTCCTCGAAAAGTTTCAACATGGATTTGGCATCTGGATCCGTCAAATAGCGGTATGGCCAGTATGCAAGCGACTTTGTGTCGATTCGGATGGTGTCAAAATGTTGTAATGCTGGTGATTTCAAGATTAGGTCAACGTATTGCCGGAGCATCTCGGCGGACATGACCATCGGGTCTCCGCCAGTGAAAAGCACATTAGTAACGCTCTTATGTTTTGCCAGGTAATTCAGCAGCTCTTATGGGTTGTTGGACTGAAACTGCTGATCAGATCCGACTGATGTGAATTGGGCCCAGCGGAAGCAGTAGGTGCAAAAGGAGTGGCAAAATTGACCCTGATATATTGTCAGGAAGTTTATGCAGCTGCTTGTTAGAAGGATGCTCTGACCTCAGAGGGAAAAAAGAGTACTGTCTCACGATATTTGTGTTGCATTCCACGAACTGGAGAGCCATCCATTACTGGCACATTAGTTTCTTTTTGTCCACCTGGGTGTGGGTTGAGATTTGCTCGAATGCTTTCTGGTAAGTCTCTGAGCTGTATCCTCGATGTTGCCCATTTGAGATATGTCTTGTCGTGTTCTCCAGCTCTTTTGAGGATAGCATCCCAGGCTGCGGAAAGACAAGCTAGAATATTGGATCGTTTGGGACGTTTGACCTTTGGATTATCGGTGGTAAATCGACGGTTTATAAAATAATCTTGTTAGAGAAATGAATTATAAACAGCGTCAATTGTCCATCTGCTGCGTTGTTTTAAAATTTGTCACCTAAACTCACTAATTAATAAACTTGTCGAACACATAATTAGTTATTTTTACAAAAAAAACATATTCGCAGCAATATAATATAAAACTAAGTTTATATACGAAATTTATCGACTGAAAACATATCGTATATTTTTTTATAAAAAATTAATACGAAGTATTTAAAACTACATCGCTTTTTTAAATTGTTTGAATGCCGTAAATGTACTACTCACTTGCACTCACTCCCCTTCACCCTTCACTCTCTCACTCCTCCCTCGAGCTAAGTAGTACTAAAGGCAGGCAGTATTCTGGCAGCAATGAAGTGGGCAACAGTGAGGTTGGCAGCAGTGAGGTGCAACAGCGAGGTTGGCCAGGAAAGGTGAGTCACTTATTATTCCTAGACAAATCATAGCTTTTTTTTACGAATTGCCAGATTAATCATAGTTTCCGAACATTCTGCTTAACGGTCAACCGTTCTTGTTAAACTTGTCGACTTGGACTTGAATCACTCTTCAAAAGATTGTGAGTCGCTGCATTTCAAGCAATAGCTCAGTTGGAAACAGTGCATTTTGACTATCTACGAAGCAAGTGAAAATAGACGGCCCTAAATTTGGACCGGTATCTCACATACGATGCCTCGCATCCTACTTGCGCGAGCAATCTTACTAGTGGTGATATTATAAAAGTAAAGAGTTCAATGAGGGTCACAGCATTGATTCAACCTGTTCTGGCTTACAAAACTTCAATTACCAAAGTTTTTCTGATCCTTTGTTATGAATTTGATCTTTACTTCTTTCACGCACTACAATTATACAACATTTTAAGCTTGCCTTCGAAATACCGCCAATTTGTTGCTAAACACTCCCAAATCTTGAGTGCAAAATCGCGGTGTGTCTCAACTCTTGTAATACTGACCATTAAAGGTACGCTTTACCGCTAAGCTTATAACTAGCATGGAGAAGCAAGGGAAAGTGAGAGCTAGGAGGCTGAGAATCATAAGAGGCTGAGTGGGCTTGGAGCGCACGTGAACGATTTGGAAGTGTGGTCACTCGGCAATGCGGCAGACAACGTGCTTAAAATATCTTCATAGGTACTCGGTTATACGTTGTCGTGACCCCGGCCCGCATTCCGGTCACACTGACGAGACATTTTGGCTGGTAATATCAACTGATAAGAGGTTTGTTGGTCCTCGGGGTTTCAGGCATGGTCGCCAATTTGCCAGGAGTCTTGGTGGCAAGAAGACCAACACGGGTATTTGAAGGGTATGCATACATCATATGATGATATTCGAGCTTAGAAATCCGAGAAAGTGTCTTGGACAGAGGCAGACACCAGACTATGGCTTTCAGGTGTTCTGCGCCACATCGTCATTTTTGATGCGTGCTTGTCCACATTATTGCATGTCCATGCAGCAGGCCGGGCAAGATATCTCCCCACTTTCGGAATTCCATGGAGAAGTGGCATGCTCGTCTCATGCCATAGTTTTCTTAAGATGGTAAATGTAACCGGCCGGGAAAAGGCACAGCTGCAACCCTAAATTCAATAAACTTCGGTTAGAAGGGACAAAGCTGCATGGCAAGCTGAACAAAAGTAGAAATTCCACCGAAGCTAAGAGATTATTTGCTTTCGATGCTTCTACACTGCAATGTTGTGTTTGGATGATACTTTCCACATTTCAATGTGAAGGTAGGAACTTTTCATCTTGAGGAAAAGGGTATCTATTCATAGAATCTGCTCGCACGTGAAATATCACCTTTGTTGCGGGGCCCCACCATGCAGGGGCTGCACGACATGCAGGGACCGGCTGTGGCACCTGCGGGGCGAGCCTGTCCTTGCCGCTCGGGGCTTAAATCAGGTTTTAATCTCCCTCCAGGTCGTATCGTGTGGCGCTAAAGTCTCAATATCAACGTACTGTGCATACTGTACATAGAATTTCATGATATGAAAGTATCAAGACTATCCAGGAGGAAGAGATCCAAGAGTCATACTGTAACATTGATATCGTTGCAGTAAATATGAAAGATGCGAGAGTACATGCCCATCTGATGTCGTCGTGTGCTGACAATCAGGATTTCCAAGTTCGAACCAAAGAAATCTAAGTCGCTCTTCGAAATCAACAGTTTCACGACCACTAGTAGTACTCCTCCTCATCTTCTTCATCGTCTAGAGTCCCAGCGAGAACTCTCCGAATGAAGTCCACTTGCATCTTCATCAACGCCGGCGCTTCTTCACTACTCAAGATGTCCAGATGTCCCATGCCCGGAGCAACATGCAGTCGCTTAGGTCCCGTGAGCTCCTCGTAAAAAGCCAGCTGGTCTGCAGTTGGCGCTATCTCGTCCTTCTCTGGAGTAAGCATCATCAACGGTGGCGACTGGACCATCTTCAAAATAGCTCTTGGCTGCCAAACCACATTCTTGTAGTAAGACTGCATCGTGCTCCGATTCATATGGCCCCATCCCTTTTCCACTAAATTGGCCATCCATACAGATGCCTGAGCCGCCCCCGCCACAGACAGATCGTCTGCTAGAGAGTCGCCTTTAGCTGAAGCCAGGACCACAGATGCTGGAGCGTTGCCTCTCATCTGAGATTCACGGTCTCGAACGCATTTCACCAGAATTCCTGCCAACTTTTTAGGTGGTGTGAAGCTGATACGTGGGCAAACAATGATGCTGAATTTAGCTCTTGGGTCAAGAGCTGCTGCACATGCTACAGTAGTTCCAGAACTGGACATGCCCCAGTATCCGATACTACTGGCATCAACGGAATCCAGACTTCGAAGATAAGTCAAGGCGTCCATGTGATCCTCAGTTTGTTTGAACGGATCAGTGTCGTTTCGAGGCATGCCGTCACTTTGACCAACACATCGACTGTCATAGATGAGAGCAGTGATTCCTGCCCGCTGAAAGTCTGCAGCTATGTCAGGAAGTAGCAGCTCCTTTGGACAATTCAACTATTACCGGTCAGCCAAGTCTAAAAAACATATTTCGACAAGATCAGGTGGTGTTGACGCTTGGATTGGAAGGGGAAGTCGATACCAAGGTCCCTTTCACATTGGATGTGGAATGACTTACTCCTGGAGCCAAGATGATGGCAGGACTGTGCTTCTTAGCAGGAAACAACAATCCTCTCAAAGTAAGTCCATCTAGAGTTTTGAACTCTACTTCCTCTCGTGATGTAGCCATCTTCTGTGAATTGGTATCTTTGGATTGCGAATCCGGGGTAAAGGATTGAAGATTAAAGGGGCGGCGAAAGGCCCTCCGTTGCTAAGCGGTTTCTGGGGGAGGGCCGAGATCTGGTAGCAAGGGGGTCGTTTGAAATGATACGATACAGCTCAAGGCAAACTCCGTGCTGCAGAGAACTAGCTGACGTACTGCTGAAACAAGTGAAGATCTTCGACGGAGGTACAAAGGCAAGTTGAAACAAGTAAAGATCGCTATTGAGGCTTGAGAGGCGTTCAAAATACCAAAATATACTTACAAGAATGGCGTGAATAAGGAAGGTGTTATTGCCACCAAATGCAAGATAGGACCGTTGAGAAGCAGGTTTAAGGTTATTTCAGGACGTTGTGAGACCGATTCGTTACCAAGAATTGACGAGATGCGGTTGTTATCTACATATTCAAGATAATATGCAGATAGCGACCGCATCTGAACAGGCGGAAGCCGGATAATATCCCAATGACGTGCTCATGCCGGTAAAATCCATCTGAGCATCGAGAATAGTCTATTTGGAATATTGAAAGGCAATTGTCATGGATTATTGAGCTCCTCGATAAGAAATTCGATAAGAGCCCAATACTATTGTCCCACCACCGTATGACTTTTTTCTCATTTTCGTCCGATCTTTTATATATGCTGGACTGTTAAAAGCAGAGAAAAAGACAGAAAAAAAGGGCAAAAGAGGAAACGGTCTCGACAACTCGATCAACAGTACAGTGTCATAATGACAGTAGTGAAAGATGCCTCGCAGCTGCAGGCAGATAGTCAATGCTTCTCTGAAGCAAATCAATCTTACACGCAAGATCCCATTGCGGTAATTGGGATGTCATGTCGTCTTCCAGGACAGAGCAATTCTCCCTCCGCTCTCTGGGACTTTCTCGAGCGCGGTGGGATAGCAAGCAATGATACACCAGTAACGCGTTTTAACCTTAGCACGCATCATGTTGGTTCCCCCAAGCCAAACACAATGCGCTCTCCTGGAGGGATGTATCTCGAAACCATTGACCCACAGGAATTCGATGCGCCATTCTTTAATATCTCGAGAGAGGATGCCATTGCGATGGATCCACAGCAAAGACAGTTGTTGGAAGTTGTATATGAAGGGCTTGAGAATGCGGGGATTACACTGGAGTCATTGGATGGGGCTGCTGTTGCATGTTTTGTTGCGTCGTTCACATGCGGTATGTCAGATCGTTGGGTTCAGGTGAAACCACGCTAACGCGTTGTCGATCAGATTATGGTGATATGCTTGGGAGGAATCCCGAGGACCGCCCACCTGGAACTCTCGTTGGGCTTGGAAGAGCGATCTTGAGTAATCGAATTAGTCATTTTCTTAATATCAAAGGTCCCAGGTAGGCGATACATTCTTGATATTTGACAGGAACACTCACATTCACCAGTGTTACACTAGATACCGCATGTTCAGGAACACTCCAAGGAATCGATATCGCGGGGCGGTATCTGCAGACTCGAGAAGTGACAAGCGCTATCGTTGCTGGAGCAAACCTGTTCCTTAGGTATGATACTGTTTTCCAGAGCTCGTCACCATTGCTGACAATGTTTGTGATAAGTCCTGAGCATAATATGGATAGTTAGTCTTCTGGAACTTGATTCAAGGCTCTTAAAACACACTGACGTTGTTATCTCAGTTGGAAACATGAAGACAGCGCACTCGCTTACAGGGAGGTCAGCAGACTACTCTATTACATCCAAGATTGCCTACTGACCCAAGATTACTCAGGTGCCACACTTTCGACAAAAAAGCAGACGGATATGCCAAGGCCGAGGTACGTTCAAGAGTCCTGTCCAATGACGTTAACTGACACGAATCCAAGGCAGTCAATGCTGTAATCCTAAAACGACTCGACGATGCCATCCGTGATGGCGATCCGATTCGAGCTATAATCCGCGGCACTGCCACGAACAGTGATGGGCGGACACCTGGCATTGCGAGTCCTAGCTCGGAGGCTCAAGCAAGGGCAATTCGCTCTGCTTACGCAAATGCGGGTATTACGGACTATAGCATAACCAGCTATCTTGAGTGCCACGGCACAGGCACACAAGCAGGCGACCCTATCGAATTGACAGGAGCCGCTTCTGTGTTCGCGCCCACAAGGCTAATTGACGACCCATTGAGGATTGGATCTGTAAGTCAAACACTTGAATCATGAACAGCTGCTGAATTCCACTTAGATTAAGAGTAATGTCGGGCACTCAGAACCATCAGCAGGAATCTCAGGACTGTTGAAGACAATTCTTGCTCTCGAGAAGGGAATAATACCAGGAAATCCTACCTTTAATGATCCAAACCCCAAAAGTAAATTATCTCTCTAGAGCACTACCAACTTCTCCTGACATTCGTCTTTAGTTGACTTCGAGAATCTGCGAGTCCGCCCTTCAAAAGCCAACATCCCATGGCCTGACGTTCCTTATCGCCGTGCAAGTGTGAACAGCTTCGGATTTGGAGGTTCCAATGCACACGCCGTCGTGGACGAAGCCGCAAGCTATTTGGGCCGCCAACCAGACTCGCACTGCTTCTCTCTCCTGACAGGGGAAGACGGCCTTTTTGCAGAAGAGGCAATTGAATCCCGACCCGTGACGCTGGTATTTTCTGCCAACGATGAGAAGTCTCTGAAGTCTTACGTTAAACTCTTGAGTGATCATATGATCAACCCGAACGTTAATGTTAACCTGCCTGATCTGGCATACACGCTGTCAAATAGAAGGACTCGCCACTTCCACAGAGCGTACCTGGTCACTCAAGACTCGACAAACATTGACCAAAACAAGCTCGTTGTTGGGAAGAAGGGACTTGACGTTCCTAGAATCGGGTTCGTCTTCACTGGTCAAGGGGCACAGTGGCCCAAAATGGGCAAGGCCTTGGTTGATACGTTCCCGTTGGCAAAGATATTGCTTGACAAGTTGGATGCCGTGCTTCAGACTCTGCCAGATCCTCCTTCGTGGTCTCTTTTGGGTCAGCATCGAATGTCCTCATGCAAGAATTGTTGGCTGACATTATGGCAGGCGAGCTCACTGAACTTCGGAAACCACAGCACCTTCGACAGCCTGAATTCTCACAGCCTATTGTCACCGCTTTGCAGCTTGTCATTCTCGAGATTCTTGACAGCTGGGGTATCAATACACAAGCTGTTGTTGGACACTCGTCTGGCGAGATTGCAGCTGCTTGCGCTGCTGGTCACTTGACTCAAGAAGAGGCTATCAAGATTGCATTCTATCGCGGACGTGCTGTTGTACTAGACGGAGCCAAGACATCATTGGGTATGCTCGCCGTGGGACTTGGCTCTGACAAAGTGCAAGATTACATCGGAGACCTCTCTGCTTCGGTACAAATTGGGTGCTACAACAGCCCAAACAGTGTAACACTTTCCGGCGAGTCGACTGCACTGGAGACAGTAAGACAGCGCCTTGATAACGACAAACACTTTGCGCGACTCCTGCAGGTGGACGTTGCCTATCACTCCAAATTTATGGAAAGCATTGCTGCTCGGTATCAAGACTTGCTCTTGCAGAACTGCAAATTCGATGAGAACGCACATTTGAGCGAAAAAGCTACCATGTATTCTTCAGTTACAGGGCATCTGCTGGATAGAGCTTGTGACGCAGCCTATTGGATGGGTAACATGGAATCTCCTGTGCTCTTTGATCAAGCTGTGCAGGCGATGTTATCCGCTCCAGAGAATCCGCCTGATTTCCTGATTGAAATTGGACCAAGTGGCGCACTTGCAGGCCCAATCTCCCAGATCACTGCCCACATTGCTTCTGCAGCCCAATACTGCGCTGCTTCAAGCAGAGGGAAAGATTCACTTGAAGCGCTATTTGCCGTGGCAGGACGCCTCTTCATTGCTGGCAGCGATGTCGACCTAGCCAAGGTCAATGCGGATGACAGCGAACTCTCCGGGAGGAAACCACGCCTCATCGTAGATCTTCCGAACTACGTTTGGAATCATTCAACCAAGTACTGGCATGAGAGTGAGGCTAGCAAAGATTGGCGTTTCCGCAAGTTCCCACACCATGACCTTCTCGGAGGGAAAGTGCTTGAAACGTCTTGGCAATTCCCATCATTCAGCAAGACATTGAGGATGAAAGATCAACCTTGGTTGCGAGATCATGGAATGGGTTCTGAGGTCATCTTCCCTGCTGCTGGTTTCATCGCTATGGCAGTTGAAGCGATGTACCAGAGTTACAGCGCTCAAAACCCAAATGAGAACATCTTCTCTGCTGGCCAGTTATGCTACCGTCTCCGCAATGTCAGGTTCGATAAGGCCTTGGTTCTAGAAGAAGAAATTGACGCAAAGATCATGCTTCATCTTTCTCCTCATCCTGGACCAAAAGAAACTTGGTATGACTTCAAGATCCTTTCTTCGAATCAGGAGACATGGACGGAGCACTCCTCGGGACTGATTCGCGTGGAAAAGCTGTCCGCAGAAGGTAAAGTTCCACCAGACATAAAGAATTCCATTCAGAGGCTGACATATATCAAGTTGTAACTAAAGACAAATTGACACCATTGGAGTATGCAAAACCGAGCTCGGAATGGTACACAGCCTTTAACAGTATTGGATATGGCTACGGACCTGAATTCCAGAAGCTCTTGCGTGTTGAAGCTGTTGCCGGTAGCCTGATGACTCGAAATCATATCTCCTTGACGGAACCGACTTCGACCTTGACCCAGTCTCTGTATCCCATGCATCCGTGCTCGCTCGATGCATGCATTCAAGCGTTCATTCCTTCAGTCTGGCGTGGCGATAGATGTGCTGTCGATACTGTTCTGCTACCAGCCATAATCGATGATCTTGTCATCACCAACGCTACAAAATCTTCTGAGCATGGTGTTGCAATTGCAAATTCGAAATACTCAGGGAGAGGTCGACCGGACGACAAGAGAAACTGGTACACTGATATATCAGTGCACGACCCAGTAACGGGCGATACGTTTGTTAAGATCAATGCTCTTCGATTCCACAAGCTTCCTATTGGTACAGACGTTGCTGCAAAACACACCATCACTCGATCAATGTGGAATCCTGACATCACATTCCTTTCGGAAGAGCAGTTTGCGAGTCTTGCTTCAGATGAATCCTCATCCACCGTACAGCGAATCATCAATCTGATAGCACACAAGAAGCCGACCCTGAAAGTCATGGAAGTTGACTTGGGCTCGGCAGACACTTCTAGCCTCTGGTTTGCGGAAGTCGACGTAGGTTCGAGGCCTACAAGGGCACTATACAGCACATATAGTTTCGTCACGGCGGATACGAACACGTTTGTCGCTGTACACGATATTTTGAGCCAACATCGAAGCTCTACCAGCACTCTTGTTGACTTGAGCACAGCAGACTTTTCGTTCGAAGAGAAGGATTTTGACCTGGTCATTCTCAAGGGCGACAAATTGAACGAGGGCCTACTGAAACCAGTACTCGTCAACGTACGTGCCTTACTTTCTGATGATGGCTATGCTATTCTGGCCGATAGCAGCTCCGTTGGAACAGACTCTGGATCAGGATCAGAAGAAGATGCAGTGCTTGTGAGTGTTGAGAACACTATAACTGCTGCTCAAGTGGCGACCATTGCAAAAGCAAGCAACTTCTACCGAACTTCCACAGTTTCTTGCGAGTCCTGTACATCCGTACATGTATTTGTTGCCAAACCAACTGCGCAGCCCGCAGAAACTCGCGAACTCATTGTTGCCAATTTTACAGACCAGAAAGCTTCGTCGGAGATGACAGCCGCTCTAGAAGCTGCTGGATGGAGCATCCGGGAATCGTTCCTCCCAATGGCTGAGGTCAAACCAAGAAGTACAGTTCTCATTCAAGACGAGCTTTTCACCCCTGTGCTGAAGTCTGTCTCCAAGGCTCAGTGGGACTCGCTGAAGTATCTTGTATCCCAAGGCTGTAACATCCTCTGGCTCACTCAAGGCTCCCAGATGGACGTTACATCGCCAGATAATGCCCTTGTTCACGGTATGTTTAGGACTGTTCGCCAGGAAGACACAAGTTTGCGCCTTACCACCCTAGATGTACAAACAGCCGACGGACCCTCTACCATGACGGCAGTAGTGAAGATCCTGGAGATCCTTGCCAGGCCTTTATCGAAGACGTTCGCTGACAATGAATACGTTGAGCGCAAAGGACTCATATTCGTCAACAGAATAGTCCCAGACAAACTGATCAACCAGTTTAAAGAAGACGAAAGCAATGGCGGTGCACAGCCCATCGTCAAATCTCTTCGTGGTGTTCAAGGAATTGCGAAATTGAGAGCTGAACGCCTTGGTAGTCTTGACGCTCTCCAGTATATTGAAGCGCCACAGATCCCAGTAGAGGATGGGCATGTTGAGATCGAGGTGATTGCCGCTGGACTTAATTCCAAAGATATCGCCGCAACACAAGGCATCATTCCAGGAGACGAACACCTTCTGGGCACGGAGGGCGCGGGTATCGTCACAAGGGTGGGCAAGAACAGCGAGACCTACAAAGTTGGTGATCGCGTCACCGTGATGACACAAGGCACTTTTGCGAATCGGATTCAGTGCCCTGTTCAATACATCCACCATATGCCAGACGCGATGTCATTCGCAGAAGCAGCAACCATACCGATTGCCTATCTCACATCGATGTACTGCTTATTCAACGTGGGAAACCTCCAGAAAGCCCAGTCGATTCTCATCCATTCTGCGGCTGGTGGTGTCGGCATTGCATGCATTCAGCTTGCCAAGTACATAGGTGCTGATATCTATGTCACCGTGAGCAGCGATGAGAAACGCAGTTTCTTGAAAGAGAACTTTGATCTTCACGAAGATCAAATATTTTCTTCTAGAACCACAGACTTTGCCCGGCAGATCAAGGAGATCACGCAGGGTAAGGGAGTCGACCTCATTATAAATTCTCTTACCGGAGAATTGTTGGATGAGTCGTGGCGCATTTGTGCAGACAATGGAATCATGGTTGAAATTGGCAACAAGGATAATGAACAAAAATATCTCTCCACGGAGCCATTCGACCGGAACTGCTCGTACAAATCTGTCAATTTCTCACAGAAGAAAATGCCACCATTGACTGTCGCCAGCTTGATGAGTCGCTGTTTTGACTTGCTCTCTGAAGGCCATATCAAGCCGATCAATCCAATCACTCACTTTGGCTTCGACAGTATCCCGGAAGCGTTTGCTTATATGCGCGATGGTCGTCATGTTGGTAAGGTATTGATCACAGATGGCGAGCAGGGAATCTCATCACAGGTACCTATCCGGCCAGCAATGCCTGTAATGTCTCTTCAGCCAAATGTGTCCTACTTGATCGTGGGTGGACTCAAGGGCATATGTGGGAGCTTAGCTGTGCAAATGGCTGCTTTCTTCGGGGCGAAACACATGATTGCCATGACTCGAAGTGGTATCGCTGACGAAATGTCACAAGCAATCGTCAGAGATTGCGCTGCGTTTGGATGCGACGTCCAGGAAGCAAAAGCGGATGTGTGCAATGCGGAGGATGTGGAGCGTGTGTTCAAAACAGCAATGTATCCCGTTGGAGGGATCATTCAAGGAGCGGTGATACTCAGGGTAAGAAACTTGTCTCCCCATATTAGAGAAGCAGGCTAAATTCTGATCAGGACAAACCATTTGAGGCCATGACTCTCGAGGATTATTTTGTGGCTGCCTCAGCAAAAGTGCAAGGGACCTGGAATCTCCACAGGTCTAGCATTGCACATAAATCTCCAATATCATTCTTTACCCTTCTCTCGAGTATGTCAGGCATTATCGGGCAGAAGGCACAAGGGAATTACTCTGCAGCCAACGTATTCATGGATGCCTTTGCCAGCTATCGACATTCGCAAGGTCTCCCAGCCCACTCATTGGATCTGGGAATTATCGAGGAAGTCGGATTCGCTGCCAGGGAAGGTGGTATCCAAGAGCGGATGGACGACAGGATCTGGCTTGGTGTGAATGAGGCCATGGTTCGTCGCGTCTTCAAGTATTCGATCCTCCAGCAAACGCAGCCGATCAACCCCGCCAGTGCAGCTCAGCTCATCATAGGTATATCATTGCCGCAACGCGAAGGCTCGGATCTCGAACGGGATGCTCGATTTAGTCCCTTATTCGTAACCGACAGCTCTGAGCAGCACAAGAATGGCCATGGTGGAGACGAACATGCGAAAGCGGTCCAAGCTTTCTTATTGCTACATCGAAGTAAAGCTGACAAAGGACCCCTGTTGGCTGCAGCAGTAGACGTGCTCAGCAGGCAGCTTACGAAGACATTGAGATTGACTGAGGACGTGGAGCCAGCGAGGAGTTTAAGTGCGTATGGAGTGGATAGCTTGAGCGCGGTGGAATTGAGAAATTGGGTTCGTATTGAGCTTGGGGTTGAATTGACAACGCTTGATATTACGAATGCCACGAGTCTCTTTGGGTTGTGCGAGCGGTTGATATCGAAGATGCCGGTAGTTGAGTGAAGATGGGAGGTCGTTGATCTTGATTGAGTTTCTGTTAGCTTTTGTTATTAGTAAGCAACAATAATGATAATATACGTGTCACATGATACCGCGCCAGACATCTCCCCAGCCCGGTAATCTCTATGATTGAAGGCTTCGAAAGTTATATCAATTTCAGAAATCGACGGTAGTATTGCTTTCGTCCACGCATCAAGGTGAAATTCTCACTCCCCCTTCTAAATCATGTGCGACAAGATTTGCAGCTTTAGGTCACCGTATTCGTATTAGAAGATCTTGAAGAACTTTCCAAACGATGACACCACAAAACCCAAGGAGCTGCCCCTTTCAGCCAACATCGGTTATATACCGCATCCTACTCTCTCTCATGGCAACTGACTGCGATTGTTTCATTATGCTAGGACAATGTAGGAGAAGGTGAGACGAAGCAGAATACATGATCTCTTGATATCATATCCATCAGGAGATCCGTTTGCAAGTATGGTTCCGAACCACGCCGAGCTACACACCAAAAACAGGCTTTCTATCACGTCAAAAAATAAGTTATCTCTTTCGTAAAGAACAAATGAAAAATCCTCTTAAGCACGCAATACCGTACTAAAAGTCGTTTCAACATCTGACAGATGGCTAAGAGCGGTATCGAGGAGAAGATTTTCGATATAGTCTCCTCTCAAATTTCGTACCTTTCTCAGTTCACCTTCTTTCTCTTAATCGTCTTTCACAGATGGATTTAATGGTATAGCCTTACACAAGCACTACACCAACATGGACGAACGTCAAGCAATCCACGTGACACCGAATGTCGATCACGACAAGGACATCGAGGGCAATTCACATGAGCCTGTGTTCGCATTCCATGGCGAGCATGCTATTGTCGCCGACAAGCTTTCACGGAAACTCTCAGCACGTCAAGTACAAATGATAGCCATCGGAGGCACAATAGGAACTGGTCTCTTCCTCGGCACTGGCAAATCGCTTGCAACGGGAGGTCCAGCCTCAATGCTCATCGCGTACATGATCGTTGGAGTCATTGTGATGCTGACAATGTTGGCACTGGGAGAAATGGCTGCCTTTGTTCCAATTGCGGGGTCCTTCTGTACCTTTGCAGGGAGATATGTGGATGATGCTTTTGGGTTTGCTTTGACTTGGAACTATTGGTTTAACGATGCTGTGTCGACTGCAGCTGATCTGGTTGCATTGCAACTTGTATTTGCGTACTGGGATACTGGCTTTCCGGGATGGGGATTGAGTCTCATTTTCTGGGTGTTGTTGATCCTGGCGAACATTATCACTGTGAAAGCATATGGCGAGCTTGAGTATTGGTTGAGTTTACTCAAAGTTGTCACGATTACAGTTGGTATTCTATGCCCCCTGTGTGATGTCAAAGCTCATGAAAGCAGGTCTTCATTTTACTAGGCATCGCTGTGAATTGTGGAGGAAATACCTCGCACACTTACCTCGGCGCTCACAACTGGTACATAGGTGATGCGCCCTTCGTTGGTGGTATTGGAGGATTCGCATCTATTTTTGTGACCGCATCATTCGCATGTACGGAACACCTCCAAACACTCAACTTCCCCACTAACTCTTCGCAGACGGAGGAACAGAATCAATCGCCATCACAGCTGGAGAAACCAAGAACCCGACCAAGAATCTCCCCAGAGTCGTTAAGAACGTCTTCTGGCGGATCCTAATCTTCTACGTCCTCTCAGTTCTTATCATTGGTCTCAATGTTCCATACAACTACCCGAATCTCTCGAGCAAGGAGTCTTCGACTTCTCCATTCACTCTAGTCTTCCAAATGGCAGGAGCAAAGGCAGCTGGGTCATTCATCAACGCCGTAATCATGACATCAGTCATCAGCGCCGGCAATCACGCGCTGTTTGCTGGGACACGTTTGCTTTTTTCTCTTTCTGTTGACCGACATGCTCCTCAATTCTTTGGAAAACTCAACAGAAACCGAGTACCCTGGATAGCAGTCTTAGCCACTAGTGCAATCAGTGGACTTTGCTTCGGAGCCAGCTTCATCGGCGCTGGCCAGCTTTGGACTTGGCTACAGAACATCGTCGGTGTCTCCAATCAGCTGGCTTGGATCGCTATTGCACTTACATCCATCCGATTCCGTCGTGCAATGGAATTGCAGAATAAGACACATCTCTTGCCGTTCAAGAATTGGACTTATCCGTGGGGACCGTGGTTTTCTTTAGCCTTGAACATTGTGATTGTGTTGGTGCAGGGGTGGAGTTCTTTCAGTCCGAAGTTCAGTGCTGTAGATTTTGTCAGTTACTATGTGGAGCTGCCGATAATGTTGGTTATGTATGTAGGTTGGAAAGTGTTGAAGAGGACGAGGTTGGTGAGTAGTGAGGCAATGGATTTGGAGACGGATGTCTATGTTGTGGGAGAGGATGATTTGAGAGCTATGGAATTGGAGAAGAGTGCTAGAGGAAAGGTAGAGACAGTATTGAGGTGGATATTTTAATTAGTCGATATAACAACGCATGCTAGTGTGGCTAGGTGAAGTGAGGTTAGCTTCATGGTCACGTGGAAGCTTCCAGTCCAAGTTGAAATTTGACTCACAATTCGTCCAAACTTACATATTTCCCTTTCTTTCCATCCCGAAATCACGACGTTTTCTGTCTCAATGCCCACAACGATCCAAAAGTCATATCAATCATGGATTTATTCGATGAGCTCGAGAAGATGGCTCTGAACGCCGCCGAGGAGCCTTCTGACGCCTAAATGCCATTAGACGACACCATTCAAAGATGGCAAAGCCTTTTCGGATATTCGCAAGCTGATGCAGTCACTATGATCGAAAGACACCGCGGTGATCTGTCTCGAAAACGTGTGGCAGACGAGCATTAGGAGATGGTTCGAGAAAAGCTCGAGAACCAGGGCTATGATCGAGAAGCATATGAGCATGAGTTGACGAGAGGTAGAGAAAGGGTATCGTTAAGCACTGAAGAAGCGTCAAATGCGACCGATAATGGTCGCTACCTTGTCAAGCTTGAAGGATCGATCACTTCTGAACTCATTCAAAAGATATCAGAATCTGCCCAGCCGGTGGAAGTTATACTCGGTAATGGAGACGAAGGAGATGCCAACGACGCCAGATTCTGTATCATCAATAGTGCAGTCAAGGAAGCTATTCTTGAGCACGCTTCACGCAACAAGATTCGACCCACGATCGTGCGTCTTCCTGAGCCTGCTTCCAAGAACCTTTCAAGCATTTCCAGATATCCAACTCTTGGACTCGATACAACACTCCCACAACATCGACCATCAAATGAAGATGTAGATTTCCTCCCAACGCAAGACCAATACCCAGTCTGGTATTTCTTCTATGGGACACTTGCAGACCCCGCTGTTCTCTCACGCCATCTAGGGTTGGCAAGTGAGCCAATACTGTGGCCTGCTACCGTTCGGGGAGGAGTTCTGAAGACCTGGGCTGGAAAGTATCGTGCTCTTGTTGATGGTGCAGAGTCTTCTGTCATTGATGGTTCTGCTTATGAGGTCCAGTCGAAAGCACAGGAGGATGCCTTGAGAGCGTACGAGACTTCGAAGTATGAGGTTGTGAGATGCATGATTGAGGTGGGATGTCGTCGAATCCCAGGGTGCACTTTCAGATTCGTCGGAATGGCAGATGCTTGACACGGAAGCTCTTTCGGATAGGAAGTACTTAGCCACTGACCTGTTGAAACAAGTGAGTTGACATGAAAGGGTTCACAATGTGCTTCGGCAGAAAGTCCTCAGTCCAGACGAAGAATCTGAATCCTCACAACGAAGAGGAGATGATTTATAAGGATCGAGGCTGCCTAGACTTGACATAAATCTTCTTACTGCGACCAAAGGTACCAAGTGACTCCCAATAAATCCAGCTTTGCGCTTGTCATATCAATGGTTGTATCCATGCACTGCTGCTGAGGACGACGTTAGAGACGAGCAACCAAGGAGATATACCTGAGGGGAAAAGCCGCGAGAAATTCGACATTGATGACATAAATCATGGTATCTGCCACTGAAAAGAAATACATCACAACTGTACAGCTCTTCCAACTTAACAACCCAAATGTGCTCCTCACTCCCCAGCCTTAATAAAATCCGCAACTCTCTCCGCAAGCGCATCTAGTCACGTCAGCCAACTCTCAAACCAGCCAGTCAAAGGAAAAAGAAAACTCACAAACAGTACTTTGCGGATGCCCAGGCGGCAAAAACGGAAACGAACTCGCATCCACAACCCTCACACCCTGCACACCCCTAACCCTACACCTCTCATCCAGCACCGCCATCTCATCCGCCTCCTTCCCCATCTTACAAGTACAACTCGCATGCCAAACCGTTTGCAAACTTCCCTTTACACACTCCAGAATCTGCTCATCGGTCTCTACGTCCTTGCCGGGGAAGAATTCATCGCCGACGACGATGTTGGATAGGGAAGGCGTGGAGAAGGCTTGGCGGACGCGTTTGTAGGCTGCGACTGCGACTGCTTGATCGGTTGGGGAGGAGAGGTAGCGGGGGTTGATGTGTGGGAGGGTGGAGGTTGTGTTTGAAGAGAGGGTTACTGAACCGCGGGAGAGGGGCGCGACGAGGGCTGCGAGGATGGTGGCGTATTGATGGCCATCTCTTGGTTCTGGGTTATGTGAATTTAGGTAGGTATGCTAGAGGAGTGGAGTTACGGACGTTTGAAGAGGAGACCTGACCAATCTCCAACGTAGCCAGCTCCAGACAAGTATTCTATTTCTGGCCAATCGGGAGGAAATTGCGAGAGTTCTTCGAGAGCTTTTTCTCCCAGTGTTGGCCGCAGTTCTTGAGGAACTTTCTCCCAAGCGAGGAAGTCGGCTACGTTGTTAGTGAATGGACCAGTATGTCTGATGAAGTATTGAATCAAGTTCTTGATCAGGTAGATTGGGTTCTGTATTTGTTAGCGATAACTTCACAGAAAGAAAAGATTCTTGGTGTACATTCGCAAGCTTCGTGAGCGTTGTAACCTTGACTCGGTACGCAGGACCAAAGAAGATATGATCCTGCAAATTTTGTCCCACACCTGGTCTGTCAGCTATCACCGGAATATTGAATTCCTGCAAATGCTTTGCTGGACCGATACCAGAGACCATGAGGAGTTGCGGTGATTGGAATGCGCCTGCTGAGATGATGATTTCCTTCCTTGTTTTCAAAGCTCGTTCCTCGCCTTTGAATTCCACAATGACGGAATCGGCCTTTTTGTCGTTATCAAACAGAATCCGTTTCGCCAACGTGGATGAAAAGACATGGAGATTTGTCCTCCCACTTCCCATTGCAGACTTTAAAAATGAGGTCGCGGATGAATCTCTCTTCTCCGATTTGCCATTAATAGTTGTACTGCAGTATTGAGAGCCATTCAGGGTGCCGCTGTTGAAGTCAGTAGCAGTAGGTATCCCAATCTCGTGTAACCCAGCTTTCATATACTCCGAGAACAGCTGTGGGAAGTTAGGATAAGAGACATTGAGAGGTCCAGCTTTGCCATCGAAGGCTGTCGGGCTGTATAATGTATTTCCATCGCGACTGGGTCCAGGGGGTGTGAAGTCTACACTCTTCTTGTAGTATGGAAGGAAATTATCGTATGCCTAAATACGATGAGGCATTGCCACTTATGATATTGGATGAACTCACCCATGATCTATCTCCCACTTCATTGGCCCACTTGTCGAGTGACTGTACAGTCGGTCTTTGATATATCATGAAATTGCGAACGGAACTGGAACAATCAATATCAAAGGCTTCACATAGCATTTAATCTCACGTACCCGCCACCAAGGCATTTTCCCCTCGCATATGACCTTCTTTGATTCCCCGAGGCAGGATCAGGTACAGTATGAAAGCCCCAATCAACACTAGAAAGATTCGCTCTAATCCCAGCAGGCAGCAGATTTGCTTTCGGAATTTTGTTTATTAGAGAATCAAGACCAGGAAATTTCTCTTTGGTTCCAACAAACAGAACATCTGCAGCGGGAATTGACTCTGCTAGAGATGCGAAAGGATGCCATTTTGACCCCGCTTCAATGACAGCCACACTTATGGCGGGGTCTTCGGCAAGTCGAGTCGCGATTGTGAGACCTGCTGTTCCACCACCGACGACAATGTAATCAAAAACTTCATTTTCTATTTCCTTCTCGCTTTCGGTGTCCTTCTCTTTCTCGTTCTTGGGTGAATGCATGTGCTCTATAATTCGAGAGCGAATCGTGGGGAGGGCAGCTGGAAGCGAGAAGCGCTTGGGATCTTTCTCATTCGACATTGTGAAATATGATCAAATTCAACACAGAAGAGAATGGAAAAGAGGAAATGGGCAGCAAGATAAGAATCATGAACAAAAGCCTGATGCCAACTGAATCGCGAACCTTTTTTCATGCCTCATAACGTTCGCATGGAAAGCAAGATACCTAGGCATTTTATCATGCGCAGGGTTGCAGGATTTAGAAACCGAAACATGTGAAACATGAGCAACGATCACTTGAAGCCTCGCCAATCTGCCTGACTGGTTCGTGGAAAGCTAATCGAAGCCTGATCGAAGGTTGGACGGGAATCTTGGAGCAAGCTGGGATGACTGTGGGATGAAATGGCATGGGAATGCTGTTGAGCAGAGATGCAGAAGTTGATTCAGGCTGTCATGCATATTTCCCGTTACGCGTTCTCCTAAGCCCCACGTGATCATGAAAAGGAAGCATTTTACTTGCTCTCCGGAATCCACTTGGGTTTGTTTGGTGGTGAGGAGGTTGAGATATGCACTAGGTAGAAAATTTGGATATTTGTGGGGCATTTCGTGCGAATCACACAAGTTCTGCTACGGCCCGTATGGATTCAAATAAGCATATTTTTTTGCATTCAACATCCAATGAGGCCTACTGGCCCAATGGCAAGGCGCTTGACTTCGAATCAAGAGATTGCAGGTTCGACCCCTGCGTGGGTCAAAACATCTTATGGGGTTGTATTATCTTTTTGCCTTCTTGTGTGTTGAGCCACCGAAGTTTCCTGGCCCCCAGCACAATAGTTGGCAGAGCTCTTTTGGTGTGCGCAAGAGGACCAGAAGATGAATCTTGATTTCTAATTCTGGTCCTCTTGAGAATATTTTTCTTGTCAAGCTATCTACTTCACCAGAGTGATTCTTCTGCAACTGAATTGAAAAGAATTTGGTATTTTTGAGTGCGTTGAGATCTATTAATACATACGGTTAGAGTCAAACAAGCGAGACCACCTCAATATGAACTCAGACATTCTTTCTGTGCGTATACTAGGCCTGTCTGGAAGGAGAAAGCTTTGTCTTGTAGATATAATCCTTGTAGCCAAAGCATAAAGACAAGTACCAAATCTAGGCCTCCTAGAAATACCCACCATGCCTACATCAACTCTTCCAAATAACAGACAACTCCACCTTCAGACTCCTCACACCACTCAAACAGGATGCTTAGGATTAGTATGGTTTGACAAATGGGAGAGCCGGTCGCTTTATTCATAGTGATAATTATAGCGGACGAAGTGAAAAGAACTTGCCGAATAGAAAGAAGAGAGTTCATACCTTGACTGGGAAACATGCCATGCTGTCGATACAAATACCAGAAAGACCTCGCCATAGGAGCTCGATCCTTGAGTTGATACATTCTACATACAATACAATGCATATCCCCATCCCATAGTATACACAACACCTTATCCACCTAATCACCTATCCGCCATCATGTTCTTTACATAGCTGTAATATTTGAGCCCCACATGCTTTTGGACCTCTTGCTTCGTCAACCACTTGAAATCCTCCAATCCAAAGAGATTATCCTTCAAGTCCGCCTGTCCGGCCATTATCCGTCCTTTCATAAAGAAAGTCTTCTCGCCTTGTTTCTCCAGCGCGGAATCGGATGTATAGCGTGGTTTGATGATATGGTGTCCGATTGGAACATGGCCCACGATCCAAGTATTCATATTAAGCCCCGCGGTCTGGACCAGAATACGTTCAGCTGCCTATAGTCTATTAGCTTGCATCCTCACTTCGTCCACGGCAAACACAAACCTGATGCAAGTTCTCCCTCCCAGCCAACTCCCCGCTCGGAAACCCCCATCCACCCTCCTTCCTCTTAACAAGCAAATACAACGTCCTCGCCAACGCCCGATCCAACCTCCTCACATCCCTCGTCCGATCCGCATCCGTGAATCTCCCCAAGGGCCTCTCAATCCTCCCCTCCTCACCTACCTCCCCCTCCTTAACCTCCACCGCCGCACCATCCTTGCCCTCCACCGCCCTCACAATACTATCCCTCACCAGACTCTCCGCCACGTACCGCGGCTCCACCATCTCCTTCTCCTGCACCAGGATCTCGTCATTCCATCCATACTCCCCGTACGCATCATATCCACCTAGTTCCCTGGCCGCAACCCCGTTCCGCTCCCTGGCTTTGATCTTCCAGTCCGTGTCCGCGGGCGTATCTTTCTTAAAATAGAAGTATCGAGTAAACGGCATAGCGAGGCGTTCATTAAGCCGTTTCTGGTAGAAGAAATACGCTTTTTCGAACGAGGTCTGCGGAGCTGTGAGGATGGGCGGACGGGAAAGGAGGATGCCGGCTTTGGTTCTGTAGTGTGCGGATTCGGGAGAGGTTGAGACTGGGGGGATGTTACGGAGGTGGTGAAGCTCGGAGTCGGGGGTGGGAGAGGAGGTTCTTAATGCTGTTGCTGCGAGGGCGTAGGTGCGGTTGGAGATGCATTCTGAGCAGACGAGGAGATTGGGACGTTTGGAGGAGCCTTTGTGCTGTGTTAGCTGGGAGAAATGGGTCCTGAAAGGGATATACGTACGGATGATGCTCGCAGCAGCTCTGGTCCCTCTACTACTAGCCGTCATGTTGCCAAATCTGTTCCAATTTGATTTGCCGTTCCTCTGTCACCAAACTCGTCTCTCCTAAAATATTTCCAGTCCCGTTTACATAATCGATCCACTAGCGCCATTTTCTGGAGACCTTAAAATCTCCGCCGCGAACGAAATTTCGAGGTTCAATCCATGACACCTATTCCTTATCATCAGGTCCTGTTCCTCCTAGAACGTTCTGATCATTTACTGGTGCCTAGAGTGAACTTATCACGGGCTTTTTTCGCTAGCGGTACCTTCTTTCCATTTTCCAAGGGAACCGCTAGATAGCGATCGTTGACATTCCTTGTTATTTCTGCTTTGTGGGAAGTGAGGAGGAGGGCATTGGAGGTTGGGATGCCTGGAGCAGGAGTCGGAAGATGACAGGTAGTTGCTTTGAGCTTGAAACTTATTCGTCGACTTGCGCTGGCCAGAGGCCATCTGCGATGTCAGTCTTGATGCTTCCATAGAGAGGAGCTGGAACTCCATGCCTCAGGCATGTTTTCTCAAGCCGTCGTGATTCTCTGAAGCAGAGATGACTACTTTACGTCTACTGAACAGCATGTTCTACTTTCACGTTTGTCCGTTTATTCATTATGTTAATATCGAAGCTTCTCTTCACCATCAGGTCACCTTCATCTATGTTCCAAAGCAAAATTTAATGTCTTGCATTTCAGTCGTCTATGAACATAAACAGCCAAGTATGCAAGCTTCGCAATGCAACAAAGATCCACGCGAGAACGCCTAGCTAAGTTACAAATCATATCCTGTCTCATGACAGATATCTTAAGAGAACCTCATATCCCATGCCAACACCGTGATTTCATGCTTATACCGGGTATCTCTAAGTACGCCTCGAGTCCCCAAAGCAACCATATTCGCCAATTCCCAAAATGTGTTCATATCCTTCTGTGCAAGTTCATGCGGTTAATGCTTTGACAGCTGTTGCTACCTCTGCAGTAGCAATCTTCTCACAAGCCCATTTCTCTTTCTCATCATTCAGATTGCGAAAGTTGATGGTTTCGTACAGTTTCCGTGATACATCGCGATTGATTTCTGCATATTGCTCCTTGGTGATCTCCATGGATTTCCAGTGCGGCGCAAGAGCAGATTTAACAATCTTGTTGATGCCTTCCTTAGCTTCAATAGGCAAGACCGCGCGAGTTGGTGATGTCTCTTGAGAGCGGGGTAGTGTTACAGGTTTTTGTCGTCGAGGTCGTGGTTGTCGTAACTCCGTTATAGGGGATATTTGTTCTTGTTCTGATTTGCTTTCGGGTGGTGATCGATTCGGCGAATATTCTGCAGGCGGAAATATTGGTTCCACTCTGGAAGTCAGCGGCAGCGGTGAGCCCGAGCGTTTGCTGATGTGAGGTGGAGGTGTCATTGACGAAGCTCTCGGTGTGTGGTAAGGCGAAGATGATACTGGCGATGCAGCAGGAGAGGAATAGTCGACGGACGGACTTGTGACGCGATTCGGTCCAGATGTGGTAGTGGCACTGAAAGCCGATCGATCGTCGTCTGAAGTCGGATTCATTTCGACCTCTTTGAGAAGCGAAGATAGGAACGAGGGCTCTCCAGTTGTGTCATTAAGAATTCGAGCTGTGGGTGATTCTGCACGTTGGCCATTCATTTGGCGACTGGACCCTGCTGCTGAAGAGGATGATGCTTCAGGCTGGTTGAGCACTCTTCTGGTACGAGGTCGCTTGAGTTTTCGTTCTGGTTCTGCTGGTGGCGCTGATGGACCTTCAGCTGGTGATGCAGTTACTGATCGCGACTTTCTCTTCCGGCTTCTTGGGCTCTTCGTATCCATTTCCTTGGCTTTCTCGAAAGCGCCCCATGCTCGAGTCTCCTCTATTGTTTCGGCAGGAGTCGGGGAGCGAATTCTGACAGGAGCGGCGGCTCGAAACACTTCTCTTGCTCCTTGACGACCAGCGATATTCAGCCTCTGCTGCCATCGTTGGAATTCTCTTCGTTCATCGGAAGTGCGGCGTTGATGGCGACGATAGTCGGCCATAGACAGGTCATCGTCGGAAAAGTCCAAGTCCAATCCGGCGACATTATGGATTCGACTGCTGAATAGACTCCAAGCACCAACCCAGTGGTCATTTCTCAGTCGCTGACGGCTACGTCGAACACCAGCCTGAGTTCTTGGGCCCCTTCGTCCTGAGATGGGTTCGTTGCGAGTTTGGTCTTGGGTAGCACCAGCAGCTCTTGCGTAGGCTCCCTCGTCCGCACATTCCATACAGAACCAGTGTCCATGCGGGACTCGATCTCCAAGGCCAATACAGTGTGTATGATATGGTGCATCGCAGCTATCACAGAGGAGGAGCACCTCTTCTTGATCGGCTTCTCCGCATACTGGGCAGGGACGACTTTCTTCCTCTTCCTCGAATTGATCCTCGACCCAGGCGTTTGGATCAAATTCTGCTACTTGTTTCTTGTCTTCAACAGCATATTCGGATAATACGGTACCTAGAAAGAGCCAGTTAGCAGTTGCACACTTCACATGCTTATGGTTTCGGGTGCTGGTCCGAATGACTTCGGTGCCCCAACACTACAAGTCTGACGAGCGAAATTCTGAGTCAAAGAACAAGATGATTTGACTCAGAAAACTCTCCCGCAGATTTTGAGGTTTTTCGCATTTTCTTGCGACAGTGAATTTTGGGGATGCAGCAGAGGGGGGAAACATACCTCCAACCTTATCTAGTACCTCGACCAGATTGAATGTTTGGCGGCAAATAGGGCAGCTATTTGCTTTCTGCGACCAAGCCCGTAAACACTCGTCGTGCAATACATGGTTGCAAGGTTTGATCAGGGCAATAGGCTCGCTGGTGGTGGTTGTGCTGGGATGGGTTGATTGCTGGTGGTCTTCGGTGGTAACCGCCACCACTGGGAGATCATCGTGAATCGAGGCGTCAGGAACAGCGTCCAAGTCCTCGAGGCAGACAATGCACTGGTCAGCCATGCTGACGGGTATAGTTGCGGAATTGTCGTCGGGTGGGAAAGAGGGAAGTCATGAAAAAGATATGCAGTAGTGGGAGGGGTTGCGTGAATGTGTGGGAATTGTCGTTGCGGTGTCGTGGTTGAGTTCGCTGGTGGTGGTTGAAGCGGTTTGGCCTGCGAGTTTGGGGATGGAAAGTGAGAAGATCAACCCTGGACTGGTTCAGCTTTGCAAAATGGAACTGCTTCGGCAACGCTAACACGACCCACCAATCACCGCCGGGCGTATTGCCCCGCTCACGACAGCGGTCTACGGCACCGACGTGAAGCGACGAAGCGACCACTAGAGCAACTTGGAACACTAACACCGATACTCTGACAAGGGGGTCGGGTCGAGGTGCATGTGGTCTTTTCCTATTGCTGAGTGACTCGTTTCCGTTTTGCGCCTATATTGTATTTGTGGGGGCCACGCAACGTCGTGTCATCTCAACGTGACTAAATCCTTCGTCCAAGAAGTTGATTCAAACGTGGTGGCGTAGGGACAGCCCGAGAAGGTAGGTAGGTAACGTGCAGGTGATGACCACGAAAGATGTGATTCCGAGAGACCAGACCAGGGCGACAAATTATCTTCCAAACTGTCTGGCCTCCTCAACCTTGCTGGTCTTATGAACTCGACCTTGTGGTCTGATCCGCTTCGCTTCGTCGAACTGTGAATGTACTGAGCATAGAAGTACTCTGAGGTAGAGGAAGATATGTGGAATATCAACCTCCCGTTCTGGCCTCGCTGACCTACCGTCTTGCTCATGCGAAAGACTCCATAATAGAAGCGAGGCAGCACTAGCAAAGTGAGTCACAATAGATAGAGCGAGAGACCAGATAAAATGAAAGAGGGAATCGGGAAGGAGACCAGCCTCTTATAGCCCATCAAGATGAGGCAACCAGAAGGCAACGGTCCGCCCCATTTTCCCGTAATGCCTGCAGACTTGATATTGAAACTTGGACCTGAAGCGTCGTGCTCTGGATTCTCGCTCGACAGCCTCATTCTATAGTCGTCTTCAGGATCGACGCCACACGAAGAGAACGACGCGGCAAAATAGGAATTTCGGCCATATCGCGGGAGCAATGTTCGGCCCTATGTTGTGATGCAACCGGGGGAGTAAAAGTGAAAACAGGAGGAGGAAATTCGGCTTCTAGACGCTCGTCGTTGTTGCCTATAACATTCTCAATTAGGTAGCCTATAATGTCCCATGTACGACACATCCACAGACCACCATTCGCATATCACATTTGTATTCCGCGAATCGAAAGATCGCGACGTAGGCATGTAGGAACGGACGGGCGATGGTTTCATGAATTCTTTTATTCAGTCCTCGTCGAAAAGCGACGTCGATGCTCGTGGCCCGTGTGAGAGGCCGATCCCAGACACCAGCAAATGCCAACCGAAACAAATCCAGCCCAGTCCTCTAAACCTCAGCAATTTCCCTCAATCGTCGAAGCGTCGATCGCATGGCAGCGGCGGCAGGTGTTCTGCAGTAAATTGGTCAGCTTTCGGTTTCTATGTGGGGTAATTCTCAAAAGGGTGATTCGAGATCGTTCGTAACGTACGACACAGTGTATGCTCCTCCAGCAACAGTCTTGTTGCACGACTTGCAGTTCCAGATACCGACTGAGTGTCTCTTGACAGTGGTCTTTCCGCAGAAGGTGCAGACGTATTTGGCGTGTTGGGTGATTTCCATCTTCTTGACTTGCTTTCGGAGAGAGGCACCGTATCTAAATGGCAGAAATTGTCCTGTTAGCAGTCTATTTCCTATCTTCCACTGCGTTCACCATTGATTTGTCCGGTCGGGCGTCGTGAATAATCTTGCGCGAGATTCGAATACAGAGGTATTGTGCGCTCTCGAGACGTCGCGCGCATTGGAAAAGGATCATTGCATACCTTGTTCCGTACTTGCCGGTAACACCGACCTTCTTGGTTCTCTTCGTCATCTTGGCTGAGGTTGCTGTGATGAACGCTGTGTTTGGAGATGAAGGTTTTCCAGGTGGACGTTGATCGAATTCGATAAAATTGTGTGCGTTTTCTCGCTTGGTTGTATTTGTTGTTGCCTCAGGCTAACAGTCTCGCTTTTGAGCTATTCCTAATTTAGATCCTGCCGAAGTCCTCTTGTTTGAAACACCACGTGAAGTACCGAGGCTCCTGATTTGAATTCTAAATTGAGACTGAAATAAAGTTTCTGCGGTTTTAAATCGAGTCGTCATAATAATATTAATCATATTTTCAATTCGAATCCTTCTCTCGCATTCGTTCTTGTTGTGATTCCTACATCTTTCAACCCCCGGCGACACAGCAGCAAAGCATGTCAACTGCATCTCGCCAATATGATATTGTGGTGTTTGGGGCAACAGGTTACACAGGGAAACTTACAGCAGAACAAATAGCTCTCAAGCTGCCCACGGATCTGAAATGGGCAATTGCTGGCCGCTCTGCGAGTAAACTCGAAGCATTGGCAAAAGAGTGCAAAACTCTGAATTCTGACAGGATACAGCCAGGTAAGCACTAGAAATCTGCCCTTGGCTCAATTCACGTGGCACAAGCACACCTGATATTCACTCGATGATGAGCACTAACAGTTTCTAGAAATCGAAATCTGTAATCTCAATGATACAGAGCTAAGTGCTTTAGCCAAGAAGACTACAGTTCTCATTGCAGCAGTTGGACCTTACGCTCTTTATGGCGAGTATGCCTTCAAAGCCTGTGCTGAGAATGGCACTCATTACCTTGATGTTACTGGAGAAGTCCCATACGTCGCAGAGATGATCAAGAAGTATGAGAAAGCTGCAAAAGCCAGCGGCGCCATCATGATACCTCAAATTGGACTTGACTCAGCTCCAGCCGATTTAGTCACGTGGACGCTGGTGGACATGATTCGAAAGAGGTTGTCAGTCCCTACTGCAGAAGTAATCGTGTCTCTTCACGATATTAAGTGAATGATTCTTTCTAAATGCACCCACCTTGACTAACGTATCCCAGGTCAAAAGCTTCTGGCGGAACCTTGAGTACGGTTTTCAACATCATGGATAGCTTCACCATGAAGCAAATTGGAGCAGCTCATGCGCCGTATGGAATTTCTCCCATTCCAGGACCCAAGGTCAAAGACAACAGGTCTCTCATTACTAAATTCTTTGGCATACGAGCTGTTCGTGATCTTGGAATTCTCACAACCTCCCTCGGCGCCGTCGCTGATGTACCGATTGTCCAACGCAGCTGGGGACTTCTTGGCGGCAATAAATTCTACGGGCCCAACTTCCATGTCTACGAGTACATGAAAGCCCGCAATCATCTATCAGCAGTCATGATCCACTTCGCTTTGGCATTCGGCTCTATCATGCTCGCAATCCCCTTCATTCGGAGCATTGCGCGGAAGCTGGTGTATCAGCCAGGTGATGGTCCAACAAAAGAAGAATCAGAGAAGTATCGACTTGAGTATCGTGGGATTGGGACGCCAGATACCACGACACCAAATCCGCCGAGGGCGTTTTGCAAAGCCGCGTATGAGGGATCTGCGTATGAGTGTAAGTTGCATTTCACCCCATGCACGATTAGACTGACGTTGCGCAGTTACCGCCGTGTCCTTGATACAGGCTGCACTTTCGATACTCAAAGATGAACACGATCTTTCTGGTGGAATCTATACTCCTGCATGCTTGGGTCAAAAATTCATTGACCGTTTAGATAGTGCTGGATTTAAGTTTGAGAAGAAGTTCTTCGAAGATTGATGGGTTCAGGAAGTCTCACCTGACCCAGCCATCCTTGAGTTTCTATCTTCAAATGGGCTCTTTATTGGATTGAAAAGTATTCAGATCAGTTCAATCATTATGTACACTGTTCTCTAGGACGATAGACGTCCTTGCTCAATAATCAGAGTGTTCAATCAAATGTCGGTCACGTGGTGTTTCTTTGTCTACCTAGAGTGTTGCAAATCTACCTAGGTAGGCAAGTATTTCGCTTTCAGAGGAGTTAACGCTCCTATGCACCTTTTACAGTCAGCTCATCTTTCAGGGTCTTTCCTTCCTGCAGAATCTGCCTTCTTCCTATATTATGCCTGCTGATTTCAAATCAAGTCCCAAGTGAAGCAGGCTGCTCCTGCTACTTACGTCTACCAAAACGAATTGCTGGCATTTCTCGACCTACTGCTTCTAGAAGTGTTTAGCTTATTCCCCATACAAACTGATGTCTACATTCCTTCTATCTCATCATCGTCTTTGGCCATCGCACTACATTCATCCAGATCTCAACGGATGCTGCACCATCATTTCATTGTATCCGAACAGGATATATCTTCGACGTTCCTTACACAATGCGCCGCTCTCTTTTGTGACCTTCGCAATCCTGTGGTGTATTCCGCACAAACAGAAAAGACGATCAAAATGGTTGGTTCTCGATCGCTTCCGGTCGTGGCTATCACTAAGGCTTTCCAGGGAGGCTTGACGCTTTATGAGGGTACTGGTCCAAATGAAGACATGCAACCAACACTTGAGTAAGTATAATTCATGGTTTCTCTAAGATACACGGGGTTGACATGAGCCAGTCTTATCGCCGTCCATGGTCTCAATCCTACGGGCGGAGCACAACACCACATCAATACATGGAGACATCCAAAAGGCCATCATTGGCTCCGTGACGACCTTCCTAAATCCCTTCCTCGTGCTAGGATTCTGCTCTACAAGTACAATTCAAGTCCTGTCTTTACCAATGAGAACAGCGAGTTCGAATACGCCGCAGGAGATGCTCTCAATTTCCTGAGGCTCAAACGCGAGAGCGTAAATCTGTCCATCTTCCGACGAGCATAATGATCTTTCTGACAATCTCTAGGACCCCAAACGGCCTCTCGTCATGATGGGTCACAGCCTTGGAGGGATTCTTATCAAACAGGCAAGCCCAACAATACCAAGCTCGAAAATTCCCTTTAGTACCAGCAACTCACTATGGCTAGATGTTGGTCGAGGCAGGGAACAATGGTCGGTTCCACGACATGAAAAATGCAACGCAAGATTCCCAGTGCCATCGATGTACTGTTGGCTAATACTCACAGATTCGGGTTGATCTTCTTTGGTACCCCGCATCGAGGTCCTGGCGTTAATACAAAGGTCGAATTTGGCAAACTGTGCGCAAAGATCATGTACCATTTACATCCAAGTGGTTCAAACGCGATGATGGAAGCACTCAAGCAAGGCTCACTCTTCTCGAACGTGATCCAAGAGTCTTTCAGACATCAGCTCGAAATCATCAGATCATCTCTTTCTATGAAAAGATTGGTGATGTATGGAGCTTAATTACCGAGAAGTGTTCATTGATTAACTTGAACAGATCGTCCCGCGGAGTTCAGCGGTACTAGGGCTACCAGGAAGCCGTGAGAATGTCATTGGTCTCTCGGCGAAACACTCAGATATATGTCGCTTTGATCCGGACTCAGAAGCTGACAGAGAGAGATATGAAATTGTCAGGGACAACGTGGCCGAATTATGCAAACTTGCTACAGACCCAGGTATTTTGATTTCCTTACTGTTACTGGCACTGCTAGGTGTGTCAAAATTATGTTCCTTTTCAATGGGAACCTATGTCTTCTAAGATATAACGGACAACTACAACGGCTAACGCAGATCATCAGTGATAGCACCAGCTCTAGTTACCGGTAGGTTGAGCACTGTTCCAATCATTTTACTGAAAATTACTAAGATGCGTAGAAATACTGGAGAGTCTGAGAGCGCTAGCATACAATGCTCGATTTGAAGACATGGAAGAAGGATTTAAAGGGACATCGGAATCGATTTGGAAATCCTCAGAAGACCTCGGTGACCATAAAGTCGAAGGACCAGGGTTCGTGGAATGGTTGGAGTCTGGAAACCTTTTCTGGCTCAACGGCTTGCCAGGGAGCGGAAAGTCTACGTTGATGAAGTATGTTATTGAGCACGCAAAGACGAAAGAGCACTTGTCAAAGGCCGATCCCAGGAACTGGCTTCTAGCATGCTGGTTCTTCTACGAGCTTGGTGATGAGACGAGCTTCAACTCTCTTTTGCATTCTTTGCTCCTCCAGATTCTGACCGCCCAGCAACACCTGGTGCCGCTCACTCTCCAGATCTACAGAAAAGTCCAAAGTCGTCCCAAGCGAAATAGTTCAACTGACGAGACCTGGTCAGATGGAGATCTGATGCAAGCCTTAACGATTATTGTTACCCAGTCAGCCGATCACTTCAATCTCTGTATCTTTGTCGATGGTTCGGACGAATGCGGGCCGCGCGAGCATCTGCGCTCCCACGTGAAGTTTCTGTTGGAGTGGCTCGCCTCCGGTGAAAAAGCCCGCAGAATCAACATGAAGCTCTGCATCGCGAGTCGCGAAATCACCGATATTTGGGTGCAGCTAAAGAATTATAAGACTTGCCAGATTCATCATTGGACTACCGAGGATACTGTCACATATGCTGAGCAAAGTCTACGAGCAGCCTTCGATGACAGACTTTGGGGGTTCAACTCCGACCGACATGCGGAATTGCTAGAGACCCTCTGTAGGGAGATCTCCGAGAGATCTAACGGAGTATTCTCTGGGTAAGATTGGTCACCGAACAACTTATCTTTGCTATCGAAGGGGGTACGGATGAAAAGAGGATGCTTCGTTATTTGGAAGAGATGCCTAGAGATTTAAGGCTTCTGTATGAGCGCATTGTGTTCAATATCCCAACCGATTTGATTCAGGATGCCATCACCTTCTTTGAAATCTTCCAGAGCGTGGATAATTCCACGAATTCCAAAAGGGCTCTGACTCTTGAAGAATTGAGTATCGGGGTAAGTGCTGAAGCTATGTCTCCAACTACAGAATTTCAGTCCGAGGAAGAGGAGCTAGTATGGTTGACGGACATCTGCGACACTACCAAAGCTCGCCTTCGAAGCAGCTGCAGAGGACTCATTTATGTCGCGCCGCCTACTAACCTGAAGCGATCGATTTTCAAGAGTCTTCCCCCAAGACCTGTACGATGGATGCATCTCACAGTGAAGAGCTTCGCCACAGATTATAAGGATAAATTCTATGCTAGAGCAGCGGAGATGGGCACAGAACGGGGACGCCTGATACCTGTCACAGATTTGCACAAATTCAGCATGGCGCTTAGTACAAAGCTTCTCAAAATGGCTGCCGCTCGCTGGTATGGTTACGGGAATCCACCTCGAAAGTGTCGTACTTTCAATACGAAGACTGTGCTCCCCCAAGAGCATGTGGAAGGATGTGCTTGCTTGGTAGAATTTGCTGAGGTACCTCTTCCTTGGGACGACCGCAAGAAAAATGCGGCAAAGTTGGCCTCTCGGATATTTCAGAAGTTCTGCCTTGGCCTTCGAACGAGGCACGGATCAAGTGCGAGACCCACGAAGTGTCACTCAGCCCTATTTCGACGAGGTGAAGCGAACGTGCACAATGATCTGTCCTTCATTGCTCGACTATCATTGGGATTATCAACTGAACATCGAGAACAAGCACAGGAAAGGGGGGTATGCGGAAGGTACATTTCCTAAAATTCCCAATGGATCCGTCAAGCGTCCCAAAAAACCAGCTCGCAAGATAAACCACACCATCCCTGATGAAGAAATTGATAAAGCCGATGACGACGACGATGATGGCGATGATGATGACTTATCCGGGGATGATTGACACGTCATGTTGAGCGACTACCCTACGAGATTCACTCTTGCCATCCTGTACCTTGCCCTACAGCAATGATACTGTTCTGTCAATTCATCTCATGGAAATATCGCAACGAGCGTGAGGCGCCTATTCTTCAATGGTCACCTTGCTAGATGGTAGACCGATACTGCGATGCAGCATATTCCTCAAGAATAGATTGCTAACATTCTCATACAACTACTGGGTTTGGGGGTCGGGAGGAAAACAAAAAAAATGGTATGTAGCCCACATTGTCAGCGAATCGAATTTGTAATTGCATATCAAATCCATATTCCAGAACTTCGAGAAGCCTATCGTGTCAGAGAAGAACCCGATCTCAATGTCATCACCGTCACCGTCTCGATGTGACAAGCTTTATTTTTGTCCTGTGACGAGGCCTGTTTTCATTTCTTTGCATTTTGTCGGATTTCTGATCGATATTTGTTCGTTTCAGAATCGGATTTTTACCAGCGACTACAGACAGAGTGTGTATGAGGGGACGTCAAGTTTCCATTACTCAGTGGACCATCTCCGATCAGCTTCTTCAGATAAGATCTGATATTTTTAGAAGGACTTAGTCTGCAGCGAACTCGCACCGAAGTCTGGCGCTGAACTGCTACCAGCCATTTCAAGACCCAGGAAACGCCTGTGCGATCCTGTTCCCCACCTTATAATGCGTCCCAACCTGAGCAGTAACACTGACATTACTCTTCTCCTCAAATACAAGCACAATATCCGATCCTCCAAATTGGAACTACGAGATCTCCTCCCCTTTGCGCAAGGTTTGTCCTACCTCCGCAGTGAGGATGACAGAGGAAACTTGCGCCATGCCCATAGGCAGCACAGCAACAAGCCCAATCTCCGTATCAAGCACTACGAGTCCACGAGTTTGACAGAACTGGTAGCCAGCATTATCAGGGGCATCAAATACCATAACTCCCGCTTGGTCACCACCTGATAGTGAGATATTGGCTGGTGGGCTATGAAGCTTTCGCTGAGGTACGAGACTTAGTGACCCGTCGAGGGATGGACGTGGGTTGACTTCGAGGTACACCTGGCCTGGGATGATACGAGCTTCAATAACCTTGCTACCGACTGGGGCATGCTGTCTGTGGTAATCTGCTGGGCTGAGAAAAGCATGAGTAAAGATCCCGTTGTTGAATCGATCTTGGTACGGGCTTCCTTCCAAGAGTTCACTGATCTTCCACTGCTTCGGAGTCAGTACTTGTTTCCTGTAACTTTCCGATTAGAGCTTACATGAATAGTTTTGATGGTGACTCCTGAGTCAGAGCGAATTTCCCACTGTCCATCGAAAGTCGAGTCCGCAGGGCTCACAATAACGCTCTGACCAGCTATTGCTGCAACAGGCCTATACCCCGGCTTGAAATTCCTCGCAAAGAACTCATTATACGTCTTCCAGCCTCCTCTCGGCTCAAGATAATCCCCCATGTTATAATTTGGCGACGCCCAAAACGTCTCCATCGATTCATCAGAGATCGATTCCGGCGTATCCAGAAACTGTCCTTGGGCCTTGGCATACTGCACCATCCAATCCGACAGCCATGTCAAACTCTCCGGATTAAGGCCAGGAAGAATCGGTGTTTGCAAGTCCTTCGTCGATTTCTGATCTAGAACGAAATAAAAGAGGCAGAAATGGTTATAGACGTCTGTTCCCTGGAAGTTCTCAGAGGGAACCCAGAGAAGGAGCTCGTTGAGGAAATGGTAGTAGTTTTGGAGGGTTTTGATGGGTTCCATTTCTTGGATTCCGGTGGCACGCGCGGTTTCTATTGCGTTGGTAAACTTGGAGTGCCATTCGGGCGTGGAGTCGATTTTGGTGATGAGGGCGGATACGACGGGGTGGTAAGGCATGGTTGGGGTGTTTGTTTTGGAGGAGCAGTGATATTGGAATTAAAAACGAATGGAGATTGAAGAGAGAATAATTAGCATCTGAGATTGAGAGTTTTTAGAGTTATTGAAACATATTTGGAGCTTTACGAATTTATAAGTGTGGATTTTCATTTTGGGTAGATGATGCGAAACGTGAGTGTCAGCTGTTGGACCAAGCAGGTAAGTCGCATGATCTTCGTTTTTTTTGCCCTCACATTTCCAAGGTTTGTTTGTAATTCTTCATTTTGATATCACATGGTGTCAGGAATGTGTGTCGTATGTTGAAACAATCGCAAATATCAAAGTTTGAATGCGGGGTGGAGTGTGGGATTGATTGGAATATTATGGCTTGGAGATGACTCCATCTATGAATCCTGACTTGTCAAGTCTTAATGTACTGTACCACATTTGATGTAGATCTTATTGTGGCTAATATCATCATGGAATTGAAAAGCATTAAGTGAGCTTTTCAAGATTTGAAGATATAACAAATTGAGGGAGATTATCACAGCGCTTTGATATAAGAAATTGAGAGTGGTTTGAAGTCATTCATTCGTTGCTCTAAACGCCACGCTACCTCCCCAATCTCCCACCAAACTCCGGGCAAGTGCTATCTACAATTGTGCCAGCTTGCGGCGGACACCACCAACCCCCCGATCCTCGCCCCGCTCCGCCAGGTCACAAACCCCGCCCTCGCTCGAGTTGACTCGGAGCTTGTTGACGTACTTCTTCCAGAACTTGCTCGACATTCTTGGGAGCCATTGCTCGGTCTTCACCTCTTCGGCGTCGACGTCCTCCCCAAAGTCGATCAAGTCCGGTCCGGACTTGAGTCCCGCCCCGCCCTCGGAGTCGCGATGCTCCTTTAAATACTCCTCCGGGGCGGAGAAGAACTCGTCCGAACCAGAAGAACCTGATTCGTCGTCCAGGATGTCCTTGGACTCGCTGGACAGCTGTCCGGCCAGCTTGACAAACAACTCGGCGGTCATCCAGCTGTCATATCCAGCTTCATGATCTCTACCGTACTCAGCGCCGTATTGAACATGGTCCTCGTGTAGTACAATGAGAGGGACATGGATCTTGCGGAAGGGCGCAAGCAGCTCCTTGAGACCGCTGCGTGGATTTTGAGTTCCGGGACTTTGAGTGGCGAGGTATTTGGTATCGATGATAAAGGGGAACAAATCGTTGATATCCTCCTGAAAGTCTTTGACGTTGTTCGGTAGAATGCCAATGAAGGTCTTGTATAGGAAGCCGAGGTCGAAGAATAGGTTGTGCCCAACAATCATGCGCTTCTTGCTCTTGAGATCCTTGATGATCATCTCCAGTTCCTCTTTGACGGTCTTGGCTTCCTTAACTTCCAACTCGTTGATGAACCATTTTACGTCGACCCCAGAGAGGTTGCCACCACACAGTGCTTCGAAGATCCATCTTAAGCCTGGGGGATATTAGCATCAATCATCTTGACAGTATTGCCATAAAAAAAGTACTGACCAGTTTGCTTAGCAATGTTGCCTTTGTAGGTAACGGCTTGTCGGGCTTGGTATGCTTGCTCTTGGATAAGATCAATACGTCTCACTTGCATGAAAGAACCATCCATAAGACCGAATGCTCGAAGTGTAGGGAACTCGCTGCGAATGAATTGATGAACCAATCTGCGTTGTAGGCCAGTCAAGGGTCCTGCTGGATGGGAAACATTGACAAAGTCATCCTTGTGCTACGAAAGAGTATCAGCAAATCATCAAGTCATTTGAGATTGTAATCCTACCTCCGGGTTTTCGAACCAAACGGTAACAGTCTTTCGTGCAGAACGAACGAACTCCAGGTTCATATAGTCACTGGCACCAATCACAAGATCGGGGATATTTGCCTTTCTGCCCTCGCGCTGCTTGTACTCCTCCAAAAGCTCAATCTCCTCGTCACGCGACAAGTATGGAACGCCGGCCGTGAAGACCTTACCGAAATCAAAGCCATTCTTAGCAAGAAACTCAGAGGCGCTGCTAGAGAAAGTGAAGTTGCGGTTGAGTCTCAATGCAGAGTGACCCATTCCAGTTCCATCGGCCTGTAAGGGGCTTATGGTGAAGTTGTAAGGTTTTGCCAGGTAATATTCTATGTGAGGAATATTAGCATTGCATCAAATCAAAAGCTTCCAGTTGATTGCTTACCTTTGTCAACATCCTCTGAAACGCATGTGATTCCCAACTGTAGAACTTGGTAGGTCTCTGCTGCACTCTTCATTTCTTCGTACTGGTTCTGCAAGGTAGGTTTGCCAACATTGAGTGATTGATCACCTGCCGAGCACTTGGGCTTGGTGGTAATGCCACTCATCTCGAGATCGAAGGTTACAATAGTGGCCTCGGATATATCTCTGAGAATACGCAGCAAAGAGCTGCGGAATTCCGCGCCACCCACATCCATTTTGAATAGATCTCTGCGGGTTGAAGTAGGTTGTTTGTTGAGAAAATATGTACAGACTCCGGGGATTCTGCACCTGATGATACTCGTCACTGTATCTTGAATTTGTTTGAAGAGAGGTTGTCGAAAGAGCGCCAACAGATCTGTATGGCGATTGTAGGGACGCTGGAACGTTTGCTACTGCTCGAAGCTGACAGGAACAGATCTTTTGATGACCAGGGTGATCCAATCGGGAAGAAAGTGCTATAGATCCTATCTGTGTATTGGTTGTTTATGGATCGTCGGGTAGGAGCAACTTATGTCACACGTTCGGTTCCCTCGCTTTTTGAAAATAGAATTCGAAGTTGATCAGGATTGAGGAGAGAAGTGTCGTTGATCTTCTTTTGTGTGTAGTAAAGAACTCGGATGCTAGCTACGGTGAAGACAGTGCTGTTGATCCGGTCTGTATGTCCATTGAAAGGTTGTCGATCGTCGGGTAGGAGCAACTTATGTCCCGCGTTCGTTCCCCTCGCTTTTTTGAAAACAGAATTGGAAGTTGATCAAGAATAGAGAGGGAAGTGTCGTTGATCTTTGTTTGTTTGTAGTAGAGGAACTGGCGGTAGAGGGATTGGCAACGCAGACTGTCAACGTGAGATTGTATCGCTCCCCAAAGGTAGAAGCAAGTCAAGGCCCAGGGTTCTGCGACTACAGGAAATAGAATTCGAAGTTGATGGAGACTGAAGAAGGGAGTGACGTTGATCTTCGTTTGTCTGCAACAAGGGACCTGGCGGTAGACAGGATCAACAGCGCAACTGTCAACGCAACACTGAATGATAGGTAGAGGCAGCTTATCTCCAACGTTTCTTCGATTTTTGGAGGCAGAATTCGAAGATGATCTGGATTTAGGAGGGAGCGTCGTTGATCTTCGATTCTTCGTTTGTACGTAGCAAGAGAACCAAGGTTGTACAGGGATCGACGGTGCAAACTGTCAACGAGAGAGTGATGAGACTCTCAAAACCCAAAGAATTCAGAGCAGAGATTAACGTTTATCTGCAGGGAAGGTGGAAAGGAACACTCAGAATCTGTTTTGATTTGGGAGCTGGATAAAGAATTCGTGGAGATGTCGAGGAGTGAACAAAATTCGTTTTAGCTCCGCAGCACGTTGACCACCCCGTCGGCGAGGCGATAGTGACAGTGACTTCAAAGACTGCTGCTCCAAAGGTGATACTGTCCCGGCAGGATTTATTTTCCCTACCTTTGAGGAGATGTCGATATTGCCTCCGCACACTATTCTGAAAGCTTTGTCTACACAAAGTATAATCATGAGAGGCCTGCAATTTGACCGAAAAGCAGTGCCAGAGACAGGGTAATTCAGAGAAGGTAAAACCCGGAGACAATACAATTCAGTAAATCAACAACACCCTGCAGCTCTTGGATATTAAGGCCGTGAAGGAGAAGGTTGTAGCGGTTCTCTGATACAAAGTCGTAGGATTGAGAGAGCCTCAACCAGTTTGAGAGAACCAGTCCATGTAGATGACCACCTGGATGCGTTACATGTGAGCTAAAATTTCCATTCGTCCTTCCAACCAGTAGTACTGGAGACGCTCAAAACAGCAAAAGACTATTACAGAGACCAGAAAGACAATAGAGGGAGCACTTCGGCGGCACCAATTTGTGGAACCTGAGGAGTGTCTAGACGATTTGCTCGACAAACTGATGAGGGGCCGGCTTATATCAACATGTGTCGTTGATTGCATCTAATTTGTAGAAGATGTTTCCCGTTGTGGCGTTTGATGTGTCTTTCCATGATTGCTTGATCTATGTGAGGTGTTCTTGTTTGCCCAGCCTTGTCGGCCTTGCTATTCTGAGTTTACACTAGGATAAAGTTATGCAAGACATAAAAGAACGCTAATGACGAATATACTCTACCAATCACAACAGAGGGGGTAAGGCCGAGGCACATTCGCTGCCGACATTCAGAAGCAAGACACAAAGATCACGAACTTCATTCCAGTCCCCGGACTCGTCTCTCCTTCTCACCTCAACACCGTAATCCGCGTCTTCGAAGTCATAGAACACAATGACTTCCGTCGGATCCATCGCGACGACCCTCAGTCCCACGAGGGAAACCCTCTCGTCATCACAATTGCTGTCCTCCTCAATCTCATCGCTGAGCTCCGCATCCTCGCGCCAGACCTCGTCGCAGATTACCAAGATATATAGACAAGCATCTACACTCTTCCTGACACGTCGATTACCTGAATCTCTCTCGACAATCCTTCCTGTAATCACGCCGCCGCCTGTAGACGATACCAATGCAGATCCCGAGCCATCACCCATCTCTAAGGCTGGGAAAACTACGAGGGTAAAGGTCTGGAGTTTATACCTTACGATACTGAACGCGGTATTAGAACTAGACCCAGACGAGGGCAAGCAGACATTTGGAAGCTCGGAGTGGAGGTCTTTGGTTTCCAAAGTGCGGGACGGGGAGGTTTGGGAAGAGGTGGTGAAGAACGGATATGGAGGGGTGGAGGGAGATGTGGACTCTGATGTTGTCATAAACCTGTAGGAAAACCTTTTCAATCCATATCTACAAGTGCTGACATTTCGCAGGGCGACACTTCTCTTAACACATGCTCGAACCCAGAAAGTGAACCAGCAAAGACTCGAGAACTACCTTGCATCTTCCACCACACCGAATCTCGATATTTCCTCTCGTCTCCAATCACCAAATCCACCCCGGAATAGGAATCTCAGTCCAGCAAAAGGCAGTGGGACGGATACACCCCGAGATCTCAATGCACGCGTCAAGATTTTGGAGCTATACACACTTCACGTTCTGCTGCGGAACAATGAATGGGACTATGCTCGAGAATTTATTTCTATATCATCTGTCTTGGACGAAGAACGAAGAGAAGCCTTCCTGCAAGCACTCGAGAGCTTGCAGGAAGAGCAGAAGGAATCCGAAAGAATAGAGAAAGAGCAACAACGATACCAAGAAGAGCAGCTGAAGCGAGATATGGAAGAAGCCCGGCGGCGAAGGATAGAGAACGAAGAGCGAGAACGAAAACGAGAAGAAGAGGAGAGACTAAAAAGAGACAAAGCTCGAGGAGGTAGCGAGGTGGATTATGGGGTCGAAGACACACCCGCTCGACCTGGGAGCAGCAGATCAAAATCCTCAGTGAAAGCCGGATCAACGAAAGGGTCGTCGCACAAGAAATCGACTTCCAATTCCTCACTAACGGCAAGAAGTGCTCCTCCAGCGAAGAAAGTTCCCCCAACATTAACCACGAGAGCCGGGAACATAATTTCGAATGTGATGAAATTGGTTGAAGAGATGACTAAGAATTTCAAGACGAAACCTATGTTCTTGCTACAATTTCTGGCGTTTATCATTGGGTTATTGGCTATACTTAGTAGGAGAGATGTGAAAGAGAGGATCAAAAGAATAATGGGAGGCGCCTGGGCAAAGGTCAGGCAGACAGCTGGAATGGGTGTTAAAGTTAGCTATATCTAATGATCAAGAGGCAATCGGCGCTGGCGTGTATACTATAATCTTGTAAATCAAGACATGGAGTTGGGATAGTTGGTTCGAAAAGCTAGGATCTTTTCCGAGAATGAGAAATGGAACTCTTCAGATTGAACTATTGTCTTTATGCCTTAGAGTGATCAGATGCAAATGGAGATATACCACACACGCTAGAAGTGAACTTTGGATGGAACGGATAGGGATTTCTCGGCGGTGGAAACTTTGCTATACGATGCATACATATTTTTTGGCGCGAGCGAGGATGAAAAAATACATGATTTGATACCAAACAGCAATATGATACATACGACCCCTCTCTGGTCCCCTCACAAGTACTTCTTAGGACTGTTCGCCTTCCTCCGCTTATAGAGCAAATAAGCCCCAATAAGCAGCACCTGACTCCCCAACACCACCCACACAAACTTGCCCACCCCCGTTCCCATACCCTCCAACGTCCCCGCAAGCACACTATGGGTGTTTCTAACCTCTCCTCTCAGGCCAGCCACATGTTTGTCGAGGGCATTATGCAAATCACTCTTCGTTTGTCGGACATCTGAGTGGATGGTATCTAGTTTGTCGCTCAGACCTCTCAGTTTATCAATCGCTGCTTCAATGCGAGAAATTCGCGAGTTCAGATCGTCGTACCGCGAATTCGCTTGTTGGGAGTACATGGATTGATCGCGGGATAGGGCGCCAATGTGCTTGTTCATGCTTTGGAGGCGGTTGTGCAGGTCTGCGAATTGTTCCGCCGAGCTGTGAAACTTGGATGCTGGTTCCTCTGGTGGGTCTTTGAATGAGGGGATATCTCCTCCTTGATTTTGGTTTTGGTTCTGGTTATCTTGAACTTGGTTGGTCTGCTGGTCCCAAGCTTTATTTGCATCAGCATTCTCTGGAATTTGGCCGAGCTTTGACTGATCAACGTAGTCTGGAGTGTGTGTTTCAGTTGTGGTGACGAATTTGAACATCTCGAAGGAATCGGGGTTCTCTGCGCTGGCGGCTGTGATGCCAAAGTTGTAGCCAAGTGGGAGCTTTATTCTCGTGGACTCGAAACAGTTGATGCCGTCGACTTGGACTCGGAGACCTTCGTCCGAGTGGCGGACCGCGATTCGAGAGGGTCGTCCCAGATTGCGGTATGAGTATTCGCAGTGGCCGAATGCGAGACTATCTACGCTGTGGTGGGATTGGTAGTCATTCGAGCCGTCGTTGAGGAAGCCTCTTATGAAACCACCCTGTTCTCAAGGTCAGTAACTGAATGTAAGTCTGGGAATTCGAGCTCGTACTGAACCTGCATATTGATCTATCGATAAGACCAATCCATCAAATCGTCCCACTGTATAAATGCTGCTCGTTCCAATCTCGTTCTGTCCATTCTTCGCATACCATATCTGCAGATTCCCTCCTCCCCTTTCAGGACCTGTAGCTCTGAAGTCGATATCTGCTGTCCAACTCGAATGCTCCACGACTTTCTCAGACCATATTGCCCCGCGTTGGTTCCCAGGAGCAGGTGGGGTAAGGACAACCTTGTTCGAGAGGATCTCTGGAGGATCTGGCTTCCCAAGTAAATGCCAGTTGGGAATGGCTCGAAGATTAGGAGATATCCTAAGAAAGTTAGTGAAGGAAAGACGAAACAGAGAAGAGAGACATACTTATCGTTGGTATGGCCAAAGCTCAAGTCATTTTGGAGATATGAAGCTTGCGCATAAGCAAAGAAGATAGCAGAGGCAAGAGAAGATAGAGGCGCCTTGCAGAAAACCATCTTCAACAAGCTTGAGCCGAGCTCCAATTGACTATTACCTCGTGCCAGCAGAGTTCATAGATGGGGATTCAGAAGGGTGAATTTAGGCTGGGTATTTCAACTATCTGTGTCTCCCCGGCTTCTCTTGAGGACAGCTTGCAATGACCCGCGCACGATATCACGAATGCAATATATGCCAATCGCAAAGAGTATCACGTTCCGAATTGGCTTTCCTAAACTGGTAATAGACGGACCAAACTCCAAGACGAATTTGTGTGTAACAAAATGCTTGACTACGATCTCTGAAGGGACAAATGCTGCGTCCATAGTAAATACCAACAACAATTGAAGCTGGAGCTGCTGTCCAATGATGGTCGAGGAATGTTCCCCTGTCCTAGCGTGAGCGGCGAAGGCGGTGGCAGAATATTTGGGTGGAGACAATCATTCGCGCTCCACTAAGTTGAGTTCACAACACAATACAATTCGGACTGGAAATGTCTCGATGGCTGACTTGTATCCTTCGATAGCACAATGTGCGGTTGTAGCCACCGCTTTCAAAGTGCTATTGTTTCCCGCATAGTATGTCCTATTCCTTACAAGATCGAGCTTCGCTGACCACGACAGCAAATCAACCGATTTCGAGGTCCATAGGAATTGGCTTGCTATCACGAACAGCCTCCCAATCCAGGAATGGTACTATGAGAAGACTTCAGAATGGACACTCGATTACCCTCCGTTCTTCGCATACTTCGAATGGATTCTGTCTCAGTTTGCGAAGCTGGCAGATCCCAGGATGTTGAGAGTGTATGAGTTGGAATTCGACAGTTGGCAGACTGTATACTTCCAAAGAGCAAGTGTCATTGCTACTGAGCTGGTCCTGGTCTATGCGCTTCATCTGTAAGCATTGAATATATAGTTCAGGAGAAATGCTGACACCTGCAGCTATGTCCAATCTGCCCCATCAGCATTGAAGCGTCCTTCCCATGCGGCTGCCCTTTCGATCCTCCTCTCGCCGGGACTCTTGATCATTGACCATATCCACTTTCAATACAATGGTTTCCTATATGGTCTGCTGATATTGTCACTGGTACTGGCGAGAAAGAAGTCGACCACACTGGCTAGTGGGCTCCTTTTCGCAGCTCTTCTCTGCCTGAAGCACATCTACCTTTATCTTGCACCAGCATACCTTGTCTATCTATTGCGAGCATACTGTCTAGGCCCAAAGTCAATCTTCCATATCAAGTTTTTCAACGCATTGAAGCTAGGTACTGGAGTGATTGCTGTGTTTGCAGCTGCATTTGGACCTTTCGCGATCTGGGGCCAAATTCCACAACTACTTAGTAGACTGTTTCCTTTTTCGAGAGGCTTATGTCATGCATATTGGGCGCCGAACGTGTGGGCGATGTACTCGTTTACTGATAGGGTCATGATCTATGGTGAGGAAATCTGATTGATTCTGGAATATTTCTAGCTAACACACCCTCAGTTGCCCCTCGTTTGGGTCTCCCAGTCAATCAAGAAGCAATCAACAGCGTAACACGAGGCCTAGTTGGAGATACATCGTTTGCTGTTCTTCCCGAGATTACGGCCAGCACAACCTTTGCGTTGACTCTGCTTTTCCAATTCATCCCTCTGATCAAGCTGTTCTTCGACCCCACTTGGGATACCTTCATTGGATCCGTCACCCTCTGCGGTTATGCATCATTCCTCTTCGGCTGGCATGTGCATGAGAAAGCAATCTTGCTTGTCATCATCCCATTCTCACTCATTGCCTTGAAGGATCGTCGATACTTGGGAGCCTTCCGCCCTCTTGCTGTAGCGGGACATGTTTCGCTATTCCCATTGCTCTTCACGGCCGCTGAATTTCCGATCAAGACTATCTACACTATCTTTTGGCTCGTGTTCTTCTTGCTGGCATTTGATCGGCTCGCTCCAGCCAGTAACAAGCCTCGAGTATTCTTACTGGACAGATTCAGCTTGTGGTACATCGCTGTCAGCATTCCATTGATTGTCTACTGCAGCTTGTTGCATGGCATGATCTGGGGCAAGAGACTTGAGTTCTTGCCATTGATGTTTATGAGCAGTTACTCTGCTGTTGGTGTGGTAGGGAGCTGGGTGGGATTTCTAGTCGTGTTTTTCACAAGCTAAACTGTGGGCTTGTATATATGGTTGACAAAAGACATAGTCGAGAATGATACCCTTCACTTGTTTTCAAATCAATCCTCTGCCCAGATTCGGTAGACTCGCTGCTTTGGATTTGTGCTTGCCTCCTCGAAGCCAATTCGTGGAAGCAAGTGCTGCTAATTCGTCGTTCGATGTTTCTTGTTCAGCTTCCATTTGCCCAGAACCAAGAAGTTTTCGGCGATCCTTCAGCTAAATGTTTCGAGATGATTACTCCGTTCAAGGTGCTTTCCTGTTTTCAGTAAGCACGGATACCTCAACACCTCATATTGTAACTTACATTTTCAAGGCCGCAATCTTGAAAGGTAAAGTCTACAATCCGTTAGTAAGACATCTGACAAGAATTCTCCAGACTTGCCATTATCCAGCATGCTCCCTCTATGCGACAGCAGTTGCTGACAGATCGGTACTCCAATCTTTTCTCTCAACGCCTTCTTCAAATCCCCCAATGTCGTACCCTTCGGTGCCAAAACTTCAATCTCGCTCCCCTGCAACTTCGTCGCAAACCCACTGTCCTGAAATCTAACGAAAACAGTAATACAATCATCATCGAACCCGTCATCCTTCCTCAAATCCAACTTCGCCCCGTCCTTCTCCTTTCCTCTCTCCATCTGATAAAATTCATCCTTCGGATACCTCACTTCCACAAGATCAGACCAATGGACGTGATGATGCCAACTATTCTTCATCTCGTGAATTGCCCAATTCAACCCCATATTCTGCGCCTTCTTCACACTCTCCAAAACCTCTCTCATATCCTCCAATCTACATTCCAACCTCTCCAGTAATCCTTCAAAACTCCCCTCATCCACAATCCCCTTTTTCATTTTCCCAACCATGATATCCAATACATTCAAGTCAACACTCAATCCTCCTATTAGCACACCGACTTCCCTCCTCCTCTCGCCATCTTTCAGCAATAGCTCGCTCTCCCGCCGCAAGTACTCCAGATTCTCGCTCAGATGCTGTAATCTCGTTTCGAGGGTCGAGAGAATGGTGGGGTCATCGAGCGTTTCGACCCGTCGCCAGATGGAGTTGATGAATTTGATGAGGTGGATTATATCTTGCGAGGTCCAGTTTAGTGGCATTTCTCGAGTTCTTGTTTTCGTATGTATACTTAAACTGCTGTACATTTGCCTTGGAGAATTTTTGGGGAAAGAGAGTGTCATATTGGGGTTCCTGGTGGGGTGATTCTTGATGGGTGGATGGTGTGATGCTTCGGTCTCGTGATCGTCACACGACCCCTGATGTGTTTCTATTTCGGAACTTACTTGGCTTGGAGAAATTAGTGACAAGCGGTTTCCCTGATGAACTAAATGACACTAGATACCTTGAAGGATCTGGAAGGTTTGAGACTGTATGACAAGATCATGACCAATACGAATAACTCGAGGGCCTTCATGTATCGTACAGGCTGATTGGAGGGTTCCGGAGCAATATCAAATCTTATAGACTGGACTTCTTTTTAATCAACGGTCCATTTTCGTCTCAGTCCCTACCACATACCATTAGTATGACTTGTACAAGTTGTCTTTGTTGATGAAATACCTTGCGCTTAAATTTACTGTCAAAGTAAACAAGATCTTTGCGACTCTCGGCCGAACCAAAAAGGACGAGTTCCGCTTCCGCATATAGCTTGCCGAGTTCCTCAAATATCTCCTCATTACCTTCCTCATCATCCACTGGACGAATGACATCTGCACTCTCAGAGTGATCTTCCTCTGGAACTGTGGCACGATTTGTTATCATCGTGCATCCATTCAAGACATCCTCTGTAAAGAATGTATACAACTCATCATTCCCAGCGCCTGTGACAAGTTTAGTTTCGTTTAGTATATGCAGAACAGTGGGATTTTGCTGATCATATTTCAATCTGAATAGCTCGATATGCAACTCCTCAAAGAAATGACCAGCAGGGAGATCACTATTTCCGCCATACGTCGTAGTCTTGAACATCTTCCTCGATTTCACCCCTCTCTTGTCGTAAAACATGCCTATCCTTTTGGTCATATCAATGGTTTCAGGGTGGTAGAACAGTGCCAGCGCGGTGCAGATGATTTTGGTCGGATCTATACCAGAACGGTCTTCTGGAACACCTTTAATACCGAGCTGAGTTCGCAGGTCTTCGTCCATGAACGGTAGAAAATGAATCCACGAGTATATCTGTGCCATTTGTAAACGTGACAAAGCGTCCGTGTTGATCTGTGGCCGTAAGATCTCAATGGCTCTTTGGACATAGTTCCACCCAATTTCGGAACTCCCTGCATAGATGGCACATATACCAGCCATCCAACATGCAGTTCCTTCGTTGAAAGCAGGGGCGAGAGCTTTGTCGTTGTGTATTTGACTCGAAAGAGATACCAACTCCTCATAATGTTCTTGAGCATCTGCCCATCGGCCGGCATCTTCACACTCTTGAGCAAGAGTCATATGAGACCACTTCAACCCTAGAAAGTCGTCGGTTTCGTGGAAAGTTTGAATGTCATTTAAGATCTGTGCACGGATGGATCCCCGGAGCAGTCTTTCGTCGGGTGTTGTCTCTAAATAGTTGAGTCTGTTCTCCATCGCGAACATGTTCGTCGAAACGTCCCGCAGTTCCTGTGGTGAGTGTCGATATTGATTACGAGCCTTTATAACCTTTAGAATATGAGCAACGTCTATGCCAGAGTTCCCGTCAGGCTGTTCTAAAACTTTATCGATGCGTCTTTCAGCCTGTTCCATTGCATTGACATTATCAGAAGCCAACTGGCCCTGTTGAAGTGAGACGGCGAGGTCGTAATAAATCTCTGTCAGCGTCTCCGTTGGTGTTTGGCTGTCCTTTGAACCTGATCTGCTCTTATATGTTCTCGCTTTTTCCAGATATATCTGTGCTTCTCTAGGTTTTGCCACCATGAGGTAGGCAAATCCAATGAAGCAGAAGAGTCGCATTGAAACCTTATGTTCGGCGATGAGATGTGGATATGTGTCGAACACTTTCGAGTACGGCTGCCAGTAACGCAACGATCGCTCGATATGAGGCTGAAGATCCGTCTCACTGGTAGATAGCGCAGCGTAAGCCAGAATTGGAGTCGTTGCAAAGGATATCCTTATGGCTGCGATGTCGCAGATGCAAGTATGCCCCATGGCATGCAGTAACAGGGCCGAGATCTTTTTTCTTCTCTCTGGTCGATATTTTTCAAGATACACCTTTATCTTATATCGCCAGAGGGACTTATCAGAGAGTGTCAAAACTTTGTTGTATGTACTCACAACCAGCATGAAGTGAACGCGCTGAACCTCTCCACGAGAGAATGAATAAACCAGAAGCAAACGCGACAGTAGCGCAAAGATGGCTTCGTTTTTCAAAGGTCTGAGTTCTCGTTCAGAAAGTACGATATTGACAGCCGCGAATGCGTTGAGGAATTCAGTCTCGATTTGACGCTCATATGCTACCTCGTCATCATCAGGTATTGAACCTTCAAAGACTAGAGATCTCATTATGTAGAAGCGAGAGAAAGCTTTCTTAAGATCATTCTTGAATCTCTGGGAAACCTGATAGAGATTCAGCTGCAACAGAATCGTTGCCAGTGGATGAATTGCCCACAGGTTATCGTCTTTGTGTGGAGAAAGGAGTCCACGACGTTCGAGGGATCGTAACTTGTCTTCAAGTATCTCCTCCAATACAGTTCCCGCGTGTTTGGAAGCTCCAAAGAGTTTTCTGTGATTCGACAACTCGTCGATGTACCCTTTCAGATCTTTTGGTATACATTCCATGAAGACCGCAAGGTATACGTATTCAGAAGACGAGAGCCGAATTTTATTGACGGTGCTGTCCATAATTCCCTTAGCAATTAAGAATGTCTCTTTCGAATTGACCAATTCTCCTGTCCAGAGTCTAGTACAAAAGGCCTGGAGAGTAGTAGTACTGCTGAAGCTCTGAAAAAGTTGCATTGCCATGATTATTGCTTGCGGATTGCACTGCAAGCCTTGCAATAACCAATGCAGAAACAATCGCTCTTCAGAACTCTTTGTATAGAGATCATCAGCTTTTAGAGAAGTTTGGAGAGCCAGATCCACTGAAGGATGCAAGATCATGTCCGGCATCGTGTATGTCGGAAATTCTACAACACTTCAGCATATTACTTGATGTGGTGGCAGGATACTTACTCTTCCATTCAGGTCCAAAGGAACGTGCAATCAGAATCAAAAAGGTTGATGTAGCACCGGTTTGGTTGGAAGATTTCCTTTCGTGTGCAAGCTTCAATAAGCTTGTCCTGACTCCATCGGTAGACTCGTCAAGATGGTCACAGACAACTGTTGAACCGTTCGTAAATGAGCGAGCCACGATGGATTCCAATTCCAGGTCAGACAGCCCAACATGTGTACCAGTTGTCATATATTTGTTTGGCCTAGGGCTCGGTGGATTCGTGACCAGGTCGTCCAAGTACACCAAAGGGTTTGGTTGCTTCAAGAAGCCAGTGTCAACCCATCAGTCTATCGAATCCAAGATCAGACTGGTTTTGCCACATCCAAGGCTCCCTTCAAGGAGGAGAACGCCTTTGCTGGCCAAGAGTTGGTTCTCAATGTCCAGCACACTGCTCTCACGGCCAAATAACCTCCGCTCGTCCTCATTCTTCTGACCCTCAGTAAAAGTCATGATTTCTGAAAGATTCAGATCATCGATGTATGCGATGGTCGTCTTATTGTCGTTTCTGACATCCTGCGAGCGGTCCTGCAGTCTGTACAACACTGGCACCAACCAATCTTCAACATCTACACGATATTGGAATCGTGCTTCTCTTTGTTGTTTAGATCTTAAGGCTCGTCTGGCTCCATTTGCAGATGCTTCCATCGAATGTCCTTCGACCAAGAAAGCCCGGTAGAATGCTAGCATGAAGATGGTGGCGGCATTGATATGAAGTTGGTATGACATACCGAGCACCGAGCTGATGCCAGACTGTAGAAGAGTGATAGCTAGATTTGCGGTGACTCGAGTAGTCGCGTTTGCTGAATTGCACGAGTTCAAAATGACTGTATCCACTCCTGCGGCTCTTAGCTCATGAGCGACATCCGTGGCGTCCACTGGGTTGTACATGGTGCGATCTATATCCGACATGAAAAGTAGAGTCGCTCTAAAGAACCTCATATCAGTACAATAGCTGAAGATGTTGTACAAGCCTACTCACTTGTCGTCTTTTATCTGGCCATGTACATCGAAATGTACAATGTCGTAACGATCTCTCCCATTATTCAAAGCCTCTTTCAACGCCGTAAATGTACCTGGTCGAACGATGTCTATATTCACATGCTTAGGCTGATCTATATTGGACTTTGACATGCTCGCGATCGAATCGAGCACTGGTTTCAAAACCAACCTGGTGCTTATGAAATCCTCAGGATTTGAAGGATCCACAATACGAGAAGTGACGAAGAGAAGCCGCCTGGTCTCATTGGCCTGTTTCCATGCCTCTCGACCAGATAATTCATTTGCCGAAACTGGAGTGCTGACTCTTGTTACACAAAATTTGACCGGGAGTGATGGATGCTCGAGAGCTTCCCAGTGTAGTTTGTGTATGGAAAGATCATCCTCTGTTCCCTGCACATGAAGATCCAATGGTTCCTTGGTGTTTTGCAAGCCCCATAATTCTACGATACTCTGAAGCTGCTCAAAAAGATCGTGGGCATATTGCTTTATACTTGCGGCAACTCCACTCGCTTTGCTGCCTGCAAAAGGATCTTTGGTAGCATACTTTTCAAGATACCACCTCAGTCTTCCCTCTTGGTTGTTGGTGAATGGAGAGCGAAAAGTGACTGGCGTATCAGAATCTTTGTGTTCTGCTCTACATACCCACTTGTTTGGTGTGGCTTTGATGCAAGTGAGTTTGATTCGATTGTTCATGACGCCTCTCGAGCTTTGCTGTAGGCTATCGGCCATCCAGACATTACAGCATGACGTCCAATTGATTCTCTGCAAGTATCTCGCCTCAGATCTGGGTATATTTGTCGACGCGACGTAAAGCGAAATGGACTAGTTGAAAAAATGGACCGATAAATGAAGATGGTGCTGTGCGCTTTTTGGCGAGCTTGTCTGCTGGTCATCGCCAGTCTAGACTCGTTACGCCATGGATAATTCTAACAAATAAAATGCGACAATCCGGGCATCCGTACGCCACATTTCCTCAGTGATGTCCAATCTAACCCCTTTTAGCTGGGATCGGCAAAATCAGCTGCGGTCCAGCTGCGGATTAGGCTTTGTGGATGCCATCATAGCGCGCTCCCGTCCAGTTCGTAGCTGTCTCATCGCAGAGTCAAGAGTTGTCCTTGGCGGGTGGTGAGATCTATACCTCTACCCTCCTTAGAGATGGCTCCTAGATCTTTCGCAGTCTTTGATGAGGAGAAATCCGCGAGATCTGTGATACCTCTGCTGGGACACATCGTTGCAAATCCCCGTCGGCCTCTGGATAGCTACTTTCCGCGTCGAATCCAGCCAGCGGCAGTACATCAACCAGTTGCAAAGCCTACAGAGACTTCACAAGCGACGTCCGAGGAACTGAACACTTCCGGACTGAAAGATGGACTGAAAGACTCAACGAAAAGCAAACCAAAATCCGAAGAGAAAAAAGCTGCATTCGATTCGAAATCAAGCAGCGACCTTGTTTTCCTCGACGAGTTCGAAGTGGATCAAGTTATCAAGAGCGATAAAATTCGCGCTGAGAATGTTCGTAGAGCTGGTGCTAAAGTTTCTCTCCAGAAACTCTTCGGGATGGAAGTAGATGGCGAAGGCTCAGAGTCTGTACTCTTTGAAAGCAACAAAACCCGCACCTTGGCTCTTGAGCAATTTGAAAACGTCTTTGAGAGCTTCCGAGGACGCTTTGCGACTGAACTCGATGAATACCTGGATAAGAGAGCCGGGGGGAAAGCTTACTTGATGATTACACTGAAAACTGGTGGGAAACTCAAGATCACGCGCAACAACAAAGGGTACATCTTGGGATCAACGCACGGCAAAATCCCCGTGGGAGCTGCTACAGGTGCTGGCGACACACCAGTCGATCCAGAAGCCTCTATACACATCAAGTTGTCCAGAAGTAGCGCTCTCAACAGCACTGGGGTGAATGAAGTTGCCTTTGCCGCAGAATATTGCGAGATAGTACGTGTATCGAAGCTGGATTTCAAACTCCGAGGAGGCGTAAGCAAGAAACGTAATACCACTCTCAAAAACGTCGTCAACTTCAGTGGTAGCGGGTTGGCTTTCGGGCATGAAGATGAAGACGAAGATGACGATGAAGACGAAGAGGCGGTAGAAGACATATATGTTTAATCGCTTGCTGTTTGGTCCACCTTCGATAGAGGTAGATGTACGAGTTTTTCTATTTTCAATGAAGCAGATGTTGCTGCTAGTTTCGTTCGCACTTTTCTGCCTTTTCGCTGCCTGGTACTTCCAGCTGTACGCCATGAAACGACTATAGCTGTTGTCGAGTCGAACTTGAACATTCTTCAAGTGCAAAACTTCTCAAGCTCACAATCATTTCAAAATCAGACTAGCCCCAATAGATAATGCCTTGATCGGAAGGCCGAACATAGCGTAGAAGACACGACCTGAGTAAGAACAGAAAAGAGGGGATATAACATGAGGTAGTTACCAGGAACTCCGTTGATGTACGCCTGTGCCTTTGCCTTTGAGCTGAGTGAAAGAGGATTTGGGTCAAAAAGGACTTGACATCCAGACGTACATGACTGCGTTTCAGGCTATGGGAAGACTTCCCACTTGAGAAAGCTGCATAGAATGAATGACTACGTAACTAGAAGAGGCGTACATAAATATGGAGAAATAAAGGTATCACATAATCGCGCCAGAGTTACTATCGTCACATGCGTTTATCTCTAAGCTATCTATGCACAGTACTCGTATCCGAGGTAACATCATGTAAGACACCCGGCACTGACAGACTCCAATGCTTCCGCACTTCCACACAGTGAGCCACGCAAACGCCATCTGTGCAATATCCACGCCACCATACTCCATGCTGAACTCTACCATATACTCCCAAAACACGAAACTTGTACAATCATATTTGTTGGTTGGAAATCAAAATGCAAGGTTGCCCGCCCATACAGTAAATCCCAGATCTAGAAGTCGTATCTTGAACCTTGTCGGCGGAGCCCCTTCTGCTTCTTGGTTCTTGAATCGCTTCTGGTTTGACGCTCTTCCTCAATGACCGGAGGTGGCGGTGGTGCCTTCTTCGCTGGTTTTCTCGCACGTGGCTGATCGTAATGTAGATGACCCTCTTCTCTAATAGCTTCGGTGTTGTGCCAGGCCAAGCATCGATGCGCAGTGTGGTCGACAGGTTGCTCCTTTCTACGCGTTGACATGCGCTTGGATCCAGATTCGACAGATTTCTCTTCTGTAGGATTGAGGTACTCCTTGCGCTTCACCATGTTCTTGACAATCCGATCGCGGTAGAGCTTCAACTCCTTCTGTAGCTTGATTTCGTTCACACCTCGAGTGTCGAGCCAAGCAATCAAAGCGTCAACAGCCTCTGGATCTTCATAGTATCCCCATTCATGAGCTGTGTATACACTAGTTGGACCTTCCTCGATCTTCTTTCGGTCTGGGACTGTCATGCCAAACTTATGCACGTACTCATTCTGCCACTCTGGCTTCATGTCAATGTAACCTTCACGCTCAAGATCATCAGGTCCTTGGACCCAAAGGCAACCGTTGGCGTAGTATGCCTCGGCAGTCGAGCTCAGAGGCATACCTGCGTAGGGCATGCCATTGCGTTCAAACCAATAATAACGATTCCAGAATCGGTCTTTTCCAAGAACTCGAGTTCGGGGACAGTCGGCTTCGCGAAGGTCGTTGTCAAGAACGGCGATTTCTTCTTCGCAATCTTTGATGGCGTCTTGCTTCTTTTGAATGTCTTTAAGAAGCTTGGTGAACTGCTTTGTCTGCTTGGGAACCTTCGCTTCAGCCTCGGCCTTCTCTCTCTTCTCTTGTTGAGCGTCACGCTTTCGTTTTCTCTCTGCTGCTCGATCAAGACCGCGACGAAGTGAGCGACCTTGGTGAGGATCTTCATCGGTGTCAATGACCTCATCATCGATTGAGTCATGAATTTCTTCTTGGGCCTCTGCCATCACAATGTCATTGACAGCCTTGTGCTCAGCAACTGGAGATGGCGGCATGTTAGCTGGCAGTTGGATTTTTCGCTCTTCATTCAATAAACGAAGTTCCTCAATCCTGTAATCCATATTAGCATGAGCACATACTGAGTCACGTGACAACTCACAAATCTTTGCGCTTTCGTTGCCACTGGATCTTCTCCTTGCGGAAAGTGGTCATCTCCTCGCTGCATTCCTCCATAAAGCCTCGAACAGCTTTGGTCTCTGCCGTGAGCATGCAAACAATCTGTAGAGCTTGAATGCGTAGGTTGACATCAAGTTTGTTGTATTGTTGCTTCGCAGTCTCAGGGGTCGGGTCCATATCAAGAGGTGCAAGCTCCTTCAACAAGACCTCACAGGACTGAAACAATCGAGGGCTCTTGGACAGTTGGTATAATAAGCCAATCATGATGATTTGCCATCCGCCATTCTTGAAGTCGCGCTTCCTCAGACGATCAATCCAACCGGTTTCGACTTGCATCTCAGCAGCTCTGTGAGAGCTCTTTGGCTCTTGAGTCGGTTCACGTGCTGGGGGTGGCTCGACCTTGAGAGCTTCTGCTTCTGCCTTGGCCAGACTGCTTCGAGTTGCTCGTCCCTTGGGTTTCGGCTCAGGTTCCGGTGTAGGGGTTGGTGGAGAGCTGGCTTCAGCACCAGACTCTTCTTCGTTCTCGTCCTCATCCATATCTGGCAGTTGGACCTGGATTTTTCCACCATCTGCTTCAGCACTGACCAAAATCTTCAAAGCGGCGCAGTGAATTTCTACAAACAGTTCACAGTCGACGTCCTCAGATGAGAATTGCATAGCCTCGACGAAGTCGTCAAAGGTAAACGAATCTAGCTTAAAGATCTCGCAATAGACATTCAGAGTGTCCCATGCTTCTAGCAAAGGTCCAATGGACTTCATAAGAATGCCATTTCCTTCGCCTTTAGGTTTGCCGATGTTTGCCGGAGTATCCTGAGAGAAGAACTTGAGCGGTGGGCGCTTCGGACCTTCATGTCGCGGTGGAACTTGCAAGTCCTCAATTGGATACTTGATCGGAGGGGGTGGCGGAGGAGCAGGTGGTAGAGATGCGAGCGGAGTGAATGCAAAGGTAGAATTGTGGAAGTTGGTGTAGTAGGGTCCCACTGGTGGTGGTGGGCCGGCAGCTTGGAAAGTGTGAGAGACGTAGGGTGGAGGAGGATGATAGAATTGAGGAGGAAATTGTTGTGTAGGATGTGTAGGAGCAGGATTCAAGAATGGCTGCTGCTTACTCTTGGCCAGTTGCTGACCCTGCTGCTGCTTGCTCTTGTGGCTCTTTGGCGCAGGCTTCAACTCGGGTAGTCGTGGGCCATTGCCTTGGAAGCTACCAACCATACCCTCATAGTCTGGTTGTCCATTCTTTTGTTGAACTGCCTTTTGCTTTCTCTCAGCAGCCTTGCTTTCGTATCGCAAATGTGGTGGTACGCGAGTGTCAATGTGGTAGACAACTGCAACTTCGGGCTTCACCAACCAAGGTGCACCAGTCCATGCTTCTCGAGTAACGGTCTTCTTGATAAAGGATCTGAGCACCTGCTTTGTGAATATCTTGCGGTCTCGAGTGATGTGTGAGTCGTCCACAACAGCTTCCTCTTCGGGGCGATTATCAAGGCTGACAAAGTATCGGGAGAATGGTGGGTTGACTGAACCATCAGGCATAATCTTCTGACCAAAACGAGACTTGTCTCTGACTGTCCCAGATAGTCTTTCTCCAGTAACTACATGTACTGTCACCGCCTCACCTGGATAGTAGTCGGAGCGGAATTCCTCGAAAATCAGGTCGACTAACGTATCGATTCGAGATATAGTCTGGAATTGGACGCGTCGTAGAATAGGACCCTTCAAGGCTTCCGGAAATGCCTGCTCAACCTCTTGTGCACCAGCAAGCTAAGAGAATATTAGTACGCGCCGCGCAACATCCCACTTCCAGAAAACGTCCTACCTCACTCGAGAGTGCATCAAAGAACGTCAAACCAGAATGACCAGTGATTTGGCAGATAAATCTTCGCTGTGAGGAAGTTAGTACGGCTCTGCGACGCGTTTTGGACGCCAAGATACTTACTTGCTTGTAGAAGTCCATCCTAAGAAAAAGTGTTAGTAGATGCGCCAATAGTGATCAAGAAGAACATCTTACCGGGCCAAGAATTGCTCGTAATCGGCAAATATCTCATTTGTTTGGGGAATAACCCAGACCTATGCTAACTATCAAAACCCATCGCGCCATGTATTGTCCCAGGTTTGCAGAGCCTCACCTCAGTCTCGTCATTGTCAATGGCAGGTGGGGATAGGTATCGGACTGGTTTCCTCTTGAAGAGAACCTGGAGATGTTAGCAGATGTATATTGGAAAGGGAGAGAGGAGACTAGTTACCATCTCGACGGATTGTTGTGCTCAAAGCACTCTGACTGTGTCGAAAGGAACCTAGGGTAAGATGGAATGTCAGAGTCGATATGCCCCTCACTAAGTGTTCTAGGTTGCTTCGCAGATGGTTTGCAGGTGGTGAGGATGGTTGTTGTTGGTGTGGGATTGATTTGTTGGAGATAGGCAGCTGCAAGGGAGTGCCCAGGCTCGATTGCGTATGCGGCAGGGTGTGAATCAATATGGAGACTTACAGATATCCCGTCTCGACGCGTCCAAAGTCCTCGAGACGTGTCGGAGCAGTCGCAGACAATGCCACGATTGATTTCGTGGAATTGTTTGGTGGTGGTGGGATTGTTGAAGACGACGCGTTGGTGGTGGGAGCAGAAAGAAAGGTTTTGAGGAAGAAGACTGCTGTTCGGGGGAGAAAGTAGTCCCACCCCTGCTCGTTCCGATTTAGCGCATCCGAGAGAGGCGGGACTCATCCACCCACATACCATGAACCTTCGACGGACCGCGACAGGAACAAGAAATATGTTTTGAGCCACTTTCTTGCACTCGACGGACAGCTCTCGCCGAGCTCTCTCTAACAAGTACTCATATATGTATGTTCACAGGGCATGTCAATGTTTACGGTGCGATATAGAATTTTACGAAGAATAGGAAGAATCTTAGCCGCGTTTGAGAGCGTTCTCCTCGATTGCTTCGTAAGGGGTAACGAGCGGGATGCAAGTGATTTAGACATCAGACATGATACGGCTTTTCAAAGGGTCTCCAAGTCGTCTTAAAAGGCTAACAATACGATGGAATGCCGTGGTTGTTGGATTGTGGGGGTGGCCTTTGTCTTTGTTGACGTCGTAAGGGGTCCTCAAGATTCAGGGGGACGGCTCTGTGAAGGGAGAACCGGACCGGTGCATTTGGGACGGGTTGCGCATATCGCTCTCGCTATATGTAAAGTATTTGCTGGAGTGGAAGATGTTCTGTTGACTTGCCACTCAATGCTAGAAATGCTGTCAGTTCGCGGGCGGGCATGAACTTGCAGCCCTGCCACGTCTGGCCGAGAGCAATCACGTGGGCGCTAACTTTAAATTTCCGCCTCTGGTGCTGCTCGCTTAGAAACGTCAGGTCTCCAAACCAATCCACCTTTTGGTGTTTGTGGGAAACACACCGCATGTTCCCATCATCGACGTCTGCTTGTGCGCGAATGCTCCATTAATTCCGTGAGGTTGGTATAAGGTGTCAATACGTTTGAAACTCGCATTCCATAAAGTTTCTTTGCTCAGCGGCTCTTTCCGGGGTGAATAAGCTTCACAGAACTGCCGTTCTTCCCGCACAGCCTCTGAAATTGGTTCCGGTTGCTTGCGAATCTGTTTTCTATGGCGAAACCAGACCCGCCAGTTGCAGTCTGAAGGTGCACTGGCCCGAAAAAGTCAAAAATTTATTTTTGCTCACTTGCGACTAAGTGATAACTTTGGATAACTCTGTAAGTGGCACCTACTGCCTAGTCACTTACCTGTATTGTATTGTATTGTATTGTATTGTTTCGTTCAGATCTTACATAATCCCAAAATCATCTTGATGCAATTTTGCTTCCTTTGAATAGCAGTTCGGTTCAACCAAAGAATAGATACTGTTTGTCAAATTAAGACTTGATTCAAGACTTCGGCTCAGTGGGACGTTTTCTTTGCCTGCGCATCGCGAAGTTGAATACTAGTTGAACGAGATTGCCAAGAACATATGCAGAGCTTTTCATTACATGATGTATCAACATCGCATATTTTATTTTGAATTATTGCATTGATCTTGAAAGATACAGTAGTGCCATTTGTACTCATGCAACAACAACAATAGCAGATTTAGTCGACTTCATGCTGTGCAAGAGTCCACCCAAGATGAATCTAGCAACCTACCAACCTTTAAGCTATTTCAAGTAGAGTAGTTTTCTCTTGGAGCTCTCCCGCTTGCCTAAACGGACCTGAGCTACCTGGAAAGTTCGGTTCTATATAGGATATTGTCTCGGGTTGTTATTATTCCACCGTATCACTGCTTGATACTGTCCAAGCAGCACGCTTTTATTCTTCTTGGCATTATACTGAGAGTAATTCAGATTCAAACTGTGTTGACCTCGATGCTGCGCCGACCTCGCAGCGATATTTGAGATTATGCAAAGGTAGCACGAATATCACGTGATAATCAATCTTCATCTCATCTCACAACTGGGTCCAATCTGCAAGGCATAGATGGCTTCTCGACTCCCAAAGCTCCCAAATAAGTTCTACTGCACTAGTGTTCTGTTGTCGGGTAGGGAATCTCAAGCTGGGTAACACTTGTTCTCTTATGACGCCAGCAAGCCAAGAGCTACATCCCTATGTAATCGTCAGGACCAAGCGAAATGCTTCCCTATCGAGCAATTACATAGTGTGACTGAGAGTCCTTGAATATCCTGACTGTATGATTTGGATTTTTTAAGCCCCACGAACTTCAAGAACACCAACAGGATTCAACGTCTTCTCCGGTCGGTGTGGCTTGCAGTTTCGTTGCAGTTCCTCGCGCTCATCATAAAGTGGCCAATATAATTCGCAATATTATCACCAGCATAGACAACAACACCAGGGAGACGATTCACTCAGTCAGAACGCCTTTCTTCTCTCAGAAGCATCACTTAAGCTTCAGGCCAGGCAAGTGCTGAGACAGTAGCAGAAAACTTTCGAATGGGATCATTGGCAATTCACTTGAGTGATCGCTTTCTTTTCTCACGAAGGGCATACCTAGGCTTCAGCGGTTCTGTGATCGATCACATCGGGGGAAAAGAACTTAGCAGATAGTACCTAGGTATTTGTCTTTCTGGCTTGCACGTGACTCCACAGATCACACTTGACGAACCTTGCAAAATCAGCGGACGCAGAGGAGAGAACAATCCTATAAGGTGAAAAAGGAAGCATATATCCAAGTCTCGTATGGGAAACTTAGTTCTATCGAAACGGAAAACAATCTTGCTGGCTGATCCGCGTGCTATTGGGCCAAAAAATACGATACTTATTGAGCCAACGATACGAGACGAGACGATACAACGGCAGAGCCGATAATGTCGGAAATGATCCAGTCGTAGACACAAAGAAGCTTTTCGAACTATCGCTATCACTATCATATCCACATGTCCCGAGTCCAACATTGCTCGTCAGCCCTAGGTAGGCCCTGTGCCTGTGCCGTTCGCGCCACAGCAATGCAGGTCGTAAGCCAGTGCTGACAAGAACTTTCTTCAGTGAGTTATCGTGGAACAACCATTCGAATGTCGAATATCCAACATGTTCAGCCGAAAACTCTCGCTCTCGCCATGCTCCAATATGGGAAGGGACGTTGCGCGTACTCAGCCATCACAAATACATAGGCTACAACTGTCCAATGGCATCTGCAATTTATAATACAGTTAGCCCAAAAGGTGTTTCCCATACGAAGATGCTTGTACCAAGATACTTCTCACTGCAACAATTCCCTGAGTCTGTGCAATCATTGGTACATCCAGCGGAAAGAAGATTCTACGCCTCAGCCAACAGCCATCCTATCACGGAAGCACGTCTCCTCTCTACAGAATTGCAACCAGCCCCAATGGCTGGCCCCTCATGATGGCGGATACTCACTATTCCGTTCATCTCATCCTTGAAACACTCTTCCGGTTCCGACCTCGATACCTAGGTACTCAGCCACCGGCACGTGATAGCCCGCATTGAGCATGCCCAGGTCAGACAATCACCAACAATGGCAACTGGCGATACCGAGATACAGATCAAGAACCCTGCAGGGCTGTCATTATCTGCACTCCAGATCTCTCCCGCCCAATGCCACGATGTTTGAGAATTCTCCAAATAACAGAAATGATTGGCTGATGTTGTACGAATGTCGGCCGCAGCTGACCGACAAGACCCTGCATAAGCGCGCGTGTTATTTCGTCGCCCATCTATTTCCGCAGCCTGGCCGACCGTCCAGCCTCGCTTGTTTCAGCATTTTTATTCATAGATTTTCACTGCATTCGTCGTGCCTTTCACCACGTTGCAACCACGTTGGTTTGCTGTCAAGTGCAGCGGATCGCAGCGATAGAACCTTTACCTTTAGCTTCTAGAATATTTGCGGCGCCTATATTGGTAAGGCTTGCCAATAACATCATTTTTAGCTCTCACTGTGCCAGCGTCTGTGCGTGTGATTGATCCTCGTCGACTACTTCTCCCTAGGGAGCTGACCCTCTGCCGCCTCCGGCAGGACATTTTCCGTCCTAACGTCTCCAGGATAGCAGCAGGCAGTGCAAGTTCGGGCAAGCGCCATGACCACTTTACCACTGTCCGCATCCAGATATTTTGATGTGTCGACAATTTTAATATTACTGGCCGAAGGGTTGCTGGTGCTACTGGGTATAAAGAGCTTTGCTTCGTCCCATATTCTTCTCATATCTTCTCAGCATATCAGCCCTAATACAATCATCTTGTCTTTTGAGCCTCATTTCTTAGCCACACTCTCTACGGTACCTTGTTTATCCTCGAATACCCAATCAGCATCATGCGTTTCTCAACAGCCAGCGTCATTGGCGCGGCAGCTACTGCCAGCGCCCAAACCATCCAAGTTTCCGTTGGTGAAAACGGTCTCACTTTCACACCGAACGATATCACAGCTACAGTCGGACAATCAGTGGAATTCTCCTTCTTCCCCAAGGTACGTCAAACGTCATCTCAACCTCATTCCACATCACCTAACACCTCCCTAGAACCACTCCGTAACCCAATCCTCCTTCGCCGAGCCCTGCCACCCCCTCGCAGGCGGTTTCTTCTCCACATTCATGCCCACCACGGCAGAATCAAGCACCACATTCACAATCGTCGTCAACGATACAAAGCCAATCTGGATCTACTGCGGTCAAACAACCGGCAACCACTGCCAATCCGGCATGGTTGCTGCTATCAACGCACCCACCACCGGCAACACCCTCACAGCCTTCGCGGCCCTAGCCAAGAACGCCACCGCCTCGACCTCACCACCCGGCGGCGTCGCAGGAGGAATCCTCAAAGTAGGTTCAGCAAGCAGCAACTCCTCGAGCAGCGCCAGCGGAGAGAAGACCGTCACTGCGAGCGTGACGACTACTGTTACTGCCCTGGTCACGAGCGGTGGAAGTAGTTATACCACGACGTATGGAACGACTTATGGAACAACCTATACTACACCTGTTGCTGCTGGTGCTACTGGTTCGGGATCGAGCACGTCTTCTGCTGCCAAGTCGACTGGTACTAATGCTGCGAGTCCGTTGGCTGTTAATGGAGGGATTGTTGGGGCTGCGTTGGTGTTTGCTTTGGGGATGCTGTAGAGTAATTGGCAAAAAGAACATTTTGAAACTGGAGAGGTGGAGTTGAGGTTGTATTTATAATTCTTGGTAGGATGTAATTTATTGGAGTTTAGAATTTGTTTCTACGGAGTATAACAAAATTATTTCTATCTACGTCATTTTTCATGGGGTCTGTTCCGGTTTAGCAGCACATTGTGTACTGGTCTTTCAATGCGCGTCTTGATATCGCAGAAATTCGAGGGTTTTAAGCTTCTTTACCTCGAACTCACATTCTAGAGTGCGCCATATGCCTGGGAAGTTTGTACTCTTGCTCGCACTTTTCATTCCCAAAAGTGCGCACTATCGACTCTATTCTGAAAAAAAGCCAACAGCCAAAATTTGTTGAACAAATTTTGTTCAGGATTGTTGATCAGTAAGTAATGTGAAATTTGCTCGCCTGCCCAAGAACTCATCTCATGTGTTGATTGCGATCCCCACAATCCCGCTCGCTTCACAACCGAACCAAAAAATATCAGCAAAAAAAAACCCCCAAAAAATGTTCTTAGTCAAGGTATTCCTCAACTCGCAGATAATGCGGCTTCTGTGGATCGAACACTAATAATAATATTAGTAAGTATTTATTTATCAATAGCTAGGTAAGGTGTTCTTACCAGTGCCTCCAGATTTCAAACTCTGAAGTTCACTTCAGTCTGGCGCTCTCCCAACTATTATTGATCATCAGCAATGATTCGTGATATACGGATTGAGGGTAACGTACGTGAGCTAAAGCCGCTCTTGATTGGTGATTGGTGCAAAATTTATGCTTAACAAAATTTATAAAGCTTCTTCAAATGGTCAGGCGAAAATAGGCTTATTCAGCAAGGACGCCACGTTCATTGGCTGAGGATGTAAGTTAGCACTTTGTCTCGGAACGTCGAAAAATAGAGATCTTTATTTGAACATTTAAAGTATGAGCCTGCAAATCGCTTGGCTGCACTTCGTTAGCCTAAAGCAGGGATTGAATTTGTCGTAATATGTCTAGCAAAGCTGGCCGTCGACAATACCTTCATAAAATTCTCTCATTCACCGACGAGCCAAAACGGCATTTGTGACAATTCTTTTTAGTACAGAAGCAATCCTATACGCTATATTTGATAAAACAGCAGCAGCCAAAGACAAAAATGAGAACTTCCATGAGAACGTTCTAGCCTGGTACATTCTAGAGTCGTTCTGCTAAGCTCGTGAACTCAGGTCTGCTGAATGCAGTGTTGTCCCTTTCAGATTCGAACGTACAATAGCATTCCCACTCCCATCAATCTTCCACCCTACATCCGACGTCCCCGCATCAAATCGTACTTTTACCCTTAATCCTCCTCGACCACCCCACCCTCCTCCTTCCCCACCGCTCCCCCCAACTTCCCAACACCCCCAAATCCCACCAAAGAAACCCCACACGTAAGGACCATCATCACACCCGCAGCCCAAAACGCGGCCCTATACCCCTTCAACAAGCCCTGCTTCGTATCGCCCCCCGCATTCGCAGTCACATAATGCGAACACATCGCCGTGACACTCAGCCCGACCAGTGGTCCCAGCTGCGTCATGGTATTGAATACCGCTCCTGCCAAAGCATGGGTCTGGGCTGGAAAAGCATCGATTATTATCAGGTGCGCGATTACGAAGATTACTGGTGAGGATTAGCTTGCTGTGGTTTGGAGTATGGGACGGGGACTTACCGTCTACGGACACGGGTCCGAGGAATACGGCCCAGAAGGAAGAGAGCCAGTATGACGATGTAGGATCGATGACAGCCATCATGAAACAGGGGATGGTTGAAATTACGGAGGTTGAGACGAGGAGGTGATGTGCGCGGATGTGGTGTACGAAGAGGCCGACAAGAGGAGGTATCGTGATGCCGGGGATTATATTGGGAAGTAATCGGAGAGATGCTTGGGCTGGAGAGAGATCTTGGATTTCTTGATAACTGAAGAAGAAAAACTTAGTGGGAGTATAGTCCTGAGGGTTGAGAAGTGGGGCTTACAATAAGCTCAGAAAGACTTCCTCTCCTGAAAGCGCGGCCCAGGCTAGGAAGACCATCATACATATCCCGGCGAAGGACTTCTTTCTCCACAGTGAGTTTGGGATCAGGACTGGGCGTTTTCTCCACGCTTGAGAGGCCATGCGGATCACGAAGGCTGGGACTAACAATATGGCGGACATCAACAAGAGAATGTTTTGCACTTTATAGATGTTTTCGAAGCTTTCATTCAGGACCCTGGATATCTGTCAGTTCGCAAATCAAGGACGACTCTCTTAGCACTTACGCGCAGAGGTACGAGAGACTCCCTAAACACAAGGTCGCAATCAAAACTCCCACCCAATCAGTAGCGCTTTTGAATTTTTTCCATGTGAGATCATTCAAATTCTCATCTGAGGGCAAGGTCCATATGTTCAATAGCAGGAGTATGAACACGATCCCCGCGCAGATCGACCATCCAAGCCGCCACCGTTCAGAGGCAGTTGTCAATATCCCTCCAATTACAAGACCCACAGAAAATCCGAAGGGGACAGCGAGACCGAGGCATGAAAATCCAAAGGTTCGGCAACGACCACGATGGAAAGTGTGAGTCATGATACTGACAGCCGTCGGAAGGCACATTGAGACGCCTACTCCTTGAACACCGCGGAAAAGAATGATCTGTGTGCCATTGCTTGCTAGACTTGAAGAGAGCATCGAGAGGCTTGTGACAAGGGACCCGAGGAGGTTGACTGTGCGAGGGCCGACGAGATCTGCGACAGAACCGGCGAAGAGGAGACAACAGCATGTTGTGAGCGAGTATATCGAATATGGACTGTGTCTCTGGTTAGCAGGGGCCCGAAGCAGATAATGAGGTTCAACCAACCAGATGAGAAGATAGTCTGGAATCTGCAAGTCTTCAGTCATTACTGGCAGAGATGCAATCAGTAGTCCTGTGGACATACTGTTCGCGAATGACACCCCAGCTAACCCTGCAATGACTACTGAGGTCTTTAATAGTGATATACTCTGAGCATGAATTTCGAATTCTTCACTTCCATCTTCAGGATCTGGCGCCGACGCGAGGGTGGTATTCTGGCTCGAATCATCCTGCCGGAGTGTTCCATAGCCCATAATAAATGATGAGAACTGTAGTAAACAGAACAATAGCTCAGAGAATGATAAGAGGATAAATCTGGGATTTGAAAAGAATCAACAGAACAAACTCGAAAACCCAAAGTAGCAATACGCTGTATTAACCTGTGATGGGTCTATGCACGTGGATTACGGAGAGTTGTAATAAGTACAGTACACACAAGTCTCAATCACAGCAAAAAAGGGAACTTGCAGAGTGTCGCTAAGGCTGTCACTTCGAAAGTAAATATGCGAACACAGATACGCACTGGCTACAAGCTCACACGGCAGCGTGAGACGAGAAGAACTTGAGTCGAAATATCGACGCTGAACTTGAGGAGACAGTATTCTCTTCCAACTATTTGCTGAGATGGGTTGTCTCAAACACACAAAGATCGGAAAATTCTTGCGCAAACATGACACAGAGTGATCTCCTGTCCCACAAGATTTCGATTCGGTCAAGTGTTACATAGTACTAGAAGACAATTCAGTCCGGACGGTAACCTTCGGGTACAATGCAACGGGAGAGCCCGACGCTTTGGATGTTGGTGGTAGCTGAAGAGTGGACCAAGGACGAACACGGAGAGACAGGATCACATTTGGCCGTGGTGCTGGCGACGGCCCGAGATGATTAACTACAATCATTTCATGAACAATGCTGGCTGGGAGGGGGGAAACCCCAATAAGTGACACCAAGATACTTGCAGAAATGTGCAAGAGTCAAAAAGTTAAGCAAAAATTGCAAGATTTGTTGACAAGCACGAAGAACTGAAGGGAATCAGAATGGAAGCCACGTGAGAATGGTCACGTGTGAGGTTCTCTATCCATGTCTTGAGAGCTACTTGGGACGAAGACTGACTTCGATGGAAATACTGTAACAGAGCGTGGAAAAATCTAGCACCCGAAGTGCGCGGCCCGTTGGATCGAGCTTACGAGCTTTACCAAGCAGGATTATTCTATCGTCAGCTTAAACGTGAATTTATAATAACAAAGACTTTGAGGAATTCTGTACGACACCGGATGTTGATCTGCACCAATGAAGCATGCTCGGTCTTTAGATCCTCCCGTGCGGCTCACTTGGTGCCAAGACATGTGAAAACATTCTCGAATGACGCGTGGAGTGCGCGACATGCAACAAAAATGATAGGAAAACGAATCAGAAGAGCAACGCATTTCAGAATCCACCCGAGTGTGGAATCAAGTAAAGAGCAACACGACTTTTCGTCTTAGCATGCAGCTTGTCAAGAGTGAGTGAGTGAGTGAGTGGAAAGTCGCGAAGGCACGATGCACGAGTTGAAGAGGGACGCTGCTTACATAACCACGAATTCGGACATCGGCGGTCATTCAACGTCCGATTATCAAGACTTTTCATCCCAAACCGTGCGAAACGCCCAAACCCCAACTTTACGAGGATGCCCACAGATGATTTGTCCAGTATATTTGCTTCATCTGCTAAAGTTGCTACTCAGCCCCACCATTATTGCGTTCGTCATCATTTTTAAAGTTCGTGGGTCCCTTGGCATTGGCAAGAAGGCTCGTCCACGGTTCGGCCTCTCAGTCAAGGCCGAGATACCAACAGCTGTTGCTGCGAAAAGCCAACATACCACGGCCCTGCGACCTGGTGCGCTTCCGACTTTAGGTCCTGAGATGCTGCAAGATGGAATCTTCCGCTCGATTTCGGACTATTCAAGGTTTCCGTTCAAGGCTTGGGGCCAGCTAAGTGGCTCTTTTAAGCGGGGACAAAGATGGATCTCAAATTCTAGATCTATGTGCCTTTATTTTGTCTCCTCTTCTTTTCTATAAACCTTTGTATTCGTTTCATATAATTTTCTTTCCTTCTAGTATCTACTTCTCACACTTATACTTCGACAAGCTGGATTGACTGAGCATTCGAGACACCAGTCATGGCGACCACAGAGCCAGAGGGCTTCGCGCCTATTGTCAAGTCTACCAGCCATGCCACCGAAAGACGAAACTCTCTTGCACGCGCCTTCACCAATTCTTCGGTTCTTTCTGGACGACGGAAAAGCCGCCCTTACGATGATTCCGACGATGAGGTGGGAGAACCCATCGCCGAAGACTGGAGTATGATGCCAGAGATCAAGGCCCTGCAAAAGCAGGGGGAGAAGGACGCAGTGAAGCATCGAAAGATTGGTGTTACATGGAGAAACTTGACAGTGAAAGGCATCGCCAGTGATGCTGCTATCAACGAATCGGTGGGCTCACAGTTCAACATCCTGAACTCTATCAGGGAATCACGGCACAAACAACCAATGAAGACCATCCTTGACGATACTCATGGATGCGTCAAGCCTGGAGAGATGCTACTCGTTCTTGGTCGGCCAGGCGCTGGATGTACATCGCTTCTCAAGATGCTCGCAAACAGACGTGAAGGCTATGCTGAGGTGACGGGAGATGTTTCGTGGGGAACCTTAAATCCTAAGCAAGCCGGGCAATTCCGAGGACAAATTGTCATGAATACGGAGGAAGAATTGTTCTTCCCTACCCTTACTGTTGGACAAACCATTGACTTTGCAACGAGAATGAAAGGTATGTCTAGAATATGCTGTTGTTCAATGGGACATGTGAGAGGGAATGTTGTTGACGGGTCAATATCTCACTTGCTCCCTCATTGGCCTCTTACTCGAACATCTTCAAGAATCACCCATGCTAAGTTGTTGACTAGTTCCCTTCAACCTTCCATCAGACACAACCTCGCCCGAAGAATTCCAACGCCAGACAAGAGACTTTCTCCTGAAATCCATGGGCATCAGTCACACTCTGGACACCAAAGTCGGGAATGAGTATGTTCGTGGTGTATCAGGAGGCGAAAGAAAGCGAGTCAGTATCCTCGAAACTCTTGCGACTCGCGCAAGTGTGTACTGTTGGGACAACAGCACTCGCGGTCTAGATGCTAGTACTGCCCTCGAGTACACAAAAGCGATTCGCGCTATCACAGACATCTTTGGCTTGGCTTCTATTGTCACGCTGTACCAAGCTGGTAATGGTATCTATAACCTCTTCGACAAAGTCCTTGTTATCGATGAGGGGAAGGAGATTTTCTACGGTCTTCGAAAGGAAGCTAGGCCATTCATGGAAAGTCTTGGCTTTGTTTGTGCAGATGGTGCAAACGTCGCAGATTTTCTGACTGGTGTTGTCGTCCCATCAGAACGGAGGATTCGCGAGGGATACGAGGAATCTTTCCCAAGAACAGCAAATGACATCCGGCAATGCTATCAAAAGTCGACTATAAGGGCTGAAATGGAAGCCGAGTACAACTATCCCACCACAGACGAGGCGAAGAAATTCACGGAAGATTTCAAAGTTGGGGTTAGCCAGGAGAAGCACAAAAGTCTGTCCAAGAAGTCACCGCTCACAGTGAGCTTTGTCGCACAAATCAAAGCTGCTGTCACTCGACAATATCAGATCCTCTTGGGAGATAAAGCGACTTTCATCATCAAGCAAGCCTCGACCATCATTCAAGCATTGATAACAGGTTCCCTCTTCTACAACGCCCCGGACAACTCTGCAGGTCTATTCGTCAAATCCGGTGCACTCTTCTTCGCTCTTCTGTTCAACAGTCTTATCGCCCTGTCAGAAGTGACTGATTCCTTCTCGGGTCGTCCAGTTCTGGCGAAGCATAAATCATTTGCTTTGTATCACCCGGCCGCATTCTGCATAGCGCAAATCACCGCCGATATACCGGTTATCCTGGTTCAAGTTTCTACGTTCTCCATTATTCTATACTTTATGGTTGGCCTCAGACAGGATGCGGGAGCTTTCTTCACTTTCTGGGTCATTGTCTTCTCGACTGCTATGACCATGACCGCATTTTTCCGAGCAATTGGTGCCGGGTTCAGTACATTCGATGCTGCAAGTAAAGTCTCTGGCTTCATGGTAGCGGCTCTAATCATGTATACCGGATACATGATCAGAAAACCTCAGATGCACCCCTGGTTTGTATGGATATATTGGATAGATCCCCTGGCTTACGGATTTTCGGCTATTCTCGCGAATGAGTTTAAAGGCACGATAATTCCTTGCGTGGCCACCAGTCTTGTTCCAAATGGGCCAGGATATACAGACGCTCTGCATCAAGCATGTACTGGAGTTGGTGGGGCACTACCAGGAGCCACGAGTGTTACTGGAGAACAGTATCTTGCATCACTCTCGTACTCAGCATCAAATATCTGGCGGAATTTCGGCATTCTCTGGGCGTGGTGGGTCCTCTTCGTTGTCGTTACGATCGTTTCAACAAGCAATTGGAAGAGCCAATCTGGCAACAGCGGGTTTCTCCTGATCCCGCGTGAGAAGGTTAAGCAGACCAAACACTTGACGCAGGACGAAGAATCGCAACCAGTCCCAGACACTGAGAAAAATGTTCCGACATCTAGCGGCGGTTCAACCTCAGACGGAACCAAGGTCAATGATGACCAGCTTGTCCGCAATACATCAGTTTTTACCTGGAAGGATTTGACTTACACTGTCAAGACACCTTCTGGTGATCGCGTTCTTCTCGACAATGTGCAAGGATGGGTGAAGCCTGGTACGCTTGGAGCATTAATGGGATCGTCTGGTGCTGGTAAAACAACACTGCTGGACGTTCTCGCCCAGCGCAAGACTGAAGGCACAATCCATGGTTCTATTCAAGTTGATGGTCGCCCACTTTCGGTCTCTTTCCAGCGTTCAGCAGGATATTGCGAGTAAGTAAACTTCTGATCTATCCTTCTCGTAAGTGTTGAGAGCATTGCGCTAATTCATTGCAGGCAACTGGATATTCATGAGCCATTAGCTACTGTTCGTGAAGCACTAGAATTCTCCGCCTTGCTCCGTCAATCTCGTGAAACTCCCCGCGAGGAAAAGCTTCGCTACGTCGATACGATCGTCGATCTCCTCGAGATGCACGATATCGAAAATACCCTCATTGGCAATACTGGAGCCGGACTGTCTGTGGAGCAACGGAAACGCCTTACAATCGGCGTGGAGCTTGTTTCTAAGCCCAGCATTCTGATCTTCCTGGATGAGCCAACCTCTGGTCTTGATGGTCAAGCGGCATTTAACATTGTGCGTTTCCTTCGCAAACTTGCAGATGTTGGCCAAGCTGTTCTCGTCACCATTCATCAGCCTTCGGCTCAATTGTTTCTCCAATTTGATAGCCTTCTCCTTCTCGCTAAAGGAGGCAAGACCGTCTATTTCGGAGACATCGGCGATAATGCCTCCACTTTGAAAGAATACTTCGCACGTTATGACGCTCCTTGTCCCAAAGATGCCAACCCAGCTGAACATATGATCGACGTCGTCTCCGGAACTCTCTCTCAAGGCCGCGACTGGAACAAAGTCTGGCTCGAATCTCCAGAGTATCAAAACACCACTGAAGAACTCGACCGTATAATTTCCACCGCCGCAGCAAATGAGCCTGGAACCAACGATGACGGCCACGAATTCGCAATGCCGCTCTGGGAACAAACCAAACTCGTCACTCAAAGAATGACTGTCTCCATCTGGAGAAATACGGACTACATCAACAACAAACTCGCTTTGCATATTGGCTCTGCGCTTTTCAACGGCTTCTCATTCTGGAAAATCGGAACTTCGGTTGCTGATTTGCAGTTACGACTGTTTACTGTGTTCAATTTCATTTTCGTCGCTCCTGGTGTCATTGCTCAACTGCAACCAATGTTCATTTCTCGCCGAGACATTTACGAAGCCCGCGAGAAGAAATCGAAAATGTATTCCTGGAAGGCGTTCGTTACCGGCCTCATCGTTTCTGAAATCCCCTATCTCTGTATTTGTGCTGTCGCTTACTTCGTCTGCTGGGTAAGTGTCTTTTCCTAATAAAACAGACCCGCTTCTCTACTAACAGTCCTCAGTACTACACCGTAGGCTTCCCCAATGACTCCAACAAAGCCGGCGCGACATTATTCGTCATGCTCATGTACGAGTTCGTCTACACGGGAATCGGTCAATTCGTCGCGGCCTACGCCCCCAACGCCGTCTTCGCCTCTCTCGTCAACCCACTGGTCATCGGAATCCTAGTCTCCTTCTGCGGTGTCCTCGTCCCGTACGCTCAGATCCAACCTTTCTGGCGCTACTGGCTCTACTACCTTAACCCATTCAACTACCTCATCGGCTCGCTCCTAGTCTTCACCACCTTCTCTGCACCAATCGTTTGCAAAGAGTCCGAATTCGCCATCTTCGACCCACCGTCTGGCGAAACCTGTGCTCAGTATTTGGCAGATTATATGCAAGGCATGGGCTCTCGTACGAATCTGACGAATCCGGATGCGAGTGCGGGATGCAGGGTGTGCGAGTACAGGACTGGGGCGGATTATTTGTACAATGTTAATTTGAAGGATTATTATTATGGGTGGAGAGATGCTGGTATTGTTGCTCTGTTCGCGCTGAGTAGCTATGCGATGGTCTACTTGTTAATGAAATTAAGGACGAAGAGGAGCAAGACTGCTGAGTAGATGGTACAAGACGGAGAGAGTTCGTATAAGGGAAGATAGATATGTTGCGGTTTTCATTTGTCGGATGGCGTTGATACTTAGATGGCGGAATAATGTGTATATCATATTAGATTGGGAAAGAAAGGTGGGGGTAGTTATTTGCAATAATATAGGAGATTAGAAGCTACTTATCCTCTCATCTGGACTTCTCCTCTGTTACCCCTTGCCCGCACTCGTATCTCGCTTAGGTTTAGCGCGAACTCTAAAGTCACTATCATCATGATGCTTTCCTCAGCGTTTTCTCACTCTATTGGAAGTCATTTGAAGTTTCTACCTCGATTGCAATTTGTTACTGCGGAAGATAAAACTCCGTTTCATTGTTCAAGATATTCATTTACCTTGAGTCTGCTACTCGTGTTCCGATTTTGGCGCAGGATGCGCAAAACGCGCCAGTCGCGCAGGAAGTGCAAACCGCGCGGGACGCGCTCGGGACGCGTGGGGTGCGAGAAGTTATGAATTGGTTGCAACTTGGGAACTGTTCAGCAGATATCCTAGATCCTAAGAAAGGTCAAACCATGATCATATCATTCTTCGTACACATTAGCACTTGATCTATCAGAGCGTCTTCGATCACGTGATATACTGCAAAACCACGAAGATGTTTGCAAGTAGGGCTGAGCAGTTGTTTTATCCTCATTGACGGGAAGAGAAATGCTCATTTGGTGTGGTCGATATGTAAAATGTAATACTATTACGAAGGCCGACGCCTTGACGCCCGACGCCCGGCCACAGTTGGACGAGGCTGAATCTCATGCACGAGCTTTCTTTCTTCTTTTGATCCCGCATAAGACACAAGCCACTTGCCAATAACATCGCTCAGGAAGATAAGACTAAACGCAAGCGCCTCCAAGTACAACCTGACCACGAAAACCTGACCGTGTTGCAAAACTTGCTCGCTCCATCTTCTCCGCATCAACAGCGACAGGACGATCTCCGAAGGCAACTGTGAGATCTCGGAGAAGTGCACACCGTCATGGATCCTGCGACCGCTGGTGTTGCCTCTGGCAGCCCCGCAGTAGTCAAGGAACTCATTGATAGAGCAAAAGCACTGAAGCGCATGTGGATAGATACCGGAGGCGTTGATGGCAGCACCGAAGCCATTGTGGCGGCGCTCGAGGCTTTTGATTTCGCCATGTCAATTTTCCAACTGCAATTATCCAAATCTGAAGCTTTCAGTCTCATCCTCCAGCAGTGGTGGAATCAAAGACAACTAGATGCACTTCTGTCAAATGCAGCGAAGACATTCTCAAGACTCAACATAATCTCGACAGAAATCGCCAATAACGGCTCGCTCTTGCAACTCCCAGGCTGGCAAGGGTCCCGAATGGAACAAGAAATTGGCCATCTTCGCCTCCGATTGCAGACATATACCGCGACTCTCAGTATCCCAGTACTCATAATGAATATGTAAGTTGCTTCCTCACTGACCATCGCCGCAGTCTAAAGACGAGTCTTGTACAGTCGTGGGACGCATGTTACACAAACACCCCCGACTCAAATCCACCTCGACTACCTCAATGGCCGACTGCTTAAGCTTGACGAAGATATTGCAAAATTGACCGAGCAACTACAAACGTTGTTTCTTGATCAATCTTCGGGCGGTACGGTGCCAGCAGCTGAAGCGCTAGAGTACTATCAAGATAGCGAAGAGTTGATCGACATCGCACGAGATTTAAGATCCAGTGCTAGTTCCATTGCTTCTAGCAGCGAAAGCGTGGGTAGCACCGTCTTTACCATCTCTGACGCGAAGACAATCGCCTCTGCAGCCTCTGTCGATGGAGAATTCAGGGAAGAATCCCACAGAGTCATCGAAGAATGGCTCGGGGATGAAGTTCCTGAGGTCCAGCCTGGCCCTCCTCCGCCTGCAAATGCTCCAATCACTCCTATACCCGACACCGATCCATTACCCGCCGAGTCATCCCCACCAAAAACTAACAACCAGCCTACCACCCGTGCCTCAGAATCAAGAACTCGCCCTCAGGCATCCCGTCAACAAAAAGAGAAAGTTCGCCCTCGCATTCCAGAGACAACAAGCAATATCGATCCAGAGGCTAGAGTGATACTAGAAAGGTTCCGTTATGGGAAAAAGCTCGTGTTACAGAGAAAGTACAGCGAAGCCGAGCCTCACCTGCGGAAAACGTGGGACATAGCGCGAGATTATGGTAGACAGGTTAGTCTACCATCACCTTGCCGACACTGTCTTGGTAGAAAATGCCGGAAATAGGAGTGGGCTATTTCAAGAGCTCAACCTTTTTGGGGTCTTTGCTTACCTTGGTTTCTTGCCAAACGATTCTCTGAGCGGATATGCTAACTTATCGGACACAGGTTTCGCTTGTAAACGATCCAAGCTTGTTGCAAGATCCAGTTTTACAAGTGCTTGCGCAGACAGAAGTACAAACAGAAATTCAACTTCTCCTTGCTGACAGCTTGATCGGAGGAAAATGCTACAGCAAGCAGAACACTGATGTCTCGGTGTTCAGAGAACCGCAGGACATGCTGCTGAATATAGTCCAGGCTAATAACACCACTAGAGACGAGCGCCTGTCAGCCGCGGGCTCACTTATTGAATTAGCTATCATTATGACACGAAGCTTTATTGGAGGGCTCAAATTCGGACTCAAATACGAGCTACAAGTAGAAAGAATCTCTGTCAACCGAATCGAGCAGATGATAAATCATGTTTTTGCCCAGGTTTTGAGCAGCAGGATCCATGAGGGTGTAAAAGCAGACGCTTTTCACGTGCAGGCGTGGACGAAGCTAGTGTTGGGTTGTTCTTGGTTTGACCCCGATTCTTATCTTCCCTTGTACTATTTACGCTCAAGTTCTGTTTCCTAGACCGTTGCTTCAAATATTCGGCTGCCTAAGCTACGCAATGCTCAAAACAAAATAGTTTGGGGAACAAATCTAACTAGCCACAGTAAACTAGGTGCACAAATACTGGCAGAAATGCTAGCAGAGGCGAAAGAAAGCTGCATCAAAGCCATACGCTTGAAGGAGCGCAACTTCGGCTTTGGACATCCAAGACACAAAGCCTCTCTCGCACTACTGATCTACATCTGCACCGAATCAAACGACTCCGATCTTCCTTTCTGGCTGCTCGGCCTTCCGGAAGGGATAACTATCAGCGACATGAAAGACCCCAGAGATAACCTTATAACTTCTTCTAATCCTGGCCGTGGGTTCCGTTCTCCCTTGCAATTGGTCTCGAGCTGTCGTAGCACGCTCACTCGAGCTCAGATGGATTCTCTAGGCGCGTTTTTCGCTCCCATACTTCCACCGCCGAAGCTACAAGCGAGGCCTCCTCCAGCGCCTGCTCCGGCACCGTCGAAAGCCCCTGAAGCCAAGAGAAAAAGTGGATTTTTCAAGTTTATGGATAATTTGGTGGATGGTAAAGCTAAGAAGGGCGATGAGCATGCTGGTAAAAATAAACTTAGGAAGAGCGGCGACAAAGATGGCAGGTGATGAGATCGAGTACTTTCATTCTCTCGAGGGTGATGGATAGTAGGTTGGCAGCGTTCGGGTGTCGAGGTGTCGTGGCAAAATCACGCTGATTGCTTCGAAACAACAAGTTCTTGATATTCCTCGAAGCTTCCTCCGTCTTGACAGGTGCACGTTTAAGCTTGGACTGTTGATCACGGTAGAAGCAATGGGGCATTTAGAGAATTCAGAAGCTTACTTGCAGTCTTTTGAGTAACAAAAGTTATGTCAAAGTTTAGGATATATTGAGGTGCATTTGCGCCTTGCCATGATGGAATGCTGACCCTCTTTGTTTTCGTTTCAATGGAGGGATAGTAAATTTAGTTCGTACTCCAAAATAGTATTGGAACCACAAGCTATCCCAAGCTGTCATTCAAATAAAATTCCAGGCTGCGTGGCACGCCTAAGCGAATCTTTAGGCCTTGTATCGTAGCGCATTCAGAGGGTGTCGGACGGGGGTATTTCGGCCAGTGCAAAAAGGTGCATTTCCAGCAGCTTAACACAAGTTTCTAGTTTACATACACATGGCGCTCTGCGAAAAATGACAAGGTACAGAATGAAGTGTTATTTCATTACCAGCCATGTGCAGAGATGTTGGAAAGTAATCTGTTTGATATAGAGTGGAGTTATGTGAACAAGTGTTTTTGTCTGGCTTGATGGAGTGATTTCTTGATTCATACAACCACCCATCTATATACATACACACTTGGTATCCCGTCTTTAATGGTGAAGCCTGGCTTTCCACCTAGCACCGACCCTGAGCCTCACATAGCTGATCAACTCAATGAAGCGACTATGAAGAATAGTATTGGGAGAGCTTCAATCCTGCTGTGCCGGCCAGTACATGGAATATCCTCTCCCTCTTTCTTGGCAACAACGTCGGTGAACCTGAAAAACATCTGCAGCCCTCTCAGACTATTCAATTCCTAGGTGCAGAAGAGAGGATGTATTTCTTCTCAACGCGAATCCCCGGAGTAGACACCCCAAGTTCCAGATCTGCATCATTATGTCCACCACTATCCAGCCCATCATCTTCTCGGTAGCAAGCAACCATACCCTTCTGATCATTTCCGTCGCTGAGACTGGGAGGATGTAACGGATCATGTAGTTTTTGGAACGATCCTCCGTTCACCACTGTACCACCTATTGATCGATCCGCGAGATACATGTCTTTCGAATCGTTGGAGCTGGGGTTCGAAGTAACGTAGCCCAGAATCCTGCTTCGGAGCGAATGGAAAGAGAAGTCTTTGAACACCGGCTTGAAGAGAGGACGAAGGGATGGCAGACAGGCTGCAATGAGATATACACCTGGTTCGACCATCTGCCATATAATCAGATCAACTCCATACCAGGTCAAATCTTGGCTAGTAGCCGCGTTGTTGTTTAGTACGATGAATTGCCAAAAGCGCAAGGCTGCCGTTACAATGCCAAAGGATCCAGTAATCAAGGTTATAGTAATACCGATTTTCTTGTTTAATGACATCTGTAGATTCCAAATGATCGGGAGAGGCAGAACCAAAATAGCAACATCAGTGACTAGATTAGGTATACTGAACCAAGTATACATCCACTGGTACTGCAGACAAGTACCACCTGGAATGGATTTATCCCACTGGTAGGCAAAGGGTCGACATATTAACGATACCGAGACCAAGGTTGCGATCCAATTTGCGATCAGGACCGCAGCAATACCATAGGCCAGGTAGCGATACGCCTTGATTGTGAAGATTCGAAGATAGAGACCCAAAATAGCAAGTTTCGGAAGAGTAATTGCCACTGGATTTATATACCCTAGAGCAACTTGTAACTTTAGGGCCCACATGATTGTGCTAGGATGAAGTGTGTAGATGTGCCGTCCAAAACCACCCTTTGTCACGTAGACTAGGAACGTGTCAATAATTTCTCCTCTCCGTCGACAACAACCAGTTTTGGAGCAATCTTTGTGAGTTATTACTTACGCAAGGCTATTATAAGGTCCCCCATACAGAACAGGAACGATGGTGGCAGGAGATAAGTGTCCCAGCCATTTGCAGTCTTACTTCTGATCCGAGAAACAAAATACAGCGAAATAAAGAGGGTCTCTAGAACCATCAGAGTAATGGCAACATTCAGCAACCTGTGGCTGCGATCCTCGGTGGAGTATCCTGCTGGAAATGAACTCATGATTGCTCGTCGATTGGCAAGATGAATTGATCGTTGTCGACACTCAGGTCGAGGTTCATTTAGAGTTCTGATCGGGGAAGGGACGATCGTGTTGAGCTAGAATACAAAGACTCCACAAATGTACAAACACTTGTCCAGTTATAGCCCAACCTACTCCCTCGTACCGCTAGTAGCGGGCCAGCCGTAGAATCCTACTCTCGGTTGCGCAATAATCTGCTTCTTCAAGGCGCAGTCCATCAACTTAACAGTGTAGAACTGCGCCTTTTGTTTGGACACTGAACGCAGAAGAGCATGCATGCCAGGAACCAATTACTCCCAAATTCAGTTGCAGTTGCCATTTTATCTAGGAGCTGTATCATTCTAATCAACTTTGTCATACGATTACACTTCACTACAGCGTCGTCAGCTACCGACAGAATCACTAAGTTGCTGGTATTCAGCTGGTGGTCAGCATTACTTTGCTGTACCGTAACTTGTACTACACACCACATCGCAAAAACCCAAGCCGTCTTGGGCCATCGAATGGCCCAACAGCAATGGCACCTGTTAAAGTAGAAATTATTGGCTTACTGCAGGAATGCGGGACGTATATTCGGACGTTGCATTGCATCGTCCCATTCTTTGGCGATTATGCAATGCGTCCTCAAGGTTCATTTTGCCGGCTGTGCCACAGTATCATGCTCAGGCATGAAACCCTTCTCGCAAGGTTTCGGTCGTTGGGATTGTTGGAATTGAGACATGGGTATTGATTAGGCAGTTTCGGCCCAGGTATGTTTCCCCGGAGCTGCAAGAAGTTCTGTGAAAGTTTGATTGTAAATCCTTCATTGAAAGTACTGTATGCGGGCCAAATTCTTCTTCGAGACTGCCCTGATAGCTCTCAAGACAAGTACCTAGGTATTGAACAACGCCCTCTGCTCCAAAACTGTCGTACGATTGTTGGTCACCATACAAGAAGCTATTTGGGGGCTGCTTCCCATAGTGTTGGTGGGCGGTTTTTTCTGGATCATTCATCAATGCTGTCACTTATTCTACGATAATCAAAGTGCAAGAAAATTGACTTGCGCATCAGATCAAAAGAAAAGATGGGAATGTTCACTCTGTTGCAGCAGGTTCTGAGTCAAATTTTGTTCTTCAGCGCCACGTCGATCCTATGCTATGTAAGTCGCTCACAGGATGAAAGTGCCTCTGTGGCTGCTGACTGGGTTTGCAAGCTTGTTGGCTCCGTGATCTACAACCTCTATTTCAGCCCTTTAGCTAAGTACCCCGGTCCCTTCTGGGCCAAAGTGTCGTCTCTGCCTAGTTTCTATTATACTTTCACTGGTTATCGACATATCTGGATCTGGCAATGCCATCAAATATATGGTAAGAATTCATCCGGCACCGATAATTGAGATCTCTAAGCTTGTTCATGTTTGATTAAGAGGCTAACAGTATAGGCGACACGTTTCGATATCGTCCAGACGGAGTCATCATCAACAACCCCTCAGGATATCGAGGTATATACGGCAATAAAGCCAATGTCAAGAAGGGAAAGCTCTACGAGGTTGCCCCTAGAAATCCCTACCACTTCAGTACCCTGAACACGGTAGATCGAGCGGCTCATGATCGAAAAAGACGAATCTTGAATGCGGCATTTTCGGACAAAGCCATCAAGTCTGCAGAGGACTTCATAATCAAGCATGTCGATCGGTGGTGTCAGCTGCTTGTGGAGGATGTGGATAGCACAGGTTGGACACCTGCGAAGAACATGAAGGATATCACCAACTACCTGACGTTTGACATTATGGGCGACTTGGCTTGGGGAAAATCTTTCGAGTTGAAGGAGCCGAACGAGGATAACCCACTTCGGGAGATTCCACACATAATTTCTGGCTATCTAAAGTTCTTCTACCCCGTGAGTATATTCGGTGCTGGTCCTCAGAGACTTTGCAGCTACTGATTTAAAGAAGTTAATACAATCTCCCTTTTTGAATGTTTGGGTTTGGCTCAAATTCAGGGGCCTCAACTCGATCCTTGAACGGATATCACCACCCGAGGTCAAGCAGTTTCACAAATTTGTTAATGATACTCTGGTTGAAAGGACAGAGTTGGAGAAATTGCGCAAGCAAGGATCTGAAGAAAATATGAGGAAAGGTCAGCCCATTGCACCACCACTCTTCATATCTTCCTTTGTAGCCCAACTCACCCATGTGCTAAAGATACGTTCCATTACCTCTACCATGCTGAGGATCCGGACACTGGAAAGCCTGCCTATACAATGGAATCCCTATATGCGGAAGCAGAGCTTCTCATATTAGCAGGGGCAGATAGCACTGGACTAGCCATTCGAAGTTTTCTGTTTTACATCACTCGCAATCCTCGAGCCTATACTCGAATCACAAAAGAGATTCGCACTACCTTTGGCCTCGTTGATGAGATCAAAAGTGGCCAAAATCTATCATCCTGCTACTACATGCGTGCATGTATTGACGAAGCTATGAGATTGACTCCACCAGGACCTAGCGAAAGCCCCCGAGAAGTTTTGGAAGGAGGGATGGAAATCGATGGCCAATTCTTCCCTGCTGGAACCATCCTTGGAAGTGGAGAGTGGGCACTCTTTCGAAATGAAGAATGTTTCGGAGACCCAGGGACATTTCGGCCAGAGCGCTGGATCGTGGACGAAGCTGGAGGAGTGAGTGCTGAAAGTGTCGCTCTTGCACAATCAGCGTTCGTGCCGTTTTCGATTGGGACTGGTAGTTGTGCTGGACAGAAATTGGCTATCCTTGAACTACAGCTTACCATTGCAAGACTTCTATTCTTGGTGGATCTGAAGACCCCTAAAGGAAACTCATTGGGTGGCGGCGCGCCAGAGTTGGGCTGGGGCAGAAGAGATAGGAACCAGTATCAAGTTGCCGACACTTACATGTCGCAGACCAACGGACCGTTGGTGCAATTCAGCAAACGACATATATGAGATTTGGGGTCGCTAGTATTGTAGTTCTACAGATTCTTTTCACCTCGATATCTTTATTTCTGAACCAAGTAGCCTCGCTCTAGGCCAACCTCAAAATAGATCTAGGTCCAGATTCGTCTCTAATGACAACATTCTATCTCTGAACTGTGACGGACCAAGAGTTTATTGAACCCCTGTACAATCTGCCGAAATATCGGCAAGGTTGGAATCTGATCCGCCCCTCACAGCGCCGCATGCGTATGCACAGTGTATGTGTGTGGGAGGCGGCGATACCGAGAGCGACCTGCTTGACAGGTTGCATTCAACACCAACTCCCGCATAAGGCGTTCTCTGGTAAGAGCGTTGCCTCAGCTGCACATATGTTTGTCAACGTACGTTTTTGAGGATTGCGGAACGATTACAGAAAAGTAAGCATGCATACGGGCCAGCCTATCACACCCATTCATTCAGGCTTACATCCCGCACATCACGTCTGAATCGGGCATACGTATGTCTCGCAGGCCTTGTCAGTGCACACTCGGACCGACCCGGCAGTTTTAGCTAAACTTCCTTGTCACAACACATGCGATGTTCTTGGCAATTGTGGGCTGTAAGTAATACGAGATTGGCAAGTGGGCGGGTAGGAAGATTGCTGGATCACTACCCTAGGTTTAACACCAACCGGCTAAAATGTTACCACAATTTGAGAAATCATCCCCGCTTTCTGTGCTCCAGCCTTCTCTCGCCCCCAAAACATCTCTATTCTCCAGGCAGATTACGAAACAAGCCACCTGCATAATCGGCTTTTGTGGCCGAAAGGTATTCTCTCCTTGTCGCCGCCACCTTTGGATTGTCCTGTAAAGTTGTGGAATAGCCTTGTTTGATAGTATACTTTGGTTTCTCTTGGAAAAGGCTACGCGAGTAAGGTAGCTCTCACGAGCCGCAAGTACAATGGCCACAGAATCGCCAAAATCATCGACGATAGGTCTGAAGTTGGATGAGCCAATGATTGAGATACCACAACCCAACTATGAAGAAGACGCAAAAGAGAAGACAGCTGTACAGCAGGAATCGAACAACGATGAAAATTTATTAGCAGGTACAATGGAAAAGGAGTACCTGTCGGGATTGTCGCTTCACCTTGTTACTGTGGCGTATGTCAAAGATGTCTTCTTCTGAATAACCTCATCACTGATGCCTGTCACATTAGTCTATCTCTTGCGTTGTTTATGGCCCAAATGGAATCTTCTATTGTTAGCACATCTTTGATTGCTATCACCAATGAACTTCAAGGGTTTGATAAAAGCTCTTGGATACTTACAGCATACCTCCTCACATACACTGGTATGGTTGACTTATTAGGTTCGTTTGAGCCAATGTCTCACATCGAATAGGTTTTGTGATAATTTGGGCAAAGTTAAGTGATATCGTTGGCAGAAAGCCACCGATTCTCGTTGCTATGTGTCTTTTCGTTGTTTTTTCTGGGGCTTGTGGAGGAGCTCGAACCCTTATACAATTGTAAGTCAAGTCAGGAAACGTCTAATGGTATAGAATGGTAACAGCATTAGAATCATGTTTCGTTGCATACAAGGTTTGGGTGGTTCAGGAATCTTCTCGCTAGGAGTAGTAATCATTTTTGAGATGGTACCACCAAGAAAGTTACCAGATTACACCGCATTGATGGCGGTAGTCTTGACTTGCTCTGTCACTTTTGGACCTTTGTTAGGTGGGATTATCAATAATCACACCACATGGAGGGTATGGACTCTCCTTTCACTCTCATAGCATTCTCTCCCATGTTCAACAATTCTTTCCCACACTTTTGGTGCGGAATACATGAGCAAAAGACGAGACTCACAGCTGTTCGTGATAGCAGCGTTCTTGGATTCTGATGCTAATACTTCCGTTTTATAGTGGATCTTTTACATAAAGTTAGTTATTTTGACACCGTTTTTGAGAAGTACGAAATTGACTTAATTTAGTATTCCAACTGGTGTGGTGTCACTTTTACTTCTGATATTCATATTACCAGCCAAATTACCAGGTCAAAGTGAGTTATTACGTAGCAGGCCAGATTCTCTGGATGCACCATTGTTGAAAACATTTCAACGCATTGACTTTTTCGGCGCACTTCTGCTCCTCGGCGCATCGACCCTACTTGTGACGGCCTTTCAGCAAGCCGCCGTTGGTGTGTCTTTCAGTTCCGCCAAAGTGGTCCCTTTGCTTGTGATTTCGGGACTTATGTGGATTGGATTTGTGATCTGGCAATGGTTCATTACTACCAGAAGACAAAACCCAGAACCTGTATTCCCATGGAGGTTTCTTGCGAGTAGAATAGTTATGGGAATGACTTTGTAAGTTACTTTCGTGTGCGGCTGTTTAGTCTCTGCTAAAACAGCACAGAAATTCCTTTTGTGCTGGAGCTCTCTTGGTCGTCTGTACAATCCAGATACCTCAGCGCTACCAAACTGTGAATGGAGATTCAGCTTTTGCTGCTAGCACACGACTTATTGCTTTCAGTCTCGTTGTTCCAGTAGGAGCAATGATTGGAGCATTACTAGTTGGCAAAACAAAGATCCCACCTATTTTTCTCGTTGCGGCCGGAGGGCTGTTAGAGATTGGTGGAGCTGTTGGTTTATTTATGGAACCGACTGAAAATTTGATCAAGGGATGGGAGTATGGCTGTCAAGTCCTCGCTGCAGTCGGAATTGGGTCAATCAATAGTATATTGTTACTGATGATTCCGTATGTTGTACAAGAGAGGGATGTTGGTATGTCCACAAAACAATGCCACTATCGTATAAGAAACTACTGACTCAAGATAGCGGTTGGAACAGCTACAATGGCACAAGCCAGAGTTCTTGGTGGCGTTCTCGTCCTTGCCATTGTTGTCAGCATCATGAACAGGTCGATCCGATCCGATCTGTTACAGGTCTTATCACTAGGAGAGGTTGAGGCACTTTTGCAAACAACAGACGTCATTAAATCATTCTCAGCAGAGGTGCAGGCTCAGGTTGGTGCTATTTTTGGGAAGGGTTATAATCTTCAAATGAAGATAGTAATTGGTTTTGCCGTTGCCCAAATACCAGCCACTGCCATGATGTGGACCAAGAAACCAGTCATGGTCACCAAATGAGCTGATATCCAGCATGTAAATTCTCCATATTCCAATAGCTAAATAGAACAAAAATCATCAACCGGTCTGACTTGCAAGCGAGATCTAATACATAAGTACTTGGCTCATCGAAATTCACGTGTGTGGCTACTGAACACCTGCGCCACATCAATGACCCGTTGCTTATTCAGCAGCGTCAACACCATTTCCTTCCACTCTCCCATCCAGACCACGCGACATGAGATCTTGCGCCTCCCGGATTCCTCTTCTGATTGCATTCACAGCTCCTGTCACATTTGCATTCGAACCTAATCCTGGGACCTCATGAGCTCCGCCATGGACAAACACTGTGGCCTGGGCACAAAGCCTACTCAGCCGCTCGCTGTCTTTCCTGAGGTTGTCCTGCTCGCCCCATATATGCACAGTTGGAATTTGGATGAGCTCGGAGTCAATATCAGCATCCAGTACTCGAAGCTGACCCTTTTCAAAATACAGCTCGTAATCATACAAAGCTGTGCTTGACAAGAAGACAACACATTTGATCGGCATCTCATTGTGGTTTCCTGGTTTGCTCTGTTTTGATTTGCGAATAATGTAGGTGGCTGCGAGTGCAGCCCCTTGCGAGAATGCGATTATCCCATCGAATGGACCCTCGGTGTGCACATAATCGTCAAGCTGGTCGAGTGCTTGCTGGGCGCTGGGGGCTGATTCTGGGTCGAAGTACGCATGGTACGAATCTTTTGGGTTGAACATGGATGATACTTCTGCAAATCGAGCAATATGTTTCGTCAATATGTTTCGCTAACTCGTTAAGTTGATTTACCCGTTGGCCCCCATGCTTCCCCATGAGGGTTGCCAACGTTGAAAGATGACGGATCGCTTACCGGGAGCCAATTGCCATGGAACCGTTCCTTCGACAAATTCGTATGAATGATTGTCCCCCAGCTCGTATCTTAATGCGGCTGCGTTATTGCATACGTTAGCGATATCTGTGGTTGGGCTTGGGCCTTTTGAGATGCTGGATACAACTGCGCCGTCGGCATTGTCTGGCACATGTTGGAGAAGCGAACCTGTTTGAACCTCAAAAACCTATGGCGAATTAGCCTATTCCGCGAATTATAAGACATGGTTGACCAAGGCTGTGCGAGCTCGTACCTGGTTGCTTGTTCCTATCCCATGCAGGCAGAGGAAATGCATCTTGGAACGGTGGTATCGGACGAGTGTTCCAGTGGCAGGGACGCGGCAAGTGCAGCAAGTGCGGCAGAATTAATATCTGATGTGGCGAAGACGATCAACCTAATGCGACATATTCAGAAGAGATGATGGGCACCCGAAGCTACATCTGACAGGCTTATATATGCAATTAAGCTTGGAATCACGGACGCTCAGCTCCGAATGTTCGGGATTGCATACGAACCATCACCTGCTGGTGGACGCTTCGGTTTGGGGGCTTGATACGACTAGCGCGCGCTAATACCACATCTTCCTCTCCCTAAGCCTTGTTGAAGTAATCTTCTAGTCCTGTATATTCTACAAGAAGTAATCGTATACTTGTCATGTGCGTCGGCGTGTTTTGATAAGCTCTCTCATTTTAGAACGATACTGGGGCGTCTATCTGGTGGTGGCTTGCCAATGAGTGTGACACAGCCTGCATGAAAAGGAGTAGAGTGTGCTCAGCCATCAGGCCAATAGTCTTTCTCGATATTGTGAATGAAATATCACCTCTACTGAGAACACTTCTACCAAGTTTCATTTCCGAGAATTAGAGTACCCATTTCTTTAAGTGATAGAGCATAGAATACTATAGCATTGTACGGAACACCATATTCACCTTACATCTCTTCGCGAGTCAGCAATGGCACCCAGCGCCACCCAAAGCTTCTCCAGTAAGCTCCCGAACGGAAGCTCAGAGTACTCTAGTGATCCATTTGGCGAAGATTTCTCTGGCAACTCTTTTCAGAATGGGATAGAAGATACCATGCATGAGAAAGACATTCTAGAACCCATCGCCGTGGTGGGGATTTCCTTCAAGTTTCCACAAGAAGCTACCTCCGAGGCTTCGTTGTGGGAACTCATGATACAGAAACGATGCGTTGCAACGAAATTTCCCGAGCAGCGTTTTAACATAGATGCATTTCATAGTTCAGATAGCAGTCGAATGAATAAGGTAAAGTCTCAACCGTGGCCTCTAGTTGACCCAGGAATTTGGAACTGATCTAAGCCAAGATATCCACGCATGATGCGCATTTTCTGAAGGGAGACATCCGAGACTTCGATGCCCCATTCTTTTCCATTCCCCCGCTTGAAGCCGCTACATTAGATCCCCAGCAGCGATCTTTGCTGGAAACGACTTATCGAGCATTAGAAAATGGTAAGTGTGGCTCAAACGCCGTGTCTCCACCATATTATCCTTCGCTGATCATTTGTCCAAACAGCTGGCATTCCAATGGAGAGCGTCAAACGCTCGAAGATTTCGGTTCATGTTGGTTGTTTCACAAACGACTTCATGACGATGAGTTGGAGAGATTCCCAACAAGTGCCAAAGTACAGTGGTACTGGCAGCGCTGGATCCATCCTTTCCAACAGGATAAGCTGGTTTTTCGACCTAGCAGGGCCTTCTATAACAATCGATACAGCGTGCTCTAGTTCAATGGCAGCGCTTGATCTGTCTTGCCAAGGTCTTTGGTCAGGTGAATCGACTATGGTAAACCTCCCTAACTCCAGTTTGTCTTCTTGAGGCTAACAATATTAGGGCATCGTCGCAGGCTCAAGTCTAATTCTCACTCCAGAGATGAACATAGCTTTATCTAACATGAATTTTCTTTCGCCAGATGGCCGATGCTACAGTTTTGACGATAGATCTAATGGGTATGGTAGAGGCGAAGGATTTGGCGTTTTGATTCTGAAGCCTATTTCTCAGGCAATTCAAGATGGAGACACGATCCGTGCTCTGATTCGGTCTACGGGGACGAACCAGGACGGCCATACACCGGGTGGTGTCACTCAGCCTAGCAAGGATTCGCAGGCGAAATTAATCACTGAAACCTATCGAAAAGCTGGCCTTGATATGGGGTGGACCAGGTTCGTCGAAGCCCACGGTAAGGCAAAGATCTTCTCTAATAGTGATCAGTTCTGACACGTAAAGGCACCGGAACAGCACTTGGAGACCCGATAGAAGCCAGAGCCATTGGGGAAAGTTTTCGGAAGTATCAGGGTGAGAACGACGGCGTATACATGTAAGTGCTCTCTGCTTTCTATACCTGATATAGCTTCTATGTAAAGTGATGAAGCTGAACTGGGATCGTGTGTATTAGCGGAGCTGTCAAATCCAATATCGGGCATCTAGAAGGCACAAGCGGAATTGCCGGTGTGATAAAGACAGTCCTTGCCTTAGAAAGAGGTGTGATTCCACCTAACACTAATTTTGAGGTGTTGAACCCTCAAATAGATGCAGAAGGGCTCAAGATCAAGGTCAGCTTTCCACTTTACTAGTGCGTTCCTTCGCTCACCTCTCCGAAGTTTCCAGTTGAAAGCATCCCTTGGCCTAGTCATGGGATCAGAAGGGCATCGGTTAATTCGTTCGGATTCGGCGGAACAAATGCTCATGCGGTGTTAGATGATGCGTACCATTATCTATCATCAAGACATCTCAGTGCGAATCACTGTACTGCAAAATCTCTGCCAGGACGATTCCCGTTGCAAGCTACCAATGGTTTTCGAACTCCATCTGGAGAAGTGCAAAGCGCCAAGCTGCTTGTCTGGTCAGCCGCAGACGAAGATGGAATTCATCGACTTGCTGCAGAATACGGCCAATATCTCTGTAATCTTGACAAGAAAGACGAGGTTAAGTTTCTCAGCGATTTAGCGTTCACTCTAAATATTCGACGCAGCTCGTTGCCCTGGAAGTCCTTTACTGTAGCAGACTCCGTGTCAAAGCTGGAGAAAAGTCTACTCGAAGACACACTTTCGCAGCCGATTCGATCTCCTACCCAGAAACCCACCCTTGGGTTTGTCTTCACCGGGCAAGGGGCACAGTGGTGGGCAATGGGTCGAGAATTGTCAATCTACCCCGCTTTTAGAGCCAGTTTAAGGGATTCTGAGGAACATTTGCAACAAATTAATTGTTCATGGTCACTTGAAGGTCCGTTGATACTACTCCTCATGAATGATCTATCGATTAATTGATGACAGCTGAAATGGCAAGAGATAAAATGTGCTCGAGAATCAATGAGCCGGAACTCAGCCAGACTATATCGACGGCTGTTCAGATTGCCATCGTGGACTTACTTGGGTATGTCGGTATTGTACCCTCAACTGTGGTAGGACACTCTTCTGGCGAGATTGCTGCTGCGTAAGTCGCTTCTCTAGATTCTTGATGATATCTATTGACTCCCTACTAGCTATTGTATTGGCGCACTATCCAAGAAGTCTGCGTTAAAAGTGGCATACTTTCGTGGTAAGCTGGCATGCAAACTCACAGACTGTCTCGATCCGAAGTCAAAACATTCTATGGTTGCTGTGGGTACATCTCCAGGTCGAATATACGCTATCCTCGAAACATTAGCTGAGCGCTTCGGCTTAAACGCGAATCTGTTGACCGTGAGTTGCATCAACAGCCCGAATAATGTCACTATTTCGGGACCAGAAGTTCAAATCGATGCGTTGACAGCGCACTTGAACCATGAAAAGATCTTTGCCCGTAAGCTGATGGTTAAGGTCGGATATCATTCGCCGCAAATGAACAGAATTTCCTGTGAATATCTGGAGCATCTCCGAGGTCTTCAAAAAGGAACACTATCAAAAGCCCAGATGATGTCGACCGTGACCTGTAAAACAGTCTCGGCGGATGTCTTGTTAACAGGGCAATACTGGGTTGAGAATATGGTATCTCCCGTCAACTTTCTGGGTGCAATGAGAAACTGCTCTATCAGATCGAGTCCAGGTGGGAGAAAATTAGATAAAAGTCACTTGAGGGAAATTGTCGTTAGTATGTGGCTGGAGATTGGACCTCACTCTGCACTTCAAGGGCCTATCAGAGATATCTTGTCTTCCGTGAAGAGAAGTCACGAGGTGACGTACAGCTCTGTTTTAGTTCGCAATCGATCCGCTCTCGAAACATTTCTTACGTCTGCTGGGACGCTGCATTGCCAAGGTTTCCAGGTAGACTTGCAGAAAGTTAATCGACTTGATCCTTGCGCCAGCTTGCCTCTCGTTCTTCCCGATCTCCCACACTATCCTTTCAATCATTCTGTGGTGTATTGGGAAGAGTCTCGAATCGGGAAGACGTTTAGATGTCGTGAATATGGTAATCATGATTTGCTTGGCAGCCGAGTGGACGATTGGAACCCTCTTGAGGGCACGTGGCGAATGATTATCCGGGCAGAGGAAATGCCATGGGTCAAGGAGCACCGAGTCAATGGTTCAATACTTTACCCTGCAGCAGGAATGCTCGTGATGGCCATCGAAGCCGCAAAACAGCTGGACGATACACAGTTTGCAATCGGTTATGAGATTAGTGATGTCTCTTTTCACACCGCCCTTATCATTTCCCAAGAGAATGTCGAAACGCAAATTTGTCTCCGCCCATCAACCGATACTGCGAACAAAAAACACCTCTCCTACGAGTTCCGTATCTATTTTCACAACAGCTTCGATCAGAAATGGGAAGAGGTTTGTCGCGGATGTGTACGAGCTGATTTTGGGAGAACCGAGTCAGATGTCAGTGTTTGCAGCGAGACTTCACAAGAACTGGAGCACTTGCGAAATGTTCATGCGAGATCAGTAGCTGAACCCCATCAAAGTATGGAGCCTGCGAGGATGTACCAGATGTTCAAAAAGGTCGGGTTGGAATACGGGCCTAATTTTCAACAATTGACAGACATTCGCTTCAACAATGCGGGAGAAGCGATGTCAACAGTCACCCCCTCTACATGGTCAAGAGAATGGAGTGGCAATGCTGCTCAAAGCCACGTTGTCCACCCAACTACCTTGGACAGCATGTTTCAATTAGTCTTCGTTGCTTTGAGTAACGGCGTCTCAAAGACTCTACAGACAATGGTTCCAAGGCGTATGCAAAAGCTCTGGATATCAAGCACGGGTGTCGGTACTTCGTTTCTAGGCTCGTTGCAGGCGCATGCAGAAGCATGCTGTCTAAGCCGCCGAAGCGCTACATGCTCTATATCAGTTATGGGTGGGGACGATTCACTGAAGGTTCGTATTCAAGGCTTCGAAATCACTGCTGTCTCAAGTCCACAAAGTATCTCTCAGGAACAAAAAGCGAAGCGATTGTGCTACGAAACTCGTTGGGATGTTGATCCGCAACTTCTAGATCTGGATCAGATTCTTCGACATTGCAAACAAGCCTACGTTCCTCGCGAAGAACCAATCGACTTCGCTGCAGATTGCGAATCATTCGTTCTCTCCTGTGCTTCAATTGCTTTGGCAGAACTTAAGCAACTCAACCGTTTACCTGCCCCAGCCCTTGCCAGATATGCAACCTGGCTTCAAGGTAAACTGGACAGTGATTTGGCGAAATTTCCCCCAGAGTATCGGCCTTGCCGAACAGCTCACTTAGGTAATTCGGCCAACTTAGAAGAGCTTCGTGGAAGAGTCGCCACCAATCACCAAGGAAGGCTCTTTGAAAAGGTTGGAAAAGCACTGAGTCAAATACTACTAGGAGATGTCGACCCCTTACAAGTCTTATTCGAGGACGAGCAGCTGGTAGCGAATTTCTATCAGGAGGTAAACGAACACACCCAGATATTTGCAATGTTCTCTCGATTCTTGGATTCCCTCCTTCACAAAAATCCGGGGATGAAGATACTGGAGATTGGAGCTGGAACTGGCGGCACGACAGGAATTTTACACCAAACCTCGGCGCCCGATCCGAGCCACCCACGATACAGCGAATATCACTTCACAGATATCAGTCCGTCGTTCTTTGCCAAGGGGAGAGAAAAGTTCCAGCACAACGGCCGAATGTCTTTCTCTGTTCTAGACATTGAACGAGATATTTTCGATCAGGGATTTCAAGGAGAATACTATGATTTGATTATTGCTTCCAATGTTCTTCATGCTACTCGAAGCCTGAGTAAGACCATTGGGAACACCCGCAAGTTGCTGAAACCCGGTGGGCTGCTCCTCCTCGTGGAGTTGACGGTACCAGACTTGCTCCCAGTTCCATTCGTGTTCGGCACACTTCCTGGCTGGTGGCTGAGCTCAGAACACTATAGGCCAATGGGCCCGCTTATCAATGTTGAGCAGTGGGATGTGGTATTGAAAGAAAATGGTTTCTCCGGAACGGACCTCGTTCTTAGAGATTACCAAAGCGAAGCATGTCACACAGCAAGTCTGATGCTTTCTACTGCCACGGGATCAGATAAGGCTTCGGAGTCAGATTTGAATTCAAAGACCATCGTAGTCATTGACGAAAATTCTTCCTTTCAACGGAATATGGTCGCTGCTCTTGTCTCAGAGCTGAAAGTATGCGCAGCACTCACCAAGGAGCAGGTATCTACGATGCCGAACCGCGACCAATATCAGTACATTATACTAATTGAAGTCGATGGTCCAGTGCTCTCCATGATCGATTCGCAGGCTTTCATTTCCATCCAGTCCTTTCTCTGTTCGTCCAAAGGCATCCTTTGGGTGACCGGAGGTGGCGGTCGAAAGTCTGTGTTACCAGACTATGGAATGGCACAGGGTCTCTTCACTGTTCTTCGCCTCGAAAATGGCACCATCCCAATGTCGGTATTGGGGCTGGAGGTATCCCCAGATTCATTATGTCAAGAACATGCAAGAAACATTGCCGCGGTTTTTAAGAGTATGACATCTGCAAGAGAAACTGCTCCTGAGCTGGAATATGTAGAAGTGGACGGTCTACTGCATATCAATCGGATCTATGAAGCAAAGTCACCGAACGAGCATGTGTTCGACCAAACCATAGTTCAGTCGCGCATTCAACAATTTGGAGAAGGGCCTGCGATCAAGCTCAGCGCCGAAGTGCCTGGACTAGACTGTTTGCAATTCATCGAAGACTCAGAACACGACGAACCCATGGCGCCCGGAGAGGTTGAAGTACAAGTTCATGCGATCGGTGTCAACTTCAAGGACCTCTTGACGGTCCTGGGTCGTGTAGACTCCGATGTCCTAGGTTGCGAATGCAGTGGTATCATCAGCCGAGTTGGTGAGGACTGCGGGTCCCTTAAGCTTGGAGACCGCGTTACCATGATCTCTTTCGGGGCATACAGAACATACGCCAGGTCTAAGGTGGATTGCGTAATCAAGATCCCCGATGAGATGACATTTGTGGAAGCCGCAGCGATTCCTACAGTGTTCTGCACTGCTTTTTACAGCCTCTGCGAGATTGCAAGATTGGAGAAAGGAGAATCTATTCTCATTCAGTACGTATCTCTTTTGTAGTCCCGAAGCTGACCTCTCTGTTTTGAGCTGTACATTGTGACATTCCCGAGCGCAGTTCTGAGCTCTAGGAAGTTTGAGCGTTAACAATCGTTTCTTACAGTGCAGCATCCGGTGGTACTGGGCAAGCGTCAATACAAATTGCCCGACAGATAGGAGCCGAGATATTTGCAACGGTTGGTTCTGTGGACAAAAAGCTCCTTCTCATGGATAAGTACGGCATTGCAGAAGACCATATATTTTACAGCCGGGACACCTCATTCGCCGAAGGCATACAAAGGATGACCAACAATCGAGGGGTAGACGTGATTCTGAACTCGTTGTCTGGAGAAGGCCTGTTGGCTTCTTGGCAATGTATTGCTCAATACGGTCGATTCCTTGAAATAGGAAAGAAAGATATCAACGACCACGGCAGTCTCCCTTTGTATCCTTTCCATAAGAACGCTCTGTTTGCAGGGATCGATCTCACTTGCCTTGTTATCAACCGACCCCACCTGATACAACGAATACTCCAACAAGTAATGTCAATGTTCAGTCTCAATCAACTCTCAGCACCATATCCACTCCATGTGTTTCCGATCTCTGATACAGAAAAAGCGTTCCGCTTCCTTCAAGGAGGCAAAAGTTCAGGCAAAATTGTTCTCAAGATTGAGGAGAAATCAAAAGTCCTTGTAAGCAACCCCCGACTCTGCTTTCTTCTGTAACAGCGGAGAGTTAATTTCAAGTCAATCTCTGTATTAATTTGGTGGATATTGATCGCTGATAACCAAGATAGACGTCTTTGACAACGAAGTCAGCATATCGGTTTAAGAACAATGTAACTTATGTGATATCAGGTGGGCTCGGCGGTCTTGGACGGAGTATCTCCAGGTGGATGGTAGCAAGAGGCGCGAGGAACCTGATCCTACTTTCCAGGTCCGGACCAGCGTCCAATGTGAAGGCTCAGGAACTTCTTGCTGAACTTAGGAAAAAAGGAGTACATGTGGTGGCTCCTGCATGTGATATCACCTGTTTGCCATCGCTTCAAAAGATTCTAGACGACTACAAGGACGAAATGCCTCCCATCATGGGTTGTTTTCAAGGTGCAATGGTCCTGAAAGTAAGTAGAGCCCATGGTACTGTTCTCGATTCTCTAACAATTACGTAGGATGCTACGTTTGCTGCAATGTCTTTCCAAGACTGGAAAACCTGTACTATGCCCAAGGTTCAGGGGTCATGGAACTTGCATACCTTACTCCCCAAGGGCTTGGAGTTCTTCATCCTCCTCTCCTCTACTTGTGGCATCTATGGAAACCCTGGCCAGAGCAACTACGCAGCAGGAAATACCTACCAAGCTGCATTGACAAACTATCGAGTATCTCAAGGAGAAAAAGCTACAACAATCGATCTCGGCGTTGTTCTGTCAGAAGGCTTTGTTGCTGAGAACGCTCACATCATGGAGCATCTGAAACGAGTTGGAGTCTTGGACAGCTTGAGCCTTGACGAGCTATTTGCGCTGCTCGACTATTATTGTGACCCTGCTTTCAGTCCAGAGACAACAATGCAAAGCCATGTGACCACTGGAATTTCCCTTCCAACCGACATCCGTGCCCAGGGCGGCGAAGTCCCATATGCTCTACAACAGCCGGTCTTCCTCAGCCTTCACCAGATTGATAGCTCAACAAAGTCCACGATCAAAATCAGTGAGCACAGTCAAGATTTCAAAGCACTCTTTGCGTCCGCAGCCTCTTTGAAAGACGCGGGACTGCTTGTATCTGAAGGCTTGTGCAAAAAGCTATCTCGCGTCTTAGGTATCCCGAAGGAGACCATTGCATTGAATGGCAGAGTTGATAGCTATGGAGTGGACTCTTTGGCCGCTGTGGAATTGAAGAATTGGTTGTCGCGCGAGATGAGTGCTGACGTAGCCGTTTTTGAAATCTTGGGCGGTCCAACCCTGATAGATGTTGGATTGACGACTGCAGCGAAGAGCGCATTCCGGAAGGACGATTGGACTAATTAAAAGAGTGGTACTGTTGGAAGTTTGAACTGATACATGGCGCTGATTCAGCCAACTTGTCAAGTTTCAATTTATTTAGAAGGTGTGGGAAAGGAATCCCGAATGCACTAATTAGCCAGCATCCATGCAAGAGTAAACCCTTGTGATAACTCAATTTGTGCTTCAAGACGTCGGCGACAGGGCGTACAAAACTATAAGCGATTGCCATATTCACGGCCTTTTTGATGGTGAAGCACTCATAGACGATCTAACAGCTGCCAGGCGTGTCATACCCCCCATACACTATTTCATCGAAATTGAACAGATTTATGCTCCTTTAGCGCTAAACCTTAACTTCTATATAGATTTAAATAAGCAGATTTTCGCCGTCGCCAATCCCCTCCTGTCGCCAACGCGGGGCAACCCGCACGATCGATACTTTAAAAAACCTGTTCCCCGGAAGGGGTTTTTACAAAGGTACCTCTCTCCCCCGCACGCGCTTCGGCAGTGTACGGGGTCAGAGGGCTGCCCAGAGTTTTTGTTTTTGAAACCTACCTACCTACCTACCTAGGTAGGTATATAATTCTCTCCTGGCTTCTCGCTTAGCACATTAAGCGAGAGGGGACCGATACAGTGACACGGGCCAAAGGAACAGATCTTAGCTACGAACGAGAAAACTAAGGTATATTTGTGGAGACGAGATTGGTAGGCTCGAATTTGAAGGGGTGCTATGGCAAGAAATGAGCGTAGATGTCCCAATCTTGAGATAATGGATAGACCAACCTTCACAGATGCGCCATTCACGAATGCGTCGATGAGATCGCTGCGGAAGGACGGTGAGATAATCAACTATTCCTGAGAGTTCGTGTTCATATAAGGTGCTGGTCCAGTCACTTCGCGAGAATCGTGTGGCTAATATATTATGGGGGCTATGCAAGTGCAGATGGAAAAGCACCCTGAGCATAATAGCCGATATCCAGGCAACAAAGTTCGCTTCCTGTGGAGCTTTCTGCTCTTAGCATCACAAACAATTCACCATGGCTTTCCAAAACACGCGCCAACATCACTCAATTCAAATCCAGTCGCGCAAAGACGGATCTTCACGACGGCCTTTACTGTGGTTAAGAACATTACTATCTTGCCTCTCTTGCTTTATCGGAACTTTTAACGGCTATATATATCGAGCACCTTCCGCAATAAAGTCTTTTCTTACACGATTCGCTGCACTCTTTCGATCGGAAGAACGGAAATGTCCATGCGTTTTGAAAGGCAAAAGGGTCGACGAAGTCTGTAGACACCAAAGATGGCAAGCTTTGAAGACTTGTTGTATCCACATCCCGGCTATGGCTGTCACTGTGGCCCTATTGTACATCAACTTTTCTGAGATATATTGGGAGGAAGTAGGAACATCCAACCAAAGTCTTCGGCTCAATGCACTTCAATTTGCTGCGAAACTCCACGAGATCTTGATTGCCGCGTCTTTGTCTATGGTTGCCATTAGCTACGTCCAGTACGAAGTACTACGTGGTGGAGGACTTCCTGTTGGCAGTGTACTGGCAGGCTTCCAGATCACCAATTTAAATTCCGTCTTCAATTTGCAGCTTTGGAGGAAGCTATTCCCGAAAGGCTTCCAGGCTCACCGATTGCGCTTCATTGCAATTGTACTGGTACTCGTCGTTATGTGTGCTATTTCCGGACCATCCTCAGCTATTTTAATCCTTCCTTCTACTGGTCAATGGAATATTCCGATGAGCTTGGAAACATTAATGATGCCTTACTTTGGACAGCTGTCCGAAAGCTCCAGATATCGACTTTTCATAAATGCAACTGAAGCTCGACTGTGGCCATCGGAAATCACTAGCGAATCATTCCTTCCCTCTGATTGTCTGTTCATAAACTCCACGACCCCTCAACACTGCCCGGCAGCTGGGTTGACAAGTCTCGCGGCATCTATTGAATATCTATATTATGATGATCAAAATGGTTTGGATGTGTATGATCCTAGTCCACGTCGCACTTGGAATTTTACGATGCCCGGGGAAACTAACGATAAAATTCAGCTAAATACGACTCATCGCTTCTTAGCAGGCGCTATTGCAGGTCAGTGTGCAGCGCGTGAGGATAGAGCAACCTTTGTCACCCTGAGCACTTCTATCTCAATTGATAATGTAGTATCGATTATGGCCAGTTATTGGGACGCTCTCGACGATTTCTCATCGGAGTACTCTAAGACGTTAATGGGGATTTCGCTGGTCGAGAGAAGACGAGCTTTTGCTCCTCAAACTGCCGTTTATTGTTCACAAAGTGACGCTTAGGTTTTGGATGGAGGGTCTTCTGGAAGTTATGAGCTGTTATTTCCATTGAGAAATGGAAACAACTGGACGATAGATGCCAATATTCTCCTGAGTCTGAGAAATTCTTCGGAAGATCTGGCCAGTGTGTGGATACAGCCTCCCGACTTTGGAACATTCACAACATCAATTGCTGCGGCTTTTGTGATGCGTGAAAGCACTTATCCGATGCAGCTTGCATGCTCCATATATTCCAGCTGGCAGCCTGAAGATATCTACGTCAATTCGAAAGAAGACTTGCACTATCTCTCTCCTAGTATTGACAATTATGTCGTGTCTCTAGCAGTGCCAGAAGACAATTGTTCTCCAGAGGAATTGTCTAAAGACTTGGCTTCCAGGCACATACGACTAGATATCGATTGGATCAACAAAGCTTTGCCAAACAACGAAACCATTAATCAGCTAATTCGGTCGATAAAGCCTATACCGAACGAAAGCATCGAGCCCATAGTCGATGTAGGAACCTCGCTTTCGCTTCTCATAACAGACGCCTTAGCAAGATTTGGAGTCGATATCAATTTGACGCTTGCGATGGATTCCTATCTCCACGATCCAAATCAGGATGCCTTTTTCTTCGAATCGTATAGCATGGTCCTCGAGAATATTTCTGAAGTTGATCTGGTAAACTCTATAGAGGTGTTCCCCATAGCATCTCATTACGGATACAGTTATTCGGCCGAAGGAGTAACTAGACGAATCGCTGTGGGAATCCTCCTTGTGCATATCTTCATCGCATTAGTGCACACAGTCCTGGTGTTGTGGCATGGCTGGAGCTATCCTGACTTGGAGACCATATATGACATCGTCATTCTGGCTATAGGATCTTCGACCTCTACAATTGGCTCAGAGTCAAGTTCGACCGTTGGTGTAGCAGAGTTGAAGAAAGAAAATTTTACCTTCAAAGTCCAGGAGGTGTCATGCTCAAGGCTGGAATTGGTTGTTAAATCTTTGGTCGTTGAGGCTTCGACGAAGGAGGAAAGACCGGATCAAAATGGGCAGGACAATGAGAGCGCTATCGCGGTAGTAAGCTCTCAAGCTGACACAAGTGCAATTAATTTGAGTGTGTAATTTCAAGCAAATAGCTTTCATTTCGAGTGGCATTCGATTAACTCTCTGTTATGTAGATTGATCGAAACTCCTTTTACTTGTGGCAGCACCGTAGAAACGGTAAGAAAGCGAGGGTATATCGCACTGATATATGTGCGACAATTTACTAAATCGCCTCTCAGCTCGTAAAACACAGATTCTTCTCCAAGAGCTGCATTATGACATGACTTCATACTTGCGAGAGAAAATCATGAAAATTATGTACAAGAAGGAAATTGTCGTTCAGTCATCAGTACATCCAAATGGCCCAACAGCTCTCAGGCAGAAAAAGAATCACAGTCACCGCTCGTACAGCCCAAAGGGTTCGCTATCCCTCTTCTTCACATCCTCAGGAAATTCCTGGTATTCTGGGAGATCTGGAAGAGGAATCCTGTATCATATACCCCCATCAGCTCTCTTCAAACAGAAACAATAACTTCACCCAAAAATGATTACTTACACAGGCTGTGGCTTTCCAAAAATCGACAGAGCTCTCCCCATACTATGTCGTCCCGAATGAAAACTGTGCGCAAGCATAGACCTGCGCGGTACGTATGTAGGATCGAAGGTCTTCCTCCACTGCCGCTTTTCTTCTCGTCCATGGATCTTGTCGCGTGAGATATGGTAGATGTATGTCACTGCGGTCTTCATATTTGCTCGAAAAATGGGTCAAGGATGCTTCAGCGAATAGAGGAAGATTGAAGAGCGGTAGAACGAATCAAACTTGAGAGAACAGATGCAAACAAGATTTAAACGTGACTTTGACTGGGATGTTGAATTCGAGAAAGAAAAAAGCAATTCTGAAAGCTATACATCGAATGGCTGGGCAAGTTTATAAAGCAGTTCATTCTGGCTCTTGCGGTCGTACTTAGTTGCGAATACGAAAGAAACGCGTCATTTCTATCCCGTTAGCTTTGCGATCGCGAATTTGCGACCCCGAGAATGCTATGACTATTTAGCTTTGCGAGATGCCTTGCAGGAGAAGTAATTGACCAATAAGATGCCCTGTTTCATTCGGTGTGCGAGTCGTGACACCTGTCGCGGTGTTTCAAGTCTCGGCAAACCCCATCTCGAAAAGGTGTTTCAATGTTGCCACGAACGCTTTTGGTACTGCATAACCCCTCAGAGATAAGATGAAGCACTTTTCCACTCAATTTCCCAATCTTCGAAGCTTGCCTTTTACACCATCTTCATCGATTTCCTCTTTCGTCCAACTCCGAACACTCCACCAAAAACTTGGCAACCACAACTCCAAACCCAGACCTCACAACTCGTCCTTCACTCTTCCTCTAGCGTCACGGCCAGGAACTTCTGCAGTCTTGCCCATATCCACCAACCCCCGTTTGACCATGCTCGTCAGAATCTCATACACGACTTGCGCTCCAGCCAAGGCAGTCTGCTCTCCGGCCCCATCGTATGCGGGCGCCACCTCCACGATATCCCCACCTACGATGTTTAATCCCTCGATTCCTCTCAAGATTCGAATCAACTCTCTGCTTGTCCATCCACCAGCTTCTGGGGTTCCAGTACCTGGTGCAAGACCTGGGTCAAGGACGTCGATGTCAACACTAACGTAAACAGGAGTCTCTGTCCCAATTCTAGCCATAATGGTATCAACAACACCTTTTGGACCAAGATCATCGATATCATCAGCCGAGATACGTAGGAAGCCCTGATTCGTATCATCCTCAAAGTCTGCCCAATCATCCCCGCTCAACCTCGTTCTCAACCCCGCATGAACCGACGAACCGTTCAGAATCAGTCCTTCGTTGGAAGCAATCCAGAACATAGACCCATGGTTAAACTCCGCCTGTTTACTTGGCCACGGACTCGGGTACTTTGCCGGATGCCAAGTATCTAAATGTGCATCGAAATGAAGAACTGCGATACTCTGTCCATAGACTTTATTTAAACCCCGCAATGCTGCAAGTGCCAAAGCATGATCTCCACCTAAGGTTATAATCTTAGGTTTTGGGATGACGGAAGAGAGTGAAGAGCGGTGACCAAGTTCGAGGTAAGCGGACGTCATTTGGGTGAGTGCAACGGCATTATCGAAAGGAGTTACGGGAACGTCGCCGCAGTCGAGGATCTTGGCCCATGACATGTAAGGGTTGATTCCAGCTCGGGGATTGAAGCCTCGGAAAGAGGTCTGTCGAGATGATGCTGCTCTAATAGCTCGGGGCCCAAAACGAGCTCCTGTAGAGTATTAGACTTCCATTGAGAAAAAGAGTTAAGTGTTTAGCGAGTCAAGGGAATAAAGGGGGTTAGTCACGTGTACCGGACACCGAGAATATCTAGCTGGAGAGGAAAAGACCAGAATGGAGTCAAAACGGAGATTTTTTGAGACAAACCTGGTCTATAGCTAACAGCGGTATCAAAGGGAACTCCCAAAATGCCAATATCGAACAGAGTATCTGGCTTAGTGAGACACTTCACGTGCTCGAGGTGTGCAAATGAGTTGACCCCATTATATCCCCACTAGAAACCACTTAGCATTCTTTCTCTCCTTCTTCAAAACTTCAAGTCATTTAAAAGAAAAAGAACTTCTGAGATTGTTGGACAATGAGATCAAAAGTGCGAGGCAGCACCAATTGAACGTGCACTGCCCACAACTTTCAACGCATGAAGGGAACCACGAACCTCAAAGCCCCATTTTCGCTCCAATTCCTCAGTGTTGTCCTGGATATATTCTTGCTCATGAAGCGGGATCTCTTTCTCGGCGTGGTCGTGGTCATGGCCATGATGTTCGTGCCCCACTACGACACCGATTACCCCGCATAACACCAACAAGGACAACGTTTCGAGCCGCATTTTGTCAAATGCTCTAATTTGATGAGTTTGAAAGAATCTTTGCAAAGGTGCTCCAGTGAAAGGACTCTGGAAGTTGAAAGAGAAGTGCAAACTATTGTGAGGTCTAATTAGAGTTGATTACGTTATCGGTTCTTCACAGGGCGCGAGCTTATCGACACTTCCTCCCACTTTTGAAGTCATTCACTCATAACATTGACATGCCAAACAAGCAAGATGCTACTCATTAGAACGAGAAAGGAAAGTGCATCCGATAAGGCTGTCATTTTCAATACGTGCTGCGCCTAAAAGTATACTTATCCCCAACGAATACCAAAGCAAAACCAAAATAACCCACCAAGTCAAATCAGAGCCCATTCATGTCCCCTGTAAGTATTGACACCTAGATACCCCAACTCTGCTACCCGTGATAAGATTCCAGCAATCTTCGAGTAACATGATGTCCATTGCCCGACGCATATGCCAGAGCGCGCTCATATTGCTCTTCTCCTGCCCGATACACATCCGCACCAGCGTTGAGCAGCATCTGTACTATATCAATACTGCCATGCTCTGCAGCTCCTTCCAGAGCCGTTCTACCGCCGACTGTTCCACGTGGAGCATTGACATCGGCTCCATTTTCGAGAAGCAGACAAACGATACCAAGATCGCCTTGCATAGCTGCAAATTGAAGAGCGGTAGCACCGTACCTCTCGGCTGCTGGAGCATTGACATCTGCGCCATGCTCAATGAGCATTTTAACGATCTCTTTGTGTCCATCTCGGGCTGCGATTTGAAGCGCCGTGTGTTGCTCTGTATGGGTCAATAGATCTGGTTTCGCATTGCGATGGAGAAGAACACGAACGATCTCCTTGCTTCCACCTTCAGCTGCGAGTTGGAGAGCAGTATGCCGTTTTTCGCCAGCCCACAGATCTGGTTTCGCATTGTGATCAAGAAGCAGCAGGACGATATCTTCGTGTCCATCTCGAGCTGCGATCTGGAGAGCGGTGTGTTGCTCTTTGCCGGCTCGCAGATCCGGTTTCGCATGGTGGTCAAGAAGCAGACAAATTATCTCCTTGTCTTTACTTCGAGTTGCGATTTGGATTGCAGTACCGAAAGTACCTCTGCCAGAGAATTTATTCGGATCTGCGCCATGTTGCAATAACAACCTTGCAATGTCTTTTTGATTTAGGGAAATTGCAAGCTGTAAAGTTGTCATATCCATAACATTGTACCAGGAATTTGGATCAGCACCAGCATCGAGGAGGAGTTCGACTTTGGCCATACCGTACCTACGCACAGCTACAAAAAGAGCAGACTCTTCGCTCAAAGTTCCATTGCATACAAGGCCATCTGGATCAGCTCCATGACCAAGGAGAAAGCGCATAATCGCAAGGTTAGGAGTAGAGTCATATATCAAAGCCAGATAAAGCACTTTACACTTATCGTGGTACACATCCATCTCGACCATATGGTTTTGAACAATTGTCTCAACCACTGCGATATGGCCGTGCCTGGTCGCTTTATCGAATGCCGGACGTGCCTACGAAGATCTTCTAGCTAAATTGAGCCCTATCTGCGCAGTAAGGAGTTGGAAGAGCCTTGGATTGCCAACTGAGGCCTCCAAAGCATATGGATCGAACAGGTTCGCTCCAAGATCAAGCAGTTCCTGGATAAGCTTCTCATCTTGGATGATTATAGCAGCCGCCAGCGGCGTTAGTGTTCGCCAGTCGTCAGGATCAACATTTAACTTGGCACCTCTCGAGATGAGGTAACGAAAACAGTATTCGTTTTGCTTGATAATAGCTATGGCGAGTGGTCCCCCACGGTATGGGGATCCACGTTCATCACAAGTTCCCCGACATTCCGAAAAGCCAACCTTGTTTATATCCACACCAGCCTCAATCATAGACCGAACAGTGGACATGTCTCCCCGTTCGATAGCACGAATTAATTTTCGAAGACCCTCGGAACCGCTAATCACCCTATCATTGTGGAGCAAACTGTCAGAGCCTGGAGCTGCTCCAGCTTCTAAAAGTAACTCAACAAGTGCTTCGTCCCCATTCTGTCTTGCGATCGAGAGAGGAGTGCTGCAACCTTCTGGAGCAGCATTGATATCCGCTCCAGCATATAACAGGATCTCTACAACTTCCTTGACTTTCTCGTGCTCTGACAGTAACTTATAGTATATTGAGCAACCAAGCGAAGCGATAATGGGTTGACGAAAGACAAAGGCTTCATCCAATACTTGGCGAAGGACCCCTATATGAGACGCAAATTGGCAAGCGAGCTCAATCGCTTCTCGGAAATCCCAACCATTAGAGGATAATCTGTTATAGAATGCATCGGGGTCAAGCGGCAGTGTCGTTATTATGGAGACGTCGCCAGTTCGTAGCGCCGACTTAATTATAGTGTCCACAATCTTAAGCTCAGACTGCTCAGGCTTAGGAGTGTGCAAAAGAGACAAAACATCTAGTGGACAATTGACCTTCTGAGCTACTTCGAGCGTGTGCTGAGTCGGTAGAGCTCCCGTGTTGAGGAACATGGAAACTAAATCTGGAACTCCTGAAAGGACAGCGAGATCCAAAGTCGAGAGAAAAGTGCCCATAGAATTGGTAGATTCGCTGCAGTTGGAGCATGCGAATTTGACTGGACACCGAAAATAAAAAGGATAATAACTCCTCTGTGGTGCATCTGCGCCCGCACTTAGAAGTGTCTGCACAACTGGAGCGATTCGTGATACATCTTGGTCGCCATCAAAAGTGAAAGATCGATCAAGCACTGACCGAGGCTCCCTATAGCTGCTAAAGTCGCAATCTGCCTGATCCCAGCTATACAAACATTCCTGCAGGATACCCGTTCCTCGAGATGTGATGAACTTGACATTGGCATGGTGTTGCACGAGAAGCTTCACAAGACCGTGGTCTCGATACTTTGCAGCAGCCGATAATGGTGAATGTCCATCTTCGAGAAATCGGTTAATTTTCCAATCCTTGTTTGAAGATGGTGAATATTCAACTGAGGGATTCACATTAGCGCTTGCATCTAGCAAGACTTGGACAAGATCTACACAGCCAGAACCTCTGTCTGAAAGCCAGACGTCAGCTGTCTGGTCACCAGCAATAAGTCTCGAATCGTGCATGCCATATGATGGAAAAGGAGTGACAATGTATCTCGATCCAGAATTCGGGATAAGATAATACGCTATAATGGCGAAAAGGATCCCGCTACTCTTCCACCCGGAACCAGGATTGTCGATGTCAGCACCTGCTTCTGTCAATATTTGCGCCATTTCAGTGTGTCTGATGATGCAAGCAAACTGCAATGGGGTCAGAATTTCGGGGATCCTGTTGTGACGGCAGCTTTGACCGTTGGGGTTCACTCCAGCTCGAAGTAGTTGTTGTAACATCGGGATATCTTTCGCCTCGACAGCAAATGGTAAAAGGCTTTCAAGGGTGGCTTCAGCGCTTGGGGTCTTAATTGAGGCAAGTGCATCTAAAATTGGGATCTTCTTGTGAGCCTTGAGCCATTTGTAGACATCCTTGCCATTAGCTCCAGCGGGGAAGTTATTTGAAGCTAAGAAGACAGCGATGTTTAGTAATTCGGGATTCGTGACATTTCCTTGGTTCGAAACCGGGAAGTCCTCTGCTGTGGTACTACTTAGAAACTCTGAGGTTGGGAGGAGTGACCCGATGATATACTCCATAGAGCTATTGAAGTTATATCCGATGGCGTTCCATGGCAGAGCAAATTGTCCAGCGTCAAGAACATCCATGGATTCTATTCCAGAGACTATTGGTAAGCATATGTGTGAATATTGTAGAGTGTAGTCACCTACGATTAACTTGTTGCATTTCCTGAAAGCCCAGTATCGGCAAGTTTTTGAACATCAAGTTGGAGATTGGTTGACCAGACGGTGTTAGGACTTCGAACCCAGGAGGGGTTTGTGGGGTAGGCGCTGGTCAAATCTGCGTAAGTAGAGGACAGAGAAGCTGAGGGTTGCGTCCGTACCGTTCTTGGCCTGTATTTGCTCCTCGATAGTCATGAATCCATGCCTAGATATCTCTTTCTGAACTTTCTTGCTTGGAATCAAGTGCTTATCGAGATACACATCGCTCTTCTTCCCTTGCCGCTTCCGTTTTTCGATCTTCTGGCCGACAACTTTCCAGTCCTTGTTGGAACGCTTCTTGCGGCAATCTGCGAGAAGTTTCTCATATTGGGCTTTTCTGATACCATGTCAGTATAAGTACAGAAGTTTCGGTTACTCGGTTCATGCACTTACGTCGCTCGAAATCCGTGCTGCTTTGCCATCAACTCGATAACGCCATTCGGACCTTCGAGCGGGTGACCTTTGACAAGGTATAACGATCGAATGATGTTCTTGAGCTGATTCAATCGTTCAGGCTCGACAATCTGGGACATGGTGGGCTATCGGAGGAAAATGATCGTAAAAGATGAGTTTCGGTAGGAAGACGAGTGCTCGAAGAATGAAGAAGGGCATCGCTGCAATATAAGGCTCTGGTGCGATGTTTGCTCTGAACGATGATCATTGGCGGATCCCAGAATCTGGTCTCGAATGTGTGGTGGCGTATGTTGCACGGCAGGGAAGCGACTGGGCTGCGCCTTCCGCGAATATAATTCGTCGGATCCAAAATCTCTGTGCATACTCCCCACGCATTTCGGGAATCATGGGTATCAAAGCCTCATTGCCCCACGAAGAAGCATTGGGCTGTACCAGAATCTTTCTATTCGGCAGTGGATGCGGCCAGCCAGGGCGAGGAGAGCCCACCTCCGTACAATGTTGGATCCTACGCCTCAAAGTCCGTGACGATGGAATCTACCTAGGTAATTGGATGATACTAAATTCCTCGTGCAGAAGAACATTTCCAGTCCGATTCGACCCTCCTTGATTGGCCTTTCCCATAATCTGTAGCCCCAGTCTGCCACGAGAGCGAGCTTTGGCTGCAGATATTTCTCCTGTCTTAGTGATACCACACGGGGAGCCATGATGGAGTAGGACGGCTTAGACACACTGTCAGCATCTAGCTACATATCTTGGCCCGCATCTCTTCAATTATGACAATGTCGTGAATCTATCGCAGATTCCATCAATACCCACTACAATTTCTCCTGTTCAACTCGTCGTGACCCTCCTTGCAAATATGTCCCTCTCATCAGAGGCTATCATCGGACTCGTTACCTTGTCGGACTGCCTCCATCCATCTTGCTCATATACAAGTGGATTCACCGAGATAAAGAAACCTCCGAAGGCACAAGTTCATACCCCACAACTGGGATCCATATCAAGCTAACTACTTCCTAGAATCGGAGCCCCAATCAGGACGGACAAGAACAGGAACAGGACTGCAAGAACAAGACGTCGAAAGATATGCGGGGTTGACGCTCAACTCTGGCACAACGATTTATTCTGCATCGAGCATCTGGTTTGTGGACTGCTTTCCATGCTCGAGATGTTGCTGACGTTTGATTTCGTCCAGAACCCATTCCACCTTACTCTCTTGCTTCGTCTCAAGATTCTGTGACCGTTCGACCTCGATGCTATTCCTTTTGAGAGGGGCTGGATCTCGTTGTGGAGAAGTTCTGATACAGGGTATCGTACTGGAGAACACTTGTCCTGTATAAAGATACTCAATAACGATACAAACAAAAAGTCAAAGTCTGTGATGGAAGAATAACACATTGAAAAGAATGCACGCAGCAGCATTCAAGATTTCTTGCTTTCAATTGACTGACTGACTCTGAATTTACACCTCAACACCATGATATGACTTGCGATCTGCTGCCGAATAGAGAGAGAAAATAAAAACGAGGCGGCCGGCTCACGGAAAATAGTTGAAGAAAAGAGAAGAAGCTTTCCCCCCCTCCACCATAATCACCTCAAAGTGGCCCACTACTGAAAGATCCTGATTCTCTCTTGTTTCTTCTTTCTTCTTCACATTCAACATACTGTGCTCCTGCTTGCCAATCCTGCCCGTCCAGCGCCGGAGAAAGAGAAGATCGTGGTGAGGAGATTCTTCCCATTTTGGCGACTAGGTGGACGGACAGATATTGGACTTCTAGTAAATAGAAAAGGACGGGGTATCGGGGTAAAGAGCACCGAGGAGGGGAAATTGGGAGACGGGGAGTTTGATATCGGTGTCTGGGTGTGGCGAGAAGATGGTGTGAGGTTAGAGAATCATGCACTTCGAGTGCTTCTTCTTCGGTGCCGGAGGTTCGAGAGCAGCGACGATTGCCTATATAGCTTGATTAGCACGAGGACGACAAGCTGGGATTGGTATTGTAAATGGCAGGGAATAGCTACCTCATCAAAGACGTCCTTCAGCTTATACTGTGTTAAAGCACTGCACTCCACATATTTCACAGCGCCAAGCTCCTTTGCCATCCTCTCTCCATCCTCTTTCTTGACTGGGCTCATCTTCTGTTTGCCCAACTTTTCCCGTACACTGGGATCCTCTCTTAAATCTGTCTGAGTGCCAACAATCAAGCAGGGGACACCAGGACAGTGGTGGTGGACTTCGGGGAACCATTTCTCTCTTACGTTCTCGAAGGATGCAGGGGATGTTACGGAGAAGCAGACCAGGAAGACATCGGTTTGAGGGTATGATAGGGGTCGTAGACGATCGTAATCTTCTTGTCCAGCGGTATCGAAGAGTCCTAAGGTGTATGGTTCGTCGCCGATCCTGTTGGGCAATTGTTAGAATATGTATCTTCAGCCTTACTGCCTAGATCGACAATGGGGGCCGTAATTGCTTTGTTTGTAAAGCGAGGGGCAGGTTTGAGGCGTAGCATCTGGACTCACATAACAGTGACGGCATAGTTATCGAAGACCGTGGGAACATATTCGGAGGGGAACTTGTTTGTGGTGTAGCTGATGAGAAGACATGTCTTTCCAACAGCACCATCACCGACGACCACGCATCTGCAGAGACGTACACATTAGCCCGGATTCCCATCTGCATCTCCAAGTCACAATCCACCACCCCAATTCTATACATGCTTATCGTGCGCCCATTCGAGGAGGCTCAGATCGTGGAGAAAGGAATATACGCACTTGATAGTTGCGACCACCATTGTTCCGATCTCAGGCCTTCCTGCTTGCGATCACCGACCCGAGACAAGATGCTCCGCGAACCGCTTCTTCTTCTCGACAACTCCTTCTCGGTATTCTGTCTTCTGCCCGCGGAAGGGAGAGCGACCCGGAAGTCGTGATGGGGATGGCGGTCGAGCGGTGGGATGGGTGAGGTTTGGAATGTTCGAATGGGATTTCTTTGGGGGCACAAGGTGACGCCGATAAAAGCTGACCCTTTTCGGATTAGACTAACTCCGGATTAGCTCGTATAAGGTTAGCACGCCAAACACGACGCAGCGAGACAAAGGCAGCAATCAGACCGCCTCGAGGCCGACTCAATCAAGATATCGAAAAGACCTTCGAAGAATCTCGATCGAATAGATCTTCAACGACGTTGGAAGAATATTCTGCAGCAGCACAAGCAGCAGGGCGAGCGGGAACCAAGGAAGAGGGAACGTACGGGAGGGGAGCAGGATTATCGCAAGGATGGAGGATAGTGCTGGCTGATCAGACAGATGGTGATTCAGGATCGAGAAGGGAACGCGAAAGAAGACGACGCAGAAGTCGAAGAAGAAAGATAATCCGAGTTCAGGCAACTTCAAGGGGCACACTTCGTCGACCCGTCTCGTCTTGTCTCGATTGAGGCAGTGCCTGTATGGTGTTTTGGGCGTCGTCTGCTTTGGGGAACTCGTGAAACGGCAACCGAGGGAAACACGACAAGCCGAGAAGATATGATGTGATGGCACGCGGATTGGGGAGATGGAAGATGCAGGACCACAAAGATATTGTTATCGTATGGATTTGGGCTTTGGAGTTCCTAGAAGTGAATGACTGGTCTGCAGATGGATGTTCTCGAATGTCAAGGCAATAGGTAAGTGGTAGATACACTAGCTCTGAGTAGCAGGTCCGGTAGGATTCGAGTAATTGATAGCGAACGATGAAGATATAATCCACTCGCAGCGGACAACGAGCCAGTCGTAATTCTGATATTGATACTGATACTGAAAAATGGATAGACGCAAAAGGGCAAAAGACAGAAAAAGTTGGGTCTGGGGCAACGCAATCTGATATTTCATTTCCCCCTTCTCCATCCAACGCACTTGGCTTCCCCAATAACTTCAGCTTCTCCTCTGCACGACGGACCAGGGTTCCCAGCACGAACACTCATTTGCCCTGAGCCACCACATCCAGACAACGCGTCCGTCGCGTGGGATAAGCAGCACCAGCAGCATATCAAGTAACGGTCTAGATACTACGATATCCACACCCACTCATCGGCCACGAAAGAAATTAACCACCCATCCGCCATGACCTCCCCCTCGTCTTCCTCTCGGGATCTCTCCGACGAAATCGACCGCCTACTCGAGACCTACCTCTCCCTCCTCGACCAATACACTACTCTCCGCGCTCAACTTAGCGCGCAACAGATATCCGTCCGTAACCCTCTTCCTCTCTCAATTCTCCTATTCCCGGTGCCTTCTCAAACTCTATATACGCACAGTCAGTCAGTACTAACTCGTCCATAACCCGCAGACCCAGCAGAACCTCGCGCGAGCAAAGTTCCATGCCCCGCTCGGCGTCCACTACGGCGAGTCCATGTACGATGGCCGCATGCAGGCACAGCGAAGATGTGTATGTCGTGAGACGACGACGCTGGATATCGTTGCTGTAGAATCGGCTGCTTGTTCCGAGGAAGGGGACACGACGTCTGCGGGGAACGAGAATGGCGTGCAGGAAAAGATAGCTAGGAGGGATCCTATACGGATGTTTGGACTTCTGGTTCCCGAGGCGTTGAGGAGGGCGCATGGCGATGCGGTTGTGATGGTTGAAAGGATTGTGCCGGAGATTTGTCGTGTGGATAGGGAGATGGGGGAGTTGGAGATTAGGATACGGAGGGCGAGGAAGTATAGGGCTAAGGCAGAGGAGAGGGAGATGAAGGAGAAGGGGGAGAATGTTCCTACTTTGGCAGGACTTTCGATTGAGGCATAACGAGGTAGAGCTGGCAGAGTATAATTGCTGAAGAATATATTGTTGGTATCATGAGTCTGTACTAGGACTTCTCCAAGGCAGAATGTCCAAGGTGAATCCACACAATGGTGTAGCATATTATCCAGCACGTGTTGAGAACTTGTTCTTCAATAATGGTGTTCATTTAATGCTAGCACTTCATAAGCAAAGATCAAAGGCCATGCAAATGTCCCTCCCTCACAAGGAGAATCATCTATGTACAACCATACCCCTCCCTAATGCAACCACCAATTCCCGCCTCAAAAACGCCATAGCTGAGTGTCCGACTACAGAAGAGAGATTTTAGTACTCGAAATCATCATCCACAGCTGGACCTTTAGACTTCGTAACGCTCTCCTGCTTTCTATACATCTCAACAACCTGTCTGCTGCTAGTGGCCATATCAGGCTTCTTGTCATCTCTGACTCGAATGAATCTCGGGAATCGAAGCGAGATACCCTTCTCTCCAGATCCCTCCAATCCCTCCTTTGCGCCGGCCTTATATCGAGGAGATAACGTCAAATCAGCAGTCTTGACTTCCCAGACATACTTTGGCTCGAACCAGACATCTGGTTGATGGGCATTGCCAGAAGAATGTGAGTAGAACGGCTTGGCTCGATCAATGGTAATTGCCGACAGGGAAGTGTGTAATTCCTCGAGAACAGCCTCAGAGAAGCCGGTGCCAATGTTGCATACCGTCTCGTAAGATTCAGAAGAGCTGTTATAGCAAGCAAGCAGGAAAGCACCGTAGACCGACGTACGCTTGCCTTTGCCAAAGTAAGCACCTAAGACAACGAGATCGAGAGAATCACCAATGCCGGAAAGGTAATCCTTCTTGATCTTCAACCAATTGCGACTGCGCTTGCTGGGTTCGTAACCAGACTCGCTGCCATCAAGCATCTTCACCATGAGGCCTTCACATGAGGCCTTCATGGATTCATCAAGGAATTGCTGGATCTCGTCAATCTCTTGGCCGTTCATGCTAGTGGCGAAAGCAAACTCTCCTTCGACTGGAGTGAACGCTTCATGGAGGAGAGCACGGCGCTCACGCAAGGACTTCGAGACCACAGCTTCGCCATTTAGGAAAAGTAGATCGAAGGCGAAAACGCAGACCTTGACTTTGACATCTTCAACCTTGACATCCTTCTTCTTGCGGGTCATGAGTTGTTGAAATGGCAGAACCTTCTTCTCGACCATGTCCCAACCAACAGTTTCACAATCGAGAACGAAGCTCTTGGTATCGGACTTAACCCAGGTTGGCAACTTAGCGAGGATATCGGGATACTTTTTGGAAAGATCCTCGGAATTACGAGAGAAGATGGCGGCAAGTCCGCCTGACTTTGTCTTCGAGGCAGTAGAAGTTGGACCAGCGTACTGTTCCGCTGAATCATGGGCGACGAAGTGGATTTGGGCTCTCTCTCCATCATACTTGTATTCACAAGTGAACTTCTGGTTCTCGAAACGATCAAGCACTTCAGTGATAGCTTTTGTTGGCTTAGCTAACATAGGTTTCAAAGGGACACCTGGCCGTAGCTTGCAATGGTCCTTGAGGTTGAAGATACCATGTTCAAGCATAATGGGAATGATGGTTTCATAGCTCGGAAGTTCGCTGTAAAGTGTGGTTAGCAACAACCATATCGAGATCTCGTGGCTCTTACCTGTAGACATCTTTGAGAATTGACTCGCCCTTCGCAAGCTGTTCGGTGTTCGGTACCTTGCCAGAATTCTTAGCGTCTACCTCGTGACATACCATCGCATGGGCCAAGGAGACTATGACAGTCCTCTCGGCAAGTCCAAGTCGTAGCTTTCCTTCAAGAAAACGAATCAGGAACTTCGCCTCACTTGGACCACCCTTGTCTTTCGTGATGTCAACCTTTCCCGAGCTGTGACCGTCGGCTGCTGAAAGTAATTTCTTGATAAGATCAACTTTTCTACCCTGAGCTCCTCCACCAGAAGTAGTCGCTACATCCATCAATCCCTTATGGACACCTCTAACAGTCAAAGGTTTCGGCTTGAACATTGTAGGTTGATTAGCGCGGGACTTGACCGCTACTAAACCAAGATCACCAATTTCCTTTTGATCTTGCTTGATAACAGCCAGGCTTCGACCAGTGGACTCGCCGATGGCTTTCATAATTAGTGACTCGCCAATTCCCAGCTCGATACCAGCATAATCAGCAGCAAGTTTGTTGATCATAAGGAGGACAGTAGGTAGGAGATCATTCGGTGTCAAGCGCAGGACCTGTCGTAGGAAGAGAGAACAGTGTGCCTGGATGATGAGTCTCTTCGATTCCATCTCCACAAGTGAGAAAGTGGTGCATAAAGCTGCGTAAGGGACCGGGTCTCCAGCCTTCCAATCAGGGTATGGGTCCTTGGCCTTTGACTTGAGGGTGGTCTGAATCTTCTCTCGAGCCTTTGCCGCAACTTCAGGCTTCTCATCCTCGTCATCTTCCTCTTCCTCTTCTTCCAAGGCATCGTCAACTTCTGAAGCGGCAGCTGACTGTGTCGATCCTCTTCGTGCAAGAGCTGATTTGGAGGAAGAACTGGCCACCGCTTCCGTTTCGGGATCGGCGGATCTTGATGGTGCATCCTCGTCCTCATCAACCACTAGATTTGCGTTCCGGCGTGGGCGCTTTACGATAGGCTCATCATCGTCATCCTCTTCCTCGACTTCCTCTTTCTTGACTTTGGATTTCTTTTCCTTCTTGACTTCTTCCTTCTTCACCTCGACCCTTGATCTCTTCTTCTTGTCCTTGCCAGGCTTAACATTCTCCTTCGTATTGGCTTCCTTCTTCACTTCCACTTTGTTTTCTGCATCACTGTCCTGCATCTCGACATCACTTCCATTTACATCCTTCAATGAGTGTTTGGTCTCTGGCTCTTCTGCACTTGCGTCATCATCCTCTTTCTTGGCTGGAGGAGCAGCTTTAGATGAGAAGGCAAGTTTTGATTGCTTCCCCGGGGCCTTTGGACCGTTTGGGTTTCCAAAGAACTTGCTGTTACAGAAAATAATGTTAGCAAGCACAGACGACCGAATTGAGGATATGCACTGAAACGAACTTTATGGAAGTCTGAGGATCCTTGACATACCCTAGCGTAGCTTGCTTGGGAGGCATTTTGCAGGATGACTGAATGAATGGTATTCGAAGATGCGTAAAAAGTAGTCTGTAGACTCGCCGAGAAGCCACAATTACCAATTACCTGTATTAGGCGTTTGGCTGAAAGTAGTCTCTTGAATGAAGACTGGAGTTTCGTGAGAGGTATCTTAATTGTCCTATGGTACCATTCATAGGCGATGGTAGATTCGGCGTCGAAAGGGTTATCTTAGCGACTCCACAATAGCTCAAAATAGTGACCCAAAGTCACACTTATGAAGTGAATTGGACGTGAAAAGCTCGCTTCGAAAGGGGCTTCACTTCGTTGCTCCGGGCAGGATCGAGAGAGATCAGACGAGTAAGTTCTGGTGAACGGGCTCAGAGTAAGAGATTCAGATGACTTGGACGTTCAGTGAGGTCCGGTTGATCTTGGACGAAGGCGACAGAGTCTGTCGAAAGTGGACGTGTCAGTCCTCTCGAGAGACAATAATCTGAGATCCGGGACGTGTGCGGTGAAGAAAGTACGGGCTGCACTCAATAAAGATACCAGACCAAATGTCGGTAAGTTCGTTGTGAGGGGCGAGATAGTGCGCAGTCGTGTCGTTGACTTTGGACGAAGTCCCGATGATAGTCGTGTTCATGAACGAAAGAAGACCAAATTGATTGACACGTAGTTGAGAGGTGTGTTCATTGGAAAGGATGACCAGGTCTGAAGGGTGATGAACGGTTTCGTTGAAGGCAATTGTTGTGAGAAGGCAACGATTCCACTTGGGTTATTTCAGGCACACCCAGACCCGCTTTTCTCGCTCTAGTCCCAGATGAGGCTAGCTTAACATGGAGTTTGAATAGAACAATAAGTAACAACAAATATCAGTACAGTTCGTGCTCAAAAGAAGTCAACCAGAGTTACAAAATCCAGAGTTCGTCGCGTCTAGAAAATCATGTCGCGTTCAGCACGGGCTTTCGCGTAAATGGATTCTCTTTTGCGCTACGGAACGGATTTTCCGTTGATCCATCACTAGACCCACACTGTCTCAAAATAATGCCATACCCCTTCTGGTGAGTCAAAGCGGTGAGTCTTAATAAATCCCCCACCACAGAAAAGTTGAAGCTACCCTCATTCAATTGAGACAACAAGCACGCGACAATGGCAGCTATTCAAGACCTCGCCGAGCGAGCAAGAATGGATACAATCTACATCGATACCGACACTGGCGCAGACGACGAGACGGCCACCGGCACCGAAACCCAGCCTTACAAGTCATTGGCGTACGCTTTTATTCAACACGGTGGCAGCGAGGGGAAGAAATATCAATCGCGCGCCTCCACGACTGGACCAGTCAGCGCAGATGGAGACCCTGCGGAGCGACTTATTTGGAAAGAGCCTGCCAAGAGCGCTGTCAAGAAAGCTCAAGGTGCCCTCGACGCTCTCAAGAAGAAGCTCTTGAAGCAACAACAAGTTGCCGCACAAGAAGAAGAAAAGGAGAAGGCGCGTCTGAAGACACTCGAGGAAGCCAAAAAGATTATCTTGAAGGAAGACGAGTCTCTGCCAAAAGCCGTCAAGATCACAATTGGGGAGAAGAATGTCGAATTGGGCGAGGGCGATGTCAAGGGAACTCGAGTCAAGGTCTCCGGACGCATTCACAGACTTCGACAACAGAAGCAAGCAACCTTCCTCACATTGGTCGATGGATACGGACACCTACAATGCGTTCTCTCGGGCGACCTCACGAAAACCTACGAAGCTCACCTCTTCGCTCAAGGTACCTCTTTGACTCTCTTTGGTGAGATGCGAAAGGTCCTCGCTGGGCAATCTGCACCCGACAACCGCGAACTTCACGTCGATTACTACAAGGTTATTGGCAGAAGTCCTTCCGATGTCGATGCCATAACCAACAGAGTTTCTGCGCAGCAAGATCAATGGGACTCGCAGATGCTTGACAACCGTCATCTTGTCCTTCGAGGAGACACCGCGTCCTCCGTCATGAAGGTGCGATCTGCTGTTGAATGGGCATTCGCAAAGGCATATAAGGAGTTACGCTTTACAAAGATCAGCCCTCCCGCATTTGTCCAAACACAAGTTGAGGGTGGTTCTACACTTTTCGAGCTGGATTATTACGGAGAGAAGACATATCTGACTCAGTCGTCCCAATTGTACCTCGAAACCGGTATTCCCAGTCTGGGCAATGTCTATTGTATCGAGAAGTCGTTCCGTGCTGAGAAGTCTTTGACACGTCGTCATTTGTCGGAGTATACCCATGTTGAAGCTGAATTGGATTTCATTGACTTTGAGGACCTGTTGGACCATTTGGAGGAGATGATCAGCCGAGTCATCACGACGATTTTGGACGATAAGGAGATTGCTGGCTACATCAAGGAGCTCAACCCCGAGTTCAAGCCCCCTACTCGACCATTCAAGAGAATGCGATACTCTGATGCTATCGATTGGTTGAACGCCCAAGATCCTCCCATCCTCAACGAAGAAGGCAACCCCCATGTATTTGGAGACGATATTGCTGAGGCCGCTGAGCGAAGAATGACCGATATCATCAACCTACCCATCTTCCTCACTCACTTTCCCGTCGAAATTAAAGCCTTCTACATGAAGAAAGATCCCGCGGATCTTCGTGTCACAGAAAGTGTTGATGTCCTCATGCCAGGTGTTGGAGAGATTGTCGGTGGATCGATGAGAATGGAAGGTTACGAGGAGTTAATGGAGGCGTACAAGCGTGAAGGTATTTCTCCCAAGGAATACTACTGGTACACCGAGCAACGAAAGTAAGTTTCCCCAATCTCGAATGTATGGGCAGCAATCTGATAATATCTAGGTACGGTACCTCTCCCCACGGCGGATACGGACTCGGCCTGGAGCGCTTTATCGCATGGATCTGCAAGCAACACAGCGTCAGAACGTGCTGCCTGTATCCCCGATTCATGGGACGCTGCAAGCCTTAAGTCGGTCAAGTCAAGCTTTTTCTGCGTCATGCATGGATGCGGGAGGGAAGGCTGATCAATCTTGATCTCTGGTTTGTTTTGCGTTGGTTTGGTTTCGTTGAGATACACCTAGATTTCCTTGGTAGCTAGCTAGCTGAATGATGAATGAACGAATGGATGGATGCGAGTAGATAGATAGCATTAATGATTCTCACCCTCGAGACGGCGGATCATTCAATTGAGCAAAACACATGACCCAATCACCAACCCAATTGTTAGCTATGCATGACGTTTTCTCGGAGAACGATAACCGGATCCGTGATTTATGTCATGGCATTTTCTATTTTATTTTCGTTCTCATTCGTGAGGCTGAGTGACGGTCCGTAGTGGAGTACAACGTGATTCCGATTCTTTATTTAGCAGAGCAAGAAAAGAGTGGAAAAGGGAGGGGGCTGGGTTGGGTTCATCCAATTCGAGCAATTTGACACGCAACACGGAAAATTACCCGGTGGGCAGCAACGAACAGTGCGCTTTTCTGCTCAAAACGAGACACGCTTTCCATAAAACGTCACATATAGAGGGTCCCTGTTTCGTGGAATCTTTTTATTTTTATCGGGGAGCAGGGATGCTCAAACAAGCGCCTTTATTTTTGGGGAGGGATGGAAGGGGGAAGTGAAACGTGGATGGGTGGGGAAACTTGTTTGATGGATAGAGGAGAGAAGGGAGGTGCAGGGAGAGATGGATGATGAAGTGAGGTGAGGTGATGTGTGGTGTGGGGATTTCATGAAGTTTGATGGGGATCTGCGGGTGATTTTCATAACTGTTGGATTAGGAAATATAATATAATGGTGATAGTTGATTAGGAGGTAGTTTAAAATCTTAGATGGAGCGAGGTGAGGTCAGGTTTGCATAATGAAAGTTCAAATGGTGATTCTTCAGCTGTTTGGCGAGCGGATTTGAGATGAAGTCTCTAACTTGACGTTGTCTCAATTGTTCGGATGATACCTGGTGAGTGCTCGTGGAAGAGATGACAGACAGCACGGCGTTTGAGCCGTGGGGAAGCATTGCGATGTATGCGTAGAGAGATTGAGTTTGTTACATTTTGCTATTGTTCTGTGTCGTTTCTGAGTTTGTCTGCGATCGTGACAGAGATACTGTACCCAAGGTCTCGGCTTAACTTCTTGATACTTGGCTTTTCTCACGATGTCTGTGGGAAAGTCTGTTCGCGCCGTCACCTACGCAGGGAAATTGTAGTCCCTGGAATAAAAATGGACTTTGATACGATGAACGTCGAATTCGTGCTGGTTTGTGTGACTTTGTCGGGGTTAATTAACCGCATACTTACTTACTTAGTTCATCGCTGGTGCATCGTTTTCGGTTGGTACCTGCATTGTTCTCGACTCGCTCAGATCTATGGTGCCTGGACGGGCCAGCATCTCAGAAACATTGACAGGTCGGACCAGTGGCTTTCATCTGAACATGACATGACTCTGCTACCATTCATCATCTGAACCTGCTACGTCTATTGCCAGCAATGAGTTGGTGCTTCGTGGCCTCTTCTCAGATGTACTGGGTTGGTACTAGTCGTCCGGTTGGAAACACTGACAGCCCTATGCGTTTCGTCTGAAGGGAAAAGACGAGGACACGACTATGTTGCTTCAACAACAGGAAACTTTGATGCCTCGACAATAGGAAGTTCCCTGTTCAATATGAACTTGATGTCTTGACAGTAGGACTATGATGCTTCGACATCAGGAAGTAGAGTAAATTTTGACAGATATTCCGAGTGCAGAGTCTCTCTTGATGATACCGTACCCAAAGTCAAACTTCAGTCAGTGCCTGCAGAGAATAACTACCCTCAGATCTGAATTGGCGGTGGGTTGGTGGAAAGTAATCTCGAAACGCTGACTGACCGATGAGTCGTCTGGCCGTGCAGTGACAGGTGACAAGAGTTGTGCTACCGGTAATAAAATTTGTGATCGGTATATCTTCTTCATCAGCCGCGAAAGCAGAGCTCCAGGTACAGTGGGAGGGAGCGCAGGACACTGTGCTGTAGTATGAACGCACCACTGTACTTGAAAACGGATGTGCCATGGACTCCGCATCTGATATATAAGTTTGACTCCTTTTCGACTCGGCTATAGGCAGATAATATAAATTTGCACTGTTGCATGTATGGGTGCGAGAGGGTGTTGGCCTTCCTCGTGTCCCCTGGCTTTCTTGGTGTTCATGCCGACCCACCCGTCTGATTGGGTGACACCTGTTCTGGAGAGCGCGCATCGGCATCGGCTGGGATCATGCCCCTTACGCACGCTAGACCGAAAAGGCTGGTCTTGGAAGTGAAGCAATCTCCTCCTCACCCATTTCGTATTGCTTCCACTCACTCGTTCGTTCTCTCTCTTCTCCTCCGAACAATTCTTCCTCCTCAACATCCCATCATCACCACCACCACGCTCTCTTCTCCCTCCTCCTCCTCAAACCTTCTACTTCCTCAAACCCCTTCCTCTTTCTTGGTCCTTCACCAATGCTCACTCTCATTACCTAGCTATCGACTTACTTCTTCTTTGGCTTGATCAATTTCTTCCCTTTCTACTACCATTTATTACTCTTTATTGAAAGGACCAACCACACTCGCTCAACTTTCGCTGTCTTGTTCTTTGTTCTGTCGAACCACCTCCATCCTATACGACCAGATTCATTGTCCTCGAATATCCTCGATTGCCTCCTGCAGATTCAATTGTCTGCCTTCGAACCTCGAGATCTGTCGCAGATGTACTTCGCTTCTTCGACTTGACTTATACTTGTATACATACAACAATACTTAATTTATACAAGCAGTTTTGTTTATATCGAACCCTTTCAAGCCCCCTAGTGTCAGTCTTTGACACCTAATCGATTCTCGGCCGAACGAAATACTATCGTGTCGACTTATACATTCATTCTCGAACCCAATTGCTCGCAGTTGAATAACCGATTTCTTCGACGACCCTGCGATATTTTCTATCCTACATACCACATACGTGCCTCCTTCAGGCACTTTTAATCCTTCAAAACGGCTGTACTATCATCTATCGCGCGGGACAACTTTGTCCTGCCACCTCATCTGCTCGGGATGCAGGAAACTCAGGTGTCCAACCCGCAGAATGGCCCGGGGGCAGCTACTGCCAGCAGATTCCCGGGACACGCTTCGAAACCGTCGAACAGTGATACGGGATTCTCGCACGGAGCATACAGCTCCAACCAATTTTCAATGGGTGGATATGGGGATAGACATCCGCGTAGAGCGAACATTCCTTCCATTAACACGCAAACAATGAACCAGCAAGGTCAGAACGAAATGCAAACACCTGGTACCGCGTTCGACATGCAGTTCACGCCATTGTTACCCTCGCAATTGCTACTTGGTTCTCCCTTCCAGCCAGGCACACCCGCCGCGTTCGCCAGCCCTCAATTCCAGAATTACGCCACGTTCCAGCACCAGCAGAACAACCAACAGCATCAACAACAACAGTCGCAGCAAAACATGACCAGTCCTTTGTCTCCTCAGCTTTACCAGACCCTTGTCTCGCCTTCAACGTACGGAGCGCCTCAATTCTACAATCCGCAATCTCCAACGGGTGGCTTTGCAACAATGAACAACCAAATGCAGCAAATGTCGATCCAGCCATCGTCCCCTGTACAAATGTCCCCTGGTCTTGTTTCGGGAACGAGCAGGACTGTTTACTTAGGAAACATTCCTCCGGAAACATCTGCAGAGGAGATTCTTGGGCACGTGCGCAGTGGTCAAATCGAGTCTGTGAGACTTCTACCAGACAAGAATTGCGCCTTCATCTCTTTCTTGGATGGAAGTTCGGCCACTCACTTTCATTCTGATGCCATCCTGAAGAAGCTTTCCATCCGCGGACAAGATATCAAGGTTGGATGGGGGAAGCCATCACAGGTGCCAACTTCTGTTGCGCTCGCGGTTCAGCAGTCAGGTGCTTCGAGGAATGTATACTTGGGAAACTTGGAGGAGAATGTGACCGAGGATGAGTTGCGCGAGGACTTGAGCAAATTCGGCCCAATTGACACTGTCAAGATTGTCCGTGAAAAGGCAATTGGCTTCGTTCACTTCCTGTCGATCGGCAACGCGATCAAAGCTGTATCCCAACTCCCACAAGAGCCTAAGTGGCAATCGCCTCGACGTGTTTACTATGGAAAGGATAGATGCGCATACGTATCGAAGACACAACAGCAAAATGCTGCTCAATACCTCGGTATTGCCCCAGGTTATGCTCATGTGCTCAATGGCGCTGATCGGGATCTCATTTCGAATGCTCTGGCTCAACAGTCTGTTGCTGCTGCTGCTGTCGCTACTACTGCTGGAGGAATCAACAACTTGGGCAATCGCACTGTTTACCTGGGAAACATACATCCCGAAACCACCATTGAAGAGATTTGTAATGTTGTCAGAGGTGGACTTTTACACCACATTCGATATATACCCGACAAGCATATCTGCTTCGTCACCTTTATTGACCCTACTTCAGCCGCTTCTTTCTATGCTTTGAGCAACTTGCAGGGCCTAATGATTCACAATAGGAGATTGAAGATTGGATGGGGAAAGCATTCTGGTGCACTTCCAGCTGCTATTGCGCTTGCTGTTAGCGGAGGGGCTTCGAGAAATGTCTACATTGGAAATTTGGACGAGTCATGGACCGAGGAGAGGCTGAGACAGGATTTCTCTGAGTATGGTGAGATCGAGCTTGTCAATACTCTTCGAGAGAAGAGTTGCGCATTCGTCAACTTCACCAACATTGCGAACGCTATCAAGGCAATCGAGGCCGTGCGTGGCAAGGAGGAATACCGTCGATTCAAGGTCAACTTTGGCAAGGACAGATGTGGTAACCCTCCTCGTCAAGTCCAACCAAGCCAACAGTCTCCTCGTAATGATGGTGTTAACTCGCCACCACCAAACAGCGGTGGTCTCCAGCCCAGCCAGAGTGGAAGCTCGCCCACTGGATCTGCAGCACCTGGATCAGCGAATGGCTCAGGCCCAAGCTTCCCAACTGCTCCTACGCCGTCCACGATCCTCAATGCTGGTAGCAATAACCCGCTGACGATGTACTTGAACCAAGTCTCTCAACAAGCTCAAGCCCAGCAACAGCAGCAGCTCGACCCATATGCCGTTGCTCAGCTTCAACAGCAGCAGCAACAGGTGCTACACGCCCAGCAAGCCGCTCTCTACAACAACTCTCCCAACATCGATGCTCTTGACATCCCACAAACTAACCAAGGAATGGGTCACCAGCAATCAGCTAGCATCAGTGGCATTAATGGGTTCCAGAACTCATCCAGTGGTGCTCCTACGATTGGTGGATTGTTGGCACCAAGCAATGCACGTGGTCAACACAACCGCGCTGTTAGCTTGCCAGTATTCGCGCAACAGATCAACGGTCAATTCCAGGATCAGAATGGAGTGAACAGCAATGGCGAACAACAACGGAGAGGACACCAGTACCAGAGCTCTTTCTCGGGAGGTCTTGGCAATGGGAACAGCAATGGACCTTTCGGAAATGCCTACGGACTCGCGATCCAAGAGGGCAGCATGAACATGAATGGACTGAACGGATGGGCTGAGGAGGAAGTTGTTGGAAATTAGAGAGTTGGGAGGATTTCGGGAATTGAAACTCTGCATGGATATTGTGTTGTAATACCTTCCTTCCTTCATGTGTCTTGTTTTTTCTTTTCAACTTTTATTTTATTCGTCATCAAGAGACTTGCTTTTTTTCGTTTGCTTTTCTGTTATATTTGTTGGTCCAGTCCAGTCTCGTTTCTTTGTTTGCTGGGATCATACTAGGAGCAAGCGAGAGAGAGAGAAAGCAAAGAAAATGCAAAAGTCCTGATTGTGGACTATTGAACCCTCGAGTCTTTCTTGGGTAGCGAGATGTGGGTGTGTAGCTGTATTGGGATGTACTTGTAGAGATGTGAATGAATCTATCGGACCAAGACTTATATTTCTCACATGCTTGTGACCTATGGTTGAAGCTTTTGTGTGACAGCACGGTGGGAAGCTCAGTACGTAGACGAAGAATCGATTCGGCTATCTCTTAGAATCTAAAGGTAAGGAAGGAAGAAGGGAGTGGGAGAGCCAGAGCTTATATACGCCAGAGTGAAACATGCTTAAGCTCTAAGCCCGATCCGTTCCCAGGGAGGATCACGTGGAGGCTACCTAAGTGCTCACGTGATCTCTAACCAGGTGATCCAGATCAGGGTGATCTAGGTGATCCGTTTCCTGATCTGGATCACCTGGTTAGAGATCACGTGAGCACTTAGGTAGCCTCCACGTGAGCACTTAGGCAGCCTCCACGTGATCCTCCCTGGGAACGGATCGGGGTGATCTAGGTGATCCGTAACATTTTGCCAGATATCTCTTCTCGGGGTGGACTTGCAGCTGGTAATGTGAAAGGAGTCGGATGACGAAGCTCAGAAATCTCCTATACGGATTTGCCAGCATTCGGAAGTATGAGTTTCATTGTGTTCGTCAGCACAGTCAGACTATCCATCACCCATCACATCTCGTGCAGGAACACCCTCATTGTACAATTCGAAGAACTATAATGCATTAAAAAGCCCAGCTTCAATTTTTTCATTACCACGCCATAACCTATCCCCTAAGCCCAGATTAAAATTACAAGCAGAAAGGTATCAACAACCCCATCCTCCTCTCTCCTCCTCTCTCCTCTCCTCTCCTCTCCTCTCCTCTCCTCTCCTCTCCTACCTCCCTACTCACAAGTAACAACCTTATACTCGACAGTATCATTCCCCGTCTTCCACACCTTGGGCTTAAAATCCATATAAACCAGCTCCCCCTTCTCGGGCGTCCACTCCCCATCCGTATCGCGATAATACACCAACTCGTCGCTCCCCGCGTCCCGCACTTCCACCGTGGTGTGGCTGACGGCGCCTTCGGTGGTCCAGGAGATCTTGTAGCAGGTTGATTTCGTGACGAGGAAGGGGGACGTGCAGCGCTGGTTGCCGTCTTTGTCGAGGCAGGTTTCGAGCGCGTAGTCCATTATGGAGCCCGAGGTGACTTCGGATGCTGGGGGAGTTGTTAGTTGAGAAATAAGGGAGGGGAGGGGAGGGGAGACGGACGTTTGGTGAGGGTTCCGGTTAGGGCGAGGCCGGCTGTGAGGATGCTTTGGGGGGTTGGGATGTACATTTTGAGGGATCGTTTGGTGGTGACTTTTGTTTAACGGAAGAGTTGATTTTGGGGTAGAAGTGAGAAATTGCAGAGAGACAGAGCGAGGTTGTTATGTAGTGAAGCCAAGCTTACGAGGAGGAGCAGTTGCCTTGTGCTAGTCTATTCAAACGGAGAGCCCAAGCAATGACGATGTGGTGTTGGGGAAAAGGTTGTTCCGGGACGAACGATGACGATGGGAGCATTAGGGTAGGTACACGTGATGGGTCTAGACTTGAGAACCTTGGAAGGAATGATTCGGGGTGTTTGAAGCTCGAAGTAAGAGCAGGTGAATACGAAAGGGGGGAAAGAGTGATAATAATGTCCTCCGGATAGTTGGATGTATGTCAATTTGATTGCTGAGACCTGATCAACTCTTCACTTGAAGACTTGAAGGTTGCAGATAATGATGTCATGGTGGCAAAGAATAGAAAATCTTTTTTTGTTTGAAACTTATTTGGGAAAAGAAAAAGAGAGAGAACTTGTGTGCGATGCTCAAATATCAATGGACATCCTTTATTTATATACACAAATGTAAGGTTAGTTCTTATCTCTTCTCCATAATTCTTGCAGATAGCACAATCATCTGGTGTACATCCCCCTCCCCTGTCCGTTCCTGCATTAGCCGAGCCCCTGAATTCACCAGTCAGATTCACAGAATGGATAACGGCAGATGCTGTTAGTTGAATGTGAGGGATCATTTCATTTTAGGGCTGCCTCAACCCCTTTTCCCTTTATTGCGTCTGGTCTACAATATCCAGGTAGTCTTGAGTTGAGTGTCCCACGTGACTGTAAACATTGTACCCATTGTACCCAAATCCACCTCGGTCTCTGTTCCTAAATCTTTAGAATAGGTACTCCACTCTTAGTGTTTTCGGTGACCACAACCTGGACTATTTGCTTTCACCCAACTTCTCTTTCAGGTGCTTCCATGAAGCTACTGCTCGCTTCGCATTCTGCATGGGGTCATTCTCCTCCTCCTTCATCCTCCTATCAAAAGTTTCCAGAGACACCCAGCCAGAGAACCCTTTATCCACCAAAAACGCCTTTGTAATTTCCACTACCGGCATATACGCACCATAATCCACCTCCAGCGGAAACGGCCTCGCTTCATTCGACCAAACATGTCCAACAGCAAGGCTTGGATCGTACCACGGATGCGTTTCCGAATACGGCGGATCCAAGATCTCGCCATCCGATAACTGAATATAAAAGATCTTCTCCACCGGACAATTCTTCACAAAGTCCTTTAAAGATTCGCGTAGCTTTTCATCCCCGTTGGATTGTCAACCCGATGGATGGTACGGGTCTCCCCACAGCGCGACAGCGATATGGAAACTATCCAAACAGAGCCCAAAACTTTCCATTCCGACTTCATTAACAATGTGCAACGCTTCTTGCCAGAGGGAACAATGCGTTGACCAAGCCAGATTCTCGTATGCGATCTTGATAACTGGTTTCTCTGCTGCAGCTAAAGTAGCAAGCTGCCGCAACTCGGAAATAATGACGTGGTGGTCACGGTTTATATTCACATCGTACGAAGAAGGAACCTGGAGATACTCGGCACCAAGGGCTTTTATGATGGCGAGCCAGTTGCTTGCTTCAGCGAGTCTCTCCTTCAGAGGCGAAGCGTGGCCTTCGAAATTTTGAAACGATGCGAAGGAGAGGATGGTGATGCCATTTTCCGCGCAAAGATTCTTGATTCTTGAAGCCGCGTCTAACATGGAGATCGAGGAAGTGGTAGCGTAGGCTTCGAGGTCTGGATAGGTGACTTCTACGCCTTGGATACCGTTCTGAGCTACTGCGAGGATTTTGTTGGGTAGGGTGTGAGATGGGTGGAGGCCTAGCGATGGGCTGGCTATTGCTAGTTTGTTGGTGATCATGGTTGCTTTATTTTGAGATGCAACAGCAATAAGCAGAGATCAATTGAAGGTAAGGTATGGGTATGTTACAGTCTTGGGTTTTAGCGATGCTTACCAAAAAGGGGCGTGTGAAGAATCTCGGAATATGGATTCCGCGAGTATCACAGGGTTTCCCCGCTACCCCGCGAATCACCCCACTCCTCAGATTCAGGCACTTGAATACTTTTTAATGTGATCGTGAGTCAAATTCACTATCTCTAACTCCCACTTTACTGATAGTTTGCTAGAAATTGAAAAGAATGGTCAGTTTTCAAAGGTTTGGTTTCTTAATACACTATTTCTGTATAATCATACGAAGACATGTCAATTTTATGCAATGGAGAAGTACTGGAATCTATTTCTCGTAGTTAAAAATTGAATTTCTCTTCTAAGCCCGAAAGACCACCACAAATGAATGGAGCTACGCGGTTGAGATCATAAGCATCATGACTACTTCAAATCCACCCTCTCCACCTGATCGACTTCAATCTCATTGCCAGCTTTTTCCTTGTCAGTCAATGTAGAAGCGCGAGCCTGTCTTGTAGCTTCTGTATAGCCAAGACCAGAACCACTCTCATATTTGATCTCGAACACTCTGTCGATTTCCTCGAGGAACAGTCTAGCAGTCTCTACGTAGAAGAAGTGAACAATCGGGACGAAACACATGTTGGTGATGGTGTAGATTAAATAGTATTTCCAGCCAATATTTGCAATGCTCGTTGGAGTAATACTCACAACTACATAGCACAGCGCCGAATTCGTCGTTGTTGACATGGAGGTTCCGATATCACGCATCCGCTGAGAGTTGATTTCCGCTGGATACATGAAGGGTATCGATAGGAAAGATAGACCGTAGAAAGTGTAGTATAAATAGATGAAGACGATTGCGACAATCAACATGCCATTGCTGCCAACTGCTAGTCCAGCAGCTGTCATTGCGAAGCAGATACTCTCGAAGAATGCACCCCAAGTCATCAGTCTCTTGCGGCCAACGTTGTCGATGAAGAGAGCGCAAGCAGCACCCCAGTTACGTTAATCCTGACCTTATGAACAATACCCCACCTCCGTCTTTCGCTTGTCTGCCCCAAGTCTCACACGTGATTCCACCACTTCATCTTGGTTCCCGTTTCCATTCAGCAGGTCACTTTGCCGCGGACATGACGACTCCCACTATGCAGCCGCGGAAACATATTACCACCGCCTGTCAAATTTGCAGAGAGAGCAAGAGCAAGGTACGCACATGTATTCGATTGATGCCGTCCCTGCCTAAGTTCACAAATGCCTAGTGCGATGGACTTCGACCTGTCTGTGGGAGCTGTTCGAGGAAGAGAAAGACATGCGAGTATTCCAATAAGGATGACAAACGAAAGTATGCTATTGAAATTTGAAACGTCATCAGTGTATGCTAAACAAACTGCATAATCTCCCTTCGGATGACAGTCGAGGTCCTCTTTGGACGTGTTGCTCAGCTAACCGAGCTTGCAATAAGACACAATCTCGAGATTCCCCCTTTAGCAGCCGAGGACCAGTCCCTAATAGACCAGGTCCGAGAAAATCTGCCTTCGAGCAAGTTCCTCTTTTCTGCTCAAACCCCATCAGACCCCGCAACATGGCAAAACCTAGATGCTCCACTAGAAATCGACCGAGCCCCGGACACCACGGCCTCCCAATCCCAGCTGCCCTCGGCGATGATGCCCATACCCAATGGAAGTGTGAGGGATGTCTCTATGTCTTGTGAGACTGGCTCAAATTCGACGTTTGACATGCAAACATGGACAGATCTTTCAGCTCCCCAAATGTGGGCTGGTAGTCCATCTGACTGGCCTTGGCAAGTCCTCAACGACTTTTCTGCTTTTCCCACTTTCACTGCAAGTCAGCTTTCTCCTTCGTTCCATGTGGAAGCCGTTTCTCGGAACGGAGAAGGAGTTGATGCAAGCGGTTCATCAGATGACGAAGGAGAGGAAGCAATGATTCCGCATTTGGCTGCACGGTTTGGCTCCCTTCATCGTGCTCCAGATGGCCGACTTCGGTATTACGGAACTCTTTCAAACCACCATTTCTTAAAAAGCTTTAGCCAGTATTGGAGTCGGTTTGAGGATCGGGATCCTGAAAAAATCGCCTCTGTTGCCCTTGAGAATGCTCGATTGGATCAGGAAGTACCATCATCCCTCAAGAATCATCTCATCGAGCTCTTCTTCGAATGGCATAATCCTTGCCATTCAGCAGTTGATAGGCCAATGTTTGAGACTGCACGTGCTCATAGGAGTGATTTCCAGAGCGACTTTTGCTCGCAATCCCTCATAGCCACTATGTGAGAACACTTTAGTTGCAGCAACAAAATACTATACTGACTACGACAGCTGCGCGATTGGAGCTGCATTCGAAGGACGATACCATCAGTCCTTCATAACCTTCCCTAAACCATTGGCAGAGTTCTTCGCAGACAAGAGTAAAGTGCTTTTAGAACTCGAGCTGGACGGGCCTTGCGTTGCGACAGTTCAAGCACTCCTCTTGCTGAGCAGTCACGAAGCAGCCTGTGGCCGTGAGACGCGACAGTGGCTGTACAGTGGTAGGTAATTTGAGTTGAGCACGTTCAGTAAGCTAATAAGTCATAGGTCAGGCAATGAGACTTGCCTTCGATCTTGGCCTTCATGTCGACAGTGAGCCATACGTAAAACAAGGGCTGCTAAGTGTTAGGGAGAAAGAAGCCCGCCACAGCACATTCTGGAGTTGTTGTGTTGTCAATCAGTATGTTTCCTCCCTACATATCGCCACTTGTCTGACCTTGTAGTCTTTGGAGCTTCAGTCTAGGACGACCGTTCAGAATAGACGGCGAGGAGATCACGGTTCCTGCACCTGGTGGTGGCTCATACGACACTGGGATTACTTACTTTCAGACGGCTCCAGAAGTCCCAATTCCGGCAGAAGATAATCGGCAAAGGCCTACAGATATATCCATTCTTGTGGCGGCACAATGGGTCACTCTTTGCTCTGAGCTTGCTCCACTTTTTCGCGTCCTGTCAGTTGTTTCCCTCATGTCTGTCGGAACTCTTTTTGCTGACAAAAGAAAAGATACGGATGCGTCAAGATATCCAAAGCCTCTTTGCAAAGTCTCTCAGCCCAGACAACCGTGCACTTCCTAAGATGGAAAGAAACGATTCCTGATGCTCTGCAAATTAAACCGGACCAAGCTCCGTCAACGCACATTCTTCTGCTACAGTGAGTCTTAAAGTCGTTGAAAACGGTGATCAACCGGTAAACTAATTACTATACAGTATGGCATATCATAACTTCTGCATTCTCCTTCACCGTCCCTGGACATCGAAAGGTTCACAACCACGAGGCAAGATCGGTCCAGGATACGAGCACGCACGCCGAGTATGCCACAACTCCGCATCAGAAATCGCATCACTGCTCCGGATTTACGAGTCCCACTACGGATTCCGTCGAATGAACGTCTACGCGGTCAACATAATCGTGTCCGCATCACTGATCTTAATATTCGGGTTGATCGCTGGCGAAGTCTTAGGCGAACAGCATGACCAGTCGGAAGAGGTTAATGTTGCTAGCGAACTCAATACTTGTTTTAGGGCGTTGGATGAATTGGGTCAATCGTTTGAGGCCGCGAGACAACATCGTGAACATTTGTTGGCTATTCAGAAACACTGGAGCCAGGGGAGAAAAGAGGCGAAGCTCGGCGCGAAACGGAGAAGTCGTTCCCAAAGCTCGACTTCTCGGGCATCTCAAAGACTCTCGAGGAGGTTGCGAGTTTCATGATTCTTGACGCAGAATTCAGAGCTATCAAAGGCCGGGAAACCCGAAGGTCGTGCCGTTACTCTGTTTGAGGGAACGATGTATCTCAGCAGCAAGTCTACCGTCTTCTCCCGCTAATCAAAGTCCAACAGAAACACGGTTATTACTCGACTGACACGATTGGTAGAATAGGACATTCAAATAGGATATTTCTTCGCGTACAAGGTTGACTGCCTCAGTAATCAACGTAGAGCTGTCTGAAAGACTTGCTACACTTAGTGATTCCACATCACGCTCACAACAACCTTCCAGCATGAATTCCTCCCGTCACCAAGTGGTCTTCTGAAGTAGTGTACGCACTCGCATCAGACAGCAAATACACAACAAGGCCCTTCAAATCCGTCCGATCTCCCATCCGACGCATGGGAGGCTCACTAGTCATAATAGCCCCCAAGTGAGGATACTTCTTCGCAAGATCCAGCGTCATATCAGTCATCATATATCTAAACACATCCCTCAGTCAGAACAAACCCTATCATCCAGATAACCTGATCTTACCCCGGCGACATGCTATTCACCCTCACACCCTGCATCGCAAGCTCAACCCCCAGTGCTTTCGCCAACGAGAGAACGGCGCCTTTGCTAGCGCAATAATCGCTAGTCGTTTGGCCTTTGCTGGCAACGTATGCTGCGATCGATGCAATGAAGACGATTGAGCCTGCTTGTGAACTGCCTTCGAGTCGGGTTTGCTTTTTCATTTGCGCCACGGCGAGTTGGGCTGCGTAGTAGGTGCCGAGGAAGTTGATGTTCATTGAACGAGCTACTGATTCGGGCTTTCGTTCTAAGAATGGCTCGTCTATGCAGATACCTGCTGCGGTCACTCTAAAACAGTTCAGTACAGCTTGAGAAGGAATATATAGCTAGGGGAGTAAATCGCAAAATACCCACAAACCATCAATCCGCCCAAAATCTTTGACAATTTCATCAAACGTGCCCTTCAATAAATCGAAGCTTGTCACATCACTCCTAAGATAATCTATCAGCAACATCCAAAAACAAATTAAAGCTGCCAAGCATTCTTACTTATAAAGTTTGACCCTGACATCGAACTTCTCGAGCTCCTGAAAGTGCGCATGTGGTTCCCACAGGACGTCGATGATAGCAACATTGCCACCAACTTCAGCAACGGCGAATGCAAGCGCGAGACCAATTCCTCTCGCACCGCCCGTGATGACGATAGTCCGTCCCTTGAGCGAGAATAGATCTAGTACAGAACGTTTTAGAAATCCGTCTGCGTCGGCTTGAAGCACTTGCTGTGGTTGGATTATTTTCCCGCTCATGTCGAATCGTACGGGAAGCAGGGACTGGAGATGTTCAGTTTGATGATTACACCGTCATTACTCTTAAATGATTGATGTAAGAATAATCTATCTCGTATGCTTTGAAGTGAAAGCTCCCGTGGGGTTCTCTATCACATAGCCCCCCACTAGGACCTAGAGGACCGGGAACCATTTCCCGCTGATCGACAAACGCTGAAAAGCATCAATTCTGCATGTGATTGAAGGATCAGAGAGACATACTGTGGCCGAGTTGATGAAATCTCACCATTGTTGTTTTGGAATTGGGATTGTGCATCCATAGAATGGAAGAAGATTCAATTTAAACAATACTACAGGGACATTTTTTCACCAGTTCTCATATTGTGATCCTCCTACGATCATGCAAGTGAGTCTGTTTGAACCTTCTGAATAGCCTCAACAACTCTATCCGTCGTCCAATCTTCCTGCAACGCCCCAAATACCACATCAGCCTCGCTACAAGGCGCCATACCTCCAGGTGCTGGCGGCCTGCGGTCCAGGTTTGTGGGAAATGGATACCCGGACGCAATTGCACGCACGCAAGCATCGACCTCACGATCTCGGCCTCCCTCACTATTCAACCGTTTCAAGGCACCCCAGCAATTCTTGATGATTGCCAAATTGTCGATAGTCTCCATCGGCTTTCCAAAAGCGCTGCTGATTTGTAGAAGATTGGCACTCCTGTCCAGCTGACTATGATTCTCGCCAGCAGCATGGAACAACGCCGGGTTGAAGAATACTGCGTCGCCTAGATTGAGTGGGAGGCTGACCCAGTGGTCTTCGAAGTACTGCTTGAACTCTGACAAGCGCCACGCCATGTATCCTTCCTCGAATTGCTGCGAAAAGGGCAAGAACCTCGTTGGGCCGCTGTCGAGTGGCATCTCGGAATGTGCTACAGCGCCTTGCAATGTTAACAACTGGCTCGCTATTTGCATTGACTTGGGGAATGCGGCGCATGACTCCGCTGTTTGGAAACCAAGATGATAGTCTCGGTGCGGGTTTTGAGGCGCACCACCCGGCTTGACAATGTTGACTTGCGCAGTGACTTGGTATGCTGGGCCGAGCCATGCCTCGCAAGCAATAGCTAGCCACGGATTGGAATAGTACTCAACAAACGAGTCAGGGTCTTGTAAAGCGTGCTTCTGAAAGGAATTCCAGATTCTTGAATTTTTGCCAGCAGCCGCGAAGTGGTCACCTTTGGACGATGCGCCCTCTTCTTTCGAGATAATTTCATCGAAGACCTCATTGATGCGGTGTAACAAAGAGGAGTCGGTTTCAAAATTCTTCAGAACTAGGACACCGGGTCCTGAACGAAGGATTTCAAACCATTCGTCTTGTAGAGAGGATGCTATGCTGGTCTCAGATATGTTGTATTTCGAGAGGTCGTATACAGGGATGTTTGTGACGATTGAATCCGAAAGTGGATAATCATCAGGATTTTGTGTTTGGGTGCAAAGTTTTGTAAATTGTGTGAAAGACGGTGCTTTGTCTATCTCGTAGAGGCGACTTGGGACAATTCGCTTCGAGCCATTCCTTGTCGAAGGCGCCTCCTCATCTTGTGGTAGAGACGGTGCCATATTGAGGAGACGCTCAGAAGGAGAGGCACAAAAATTTCGACGCAAATCCGAGCGACAATTGGATAAAGGTACTTGTTTGTCTTCGAATGCACAACAAATAGATAACTTGGTGAGGTGAGGACGCAGCGGAAGCTTGTGCTGGCAGCAGCGAAACCAAGGCTAATAAATATATTGCTTGAAAATGGGCAGCAGTCTCAACGGCACCCCAGATTCTATATTGTGAGTGCCAACATGATCATTTCTGGGGTGTTCTGGACAAAATTCAAACAGGTAATAAACGGCTATCTGCCTCCTAGCAGCTTAGCCGCAATTGTCGATAGCGACCGGGATTTGTTTTCCGACACAAGCTTCACATAATTATTCCCGGCGATAGTCCACCACGTGAGTACCGTAAGCCAACTTTGAGGGAGCTTCTAATCCATTCTCAATGATTCTGGGGCCCTGTTCTGCGCCAGTATCTACATAAAAGGAAAAGCAATCTCTCAAGCTTCCCATACAGCTTTGTACTGTGCATCACTGTACTATGCAGCACGAACAGCCATTCTCGTTGTCAGAATCTTGCGCCTTATATAGATCTGTGGTTTTCGACTCCTCATGTGTCGCCGTATTGCTCAGCTCGTTTCCTTGCGCTTGCATCGATGATTGCTGTAGTTCCATAAGTTTTACTTCCTTTTGCGGCTCCGAGGTCGCTGCCTCGCGCAATCCAGATGTTTCTAGTAGGTCGGAGCTATTGGCTTGGAGCCAATCGTCCTTCGCCTTCCCCAGTGTTGCCCGTACAAAAGCAAGCAGTCCAGGTTCTTGAGCGAATGCTGTCTCGAGAATCCGTTCTACAGACCAGAAAGTACCTTGTGGGCTAGTGTCTCCGAGTATCCGAGATTTCGCCTGTACTGAACATTTTACATAGGGATCCACTCCAGATCTTAGCAGCAGCTCGATTATTGGCATCCAACGAGGCAAAAATTCTTCCGATATGGATCTGTAATAAAAGAGCTCAGATGCTGTATCATGGAGCTGAACCAGCATATTTTGCCAAGGGGTTGTGGGCGAATCTGTCCCGCCTGTGTTGAGGTCTGCACCGTGCTTGAGCAGAACGGTGAGCACCTGTATGCATGTGGGCGTATCAGTCTTCGCAGAGAGGCTTAGGGCGAATTCTAGCAAAGAACTTTTGTTCTCCAGATTGGTGTAGACATCAGATAATTTGGCATCGATGTATCTGGCAAGTCCCGTTTGCGTGGCAAGAGTCAGCATAGATTCTTGCCTCCTGAAAAGTGCACCTTCGCCGGCATAGGAATCACTCCACAGAGAATATGCGGCAGAGAAACTCTGCCACAGGGGAGACGCGACATCGTAAAACTCGTCGAGAAAGTCGATGGGTAGAACATGACCTCTTCGTTCTATTTCCTGAGCGAAATATATGACGTCTTCCATAGACTCCCAATTAGGTACGAACGGTTCATGGCTGAAATATAATGTTTTCTGAAATTTAAGCATTAGTATATGTGCCCTGAAGAATGCATGGATTGTGTTAAAAGTATTCGTCTGTGGACCGCTTGCTCTGTCTGCCAGTAGTCGGCGAGTCTCTGGGAGTTCCAGAAAGTCTTTGACTGTTCGGTGTAGGTATGTGATAGTCATATTAGGAGACACATATAGGCCTGCCTCATAAGAGAGATCATGATTGTCATAGTCGTGTCTGTATTGTACCTCGAGCAGACCTCCACATCGTGTCCCGAGACGCCTCTCCATATCTTTACAGCGGTCCATAACCTGCTGGAAGGTCATGAACCCAAGTTCAGCCTCGAAGGCAAGATTGGTGTCTCTCTCTGAAGCGAAGGAAAGGAACAAAACGGTGAGATCTTGCTTTTCGCGAAAAGGAGATGGGTGTCGATTTTCCCGAGTCTGAAAATTAGTATCGACGAGTTGAAACATTTTAGCAGCCTCTTGTTGGTAGATATTATCGACTTCGTAAACCATGTGATGATAGAGATTGTCTAATTCCTCGGGCAATCCTCGCAGTCGCATTTGAAGATATCGTATGTTGTCGTGTTTGCTTAGCCCCCGAAGTAGAGAGGTGACGACAAGAGTCACCCAAAGAAACACGCCATTTGCAGCATTTCCAATCTCCTCGATGAGTTTTTTGGTAGCTTCGGGCTCGGCTTGACTAAGTTGCTGCATCCTGATATTTGTCTCTAACCTGTCATGGATATATCGTCGAATGTCAGGAAATGTCAAATCTTGGAGTCTCAATCGTGGCCGAGTTTCAAAAGCTTCAACAAAAGCTAAGTGCGGTCGGCTAGAGTAACAGATCTTCACATTTTCAGACGTCGATGCTTCACCAAAGAGAGCAGCGATATCATCTTCGTTGCCTTTATACTCGTCGAGTCCGTCAATAAAAAGGCAGAGCTTCAAATCCACTTTTGTTTGCGAGATGAGACTGGTGAATGCTTTTTGTAAGGTCGATAGCTCCCAAGATTCAGGCTAGAGTGTCATTAGTCACGGTCTGAAACTACTTAGTTATTGGATCTATAACTGACCGGACAGTGACGAGCTTGGCACTTGGAAGTGTACCTGACACCCCATTGTGCTGGTAACACGGCAGGAATGAGTTCTTGGTATTTGCAGAGAATTTCGTAAAGCAGCGAGCGAAAAAGTCCGTTCTGAGAGCACTGCAGGCTCAAGCCACTGTTCCAGAAGAAAAATCCAGCTGTACAGAGCTCCGAGGTTCCCGCCCAATCTCTCAAGAGCAGCAAAGTCTTGCTGTGTCTGAAAATATATTTCATCAAGGTGGACTTCCTAGACCCGGCTTTGCCATTGACCCCTATTACCCATAAAAATCGGAATTAGAAAGGCTTCAGTGCATCTCTTTTGCTCGACTGGCCCGAGAGAAGTGATACATGAAACGTATATACACATCACAAATTCCAAAGAAGACACTAAAGATAAGGAAAGAACAAGAAACATTTAGTGATCATGCAACTGAGAGTCTGAGACTTACAGTAAATACAATCCCCAGATTGGAGCCAAGCACGGAAGTTTGCCCATCGTCTTCCCTCCGTAAATTGAACTGTGTCTTCAGGTGGTTGAAAGATCCAATCGAACGTTCTGGCATGATATTCCGCCACGGCTTCAACTCTGTCGGCAATTGTTGGATAATGGAGGCTCTTGAGAAGCTCATCCTGTATTTGCTCCCGGATTGCTCCATCGGCCCTTCTAATATCAGCCAAGACCCGATTACTACTTTTGTCAACGGAAGTGCGACCGATTTGGTGGAAGACGTCAGCGATAATCCTCTGATTAGCGTCTTCGTGGCTTCTCAATACCACCTCAGCTCTATCAAGTAATGTTGATAGTGCCGATATTTGTGCTTGAAATCCATGCGAGTCCGAAGCCTCGCGATTGACGAGAGAGCTAGCAATTTTCTGATTTGCAGCGTCGAGGCGATCGAAACGTTCGGATTGTTCGAGGAGATGCAAGTCCAGTCGTTCGCTGAGGGAAAGTAGAAGATCAGTTATGGATGCCTAATTTGTACAATACAGAGACTGGTTCTTGGTGACTTGCCTGAGGGACAGTATGACACGCGAGTCAATCTGGCTTCGGTACTCTTTCAATCGCTCCAGAACTTCAGAGATGCCTTTCTTGCTCCAGATGCTTCGCAATGCTGCGGTGAGCGTGGACCATATTATCTTGTGGCGGTTGTGGTCCTTCTCGTAGTCTTCTTGGTCCGCTTGAATTTTCTGGACTTTGAGCTTGCTTAAACGGGCGAGGAGGTCTTGGGCTACGTCGTCGCATCCTTTGCATATGTTCTCCCACAAGCCTTCGTCCTCTGACAATGCCAAAGACGACTCTGGTAAACGCAGTGTTCGTCGGAGTTTGAGCGAATAGTCGAGGATGTCATTGACCGCCGTGGTAATCTGCCCATAAACTTCGAGCTCTCCATTATGGTATAATTCTCGACTGGCGGATATCAACTTGCTTCCATAGTCCACGAACTGGACGACGGTACCTATCGCATGTTTAGCTTACATTGCGAGAGAGGGAAGCGAATGCACCGACCTGCGACAGAGAGAGCTGTTAAGGGATCCATCGGAATTTGATTGATCTCGACGTAAAGATTTCATGAGAGCCAGCCTGAAGAATGAAAAAAGTGATGCCAGCCTGACCATCGCACATCCTCATCGGAAGCCTCACCATCTGCCAGCTTATCGTGCCAATGACATGCAGGTGGTGACCTCTCCAGGGCTGCCATTTCAACATGGAGTTTGCACCGCTGCGAAAGAAGGAAATGAGTATCATTTGATGATGCTGAAGTTGTAGAGGGTTGAATGAAAAGAACGGATCACAGATTGAGAAGGATACACGATGAGGCACGTGACAGAACATGCTGCTGTTCCAAATTCTCGGTTCTATGGGATATAAGTAAGATATCCAAGTATTGGACATACTTATATACTAAACGAACTGATGTAAGCAAGACGAAGTACGACGTTTCTGTTAACTATAGATCTGTCACCTGACCAGATGTCCGCCGATGTCCCTAACGCTCCACGTATTAATCCGCTCGAGACGGGCTCAGATTCCTCCGTAGGTAAGAATGCGCGAGTCGTGAACATGTCGAATTGCTCCGTGGCATGCACAGTCTATTCATTCGCTGCTCGTCTGAGGAGGCAACGAAGGATGCGCGGAGAGAAATGGTGGAAATTCAAAATCGTCCTTCGGTGTCAGAACATTTTCTGAGATCATTATTAACATTGAACAACGATGATTGTCTGACCAGCGAAAGACTTTGAACGGACCGGGAGTGTGGTACACATTTGAGATTTGATTGTTAGAGGCTTGCTGTTAACATTCGTGGTGAAGTCTTCTTTCGTCACCGGCTCAAACGTAGGCATGGGGCTCGAAGCAGCACGGCACCTCGTCCGTCTTGAAGCTGCAAAAGTGATTCTCGCAGTACGAATCCTCTCCAAAGGCGAAACCGCCAAACTTTCCATCGAAGAAACTACTTCGCGGTAAGGCGTAATTGAAGTGTGGGAATTGGATCTCTCAAGCTACGCCTCACTTAAGGCGTTCGGAGAAAAAGCGAAAGGCTTGATGAGATTGGATGTGGTGGTTTTGAATGCGGGGATGTATGTCTTTGAGTTTAAGGAGGCGGAAGAAGACGAGGAAACAATCACTGTGAATGTTGTCAGCACCATGCTACTTGCTCTTTTGCTTCTACCGAAACTTCGGGAAACAGCGCAGAAAGAAAAAGTAGAGTCGGTTTTGACCTTCACAGGAAGTTTTGTGCACAAGGACACCCCATTTCCAGAGCGAAAGGCGGAAAAAATCTTCGAAGAATTGGCGAAGCGTGAGGGTGCAAGAATGAATGATCGATGTCAGGTTTCAAAACTGATTGAGACGTTTTGTGTGAGAGAGCTTGCAGACCAAATCACAGCCTCAAAGACCGACGGCAAGGTGATAGTCTTGATTGTTAACCCTGGAATCGTTGATACTGCGATTATGCGACATGCTCCTATCCTCTTCTCGCTGGTGGTCACTGTGTTGAAAAGGCTTGTATCGAGGACCGCTGAAGAGGGAGGTAGGACACTTGTCCATGGTGCAGAAGGGGGAGAAGAGACGCATGGGCAATATTTGGACGATTGCAAAGTTGGACGGTGAGCACCATAACGCAACTCGATGCAACGCTGTTAACAATTTGTGATAGATACTCGGATTTCGTACCGAGACTCAAAAGAAATTGTGGAGTGATTTATCAGAGAAACTAGAACAGATTCAGCCAGGAATTATGCAGAGTATATGAAATGCTGGGTGACACTAGGTGGTTCGCAGATATTGTAGAAGTGGCATTTGCGCAGCTCATTGGGTGAAAGAACAGAGTCAGACGCCCCTTTCTGGTATTATGACTGAGGAAAAAGACGCGTTATACAAATCGCGAGTCCACCAGTGCTAGCTGTTACTAGCCTAACCTCATTTGGATGACATAAGCCATAACAGCCGAGCCAATTGGCAACCATGGATGAGCATTGACTGTATATAACAAAATAAGCACTTTCACACCATTGAACAGGCGGCTTTAGCTCACGTAGGTTGCTCTCCATTTTCATTTCACAAATTATTACTAACGATTAATAGTTGGGAGAGCGCCAGACTGAAGTGAACTTCAGAATTTGAAATCTGGAGGCACTGTGTTCGATCCACAGAAGCCGCATTATCTGCGAGTTGAGGAATACCTTGACTGAGAATACTTTTTTTGGGGTTTTGCTGTGATTTTTTTTCGGCCCTGGTAAGAAGAAGCCGCACTTTTTGCATAATTTTTTGGGCCGCTTGTTAAGCGAGTGGCGCTGAAAGCCTCGCTTAGTCAGTCCTGGCGCGTGATACTGATCGACGAAGCAGATTCTCAGCTCAGCATAATTGTCGGATAAAACAGCGATCAAGATCGCTAAACCTGGGGGATATCGCACCGGAATACTAACTATGTTCAGGTGGTGACTAGTACTGTATGCGTAAGAAGAGGGTGAGGTGAGCAGGCCTGAGCAAACCTGAGCCGAGCATAAGTAAAGGCGGCGCTAGTTACTGGACAAGTTATGTGAGACAGCGAGTTAGAAACGGGAAACATTCCTCATCAAGAAACAAAGCGTTTAGGATCACTATTATCTAATATCTTGGCAATCTGGATTTTCATTACTTTTTTCGCAATCAAGATTTGACAAGGTTCAATTTCAATTCAATTCCGATGTATGGTGGCCTGTCATACGGCTGTATATTGCAAGTTGCATGTAATCATATTCCTCTCTCACGACGGATGCCTACTTGCGCGAACAGCGCTTTGCCCGCCATTGGCGCAATCTGCGCAATCTGCGCAAATAGCCCAAGTGACTACTGGTAGAGAAGAACTAATAATTGTGCGCGACGAAGTATGGTCTCGGAGTCATTCACAATTGGTGTAAATACACAAACAATTCAAGCACATCCCAAAGACTGCCACCCACTCAGACAAACTCCTCGACCCTCTTTCCCCAATTCTCCTCCGCAGCAAACTTCTCCGACAACCTCAGAAGCTCATCTAGTAACCCCTCCACCTCCTCAAGATACAGCTGCGCATCATCCCATGTAGGATTAATCATCAACGTCGTCTGATCCAACATAATACAATTCCACAAGCAGCACAAATCCGTCCTGCTCTCCACCTGCACCTTCTGAATCCGCTTATACTCAAAGACAGGAGGGACAGGCAGCCAATTGAAAACCTGCCGTTTGAACGCATCACGAACAAAATCTCCTTCTCCACCTTCACTCTCGATCCAGGCCGCGCCTTTGACTTTGCCGTCGAAGTTTCGGACTTCGATATCGGTCTGGTGGCCATTCAGCACCGCGACGATTTGGTTCATGGGCGCGTAGGCGTGGCGGTTGAGCTCGTATTGCTCGGCTTGTAGACGAGCCAGCATATCGAGAACCGTCTCGCTTTTGTGGATGGGGAGCTTGTTTATTGTGCCTTGGACGGCGGGACCATCGACGTCCATGGCGGGAGGCATCCGGTTGGCTTGCCATGGGAGCATGAAGGGCCATGTGCGTCCTGCTTGTGATTGCCCAAATAGAGCGTATGGTTGCTTTGTGTGCCGGGTTGTGACGACTGCTAGTGCCGCTTTCACGATCTGAGAGCCCTCGATGTTGTGTTTGATTTTGAGGGCTTGGATGTCTTTCAGTGTTCCTTGGCCGGTGATGCCTTTGACTCCGAGGCCGTTCTTGGTCAGTGCCTTTCGGGGAGGACCGGGCTTGCCGGTTTTGATGTCGATCCATCCTTCTGAGGAGCCTTTGAACCACTCCGGCGCACGCTGTATCGGAAATAAAGCTTCTGGATTTTTGTAGATGCCACGCAGGCGATTTGCTTGCCAGTTGACTGAAGCCTTTGCTATTGGTGAGTATTGAAGATTGTAATAACTGTCTGCCCAAGCTTTGTATGGAACGTGAGGCTTCAATTTGGTGGTTGGGTTAGTGAGCATAGCATCGAAGTCGTCAAGGAAGAGTTGTAAGGAGACGGCATCGAAGATAGAATGTTGTACCATGTAGACGAGACCTGCACATTTGGTCTCTTCAACGTACACGATGATGAAGCGCATCATTGGACCAGGAAAGTGGGCATTATCAAGTTCGACGTCACCGTAGACAACTTCTGCGAGATCCTCGGCTTTCTTGACCGCTGGGAGATGACGGATACATTTTGAAAACCATTGTTCGCTGGGTCGGATTGTGATGTGCATTGAGGTGTGGCTGTCGAAGTACATCGCCATGGTTCGTAGCATGCTATGATGCGCGAGCGTAGCTTTCAATGCTTTCTCCAGATGATCGACGCTAGATCCGTTGCAAAGGAAGGCGTGTCTATGGTTGCTGGTCTGAGGACGCCGATACTTCACGAAAGTCTCTTGGATAGCGTTCATGGGGATGACGTCCTCGACATCCTCCCAGCCAAGACCAAGTGGTTTTAAGGTTTCAATAGCTAGGTCCTGTGTCTTCTTGTACCTTGCTTCATCTCCACTCGTGTGGACCATGTCGTGGATTCCTGGAGGACCATCGCGATCCGGCTTCATATCGCTGATTGATTGAGCACCCGATCCACCGCGAGCTGAGAGCAGCTTTGCTTGTCCTTCGATAGATGGGTGATCGATGAGATTTTGCAGCTGGATTAGGAGACCGGTTTCTCGCATGAGAACAGCAGAGAATCGAGCTTGAATGAGAGAATCCGCCCAATCATGGATTGAGGTCTGAGGAGTAAGTGTTCCGGGACTGACGCCCAGAAGTTTGGTCCAGACTCGGGTCAGAGTATCGAGGAGATCCGTGCCGGCGTAAACATTGACTTGGCTCTCCCTATTCTCGATGACCATTTTCTGTAATTTCGTCTTGATGACTTTCCCTGTGGCCGTTCTTGGAAAATCGTCGATGCCGAGGGTTTTGATGTCTATAATCTCTTCTGGCACCCATGCTGCTCCAAGCTCTTTGATCAACGTTTGTCTCACCTTGGAGACATCCACTTCTTGCCCCTTCTTCTTCGACATGACAGCAATAGGTATTTCGCCGGCTATCTCATCTGGTACACCGACCACTTCAGTGACCAGATCGAATTTGCTGAGGATGATTGATTCGATAGCGCTGGGGGAAATGTTCTCGCCTCCGCGGATGATCATGTCTTTATATCGCCCTACAATTTGACATTCCCCATTGTCATGCATGACTGCTTGGTCTCCAGTCCTGATCCACAAGCCGTGCTCATCTGTATAAAATGCATCACGACTTCTCTGGGTAGGCCCAACCCAATATTCTTTGATAATAAAAGAGCCCCCGATATGGCACTCGCCAGCCGCTCCTCTTGGGACTGGTTTGTTTGTCTCTGGGTCACACACTCGAACTTTGGCCCCAGGAAGAATGGTGCCGCTGGTGACTATCTCGGGCACCTTTACGCTTAGGTCGTAATATCTATGAGCCAGTGCTGGCCCAGTTTCGGTCATACCATACGCCTCGCTCGCTCTGTCGGCTTTGAGTTGTTCCATCGACATTTTGATGACTTCAGGCAGGATTGTTGTTGCGCCGAGATGGGCATGCTTGATACAGTCTGTGTTGACTTGGTCGAAATCGGGATGTGCTAGCATAGCATAGACGAGTGCTGGAACACAAGGCATGTCGGATGCCCTTTCGAGATTGATTGCCTTAAGTGACGAGCCGGGGTCGAATGTCGCTGCCGGATGTACCACTTTCAATCCAGCGCAATGAAACCCCATTGAATATCCAACACCACCCATGATATGAGATGTCGCCATATGACAGAGAGAGACACGATCTGGATCCCGCGTGAGGTCGGAGTGCTGTATATAAGCACTAATCATGCCTGCACACATGGAGTTCGTGTAAGGACACCCTTTGGGAAGATTCGTTGTGCCGCTTGTGGTGAAGATGAAAGTTACATCGTCTGGCTTTCGAATGACCTCCAAGGACTTTAGAACTCTTTCGCCGGCAATGCCGTTTTCAGCAAAAGCGGCAAAATCTTGCCAACTTGCAGGTATATCGGCCTTGTCTTCACCACCAGTCGAAAATAGCTTGACTGATGCTTGTCCAAAAGCTTCAGGAGCATGAAGCTGGATATGCTCAGCGGTATTCGAGTCTTGAACAAGCAGAACACTGGGTCCTATCATGGCCATCATATGTCTTGCTTCCTTTTCGTTAAAAGCTACTCGTGGGTTCAAAGGTGCAAATAGGCAATTCAGCTCCAATGCAGCCCGTAGCATTATGTGCCATTCAACTCCGTTATTGACAAAAGAGATGATTCGCATCCCAGGTTTGATTCCAGATGCTGCGAGAGACGCAGCTAAAGTATGACTGGCATGAGCAATCTGATTAAATGACCATCTTAGGTATTTCTCAGGCGGTGAAGAGGGAGGTGTAGGAGGATCGCCACGAGAAATTGAGGAGAGGAAGGAAGCTGGTTGATGCATGCATACTAGACCAATTTTATCGCCATGTTTTTGGGTAGTCTCTTGAAAAAAGTCGAACATAGTCGGGACTGGCCGTTCTATTGGCTCGCCGAAGGCTTCTGAGAGCAGCTTTGAGTGACCCATCTTTGCTGAGCCTGACTTGATACCTCTCAAGTTGGAAGAGAGATGGATAAGGAAAATAAGAAATGGTGTGCATAAATCAGGGACATCGCGGGGTACATGTCTGTGATGTAGGCCAGGCTTCTGGTAATCCCTTACGTTAGATGAGTGAGACTTTAGAGGGTTGACTTTGGGAGAGTAGGTTAGCGTGCTCATTAGCATGAGAGCTAAATGCGGGCACCTTCGCGAAGTGCGAAGAGTGACGCTGGATGGTGAATTCTCGCGAAGGTGGGGAAATCAATTGCAAGATCTGACAAGGAGGCGAGTTCCAGCACACATACAAGCCCCAGATGAGATTCGACGCTTGTCCATAAGCTATGCGGTGGGGTAGAGTTGCGCGTGGTGCTGAGGGTCGGACACGCTAACCAGTGAGATCATCGATGGCGACTGCGAGAGGAGGAAAGAGAGCGGTCCCAGGTATGATACAAGTTTGCTTCTTGCAACGAGCATGCACTTTTGGGAATCGATCAATTAGTTGAGACAAAGTTTCCAACAATTATTGGTACCATATAAAGATTTTACTCATACTTTATCAATCCATGATGCGGCCGACCGAAGATTTAAACTCTTCCCACTTCGAAGCGCTACTTCTTGTGAGTGTCGACTCAGAAACTTTGCAGAGCTGAATGGAACGAACAAGGAGACAAAAATTACCAAGGCTGCATAGGGCGGTGGTTTTTTGCCGATCCTGTGAGACGTTAGCAAGATTGCCAAATGCAAGAGTCTGATGTGAGACGAGGACGAGCTTATTTGAAGTGGCCAATACCGACATAGTGGATCCTGGTTCTTAGGCATTTGACAGGTGCCGTGAAGAAGCTCCCGCAGTGACACTAAAAGCTAGCGGCGACTATGCAACGAGCCTAACCAAATCTCACTTTGAGGATTTGAGAAGGGAACATGAATGACACCTGCAGCACACTTAACGGCAATCGGGAGGGGCGTTGCCGAAACCAGTGCAAATCAATTTAGTCTTTGAAAATGGTAAGGAGAACCAACATTGCAGCAGCTCACATGTGCTGGCTTTCCTTGTGGGTTGTTGGAGTTTGAATAAGCATAAGCTCACGTGTCCCTGAAAGATCTTGATCCGACTCGGCCTGGGAGCGTATATGTGGTGAAGTATGTTGCACCAACTTATATTGTTTCTGCGCCTTCATGGAGAAGCTGGCATAGAGTTGCGTCGTCTATGTCTCGACTTCATCGTCTTTGATTTGTGTATCAAACAAAGTTTTCCCATGACAGGAGATAGATGCGTATTCTCCAGCTCGAGCTGCAATGTTCGGCTTCGTGGGTACTTCGGAATGTGCAAGTCAGAAGAGCTTAGTGGTGATGCAGGCATGCTGTCCGTGGGGAATCTGAATGCTCCGTACTCGTATGTACATTTCAAGGCCTCGCTCAGGTGATGAATAAACAAAATCACATTGTCATAGTAGGCTATGCGTTTTTTTTTCTTTTGGCGAACTCCGAGCATCTGCTTTCCTGAAACCCATATTCTGTTTCGATGTGCTTTGGGTGGGAGGTGAAGCAGGCTGCTGGATTTGTTTGAGACGAATTACAGCCTCAGGCCGCCAAAACCCCAGCTCGTGACCTGTGCAAACAATAAGACAGGCACGTGCAGCGAGACAAACGTTTACCTAGCGTCCCGGAGCCGAAAAAAAAGTATAAAGTCCAGGCTCTTCGCCGCAAAACTTCCTCTTTTCTTCTTCATACTTACCTTCTTGACATCGAGCTGCTCATGAATAGCTTTGATGGTTCGACGAGACCTCCATTGCACAACGGGGTGTCAAGACGAATTGACTTTCCTTCGGGGACGTCATCGGGGGAATTTTTGATTGCTATCTCCCTCTGGAGAACCTCTTTTCATTGAGCGCTTGGCTTCGTGCTGGGTCTTGAAGATGAGAACGCAACAACGGAGTGGAGCTAGGGGTGACATCACTTCGATATTGACAAAGTCTCAACAGCGCGCATGTCGCGAAGGCTTGGTGAGGTTCTTACTGTGCTGTTGCCTGCGAGCTCGACCCGGTTGCGCTCGTCGCGCTCGGAGCCAAGCCAGAATCTTGAAGCTTAGAAAATACGAGTTCACGATTGACTCATCACCTTCAGACCTTCGCCACCACATCAATAGCTAGACGGCTTTGATGTCCACGATCCTCTGGCCTGTTCTGCCTACCATGTATCTGTTCCTCTCGAAGATCATTCTGCATCTGCACAACGCAAATGGCGTCCCCTGAAACCCCTCCCAAGTCGCTCGCTTTCGTACACAACACCGATCTGCCTCATCCTCTGGGCGTTCTCAGCACCGCTATCTCTGCATGGATCGAGCGCGTCTGTATCAGACCTAATATCCTAACTAATTACAACCTCGTCCCTTTCGACCTCGCCGATTACGATCTCGAACCTCTGAATCCATCGAACGAGCTTCATGGCAAAATACACGACACCTCCACATCGACTCCCAAAAAGTCCCTCGCATGTTGGCAAGAAGAAATAACCAAGCATTCAGCATTCATATTACTATTTCCTTATCACACCTGGTCGCACTGCACGCCTCTGAAGAATGCTCTCTCTCCGCCTCTCTACCCTCATCCCCTTCGAAAACCGATCCTTCTCATCGGTTTCGGCAGAGAAGAGCCCTCCAATACTCGCACATGGAAACGCAAATCCTTTCCCATGATGAAAGATTTCTTTCGGGAACAAGGATTGAAAGTCATTGACGTAGAAATCGAACAGTGGATTGAAGGAAAGATGCAACTGGGAGTTGTGGATCCCGAGTTTACTATATACGCTGATTATTGGGAGGACTGGATTACGGGAGGTACGAATGCGTGGCTGGGTGGGCAGCAGGTCGAGGCTTTTGAGTCGAGGGGTTGGAATAGGTGTCAGGAGGGGGTGATGAAGATGGTTGATGTGCTTGAAGGGAGGGCGAAGACAAGGAAAGGACGAGAGCCTTGGTACATCATGGGCAGCTTAGGGCGACTTGAATGACGCCCTTCCGCAGCTCGATGATCGATCTACCTAGCGCGAAGTATAGTCTACGGCTACGAAATAGCGACACCTCATACCTACAACTTCTTTGCCTTGGGTCTGCGGTGGGATGTATTGCAGATGATCTGCGAAGACTCTCTACATGGCCATGCGATTGGCCTCTGATCCAAGTACGGACCCCTGGCTTCTGGCTTGATTTCACTACGCTCTATAATCACAACAAGGACAGTCATCCGGTATGCTTGCGCTGAGGAAGCACCGCCAGCATCATCTCTAGGGGATTGGTTAACTAGCTCGGCCATCCTTGAGACAGCGGATTCCTAGGTAGGTGAGTTTCAACAATATACTGCTCAGCAAGAGAATATCTAAATCGGATGGGAAAGATCCTTGAATGGCATGGAGTTGTCCTACTTTCGAGAAAGTCATCCCGTCACTGCTAGACAATGTTCGTTGGTTTTTGCTTTGAGCTTCTCATACGTTGGGAGACTGTGTGCAAGGAAGTGGTACACGCTTGCTCTGAACATCGCTGTTTACTGCCAGCCAGCTGATGAATGCTGGAGTGCTGAAGCAAATTCTTCGCAAGGTACCAGCTCACTTCCGCTTGCTACTAGCATTACCATATCCTCCTTTGGCTACGTCTTTTGTTATAATGGTGTCTCTTCCCCGGGATTGAGGTAATGGATGAAATCCGCCCGATGGTCAGGACATCTTGAGTCGCAGACCGATCAAACAAACCTTCTTCTCAAAAGAGGTGCGTTAAGAACTTTTGCTGTCCAAATTTCGGAGACTACGGAAGACGGTGTTGATCTGGGCAAGTATGTACTGCACCCGTTCACTATCTCCGAACGATCAACCAGAAAGCGAATGCAAACACTGGAAACTACAAAATAAGGAGGACGATTCGTTGAAATTCAGGATGGTTCCGAGCCCAACGCATTACGACAGCCACCTATGTTAAGAAACTGCAGCTAGCATAACTCTGTCGAGTGCTTTCTCGGCCGCTTGCACGAGCTTCAGCTTGCTTTACTTCAGCCAACTTGTTTCCACCCTCTGGCTTCTTTGATTCAAAGATCATGCCGCTCTTCCTATAACGCTTTGTCGTTTCGAGGATGCTTTCGCTCCCGCTCTCTTGATCCCTCTGCCCCTCTTGCTTTCAAGTCGAAAAATTCCGTGCAACGTAAAAGTACGGGCATACATCAAAGGAACCACAAACACAGCATACAACTCGTCAATTTGATCACATACAAAGTCCTTTTGTTTGAAACGAGTATCCAGTCCCCGGTGGTCCGGGTCCTCGAATGGCTTCACCTTGTGCTACTATGATATACCCAAAGCCGGTTCGTTTAGCCACTATCCGCGCGCTCATCCCACAACCAATATTAACAACTTACTTGGAGAAATCCGATCCCAGCACTGCATCATTAGGCATTTTCCGTTAATTGTTTGTTGTTGAGCCCAAAAACGCTGACGTTGCTATCGTGAAAATTCAGCTCGTTCCAATCATGGTTGTATTCCATCCCGCGTCAGAAGGAAAAAATATATAACATTTCCATCTATCCCGTGTTTTCGTCTCCTGATCGATGGCACGCTCCCACCTCTCCTATCTTATCATTGTGTTCTTCCTGTTATTTCCTTTGGTCATAGATACGAAGGGGACGAAATATGGAACAGCTGCTACTTTGCTAGCCTTGGCTTTGCAATTAGCCGAGGCCGCGGACTTCCATTCTGCTTCGTGAACTATAACTTCAGTTATTAAATATCTAGGCGTACTATATACCATGGATCATTCAGACGGCTCGTATCAGTATCGAGTTCTTGGGATGCTAATGTTTCGTGGGCCGGCTAGAGCTTTTATTTGTTGTTGAGTATATACTTGTTACATATTCCTCCTCTTTTCACCTCCGAGATCTACAACCAAACATTGCGAGTTTGTAAGATACCTGGCCCATAATGTACTTCTCCAAGTTTGTTATTGCATCGCTGCTTGCGCTTGCAAGTTCTGTTACTAGTGTAAGTTCCTCCTTACCCCTCATGTATAATCATGCGCCGCAAAACTAACCCCACATCCTTTCCAATAGCAAGTCATTGTCACCGTAACAAGTAAGCATCTCCTTACCACAGTCTACCTCGCAGATCTAACGCACCCAAACAGACACAATCACAGTCGTCACCGTGACAGTAACGCCATTATCAACCTCAACATCAACCATCTTCTACACCGTCACCGGATCCCCCAGTCCCACCAAAACAACCAGCACGAAAACAACAACCGTGACAGTAATCGCCACCGCGCCCGCAACAACCGGCGCTGCGGTGTGTCCGCTCGGCGAAGGAGGTTCATGCGGACTCTGGAACCCAGCGCCTGGAGGGTGTAGGCAGTGTGCTGGTGGGCTCACTTGTCGGTCTATAATGTGTAAGTGATGTATCGACGACTGGTTGGGATGAGTGACTGATTTTTCAAAGGGTCCTCGTCGAGATGCGAGACGGCTGCTCAGACTGTTATTACGCTTACCTCGACGATATATAAATTTTGAGATGTTAGTAGGTACGGGGTCGAGATTCAGGAGATGGTAGATACATCGGTTGTTTATAAATTATTGCGGTCTTCTCTGGTCCTTAGTATGGTTATATTGGCTCAGGAATGCATGTTTCGTGTTCAATATCAACCGAGCTGGAGTGGCTGTGCTTGTTGAAAGTCAACGCCACTACCCCTGAATCCTTGCTCATATTTTCTTCAGATGAACTACAATTAACCTATGTCAGCTTCCCACTACTTGTTTCCCTTTTTTTTGTCAAATAGTCAGAACATCAATCTCATGACTGGGAATTCTCGATTGATATTAAGTTCTGCAGTGTTGTTTCTCACTTCGGTCTTTTCGGAACCTAGTCAAACTTCATAATGATCGGAATCGGGTACCTTCTGCACCTGGAACAACACCCAAAAAGGAGTCTACCAAGGGCCCCACCATGTCCGTGATGACTGTATCGTGAAAATGACCGAGACATGTAGAATCTGGGATCTGTTACCTATTGTTTGGTCGATACTCCTTCAGGCCTCTCCAGCACCAGATACGTCCCAGTGGACCTCCAAGATTCCCAACAAGGACTCCTTGGGCACATATACCTGATGAAGGACAAATCTTTTATTTGCCGCAGCAAGAAGAGCTTTCCATTCGTCCAGGTACCTCTCACGGCCGTTGGAGAAGCATTCTAGAGCCAAATCCACCGCCCTGTGAAGTTTTCGTCAATAACTTCTTTATCTTTTTTCCCATAACTCGCATCAACACCTAGCCACATACTTTGAAACTCGTTCTCCCCATAATGGGATGGCGTTTAGCTTTGGCATACATACATCCTAAAAGAGGATTTTTACCCCAAGTCGAAGGACCGGAATTTGTGTTTTTACGACTTAGATAGCATATTTGTCGCCCAAACTGCGGAAAATTATACAGAAAAAATAGACAGGTGTTTTAACCATTTGGGATTCGAAGAGTGTATATGTTATGAATTTAATGTGTCTTTTAACTCCTCAAGGACTTTTAATTCCACGCTTTAAATTATATTTGCTAAATTTTAGATAATTAGCTTAATATTTCCAAAGTTTTTTGCTAGTTTTATAGCGGTTTTGTTGGAATATAGAGTAGATATGGAGGTATAACCAGGTCTTAGCACTGGATGAGATCGTTGTGGTGGCACGTGCAATACCAGCCCGGGAGCGCTAGTCTCCCTAGCACTATACCTAATCGGGTATAGCGCACGTGCTTGGCCACACTCTCTATATTACAGCAGCTTAGATAGAATTAGAGCTGCTGTAGAAAACACAACCAATATAGTCGCTGACCACACGTTCGCACCGTGTGCGTCCTCCTGCCTTCCTTCCTGTCTTCCGTACGTGACAGGAGCTATTGGGTACCTCTATTCTAAATGTGACAGCACGCACTTTGGACTATGGAATCAAGACGTACATACTAATCTGTGAATAATAGACAAAGAACTAAAAGAGTGGAAGAGTGTTGAGGGCAGATAAGCTGGGTCCTCAAACACTAGCTGAAACAATCACATGACTACAACCACTAGTCACACCAGAACTGTGACACTAAATAGGTTTGATTTTTAAATCCACTAATATTGACGATATATGCGTTTCTTAGGGAAACCTAATTATAGATTGTAGAAATATTTCCGATGGTGTAATTTGGAATATGGTTTATAGCTTATATTCTAAATGCAACGCGTATCACCCGCTCGGGGTTTGTAGTAACGACTTCCTAGACCGACTTGCTGTCAGGGGTTGAACCCCATAATGCTTCGGCTACGCCTCGCTTAAGCACCAGCCTCCTTATTTTCTTTACGAGTTGCAATCTCCGATCTAAGACTTTAATCTTATGGTAATTAGCTTATGCCGAGGCTTCTACGAAGCCTCTGATCCTATGTATATAAAGCCTTAGTTAGCTACCTTTCAGTTCTTCATCGAATTCAACGACAGTTTTACCCACTGCCTACGTCTTAAGTGTTCCCTCTTGGCGTAGCCCCTTACACTTGCCGTTATTAGCAAGAACGAAGTTTTGTATAGATTAGAACGAGCTATAATTTGATTATTAAGACTCTGTTACGGACCACCTGGATCGCCTGGCTAATCGCCTGTCACCTGACCTAATCGCCTGCCTAATCGCCCGCGACTGTGACGGGTTGAACCCGATATTTGGCTGCACTACTACGTAGTGCAGCCTGCACGTGACTACGCGGGCCTGCACATGACTGCGCGACGCCAAAGCGCGCGGGCCATTCTACGAACCAGCGAGAGCCCCTTTTAAAAGAGCTCCTCGTACAAAATAGAACTCTTCTCTCTTTAGTTAATTCTTCTTGTAATACAATCAGGTTCTTGCTTTGACTCATTGCATCCAACCCGTGACAGCGACAAAGGTCAGGCCGGGAATGGTGGCGTTCCCTAGCTTTAAGCCTATTGGGGCTTAGCTCCTCACATGACATCCCTTTCCCCTGGCATATATATATCTAGATCTTCTCCTCTTTCATTCCCCTTCTCTTCTTTACCTTTAGATTCTAAGAGATAGCCGAATCGATACTTCGTCTACGTACTGAGCTTCCCACCGTGCTGTCACACTAAGTTAGTAATCTTTTTTTCTTTTCCCTTTAAAAGGTCAAAGAATCAATCTCATGACTAAGAAACCTCGATCAAAATTAATTTCTACAGCACTATTTCTACTCTTTGCTCTTTCTCGAACCTTCTCGCTGCCCAATTCAAAGATCGAACAATTTACCCCATCCTTTTATTGCTCCCTTCTCCCAGCCCTTAATCCGCAACATGTCCCAAATCACAGTGGACACGGTATCGAGCACAGGCACCCCATATTCCGCTTCCCAATCCCTCGCTCTCTGAGCCGCCTTCAGATTCGTGCAGAAAGTGGATATCGCCTTCACATCCCCCTTTCCCGCCTCCATAACCCGCTTCACCTGCCCATTCAAAGTCTCCTCCGTCACATCCGCAAACGTCACATTATTAGACAGCCCAAGATGGCTTTCTGAGACGACTTCATACCCACATTTCCTGTACGTCTCGATGATGCGAGCTTGTACATCATCCAAGTACGGCGTGACAAAAGCAATCTTCTTCGCTCCCATCAAATCCAACCCGCGATTCAACGCAAGTTTTGAAGTCGTAGCCGGAATCCTAGTAGCTTCAGTGATAGCCGCACATAATTTCTCATCTTCTTCAAATCCGAGCCAGCCTCCAGATGTACCGGACCAGCCGATGACATCGACGTTGGCGTCGGCGAGTAAGCGAGCTGCGGCTAGGATGGGGCCGTTGCTGTCGAATTGGGCGAGGATGGAGGGCTCGAGGGAGATCTTGAGGACGGTGAAGCGGGAATAGTGGACTGAGAGTTGGGGGGAGAGTTGGGATGTTATTGCGGAGGTGAGGGGTTCGAGGGCGGTGTTGCTGGATGGGACGAGGATTCCTAGGCGGAGAGGTTTGGGATTCTTTGTGGTCATTTTTGAGTTTTGAGATTCTTGGAGAATGAACAGGGAAGAGAGCAGGGCTTGGTTGTTTCTTCGAAGATGTTAACAGATCACAATCCAGATTTTTCAGGAGCTGTTTTATGTATGTCTTTCAACTTCCTCCATGCTAGCTTGTATATTGATGTTTCGGGCAAGAGACCGATGCCACCGATTTGGACGCAGCGCGGCGCAATGTCTCTTGCGCTTAATTCAAGGATGTTCGGTTATGTGCCCCGACGCCACTCCTGGGTCAGATCTTATCAAGTGAATAAAGTGGCAGCCAAGTATCCAACATGATAAGAACCTGTCCAAGATCTGCCCGGGCAATGATGACCAAGGGTAGTGGTACTGGCCGTTATCGCCAAAAGTGGGGAGCAAAGGGTACCTATATGGCTTATATCTCGTGACGAATGTACCAGAGCTATTCTTTAAACTGAATAAGTTGTATCTTGTGAGATTTTCCTGTCTGCTAAGGACGATGGCATCTAGACTTCGGCACATTCTGAAGACTAAAGAGTCGGCGGGCAGCGATGACGGAGAGACGGATCGAAAGTCATATGGACCACTATCAAACAAAGACTTAGAACCGACTCCACCGGATGAGCGAAATTGGTCGCCACGTAAATAAACATCAAGTGCTGATTAGAAAGCTTACTGATGCGCGTATAGTGTACTTCTTCGCCTTTCAATTTAGTATTGCTTTCTCTCCGACCACATATAACATAGGATCCTCGCTTTTTGCAATTGGGTAAGTCTCTCTTTTCAATTTTTTCACCCAGCTTCTGGGACATGTAGCTTTGTATTCCGACATCAAGCCTGCGCAAAGGAGTCCCGAATACCTTATATCAAGAGCTCGAGCTTCCATTTCCTAAATTTCAGAAACATGCTTACAACCACAGACTCAACTACTGGACAATCATCATCAGCGCCTTCGTCGGCACAGCACTATGCTGCGCCGTCCTGCTATTCAACAGCAGAGGGCCCACAATCTACCACATCGGCTTCCCCGTCTACGTCCGCGCCAGCGCCGGCGTCTACGGCGCCAGAATCGCCATCTTCATCCGCATGATCGTAGCCATATTCTACATGGGCACACAAACCTAGTACTTACCCCCCCTCCCCAACCCTTCAAAACCCTCTGATTTGGATCTGAATCTGATTCGAACCTTGTATAGTTACGCCAGCCGTCTCCTAGCCGTTGCCCTGCGAGCCGTATTCGGAGACTCCTGGGTCAACATCCCAAACCACCTCCCAGCATCAGCTGGGATAACAAGCTCCAATATGCTGGCGTTTTTCCTGACCTGGCTATTCCAGTTCCCGACCGCGTGGCTGCATCCCAAGAACGCGGGGCCGCTGTTTGTTGTGAAATCGATATTCTCCCCACTATCCTACTTCGTGACGATGATTTGGGCGCTGGTGAAATTTAAAGGCGTGGAGTTAGAGTTGGGAACGAAGACCCTGTCAGGTGGTGCGCTGGGTTGGGGATTTATGAAGAGTATTAATACTGTTGTGTCGGGTGTTGTAAGTACTAGTCATTTCCCTCGGTCTAGAACATCGACAACAGTAGCTAATTCCTGCACGAAGATCCCACCCATGGTCAACATCGCAGACCTAGCCCGTTACGGCAACCAGCCCCAAGACGTCGCTCCCCTCGTCGCAGGCCTCTTCATCAGCAAGCCGCTGGTCATCCTAATCGGGCTATTCACCACAGCAGCGGGAGCGAAACACTTCGGCGTGGCGAACTGGAATCTCTGGGATTTTTACTCCCTGGTTCTGGATCATTATTGGGGACCTGGGACCCGGACTCTGGTTTTTCTCGGCGCGTATATTCAGGCTTTTGCGACGGTCTGTACGAATATTTCGAGTAATGCTATTCCGGTTGGTGCGGATTTGAGTGGGTTGTTTCCGTGGGTTTTTTCTTTTCCTTCTTTTTCGTCTTTTATAGGATAGATGGACATTTGAGGGCGACTAACGTCCTGCTATAGGAAATACTTCACCATAGTTCGTGGACAGATCCTTTGTAACCTGCTGATCTGGGCCGTCGTCCCTTGGCTCCTCGTTAACTCAGCAGCGAATTTCCTCACGTTTCTTGGCAGCTATCTATGCTTCATCACACCCATTGTCGCTTGCATGATTGTAGATTATTGGATTGTCCGCCGTGGAAACTTGCATATTTTGTCTTTATATAGAGCGGAATCCAGCTCGCCGTATTACTACAATCATGGATTCGACCCTCGTGCCCTTGTTGCTTGGATATCAGGGATCGTGCTAGTGATTTCTGGAATCGCGGGAGCGATCAAGCCGGGGACCATTAGTCAGGTCAGCCATCTCCTCAGGAAATAAGGGTATATGCTGATACCAGATGTAGATGGCTGTGAATATTTATAATTGCGGCTTCGTCCTCTCGTTTGCGGCTGGGGCATCGGTATACTACATTGCGTGCAAGATCTTCCCGCCGAGGATATACCCGGCTGGAGAGCACGAGAATGAGACGAAGTCGTGGGAGCATATGCGTTTGACAGAGGGATTCTTTCTTGATGATGATATCCTGCCAGAATATATCAGGGAGAGGTTTATTGTAAGTGAAGGTAGCTCGCCAACGCTGGTCGTGCAGGCTGGAGAGAATGTGGTGGAGAAAGTCTGAATGTCTATAGAAGGGTGGCTTTGATAGTGTTAAAGAAGAGCTTTTCGAGGCAGAATAGATTTCTGACGGTGACCCATGAAAAGGATCTCCATAATACAAGATTGGCGCCCCCGAGACATAAACGAGCTCTCCCGAGGATGTGTTACAGAAAGTGACTTTTCTAGGGGCCGCACGCCTGTCATTCTGCCAGTAGTTGGAATTCTACTAGGCAGTACGTTACCACACTTTCGAGAGTGATCATGGGATCATAGACAGTGACGCATTTTTTGGTGAAAATAAGAGAGAAATTGAATCTTGGCTCTTGTGTTGACTTTCGAAGCGAAGATTCTCAAGCGTTTCATGCATCTGATAGGACACTCGTCCTGGAGTGTCAGACGACGTGTAAAGTTACCAGGAACCTTATAGCTTTGATACTTGCAAAGACGATAAGTGGAACCAGAAAAGCATTAAATCGGTCAGCACTTGTGCAAAGCATTGCTTGAAAAGGTCCATGCATAATTACTCCAACAAGAGGCTGGGGTTCATGCTCGCTGAAAATACGCTATTCTGTACACCAACTTCGACAAGACATCTAATTACTCATCCTCATCCTCATCTCCAGCCATCTCAGTCTTTGGATTTGTGAGCCACGGCTTCTTTTTCATCCAAGGGTATTTCGTGCTCTCGTTCTCGTCGTCGCTGAATGTCATATCTTCGTCATCTGCGCCATCGAATTCCTCCAAGTCTGAAGCATTATGTGTTCGGTAGTGGTATGCATTGCGGTCAAACTCGTCGTCCGAATCAACTTCTTCGTCTGGATAGTCAGCTGTATAGTGATTTTCCGCTGTATTCCTGTTAGCGAAGCTAAATATAAAATCTGAGCAATTTGCTTACCATTCTCGTCCTCGTCAAGATCGTCCTCTTCCTCATCACTGTCTTCTTCTTCGCGGTAGAATTCGTCAATGTCAGGTTGAGAGCCAAGAATCAGGAATCCAATGTTCTTCGGCATGGCTTCTGTCTCTAGAGCATCTGCTGACATACGGATATAGGTGTCGATGATATATTCAGCGTCATCATCCGCCTCATCCTCGATGTATGGTCCATCTAGATTCATCATCATGTTTTGATCTGCCTGAGACTTCTCCTCTGGATGTCGCTGTGCGTAACGTAGAGCTGGGGCTTTTGGCTTGAATTTGGAAGGAGCGGACTTGTGGATGTGGGATGAAGTGTAAGTTGGCTCTTGTGTCGGGGCTTGAGAAGCTGCTATATTCCTGCCAATCTCTGCTAAGGTATATGCCTGCATCTCAGCCGCCAAGCGTTCAGAGCTAACATCCCATGGTATGACCTCCCCAGATGGTAGTCGAACATTTCGCAGAGGAGCTACTGCAGGCTTTGGGACGGGAGCTCTGACAGGTGGAGTCGAGCTTCTTGCAGCTAGCCCGGGCTTCTTCTGTGGCCTTGGAGTTTCGGCTGGGGTTGACTGAATGGGCGTGCCATTATTATTAGGAGATTGTCCATCCCGACTCTTGGGTCGTGATCTGCGCTCGATGAAGATCGTGGGCTCTGCTTTACGCTTACGACTAGGACCACCAACTGAATCAGCCAGGGACGGTGTAGAACTTCGTGAAATGTGGAAATGTCGTGGTTGTGTAGATTTGAATTGCTGTAATGCATTTGCAGAGCTGTTCGGAGTACCAGGAGTCGTGGGAGGGGTAGATTGAATTGCTGGGTCACCGACTTGTGCATTCGACTGCGGCAGATTCTGGGACGCTGGAATATCTGGCCTCGATATTGGTGAAGATGTGCCTAGAGCTTGAGAACTAGCAGAGCGATGCAACTCCTTGATCTTGCGAACAGCTGGAGGGGTAGGCTGGATATCGGGAATGGATTGCAGAGAGAATACATATTCCGTTGCTCTTTTCTTTCTTGGATTGTCGAGCTCGTGAACACCTGCAGATCTTCATTAGCTCATGCTATTTATGGGATGCGCAAAAGCGTACGAAGAAGATCAACAGGTTCATCGGTAGCCTTGCGCTTGATCTGTACGATGACGGGAGGCAGAGACATGGTGGGTTGATGGAGGGTTATTGGAAAGAGTGTGGTCGTTGTCAGAGGAGCATGTTGAAAGAGCGTCGGCTGTGGTATCAAGTAGAGCGATAACTTTACAAGATGGTTTGGGAGAGGAAGTTGAATGGTCGAGTCCAAGGTCAGTCAATATTGATGTTTATCCTAGAAATATTATTAGTGGCCTCACAGCTCAGGCTTGACTTAGGCTTAGGCTTCAGCGCGGGCGCGATTAGCCAAGCGAGCTTTGATAGGGGATGAGCTCCGGTCACCGAGCAAGCAGCTCCGGAGAGTCTCACAAGGACGCAAGAACATCCATCATATTTCGCAGATCGTGGATGTGCAACATCCTTTCGTTTAGAAATACTCTACTCGACCCTCTTATGATTCTCTGAATATGAATGATGTATGTTATCCTTTACGATTTGTCAACCAGCATGCATACCGCTCGGAGCCCAACAATAATTAATGAAGAAACGTGTGTGGCGTGAGCTTCGGGTGAGCTTCACAGGCTAGTATCAACGGCATCTGTGGCGCATGAGGATCGCGGCTTCTGATAGGAAGTAGAGAGTGTTGGCATGTGCAAGTTCAAGGATCATAAACTTGCTGCACTTCGCTGCCCGCATTGACTGACGCCTCCCACCAAGATTATGTTTCTGATGGTGGGGAAGATGTGAGACAGTTGATTGGAATGTCCCGATGACCTCGAAGGATGGAAAACCCGGCTCGTTGTCTGATTGCGGGACTGCGTGCTATCTTCACAATTGATCTTTCTACAGCTTCCATACCTTCTCATGTCTCTGTCGATCCGGGACCAGCTCAGATAATTGAACTGAGTTGTGTAACCCCATCATCATCAGCTTGGTCTCCTTCGCCATCCGACCACGGCACTCAGCCTTCGAGCTCTGCTCCCTGCCGTCAGCAAGGAACAAACGACCACACCGCATTTTTGTAAAGATATTACTGCAAGTATTAATGAGTTTGCTAGATGTCTGTTGGAATATACGGTGATCATTACTGAAGCTACAGCTTCCACTTGTGTTTTGGTTCAAATTATGTAAGTTATGTTGCTGTGTTAGAAATGTTGGGCCGATACATGCTCCTCCTATCGTATGACATGCAGATTCCCATATACCATAGACTCCGCACGTCATACTTGATTGTTTCACTGTTCGACAATTACTTTTCTGATGATAATATCGCCTGCAACATCTTCCATTTGATCTTGGGCTAATTTTAACGTCAAGAACTGCTCCTTCCTCGCTGGCATGCAGCATAGAAAAGTGACGCTCTTCGAAAGTTCTCTGCGTCCATCAGACCACACGACCACCGACAAGCTCTTCCCAGAAGCTCGAAGCTCCTACGAGCATTGACCTGCCATTATGGCATCTCAAACAATCACCGTCACCGTCAAGTACTCGAAACCAGGAACCCAACCTCCGATCTACCTCGCAGGTTCCTTCTCGGATCCAGAATGGCAGCCGCAGGAGATGCAGTTTACCACCGACGAGAACAACGAACACGAGTTTCACAAGAAGGTTGACATTGAGGAGGGAAAGGAATATCAATATAAATTCCGTCTTGGTCCTGGAGATTGGTGGACTTTGAATGAGGATTCACCTACAGGTATTTATTCTCGTTCTCTTCCTCCCGAATCCCTCCCGTTTGGCGAAGCGCGCTAACGAGCTACTTCCTTCCAGTTACTGACGACATTGGTAACAAAAACAATCTCCTCTTCATCCCCAAGGTCGAAGAGACCACCGCAGATTCAGAAGAAACAAATTCAACACCACAAGAATTTCAAGCTGAGAAAGCAGAACCAGTCCATACACCGACCATGGAGAAAGAAAAGACTCCGTCTATCGAAGAGACAATGGGCACGCGAGAGACCGACGACGCTCTGTTCGCAGACGAAATCATCAAGGATACCGACGAAGTCAAGGAAGACCTACAGGCGCCTGCAGTCGAGGGACGAATGGAGCCGCATTCTACCCCAGCAATCCCAGAGAAGCCGCAAGCCGAACATATTGAGGAGATCAAGCATACCAAAGAGCTTCAAGATATTCGTGGGACCGATACTTCCACCAGCAAGTTGGTCGAGGAAGACGTCGTTGAGCCAACACCTAAACCACTGCTGGATATCAAGAAGATTTATGACCTCGAGGATACTGATAGCAAGAACGTCTCTGAATCCGATACTGAAGAAGACAAGGCTGTTGCTCCTCCGGTACTTGTCGTCGAGGGTGCAAAGGCTGAAGCTGAGCAAGAGGAGAAGTCCAATATCGAGGCTCCAACAAATGGACACGACTCTGCTCACCTCCTCGCTGCCGAACCCGCCGACGAGAATGTCTCTAGACATGGTGCCCGTACACCTGACCTTGCAAATGTAGCAGCTGAGGTTGCTGATACGGCTGCCACCCTGGATCGAGAACAACCTACGCCACCAATCTCAGACGATGAGGCTGGTCGTATCGGCTTCAGACGCATGTCTACTACTCCAATCCCAGAAGTCGCAAGCACAGCTGCTGAGGTTGCTGACGTAGCCGCTGTCATTGACAAAGAGGACAAGGAAGAGGTAAGCTATGCCTGTGCATTTTGATACATGGCAATTGACCATTGTGACAGGAGCCACGAGAGTTCATTCGCCCTTTTGATATCGATGATGGAGATCTTCCAGAAACTCCCCCAAATGAAAAGGTGCCTAAATTCTCTCATGAATGCTACTCTCCACCAAGTCATGAAGAGCCCTGCCAACAGGAAGAGTATGATCCTTACGAGGGCATGAGACCAAGACCCGAGGAGCAGATCGACTTAAACGACCCGTCCATCCAGATGTTTCCCACTGATCGAGCCGGAATTCTCGAACATCTTCGAAAGATGCAGGAACGTCTCCCAGAAGACGAGGTTAAGCATGACTCTCTTGACTTAGCCCCACCATCTCCGGTAGTTGGACCCAATGGCCGACCTGAGCGTCTCAACTTTCCAGCAGTTTCTCCGGTTGTGTTGGCTCAACGATCTCCATCCCTCGATTCTATCCCCGAACATAACGATGAGGCAGATGATCTGCTAGGAGCTACATTTGTCAAGCTCAATGGCGAAGATAAACCAGCAACTAATGGTGTTACCGTCGCTAAGGAAGAGATTGACAACGTCCTCACAGATGATGGACCTTCTTCCAAGAAGGAGAACGGTGCGCCCCTACTTGAGCCTGAGGAGAAGAAGCGGGATCTTGTGAGATCTCTTGATGGTAGTGATGAGACCTCGATACATGCGAAGTCAGAGCAGACGGAGACCAAAGATACCGAAGCTCAAGTGCCTGATACAGGAGATCTTGCTAAGCCTGATACTACTGCAACCGGAAAGACTGAGGACCAAGTACCAGACGCAGAAGATTCTGCTAAGGTTGAATCTACTATGAGCCCAGAGCAACAAAAGACCGAGATTCAGGTGCCAGAGGAAGAAGAACCTGCTAAGGCTGACTCTACTACGAGTCCAGAGCAAATAGAGGCCAAGGATACCAAAACCCAAGTACTCGATAAGGAAGAATCTGCTAATCCTGATTCTACCGCAAGTCCGAATGAGCAAGAGACCGAAACGACCGATATCCAGGTTCCAGATGCAGAAGAATCTGCTCGGGCCCTTCCTGCCGAGCCTCTAGACACTGCGGAGAAGAAAGATGTTGCAGAGAGTCAAATTAGAGGAACCACTGAGCCAATTGTCGATGCAGAGACGTCCGTCCCGGAAGGAAGCGATCAAGAAAAGCCTGACGAAACTTCGAATCAGCATACCAAGGAAGAATCATTGGATGGCGTTTGTGACACAGGTTCACACATCGTTCCGGCGCCGGTGACCCCATTTATCGTGGGTGATCGCCAACTTGGTCATGATGAAGAAGATGTGCGCGAACTAAGAACTGGTACATTCGGTCCTAGTATCACTGTCCAGCCAGCTACTCCTTTCCCAGGCATCAGCCGGCGACTTGGCCACGATGATGAGCAATCCAAGGATTCCACCACGAAGGATGTCAGCGGCAACATTGAGCACACTGAGGAGTCCAGCGCGAAGGATGCCAGCCTGGATACCGGAGTATCTCCAGCGACTCCAGCTTCGAATACTGTGATCGACACCACCACCAAGCAGAACGATACAGCTAAGAGCAGCGCTATCGGAAATGAGAATGATGATAGCCAGATCAAGTCACGCAAGCGTCAATCATCTCCGGCCAGAAGTCTAGCACCATCAGTCACAGCGAACTCGATGCGATCTGGCAGCAAAGATGATGATGCTAAGGGGGCATTTTTGAGGTACTTCTTTCGCCTTGTCTTCATTGATTATATTGGTGGATTCTTTATGAGGCTCTGCGGTGCGAGACGTCGTCGCCACTAAGATCATCACTCGTCATGCTCTTCTCTTCCTCCTGTCCAGAACTTGCCCCTTCTCTATTTTGAAATACTTTATACCCTTGAGCACCAAAGAATGCTGATAATTTTCCCTGAACAGTCTTTTAGTTGGAGCGGCAACATTGGTTGCCATTGCCTCCGCTTTGTATTATTTCGACATGATTCCAACATCTTTGGAGTCAACTTTGCAGCATTTGCACATACCCCGGTAGCTAGTTGAGCGAGCATGTCCTACGACGGAATGGACTTTATGGTAATGGAATGATGATATGCTGAGGGCTGGAGGCAGGATGAGAGGACTATGTATCATATGAGCTTTCGCATGAACAAATTCAATTGAGGATCATGAGTACTGAAATAATTGCAGCTTTTCAACATCAGAGGTTGTGAGGCCGTGACTTCATCCAACACAATTGTAATAATTGTTGCGGCAAGTGAAGATGTGTATGGAGGATAACAAGAAGCAACACATGAGGTCGAAAAAGAAAAGTTCTAGCTGGAAAAGAAAGCTTCTAGATTTGCAGCTAAAAGTGTCCTCACTTGTCATTCAATGGTTACCCCTATCATTGGCTACAAGGTCCACAGCGGCTATCCCCACTAAACGCGCCGCGTGGCTGAGCCCCTTGGCCGCGACCTCAAGTTTATGTCAAATCCTCATCATTTGCTCTTCCAACATACAACAAATACACAATGATATTCCAATATTTACCTCTTCTACAAATCATGACCATCTGATACGATAACCTACTCCCAGCGGCACTGGGCACACATCCCTTCAATCTAGCAGAGCAAATACCACCAAGCAAACATGCCCTCAAGACGCCGCTCCAGCGCAACTCCACGATACAACCCCCTCCCCCGCTCCTCCTCCGACTCCCTCTCCTTCTCCTCTCCCTCATCCTCCTCCTCAGCCGACGAATTCAAAGACAAACCCCTCCTCCGCCCACGCTCGCGCCTCCTCCGCAAACTCCGTCGCTCCATCGCCCGCTTCTGCCGGCCGCTCTACATCAGCGTTTTCCTCTCCCTGCTGCTCGCGTGGCAGCTTCTGTTCAATGGCTCGTATCTCGATGCCCCGAGCTTTGAGATGGATAGAGAGGAACGGGTTTTCATAGCGGCGAATATCATCGATGAGGATTTGATTAGAGGGGCTTGGGGCAGGAGTTTGTTGGAGTTGGTGGAAAGGATAGGGAAGGAGAGGGTTTTTGTGTCGATTTATGGGGGGCCGACGGGGGCGTTGAGGGATCTGGAGAGTATGCTTGAGTGCGAGAAGATGGTTGTTAGTGAGGAGGAGGAGGGGATTGATTTGCGCGATGTGAAGAGGACGCGGTTACCGACTGGCGAGAGCAGGGTGAAGAGGATTGCGTTTTTGGCCGAGGTCAGGAATAGGGTGTTGAGGCCGTTGAGGGATGGGAGTGCGTGGCGAAGTATGAGTGGACGGGGCATTGGGGATATGGTGGGGCTGGGTAAGGGGAGGGGGTTCGAGAAGGTGTTGTTTGTTAATGATGTTTTTTTTGATGCCGAGGGTGCGACGAGGTTGCTATGGGGCACGAATGTTGATGGAGAAGGGAAGCCCAGGCCGTATAAGGCGGTTTGTGCGGCGGATTTTGTGGCCAGTTGGAAGTTTTATGATACGTTTGCTACGAGGGATGCGGAGGGGTATAGTATTGGTGTCCCGCTGTTCCCGTGGTTTACGGCGGAGGGCGAGGCGGTTACGCGGAATGATGTTCTTGCCGGGAAGGATGCGGTGAGGGTGAAGAGTTGTTGGGGTGGGATGGTGGCTTTTGATGGGCGTTATTTTCAGGGTGGGAATACGCTGGAGGCGGAAGGGATTAGTGCTGGTCAGCATGCGGAGTCGCAGAATTCGTCGAAAGAGAAGGGGAAGAAGGTTGATGGGGTAGGGATTCCGGAGTTGCCGTTGCGCTTCAGGAGTGAGGCAGAGCCGTTTTGGGATAGTAGTGAATGCTGCTTGATCCATTCCGACATCATATCTCTTCCCTCTTTCCCTCCATTGGCTTCTTCTTCTACTTTAGCACCAAAAAAGGAAGACGAATATGATACAGGCATCTACATGAATCCCTATGTCCGGACCGCCTATTCAGCTTCCGCTCACCGACATATCTGGCTCGCGAAACGCTTCGAAAGGCTCTTCTCTCCTCTCCAACGGATGCTCAATTATTTCGCCCGTATGCCACGCTTCAATTACAGACGGGCGGAGAAAGAGGGACAATTAGTCCAAGACAAGTTGTGGATCTCCGTGCACTCGAATATGACGGAGGAACAAAGCATCGCTTTGGCTAGTGGTCATGACCTCGAAGTCGACGAGACAGTACATGGTATGGAGAAGAGAGCTACGCTCGGTAAAGTCCGTGGGAAAGAGTACTGGGCAAATGAGGGGTATTATGTCTCTTTCATGCGCACGGCGCATAGAGGTGGCTATTGTGGTGTGAGACAGTTGTTGGTGTTGAAAGAGGGAGCGAAGGAGGGTGGCAATTGGGATAATCTACTAGATAAGGTTCCGCCGGTTGATGTTTGATTATGTGTGTGTATAGTTCGCAAGCGGTCATGTGTGGGATGCATTTTGTGGAGTTTGGAGCGTTGATTGAGAGATATCACAGCGTTGTGGCTGGCCGGGCGTTTGAGACCATGGCCATGGCTATGGCTGGAGTCGGAAAGCTCATAGATACTATATCGAACATTCTGATCATATTTTGCTGGTTTCGGTGTTTTTGCTTGATGTTACTTTACGTTTCGCATGGTTCTTAGTCTCACGGCGACCTTGCCTAAAGACAGGCATTGATTCCCTCTGGGGCGGTTATTGTATCTTAGTGCGTTGTCTTGGATTTCCCAAATCTCACTATGTTCCCAAGTGGGGCAAATGCGTCTTAATTACAGATGTCTCATTCTGCGGGCTGTATGATTCTTCCGTCACACTCTCAGTGAGCCATTTCTGGTGCTATTTTGTTGCTATGTTTTAAAATTTACAACGAATACAAATTTAGAGGATTCATGCGTTTCTCATGTATTTTTTTTTGGTATTTGATATTTATAGAGTAGCAAAAAATAAAGCCGGATTTGGTCGCATAATCGAAGTGGTTTTAGATTGCTTCTACTTAGTATGCGTTTGTCTACCATATTGAACCTCCAGTCGAAATCTGCTATTCAATCTTATGCAATATCTGAGGATAGACATCCGCAAGCTCTGGAATTCCAGAAGAGCCGCGAGGGGAAGGCCCCCATGATCGAATGCCGGCAGCTGAGTTAGATTGTCTGCTATTGGCCAAAGGGCTTTATGCATTACAACGTTGCTGCTTATGGGGGATTCTCTCATTGGGCACCTAACCGACGTTCAGAGTAAAGCACGATGCTGGCGCTTATATGGTCTTCTGCGAACCTTGTCCTTCATCTCCTCCTTCACATTTAGCAATTTATTATCTCCACTTTATCGAACGTTAAGCAGCTTTGCAATTGTCTCTTGCGTTGCGCATCGTCATATCTCATGGAGGAATTTCAATATACGCCATTGCCACCGGGCCATAAAGAAATTCGACTGATCAGGCTGCAGCCTGGTCTACCTGGGACGGACATTCAGATCGAGCTTTTTCATGCTGAACTTTCCACAGAGCCAGTATACGAAGCATTGTCTTACGTCTGGGGCTGCCCAGATAGAACGCGAGTTATTCACGTCTCGAAGGCTGCCCCTACTCGTCAACCCGTGCATAAACTGGCAAAAGTCCTCAACCGATTCAAGTCGAAAAAAATCACCGCAAACCACCAAGGCACAGCCTCTTTGGGGATTGCCGAAAATCTCTTCGTTGCTTTACAGCACTTGCGACTTCCATCTAAGGCAAGAGTGTTGTGGAAAGATGCCATTTGCATCAACCAAAATGACATGGACGAGCGAAGTTCTGAAGTCCTCGAAATGGGCTCGATATATAAGAATGCCCACGAAGTTATCGTCTGGTTGGGCCCGAGTAGTAACGATAGCAATCTTGCGCTGCAGACCTTGAGTCGAATTGGAGAAGGGATTATTTGTCATGAGGTAGAGAGGACGATAGAGTATAGGATAGGAAGCTGGCCGGCCACTCTTTCCCGAAATACTGAAGCTTTGATATCTTACACAGGCTGCTGGTTAGCAATTAAGGATGTACTCTGCAGAGAATGGTTTGCTAGGCTGTGGGTGTTCCAGGAAATTGTTCTAGCCCAGAAAGCGAGTCTCTTGATTGGAAAGCATTCTCTGGATTGGAAGATCTTCGCTTCCGCGCTCCAGTGGCTCAGTGTGGTTTCGACGCGCCTAGACCAAGGTATTCAAGATCTGAATATGTTGACTTTGCTAGAGCATCTTTGGTGGTTCATGACCTTTGGTCGCAATCCTACTAGTCTCACCATATTCCAGGCACTAGGATCCACAGGAAGGTTACTTTGCAGTGACCAGCGAGATCGATTATTCGCGATACGTAGCCTCCTGGATCTTGAGTATGCCACGATTATTGTCCCTGATTATTCTCTGGAAGTCGAGGAAGTGTACATCAGGTTTGCAAAAGCATGGTTATCTCAATTCGATAGCGTTGCATTCCTGTGCTGCTGCATGTCGGCCGAAGCCCGTCCCATGGGTGTCAAACTGCAGCTTCCATCTTGGGTCCCAGATTGGACTTGTAACAGCGACGCCGTCGACAACTTTCCTTCTCCAAGAACAGCGTGTGACTCTGCTGCGTTTGCGAGGCTTATTGACGGGAACGTTCTTGGTGTTCAAGGAGTCCTGGTCGGAAAATTGAATGACGTCAGTCAGTCCATCACGAATGTACCCAAAACAGACGTCGAACTTCGCGAACTGTGCTGTTCATGGATGCAACTACTGTCAAGAGGCGATTCTGCGGATGCGGAGTCAGATGTGGAGGCTTTGTTCAGCGAAATGATCGTGGGTGGCTATGTCCGGGAGAAGGGAGCTTCAATGCAAGAGAATTTGCCAACCTCAGAGGAAATTAAGGCATTTCTAAGTGGCACGGACGCTAGCGAGGTGGTGATAGGATCCATCCGGCGTGCTTACAAATCGCGACACTTCTTCGTAACGGCTGAAGGGCTTTTTGGTCTGGGTCCTGCATCTGTGAAAGTAGGAGATTGTGTGGCTGTCGTTCTAGGTTGTGATTTTCCTCTAGTTCTACGACCAGAAGAGCCTATGGGAGAGACTTACTTCCGAGTTGTTGGACCTTGCTATGTTCCTGGAATCATGTTTGCTGAAGTGCTGTTGGGACCTCTCCCCTCTGGTTGGAATGTAAGGATGGAGATTATGGGTGGAGATATGCAGATGTTCGAAAATAGAGCCATACGTACTCAACAAGATCCCCGCATGCCTCTTCCGCCAGGCTGGGAGTACAGGTATGGACCTTGGGAGAGGCCACGAAAAGAAGAAGCGAAAAAACTTAAAGACGTGACATGGCAATGGTTCGAGAACGTGGAAACCGGAGAAAAGACTGATTTCGATCCAAGGTTTACACCGGAGCTATTGAAAGCAAGAGGCGTTGCTATCGAGGAGATCTTTCTGGTATGAGCAAGCTGGGGATTTTTCTACGACGCTTAGGACTTTGTCTATGTTTGTTTCCACGTTTGCAAGTTTGTTTGTCTTTCTATCTTAGTAGTTATTGAAGTTCTGATTTATCTTATGCCGGGATTATGGGAATTGGAATAGCAGGACTCGACAACATCTTTCCTTTGGTATCAAAGTTATATTAGGCAAGTTTATTAATGAATACATATAGCTTTATGATTACAATGTAGGTTGTTTGCAAGGGAGTTCGCAAGAAGCTAGTCGTTTGTCGTCTACCTATTTGTGCTCAATGTCACGTGTCATTAAGGGGTTGATTCTGAAAGTCCTATTATGGTTCCTTGAATCGTGTCTAAAGTCATTTATGATGAACTATCGTACGCAAATTCCTTTTCACTATTTTACATTGATTACTTGAGTTTTTCGTAGAGATCATTACGCCTTTCATAATACCCAACGATCAAACATTGGAACCAAGCATGGTTTGGAGCCTCACCACCGGCTGAGCCGGGACAGCTTTCGAATTCAGATATAAATACAAAGCAACAGATCTCGATGTAGGGCCAACAGGAGATAAGTTGCTGCCCATTAGACGCTCTGTTGAACGTTTCCGGTTATTTACTCAGAGATCCGACTTCTCTTTCGTTTACCACTAGTCTTCATGATGTTCATTGCACCAGACCTGATCACTTACACCATTCGTGCAAGACCAGGTGAGCACTATCGTCTTCGAAAGTACCACAGAATGTACGGAAAGTTTCCATTGTCAAAAGCGCCTCGAAGCCCTTCTACAGTCTCTGCCCGAATGAAAGCTTCCCTCTATTTGCTTACTACTCATGTGTTAGGACTAAGAAAGAAAGCTTATCTCCACAAGCACAGATACTAGTATCGCGATTTGAGGTGTCAATTGGTCTTGGATCCGCGTCATGATATACTCATGCTCCACTAGAATTCGCATGATACAGAGCAAGATACAAAACAATACCGATATCTAAGCTTTTCAGCTTGCAGCGCCATTTAACATCTAGCACAATGAAGTGTCCCGTTTGAAGTTCGGGAATAGCCCTTTCTCTTTGCAATCGATGGCAATATCTCCAATCGGCTTTGGCGAGGCATAAGATACTGAGGCGGGGCAAATTTGATCTATTGCACTTCATTCATTGAAACCATATTCCATGGAGTCAGTGTGGTTTTATGGGATTTTTAAGCTTACTTTTAAAGAATAAAACCTTTTATCATAGTATTTCGCACTCAAATTTAAGATTTGAATAGTCTTTGAATCCTTGCGGCACTCCCTCTGACCCTCATGTCTTATTGCACTCACTCTACACCACTAACCCACTACTCCACTGCAGTCTAATATAGAGCCGCAGTAGAATATGTGCAGTGAGCTTACTGCAAATTATTCAATTTTGTTCACTTCTTTAAACATTCTAAGGAAAAAGTCCCACGAAGCTACCATAGTTCCGTGGAATATTGGAAAGAATGTCGATACAAATCGGTATGAACAGGGTACAATAGATATGTGGTCTGGCAGAAAAGCTATGTGTATGAAGTTCTGACTGTTTACACTAAGACGAATGTGCTCCTCCTCCGACTTCTGCTAAACTAAAAGAGGGTAAGGGCAAGCATCTGGCAGTAGATGAAATTCCACAAGCAGTGACGGGAAAATATACTTGTGGAAATTACAGGAATGAAAAGCATCTCCAGAGAAGAAACATCAGACCACAACACATGCCTTTATCAATCTTGCAAGACATGCATGAGGACGGATAGATATGGCGAGCCTAGATCGAGGAGTACGGAATGCAACGCCGGCTTCCAGCGGGAGGCTCTAAGGAATGCCTTCATGGTGAAACTGTGTTTCAGTGGTGTCTTTTCCCAGCTGATCGGAATCTGCGCATTGTCCAACTAACTTTCTGGCTCAAAGCCGTGTGTATGCGATTCCCGTACTTCACAAAAGTTGACCTATGATTGAAAGACTTCACTGAATGTCAGGCATCTGAGAACTACATCATCATATGGCGACGTGATATTTGTTGACTTGAACCATCCCATTTAACTTGCAAACTACCTGATATGTGAACAGAACCCAAGTAAACCAACTCATAAATGTAACCAAAACAATATGACAGCCGTTACAATACCACACACACTATGGTCCAAGCAATAGAACCTCATTACCCAATGTAAATCGACACGCTAACATATACAAATGGGTATCATCAACCACGTTATACCACTCCAAGACGACGAAGGCCCGTACCAGCTTTTCATTGACACCAGTACTCCATTTTGACCTGCCGGCGAGATGTCCATCTCTTGTCGCATGTAAGAATCTAGTAGACAAACTCTTGTTGAGAAGCTTCTTTGTACAGATTCTCCACGTAACGCTCATCGTCTTCGATCTCCTTAATCTCCTCTTCGGTGGGAGAAGGGATGGATTCGAACTCTTCATCGTCAAGCAATGGTTCAGAGAACGTGCCGTTCCGTTTCGATTCTCTCGCTGCCTCTCTTTTGCTTTCCACCTCGCGGATAGCAAGAACGTATTGTTGTTTTCCTGTGAACAGTTAGTTGTTGTACTAGTTTGCAGTGACACACAACTCGAGATTATACTTACGGCTGTACTGGCCCGGACGTCTCTTCTCAATGTCAGCGATGATCTTCGCCGCCTCAATCTTGTGCTCTTGAAGCACCCAATCATACTTCAACGCCCACCATGGATGTCTCTCAACAAAGGTCCACGGACAGCCTTTGCACTCTCCCATATCCTTCCCCCTGACTTTCATGTCCATCATCAGTGGCTTGCCATCCTTGTATATCACATTGCCGTGCAGATCAAGCCTGGGGATGAAGTTGTCGCGATAGTATCGACTGCTCAGTCCACCTGGTGTACAGTCCTCTCGTTCATTAGGGAACATGATTTTGAAGTTATGTTCGATGGCGTGCCAACCGGCCTTCATGTCGACCTTGCAGTAACGAGTCCAGTGGACGTGGATGAGTCTGTAGGCTTCGTTGCTATGCGAAGGTCCTTTCTTGGGGGAAGCTTGGACTTGTGCAAGTACGAGTAGCTGCTTGCGTGCTTCGACATATGCTGGGACGGGTGTTGGAGGTGGCGTACGAGAAGCACGACGGAGAGAGTCGCGCTCTCGCCGAGTGGATCGACGACTGTGGTGATGAGGTGAGCGATGACTTGCTGAGCAAGAGTGTCTTTTTACAGACGAGTAGGAGTCGTATTCCGGACACGATGTGGCGGTGTAATACTGTTCAACATGTCTTGCATGAACATAAGGCTTAACAAACCCGTTTGATGTCTGTGCTGGCGGGTATGTCTTCGACGGGAGACAGGCTTCTGACGAAGGAGGTGGAGATGGGTAGCCAAGCAAGTGGTTTACGGAAGGGAGAGGACCAAGCTGAGGAGCGTTATAGAAAATTGAAGAGGGAGTGCTATGCTGTTGCACAGGACTGTTTCTTGGTGTAGGATATGGTTGTACGTAGCAGCCTCCGATCTCGACTGGCATCGGCTTCGGGTGGATGGAGTCATAGGAGATAGTCGTTACTTCCACTTCCACGTGAGGCATTTCAAGATCCTCGCCAGTGGGGTTCAGCATGGCAACGATGTCCATGCGGTTCCGTGTGGCAGCCATATTGATGGCTCTGTAAGACAACTTGATGTCGAGCGTTTGTCTAGAGTGAGATTTCTCGATGTGCATCTCGACGATGATCCTTAGCTAGTGTCAAGTACGACCAGCTATTCGGAAGTATCTTGACTGGTGCAAGTGACAAGTTGGAAGTCGTGTAATGGTGCACAAGTAGAAGTAAGCCGTGATGAAGAGAATCGGAGTAGAATAAGACAACAACACAATGTTGGTTGATGGAGGGCTGAGTGGATATGTGAACGGGAAGATATAGGAGCAATGACTTCTCCATGAGCCGTGGGCTTTGCCCAACAGTTATAACAACTCCTGCACCCATCCCAATACGTGGGGACTCCAGTAAGCCGTCCTACTATGGGGCATTCTAGGCATTGGGCCGGAGCAAATCCAACGGAAAAAAGGTGGTGAAGTGAACCATTCGGCTGGAATGGGCCTTAAGCAGTCCACACCCTTTTCTCAGCTAACCTTAGCTGGAGACAAGGCTGGACCACAGCGGCGGAACCGATCGAGAATAAGCCACCATCACTGGCCCCCTACCCGTAGTTGATTGAATCGACGATTCGATCCCGGTCATGTTGCTGAAGGAATAGCGTGTCACAATTCTTTTCCGACGGTGTCTCATCCACAGGAGCTACAGGACGCAGGGTTCAACTTGGCTTGCATCATGCAGCCAATAGATGCAAATAAGCTAAAAATTACCTTATCGAGCCTACTGGTTCGACTGTAGGAAGGCTGGTTTTCTTTTGTAGGTCCTTGATTAAAGAACTAGGTACATAGGGATAACCAACATGGGAACTTTGATAGATCATACCAACAGAACATCCTGTCTCCTTGCCACCTTGTGAGCAGGGTCAGCTGATATTAGCAACATTCAACACAACTTAGGAATGAAATTCTTGCTTCCGGAGCTCATGTCCTTCGACGAGTGCAGAATATCACAGATCAACACTTCCATTCCTCGTTTCTGCAGTGAGAAAATTCGGGGGAGTCACCGTTTCCCCGACAATTAATAATCAATATCATTTATCATTTTTGGAGTGGGTCGCTGGAGTATTGGGCCATGGAGTTGGTTTTCATCTCGAAGTCCAGTTGGATCCCACGCCGTCGGAGACGACTCGTATTTAAGCCATACAGATTGCTTTTACAGCAGCGCCCGCATGAGCGTACGATCACGGGACTGGCGTCTGGGGGCCGTTCCATCAATCACAGCTCTGTGATATCGGCTATTCATGCGTTTGGGCCGGGTCGACGGAGTCAACAGGGAATGGGAAGGTGGTACCGCAGTTGTAGGATGTTGGGGATCGTACTCCGCAGAGCTTGGGTGGTGGGCGCGTGCTACGCCCAGTGAGCAGAGTAACATTTCTGCACTAGCGCCTGAAGAGACCGCAACGGTCTGTTCGGGCGCTTACGGTATCAAACGGCAGTTTATTTTGGGTTTGGACTTTGTGCCGCGATTTCCTGTCGGTCCCAGCAGACGGGTTGGCATGATGTTCGGGACACGGGACAGATGTTGGAAACCGGCTGAAAACATCTGCAGCCTTTGGAATGTTGGTTCCAATGATTCCAGATAGATTAGCTGTGGAAAGGAAAACATGCGGCCGGCAGCTTCGGTTGCACACTCAAGTATCTTCATCATTTTCGTGATCTGATACGAGTTCTTTTGTCTACCAGACGTTTCGCGCTAACCGCGGTCGTCTCCCGATTAACTTGTGTGTAAGCAAGGGGCTCGCTTATTACTCGTGAGTGGACATACATACTTCAGTGATAGGGATGTAAGGGGTCGAATGAATGTCTTATTTTCCCGTGTTAGTTGCTATGCCCGTATCGCGTATTACAAAGCTACCACAATTATCTTCGAATTTGCGTGCACACAATGCGGGGGCAACTCCTGCATCGAGATCTTTCTTGATTCTTTTCCCCACCCCCCTTGCTACTCGAGCCGCTCGACTTCTTTTTGTTGAGAAGGAGAGTATGCCTGACGCTGCCAAACCGTAGCCAAGATACCTAAACTTTATTTCTGCCCGGGAAGGTGGAACTTGCTCCGGTTGGAATCGCCTCCATATCTTCCGCCGAGGTTATACGATCTCCACGTTTTGCGACGGGGAAGCGGAGAAAAAGACTCTGAGGCCCACTGTAATAGACCCAACGTGCATGGCTCATCGAGATCTGAACTCGTGTTACGCTACACAAAAAGCTTGAACAAATGCACATGCACACCACGAGTATTCTTGAGCTTGTATTTATGTATTATTAATAAGCATGTTTAAGCTTTCCCCGCTTTCTACATATACTTAGAAGTAAGGAAATTCATGTCTCTAATTCTATCATCTCTCTGTTTTCTGTCAACCTGGCGTCGCACACATGCATTCCAACGTTAAAGCGGTGTGGTGTAACATCAAAAGCGATCTCAGCGGAGATTCAGGTATCACATTATGTAACAGTACTGCCCAACAACTAAGAGAGGCTTAAGTGCTTCTAGACCGCAAGTTCTACAAGGTGTAATACCTTAAATTGGCATGGTCACACATTCTTCATAGGCACGTTGAAACCGTGTGTTGAATTTCACGCCTCCCTCTCGGTTGATCCCGAGGGAAGCACAAGCACGACATATTCACGACGCAGTGTATCCTGAGAATTAGTGGAACGAGCCCTCGACCGCCATTTTGTACCTCTTAACTTCGCCCTTTCAAGCCAGATTCGCCAAATTTCAACAAGACCCGGGATCACCACCGACGTACAACCATGGTATGGCTGACTTCTGTATCAACCTTGAGGAAATGCACCTGCACAGCAATGAACGCATGAGCCACGGCGGGGAAGGGACCACTTCTGTTTGGACACGTTGTTCCAGATGCTCCTTCAGCTGCGCCGTTTTGGCTACCGGGAAAGTCTGCCTTCCTGCACAGGTGACGATGTTGTGAGCAAGTTTAATCGGTTGAGGTGGCATAAATCGATCTTCTGCATGGGTGAGGCTTGAAGCCATTCCCGCGTAGTGGCACTTTCGACTTCTTCTTCATGAAATACTGTGAGATTCTAGACTCTGTTGGACATAATACACATTCTCTGTTTTTCAAAGGGTCCTCCGGGTCTAGACCATCGTGGAGATTTCCTTCCATCAACCACCCCCTCGCAACTTGCCGCTGGGAATTCTCAAGACAATGGTCTTGTGTGGAAATCGCATTCTCCAGAAGTAGTAGCGATCTTCAATATAGTGACCAGTCGCTCGTAATAGAACTCCGTCGAGCTCAACGACAACCTTCGTCCAACCCGCCGAAATCAGAATCCGTGGTCATTTCTATGCAAAAGCATCAGCTGCCAACCAAAGCTAAATATCCAGATGCCTGAATCTGCACAAGATCTCAAAGATCTCTGAAGTGGTAGCATACCAACCTCTCATTCGCCACTGATTACTGATCTCGAGCCAGGAATGTCGAGTGTCATATTCTTGCATCGATAGATCTGGAGAGATCCAGCTATTATCACATCAGCCCATAATGGATGGACGAGATGGATGCTGTCTTTGCATGCTATGAGAGTAATGAGCGCATGGTGGACGGGACTGCTGTTGATGCAGGAGAGTGCAGGTGTTTGTGGCATAGAGGAAAGAATGGGCAGTGTAGAAGACCAGGAGGAGGATCCGTCTGGACTCTGGTTGCTGTTGTTTTCGTGCATACCAAGGTCATCCTGTGGGCGAGATGAGAGTCGGAACGTGTTGTGATCTTAGATCCTTGATGCTCGATCTTAAATCTGAGCACATGGTCGTGTTTCTGGCCGCAGGAAATTAGCCCGTGGAGAAATTAGTCGACTTTCCCTTTCTGTTACTCGACAGTGCTATCCCAGCACAATACTCCCGTGAATATCCATGACCATGACTGTGAGGCCGATGATGGTCTTAACGGCTACAGATTCACGAACTGCGAATTCGACTTGACACTCGGCTACCGCTATCCCTTAATTGCTCCTGCTATCACGTAACTAATATTACTTCCTCATTCCATTAAATTCAGTTGTCACAGAATGCCTTCATCGTTATCTCTGGGATTATCAAGAGTCTCTATCTTTCAATAATTCGTTCTGGTTCACCGCTACTGCTGTTGTTCGCAGATGGGCTTACGTTGTGAAGACTCGGTTGCGCAATCCGATATTGGTGCCGATTTGCTGATCCCGGGACATGATTCTCGGTGGCTTCGGTACATGGATGGTCCGAAATGTCCCTCTTCCCAGTCTCGTACCTCACTTGTTGCTGGTGTGTGTGAATGAGAGTTCAAAGAAAGATCTCTTGATCACTCTTAGAGCGACTATTCTACGTGGATATAAGCGCATATGAATAGTAAGATCTTACTCCGTTCGTACATAAAAGAGATGCATCAGTAACCTCAAACTGCCATACCTCGCATACCAGATCTATTAATAAGCCAACAAAATCGTCAAGATTGACCAGTCCGGATAACAGCTCCGCATAAGGAAATGCCCGTGCCAGGGATCCCCGCATCAGTGCCGAATACCACTCAAAGCCTGTACAAGTAAGCTGACAAAAAGAAAACGAACGGCCGCCCGGACCTGTGCCTTCTTATGCCGAAATCAGAACCAGAAGCGCGCAGGCGCCAATTATGATTTCGAGATATGACTTTGACTGCAGATGTTACGTACATGTCCTCTTTCGAAGCGACACGACTGCGATATGCGACACAGAAGCAAGTAAGGCCGTGAGAGAGAATGGCAGACGATGGGGCAGATAAAGATGAGGGGAGGAAGGGTAGGAAGAAATTCAACTTGGAGTTTGTTAATATGAATGCTGCTTCGGCGGCTGAGAGGGAGCGGAACCAGAAAGTCGTTCGTTCTACGGCTATGAAGAGTTTTCGTCGAAGGCAGAAGTCGCAGCGGGAAGAGGGAGAGAGTAGTGGGAAGGGGAAGAAAAAGCTGGACACGACCAATGCGATAGTCTCGGAGCCGTCTGCCATAGTCAAGAGCGAACTGCCAGTCTCGCGAGATCCTCCAGCCTCTTCGGTACCAACAGTTCGACCGTCGCAGGTCACATACTCCGATATATCTTGGTTTGTTGGGTCGCCTTCGAGTTCGAGTAGTGATAGTAGTAGCGGGGAAGAGGGGTCAAGTGAGGTGAAGCCGATACAGATGGTCCAGACCGCACCCTTGACCCAGGGAAACTTGCAAGTTTCTTCTGCGTACACTAGCCCAAGGTCGTGGCTTGGAGCAGGCCGTGTGGATCCGTTCCGAGTGTACCCTGTGGACGTCAACAATACTTCACATGCACCAGAGCTGCTGGACCACTGTGAGTTTTAACCCCGCACCTTCGGTTACACGTCTAACTGAGTCTCTTGCAGCACTTACAGTTCTCTGGCACGGACTTCGACCCCAAGGAGATAGTGGAACAATAACTAGTCTCGGTGCAGCATGGCTCGAGAAAACGAACGAGAGACCGATAGTGATGCATGCTATGCTGTTCGGTGCGCAAGTTCACTTAGATGTTCTTCGCAGTCCTCGACTAAGTCTCGACAATCCGGTTCGACTATACCACAAAGTGCAAACGGTGCGATTGCTGAAAGATGAGTTGAAGCACCCTGAGAATATTCCTATAGATGATATCATACTGGCGATTTTGACTTTGTCTGCGAATGAGGTGGAGACTGTGGCGAATAACGCGGTAGAGGATAAAGTGCGATCGCCTTTCAATTCTCCGTTGGCGAATACCCAGTGGCTTGATGTTTATGGAAGCATAACACATCTTGCTGCACATACAACTGCTATGCGAACCTTGGTGGCTCGCCGAGGAGGACTGGAGAAGATCGAACTCGAAGGTTTGGCTGAGGTTCTGTCTTTGTGAGCATCCTTTCAACTAGTGCCATCCAATCGTCCTGGCTGACTTACAAAAGTTCGGATATCCTTGGAGCAACACAAAGTCTGAAGAAACCCCACTGGCCTTTACTGAACAGAACCTTGACTGTGGATGACATATACATACCGGAGATCCTTAAAGTGCCATTAAAAAGACTAGGAGAAGGCTTCCAGGAGTTAGTGCCGAGTGCGATAACAGACCAATTTTTGAGCGCGATTGGGGCTATTGTTAACTTGACTGTGATGATCGACTGCCACTGTCAAGGAACGAAACCCATAGTCGACCTCGCACAATATATAGATAGACGAAATGCTGTGCAGCATCAACTGCTGTCTTTGCCGTTCGGAGAAGAATTGGTGTCGGGAGAGATAAGAAGTACCAGCATATACGAATCCATTCGTCTTGCAACCTTGATATATAGCGCTGCTGTCACCTTTCCGCTGCCTGCCCTGACTGGAATTTTCCACCAACTTGCGAGCACGTTGCGGACTGTATTGGAGAAATCGAGGGCTGATCCCCACTGGCGATATTCGTCGAAGGCACTGGTTTGGATACTCGCTCTTGGTGGAATTACAGCAGCTGGGAGCAATGATCGATCTTGGTATGCACAAAATCTTTCGACTGTATCATCTGCGATGAAAATATCGACTTGGAACGAGCTTTCGATGGAGCTGGAGCGCTTTTTGTGGTTGAGAAGTGCATGTGACAGTGCAGGCCAAGCTCTATGGATGGAAGTGAAAAGTTTGCGAGGTCGTGCCCCTTGACGCAATATCCTTGGGGCGGAATGAGTTATATGATTATGATTAAATGTAGATGAGTATGATGAAGGTTAGGAAATTACGGATATACGGCTGTTGCAGGGACTTCGGGGAGTTTAAAAGCATAGCAGACTTTTGGACAGCTGAATCCCTCACCGCGGAACCTTGTCAGCACTACACTCTAGCCCGCTCGTGATTTGACCAGTAATTTGACAACGCGAAGGAGCAGCAAAAATGAAAAGATTTGAAACTCGTTTGTCGCACAGAATGGGATGATAGAAAGTTGTGTCGCCAATCGTGGCAGATTTAAGCGTTATCCTAATGCGGCACATGCATGAGCGATATCTGAATTCAGCAAGAGAGGACTGAAAGAACAGTAATCCAGTCACCAGATCCTATGTACAGAAACCTGCGAATGTTACACTGCTTTGCTTGACAATGGATAAGGGAATCGTGATTCCAACAAATTATAGTCTATGGTTCGGCAAGTGCTTGCTCGATTTCCTAGAAATGACAATCTGCAAAACTCTGCATGACAACCCATTTACCTTCTTAATCTATAAGCAAGAAGAACTTCTATGTAAAAGGAATGAGCCTGTACACAATGTTGAGTACTCCATCACAAATCTTCTCCGAAGGATTATGAATTTCGAGTACGTAGAAGGGCAAATCGTTAGCGCCATCTACCCCTCATCGGTATCATAATGAAAAGGCCCAATCGAGACTCAAAAAATGATGAGAAGGAAATGTTCCGATATTCGAGGATCAGACCAAATCCTCAGGATAATCGTCCCTGATGCTTGTTAGCCATTATCCCACCAAATGCATAAGCAAATCACTCACCCAATCTTCCAACCCTCTAGCAAAGGACCCCCCTCAATAACACCCGCAACCCCACCGGTCTTGATATTCACAATGCTCACCCTCGGACACCTCCACCCCGGATCCTCAAACCTCGCGCCCTGAAAATCGTTCGTCAATCTCTCGACCAGCACATCTCGATTCTTATCCCAACCATAAACCAAACCGTGCTCCGACAGCAATTCCAATTCCTCCAAATTCTTCATTCGCACAATGGTATCCATATGAAAGTGCCCAAAATATGCTGCGTCCCCCACTTCCAGCACCATCTTCCGCATCGCCTTGATTTCTGCCGGCCCAAGGTACTCTAAGACCGACGCTGGGCAGCGGATGATGTCGTAATCGAAATTAATGTATGTATAGCGATCCGAGCTCGTGGTCTGGAAGAATGGGACGTAGGAATAGGTCGTGAGGCCTTCAAATCGCGCTTCTTGGTTGACGTGTAGAATCGGGTGCGTGGGATTGTGGCAGATGAAGTATTCGGTGATGCGGCGTCCAATGTCGGTGAAGCCTTTTTTGCAGGATATCTTTACGATTCGAGGTTCCGTGAGGGCGAATCCCCAGACTTTGAGGCGGAGTTCGAGGGGTAGTTGGGGGAAGAGCGTGAATTCGGAGGGTGGCATCGTCGCGTCGGTGGAGGAGCTGCTCCCTGTCTTGGTGTCCATTGCAGAGGCTGGTTTGATGGTATGGAGGTGCAAAATGGCAGCGAAGCTCTTATGTGTGTATATGTACAATAATTCTTGGGTATAAACAAAGAGGCAACAATCTTGGGGGTTGGTATCGAGGAATTGTTTATCTTGCAGCCTGAGGTTATTGTCGATTAGGAAGGTGCCCCGCCATCTTAGTGCTTATTCGATAGTGAAGCGAACCCCTGAAGCAGCCTTATCAGATGTCCTACTGTAACGTGATAAAACATCCCTTTTTGTTTTACATTACAACTCCTGTCAGAACTACGACTTCTAGTTCAGAGATCCGTATTTCTCCACTATAAAATCAAAGCCAAAATCTTATTCAGGAGGTTTGTTAAGAGAAGGATACTTGGCTTTGGAGTTCATCTACTTTCAATAGCAACTATCTCAACATTAAGTACAACTTCTCATAGCTAAACAATACCAGAATGTCCAGCCTCACGAGCAACATTCATGAAGACCTCCTCAAGAGTTGGTCCAGTAATCGTATACTCGTCAATGACCTTCATACCCGAAGAACCAGCCCGCTCATCACCAACATCTCCCTTCAGTTTCTCCATCTTCTCCATCATTTTGCCCAACATCCTCTTGTTGTGTGGAAGTCTGAAGCTGATTTGGCCATGACTGTCAATGTAACCAATAATATCGTCGAAGTCGGCTTTGATTAGTGACATTGCTTGGTCTCTGTCAATTCCGCCAGCACGAACAGCTCGGACACTGAAAGAACCTCCATAGACTGTCTGGAGAGAGGACAATGTGCCGGTGGCCAGCATCTTCGTTCCCATGATCGCGACATTGGTGGCGAGTGCTTCTGCCTCCTCCATGGAGTGGGTGGTCAGCAGGATAGCACGATTGGCCGAGATTGACTGCAGTGCTTTCCACAGGATCCGCTTGGCGCCAGCGTCTTGACCGGTGGAAGGCTCGTCGAGGAGAAGGACACGGGGATTGCCTGCAATCATCAATGTAAGTCCTCGAAGAAAAATATAATCAAATGGTATACCAGGAATGTTGCGGGCTTACCTAGTAGAGCAATAGCAACAGAAAGCTTGCGACGAGTTCCACCACTAAGTCCTTTCACGGAAACATGCTCGTAGATAGTGATGTTGAGTGCAGCCAAAACTCGATCAACGTTTCCCGAGACGTTCTTAAGACCTTTGACCGTAGCGTAGAAATTGAGCGTCTGACGGACAGTGAGGTTGTCGACAGCATCGTCTTGTGGGCAAACACCCATATGTAATCGAGCTTTGTGAGGATTCTTGAGAACGGAGACTCCATCGAGAGAGATGTCGCCAAAATTGGGCACCAACTCGCCACGGATCATGTTAATTACTGTTGTTTTTCCTGTTCAACCAGTTAGCACATTGAATTCCAGCAGCCATTTGAAAATGGAAGCCCTTCGAGGTTTTCGATTCTGGGACAGATCCCAAAGATGGAACTCGTGAGAAATCGAAGAAAACTAAAACTCACCTGCACCATTTCCACCAAGAAGAGCCAGAGTCTGGTTAGCAGCAATGTCGAAAGAAACGTTCTCCACGGCAAACACCTTGCCAAAGTACTTCGTGATGCTAGAGACGTCGAGAATAGGTCCGGTGGGGGGTCTTTGAAATGCGCCGAGGTTCTTTTCGTGCTGATGTGGGCTTCGCGGAGGTTCTGCACGAGTGGAGCCAACTGCATCAACAACATAGTGTAGACGTGGAGGAACTCCACGATGGATGATATTTCGGCGAATCCAGTCTGCACTGCCATATTCGTAGATGTAGAGCACCGCAATCAAGAAGGCGATTTGGATCAGAAGATTGGCGTAGACTGATCCGTATCGAACATATGCGAACGGATTTGATACATCTGCATCACCATACTTCCCACAGAGAATCTCGAAGCTGTTAGTAGCAACGAACAATCCTCTGAGTAAGTTTGCGGCAGGTGATGAGAGTCCAAGGCCATATTGGATGTTCGAGTACGTTGAATACAGCATTGAGCCGTTGCCAAAGGACTGGTTCATGACATAAGCCACCAAATACAGAACAAACAGAAGAACGTGGAGTCCAGCGGCGATTGCAAAAGCTGCCTTCTTGACAAATAGGGACAAAAGATAGTTGCCAAGATAAGTTGCAATACCGAACAGGATGAAGACTCCTAGGATATAATTAGACTCATAATACAACCGAGCCAGAGGACCTGCATATAGAAGTCCCCAAACAAAGATCGACTCTACAAGGATGAACTGCATATCGAAGAGGAGATACCCAGTCCATAGAGCAAACGGTGATACTCCATTGCAGTAGTGAAGAGCTCGAACTTGATTGATCCTCTCGAACGTGGGATAAATGACAGAAATACTTGTTGCGGCAATGAAAGCAAGAGCAATCAAAGCCGAGATCGGCAACGAAAGCAAGGAAACATTGTTCTCAGCATGTACCATTGTCCGAAGTGTAGCTGATGAGATTCTGGCTTTTCCGGTGTCAGTGGAGGAGTTGCTGATCCTGTTTGTAATGAAACCGAAAGCATCCATTCCAACCTCGATTGCCGAATCGTAGTTTTCTGTCGAATAGAATAGTATGGCAGATTCGGGAGACGGAGCATAAATACCAAATCCATCATAACCGTAGCCTGAGGAGTTTGTGATTCCAAAGATCATATCAGCTGTATTATTGACCAATTGCCGAGTCGCTACTAATTCTGTAGCCAAACAGCTCTCATTGCTGCAGGTGTTACCAGAACTATATATCTTAAGGTTTGCGAGTGATGCTAAGTATAGAGCATCTTGTGCGGTTCCCACGAATTCGGACTGTGGACCAAGATATGCCGTTGGCGTACTGTCATAGAGATATAGTTCTGGCCCATTGTAAGCTGCTAATGGCGCGAATAGGGATGGTGATTCGCCATAAGTCTTTTCGCTTTGGGTGCCATTGCGGAGAAGAAGCTCGTTCGTCTGGCAAGTTTGTAATGATTTGAAGCCGTAATGAAACTTGACCAAAGCTGAGGCTATGATGATAGGAATGATCAAGTTGATCCCATAGGAAATCCATCCGGCCTTTTGACGGAGTAGGACGTGTCGCTTCTTGAACAGTGTGAAGACTTGTCTTGCTACCCCGATGGAATGTCCCACGTCTAGATCGATATTTTGAGCACGTTGTTCTTCTAAGGCCTCAATCTTCTCATCGATGACCGTATCAGTCTCTTGTTCACCGACCATACCATCACCGCCCACGTCGTGTATAGCAGTGTTTGATTCCGATGTAACCTTCAAAAACACTTGTTCCAGAGTCGGAAATACGACATTGTATGTATCCTCTGCTGATAAAGCTTCGAGTTCCAAGATCTTTCTCGTGGCTTCGGCCGAATTGGTAGTTCTCCAAACAAGGTTATCGTCTTCGGTTCCGGAATCGCTGCGTATGATATAGTTGTCTCCGAAACGAGCTTTCAATGAAGTTCCAGGCCCTTCGCAGACTAGCTTTCCCTTGTACACGATCGCAATATGGTCGGAAAGGACATCTGCCTAATGCAACGTTAGCTTTGAAGTCTCGTTATCGGAACACCAAATCCTACTTCGTCCAAGAAATGTGTTGTCATCAAGATGGTCCGTCGAGAACGTCCCTTTTGCACAATGTTCCAGATGTTCCGACGTGAGAGCGGATCCAGCCCAGAAGAGGCCTCGTCGATACAGCACACCTTCGATGAACCGACAAAAGCAATTGCAAGTTGGAGCTTCCTCATTTGTCCACCGCTCAGTGTCTTCGCCTGAGCCTGTGTCTTCTCGATCAAGTCACATTCAGCAATGACATCGTCGTCATCTGCTTGATCAGTGACGAAAGCTGCTGTCTTGAGCTTTCTCCATATCTTTATATGTTCGTTCACTGTCAGAGTATCCCAAAAGACCTGTAAACATTAGTAAAAATCCTAGAAGGGAGAGGTCCATGCATACATTCTGTTGTGGACAGATGCCAAAGACTAGGCCAGCTTCATTGAGCTCTAGACGTGAGCCAGAATCCATGTTAATCATTCCAGCAATCGCTTTCAAGCTAGTACTCTTGCCTCCACCATTTGGGCCTAATAGGAAAGTGACTGAGCCTTTCTTGACTTCGAGATTCAAGTCATTAATAGCCACAACTGTTGCACCCTTCTTCGAGAACGGCCAATACCATTGTCGCTTACCATAATAAGTCTTCGTGAGACCAGTGCATCGAAGAGCAACATCACTATCCGCACCGATTCGATCAAAGTTCCTGTTGACGCCCCATAAACCTCGTTCAACAGCGTAGGTGCCAGCAGAGTAACACACGATCTGTAAGAGCAAGAAAATAATGTACAGGTACCCGTTCATCTTTTGTAGCCGATAAGGAGGATCGAAGCCGTCTGTTACGAATGGTTCAGGTGCCAATGAGAATGCTTTCAAGTTGAACTCTCTCAAAGCGACATCTCCAATGAAGTTCGCCCAGGTGATGGGAGGGAATACAAGAGAGAGACCAATTATTTGGCCAGTCGGTTGAGGATTTGCGAGCGAAGCAGCCAGGGTGACCAATGCCAACGCGAAGAACAGTGTGGATGTATATAGGCCAGCGAGCTGGGCCTTGCTGAAGAAGGACGCCACAAAGTGTGCCGAAGTTATGGTCGAGGCGCCGGCGAGTAATGTAATGAACAGAAACAGAATATCGGATGTCTTCTTGAAAAGAATCTGGGTCATGATAACTGAACATGCCAGGAATCCTGGAAAGTAGACCAGATAGAATGAGAGGTAGGTCGATATGATTCTCGAGGTTGGGGTGACTCCTTGCGCCGACATAAGCTCAGACATTTCGGTTTCTCGCTCTGTGGCAACAAGTGTCGCCAGATGATAGACCACTCCAATCAAGATCAATATGAAGATCGGCGCAATGAACTGGGCCACCAGGGAAAGCCAATATGCGCCATTAGCGTCTGTCGTTGGATTTTCTTGCTGAATATAGCTGTTGGGACCAAAGCTGCCGCTAAACGGCTGAAGGAATGGTTTCGATGTGACGGAGAAGTTCCCAATTTGCGCATCGATAGCCCATTGAAGAGGAAGTACACGGTTGGCAAGGACGGAGTCATCTGTGCGATAGTCTCCGTAACCATAAGAGTCAGTGATGCTGCTATCTAAAACGATACTGTATTCAACATTCGTCTCGTTGAAAGACAGAAACAATACTGCGGCGTAGCAATCACTGGATCCTTGAAGTGACTGTTTGCACAGATCAAAGAGATCATTGGGATCGTCCACGTTGTATATCTCGGCCGCATGCATTCCTGGCTGCTGTGAAAGACCTTGGACAATCGAGCCAATACTGTCGTTGGAGATGCCATTGCGTATGAAAACAAGCTTGTTGGACGATGTACTGCTTATAGCATCTGCTAAGTCTGCAAGTGGAGTCGCGGACGTCGCAATACCATATTTGCTGGAATCTGTGCTTGAGGAAGTGGAGTCAATGTGAATCAGGAAGCTGAATATGAGGGCCACAGCCAGAGGGAAGACTAAAGCTCGAAGGAGTGTTGCAATTGGGGCCTTAAGAAATAGTAGAAGGTTCTTGTAGATTAGGGCGGTCGTCTGGAGGTAGATCCTCTTGAATCGTGGTTGAGTTGCTGTCGCCATTATACTGTTGAGACTTTCGAGTGCTTTAAAGGATCATGGCAATGACTTATCGAGACACGATTATGAATTGGGTCTAGAACAATATCTTGTATGGCGAATCGCAGGGTAGAGCGCCTGTTGTGGAAGGATTTGTCTCGCAAGACACTGTTGACGGCAATAGAACTTTTCGAGGGGAGCTGGTGAATCTCGATCGCCAGTTGTCCAGGCCAATATTGAACGGAACCAAAGTCGATATCTTGTTGTCCAGACTTCAAAGAGGGACATTCATAGGGATGCGTTGACTGTCGGCCGCTTTCAATCTCGGATGTGGTAAATCTTGGTTGCGAAAGTCGTATGGTGTTGACACACTCACTACCTCATAAGAACAGCACGAACTGAGCCACCAAAGTAAATGCCCCCTGTTCAGCGTTTATCGAGTATTAGACTGCGATTCGGATCCAGTCGTCTAGCTATCCAAATCTCTAAGCGATGCAGGGCCAATGATACTACTTGTAAGGTGCGTATCGAAGCAAGATTGAGTGTCACGGGAGTGACTGCCCGCATGCTGCAAGCAAAGCCCACATTTGATGTCAATGATTGGCGTAGCAAGGCTAGCAGATGATCGGCAAGTGAGATTCTCTGTTTTTCCGCATGTTTATTGCGCTCCAAAGTGTACAGAGAGGCTGTGCTTGATACGAACTTGTGCTTCTAAGCGATGCCAAATCCAATGAGGCAAGTGCAGAGAATCTCATAAGAATTTCAACTTCCAAGGAACGAATGCGAATATTCAGTACTGTATATTGGTAGATTCAGCCAGGTCGAGGCTGCAACTGCGTGCAGGATGTGAGGGATGGCAGTGAGGCCGTTACCACCCTCCCAAAGGACAACAACAAACCCGGTGTCTTCCACATCCGGTTAATGACCAGATAAGGTTATTCCAGTATCCAAACAGAAGTCCGGTAAAGCTGTTGCCTTGAAGGATTCCTTAGCACGTTGAAATACGGGATGATCACATGACCATGCACTGCCCCTGAACTGGCCGCAGTCGACAATCTCATACTTGGCGGCCTGTGTCCTTGACGTGTTGAGATTGGCCTAAATGAGTAGCTTCTGGGCACTGATGCTTGATCTCAGATCGTCAGCATCATAAACAGACGTCAAGACAGCACTGCCTTGTCCCTAACCGTCAAGCTCCTCGAGAACTTCGGTCCGTACTCAGAAAAGACATGTTCGGCCTGCTCCTTTGTGAGATTGGACTGCATTTTCATGTCAATGGTTGTTTCTCCACCTCGTATTCCTAGAAGATCATTTACCTCGTTACCCGTACGCGGCCGTAGCTGCTGGAGCTCAAGGCAACAGGATAAAAATTCTCTCATGCGCAACAGATTGGACTGTATGGCCGATCGAGAAATCGAGATAGTGATTCGAATATCCCATGAGAGATTACAGCAGAGCATCTCAAGTAGTACGAGAATTGCGCGCACGATATGAAATAGCTTTGAGGAAGGAAGAGCTGTTCCGAAACTGCACTGAGCGTGGGGTCATGAGAAAACCCCAAGTATGGGCACTACGCAGTTGCGCGCACATACCATACCGCTCCTCTCTAAGCCCATACTCATCTTCTTCGAACGTCTGAGAATCGACATCCACTTCTATTCTAAGAAACCGTCATGTCAGTTATTAGAGCAATGGTTCAAGAATCGCTCGTCGTGTTTTTTGTTCTGGAACAGAATGTTATGATTGAATGAAAAGAGCGAGCAAAGTACTCCGTAGGAAACTATCATATTACAATTTACTTCTCTGAGCAGATGACGGTACTTCACTTCGATCCCACAATTTACCAACTGCCATAAAAGGAATTACTAGATAATTTAAGACTGTATGACAAGAATATGGAACGTCGGCTTCGTCTCAAACTAGGATTAAATGACAAATCTTATGGTTACCTCTCTGTCCACTTTCGCTGTTTGATTTTTTCCACAACCCAAAAAATTATAACTAAAATGCGTATCTCTCTGTGCGGCACCATATCTAAATGTTATAGGATCTTCCTCTCGCTCATAGTAAGCAAACTTATACCCCTACAAATTAAACTTTGCTAAACTGTTTCTCCAGGAGCGACAATATTGAGTGGCGCTTCCTCAGTGGGTTTGGGCTGCTTCCTCCACCAGACCTCAAAACTCGACAGCCCTGCCGTGGGGCCAACATCAGTATATTGTTTCCCATCAGGTCTGTCGCAAGGCAAGTCTTCATGGTTATGCTTGGTCTCATCAAATAACCCAGCGTGTGTGCTCTGCCAGAATGGCGGATCGAGATCCCCTTTTCGACATTAGTGTCAAAGTCTGGTCAAAAGAGAGAAGTGTAGCCAACTTACAAACTTCCATTGGGTTGGTTAGGTACATTCCAATTTCTGCTGTGGGTCGATCTTTCAGATGTTCTGCAAGATGATGGAAAAGAACGAATGCTGTGTAGAAGAACGTGTTGGCTTGTACCAACTCAAATGCTTCCGGGTGCTCGACAACTCTACACCCATGATTTTCGAAGAGAGCTCTCATAGCTGGAATCATCTTCGGATCTTGGATCACAATGTTGTTCAAGAGCTCCGGATATGCGGCGCCAAGTTGAGCCAGAATCTGCGAATATATCATGAATTGCTGCATTTCTCTCTGCACCGAACCTTCAAGGCCTCCGATTCCGAGACAGACAGCATTAGGAATTGGCTCGCCTTTTCGCCCTTTGATGATTCGAGCGACAAGCTCTGATACTTGCTGGGGATACTCGGAAGCTAGCCACTTAGACTTTTCGAGCAAAAGCCATTTCTCGGCGTCGGGGAGATCGTCGTTGTTGAGTGGGTCGGGCAATGTGTCAGTCGGAGTTTTTGAGGGCAGAAATGGATACAAATCGGACTTGAATACTCGCGTTGTTGTGGTAAGTTGGGTCACGAACGGAGGTACGACGTTGGCGGGTGGTTCATCCTGTGGTCCATCAGGGGGTGGTGGCTTAACTTCGCTTGCAGAGAAGAAGACATGAGTGATGATCCAATGACTCAAGAGAATGAGGTCAATGATCCACGCAACGAATCCAATAACGAACACTGTGAAATTTAAGACCACGAACATCTTAGACAGTTGTGTAATGCGAAACAGTTGAAGGGCTTTCCACTAACTGGTGTCTATCACAGAAGGCAAGCAGTCTTAAGCAATCATCGGAGGTAAGGCAGATATCAAAGCAACAAAGAATAAAAAGAAGGAAGGAAATATTCCGTTTGCAGTCAATATTTTTTGATGCCAACGAACACCCCGTTAACAAGACTCGGTGACAAAGAAACATTGACAACAAGGTCAAGTGTCGCTGCTTTGGGCCATGCAGTGACTTCTTTTTCTTTGTATGCATTCGCTTTTCTGTTCAGACATTGTAATTCTTGGGCATGCTGAGGAAAGCTCTCGTGTCAGTTTCCATTCTCTCCAAGCTGGAATTTGAACACTTTGTGAAGAGTTGGCAATTGAAACGCAGAAATGGAAAGGAAGCTAAAAACAAATAATTCCAATTGAGATAATGACATGACATGCCGCCGAAACGCCTCTCAAACTCTAAAATCCTACCTGCCGCCCTCATTCTTTCCTCTGCCCAATCATACCCCTCCCACAATTCCACAAACTTTAACAATTATAAGTCATATAGGCACCCGTCAATCCCGCGCCGTTCATCGCATTAACATAATTGACCCACTCCACGCTCCCCGGAGCCGTGATCCAATCCGCATACTCAAACACAAATGCCAATTGTCCCCCAGCCGTCGTCGGACACGTTTCCGAATTGATCGTTGCCGATATTCCTGGAGCCACTGTCACAGTACCCAACAGCGAGCCTATGTTAGGCATGACATTGTTCCAGGTAGGAGCTGAAGGAATTGGGGCAGGGTATGCGTAGACATTGAGGGTTGGAGTAGCGCCCGTCAGGGTTGGGAATGTGTAGGTGGACGGGAAAGTAATTTTGAGTGCGCAACCCCAGGAGCCAGTCGGAGGCGTGAAAGCGACTAGGGAGGTGATGCGGTCTGCTACTTGACCTGGTGGACGTGTCAGTTAAAGGACAAGGACAAGAGTTTTAGGAGAGATGCGTACCTGCGCTATTGACGTCTTGGTAAAGGAGCATTTCTTGATTTGTCTGAGCTAAATTGCTGTAATAGGTATCTGGGTCGTCTTGATATAAGTGTACCAGGTTCTGAGGTAGATCGGTGGGACAGTTGCTTTGTCTCTCCAGAATGCTCTCGACTGGGAGTGCGGAAGTGATGCCAAGGATGGCTCCTATTGTGAGAAGTGTTGTTGGAAGCATGATGCTTAATCCTCGCAATGGATCAATTTTGAATAGATGTATGTTGTTTACTAGATAGGTGTTGGTGATTATGATGATAGAAAAATAACAATTAATCCGACACCGCGTCTTCGTATTTATAGAGTTGGAGATCTTGAGATTGCCATATTTGCCATCAAAGTCTGGAGATATAAGCTTATTTTTGGAATGAAGTTACGGAATAAAAAGACTCCCTGCAGCGGCTATGCATGTCATGAGATGGTGTGGCAGAGGCGGGAGTTCCGAGGTTGTGGATGATGGCACCAGATCGTCACCCCACATTTCGTGGCTGCAATTGCCTTGCAGAAACATCGTGATTGGACTCTGCAACTATTTTGAAAAGTCTTGTGGTTCGTAATAGCCAGTTGTTTGCATCTCGTATATGTGACTGTTCGCTCACTTCACGACGTTCTCAGCTGCAAGTTTGCACATACATTTCGCGGGCCTGTCGCCAAACGAAAATTTTGGTAGACAGCTGCAGCTTTACCAAATCATGTCACGATGGTAAAAGTCGATAATAAGAAGATTTCAAACGATTTGATGCTTTGCACAATGCAAACGTATGAACGTGCCTTCGCCAGGCTACCTAGGTACGTGTTGTGACTTGACAACGGGTGGAAACTTGATAATGTAGATGTTTTCAGCAAATTCCATGAACAGAACAAAGCTCCAGAATAAATCAAATGGCATTATGACCTGCAATGTAAGAGCTGAGGCCACCGGGAATGGCCCACTTAAGCGAAACTCAACAAATGAGACCTTATTTACCAAAAATCATAATTTTTTAGTCTTCTTATGAATCTCTGTGAAAATGGAACTTATTATTAATTAATAGTAGCCATACCCTTGTACTTAATTACATCCTCAATCTTACAAGTCAATTGCTTAGTGTAGTGGCGAAAGTCACGTGGGTCAACTTGGTCCCATAGCTTTTGCAACTCCCTCTTCAAATCCACCTTATTTTTGGGCACATAGTCCAAGTTTTTCAATTCCTCCTTTATCCACCTCCAGACCTTCTCAATAGGGTTCAAATCTGGTGAAGAAGGAGGCCAATTAAACCCTCGGATATTGTGCTGTAGTCTAGGTAATTTGGCATGCCCTTTATGCACCTTAGACCCGTCTTCCATGAAGATATACTCCGGCCCTAGATCATTAAAGAGAGGGAAGATTATAGGCTAAAGAACTTGCTGTAGATAGGCTTTAGAACATATGCCCTTGCATTCTAGAAGCTTCTCTAGAAAGACTAATGGCGACTTGTAATCTTAACTTAATGCCCTCCATATTATGACCGTTGTCCTCCCTGACCTGTAGACTGACTTAATGCAGTCAGGGCACTTCCTCTCATCTACCCTCCTAGTCACATATATCCTGCCATTCTTCCTAGTCTCAAATATAGCCTCATCAGACTATACAACTTTCCTCTAGTCCCTTCCTTGCTTGCCATCATCTCTATGAGCTGCATAGTCTGATATCCCCCACCATCTATACTCCTTGGCAAATATATATCTCTTCCTAGCTTGTTTGAGGGTAATATATAGTCGAGGGCATGCAATGCAGCGGCGGTAGCCAGCCCGGGCTAATTCTCGACGAATGGTGCGCACCAAGGGTAGGTAGGGTAGTTGCTTTTTGAGAGCCTCAAAAGTCATGCGCCTAGAGCTCTAGTTTTTGGAAATGGTTCGAATGCAATAACGTATGTCGCGTATAGACATGAGATGGTGTCTAGAGAGCTTTCTTTTGCGCTCTCTCCGACTAGATTCCTGCTTAAGAATGCGGCGTATTGTTTTTCGAGGGATATGGGTCTCTGAGACAATCTCGCGTTGCGACTTTCCCTGGCGCTATAGGGATCGAATGACTGCACGTGCAGGGGTAGGCCATTCATTATTCTCTTTCTCGATAGGATCACTTAGGATAAGAGGTGTCTCCATCTTGAATTATGGACTGATTCCTAAGAGGGTTGTTGTGTAGTAAGGGTTTTAAAATGGGGTGTAGAATTTTTACGCGTTACCGCGTCTCGCTTAAGTGGGCCATTCCCGGTGGCCTCAGCTCTTACACAGATCACAGGCTGTCCTGTTCATGTTCTCCACGACAAAAAAGAATAATAATGCCGACAAAATAAGCATGAAGGTGGATGTAGGGCGATTGGCTGAACATTAAGCCTCATATTTGACCACAATAGAAACGCTCTGAGTAAATCGAGAAGACTTGAACTGAATTGCATTGAGCACTAAGGAAGCAAGTCGAAATCATGGTCGTGCTGGCCCTGAAGATAATCGTATCCATCGGGAACCCAGTCAACACATGGCACCAAGTTCCCCCACTCGATCTTGTCCTTCAAACTCTCTGGCAACAAAACTTTCTGCTCCGTCCTGTACCATGCCGGGAAATGAATTGTGACAAGCATGACCCTCACATCATCTGTCTTGTTTGGCATACCCGCATGCCAGAGTCTTAGGTCCCTGATAATCAGACTTCCTTTCGGAAGCACTGGCTGCACAGGTGGACTGATCTTCTTTCTTCTCTCCAACATCGCAACTGGTATGACACTGCCACTCTTCTCAACTTCTGCCTGCCAACTCGTATCCAAGTGAGATCCAAGCCAGATCTCCGTGGATCCGTGTTCAGGATCAACATCAATCAGGTTGATGTTGATGCAGAATCCAAACGGCATCTTTGGAAAATCAAAATGCACATCAACGTGTACAGGCTGTCTCTTCTCCGCCTTGAAAGCTGTATTCGCGCTCTGAAATCTCAGACGAGGCTTCGGCCCCAGCATACATTCCGTGACTGCTATTGCAAAAGGATTCGCAATTATGTCATCGAACACATAGTCCTTGTCAACCACAGCATCCTGTTGTATATTGCCCGTCCCATTTCCAAAGTTGTGATGTGTTTCTGTGCGAGCATACAGTGTCTTTGCCTCTGGAACCATCCGTTCGTTTAGCACATCTAAATGTGCCTTCGAGATAGCATTGTCCAGGACGAGGACTCCGTCACGATGCAAAGCCTCGAGGGCATTTTGCAGATGGTGGGAGGTTAAGGTCTTGCTTTCGAGCTCTTCGGGGGATAGAGTGATCGATGTGACGTTTGGGGTAGTTGTCGCCTGCGGGGTTGAGGTTGCTCCACCCATTGTGCTTCGTGTCTGAGGTGCCATCTTGACAGGAGGGACCTTATTATATCCTCTCTTACTCCCCACCTTTGAGCCATCTTGACGGAAGAGGTGCAGCCGTAGACCAGACCAAAGGTAGTTGACTAATGAGCGAGATGCTGCGAAAGATGGAGTCGGAGAAGCTTATCTAAGTTTGCCGGGTGCCTCTAGCCTGATTGATTTTGTGGGGATTAGCCTTAATGAAGCTCTGATCTTTCATCCACATCTTTTTAACCACCACCAGAGTATTCCACGAGGCGCCTTTCATCTATAGTTGAAGCAATATGCATCTTCGCGATTGAGATGTTCTGAAGCCTAGTCAACTTGCTCTTCGTTACGTACAGTACAATGGTCCTTCGGACATTCCGGTACTACAGACAGATTACGACCAATTCGCCGGGCATCAAGTGAAGAAATCCACGGGCGATCACACATGCACAGAAAGCAAATACCTGCTCCAAGTGGAAAGCCAAGCGGTTTAGTCTGGCAGGTCTGCAACGTTTAGACGAAGACTGATCAGGCTTTGGTGTGCAACTTCATCACATACTTCCGAAACACTCACAAGAGGATCAATAGCTTTGGATATAACCACCCGTGCGACATTTATTTTCATACCGCATTTGTCAGATTCTCCTCAATAAATTGGGCTAGAAAGTCCTAAGCTCTGAAAGGCTCCGTATGCTTTTGTGCGGCTGCATAGTCCTAAGGTGTTATTCACCAGTTGTGTTCAGTATTTTTGAGACCTGTGGAGGCTGTATGTCTCAAGCAGGGAGTTGTGGGGGCTGAGGCTGGCGTCCCGCTCGCGGCACCCTCAATCCAAAGGAGGGCGACCCATGGCAGTTCAACAAAAAGCAATATGCGGAGCAGGTGGCCCTTCGGATAATGACAGTGCACAAGCTTACATGGGATTTTGCTTGCACCTCATGAACTTGCATTTGATTTGGCTCACCCCAAATCCCAGCCTCATCCATGGCCCACCGTGATGTCGCATCAAGACGTTGCCGCAATATGGTCGAGACTGGCTGGTCGCGCGGATATTGACAATATCGTTCAAGAACTAATCGGTCGATATTCGTTGGACATTTCTGAACAAACAGCAGACCGGGCCGTGCTGCGTACCACTGCTTTCACCCATGTTGTAGCGCTTCGGGCTATCTTCGATTTACAGAGAACATACCTACAGTCACCAGATCCGAGTTGTGAGGCGAGATTCTCACTACTAAATCCAAATATCCTTCTCTCCGTTATCAAGCACCTTCTGGACGTCAAGATCTCGGCATTTTGTGCGCATGATGGCCTACCCGAACACGATGCATACTGTAGCTTTATCGGGCAGACTCTGGTCTCTGGAATCCGTGCTCTTCATCTTCAAAGTCGACGCCTCTCTCTGTCCGAATACCAAGCAGTTCTCCAGAAATTCAAGCTAGCTTGGAACAATGAGACCCTTCGTGGCGTCGACCACTTTTCCATCAATCTCTTTTGCCAAAGAATGCTAGCAGAGCTGTCGAACAAGGTGCAAAATCATCGCTTGTCAAGTCCTGCTTGTGGAATTCTTCGATTACAAGATTTCTTTCAAGGACTCGTAAGTTTACCATCTATACATTGATATTTTCACATGGCTCATATGATGTTCCCAGTACCCACCAAACGATAGCCACCAGAACGTTGATCCGTTCGTACAAACAGTTCAAACCGCGATCACCACATCGAAAAGTTCGGCGGACTGGTTCTATTGTGCTTTGGTTCTCTTTGACATCTCTTGGGCCGTCATCGGGGCAATAATACAGATGTGCATGGACAAACAATATTACAAAGGCTCTGGCCGCAGCGATTTTCCCAGAAATGTTGTGCCGTTGACTTTAACACCACGGTTCAAAATGCTGAACGAATTGTTCAAGGAGTCCGGTCCTTGTCCACCCCCAGGTGAACTGGAATGGGCTTTTGAGCAAACCCAAACCATGCTATGTATGGGCCTTGGACCTACTTGTTTTGAACAAGAATGTTCTTGCCTGGAGGTACACCAGAACTTCGTCCAGGAATTGGTATGACATTTGCGGATCCTCTTCTGGAGTACAACTAATCCTGCAAATTAGCGAACACAATATATATCGAATGAAGCTTCAGACAGTATCGCCAGGCATTTCGAGAAAATATCCCATATCGATATTGAACCAATGCTCAATGCGTTCCAGTCAACCCTAGAAGCTCGTCATACTATCCTTCCCGATGCCAGCAAAGAACTCACAGCAATTTCGCAAAAGCTTACTGACTTCACAAACGAATGGTGCCCTGAAATTCCCAAATTGCTGGCACATGACACCAGGAAGACGATTACCGCCGATGATATATTTATCGTTAATTGTCCCGAACTTCATCCTGTCCCCAGCAAAGTTCTCCTTCCTAATTTAGAAGAAAGTTCTTTCCCGAAATTTCCACAGACAGGCCTGGCATCTGTATGTTCACAAACCAATCTTCCTTCCTGTCTAAATTGCCTCTAATGATCATAGGAGGAAATCCAACTGTTGAAAGACATTCCGTCGAGGCGGGGTTGTGGCCAGTGCTTAGATCAGTCGCATAGCATCTCCGTCCGCAGGATAGAACCTCTTTCGAAGATTTCAGCATATCTCCAGGACCAGTTGAAGGAACGACGGAAAATACTACGTAACAAAGCCGATATGGCAATGAAGGTGTCTAGCATAACACGCTCGCCGCCACGATCAGGAAGACCCTTACCTTCCAGGCGACAAGAATCTTCAACATCGCCACGAACCAGTAAATCTCCGGAGCATCTATATGAATTGCCAAGCATCAATTATACACTTACACCAATCAGGGAGACTGACCTGTCACCTCCAGGCTTAGAACCTATATCAAAACTTCGCCATTCTGCGATAAGCAGCGTTGACATGCGCAGCGCGGTCTCGACAACTCAGCCAAAGTCCTCTTCTCCCACAATTACATATGTTGGCTCTACCAGTTCTCTTTCGTATCATTCGGAGAATCTGTCACGACCTACATCCAGAACCTTCAGTCCGCCTCCATTTCCAACAACCGACGAGACTACAGATCTTCCTGAAGTTGTTGCACCTGTAAGATCTAAACTTGCATCCCCTACTTCACCCCAGTCAATTGCGTCAGATGCAAGTTCTAGCATCATACAGTCTCCCTCCAGGAAATGGCTCTTCAAATCGCGACGTGGATATAAAGGAACTTCCAAGATCCCTTCTGCGACATTCTTCACATCTGGTCGAACTTTACTTCTCTGGAACGAAAGAGGAGCATGCTCTTACGACCTTCAAAACATCTTGTCCATCTCACACCGCATTGTTACTACAGGCGATATCCTCCTCGCGGCAGGCGGCACCAGAAAAATTGGAGTAGTGAGCAAGACTGGTCCCGTATGGTAGTCTGTCATATGATATGTATACGCCGCTGACTGGTCACAGATAATCCTGCTTCGTATACTCCAGGGCACTGATCAAAACCTCGCACACGAAACAGAGATGGAAGAAGTTCCTCACGCTATGGCTCTGTCAAGCAACGACCACTATTTGGCATTGAAGTTTGGATCCTACGTTCGAGTGTTTGATACGACCAGTGGATCATTTTTCCATCACAAATTACCTACTGTGAATGGTCGAAGTGGTCCCAAAGACCACCTTGTCACATTCTCCACAGATTGCCTCTCATTTGCTGCAACTACGAGATTCGAGCCGGAGAAGGTGGTGACATACTTCTGCGAATGTCAGAACCCATTGAATGGAGACTATGTTGAGAGCAGTGCGCCTTCTGTAAGTTTCTTTTCACATCCAATTTGCTTCTTGAGCGTTCCCCACAACTATAAAGTGATTCATTGAGGGACTAGCACTCTAATACATGCGCAGGGCCTAGTTGGTGATGACGGCTTGTCATCCCTTCTATATTCAGACAAGTCTGCGTTTCTCTCCACATTCACAGAGAAAGGCTATCCAGTCTATCTCACTCTCCTTAACAGTAGAACCTCCAGTCGAGTATTGCGTGACAAAAACCAGCAAGTAGGCTCTAAAATCCATTGCGCTGCTCTTTGCGCAACTGGACAAAACCTGGCTCTCTTCAACGATCGCAACGAACTTTTCTGGATAGACACTCCTTTCGGAAAAGAACGTGCTCCGACTCGAGTTGGCAGTATTAAGCGAGAGAAATCAGTTAGGCGCGAAGTTGAGCTAGCTATGCCCAACAGTGATGAAGTCCACTTATTTTGGATCTATAAAGGGAAAGGAGTTCTCGTGACTATGGGTAGACATGGAGGCAAAAGCAAACCTTTGGAGTTGGATGTTGATTTGGATCATTTGCTAGAATCGGAATAATTGGTCTCACTATAGAACGCGGTCTCTGTTGTCTGTCTCCACATCGTTTTCAAATCTGGGGTCCATTTGAGGCTCCGCGGCGAGAACCCGCCGAAATACCTCTCTTCTGAGACACAAGATTCTGTAGGACCTCAGGACTGATTGGCGTGTCATACAATATCTGCAAGTCACTACAAATTGGTCTTCCCGCCCCAGAGGCTGAGCTCTTGGCAAGACATTTACACTCAGCCATCCGAATCCTCTGCCAAGGCAATTGGCTTCAGCAATTTGGCACATGCACATGTGGGAATATCCCGTCACAGCCCCCACGGTGGAAAAGCAAAATATTCATCTGAAGAATCAATTCGTGCGATAGCGGTGAAATAGGGCTGTGGCAGGTGAGACAGCTCGGCGAGCTGAACACAGCTTGTTACGAGCAGAGAATCTGTGACAACTAAATGGCGATGTTTGAGTTCTATCGATTACTCACCGAGTCTGCTTGCGGAGAAGCCTAAGATGCTAAGTTTGGCAGCTTGGCAAAATATGGGACAAGACGAATGCCCGTCATATTGGGCTGTGTTCCCTGTGACCTTGATGCGGCTACGAATGCAACCTACTCTTCACTTGTCCCATTCTGCGACCGAGTTGAAATATTCAATCCTCACGACTTCGTCATCCTGGATTCTTCGAAAGATCTTCTGCTGGGTCCAATGACCACGAGTCCGGCTTTTCGGAATGGTGGGTTGGGGAGGATGGAAGACGAGGAAATCTTCTCGGAAAGTAAGTCTGTGACAGAGAAGAGAAGAAGTCAGAACCAGGGTACCGCGAATGAGCTCAGGTAAGATGCTTCCTAAATTGCTACTCTCCAGTAGAAGATCCTGAAATTTCTATAGACGATCGTTGACGGAGCGTCATGTCAATATGATAGCCTTCTCCTCGACTATCGGTATTGGGCTCTTTTTGCAATCTGGCAAGGTCATCTATCTCATCGGGCCTGGAGGAGCGGTTCTGGCATATCTCATAATGGGAAGTTTGCTATGGTCTGCCAACGCTTCTTTGGAAGAGATGACTGCAGTATTCCCTGTTAAAGGTCCAATCATCGACTTCCCCAGCCGGTATCTCGACGAAAGCGTTGGATTTGCTGTGGGATGGATGGCCTGGTAAGATAATTTCATACCGAAAGAATGAGATGTGAAGTCTGATCAAAGACAGGTTTGCGTATATCAATTTGACTGCAACAGAAGTGTCAACCTTGGCATCGACTTTCAAATTCCAATTCGACCCTGCCTACCTCCAATCCGTCAATTATCCTCTGGACAAACTCCAATGGGATTTCGGTCTCAACACCGACCCTGCAATTTGGGTCGGGATGTGCCTCCTTGCCATCCTGCTCGTTAATCTCCTTCCAGTCCGAGCGTACGGTGAAATAGAGTATGTCTTTGGTTGTATCAAGCTCGTTGTTATCACCGGCATCATTCTCATGCAAATGATCCTTAACGCTCGAAATGCAAACGGGAATACAAATTCTGGAGCTTTCACATACTACCAGTCACCATGGGGTTTCTTCTCGAACCAAACGGTTACAGATCCTCAGGGTGATCGGACATATACTTTCACTGGTGGAACGGGAAGACTTGTCGGAATGTGGTCTGCCATGAATACAATATTTTTTTCCTTGCAGGGTTTCTTCACTGTGTCTGTTACCGCCGCAGAGAATAAGCATGTCGATAAGGATGAAACGATCAAACTTGCAACGCGGAAGATCGCTCTCAGAGTCATTGTCTTGTATACCTTGGTGGTATTTACTGTTGGGCTCAATGTTCCATACAATGATCCTAATCTGCAGGATCAAACCATCAGCTCCATCAGACGAGGACAAAACTCGCCAGTCATCATCGCTTGCGTAAGGAATGGGGTAGTCGGATGGCCGCATTTCTTCAACGCTTTCTACATCTTCTCAGCTTTCTCGACTGGCATCAATGGGTTGTATATTAGTTCGAGATTGTTGCATGCCCTGGCTAGTATCCGCAATGTTTGGCCTGCCACTGGATGGGGAAGTAAGATTAAGATGCGGTTGGAGAAGACGAATAGCAAAGGAGTACCTGTCAACGCAGTCTTGTTGAGCTGGCTGTTTGCATTTCTCGGTTTCTTGGCAGTAAAGCCCGAGCCAGCCAAGGTATGTCTCAATCTCTAGATACTTCATCGGCAGGTCTGCCACTAACGTATTCATGCCCAGATCCTTGGCCGCCTAGCCATATTCTCAACCTGCTCCATGCTGATTGTCTACATCTGTACATCTGCTGCCTTCCTATCTTTCAAGGGGCTCACACTGAATGGCGAACCCGATGAAGGTGTCTTAATTCCCACGCCAGATGGCACTTTCCTGAATCGCAACGCAACCGACTATCCCTACAAATCGCACGGCCAATGGCTCCGTGCTGCTTACGCGCTCACGGGCTGTGTTCTTCTTGTTCTCTTCAACGGCTGGCGTTCCTTCCTGAATCCTTTCTCAGACGCAGACTTCTTGGCTGCGTATCTGGCTGTTCCGATTTTCGTGGTCATTGTGGTACTGTATCATATTAAGGATGAGCCGGAGTGGGTGCCGTGGAGGTGGGGTGTGAGGAGAACGATGGATATTGGGAATCCGGTGGCTACGAGAGAGAAGGATCCCGAAAAGAGGAAGGGAAGATTACACAGAGCTGATAGGGATGTGATTTTCAGTTGGGGTAATTTAGGGGCCTTCTTTGGGTGGGTTTGGATTTGGATGAAATAAGCTGGAGTAGAAGTGAGAGCTGAGGCGGAAAACTTGAGAAGAATGCAACCATCTGAGAGATGGTCGATATCTAGTTGCTGGTCAGTCTATTGATGCAGACAGTAATTGAATCGTATCTCCTAAGCTGCTTTTTTCAGGCTCGAGCCACCCTACGCTAAATTACGGTGCCCCGCACCTCAAGGGGTGCGCTGTCTGCGCTGTCTGCGCTGATTGCGCCGAATGCGCTGTAATCTATCGCCTGAAATAATTCTCTTAGGCCCATAGCGCGTCTTGAAAATCATAGGCCTTGCTCAATATTAATTCAGGGTATGCCTTTACGCTTGGGATCTTCAGCGACAAGACAGACTTTAATTCTAATAAGTTGGGTCTCGGGCACAATTTAGTTCGATTTCCAGAAATCTACTACCAAGAACCAACCATTCTATCTTTGTGATCACAAGGGAAGATTAATATTTCAATTTGTATCCACTGAAATACCGTTGCCTAAGCCCAAACGATTCATCCACTAACAACCCATTCCTAACAGACCCCAAAACACCATCGCTCAAAAGAGCTCCCCTTTACTTAGCAGCAGGATCCAAAGTCTCAACACCCTTATAATCGGCACTGGTTCCAACTTTGATCCAAGGTCTGAACGCATTATCCTTCCCGAGCAAAGCAGGCTTCAGCTCCGGGAAGTGTCTCAACAAAACACTGATCATCGTCTCATTCTGAACATGAGCCATCCCCTCCTTCGAGTACACTTCCTCAGTCCAGCCATCGCCAGCCAAGAACCTATCACTTTGAATCCTACGACTAGCCATCAAAATAAAGACCCTGAAAGCCGTATCACTGAATCCAAAACCTTTAGGCAAAGGTTCGCAGAACATTCCAACCTGCAGATCCACTTTCTCAATATCATCTTCGTAGATCTCAGCGAGCGTATCAGCAAGTGCCTGTTGTTCTTTGCCACCCACGAGATCGAGGAATGTTTTTGGGGCTTTCATGTGGAAGAGGCGGCGGAATTCGCAGTATCGCGGGACTCCCCGTTCGCGGTCACGCAGGATGTCGACGGATGAGATGTCTCTGAGAACTCCGTCGGGAGTGACGAGGTTGCGCATGAAGTTGGGTGTGTTGTTGTGGGTAATAGCTCCTGGGTAGTTGATGCCAAAAGAGTAGAAGACGTCGCCCATGTCGGTTTCTTTGTTGAAGGCATCTTGAGCTTTGGAGAATACGCAATCGGCGATAGGTGTTGTTCGTACGTGAGCACCAGAGGTGGTCTTGAAGAAGGCGATGTTGTCTATTTATGCGAGTAAGTATAGTCATTCTTGGTAGAAAATCTTTCCTTACCTGGGATCAAAGGATGTAATCGGTACACAGAGACGAACTCTTCGGTCAGAGTATAGGGGACACCATTGAGATTTACTCCAGAGCCTGGGATACCGCCAATGACTTCGTTCTTCGAGATGCGACCAAACATCTTGTGTATCTTTTCTCCAATGATACCCCACCAGTTGGCATGTAAAGCCGAGTTGATAGTGGGGTGATCAAGAATAGCGGGTGTCCATTCGGTCGTGTGGATCTTGGCCATAAGAGCACAGTTGACGAGTCTAGCAGTGTCGAATATCTGATCACTAACTCATTGTAAGAACAAATTGCACCAAAGGTCGAGAATCTAACATACCTGGGCCATTCGGGATTGTTCTTGTGCAATACATCACAGATAGCATTATGTTCCAAAGCAAATAAGGTGTGCAAAAGTTCGAGTCCCAACCACCAGTTCTGGTTGAAGCCAGTCATGGGCAGATTGTCTTTGTCTCTAGGCAGGAAGTCTTCCATTCCTTCCTTAGTCATTTTCAACTTGCCATTGACAGCATCACCTCGAAGAGCTGTTGTAGCAACTTCATTTTCGCCATAGATTTGGGAAGCGTCCCACCTGTAAGATCAGATCAGTGCCGCAAAGATTCCTTAACGAGGATGGCTCACCAAGCAGTACTCGTATTTTTGTAGCCAGGAGAGATTTTGTCGGTTTCGTCCAATGTAATATCAGGCTTGGTGCGGAAGATTTTCATGTGTCCTGATGGCCATGTATCGCCTGCTGGGAGAGGGATCTCAATATCATTTTCACCGGGCGCGTACTGGCAAGGTCAGCATTCTTTTCTTACCCAAGACGAGCAAATCAGACATACAGTTTCGTGAAAGACCCAATCGTGGACCTGGAACTGAATCCATGCCGCAGCCAGCAGATTGACGATGGTAGCAGGCTTGAACTCGGCTCGTGCCAGCAATCTATCACTAACAAGTCTTGGGCTTGGTGTTAATAATTCCGCATCAGTCGGTTTCTTAGCATGTTCTCGAGGGACGTTTCTTCCGAATCGCATGCCGACACAGCCCATCATTGGTTGAGCCTCGTCGTTGAACAAGCCATCGCTGTTTCTCGCAGTGACATATCGACTATCTTTCATGGGACAGGTTGCTTCGGTTCCCTGATAACTAGCATCGGGATAGACATCGTAGAGATTCTCTGCTTCAAGGACGATACGATAAGCCAGCAGGTTGCCTACACCAAGGAATGTGGGCAGTTTATGCCATGGTATGAGAGCATTCACACCGTTGTACACACCGACTAAGATGCTGTTAAGGAAAGTGATTTTCGCCATGTTTGTTGACTTTCTGTCGCAGCTTATTCAGAAGAGAATAGGCCAGAACGCAGAGCGAGGGACTGCCCTTCATATGATCTGCCATCGTGGGGTGAGACCCCTCCACAAGAATGCATCTGACATCAAGGCTGAAGAAAGCTGGAGCTGAGCAGCCAACGGCGCAGCTCCTAAAACGCCACCATGCAGGGAGGTGAAATTGGATGCCCGTCGAAACGGGCAGTCCCGACTCACATCATGATGAAAACATGCTGCAAGGCTGATACATTGCCAGAGAATGTGTTTGATTGGAAGACACAGAGAGCAGGAAAGTGCTTTTGTGGGCCACTGGTCAGCAACGTGACGCCCTGGGCACCGTAGCTGATATGAGAACAATATTTGGGGGGGAGCCACAATCAAGATGTATGGACACTCATGTTACGCAGCATATACGACGAGAATGACCCGTTGAAGAGTGACACAAGCCTTGAGACTGCTCGACAAGGAACTCATTCGAGCATGGACTTGAACTCGCGCCTTGAGGGTCACTGACACTGTTAGATATGTTGATACTCGCAGGATGGCGAATGTGACATGATTAGAAATAGAATTACATTGAGCTGGTACTGGCGGTGATACGATGAAGATCTGCGGTCGGAGAATAGAGCTGATGGAAGCCCTGTTGTAAGCTTACTCAAGGCTTGAAGCTCACCCTAGCTCTCGGCCAATCCCGTTCAGGAGAAGTCTCGCTTGGCTGACTTGGCACACCTTTAATTGGACGTCACGGGAGTTCCCATGAACCACCTTTCCAATCAGCCAGCCATCAAGCTGACAAAGTTAATTGTGTCTGCATCAGCAGTTCTTCGAAGCCAAAATGGAAATTGAAAGTCGTATCATTCAAATACATACTATGGCAGTCTAGTCAACATATCTAAACACCGATCTTGTTGGAAATCACTTTTAAATGCTCATGGTAAGCTAGAGCATAGCATACCATAAGTCAACATATCAGGGTGGAAGGCTACATCATGACACCGTACTAAAGTAGTCGTGATATCATGCACCCATCCTAATCTACGTATCATTATGATGCGTACATATGATTCATGATGTCAGTACCATAGGGTAACATTATATATAGCAGGGGTTCATCACCTCTTAATGAATCAAGGCAATTCCCCAGTATCATCATTGCAACAGATCTCCAGGCTCACGTAAGGGCCATGTCTCAGAGCCTCTCCTTACCAAATATCTCGCTTACCCCATGAACTCTTATTCATCTTCATCCATCTTCCTCGCTAGAATTTCTTCTCTCCACCACCACATCAACGCAAAGCTCGCGCCTGGTCCAAGAAGAACTGTACTCAACGCCATCGCACCAAGAACATTGAACCAACTTGTCTTCAATCTTCTCTCGCTCTTCAAGTCTCTGAAACAAAGCAAGGTCCAGACCGCCGAACTCAAGAAGCAGAATATCTCATCGAACTTCAGCATTGTGCCTATGATTTCGGTCAAGGTATGCATTGCTCGTCTAGAGTCTGCAAGGTCCTTGAAGAAGATATCCAAGAACGGAATAGGCGTTACGGCATACACGTACCAATACATGCCGGCTGACACGATGGCGGAGAAAATATACGCCGAGCGAAGGTAGGGTAGATCTGCCTTTACGTTCTTGTACTTATCAACATCGGTGGTATCCTTGACGCATCTCGCAAATAGGCCATGAAATCCCACGATTAGGACGGGGAAGAATTGCCAGACATAATTCCAGGACTGAAGCGTTGAAAGCGAAGAGGTAGGCCAGTACGTTGCCGCCGTCGGGATACAGTACCCGATGATGATGGCTGGAAGTACAGTCTTTGCGTATGACACTTGTACGAGGCGGTTGTCGCTAGTATGAAATTTGGAAGCTGGGGTCATGATGTAGTGGAGGAAGTAAAATATTGGGGCTACAACACCAATGCCGGCTAGTTGCGCATAGATCATGAAGAACAGTGGGCTAAGATGAATCAGTTAAGTTCTCGTGTATCTATTGTGGAATATACTGACATAGTGGTGAAGGTGAAGAAGTTAGCTCGTCGACAGCTTTCGATCAACCATATTGTGGTGACAGCAGTGATATCCGTGAAGAAAGTCAATATCTGTAATCGCTGCGGCGCGTAGAGGTTAATAGTCCCGACCGAATGTCGAAGACTACCAGTAGTAAGAGCTGGTCACCATATCAGCTAAAGCTCTCTGGATAGAATGTTGAGACTCACTGTGGTCCAAGCCAGCGATGCTAGGGGTAAACGCGGCGACATAAAGTTTGACAACATCATCGAGCCCTTTGATACCAGTATATACCTCTTTTACTGGGACTCGTCCAGTAACATCTTCAACCCACGGCTTCGCAGTAACAGCCTCCAGAAAAGGCATCATCTTCGTCTGGCAATCGCCCATCAAAGTGCTTCCCATCCAGTAAACGACGAGTAATGGCAAAGCAAACATAGCTCTTTTTAGCATCTTTTCGCCTTGCCCATAACCTCGTTTCGGATGGAACGGCATGCTGTTCCCAATACTGCGTTTCGGCCTCGGCAAGAAGTCGAGTTTGACAGCTCCCACCATAGTTGCTGCCCAACTATCAACCAGAAAGTCCGCTGCGTTCGGCATAACATACAGAGCCAGAAACTTGTCCTTCATAGTGGCCATTGCTTCGATGCGAGTAAAATCGTTTGCTTCTTGAGTGATATACGTCATGCGGTCTTTTCGGACATCGTGGAAGCTCTTCAGTGCTTTTTCGACGGATGCATAGTCCATTTTCTCGTACTTGTCGGTGTGGACGAGGTCGTAGATACAGTTGGCTAGAGCCCCTGCACTCTCTACACTCGCGTTCCCTCCTGCGCCGGCATTGGGTGTCATCTTATGAATCGAGTCACCCACACAAGCAAAGCGTCCGAATGTCCAGGCCTCATTATGTGCTTCCTCTGTTGGTACAAGATTGGAAGTTCTCCTCTTCGCCCAAATATCTCCAAACTTCGTGGTTCCATTCGTGCCACCGACGACATAGTCCGTGTACATATTTGCATAGCTTTCTGCGTCTGATGTCGAATACTTGGGGATATCAGGAGCAAAGTACCTCTTGGCAAGCTTTTTGAAGACGAAGAAATAGGTCCTGTTTATTCCGCCGATGATCATAAATGAGAGGTCTTTGTCATATGCGCGGTGCAGATCGCCTTCTTTAATGCCATCCACGGCTTCGGAGATGCCAAAGAGACAAGTGTACTCGGCTGATAGACCTGGTTGATGTTAGTCTTGAAGCGTTGACTGGGACAATACATGTCTTACTCTTCTTATCTTGCTTCATCAGCTCCTCGGTCTTCGCATCAGCATATCTCCTCATTTCACTTCTCACAAAACTGTGCACGCCATCTGCACCCACAACGACATCACCCTTATATTCCTTTCCATCTTCACACTTCACAGTGACACCTTGCTCAGAATGCTCAATAGTCTTGCATCGAGCATTAATCTGGATCTTCGACTTATCCCTAAGATTCTCGTACATGATACGCAAGACTTTCTCACGCTCCATAAAAAGGGGTCGATATCCAAATCTATTCTCATCAGCACATGCTCACATGCTGTACAGAAAACATACCGAGCCTTGAGCAGATCCCCCGCATAAGTAGTATTGATTTTCTTCCCTCTCACCCACACAATATCACCGTCCGGTCTAACAGCGTACGGTTCCAGCGTCTCATACATGCCCATCTGATCAAAGATCCGAGATCCATTGGGCAAGATACCAATACTGGCTCCAACTTGAGGAGCGATATCTCCTCGAGCTTCGAGAAGTACATAATCGATATTTCCTCGCTCGAGTGCGTTCGCAAGCGTGAGTCCAGCGATTCCGCCCCCGACGATGATCACCTTGAATGGTCTCCCTTCCTTCATGTTGAATCAGATATTAAAGACAGAGAATCTCCAAAACTTTAGCCACGGAATGGAGAAGAGAATGAAAGATGAAGTCCAGATATAAGCATCTCAATGCAACAATCCTTCCAACTAAGCACGCTTCGCTGCCAAGCAAACATCATGATCAGACCCACCGGCGCCGACCAATTACACACTCCTGTCCCCTCACTCCAAGAGTCCAAGCAGACTCCATCCCATGTAACTATGTACGTACACATCATCTCTACCAACGAAATCCACTATCAATTGCCTATTCCATCGGTTAATGAAAGAATGCATGGCCTCGGGTTCGGGGTGCTAGCCAGACAACAATTAGCTACTCTAGCCCTCGTACTTCCAACCTATGAAATTTTAGCTCCCGACTCGCTTGAGCCCCTTAATGCCAGCGAGGATGTAAGCCCAACGTACCCTGGAATTCTCAATCGGGGCTCATTGCGATTCATTGATTATATATCCGGATTCCCCAACATCAACAAATGAGGCTGGATGGAAATGCACAACGACAAGTTTGTACCACGTTCCACAAAACGAAACCCCTCGATTGGAACACCTCGTAAAATACTCAAGTCCCACGACATATGCCCTACATCATACGTCAGATTCTAATCGCAACGCTAACTGTATCGTTTCGTTTCCAGTAGTCCCGGGAACCTTCTTGGTTCTTACATCAGCACACTTCTCACTACTCTCATCCGCACCAACGTTCCACACCTCACCCACCAATCCGCCCCACATCCTCCTCACTCTCCAAGTATTGTACTGTACATACCCCGCGCCACTCTCCCCAAAGTGCCACCTCATTTCACGCCTCTCTCTCTCTCATTCTTTCTCTTATAACCCCCCTCAACGTTCCACGCCGCTCAAATACTTATCCCCCAATAAAATAAAACTCGCCGAAACACCCAACCCATCTCGCTTATCACTCATCTCCCCCCATAGAGATATCATTGGTGCTGATCTCTCTAGCGCTTAAGTCAGCAAGCAGCCTGCCTACCCAACCCAACTTCTGTTCGTAGGGCTGGCTGACAGACAGACCAGCAATGGGAGTTTTGCGATGAGCGTCTGGATCATCGCCGGTTCGTGGAGAAGATTGGTTGGAAGGAGGTTTATGGGACGGTAAAAGTTCTTGGTATCAGACCGACCCGGATGCTCCGGTGGAGGGGAATGACTTTCTTGATTTCTTTTTCATTCTCGAGCAATTATGCATTTTAGATAACCAAACGAAGGTAGATCTGTAATCGCGATCGAAATATCCAAGTCCTCACCTCAAACCAATCCCCAAGTCAAAATCCCAGCCCCTATCATCTCATCAAACAACACCTCACCAAAACCCAAACATCACATCACATCTCCTTTCTCTAAATTTCTGTGCTCCGAATCCCAATATCCGGGTCGCAACACTGCCCCCACTGCTAAAGAAGGAAGGTAGGAATATACCCTTCTAAAGCAGAGTCGTCACCAAACAAAATACAGATAGTTCTTTAGGAAAAATTGGAATCCTGCTCTTTTATATGCTTCATTATTTCGATTACGGCTTTGAGCTTAGTATCCAGCACCCGAACGGAGAATTATAAGTCAGGTACGTGAGGGAGTATCGTTTTATTGTTCGTTATGGTGTTGGAGATTTGTGTATAAAGAGGGGTATTGTATCAAGAGATGGACAGGCAATCAGGCATGGAATAGGTTGGAAGAGCAGACCACCTCCTAGCCTGTAGAAGAGAGATTGGGCTAGGAATGAATCTTACCATACCAATCCACAAAAAATATCACTCAAGAAACTCAAACTAGTTAATCATGGTCTCAAAAACATCATTCCATTCCATTCCACCAAATGGCGTCGTCCGTCAAATCTAACTGCTCCTTCCTCCTCTCCTTTCATACAACAACCCACTCCACCCATATACCTACAAACAAAATCCCTCATTCTTTGCACAGTCCATCCAAGCAAACGACCAACCGCCCGCCAATAATATGCAGCATCGTCCTTTCCACCCTTCCCAAGAACACTATCGTACCAAGGAAAAGCAAAACAGCCGAGAAAGACAGATGTCCCCAAATAAAAAAGCAGAACCAGCAAAAGGGTATGTAAGTCAAAGATCTCCAACCAAAAAAGGGGGTCATGCCACCACCGCTAAACAGCTTTCGTCAAAGTATGATACAGTGTAGAATAGTTAGATATATAAGGTAAGTAAAAAATGTGCAGGCCATCTCATCAGTCGTTATATAAGTTTTTCTGTTGTGTGTGGTATATCGTTCGGGGCAAGCAAGCAAATAACAAATATCGGAGCGAAAGAGAAGAACGCCACGTTGACTGGATCAAGTCGGATCGAGGTATATAAGAACTTTTAGGGGCGTGGGAGCGTCATGTCGAAATAAATATAGATGGTTCAGGACTCTTCCATGATGCCACCTTCTCCACCACCTTCTTCACGCCATTCTCGACTGCGTTCTGTCAGTCGCTTGACACCGCCAACGCGACCAGCCCAGAGGCTTTCAACAGGTGTTCGGAACGTATAGCCTCGCTGGCTGCTGATCACGCCAATAGCCTGGAGGACCGTCTTCCTGCTATCTCGTGCGAAGACAGCGGGATGATTGATCCATTCCAGACTCGATTCAAGTTCGGCATCAAGGGCAGCCACAGTATTGGGATCAATACCAGCAGCTGTACCCATTGACAGTGCGTCGTTGGAAGTATGGCGAGGAATGGGGAAGTTGTGACCAGACGAAGTGGTGTGAGCGGAAGTTGGGGATGGGGTACGGCGGCGATCAGGAGTAGCACTTGACGTAGGAGATGAATTATCCGTATTGGTGAGTAGGTTGCTGGGTGACTTCATTTGGGGAGTTGGTGGAATCGGTGGCAAGCCACCCTTTCCAAGTCCTTTAAGGATAGAGCGGGTCTCGCTGAGTAGATGTTGAGCACGATCATGCTGATTTCGAGAAACGAGGGTAAGTGCTCGAGTGAGCATGTCAGACGTAAGAAGTTCCATTCTCCTTTGAACAACAAGAGGATGTGGAGGGATCGGAGGACTGTTGGGCCATTGCGATTTCTTCTGTTGAGTTGTGGGCGCAGGTAGCATCGTGATCGCCAACAATGATGGACGTGGGAGATGAGTTACTGTGCCATCACGAAGAATGTCACCCCAAGTGAGGTCAGCTTGAATGAGTGGGACCTCTTCAATGGAAACGGTACGCTCGTCCTCCTTGTCGAGAGGACCACCAAGAGCTTCGAGACCAGACACGATCGATTCCCAAGGGTCCTGCGGAAGCTGTTCCTGGGATGCATTGTCGGGTGCGATGACAAGTTGTACCAGGATGTCTCGTTTGTCACCAAATCTGAGGTCGCCCAATGAAGCTTCCGCGTCTTTGCCCGTTGCTCGTTTCGTAATCTGCAAGGCCCCACTGATCTTGACGAACTTTGCTGGAGATCCTTCAGGGAGACGTAACTTCAGCTTTACATTTTGATGAGACATTGTTTGCATGGCGCCGAGACAGCCTGCGAGACATTCTCGTAACATCATCCAGTCTTTCACATAGGTGTATGATGCTTTTGTTCGGGTTGATAACTCGATCATAGTATCTGGCTTATGCGTCATGCCAAGACCAAATGAATGTATGGCGATTCTGTGCTTGTTAGAATATTGTGATTGTCGGAATCAATTTCAACTTACTTGGCTGCTTCAGCTCTTGATACAACAAAGTCAACGCTCTCGGCATCCGAGGTCGATGAATCGCTGATCAAGAGAATTGTGGCGACCGGGTTGCTGGCCTTTCGTTGCATGAGTAGATCCATTGCAACATTGGCACCATCAACCACGTCAGCGCGATGGCTCTTTTGTCCAACTGGTCTGATGGACGCGAGGATACTCGTCCAGCCATTCCAAGTCTTCGTAGTCATTCCAACCAGAGGTGCCGCTCCTCCACTTGACCCGAAAGTGACTAGGCCCATGCGATCGCGATCTCCTAAATTCTGAACCATAAACTTCAATGCATCCCGAACAAGACTGATCTTAACTCCTTGCATTGATGAAGAAACAGGGATAACCACGACGATATCAACGGGGACGTGGACAGCTGCTGGGAGTCGCATGTTTCTTGTGGCATTCGTGTATTCGGTCGGGGCAGTAGTAGTTGATCGAGGACCTCCATAAGAGGAAGAATTCAATGATGAGACGCGCTTTGGGTTCGAAACTCGTTGCCAATCTTCCTCCTCGGTCTCCGAAAGTTCATATTCAGGACTTCGCACAGGAGAGCCCTCTACTGCATTCAGGTCGAGAAGAGCCTGTTGCCAAAGTTTCAACTGATTTCTGTTTTCGAACCTGAGATGGAATGATGGCAATTCAGCCACGGAGAGACTAAGTGTCAAGATGTTCTCGTCTGCTGGGCGAAGATTAGACATTGTGATCTTTTCGGTTTGGCCAAGCTGGGCTTTACCACTGCCACTCTCAGTAACTTCATTCAGATGCTTCTTGATCAGAATTGAACCCTTGAGGGTACATCTAGTGTTCTTTCGTGGAGAATTCTGGTCATCCCATTGCTGAGGAACTGCGACCTTCTTTTCCTTGACGCAAATGAGCATCTCGGCAAAGAGGAAGCATTCTAGTTCCTGCCATGATTGCTTGTCTTTGCCAACTCGAATAGTCCCATACAGACGCAATTTTCCGAATCTGTCTATTCGTCAGTACAAGGTTTCAGCTTCCAAGAATCGTTGCAAACCTGTTGAAGTCCAAACCATGCCAGTTCTCCACCCTAGCTCGAAGACTTTCCGTGATCTCCTCCAAAACTTCGGCCGACTCGTAAGGGTAGAATCTTGGTGCACTCTGCGCTGGAGATGGTGGTCTTGCATATGTATCTTCTGGGCGAACAGGTGGGACTGGTGGGGCGCTTCTCAAATCATCGGGATCAGGGCGCCATTTGTTGTCAGGGACTTCGATTGTGACCAGGCAGGTGAGAGTTTGCTGTTGGCGTGATCGATTTAGGGTTGGGAATTCCGATCGCACGCTGACGGCTGGGGGAGGAATTGGATTCCTGGTGACACTCGCTCTCGGGCTCACTAAACTGGTCTCCATCGACTGAACATCGTAATCGTGGCGTCGTGGCGGTCCACTGACTGCTGTTTCTGGGTATCCAACTGATGAGCCAGCTCCAGTCGCTTCAGAGTCATTTCGAGTATGCGATGTCCGTGAATTCGGCACGTATCTGTTTGCACGATCTCGGCTATCCCTGCTATCTCTACTACTTCCACCACCGTTATTGCTATCCCTGGAGTCTCTACTGCTGTCCCTGGCGTCTCGAGCTTGTGGTCTTGATGATTCTCGACTTTGGGGTCGAACAGTCTGGCTGTCCCACGCTGTCGGTGTTGGAGTCTGGTTCGATCGGGTCGATTGGTCGCTCGCGGATACTGATCGCACAATGCTACTTAGCTTTTCTGTAGTGAAGAATCACCATCAGCCTCTGGTTAGGGAGCACGAACCGCTTTCGAATTTCTTACCAATATCCAGCACATTTCCTCCCCTACTTGTGTCAAGTCCTAATGGTGCATTGCATGTCGGACAGTATTGTGATTCGAACTCCTTGATGTATTCGTAGAAGCAGGCTTCGTGGGAGACGTGACCGCAGGAGAATTGGAGTATCCGCTCGCCACGAAGGGTATGTTCCAACGGCTCCTCGCAGACGGCGCACTCACTGCCGACAAATGTCCTTTCCCGCCTTGTACGACTCCTGTCTGTGTCGAGCATACCTGCCATTCCACCTCCTGCTCGCTTGCGCAGGTCACTAGAGAGGGAGAGAGTCGAGTCGGTGGCTGTAGGATACTTATTCGATGCACCCCGAGTAGAGTCAACGGTCATAGAAGAGGACGAAGCGGCGGTATGGTCTAGAGAAGAAATTCTAGGTCAGTAGTTGTGGATTGAGGTTCGGGTTCACCAGTTGTTCAGTTGTACTCGAAGACTGGAGGGGTGGAGAAGGGGATAAAATTGGCATAGACCTGAAGCGTACTCTTTTTGGGATGGGATCCTGCAACGCGTGCTCCACCAGGTTCCTCCCTGCCCTTGTTCTTCTCTCGCCTCCTGGGTCTTTTATCCGAGTCGTCCAGCAGTCCAAGCTCATACAACAGCGAAACCTCGTCTTTCTTTTTGGCTCCCGCAGCGGAAGGATCTTTGGGGAGGGGCGGTGTTCGATTGCTAGAAAAGGAGCGACCAAAGAAGTTTTTCGACATGTATTATAGTAGTGTCTGCTTCTTGGAGCAGACTTCTGGAGTAGCGGCCAAGCGGGAAGATGTAGTCGTCTCCCTCCAGTCTGGAACTAGAAGTCCCTTGGGTACTGGGGGCTGGCAGGCAGGGCAGTGTAGTCCTAACTGTTTTTAGGGTTCTAGCGGACCTAAGGACTCCTGTTTCAAGGCCGACACAGTCGTATCGCGGTTGAGCCCGACAAAAAGAGGAGGGGAGTGTCCAGTAGCTTATGTATGGAGGGACGTAGTTCAAGAGGTCGTCAACCCGTGCCAAAATGGGTTAAATGGGCAGAGCAGACCAATGTACACAAGGCGCAGGCAGGTATTGTAGAAGCCGGCGAGCGAGTGAGTGTATGTGTGCAGAACGAACGGCGTGGTCGACGATCTGCAAGTGCAATTGAGCGTCGTTGATGGACCGACCGTTGGACCGGATTCGTAGACGGATGTCAGGCAGAATGGCGCACAGTCGTCTGGCGTGGTTCGAGCTCAGTTGCAGTGCACTCACTCACTCCGAAGCGGCGCTGCAGCTTGTTGGGTCGCAGTAGTGGTGGTTGGCGATAGGCAGGGAAGAGAGTGGATACTGGAGCTGCATGGAGTGGACCGGGATGGAGAGAGAGAAGGAGGAGGGATCAAGGGTCATGGAAGCAGCACGCCGTCAGGGCACTTCGGGCGTGCCTGGCACAGCACTGGATATGTCAACCTGCAGCTGATAGTACGACGAAGTCCTCCGTCCGCGCAGCAATCGTCTGCAGCAACTGGATGAATAATGACGGTTGGAGGTGGACGAGTGCGAGTGCGAGTGCGCTTGGATGGATGGATAATTGAGATGATGACGAGGAACGAGGAACAAGAAGGGAGAAGAAGGAAGGGCCAAGAGGAGTACCTGGGCTGCAGAAGGCGAACAACAGCAGCGTATTGGATATTTGAGAGAGGTGTCTGAGCATCCGTCTGGGCCCGGGAAGGCAAGGCACGAGGCGACATCGTCATGGCCACCATGGCATGGCATGCCATGGCTGCGCTCCATAGAAAGACTCCGACTCATGGGTTGTCGAGTGAGTGAGTGAGAGAGTGAGTGAGTGTCTGGCCTGCCTCGTCTCTAGTCTCTCGTCTCTCGCCTGCCCTCGCCGTTGCTCGGGCTTTTTCCTGTTCGGTGGACTGCGCAACACAGAATTGGTCAGATTGAGTGAGTAAGTGAGTGGCCTCGGTGGGAAAAGTTTGGGTAAAGAGATCCTGGATGCCCTTTCCCTTGTCTTGTCTTGTCTTGTCTTGTCTTGCCCTGCCCTGCCCTGCTCTGCCCGGCCCGGCCTTGTCTTGTGCTGCTTGTGATTTGATGTGCAGCAGCGAGCCAGTCAGTGCCGCGGTCATCTTCTGGGAAGGAGGGATGATGCTGGACCGCCCATGAACCAGGGTCTGAGGAAACGTCCAAGCACAAGAAAGAAAGAGCCAGACCGGCGACTGTTGGTCGTTGACGGAGAAGACGAGGGGAAGAGCGCAAAGGACTGCATTGATGCTCGATATGGCCTAGGAGCGTGGAGTGCGCGCAAGTGGTGTTGAGTCGTGTTTGCGCTCTTGTGCAGGCAACGGAGAGTACACCCGAGCAGAACGGAAGTCGAGAATGGCCCCCGAACGCCTTCTTTCCCATACATTCTCGGCCCAAAATGTCTCAAATCCCTTCCCGTGGCGTCAATTGTGGCTTTGCTTCTGCTCCTTCTGTCTTCTGCATGGCTCATGGCTCATGGCTCTCTCTGCCTTGTCTGCCGTCTTTCCTTGCTCTTTTCTTCAGCACCACCACCAGCAGCAGCCACTCACTTACTCACTCACTCTTCCACTTCTCTGCTCGCCTCTCTCTCCACCTCCACTCTCCACTACAGTACCGCGATATAGCTTACTCGTGCAGCGCATCCTCATGTCTCCGAGAGACTTGCCTCTGGCACTTGGGCACCGCATCGCAGTGCAGCAGCGTGCATTAGCTGGTCACGGTAGTCTCAGAGAGGCATGTGCAGTGCGATCACTCCTGCAGTCGCTCATCGAAGGCAAGACCAAAAACACCTTGGCAAGGGACTGCAAACCTTCTCGAAGCTTAGCTGAAGTCTCTGCTCTATTCTTGCCAAGATCATCATCTATCTTAATGTCCGATTCATCTATATTACCGACTGCGATCTAGTGTCGTGTTGTGCATGCATTAACATTCCTGTATTATCGCATCCCGCACGTGTCTCTTGCACATCATCATCCTCATGGGCATCGCGGCGTTGTTTTCTTTTGTTCCACTGCAGCACGATGCCACCTGCCAGGGACCCAGCGAGTCCAATAGCAGCGCTGTTCCTCCTGAGTTTTGCATTCCCTGTTCCGCACCCGATTCTGGGGCCACTTCCAAGGGGCTTCTAGGGGCAAAAGAACAATCCTAGCCCGCCCAGCGGCCAGAATGGTGGATGCAACTCTGGTTGGACCAGGGGAAGTGGTATCGCGAGATCCGCCCGCCAGACATCACCACTATCGGACAATTCTCCATTCCATACCCTGCGTCCCCGTTAGAATCAGACCTCGTCCTCCGACCCGAAGCCCTATTCCATGACTGACAGACAGCGGTGCGTGGAACACTGGAAACTTATGACTTGGGATGTATAGAAACCTTAAGCCGACACTCGTTTCTCGGTGCACGGTGAGGTGAGACACAGACATGTTCGCAGGACTGACAGCTGCAGGGTCGGTAGACACATGTTTGTCCTTCACGAGTCAGTGCTTCGCAGCAGCAGATGAGAACGAGGAAGACAAGACATGCATCACACGTTGCTGCTGCTGCTCCTGCTCATCCCAATTAGGCAACCCAGCCTGCATACAGCAGACCATTGAAAAGTAAAAGTTAGAAGCGGGTCCAGTCTTCCAGAACCAGAATCTTCAATTCCAGCATTCATTTCTTTTGAGCAGCGTGCGCTGTCAGATATCGATTAGTTAGATCATCATTTCGCTAGCATCCGAAGACCTGGGACGTTCGTATAAGATTTCCCCTAAGATTTCCCTTTTCTTGCTCTGCCCTACGGACATGAAATGGAAGACATGGCTTGAGGAGATGAGGATGTCGCCATCTCCGCATTCGATATATTTCCTATTCTCAAGAAAGTTTCCTAGCATTTCGGGCCTAGTGTTCCCAGTGAGGTCGAAACTTCTCCGATGCCCTCCATTCTTTCACTCTGTGGACTCGTCCTTTCTCTCAAGATGCCCACCGGTACGAGCCTGGAAACCTAGCTGCACAAAGACACCGCGGCACTTGAGACGATGTCGGAGAGACAATCAAACCATCCATTAATCCGGCATGCCTCCATCGTCGCATCGAGCAGTTACCGACCCGGCCGCAGACGTGCTTTGAGTCCTTGACATCTCGTAAGTGGATGCGTGTGACACCAACGAGGGTCAACTGCAGCATCCATCTGAAGTGGAGGAGAAAGACATCACCATACCAAACTCTACCCCAAAGTCCCTAGGTGGAACTAACCAGGCGCCTGAAACATGGCAGTTGTAAGTGTTCGGAGTTATCTCACCTTACCTATCCTTCTAGAACGATGCACTTGCTGCCACAGAAAGACCTGCAAGCAACATTTTCCTATTCCACGTGCGGGCTCCCCACGTGCATGATTCACGGAATCGCCCAATAGGTTTCAAGAAACGTTACAACCAAACCTTTCTTCCTTTAGTCTCCCTCGTTTGATCCTCCCAGATAAGCTTTTCTTTCCCTATCCCCCCACACTCTACAATACAGTACAATCAATCCTCAAAGAAGAAGGAAATCAACCTGAAACGCCTGATCCAGACCACGAGCGATCCCAAAAATAAACCTACCGTACCAACAAAAGACAACGGGAGGGCAGCGAAGCGAAGCCAGATTCCCAATCTCCAGATCCTCCCGCCCTCTCGCAATCCTTCCCGCTGAAACCCGTCTGCTGGTACAGTACACACATCTTTCACGTCAATGGGGGGATCCAAAAAGGCAGGTCCCACCAGACGACGCACGCAATCAATCGCTTATCAGCCAAGAGAATGGAGATGTAGATGTGATGTATGTGTGTTTGCGGCGTGTGTATGCGAGGGGCAGGGTCGAGGAAAAGGAAGTATTTATGGGATTGATCAGTGATCAATTAGTCATGTGGCGAAGGTTTCTTTGATTGCATTGATGGTGAGGAAGAAGGAAGGAACAACGGTTTTGGACCCCAAGAATCAGGTCATCTGGATTCTTGACATGCCTGATAAGTTATTCCTTCTTTGCTTGGAATCATTCATCCACGAATATCGCGATTACTGCCCTCCCTCCCTCCCTCGTCACTCGTGGCATCCAAGAACCGCGCTCATTCATTCATTCATTGATCGCACACCCCGACCCGTCCATACCCCATTTCCAAAACAACAACACAACTTCCCTTTCTCCTCCCTATCGTCCCTCCCATCAACCAAAAAATCTCTAGTTCACCCAAACTACTATGGCGCAAGTGCCACGTTCTGCGCACATGGTATCTGTCTTTCCGACTCTAGCCCGCCAGCGGACTATCCCTTTTTAGCGCAGCTCGTGTGTGGTTTCCGAGGTTTCTGAATTTGTGAGTGGTTGGGCGGGTGCGGTTCGGTCAGATCTCCAGATCGGCGGTGGGTGATCTTCATTTCTCTCTGGTTTGGAAATAGAGCCGTTTGACGGATTTGTCTTCACCAATGAAAAAGGAGATGTGTGATTTTCGAGAAAGGGAGGGCATAAAGATCTCATTTCGGAGTTCGATTGATTGATTGATGGGGGAAAGAAAGTTTGTAGGGTGCATTCTTCCTCGAAGGAAAGCTTATTTCGAAGGTCCCAGCCTCGTCAACCCTAAATCCCTACGTGGAAGAAAAGATCTCGATCTTTTTTAGCAAGAAAAATCGTATTCTTCATTTACTATTTATTTGGTGGTTTGTGGGTTTACTTTCTAGGGAAAGGGAAAACCCAACCCAATCGGACGGACTCCTCGGCCAGCCATCTTTTCAGTAGTTTGGAATGGTGCAGGTGTCAAAGCGTAGTGTAGCGTTCTACGCTTGTTCTAGTTCCGCGCGCCTTTTTTTTTTTTCGTGGCTTTCCTGGCGAGAGTCATGGACAGCACGATGGTTCGTCGTCGTTGCTTCGAGTCAAGGATTTACGGTGTTGCAGTGCGTCGAGGTGGGGATAGTAGACCCGAGAAGAGAAGAAATCAAGTCGATGGAGAGGTGGGGAGGGATTAGGGCGTGGCTTTGGTGGTGAATAGAGAGAGGCCGGTTGGAATTGGAAGGTTCTTCCCGATGGGCTTAGTGTTAGTTTTTGGTAAAGTTTATGATGCGCACTCTTCGATGCCTCTCTTTCAGTCTGCTTTCCATTTTATCGGTCCAGGATGCCAATGATACCTTACTTTACTAGATCCATCTCATCTTGCGAATCATTCAATTCCCAAACCGGTCGTTTTGCTGACGCAATGATCTCTCCCTCTCATCATACATATTATTTAGATACGGAATTCCTTACCACATCTCTCCCATCTTGCGAACAACAGTAAAGGAAGCCCCGCATGCCTAACTCAGCCTCCTCTACTCCACCTCAACCGCGCATCCGAACAGCACCGTAACTAACAAAGGATCATGCCTGCTCCAACGCACTCCACCCACCCAATGTGCAACCCTCCCGCCCTTCTAGAAAAGCACGTTCACCCCCAAACAGGAGTGATCCCATCCATCATCGAAACAATCGAGGGTAAGAAAGAAAGTAAGTCTATAGTTGCCATGATACTATAGGGGTCCTTCAATCAGTGCAGGTGACGACGCATCCCAGGAAACGAACAACAATAGACTTCGCTACCACCGAAAGTTAGTCCACTTGCCCTGCCTGCCTCCAACCCCAATTCGCTGAAGTTGCCAATCGAAGCCCCCGTCTCCGTTCCTACATACATAATTACATGTCCCAATCCTTCCAACTCTAAACTCCAGCACCCTCCGCTTTCCCCTGAATCACATCACATCACATCACATCAGCACCTGCACCCCCGTCCTGTACGAAGCCAGATAAGCGACCATCACACCAAGCAACCCCGATAAAGAACCCTGTCCTGTTCCTGTATCAGCACCGTTTCACCACCCCCGTCACCCCGCTGTCTCACAATTCCAACCACAACATTTGTCAATCGAAGGAATGAACGACGATGAGCAGCGAGCAGCAGCGAGCAATGAACGAAAGGGCCGATCTAGCTAGCCCGCATGTATGTATGTATGTAATCGGTTGACTAGCTGGAAGGGGATTTCCCTAGCCAGCCAACGGAGGTGTGAAGCTTTCTTTCGCACTTCGCAAGATCTACCCCAAAACCAACATCGGCGTCTGGCTACTTCCAACAAACAGAACAACGGAACGGCTGGTGATTCTTGTTGCAAGTCTACACCCGCAACCAGTGGCTACACAACGTCCACATTTCTTTTCATGTATGTATGTATGTATGTATGTATGTACCCTTCTCCCGATTTATATATCCGTGCGTGCGTCCTGGCGATGGATGTATACAGATCTCGTTATTGGGAGGTTATTGGGTGCTGGCACGGACGGCGGCCGGGTCACTTGACTGCGTTGCGATCCGAGCGTGCATGGAGAGGCGGCCATTCAGTGTGGTTGCTCCTACTTTTTTTGCTCCCTTCTTTTTGAGTGTTTGTCTGATGTTTTGGGGCGGATGCTTCGGATAGGCTAGTTGTGGAAGTCCGTGAGAGTGACGCCACCAGTGAAGAAATGGTGCGTTGTCCTTCAGTGTGCGGTTTTGATATTGTTGATGTTATTGATGTCGAAGGTGCAGTGTAGTCACACATCTTCAGCCTTATACTTCTCGTCTCCAGTATATCTAAGTAGCAAAGGCAAGCCGGGCTAGAACTCAAATAAATGAGTCCAGGATCGCGGGCAAGGTTCTCCGCAATGCGCTCTGTTCGTTGCCCCAAAGTCGGGAAATCTCTTTCTTTGATTCAGATATCTCTTGCGTTGGTTGTTGGTATGCATAAAGTCGGTCAATCTTGGTTATTAAGATCGACGAAGGGTCTGCTGGTTATGCGGTACCGGTCAATCATTGCTCGCGGAATGAATAACGACGAGTCCTTCATCCAGATGGTTCCGCTTCCCTTCAATCTTGATGTCTTTTGCCTGCCTGCCTGCCTGCCTGCATTCGATCGATCTCTCCAATGCTCCATTTACTCTCGACCACGTCACATAGTTAAACTCTATCCCACATAGATTAAATGCCCCACCACACACACACACACGGACCGAACCTCTTCAAATCCAGATGCTGCAACTCTCCCGTTGCGCAAGTCACTCTACATCCCCTTCAGTGGCCTGATGACGGCACGAAATGTAGAGATACATGCCAACGTGGCTAAAAGGGACGGTTACTCCCTAGTGTCGAGCGGTGTGAAGAGTTCGCAGCGGACTGTTGGGTGGTTCGTGGCTAGGGTGTCTGTGCGTGCGATCTGAGCACCACACCTTGAGTGGTTTTCTTGTCGCTGCTTTGATTTTCGTCTGCGTTTTATGAGATCAGGGAGTGCGGATCTGGAGAGGGGGTTTGGTGTTGGTGGGTGATGGGTGATGGGGGTATTGAAGATGTTGTTTTGGGGTCGAGGTTTTGGATGGATTGTTTGGATTGGGATCTTTGGAAAGTGCTGGAATGGGCTAAGTAGCTTCATTTTCCTCATATCTGTTTGAAAGAGTAGAATTGTTGCTTATTGTTGGGTTATACCTTGTTATGCTGCTTCGTCCCATCTTTTCTTACTCCAGCCCATATCGTTTCATCATGCATTTGTTTGTTTTGAACAAGAATGAAAATAGAAAGCATCGATTGGGATCAGAATCCGCTTCTTGAAACGGGAATATTTGTTTCTTTCTCTCTCCTCATGCCTTTGTCGTCTATTCCAAGCTATCCAACTCAAATCCGAGCTTTAATTCCTTCTTCTCAGAAGGTATCAGCAATCCTCCTTCTAAAATCCCAAGTACCGAGACAGAATTCCCTACTAGCACAACTACCGCACTATCAAACTCTTCTCCCCATAAAACCCTAGATCCCGCAGCATTGACCATTGCTTATTCTTCAGTCCTGGTATCCGCCATCCGTTCTTTTTGCTCAGGGAGGTGCGTCTGCGTTTCGACTTCCATCCCCTAGTTTCCGGAGCGTTGGTGTTGGAGTTTATCTTCCTGGCTCTGATCTTCTCAAGCTTCCCTTTGTTGGGGATGCATAGTTGTTAGTCCCCTTCGCACTTGCAACAAGTTGATCGGCACATACACGTGCGACCTGCAAAGACAACAGTTACCAGAAAACAAGGTGCGATCCGAGCGCATGTCAGGTTAGGATATGATCTTCACCTGACTCGGCGGGTAATCCAAGAACGGGCAAGCGATCTGGGGATCTTTGCGCCGGGCCATGTGGAACGTGGATGAGGACTGTGCTTTTCGTTGAAGATGGGATTCCCTGCTTCTAGAGAGTAGAGAGTAGAGTCTAGATGCCATGTGGGATTCTCATTTCAAAGATGGTACTTACTTTTGCGGAAATTTACAAAACTCAAAGATAGATGTTTGAAGTTTCAATAATCGTCACTGAACTAAACCCCTTTTTTCGCGTAAAGGAATAATGGAGTGGAGTGGATACAGTTCCCAACCATCCATCAGCCCTACCCCACGGACCCTCAAAGCGTTTCCCGGAACACGGGACGCGAAGCAAGCTTCTCTATGTGATGAGATGTAATGTGATGGAGATGGGATCTGAGCGCGTTACATTGGGTGTGTACCCAAACCGCAGAAACACCCGAGCCGAAAAGTCGGGAAGGGAACCTGGGGATCAGATATAGTCTGAGCTCAATAATAGACGACGAGTGAAATGTGGTCGTGAGTGATTTTGGTAAATTGTTGTCACGGAGGAATATCATCTAATGTATTAATTACCTAGCTCGGAGAAGAACTACCGAACACGACGACAAAGTAAATTTTCATATAAAACAATTCCCAAAACTCGGTAACGGGACAGGGACCAGAACTCTACGTCCCGTGCAACGAGTCCGCTGTCCAGATTGGGAGATGACGTGAGACGACGGTACCGAATGGGATGGGGGATAGTCCACTTTGATAACGAGGTCTCGATATTAAACCTCAAACCAAGCGAATAGGGTTAGGTGGACGCATTGTCACTCTCGAAATTGAAACGAAACGAGACGGGAAAGAGAAAGAAAGTAAGGGTTGATTGATCGTCATCATCGGGTTGCGTAGGCCTATATTGTAACGTTGTACTACTGTATTACTATACTATGAATAGCAACCCGGATCGACCGCTCCCGCTGTCAAACTATCGGCCAATCCTAGACAAGAAACAGAATGCGTCGTGATCACTGTGCCAGAGCACAAGGTGATTTGGCGTTCGCTTTTTGGGATGGCGAAAGAGAGGCGTATACGAGGTCATGTAATCTTGGAGATGAGACCTTTCCGCAAAGGGGACTTTTAGATTAAAGTCTCGATGTGCAACAAAAGATAATTCGGGCGCTCGGCCACGAGATACAGGTATCCGTAGATTGTTGAAGGGACTGGTTGAGAGTGATCCAAGAGTTGTGCAGCAGTAAGCTTAGAATATTCCGGCTTGGTACAGGTGGCCGAATCGGGAGATGCGTTCGGTGTCCGATACGAGTTTTAGAGATCATCTTGCATTACTTGGCAACCTGGAGTGTGATGCTTGATCTTGGTGCTTGTGGGCATTGTAGACTTGATCCTCGCTACATTCGATGATGATTTCTGGTACTGTTTCTATTGAGAGACATTGTATCACTTTGTCGCTCATCAAGTCTGCCGAAGGTTTCCCAGGTCGAGGGACACGTCCTCCAGCAAGCTCATGAGGTCCGCACCCTCCACTTCGTCCGGTAAGTTCTGGACCAAGCGGCTGAGCTGGTTTGTAATTCCTGAGAGAGCGGAGTAGCTCGTGATATATCTCTTCATCATACCACCTGCTGCTTTCGACAATAGTGCTGTCGACAATTGTAGCATCGCGATCTGAAATTCAAGAATTATAGGCGAAGGTGTGGTACTTGGAACGTTCATCGATGCCGTAATTGTTACCATCTTCATCCATGCCTCCTCTGGAAATGAGGTTGACTGGTGATCAATAACAGCTAAGAGGACTCGGACGATTTGGAGCCCACGATTGGCCTCTCCCAGCGAAAATGTTTCTTCGACCCCCTCCGGTTGAGCTATGCTTCGAATAATAGATTGCAGATCCTCGGATACAACCTGCCATCCGTCATGGCTCAAGAAGGCCTGCGTACCATCGTCCGTAAGCATGATTCCTTCCAGAGCAAGTAAGATGGGATAGCGAAAATCCAATGCTCCTTGAGATTCTGACTTGTAAAGTTCTACCAGCATGTCCATCATGCCTGCAGCCTCGTTTCGCAGATTGTCGTTTTCGTCTTCTCGAATCCAGATAGCCATGGCTCTTATTTCTGCTAGAACGAGGGGATCCGTATGGACACTGTCTTTGATAGATTCCCAGGTTAAGGTCAGTCGTGTTCCTTCAGAAGTTGCCGCGGTTCCACTTCTCGCATCAGGATGCAGGCCAGCAGCTCCAGCTATGGATGCATCCCATCGATCGCGGAGATACTCGATCGTGAGTGATATCGTTTCTGCAATGTCTTTGCGGAGCTTGAGTAACAGATCCGGGGCCATACTGAAGCCAGACGTGTTGATCTCTTCATCGAGGCTTCGAATGAGAAAGGCTACAAAGCTTGAGAGGACATCGAAAGCTGCGGCTAGCCTTTGAGCAGTTGCGGGGTATTGATCGTTATTGAGCTGTGCAAGTAAGGAAGGAAATGATGATCGAAGATCGATGAGTAGGAGGTTAATGAAGAGGTAGGAGAATGGCTTGCTGTCAGACCCATCATGATTCTCATCTTTGAACAGCAGAGAAGGGCACGTCGCTGGATAGGATTGAAGAAGGGCAGCTGCTAGCTGGGTATAAGCTGCTCTACCTGCTGCAGTTGGCTTGGTGGAAACAAGCTTTCGCAACATAACGATGAGAGATTCTAGCCATTTTGGACTGCTGGGAAGAACCTGTGATCTGTTAGTGCTTTGTCTCTCTATGGATGAAAACTCTACGCACACCTGGATCGAGTTTGGGAAATAAATTTGCCACGAAATTTAGAAATGTTACTCCATCGGTTCCTTTGAAACTCCTTATTAAAGTTGGAATAATCTCGTTGATTCTTCTCTGAACCATGGAGACTTCTGATGGCATCAAAGACGCATTCGTCCAGGTAAATGAAAGAACGTCTAATGCAAGAGAATACTGGCTAGCAATCTCTGTTAATGGAGACAGATCCTCGTGGTGCAGCAACTCCAGGGATCCCTCAGGCTGGCTGACAATTGTCAAGAGGGTTTGCAGAATAAGTTGTGTGGTCTCGGGAGGACTTGAGGAGCAATGTCAGCAAATATGTGAAGGTGATTTAAGGCACGAACCTTTGTACTAAAGCTTTCACTAAAGGGACTGTCCTTCCTGTTAGTCTTTTGTCTCTTCGACAATCTTCTGGCAATAGAATCGAGAATGTATGGAGCACAGCTACCGCAAGATCAACCATATCTTTTGAGTCCGCATGGCTGAGCTTCTCGTTCTGCCTTGCACGAAGTAACCGGTCCAAGAATTTTGGAGATATAGAGTTCCACAGATCTTGTAATTCTTTTGAGTCTTGGGCGAGGTGACCATTGTCGAGAACAGACTTGAGCAGCGCAAGCCCTACAAACCTGGACGTATCATCTTTTGCCTTGAGAAGGTCTTGTATTTTCTCTAAAGTAGCCGTCGGTCCAGACAAAGTCTCTTCAGCCATGTTGAGAGTTCTGAGAATTTATCAGTCAGGGGATGGTCTCCTTGAAATAATCAGAATTTCTATATTTTGTCTTGCTAGAAAATTATGACCTAAAGCCTGAAGATCCGGCAGTTTTAGGTTCACCGCCTTGACATCGCCCAAAGCGTCAACAGCCGCAGGCTTCAGCCTCGATGACCGAAATGTTGCACATGGCAAAGGACACAACAATGCAATTTCCAACAGATGTATGAGTATGGCGAGCTCATCAGCAGGTCATTACCTGTCCGCAGAAGAAGGGAGTTCGTCTTCCTCATCGAGTCGAAGTCCACCGAAGCCCGCAGCGATCGAAGACGACAGCGATAACGATGATCCCGTCGCGAACCATTCACGAGATCAGACATTGCTCTCCGAAGATCCTCTCGAGTCCGACAGTCCGGACATATTATCTTTCAAGCGAAAGCAGAAGCAGTCTGCAGGCTCAAGATTCTTGTCTGTCTTCTCTGGGAACAATTCACGACAGACTACTCCTTCTCCCAGAGCCGGAACTCCGACATTGAATTCCAGTCGATCGCATGGTCTTAATAATCTAGGCGGGAGTAGAGATGGATCGAATGGTTCTGGCACAAAGGATAGTCCCTTGGACTGGTATGTTGAGGGACCAGGTCGCAGAGTTGGATACCAAGACTTGACAGCAATCGATTGGATTTTTGAATACACGAAGGAGAGGCAGCGATTACGCATACTCTACTCTACTGGAACCGGCATCCTTGGATATGCACAACAATTCTTAGACGCAAGTCAAGTCTGGATAGTACTTGTCCTCACTGGGCTGGCTGCTGGGCTTGCTGCTGCTGCAATTGATGTCGCAAGTGACTGGTTGGGGGATTTAAAGACAGGATATTGCACAGCTGGAGAGGATGGTGGTCACTTTTATCTGAACAAATACTTTTGTTGTTATGGCTTTGATGGGTTCTCGCAATGCCGAGACTGGATACCGTGGAGCCAGGCGCTCCATATCACATCCTCTGGAGGCGTATGGTTTATAGAATACTTCTTCTTTATCTTGTTCTCGGTAAGTTTACTTCGTACACCATCAAAATACTTGCTAATTCTCAAGGTTTTATTTGCAATTACTGCGAGCGTTCTTGTGAAAGAATATGCATTGTATGCGAAACATAGCGGGATACCCGAAATCAAGACTGTTCTCGGAGGCTTCGTGATACGAAGATTTATGGGGACATGGACATTGGTTATAAAGTCACTTGGGCTTGTGAGCATGCCATACATTCTTGAAAATCGAAAATGCTAACATCCTCAGTGTCTCGCAGTGGCTTCCGGCATGTGGCTTGGCAAAGAAGGTCCACTGGTGCATGTTGCATGCTGCTGTGCTAATCTTCTAATGAAATTGTTCAGCAACATCAATGACAATGAAGCTCGAAAACGGGAAGTATTGTCTGCTGCAGCTGCTTCTGGAATTTCAGTGGCATTTGGATCACCCATTGGCGGCGTTTTGTTTAGTCTGGAAGTATGTTGTTGCACAATACTAAGGTGCTCAAAGACTAATGGCGTACAGCAACTCTCATATTACTTCCCAGACAAGACTATGTGGCAAAGTTTTGTTTGCGCCATGACTGCTGCTGTGATGTTACAAGCTTTCGACCCTTTCCGAAGCGGTAAGCTTGTGCTTTATCAAGTCACTTATAGCACGGGCTGGCATGGATTCGAATTGGTTCCATTTGCTATATTGGGAATAATCGGTGTATGGTACCCCTCTCGAGTGCGCAGTGATCCTGCTAATCGTTACTAGGGCATATATGGTGGGCTGTTCATTAAACTCAATATGAAAGTCGCCCAATGGAAAAAGGCAGCCACATGGCTACCCGGCCCTGTCACTCAAGTCTTAATAGTCGCGCTTCTCACTGCTTTAGTCAATTATCCTAACTTCTACATGCGAGCTCAATCATCAGAACTCGTTGAGTACCTGTTCGCGGAGTGCTCAAAAGTCACCGATGACGTATTCGGTCTTTGTAAGACAGGATCAGCTACTGTGGGCACGATATTCTTATTGGTCTTTGCAGCTATTCTAGGATTCTTCTTGGCTTCGATCACATTTGGGCTGCAAATTCCTGCTGGAATTATATTACCCTCAATGGCAATTGGTGCTCTTTTCGGCAGAGCTGTTGGTATTGTCATGGAAATCTGGGTCCGTAATCATCCCAACTTTTTTGCTTTCGAAACCTGCGAAGCAGATACGGCTTGCGTCACTCCTGGTACGTATGCTATCATTGGTGCTGCTGCAGCACTTGGAGGCGTGACCCGTATGACAGTATCGATCGTTGTCATTATGTTCGAACTTACTGGTGCACTCACCTACGTTCTTCCCATCATGATTGCTGTCATGGTCAGCAAATGGGTCGGTGATGCCTTTGGAAAGCGTGGTATCTACGAGAGCTGGATTCATTTTAACGAGTATCCGTTCTTGGATAATAGTGAGGAGACCCTCATTCCCGACATCCCAGTCAGCCAAATCATGACTCGCATCGACGACCTGGTTGTATTGACAGCCACCGGCCATACCATCGAGTCGCTCACAAACATTCTAGCAACTCAACCCTTCCGAGGATTTCCGGTGATCTCAGATCCGCGCGAAGCCATCCTCTTAGGGTACATCTCTCGAGCAGAACTCGAGTACAACTTGCGTACCTCAACACAGGCGCCACGCTCCCTTCCACCAGAGACGGAGGCCTTTTTCTCCCATCAGCCACTGGCAGATCCAAGAACAACACTGGACCTTAGACCCTGGATGGATCAGACTCCGCTCACCTTACCCTCCCGGTCGAATCTCCTCCTGACAGCAAACTATTTCCAGAAACTCGGCTTACGATATGTACTATTTAGTGATAGAGGGGTATTACAAGGATTGTTAACGAAGAAAGACGTGTGGTATGTGCTCAATGGGGCAGAAGAGACGAGGAGAACGATGGACGCAGATGATACCATGACAGGTCTCACACGAGAAAGTGGGCATGGAGAAGAGCAGGGCTTGCTGGGTTCAGACGGTGATATGGAAACACCTCTAAGTCCAGAGAGAGACGACACTCCGATATTATGACATGATAGATCGAATGACTTTTGAACATTTCAGCCTTTTTGCACAGCTTTCCTCATCTTATTACTTTCCCTGTCCTAGTGGTTCAGGCAATTATATTATTTGATAGACATGTTTTCTCTAGATCCCGTCCTGGAATCTTTTCGTATCTGTTTTTTTCTTTTTACGTTCTTTGGCACATGATTCCATTCTGACTTGACTTTTGAGGTCAGACAAGTGTCTCTCAAAGCAAGTCTTAACGTCATTTACCATATATACTTGCGGTAACCGTTGTGTTTCTTGGCGACTCGAAGTTGGAAATTCACATCTATCACGTGATCTGACCCATTCGTCCTATGGTTCGAAAAGGAATACTAAGGTCTTCTAGAACACGTCTGAATCCATCTTAAGAATAGCAAGATTAGGAAAGTTTGGGTCCCGCTTTCATAGCTTGAGTATGTCCAGTCCAGATTGCAATGCGCTACCAAGAAGGTTTCCCACCTCCAAATTTTGATCGCTTGCTGCTTCTCTTCGTTCATGAAGCAAAGTCGAGTAAATATAGCACTTTTCTTAAGTACCTGGAATTTCGTTTATTCCAGAGTTCGTCAAGCTCTACTCGAGGCACCAAGTCGCTCAATACGTTCGATTCCGAGTACAATATCACATCCAACCACCACCGCCGCAATGGAAACCGGCCCACAAACTCCTAATAAGACCGGACAATCGGAGTCTTCCTACGCAAACAATCTGAGAGTAAATAGCCATTTTACTTAACAGTCAATTCCCACAGCTCCACCTCCATCCAGAAGTCAGACATTCAGCAGATCTCAATACACTGCAGGTCGCCCAAATATGCCTCCAAATCAACGTCCTCAGACATCAGCCATCCGGTATATTTCATGTCCCTTTGGCCATAGGACTCGTATAAACAGTGTATATCAACAACCGAACATACACTTTCGATGTCCGACTTGCGCGGCTCTTCACATGGCGGAACAGGCGCAAAGTCAAGCCTCAGCTTGGTTACAGAGAACAAGAAACTCTGCCTCCGAGCTGAACGGATATACCTCCAGATTGCTAGGCATAAACCAAGCAGAGGCTGCTGCCATAGCTAGGAGACCGGAAGACAGGCACAGGTTAGGTGAGGACTTTATAGATGCAAGACTGGTTGTGTTCCAAGAATGGGATCCGGCACCACCTTACAGTGCAAACCCAGATGCCCCAGTCTATAAAGACGCACCTCCAGAATATCCTGGAACACCACCCGGATGATATTTTCCCGCAAGAGCGTCTCGGTGGTTGTAGACTATGGTTTTTAAGACAATCCGCAGTTCGTGGATGTCGGCTGCTGAGGAAAATCGCACTTGAGAAGAATCACACTTGAAGAAATCACACCTGAGGATTTTCTCATTCGAGACCGCAAATCATACAAGATTGTAGTTTGATAACCATTCCCACGCTGGACATTCAAGGAGTCAAAAGTCTTGAATAGATAGTCTTTCATTGCAATCAGGCTTACCTTTTCTCTTCAAGGCATGCCTGCGCACGGGTCGTTCAGACACTGGAGCGCTAGATTTTCAGGCTGATCGCGGGGTATGGTTCCCTGTCTCGAAAGTACGAATATAGCCTCTGGACTTGACAATGAAAATGAATGTCTGACCTCAAGTTCGTGAATGAAGCTTATTCCTTTCTTCTTTTTGTTTCTCAGAGATCTGTTCTGAACGTGAATGTCTCCGCCTTGGAGAAGACTTGGAAAAGTGTCACGTGACAAGCCCAGATCGTGCACTTCCAAGTTGTTACCTCAATACGTGGCAAGAAATTCAAGAGAGTGATCTTGTGGCTGAAATGGCTCCAATTACGTTCGAATGCGTGTAACTTAGGATCTAAACTGGTAGTGGAGGAGTGTACCAAATTTTCCTGTGTCAGTCTATATTAAAATCTACTTAGGGTACAACAATGATAATCCGCAGTGCAAATGAAAATATTCTTGAGATTTTGAAAAGTTGCTTAGGATGTTTTCGTTCGACATTCAGGATTTCACTACGACAAAAGTAATAATTCTTCCAAATCCAAGAGCCAAGCTCGGTAGCTTCAAACCCACACCAGCAACACAGAGCGCAAATATGTCTGGGCCCTCTGGAAATGAGCCCTGGAGATCCTTCCATAAATATGGAACTCAAAATTCATATGATGAAGAGATGTCCAGCAACGGAAGTACGCACTACCCGTCGAACTTTGGGCAGGAGCACGTATACCTGTCCACGCAAAATCAACGAACTCAAACGAGAACAGTCCCCGAGGAGAGAGACAACAAGTAGTATCATCGGAGAAGCTTTTTCTCGAATGGGACTCAATATCCTCAGCAGCAGGCCAACATCGCACCGCAAGGCGGTGTACCCATGCGAAGAGGCAATGGAGACAATTTGTCGGGCCGATTTGGAATTTCGACGGCACAGCAGTCTGGACCACAACAACAGTATGATCATGTGGAATCTACATTGACCTACACCGCTGTGAACAATACAAATACTTCCAGTACTTACGGGGATCATTCGATGCACTATGAAAATGGGTACGGACTGAATCAATACGAACAAAGTCAGCATGGACAAAACTCGATATACCACAACTCATGGTACAGTTCGAACTCCGGTATCGAGAACGGACATCAACAGCTCCAATCCCAGAATCCTAGCCAGCAGCCTACGGTGATGTCCCAGCATCACGAGAACGAGGCGCCTCCTCCATATTCTTTGGAGGCTGAAGCAGCGGCTACTACTTTGATGCAGCTAATACAAGCAAGTCAAGAATCACGAAGTCCGACCATCTTCGAACCACAACCTCAGCGACCACAAGTCTGGGATGGCGTTCATGAATCATTCCAGTGCCAAGCAGATTCAAGTCTACCTCCACCCCCAGACTCTCTAGATGAAAATCTGGACAAAGAAATAGAAAGGTGGACTCGAGAGCCGCTTGAAGATGTTCGCTACATGGAACCGCCGGAGGTAGCTCTGCGAGATTCACGTCGGATCGAATTTGATCGTACAATGCGTCGGGTTAGGGAAGAAATACAAGCAAATAGGCGAAGCGTTGAACTCCATCGCCGGAGACAGAATGGTCAGGTCGACATCATGCGAGTGGACAGTCTAATGAACTAACTTGGTTCTCGAGACCACGAGATTCTCGAATCTTTTATCAAACCCTGAGCCCTCAACTTCAGGAGTAATCACTTCCGACCAGACGAGCTTTAGACCGTCATATGCGCAAATTGCGCGGCAACCGTATGTTGAAATTCGAGTCAATGGAGCTTCAACCGCTACTCATTTCTTGTAAGGCATTCGAATGGAGTCGACTCAAGTTATAGCAACCTAAATTTGGGACCGAGATGTGAGAGCTTATTGAACAAGCTAACAGATCATAACCCGAGTTCCGGGGTGTTTAAAGCCCTCAACAATTCACAGAATCTAATCAATGGCGCCTGAAGCGTCTGAAGACGCCGTAGAACTCTACAGCGTTAGTGACGACGAGCTAGAGCCCAGATCAAATCAAAGAAAAGGTAATAGAAAAGCTAGGAAACATAAATAGACGAAATTTGCACCCTCAGATCCCAAAATACGGATATCAAAGAGTTCTGCAAGCTTTTGTAGAGTGTCCAACTTACTGACATCAATGATTTATCGATAACACCACGAACCAACGCTACTGTAATACCATACCTGGTGTAAAAGATCACGGAAAATGCACATAAGCCTCGTCCCCATACAACTAGAGGCGAGAGCTTTGCGTCCCGATTGCCCAAAACTAAAATGCGAGTAAAATAAGCACGACTTTATGGATTTTATTTAAAGTTTTTTAATAACTTTAATAATTTTAGTAATTTTGATATTCTTAAGTGCTGTCACGTGCAGTTAGCATAAGAGAACTTTGGTGAAAAGGAAACAAAAGGCTGTACTGCAATAGCGGTTTCTTCGTCGTGTCCGCTACCACTGTTCTAGATTCGGGAATGGGGTCTGGAAACAGTGATTTATTTGGAGAATGAAAATTGGTAGAGGTTGCCTGTAAATGCACGTGGCATACTCGACTTGTCCAGAGACACAATGGTTAGTATTTAGTCATACTTTGAGACAATGAATGGAAGCCTTGTCAAATATTCATTGGTCATCCATATCCGACGTCTTATATCCCTCGCTCGCACCCGGCTTGGAGTACCGTCTTGAATGTGCCTCAAAGCGGAATCACGAGTGGGTCAATTGTTTGAGGCCCACCATCACGAAGGGCAAGCACAAGACTGTCCTTTCAATTGATCATCGCTTTGCCCTCTCTTCTCTCGGTCTTCGGCAACCCTCAAATCTTTAAATATGGGCCAATATTGGTACTTCGCAAGATCAATACTAGCTCCAGTGCTCGGTGAGCGTCTGAAGTTTCCCAGTGACGGAACACCGGGACCCTAAGTCAGGCTAACTTTACTAGTTGCCGATCACTGCGTCTAAATGTACCCGCTGTCAAAGCTCTTAATAATGTTCTTCCCGAATTCGTTCAAGGTCAGGAACTCCCTCAGATCGGACTCCATAAATCATGAAGTGTTTCTCAAGTTCGCGCCCACATAGCGCTTAAGCAAGCCCCCCAAAAACTCCTTAACCGAAAACTATCCCCCATTCAGCTTACGTTTTCATCCTTTCTTTCTAGAGTATGACGGCTCGCACAGTTTTCAGATCAATTCCCGTGCCGAAAACTAAGTGGACACGGGTTCTTTTAAGTTTTAGATCGAGGATTTGAAGCATTCGTATCCGAGTCCGAGCACCGCTAGATTCGTCCGAGGTCAAAGTTTGGAGCCACATTGAGCTTCTCGTACCTGAAATCACGGCAATCAAAATATCGCCGAGTCCTTTTTGCGGCTTTGTACCAAACACGTGTATCTCTCAGATGTTGAAAGAAACAGAATTCTGCCGAACATATGACCGTCCCATTTTATCCATGCTCTCAGCTTTGACATAAACAATAGTACTGAGCCGTGCAAAGCTTTAAACTTGGCATACACGAGAGGTGGAGATATACTAAAGACCGCCTACTTCAAAGAAGCTCGTTTTGGTGTCAAGAGGTGGGGTATTTGAGTTGAGAGACTCTTTGATACTCCACTTCCGACCCTTTTTATGTATATATCTTGCATTCCACTCTCTCTTACTTTCCAGATAATCCTGCTCAAGCCCTCGTTCTATCTCCAATCTTCTTCCAACATGCATCACGCTGTCTTTCTTGCGGGCTTTGCTGCTCTCACAGTCGCTTCTCCAGCTTCTCAAGTAATTGACTTCGCTTCTGTCAACGCCGCACCTTCTCCGTCTCTGACTGGCCCTCCTCCGTTTGCTACAATCAACGAAGTCTCTATCAATATCGCTTCAGTCGCCGCAGAAGGCTCTGCGGCGGTAACTGGAGTTGCGTCAGCTTCTGCCACTGCGTCTCAAGCAGTTAATGCAAAGCGCGTATGGGGCTGGGATGGTAGTTGGGGATGGGGATGGCCACCCAGCATTCCTACAACGACTTCGAAAGTCTGGGGTGCCACTACCACTAGCAGTGTTTGGCAACCAACTTCTTCCAAAACAGTGATGACTTCCTCCTCCTCCTCATCTCAACCAACCTGGACGCCAACCTCCGCCTCGTCCCAAGTCACAAGTGTCAGCTCTACAACCAGCTCGACAACTTCTTGCCCTACGACTCCTGAGCCAGGGACTTATTGCGGATTCATCAACCCTGAAGATGCTTGTGCTATTCAGTAAGTGTTGCGCCGTCACTCTGTGGTAGTTTGCTGAACCCCACATAGACCAGATGGGTACGGACCCCATGTCGAGCCCGACACACCCGATGCATTCTTAGCTTACCCCGAGTTCCACGAAGAAGCTCGCGCTGCCAAAGCTCCAGCTGGCTATGTTGAGACCTTCGTTGACTTGAACGCTTCAGTCTCAGCAAACACATATCTTGGTCTTCAGACTCTCCAATCATACGATGTTAGCCTCTGTGCCCAATACTGCGACAGCAAAGACCTTTGCACAGGTTTCAATATCTTCTTCGAACGAGACCCTTCTCTCAACCCATCGGCAAACTGCACTCAGCCAGCTTCAATCACAAACTACAAGTGCACACTCTGGGGATCCGGAGTCTACACCGCATCAGCAACCAACTATGGTGACTACCGCGGAGAATTCCACGTCGTGATCACCGGCTCAGATGGATTTGAAAAGACCAACACCACCACTCCACCATCTCAACCAGGATGGCAACCACCTCAACAGTGCGGGAGTGATGGTGGTAGTGTCCACAACCACCCAAACAATTGCATGGGAACATCTTTCTTCCCTGGCCCTTACAACCCCGCTGTTTGCGCAAACTACGCTCAAGCCCAGAATAGCCAGAACAAGCAATCGCCTTGGTGGTCTCAATGGGTGAACGCTTGGACTGGCTATAATTCCCATCAGTGTGACTTCTTCAACAGCTACATGTTGAAGAAGAATGGACATCCGCTTGGAACATATTGCGCTTTATTTAGTCAGAGTTATTCTGGTGGGGAGGCGATATATACTCCTGGATGGCAGGGAAGTGATTACTGGAGCATTGAAAGCTCTTGGGGCTGGGAGATTGAAAGTAGCTGGTAAACTCCGTGAAAGATATTCAGGTCGAACATCTGAGAGTGAACTCGCGTCATTTCATTTCCGATGATCCCCTCAATTGAGAGCGTTCATCCTTGAAGTTTGTCTTAAATTTTAAACTAGCAGACTTCAGATAGCTTACAAGAGCGAAATGTGTTTGGACCCCAAAGTCAGGCATTAGATACATATTCATCATGTATGGACGAACACCTTCAAGCATGCACCGACTTTCAGACATCAGGTCCTGGATATACTGGCAAGTGTCAAGATGTTCCACGAGGCATACGGTCATGTGATTATCCATCCTTTTCGAACCCGTGGGGCCCGTCATGAGTAGTCTTCAGGCCATACTGCTTCAAATCACCATAAATACGCGAGTTTGAACTGTTGGTTTACAATTATCCTTACCTGGTTATTTGTTCACTTCGTGCTCGGTCAGGTTCTCAGAATTCGAGTAAATATACATTATCCAAGGCATTACTGTGTCGTGGGTGCCACTGATTGTGCTCCATTTTGAAGCTCTCCTCTAAGTCCTTAAACGGAAGAGACTTTATTGATCCAAAGTATACTTTTAGATCGAAAGACATTCATCCTCCGTAAAGTGCGTTCTTACTTTCGTCAGAGCATCGTAAGCTACAGATAGCTCCGAAATGGATGCTTACCCTTAAGAGACTTGTCAGATCATCACTTCCTCCATTGTTAGAATCCTCAAAAAAGATTATCTTCTATAACCAGCATCCACGACTATAAATAGATTCAACAACTAGGACTCGCGACTATTGAGAAATCTATTTAGATATTTCAAAGATCCAGATTCTGAATATATATACCAATCCAATAGTTTCGTTAGCATAACACACAATAACAGATCACCATCGGGGAGGATCAGAAACCTCAACTCTCCTTGAAGTTCTGTAAGCGAGGCTCACGTGATACCCCTTTTCGAATCCAGGCTTACTTGCGACGGATGCAACATGACTTGATATTGACTATCGAGTACGATATAGACAACAAGCCATGCAGGCCGATATCGGAAGACATCGAGCTCATGCTGTCATTGTGATGCTGGTTTTGATACCTTGCTACGGGTCTGGATGGAATCATCACTGCCGATCATGCTGGCAGCTTCTGTGAATGATTGATAGCCCTGAGGGGTGACAGTATTCTTCTTATCTTCTAAAAGCTGTTGCAACAATACAGCCGCTCGAATAGAACGACACGATGAAAAACTTGTGTACATTATAGCTTTTAATGATTCCCTTATTTGCTCAAGAGAGTGTACTCGCTAACAGAACCTTCTGGAGAGTACTTCCAACCAATCTTCGATTCAATTTATATGTCTGATTTCATCTAATCCTCTTTTCCATCGTAGCGTGAGTCCTTGTCTAGTTTAACTTGGTCACTTTGTGTTGTCCTTTGCTTTCGAATAGCGACATACATTGGCAGTCACAATATCTCCAAAATCCTTTGGAATGTTGAATTAAGTCCCCAGGTAGCGTAATAATGGTCATAATGCTATGGTTTACATTCAGACAGTTGTTTCAGATGCTGTAACTCAAGTGTATTCCAGAAAACTCTATGTGCTGGCCTTTCACAAACTGATCATCTTGAACGCTGGGGGTTTAAGTTCTAATTAACCAAGCACTTCAGTCAATAACTCGTGTGGGTCAGAGAAAGATCAAAAGACTAACGGAATTGAGCTTAGTGACTATCTTGAGCCTTGTGTTTCCCTTACTAGCAAGCCGGAGCACTCTATCTCGCTCTACCATAGAATCCTGAGGACTCAGTCAACACGGTCTTTTGACCCTTTTTTGACACACGTTTTATCATCTATGCGTCTCGCGGCTTTGTACGAAATCTCCAATAGAGGCACCTCGCTATAGCTCAGAACTTCAAGAATTAGAAAGGACAATCTAGTCATTCCGCGACACATACCACTTAGCTACATTAACAAGGGGAAACATATAATATATCATACCCCCTCGTTCGCGCCGAGGAGCTTAGTATGTCCAAAACCGCCAACCATTACGGAAAAAGGCCCACTTCGACAACGATACATCAACGACACTGGAGTCATTACAGAAAAGTTCCCTACATCTCAATCACCACGATACGCTCACCACAATACAAGTGTCCACCTAAGACCACCATCATCATCCAAGAACTTTTGCCATGTCTGTCACTCCACCAAAAGAGACCATGCCGATAATGACCATCTTGATTCTTACATGCATCACCTTGGCCCAATTCTGAGCTATGTGTCTTACAAGGATAACGATTGTCTGCAAACCTTTACTTTCCCAAAGTCGCAACATAACCCATTTAATGGTCAATGAACGTACATGCATCATGATCGCCATGAATTAGGTGCTTGTCATTTTCATTTTTATTTGAACTTGTACACTAATTGTTAAAGAATCGTGCTGAAATAAATGCTAGTCCATTCGGACCATCTTTAGAATTCAATCTTGGCATATTGCCATCAAAATGTCCGGCGTTGGCTTTGGAGGCTGACAACACGCTATAGTCTTCGAGTAAATATAATCCTTAAAATAACTCGAATGCCTGGATGAAATCTATCTTATGTAATGACTATTTCTAACGAAGTATTGTCTGAACTGGCGTTGCAATCGAAAATCACTCCGCACACAAGTACAATATCCAAAAAAAACTTCACACAATGAAGATACTTGTCCGTTGTCTTTTTCGGGATATTCATTTTACCCAAGCTTGACTAACACATGGTGCTATCATCCCATCTGTCATCGATCCGATCTTTGGTTTTCAGCTTGCTCTTGCTGTCAACACTAAATATGTTGTTGACAAAGCTAATAGAAATAGTAAATCGTAGTTGAGACTCATTGAGTCAAGGAGAAGATTTGAATCATTCCTGGAAAGGTATAGCAACTCTAGAATTTCTCCGAAGCTTTCTCCTACCAACAACCAGAATCTAGCTCTCCAAAGCTACACGGAGCTCAGAAGCCCGCCCCTCCATCTCTATCTCAAGACTCGAAGCACAACCTAAAGTCACACTTTATCAGCATCAAAAGTTGCGATCCCAGGTCAAAACCTCAGACATCATATCCTGAAAATAGTGGCAACTGTGAAGATTGAATGCGGGCCTGGTGTCACGTGAATACCCCTCCTTTTCGAACCCGCGGGGCCCCGACGTTCGTCAGGGACAGTTTGCAGGCCTCCTGCATTAAACCATTAGTATACTTATAAATCGATAGATATTTAATCTCTACACAGAATGGTCTTACTTTCGTTAAAGCGTGATAAACTATAAATAATTTTATGTTAAATACTTACCCATTTCAAAATCCCTTTCGTGACTATAAAACTTTATAAAATATCACTTCCTCTATTATGAAAATACAAAATAGATTATTTTCAATAAATAGCATCCGGGCCATAAATAGGTTTTATAATATAACCCACAATTATTAAAACGCCTTTAGACATATGTTTGAAGTCCGAAATTTCTAGAGCACGATTCAAATAAGTTCTTAAATGCAAAATAAACAACGATAACTTTTTTCCCAAGAGTCTCAACATTCGACTTAATACAAGGCTTGTAAGCGAGGTTCGCGTGACCCCCTTTTCGAGTCTAGGCTTGCTTGTGACGACGCAATATGACTTGATATTGACGATCGAGTATAACATAAGGAACAAGGCTACCCTACCGATATCGGATTTGAGATGGAGTTCATTGGGGTTCATTCTGTCATTGTAATGTTTGTTTTGATTCCTGCGTCGGAGCTGATCTAGTTCAGAACATTTGCTTGAGCTTGAAGGAATAACATCTCTTAGCGATCTCTCAGCAATGACAATAATTTTGTTGTACATTATAGTTAATCTTAATCCAACGAAGTCATTCATAGAGATTGCGACATGCGAAATCATGACAGACACTGGATGGCAAAAGTCGCGATCTGGTCTCTGGAATCATTCTAGTACGTAGGTTGTTTGCGAGTATTTTGTAAATCTTCTTCAGAAAGCTTTGGCTTTGTATTCATTATGATGGGTCTTGATGAGTGAAACATGATACGACCCACAGTGACAACCCAATTTCGATTCATATCTATTGTTTTCTGATGAACTGCATCTTTGCCCCCAAACTGTGTTTCATCATGTCCTTTGAATATCTTTGTCTTACTTGAGTCCATGCTCCACGATTTCTTGTAAAACAATTGTCTGAAACGACCTGAGGACTCAAGACTGATGCATTGTCATCTTTGAACTCCTAGACATTATGGAGTCCGAGCACTATTCTCTACACTTTCCACAGCAGCAGACATTGGAGCCGATACTGACTCTGATGCTTATCATGCTCATGCTAATTCCTGTCCGTAGTTTGCAGATCCTTCTGAGACCTAACAATAGAATCTGGCAATTAGTCTTTGCTCTCTATACTGTAGTCTGGAAAGCTCCGCATCAACTTGAATAATGTAACAATGTTCCTACTTACATCGAGAGCCCATTGTCTCAGTCACTTTGAAGACTTATGCGTGTTGTTTACTATCTTTGAAGGGACATACATTGTGACACTCGAGTACAATACACACACCGCAAGCACCCCTCAACTTGATTTGTTCATTGTTATGTTTGCACACAATCCAAAGCACAGATGCTGGTTTCGATGGAAATGACGACTTTCTTTCCATTGAGGTCTTTGTCGCATACTATGATTCAAGTCATTCTAGAGTCAGCTACCGACAACGGAGAACTGCGCAAAGCGTAAGACACTCCGTGCTTCGTATATACGGAGTCATAAGTAGAGTTTACTATATTATATTGAGATGGCAAGTCTTTCTCAGTTGCCAAAGAACTAGAGCAGGAACTTCGATTACTACGAGAAAGATCAACATAGCATAGCATCAAAATCGCCCGTCATGTCTTCTGGGAATGCAAATCAAAGTGGTAAAACAGGAGGCGCAGCCAGTAACCAAGGGTCAGTTTTTCAAAGGGCTGTTATATGTCCGCTACAAGAACGACAAGTTTGAATGCTAATATTCCCACAAGGTTATTGGGAGGGACCCAGATCAGGATCGGCGGCCATCTAACAATCGCTCCTGTAAGTTTTCTCTGGCTCAAGGCCCAAGATGGTCTGGTCCATTAACAAAATGAAGCAATATCCCGCAGGTGCTGCAAGTCAGGGTAAAACCTCGGCAGACACTTCGACGCAGGGCAGTTCCACCCAGAATACTTCGACCCAAGAGTCTGAGGAGGACAATGAAAAGAAATGAGAGCAGCAAAGGCTGATAGACATTTTGAGACATAGTAGTTGAGTCATAAAATGAGCCTACAGAATGAAATGCGTTGAAGTTACCTATGCAAAACTTTTTCCAATATGTGCCAACTGAACTCACAACAACTTTTGAGAATCTTACATAATATTAAATTGAACAACTCTCACTAATCAGATATAATACCAAATCATTGGCTTGGTTTGCAAATGGATTCATGCAAGAATATCAATCATGAAGTCAAGACGCTGAACCAACTTGCTTTGCTACAGGCGAGAAGATGTACAGTAGACATTTCATAAGAAGCTAAAAGGTAAGCATAATATTAGTGATAATCAAATGTTCATATTAGGAGCTCACTCACGTGAGTTCGATCATGGCCAATGGACACTTGCTTTCAAGGGCAGTGGGGTAGTGCTTTCGGTAATGGTAGTGCTCTGCTGATTGTGGCCTTCCACTCCGCAGGGTTCTCGACGGGTGCTCGCATAAGGCAACCTCGTAAGGTTCAACAAACAACAAAATCGCCTCGAGCATGTTTCTATACCTACTTTAAAGACCATATATTGAAAAGCGCTCTCGACTGGACTAAATGTTTTTAACGATCAATGACATTAAATCAATCTGTATGTGCGCATTTTAATAAGAAAAGGCTTGGGGTTCGTCATGCGTGATAGTCCTGCGTAAAATTTGCCTCACGAACTGATCTGTGGAACATGAGATGCAAGCATGCGAGTGGCAGTGCTAGCTGATCGAATCGTTAAGGTGGGATAATGAAGCATGACATAGCACTCGTCGTGAGCGAGAAACTCTGCCTGGTAAAGGTTGCACAACAGTCCCTCCTTGTCCGAGGTGTTGTCAAGTCTATAAGTGGCGCTTCCCTCTCAGAGAGCAGAAATCATAGTACGACAACATTCATAACGACACAATGTCTGTAGGCAGCGCCATAGAGGAATTGATGGAAAAAGGTCTTTCAGGAGACGGACAAGAAAGTCGTCGGCTTGGCGAGCTCTATAACGGGGAGGTTGCAAGCCCGACAACTAGTGCTACTTTGACAGCCGGTCAGGTAGAGATACGAGACTCGATGAAAGGTAAAAAATTTACATTGTGCAGATAGATATACGCTAACATTGAAAAATAGCGCCATTTCGGAGTGTATTTCGACTCAAGAGTTGGTGGAAGGATAAGAAGAAAAGAAAGTTAGCAGAGAAAACAGAAGAGAGTCCTACCATAATACGTCCATGTACGTAAGATTATAGAGCTTTCGGAACCAGAGAGTACTAACTTGGGATTATCAGTCACATCCTATCCCAGTGGCTATCCCCGCCTGGCAAGTATCATTGATAGCGATGAACGCTTTATGCTTTATCGCCGCTTCGGCATACTTCAAACCCGCCTCTTGCTATACAAACAAGATGAGTTACGTCTCTTGGAAAGTAGGCTTGACGACCTTGACCAAAATTGTTTGGCGAGCGATCATACTTTACTTGCATCCAGAGCCAGAGAAGACATGGTTTCTGACAAGCGAAATATTTTGATGTCAGAGATTGAAAGCAAATATCAAGCATATGGTAACAACAATTCATCGAACTATGCCTGGCATATGACGAGCTAATGTTATTTAGGAGAGCTGCTTATACTCTCACGCGATATAGCAAGTCTCGAATCACCGACCCTACGAAATTACCTTGATATCAAGAGATACTTTGATCTATGCAAGCCTCTCTCCCTCGAGGAAACATACATTGGACATCAAAGCGATATCATTACCTTAATGCCAAGTCGTGATATAACCTGGTTGGATAATCTCATCCAGAAAATGTTTGACAAATTCGAAAGGAGTCAGAACAAGTTTATGCGGGCATGTCCTACAGCTACCCCGTATATGCGTGTTGTAAGCTGATAGAAGAACAGTACTTTTTCGTCGCAAAGGTTGAATACCCCTTTCTTGACATACCGTGTACTAGGATTGACGCAGGCATCAGAAAGTGGCCCAGAAAGCCGACATAGAACATGGCATCACACTCTATAGCAGTCGAAGATATGACGCATTTGTCACCCTCATCGTTCTGGCTCTCATAACAGCGTTGATGATTCTCCCTGTGTATGTCATTTGGCAACTTACTAGAGGAAGCGATTCGATCTCAATCATCATCTGTGTTTTACTTGTCTTCACGCTGGTGTTCTGCCTTGTTCTGCTCAAGTTCACTCGCGCGAAGAGGCATGAGATCTTGGCAGCCGCGGCCGGGTGACTCTCCTCTTCGAAGATTTATGAAGTGAACGCTGACGGTGAGCAGATACTGCGCAGTACTCGTCACCTTCATGGGTAACGTGGGACAGTTGAATACACTGGGATCCGGAAATGCTGTTCAGAATGGGACAACCAATTTCTTCTCAGGGTAACGTGCTAATGAGCAGGCAGTCAGAAGACGATGCCGGATGAAGAAGAGCTGCAGGGGGGCTTCATGCTTTTTGCAACTGGGTACCATTATGAAATACGAGAACGACATCAGTTGCAATAGGAAGGACTTGAGGATTCTAGGGCTGTTGGGTACTGACTCTCGAGGAGCACAATGTCTACAACAGTTCCGATGATTAATTATGATTGTATCAATGAATAACGACTGATGAGGTCAAGGCAAGCTTTCGTCTGAAGTTCGTGTATCATGGCACTTGCCAAGTTTTAGCTTTTGAGGGTTCTGCCAGTTGAGCTCAATGAAGTTTGAGATTATAGTACTTGTGAGGAATTTCAAGTACTCCAGTAAGAAGGTGACTTCTGTTAGCGCGAAGACGAGCCTTTGTGACAGGCATTGAAAACAAATTGATTGCCACAGGATTCAGTCCACACTTTGATCATGTAAAAGTACAATCAAGGTCAATGGAAGAAGGTCAGAATTGTAGGTAGTAGAACGTGTATAAATTCTCTACCACATGCGAGCGGAGTATAGTACAAATCCATTCAAGCTCGGCATTTCCATTCCACCAGTGGGAATAAGTCCGAATGTTGAATGCCCTTCCCAATGCAAGTGTATCAAATAAACGCCGTGACAGAAGAAAAATAGAAGCTTTGAAGCCTCGATGATGTCCTTTACACCGTATATCAACATGCACATTACTTCGTCTGCTTTCCTGCTTTCTCCAACACAGCCTCAGTTTTTGTTTCATCCTCTTGACGCGCCTTTAGACCTTCTTCATCGATTCCTTCCCCCTCTTCCTCTTCGCTCAAGCGAACAAGGTCGTCTGATATTTCTTCAGTCTCTGTCAAATGGCCTTCAGGCTCCATCGATCTCTTGTCGGCAGCATCACCACCGCTCATCTGCCATTCCATCAATTTGGAGAAGGCAGAGTCTTGGTTGGCAGACAGCGCATTATACGTGCCGGTCTCAGCAACTTTGCCATCATTTCCAAGAACGATGATGTGGTCGGATCTCTTGATTGTGGACAATCGATGAGCAATGGAAATTGTGGTGTTTTGGCCCCGTAACAATGCAGCCAAGGCCGAGTTGACTAAAGTCTCGGACTCGGCATCAAGAGCCGAAGTGGCTTCATCGAGGATTAGAATGTCAGGATTCTTGAGCAGTGCCCTAGCAATAGCAATTCTCTGTTTCTGTCCACCAGATAATTGAGCACCACGAGCTCCAACCTGAGTATCAAGACCTTCTGGGAAGTCGCTAATGAATTGGCAATTTGCCTTACGAGCCGCTGCAATGACTTCAGACCGCGAGGCATGAGGTTTGCCATATGCAATATTCTCTGCTATGGACCCAGAGAACAGTACCGGTTCTTGACCAACCATTCCAATTCGGCGTCGGAGTGATTTGACATTCATCGTCGAGATGTCAACACCGTTGATTGCGATGGCTCCCTGGGTTGGATTATAAAATCTTAGGAGCAATGAGCCGATCGTCGACTTTCCGCCACCAGACGGACCTACGATCGCTACATTTGTGCCAGAGGGAATCTCGAAATCAAGGCCATCAAAAATAGAGACGGCTGGACGAGTTGGATAGGCAAAGCTGACATTCGAGAATCTGATCGGACCTTGGGCAGATTTAACCTTTGTTCCGATGGTAGCCGCAATAGTTGGTTTGCGGTCTTGTAGCTCGAAAAGACGACTGGCAGCTCCGACTCCCTTCATAAGCTCCGAGTAGAAGCTGGAAACTCCAAACAAGCTGGAACCTGCGTAGGCAGTATACATTAAGAACGAAGTCAAGTCACCAATACTGATGACCCCACTCTTAACCATCGATCCTCCGGAGTAAAGCAAAGCCAGAATTGTCATATTCCCCAGGAATCCTGAAGAGCTGAAAAATGTCGCACTGATAATGGCTTCTCTCTTTCCCAGCGAGAAGATCTTCTTGACCTGATGATTGTAACGTCCAACCTCTTGTATCTCACCAGCAAAAGCTTGACTAGTCCGTACATTGCCGAGTCTCTCTTCCGCAATCTTTGTCAACGTTCCTAAATTCCGCTGAATCTTTCGACTGAGATTTCGAATCGCTCGGCCGTAGAAGAAGGCACCAATGGCAACAGGTGGGAACATCAAGCACAAAATACTCGTGAGCTTCAAGCTGACCCAGGCCATAGCTGCAAATCCAGCTCCACCACTCACGATAGCTCTTAGACCATCTGACAGATTCTGCGTGATGCTCTTTCCAACGATGACGGTGTCCGAGCTAAGACGGGATATCAAATCTCCGACTCGATTTGCATCGAAAAATTCGGCGTTTTGCACATATGTTCGTCTGTAGAGTTGAGATCGAAGCCTGGAAACAATTCTCTCTCCAACAATACGTAAAATGATGATCCTTCCATAATTTGCAGCAGCACCCAAGGTCAAAACACAACCAAGAGCAAGGTAGAATTGTGAGATGTCCAGGCCAAACAACGTATTTCCTTCAGCTGGGTCCTTGGTGGCAAGATCCAAGATCTTTCCGATGGAAAATGGTATCGACATCGTAATTGTTGAGGAAATTAACAAGAATGAAAAGGCCAAACCCAGCCATTTTGCTTCCGGTCTGGCGATCTTGATCAATCTCCATATCTCTCCGAACCCCGCTGAATTTCCTTGTCCTTTTGGGCTCGATAATCGTGCGCTCAGATTGACTTGTGCCGCCTTGGATGCTTTCTCGCTCTTTCGAAACCCATCTTGCTCATCCAGAAGATCTTCTTCTTCCTCTTCTCGTCTAGCTTTCTCTTTCTCAATCAAGTCCTGCCGGTCTGTCTCCTTCGGCGTATCCCGTAGATGCGATGTGCTATTAAAAGGTCGTAATTGTGCAATTGCGGGTCGCCATGGTGAAGATAGACCAAGCTGCGAGCGTCCGAGAATCTTGTTGGTAAGCGGTTGAGCGACTGGCTTCAACAACGATTGCGACGGCTTTTGTTGTGCATTGAAGCTCGAAGAGACTCTGTGAGAAGTGTGGAATGGCGCGCGAGCTGGAAATCGACCTGCATCTGCTATGGGAGTTGTCCTTGACAGCTGTTTTGAAGCTATATCATATGCCGCGGCTTCAAGCCCGTGGCCTCTAAAGGCTGTGACTCGGCGCATTGCGGACGATGTCGAAGCAAATTGCGGCTTCAGAACCGCTGTTATCACCGGGTAATATAAAAATCATGAATTCGTCGAGATCCCATCGTAACATTGAAACTGGCGGAAAAAGAGGTTGAAATGAGCGATCTTTTTCAATCGATAATAGAGCACTATTTAGCTTCCGTCATCGCTGATTTGGAAAGCCCGGTCCCGGTAGCCTGAGGCACGGACAGCCGGAGACGTGGGGCAAGCCTCGTCTGGTAGAACATTCGAGGAAGAAGTCAACATCTTAGGACCACAGCAAAGAGTCGCAACGTAAAATTGAACAACACGCCTGTATTCCACGATCATCAACTCGAGATGGCTCTAGACTACAGCAAGTGGGTAAGTGACACTTACAAAATTGCCGTCTACCCTTTTAAACCCCTCCTGTTCCACCAGGCTGAACCTCGAGGCTGACGATCACAGGATGCTCTTGAGCTCAGTGACGACTCAGATATCGAAGTTCACCCCAACGTTGACAAGAGATCATTCATTCGAGCCAAGCAAAATCAGATCCACCAACAGAGATTCGAGCGTAAGAACAGAATCGAAACCTACAAGTACGAACGAATCATAAATGATGGCCTTCTTAAACGCATCAATGTGCTGCTCTCCAAGCTCGAGTCACACACTGCAGAGGCAGAGAAGCGCAGTCCAGATGAGCTGATTTTTCAAGCCATTATGGAGTCGGTAGGAGGAATGGATAATGATAGTCCACCTCCACCACCGGCTGGTGTCCACACGCACGAGAAGGCACCACCAACTTATTCCAAGATGATGGCTGCATTAGTAGACCAAGTCAAGGCAAAGGTTGACGAAGATAAGCCTGAAGATCGATATGGAGCATACGTCGCGGAGGTAAAGGTACATCGGGACAAGGTTGAGGATTTGCAGAGACAACTCTTGGTCGAATTGAACACGTTAGAGAAGGAAGAGGGACGAAAGATCACCAGCGAGAGCATACACACTGGGTTTGACAGTTCGTATGTCAACAAGTCTGCCGCCAGCGAACCAACCCCCAAGAAAGAGAAAGTCCAAGCTGTTGAGGTTTTGAATCCACATGCCCTAGCTGCTCATGACAATGACAAGGGACAATCGTCTGGTGCAGATGCTGATGTCGACGAGCCCGCACCTCTAGAAGGAAATGACGACGAGGAAGAAGCTGAAGCATCCGAACTTGGCAAGCAGTTCTCATTGATCAAGCAAGGTGATTACAGAGCTTGCCTTCAGTTCATCTCCAAAAATCCTCAAGTCGTGGCCGAGCGCGAGACAGATGGTTTGCTGGTCTTAGCCTTTCAGGCATCTATTCATGGCAGAGACGATTTCGCTCGACAGTGTGTCCATAATGGTTTACTGCTTCAATACTGCAGAGCATTGGGTCGGGATGGTGTCGGTTTGTTCTTCAAGCGCATCACCACTCCTGGTCATCAAGCCCAGAAGGTCTTCTTCGATGATGTTAACTCTACATTCGCCCGAATTCGATCAAGAGCCAAGGAAATTGAGAAGCAGAGAGCTCAAGAGGAAGCCGAGGGTGCTGGTGGTGTTGAGCAGATCCAACTGCATGCCGTCGATCCTGGGACAACTATCAACATCAAAATCCCAGCAGAGACTAGTGAAGACCCAACGGAAGTGAAGGCTAGAGAGTTGTTCAATGCTTTCCCACCAGGGCTACAACGTGCTTTGGAGAGCGGAAGTCTGGATGAGGTCAACAAAGTGCTTGGCAAGATGAGTGTCGAGGAGGCTGAAGAAGTTGTTGGTCAACTAGGAGAGGTATGTATGAAAGCATCTCAACAGTTCACAAGCTAATTATGATATAGGGCGGCATGCTTTCATTAGAGGAGCAAATCATCGATGCTACGACTGAGGAAGGTCAAAAGGCACTGAAGGAATTTGAGGAGCAAGAGCGAGCAGCAGCAGCCAACGCAGCACAAAATCCTCCACTCGTCGATAAATATGGCGATCCAGAATGAACTGCTGATCTTGTAGGAATGGTTACCCGGCGGTGCGATTATAGACAGGCATAATTGAAAATTGTATCATATGCAGCGAGTCTAGTTATTCACAGTGAAAGCAATCACGTTCATCTCACGCATAAAGTCTTCCAGATGTCATGATATGTGCCGTGTATTTTCAACGCCCCAGTGCCGAATCCCATTGATCAGGCAGGACCTAACGGAAAATACAACCAGCAATGCACCACAGATCTTACAAGTCCCGCCAAACGCACCATGCCTCCCAGAAACAAAACAGCTTAGTATCCAGTAGCGCCAGGAGCCTTCTCATCCTTTCTCAAACTCATCAACAATTCCCTGAACTTCGCCTTGTCGGTTCCGCTCGCACCACCCTTTGTTCCCTTCCCGCTCAAATCAACCAGCTTAGCAATTCGCTCCCAGCTTGTTCCACCAGCAGATGTGTCCTCCCGGCTCTCCAAGAACTCCTCGGCATCACGTCTGGTGGCAGCAATCGTCTTCTCCTTCTTGGAATTGTAGTTCTCATAGAAGTCGTCGATGTTTTGTTGGGCAGCCTTGACGGTCTCAGCTTTGCGTTCAGCGGAATGTGCTTCTCGTTCTTGGAGAGCGAGGTCGCGGCGTTCACGCCATTGCTTGATTACTTCAGGCTCTTCTTCGTCGACAGCGGTAGGGTAATAGGAGGATTGGTAGGGGGCTGTCGTGCCGGTGATAGTTCCGCCTGGCGCTACGTTCTGCAGATATCGCTGATTAGTATCGAGCTCCATCTGATACGCTCCTAGATGATGGGCGTAAGCATACCTCGTTCCGTGAGTCGATTGCTGGGAATGAGCTCTCGAACTCCGTAACCTCCTCATCGTTTCCTCCACCGCCGCCGAGCAGGTCGTCATCTCCGTCTTGGACGAAAGCCGCATGGTCATGGCCAGTCGAGAATTGATTCGCGTCATCACCCAGCAGAGCCTTTTCACGGGACAGGAAGTCATCGCCCATCAGATCATCACCCTGTGCCTCCGTTTGCGCTGTTTGGATACAATTAGCACGGGGCTGCGTTGAAGCGGAGAGGATTGATGCTTACCACCAGAGTCGAACTCCTCGAGAGATGGAAAGCGATCTGCCATGATGTTGTGTGATTTGTGGATTCTTCAACGGGTGTTGTTGAAGTTATCGCAAACTGGTCGCTTCGTGATGGTGATCTGGAAATTGATACCTTGAGACCAGCTCGGTATTTCCCGTTTTGGGTCTAACGCTTTTGGGAAGCCAAACAAGGAAATGCTTGTGACAACTGAAAACGAGATTCACCTTTTCCTGCAATACCAGGATCTCTTCTTCAAGCGACTTGCTCACACAACTTTTCATGATAAAGAAATACATCATTCACACAGTGTCTAGTAACTCTCAGATGAAGGGGGTAGTCATATGCACGTGACTGAAATTTCAGTCCTTTCGCTGTTTTTATCGCGGGCTGCACAGCTAGATGTTGCATGTTTCTTGTTAGAGCCACGACTTCTTAGTTAGATGACCTGGGATTCCAAGGACTTCCATATCTGAAAAGTTGTTGTGTACCAGAACTCAATAGGATGGATGAGAGACAAGGGTGTATTTTCCGTCGACTGTGGAGTAACAAAGCAACTCACCCCGAAACAGTATACCATGTAAGCCCCGATCGTATTTTAGTTTCTTGCCACTTGATTATTTAAGTCTAACTTGAAGAAGAGAGAACTTGTTCCCTCCAAAATTTCTCAATTACTAACGGAGTTTGAATCTTTATGCAAACTCTGTCTATGCACTCTCTTCAAGTTGAAGCAGCATATCATCTTCTTCCTGGCAAGCTAAGACATGATCAGTGGGGTACTCTGTATATCTCTGTATATCTCTCGATATCCACTATCCTGTTCAGAGGCCAAAGGGTGTGTGCAATCCTGATCACGTGTAATTTCCCTGACTTCTGACTGGAGCTTACTTCGACTGTCTCGGGTGCTGGTTATCTCTGTTGCTGAGTCTCTTTGTCTCTGTTTCTATTTTTCTCTGTTGTTGTTCTCAGAACCCCTCCTTCCTAATTCGTTTATTCAATAAGTCTTGGATAAGCAATTAAAAGCTCAGTTAATAAGCTCTACCGGACAATGCCTCATCATATTTCTTGTGTCGAACCCTAGTTATTTACGCATATGGATCAAAAGCGAGGAGGAAAAGTAGAGTAAAGGATCAGACTTTTAGAACTTTGACATTTGTCATATCCTATTTGACATCTAACCCCTTTGTTTCAGCTCTACTTCCATAGAACTTACGTGGCCTATCTGCACACAAACTGCTTCCTCCTTCATCTTCACTTACCATCCGAAGTCAGCAGATTGCGTGTGTCTCAACTCTGCATGCTTCTTCAACCGCACAAACACAAGTTTAGCTATTACACTCACCACTTCAACAGAGTATCTGCGAAGATTAGGGGGTCATGATCAGGTGCCAACAATGCTCAGCGTGCCTGCATTTCTTAAAATTGAGTATATGTTACCTGCTATAGGTCGTTCTCGATGAGCTTGTTTCTGCAACTTAATTCAGTGATTCCAGTGCATCTCGACCGCGATGGAGCCTTTATAGCGTTTTGGTATGCAGTTCTCCTTATTTACTCTTGATTGCCAATGCCCTTTCGCTCTCGGTGATGCCCGAGGCCGAGCGAACAGAGAAACCCTATTAGAGCTCCAATACATGTCAGCGTCTCATAATGCTCAATGAGACGCCTCAACGAGAATTTGAAATGGAAACAAACATGATGTTGAGCCTTTCCAATGCCTCATCCGAAATTGTCGGCGCGCTTATTCAAAAAGGAGGCAACGACGGTAAGTGATACCGAGCAGGAGCGGAATTATGCGCGCTTCGTCCCGAGAGGACTCTATTGATCAAAAATGCAACGACCCTTTGTCATGTGTCGTTGACCTCATTTGCATGATTAGGCCTAGCATTGTGAGGGATTTCGGACGCCGTACCGATGCTATTCGCAATCGAGCGAGCGTGCGAATGTCCGGACGAGTTGAGTTTATGGAGCTGTGGGGATCACTACCAAGCCCAAGTTTGTAAATGGGTAACCATTGCAGGATGTTCCAAAAATCTCAGTCTACCACGAGCATTGCAGTAGCCACCCCTGTCTTCCACTGCTTTTCAACTGGTCGAGCGTGTGTATTGATAAGGTTTGTGCAGCTGCGCATGCATGGAAGGATTTGGGTGGTATCTAGTTCGCGGGTCTCCCTCCACCTGAGACAGCTTAAACGGACCCCGCCCCAGCCTCATGCAACCAACTCAGTTCCACAATTGGAAGCCAAATATCTTTTCTGTGTTGTCGCATTTTTCATTTTACACCAAGACATGTCTCATCCACTTTATTTAGTTTCATGTTACCTATTATAGGTTTTCAACATGCGCCTTTTCAGTTTCCAAAAGGGAAAGACTTTACACGGCTTCGACGAGACTACTGACGACGAGCAAGGGCAGCGACCATTATGGCTTCCGATCTATCTGCACCGCTATTACCTCTTCTGCCTCGCTGTTATTTTTATGATCATGATTGTTGCATTGGAGATTTTGCATTACCTCTCAACACATAACCATGGTCTGGCTACAACGACTGGGAATGAACACTATCTCTGGACGTACGGCCCGACGGCAGGTAAGTAGAAGCATCTTAGCACTGGGCGATGTACTTTGCTGCTACAAAATGTGAAGCTGATTGTACGCATATAGTGCTCACTATCTTCACAGCCTTTTGGGGACAAGTGGAGTACTGGACCAAGCACGTAATGCCATTTCAGGTTCTTGCGACGAGTAGTTCCCCAGCCGAGGACAATATCCTCCTCGATTATCTATCACCGATGACCTTTATTGCTCTGTACAAAGCTATTCGTGCCTCCCATTATCCAGTGGCTGTCTCCATTACTGGGTCTTTGCTTCTTCGAGCTTTGATCATCTTCTCTACTGGCTTGCTTAACCTGGAGCAACAGATTATCATGACCCAAACACAACTCACGGTGCTTGACCGTTTCAACTTCACCACAAATAATTCTAACACGACCAGTACAGTTGATTTGACTTCGGAGATATGGGCGATCAAAGCTTATAACTTGTCGTTCCCTTTCGGAACGACTGACACATACACTTCGCAGTCTATCAAGCCCCTCGCAGATAGTAAGGCATATCACCATCCTCTAAAATGAGCACTTGAGTAATGTCCTACTTAGATGCGAACACTACATGGACAACTGAGCTCGATGTTTTCTCTGCTGGGCTTGAACAATGCGAACCCTTCAACTGGACCTACGCAGACCCAAACCATCCATATGCTGGCCCGATTCCAGGCTTAGCGAATCCCCCTCAGTATATCAATGTTTGGTCACCCTCGTGTTATATGCATAACGTATCGCTATTCTATGAGCCTGTTTGGACCCCTCCAGTCTGGAATGCCCAGTTGCAATACCAGAACTGCACAAATACGACTGGAAAGGGGGACCCGGGCCGACTCTTGATGTCCTTGAGTTTCAGCCTTCAGTATAATGACTCCGGCCTCTATGCTCCTCCTACTGACTATCTCCGAAATCTTTCGGGCCTGTTGTGCCGACCCACTTTGTCAATAGCAAAAAGGACTGTCTCTGGGTTTGTTAATTCTTCCATCAAGATCTCAGATTCCACGATGCCGGGACTCAGCACCACTACCAATGTCCCGAACTACATGGTGATGCCTCTCTTAACGCAGCTAGTACAAATGCGAGCGGATGATACAGATATCACCACATACTATGACGGGGGGATTAGCGCTTGGTTCGCTTTGCTCAATGAGACAGTTCCGCAGAAAGATGTCACCGCGTGGGCCAACAGTCAACTCCTGGGATCGGTCTCACAGCTCGTTTTCCCTACAGTAGCGGCTCAAGTAGCAAAACAATATTTTATGGATGCGGTGTCAGAAGTCCAGCCCGGAGCTCTCGGCCATATCCAGAACCGACTTTGTATTGAGCCACTTTCATTGAGGCTAATGGAAGCTGGGTTGGCGCTTGTGGCCATCACGAGTATTTTGTTGGCCTTGTATCCTTTCAAGCGTCTCCCAAGACCTTTCGGATCTATCGGTGCTCTTGCATTGATCATCGCTCGAAGTCCAATTCTACAGCAGTTGCTCCGCGGTACAGGCGCCTTGTCACTTGCAAGTTTGAAGACAAAACTGCAAAGATCTAGCTTCACAACGAGCCCTGTAAGAACCACATCGACATTTTGTATCGATGTACAACGTGAAGTGGATACCCAAGATAGCATTGGCTTCTTCGGGCCCGACGCTCGAGGTCTAGAGGATCGGTGGCACCCAGTACCCGTCATCTTTCTTTTCCGATCAGGCACAGTGGTGGGGCCTTTATTATTGATCGCTATTCTCGAGGCATTATATCGCTACTCTGAAAGCAACTCCGGGCTCATCGACGCACCAGCAAATGAATACGCAAAATATGCTTGGCTCTATTTGCCAGCATTGGTCATGTATGCACTTGGGACGCTTTATCTCGTGCTTGACTCCTTCTCAAAAACGATACACCCGTACCAGAAGTTGGCAAGAGGCAGTGCAAATAGACAAGCATTGATGGAAGACCACTTTGGTAAAATTGAGCTCTATGCATTAGGAGAGGCAATTTCTTGTCGTCACATAGCTCTTGTCGCCACTACGCTGATAGTCCTGCTTGCACCCTTGTTAACTATTGTTGTCAGCGGGCTCTACATCCCTCAACCATTCCCTGCCACACAGCCTGTCCTCATCCACCAGGTTGACTGGTTTAATATCCAAAATGATTCTTGGACGAACAGCTCCTACGTGTTCGGTGCCTCGCAAAACATGATAGGGTTGATTCAGTACTGCAACGTTTCTTTTCCCAGCGGGACCTTTGACGAATTGGCATTTCCGACGGTTCAGCTCGACAAAGTACCGTTATCAAAAGACTCGAATGCCTCTCAAGTGGCTATTGGAGTGCAAGCAGCACGGGGTCGGATGAATTGCAGCCTTGTCGAATATGTGACTAACAGCAATCTAACCGCCTATCCCCAGTACCAAAAATTTCTCGAGCAGGATAATAGAACTGTAACAGTCGTTACTTGGGAAATGATTATTCCGGTTAACGAGACGGCAGGTTGCACCTCTCGAAGCCCCAATATCAGTCTTACCTCTTCTGGTCTACTCCAAATCGGAACCCTTGCCGTCCCAGACAGTGGATATTTTGGAATGGAGGTGTATCCACGATTAAAGCCAGGGCTATCAGGAAACACTTATTGCGAGAGCAGATACGAAAGTTGGCATATTATTGGCCACCAGGCTCGGCCTGCCCTGACTGATGAGCTGTCCCTCATGCGCTGCATGCCATTCATCGAAACAGTTTTCGTGAACGCGACTCTGTCTTTGCCGACACTCGATATCGTCGCTACACCACAAGTTGACGAAGCTACCGCTACGCCTCTACTGGATCAAGGCAGCCCAGTCGCCGTCGGGATACCAAATATAGGGATATGGGGTACGATAAGTTACACGGACGACTTCTTTCTCGCTCTTACGACAGGTATCGATGCCGTACCCATCGACGAACTCAGCGAGCCAACCAACACCCAGGAACTTCTCCAAAACATGGATCATCTCTACGCACAAGCAGCAGCACAAGTGCTAAACTTCAATTATCGAACTTCTGCTGCGCCGTCCCCTGGCACTCCTTGGTATGATGACATCGCCAGCCCTAGGAACGGCACATTGACACAGCAAGATAGAGTTCGTCTTGTCCAGAGCATGATCTCAACACGTATACTAGAAGCTATTCTTGCTGTGATAGCTTTCTGTGCAGCGATTGCTTGGCTGCTAACAAGAGACGCAAAGAAACTCCTCTTGCCCAAAAATCCGGCGAGTATCGCGGCAAAGGTTAGCTTGCTTGTTGACAGCGAGTTGCTTGAGACTATCCCTGAAGGAGCAGAGTGGGACAATGACGATGAATTAAGGAGGAAGGGCGTGTTTGAGGGTTATGTCTATAGTCTTGGTTGGTGGCGGGGAAGAGATGGAGAGAGGAGGTTTGGGATTGACATCGGCGTTCCTGATGGCGATGAAGTCGAAGGGGTGGAGATTGATTCGAAAACCGAGAAAGAGAAGAAAATGAGTAATGGATCGAGTAATGGGGAAATTTTCCGCTTGGTTCTTGATTTGGAGGATGGTGAGGCCTTTGATATACGGCTCGATGACATATAACCTCAAGTGAGATGAATGGAAGTTCACCGCTTTCGAATTGATCATTCTAATTTATACAAGATGTGCAGTCAATGCTTCAAGTGTCTCTCCCCCGCTGGTGCTTTCTCTCCAACTACAAACTCCACTCCGTGACGGAGTCTCCGTCATCCTTGCGCTTAACATTGTATTGCCAGCCGTAATCTTCATTGTAGTCCTTATATGCTAGGCCCAAGATGGTCACAGCCTCCGTAACGTCCTTGTCATAGTAGATGACCTCGGCATCGTCGTTCGTTTTGAAGTTCGGTTCGGACTATGGTAATATTGTTAGGTATTCCGCTATTTTCTCATGCACTAGTTCTAGACGGTACTTACTGTGATGTTCTTGGTGGGCGTTGGTCGATGTGCCATGATGATTTTTGCGTGTATTTAGCTTCAGTCTTGATGTATTGGTATGCTTTGGTGACTCTTTGCGCGGGATGGAGATATTGTGAGCTTCGGTGGCTTTGGCTTTCGAGTGGTGAGATCGAGTATGTATCTGCGTGTTTTGTTGGTGATCTCGTTGCTTAATGAGAATAAGGTCATGATAAACGAGTCCTTTACCGGAGGAAATTGCCATGCTAAGCTTTATGTTTGTAGCGTGTTTTGGATTTCAGATATTAGAACTTTGGAGCTTTTCGTATGCATGCCACTTTCGCGGAGGGATTATGCCCAACATTTGTAACTAATGTGTATGCACTAAATCATAGCGTCTTATAACAAGTCCTACAATAGGATCTACGAGTTAAGACATCGAGTCTAAAGGAATATTCTTGGATGAGACAAACCTTTGAGTAATAGAAAGTCCTCATGCACTACGTACGAAGCGGGGCTGGGGACTTTCTGCCCAATTACAACTCTTTCTCCTCCTTACTCTGCTCTGTGCTACTTAACCTAGGAGTCCTTTAAGCCAACCTATCTACTATCCACCTAAAAACATCTTGGCTTAGCTTAGCTGAACTTACGCTTTAGGTAGGCTTGGCTACATAAAGCTAGACTAGGTTAAGATGAAATGTTTTCTAGCTAACACAGATTTTAAATTATTTAGTCTCGGCTTAGCTCTGGCTTTTTCTACATACAGTTACCTTCATAGATTCGTCTGAAGGTAAAGAAGTATCCCCTTAAAGCTTTACTCCCAGCCTGAGTCTTGGAATGGAAAGGGCCTGGGAAGTTCTCAACGTTGTTTTCCATTACATTACAGTATAGAATCTATGTTAGATGACAATTGAAAGCCCCGCACGTTCCAAATGACTTGATTAAGTATCAAGTACCCACTTTTAAATCATCGGTTAAACTAGATACGGTTCCTAACTGACCCACGAAAAATAAATGTTAGAAATTTTATCTTAGACTGGAATGAATGAGGTACAGGTTTCGCTGTTTTGCCTCATGGTATATTCATTAAGCTCAGGACCATCCAGCTAGATGATAGTAGCAGAGACGGCAAACCCACTTTTGCTGCTGCTGCTACATCTGCCAACGGAGAAGTCGACCTCATGATATATGTTACACTGCGTGCACGTTCTTTTTATAGATATGCTCCAGCAGTAGGAGCTCGGCCTCATGCAGACACCCGATGTGCCCAACCATTTACTAAATTTAACGAGAATTGTGCGACACTCGAAAACTTCTATCATAATGCTGTTGCCTGCTGAAAGTTTTTCTCCATGTGTAATTAATTTGGAAGACTCATTATCCATTGCTATCCAAACTTTCAATAAAGGACGAGTTGCGGAATACTTTCAGGAACCACACGCAACGTGATGCATCAAAATCCGTGTCCCCTTGATGCACAGGAGAGAAGGGAAGTGGCTGAGATTTCTGGTGCTGGAGATGTGACACAAGTCCTTGAAAGACGTATTGATACCTCGTTGAACGTCCCTTCGCTGTTAGGATTTTACTGACATTGCTGCGGCTGTAGAATGGCGTATTCCTACCCCACTTCGACGTATGCTTCAAGGGCTTTCTGGTCTTTGCACTTATGTCAAGTCTCCTTTTGTCACAAAGCCTCCGGCGCAACCGCGGCGAAAAATTGATGTCAGGACATGTAAGATCTCCACTCTCATCGCATTTTAGGGCCATGAATCTGATAAGTATACAAGTGAATCAATGCCCAGAAGGATATCCTCGTCTTGCAGCATTCTTGGATGCTGATGAAAACTTTATGCTTTATCGACGATTTGGATTTCTCCAAGCTCGAGTTCTCCTCTACAAGCAGGATGAGCTTCGAGAGCTTGAACGGGAACTTGACAGAATTGATTGTATTGACCAGCACTCCAATGACAAAAGTGTCTTGAAATCGCGAGAAAAAGACGACAAAGTAACTAATACAAGAAAGAACATGATAGGTAAAATTGAGACCAAACTCAAAGAATATTGTGAGACTAGATCTTGAAAAGTATGTCATCTGCTGATAGGTCTTAGCCGAGATGCTCCTCATTTCTCGAGATCTAGTCGCACTGAACAGGCCACCCCACAGAGATTACACAAGCGTCAAGAGTTATTTTGATGAAGAAGCCCCGCTATGTGATGTTGAGAGTTACATATATAGCAGGGAGGATATTGTAGCTCTCAAGCCAGGGCGCGAGAGTGCATGGCTTGATTCATTTATTGAGGGATTGCTACAAAGATTCGCTTGCAGATTGATCCGAGTAAGATTAACATTTGAACTCGAGCCTTATTCTAAAAGTCCTGACATCGTTATTTAGTGCATCTTTCGAACTTCAGTCAGTCAATGCACTCCAGACGTACTTAGTGCTCACAAGAATTAGGATCTTCAGAAGAAAACCAACCCAGAGGAAACAAACATCATTCTGTATAGTCGCGATCGTATAGGGATTGTAGTATCCTTGATAATACTAGTAACCATCCTTGCCCTACTCATTACTCCAGTGTATCTTCTGTGGCACTTCACATCGGGCCCAGAAACGGCATCCACCACAGCAGTCATGATTACAATATTCGGCTGCTTTACGCTATTATTCTCATTGACGCTGTCCAAGTTCACAAGCGCAAAGCGTCAAGAGATTCTAGCAGCAGCTGCAGCGTCAGTGTGCAGTTTCCTGAATTGTGTAAGCCGTGCTGAAACAAAAATTAGGTACTGCGCCGTACTCGTTGTCTTTGTGGGCAATGTCAAGCAGAACAGAACTTCCTAGCAAGCATTATGTGTCTTGGGAGAGGTTACATCGCAAGATGAAGTGCAAGTTGACACATGTAATCTTTTACTTCTAATCTGGGTATCGTTCGACATTCATATATGCAAGCTGCAGCATGGATTACGTATGGAGGATTACGGAAACAAGTTCAAGACTTGTAGCATGAGGGAAAGCATTGAGCAAATTTCTTTTCTGATAGCTGGTTCTGGTAATTATCGTAGATGGAAGAAGTAAGGCGAATGAACGAGCTTCTCAAAATCTTCCGAGAAAAGGACCTAGTATCCACTTCTATCTCAGGAAGAGGAAATGAAGAGTTGACAAAGTCACAACATTTGAGCCTTTTCATGTTGCTGATATTGCTGGTAGTTGAGAATTCTAGAGAGAGTGTGGTGGCAAAATTGTATATACACTTTTCTTCTCCTTGATTGGCTTTCGAGGTGCTTTGCTTTGTCTTTGAATTGTCGTGTAGCTTTAGCTAAGGCCAAAAGACTAAATGGTACGATAATCAAAGGAATAGACAGAGTGAGAGAGAGAGAGTAGTTGAGTCGGAAGCGGATGTTTCATTTGTCAGTGACTTGGTGGGATAAGCGAGGCTGAAAAGGGGGGAAGGAAGAGTTATGCTTGTGCGGGGTTTCAGCTCTACGTGTTAATCTTAGGGTGAGTCTTTTTACCTGAGGTTTCGGAGGAGGTCAATTTTGGATTTTTACTATAAATAATTTTTAATCTTCTTAATTTATCAATTTATTATATTTTGCTTAATTTTTCTTTTTCTCACGCTTTAGCTTTTCTTATTACAACTTAACGCTTAGCTATGTCAATAATTTTATGGCTTATGCCAACATAATTTAATTCAATCAAGACTCTAAAGTGACAGGTCACTAGTATAGTACGAAGGATCTGCGCCAAGGCCGATCGCGTTAGCCGGCCCCTGAGAGGCTCGGGTAAGATGCCCAAACAAGAATAGACAACTTCCAAAATTGCCTATCTGAGTATCGAGCTCGGTTAACGAAATGGATGACAAGAAGTGGAAATGGAGTGAGGTGTGCGGCGCAGACGAGCAAAAAGGTGCTGGAGTATATAATTCGAGTATTTGCACCTCACATCACTTCACAACATCACTACTGAAACTGTATCGTATATCGAAAAGTCGCAGATCTCTTTCAAAATACCCCGCAATGGCGTACCATCTGATTGGAGTACCCGTCAAATTGATCGGATCAGGAGTTGGTCTTGTTTCGGAGAGTATACACCACTACAAACACAAAAATGAAACCAAGTCGCAAGAGAATGTTGAGGCAGGCAACGTGGTTCAAGGCTCTGATCTACCAAGTGACGAGCATCTTGTGATAGAGGGAGAAGGTGATGCACCACCTCCGTATCAAGAGAACGACGAAGAGCAATGGCAACTCGACGAAGCTCAGGACGAGATATCGGGCAGAAGCGCAGTAATTCTGTCAGAAGAAAGTGGAGCGACAAGATCTCAATCCGAGCTCCAACAATCCGAATCATATAACCCTCACAACCCCAAAGTCGTCTTCGAAAGATTCATCGAGAGACATCCAACACCCATAATCCCTGCAACGACCAAACTTTCCCTTCCAGTAATCGTACCTCAGCGACGTCCAAGAGACCGGACCCGAGGCTTCATTCGCGCCTACGCTCCCGTCCTTTCAGAAGTCGGAATCGACCAAGCTGCATTTATCGACTTCCTCGAAACGTTCAATCAAGCCTCCCTCGCATCGCCACGGATCCAAGTCCTGAACCTCGCTAGTATCGTTGTTGGGGCTCTGGGTCATGCTTATGGGATCGCCGTCAGCACTGTTTTGCAAATCACGGCTCATATCTTGGAGGAGATCCAGGGGAGGAAAAGAACTAATGAGTTCCTGGATCGTATTAATAAGGAGTATTTTCGACCCAGGGGTTTGTATGCTTTGGTCATGACCTGGCGGCCTGAATCGGATAAGACTAGTTCCCCTATGGCGAGCTCTACGGAGGTGGATCTTACTTCAACCATTACATCTTCGATGCCTGGCGCTGAGAGTAGCACCTTTGGCAAGGTGCAAAGAAGTTTGAAGACTTCCGATGGGAAGACCTATGGTGATAAGGCATACGAAAATTTCGGGTTCTCGGAAGTTGCTCCGCTTGTCTTCCCGCGCCTGGACGAATTGGAAAGCAACAACTCCGAGGAAGCAAACAAGCTTAAGCAGAAAATGAAAGGAGCTCAAGGGTTTCTTGCAGATTATATGGATAGGAGAGCCATGGCTCGATACGTAAGTCGCGCCGTTTGTACTCAGTCTTCTCACTGATGGTTGTAGACTGGCAATAATCCAAGTTCGATGCTCACTGATGCTGCCGGATCGGAGGCACTGCCAAAGTTTCATTCGAGATATGCGGATCCCAACCACCCAGCCAGCAGCGGAAATCTGATCTCTTTCCTGTCAGGAGGAAAATTCAATCCACCTCGACTGGGACAAGGGTTAGGTGATCCTAATGTACAACATTGGGGGATAGGTTGGATTGCCAACAAGATTGTCATAGCTAGGAATGAGGCTAAAGAGAAGAAACGAGCTGCACAAAAACAACAAAGTACAGATGCAACAAAAGAAACAATTCAGATGACAACAACGGAACAAGCAGCACCCACTTCTGTGCCTACACAAGAACAGCCTGAACAGAACAAGCCAGCTTTAAGCCAGAAAGAAGTCTACCAGATGCGCGCCAAAGCTGGCCAATACCCAGATGGCCGACCAGGCAAAGGGTCAAACGCTATCTTAAGAGTCATTCAACCAGATGTTCTGTACCTGATGATCGTCAATATGCCTAGTGAGGAGGAGATGGCTGCTGCGTCGAGAGCTGTGGAAGATGCGAAGAAAGTTGCTGCTGAATCGTAATCGGGACATTTGGAGTTGAGGAGCACTTGCAATGAAATTCTGAGATATTTCAGTGGTATGGAGAATCTCAGTAGCTAGAAATCTGGGTCGGTAGCTGGAACACCCAACAGCTAGAAATCTCAATAGCTGGAAAGCACAATAGCCTAAGTATCATGAACTACACTCCTCAGCAGCTAGCGTGGTACAGAAGTCGCACCAAGAGCAGAGACATTAACTTGCGATTTCAACTTGGCGATAAGGGATACTTCCCGAGGGGTCCATGAGCCATATATAGAAAATTAAAGAGATACATAGTACTACATCACGAATCCCGACAAGAGTTGTGCCCACACACAGCAAGACTTCGAACAGAAAGAAGTAAAACTCTCATTGCAAAAAGGTATCAATATCATATATGCCCGACCAAACCGCACAGCCAACCAACCATCCTCCCAAGAAAATCGCTCGCTAAACATATTTAACCTCTCCGAACAAGCCCGCTCGAACCTGAACCAACGCCGCTAACTCTAACAAGAACTCTTGCAGGACGATAACGTTTGTCAGGATATGGTTCACGGTGACTAGCTTCTCCCCGGTTTTCGCTTCTGCCCTCTCATCAGTACCGGAGATGCTGCCATCAACACTGCTTTCCTTGCTTCCCTCATCGACTGGTGCCTTGAGATTGGGGAACGGGATGGGCGGCACAGCTCCCTTCGCAGGAGGCAGTCCGACTTTGCGAGCAAGGATACTTTGGTCAATGGCAGCGAAAGCAGCAGCCTGGCTTGCTGGTACACCATTCCTTGGATCTGCGCCTCTCAGCGGACTTGGTGAGAATGCCCGAGAGTGTGCTCTTGAAGCGCTATCCGTGTTCATAGGGAATTGTGGAGGAGGGACTGCGCTACGGGATGTGGTTGGTGTTGCGAAGCCATATCCGCCACTGAGACCACTGCTGCTTTTTTCAACACTCCGTCGTCCTCGTGGAGAATTTGAGCGGGATGGGGTAGCGAGCTCGGGAAAGATACGCTGTGCTAATGAATCTAGTGCCGATGGTCGAGGTGGTGATGATGAGCGAGAAGGAGATTCGAAGCTTGATCGGGGAGGAGCGGCCGAGCGGATTGGTATTGGAGTAGCTGTTGCGGATGAGGCGGCCTGGAATGCTTCCCGGCGTTGTTGTAGTAGGTCATCAAAGCGTGGTATATCGTTTCGATAAGTTGACACTTGGTCGACGAGTATTTTGAGCTGCGTAAGGAACGGTGGAATTTGAGACCTTGTCCAGTCGAGATTCCGCCTGGCTTTCTTCAGACTTTGAAGCTGTGCCAATTCTTGGTCTTCAATACAGTCGCTGATGCCGAAAGAGATAAAGCCCTCAGTCTCTTCCTCGTCTTCTTCGAAAACATACTTGGTAGGATCTGGGAGCAACCAGCCATCGATGCGCATAAAACCACAAGTTGCAAGGTCAACAACGGTCCCCGTCAGAGACAAATTCGTCTCAACTGAATTCGTGAAAAACGTTGTCATGATAGTCAGCAATGTCTTTAGCATAGGATCTTCGGGTCGTAGGGTATGCGGTCTAATATCTCGAGGCGCTCCGGGGATCGACGCCAAGGAGCCTGGGAACTTAGTGGTGCCTCCAGCAGATTTCGGTGCCACCAAAGTAATCGAGCATGGATGACTCTCCAATATACTCATGCAGTCTTTGACATGATTGTCATAGATATCATCGAAGTTATCATCACCTCCTACACCTCCAGCCAGTGAAAGAATGAAATCCATTTCCATCTCATGTGCACCCACAGTGCGCACTGGCCCGTCCGACAAAACTTGACTCGTCCAGAGCAGAGTCGTTACGGCATATCTGTGATGCCGCCTCAAAATAACTGAAACTAGCTGAAGGGTGACAGAAATCGTCTGTTCACTTGGAGATCGTAGTCCTCCTTGAATCAAATCAACCAAGTTGAAGAGAGCAGGAGTTGATGTTGTATCAACTTGCGTTGCCATCATCATAGTTGCTAGATCCATTGACTTTCTTTTCCTAGCTGCACTGACCGACGCTCGGGATCCTGTTGGGGCAGGAGTTGTATCTGGTAGTGCGAGCAGATAATGGAGGATGAGATGGATCATGTCTGGGTGGTCAAGAGCTTCTAGGATTCGACGAAGGTATGTGAGTACTGCTACAGACGAGCCACCATCTACATCGGATGATTCTAGCAATGAAGGATAGCTGCCGTTGTCAGTGTATGGAATGGTAATGGAAAGAATTAGCTCACAGTAATTGCTGGAGGAAGATGACTTGAAAATGTTCCAACAATGTTGACTTTACTTCGCTCGACTTGCAATGGTTGAGGACATCCTGCCAGAAGACAAGATGGGACAAGAAAGTCTCCATATGCATCTGGAAGTCGGGTGACGACGAGCTGACGATTTCTGACGTAGTATTGGGTTGCTGGTAGTCGGACAGAGCCAAGATTGGGGGTAAATCATCAAGTGGATGATCGATAACCAATTTCCTGCTCAACTGACTGTACAAAGCTCCGAGTCCAGTCGCCATCAGCGTTGCTAGATCACTTTCCACAATCCATTGCTCCAGGGCAACCGAACTTGAAGCTGCTTCGATGATATAGAGTAGACCGGTCCTGGCGAAGTCTCCTATCCTTCCTTCGTGGTGGATGTAGTCTATCAGAAGGTAGAACAATGGAAAGTCCTCCTTCTGTGTTTTCCCAGTGAACTTCTCGTGTGAGCCTTGTCCTCCATTCTGTGGTTCCTCGCGGTCTTGAGTAGCAAACCAAGCAGGCAGAATCTCGGGGTCGAGTCGGATTTTGGTCGTGATGTTAAACGACAATTCTACAACCTCCACTTCGGTGTCCGAGCCTAGTCGTATGCTATTCGCGCCTGTAATTCGAACCAGCAGATTCATCAAACTTCTCGAAAAAGCCTCGTTCTCCACGAAATCCTCCTCTTCGCTATCAATCAAGGTCGCAAACAAGGCCACTCCCTCTCGAATAATGCCTTCATTGTATGAGGTCGTGGCTATCTTGCCTATGGGGACGTATATCTGCTTCGAGGATGCAAAGGTAATGCACGGATGTGGTAGTGGCCGTCTCGACTCATCACTGAGTATTGCTGTAAGATCCTGGAGACTATCTCGGATGTTCTCTGCTGCTTCGTAATCCCTAGCCAGATTCGACGCGCCGCGCCATGTTTGCTGCAGTCCACATCAGTCATGCCTTTCGGGAATGGTTATGGGAGCCGCATACAAGAAGTTGGCTGTATTCCCGCTTGAAGCGTGCCAGACGCTTCTCTGGGTCCTTGGACGAACCTTTGTTGCCAGCTGGGGCAAGGGAAGTGCCCGCGATCAAGCGTGACCACTGTATTTCCTGTCAGCAGATACACAGAGATGAATCTGGTGATACTCACAAAGTCCATGGCTGGATGTGCATCATGACTCTCTCGGTCGCATTAATATAATCTGGAGCTCAAACGCGCGGATGTCGCTTCATAAAATAATTCCGCTATTTGCAGGGATCTGAGGCGGTTGAATTTAAGGTGGAGCATGGAGAGTGGCTTGACTGCGGGTTCAGCCACAAGCCGAGCTCGGCCCGGACACCAGGTCCCAAATACCCGTAAACTTCAGAGAGGTATATACTGCATGACTCATACATGTCAATATACTCCCGTACGAAGATATTCCAGGAGACAACCACAACCAGCTCCATTGGCGTAGTCGTCAGGCCAACAGGCCAACAATTTCAAGCCAGTCGTGTCACCATTCCTTCAGCTGAAATCCACACATTGCTCGCTCTCTTGGCTGGCTGAATTCACGAAATTCTGTTGGCTTTGGCTTGGATGGCATCCACCTGCTAGTGCCGACGCTGGATTGCGAGAGGTCTGCTGTACGAGAAACATGTTTCTCTCGTGCAATGTAAATGCGTCTGTCACTGCTTGTGGAATGCTCATTCCACAACCCCTCAGCTTCTAGGATATAAAGCATCAGCTTCGCAGTCCAAGGCTCCGATCTTCTATTCCTTTACCCTTCACTTCATCCTTCCCATTCGCTCTACAATTTCTGCTCATCTCAAATCAATCCAATATCCGACCTCCCAATATGTTACCTCCCATCATAATTCCAGTGCCAGCTAAGACCAAAGTCGTTTACTTGACCGCCATATCTCTCTACAAAGATGAGTCGGAGGTGTCTGTAAATTGGCATACCGGTTTCGTTGAGCAGGGTTCCGATGTTCAGTTCGGTACCAAATTCGTCGGCCCAAGTTCTACTCACGTGCTTGGAGATGAGGTCTTTAAGTTGCCTGTCATCACAATCTCGGACATTCCAAAAGAGCTTCTGGTCAGCATGAATTTCAAGGACACTATAAGTCATCAACATTCCATTACCGGCCCAGTCACTACCAAAGTCGGTCCCGCAGGCGATGCCGAACAGGTTCAAATCTCAGGCTATGCTTTCGGGGACCACAAGCACGAGAGACCTACTACCATCACGATCTTGTTCCAAGAACCGATGGCAGGAGTACTGCCACCATTGAATTAATTTGAGCTTCGAGGTGGAAGGTACGAGTCTTCTCACGCGCGGTCAAGTGACAATTTGCCAATAGCTGACGCTCACAGACATCGTGGATGGATGTTGACGTGATGGAGAAGATGAAGGATTGCACGCAAGAAAATGTCAGGCGATTAATTGTTTCGGAAGTTCTGTTCCTTTCTTCTATTCTTGAAGGCAGTGTTGAACGGCACGGCATATTACTTTATATTGCGTGCATGGCAGCTGAGCCCTGCGGATAGTCCACGGGAGGCAAGGAAGCAAGATTGATTGATTGATAACGTGCAGAACACATGGATTTCAAATTGAAATGACAACATGGACAATCAAATACCAGCTCACCGGAAAGTTCGTCTGAAAATCGCATTGTGATGAGCTTCTGCTTGTGCAGTAGAGGATCTGGTCTGCCGTCCAAGTGAAATTCCGACGAGGTCACGAACTCGGCTAAGAAATAGACTTCACGGACGCTAAGCTGACGACTTATTCTCCACTCCTTCTTGGCAACGTCGACGACCTTCTCCTTTCATCGCAAGACACCGCACTTATGAGACTCTTTGTCAGTCCGGTCAAAGCCACACTGCCCACTCTTATCGTGATCCCCAAGCACCAATGTGCGAGGTTACCACCTTTTGACCACGAGCGATTGGTTGTGGGCCCCTGAAGCCCAGCAAGGGATCAGCAGGGTCTGGTTCTTGGTCCGTGACCAAACGCAATCGAGGCTGCATCCGCCGCGCTCAACTCAGTCAACCTCGCCCCAACATCCTGCAACATCCTGCATAAAGTTTTGCTCAGCCAACCCGCAGTCAACATCTCCTTCCTGAAGTAGCCTTTTACTCCACGATCTATGTGCCGCTTTGCTGCTTCCGCTCTTTTTCCCGGACGCTTAGCCTTGCTTGCCGACACTTATTATATCGAGTGCCGGCTCTTCCATTCATGGCCCTCACCTCGCCTTGTCTACCCCTCGCTAGTCTTCACGGCGCGTCAAGGATGCAGCTTCCTAAGATCGCCCCCTCGTCCGATCATCCCTCTTGCTTATGACCCTTGTGATAAGTGTTCAGATAAGGTCATGATAAGGATCGCAGCATGACACGAGCACTTGAGTGCATATTCTATCGCATATTGGGCTTTACTCTAAATGACGCTATATTGCTCTGCATGTCTACCTTCCAGAAAACGATTTCAGTACCGACGGATTTGGCAGTCAGTGGTCGCTAAATGCAGTTCGAGTCAGCGCAATAGAACTATATGTTTGGGAAGCGCTCAGTAGTGCTTTGTGATGGTGTCCGAAGCATAAGATGAATGTCACGATGCTCCTTGTCGCCAAGAGCGTCGCTCCCGCTGGCAAGTAACATGGCCGAGAAGTTCTGATCACTGCCAAACCTGCCTATTGAAGGTCTAGCGGCAGATGCATGCAAGAAAGCTGCGGAGGATTCTTATCGAGAATAAGATTCTGGCAAGGAACATGGCATGGACTGACCTCAGTCTCCATCACAGCAAGTTCTTTGTCAACGACCCAGTGGGCCAAGCGGCCTGTGCATGGATCGTGCGCTACAGCTCCAGTTGTTATAAAATGCATGCCTCTCTCCGTTTCTAATTTTGTTTCTGTACTGTAGACCTCTCCATTCATACTGCATCATGAAGTTCTCTACTCTTGCTGTTCTCAGCGGGCTTGCGGCCTCGACCTTTGCCACCCCTACCCCTCCAACTCATGTTGTACATGAGAAGCGAGAACATCAACTCAACAAGTGGTCACGACGAAGTGTCAAGCTCAATCGTGATGCCGTTATTCCCATGTCAATCGGGTTGACACAGTCAAATCTTGACCAAGGTTATGAATTCTTGATGGATGTCTCTCACCCTGAGAGTCAAAACTATGGAAAGCATTGGTCTATGCAAAAGGTATTTGGCTTGTCCAAGTTTGTGAACAATTACTTATACAATTAGATCAAAGAGACTTTTGCTCCCTCACCTGCTACCATTGAAGCTGTGAAGTCATGGCTCATTGAGAGTGGAATCGAGCAAGAAAGACACAAACTCTCAAATAGTTTAAGTTGGATAAGATTCAACGTCACTGTTGAAGAAGCAGAGTCACTACTCAAGACCGAATACAGCATCTACGAAAACACCAATACCGGCAAGGAGCATCTCGCTTGTGAAGATTACAGTGTTCCGGCTCACATCCAAGAGCATATTGACTTCATCACTCCCACCATTCACTTCGATGCTACCGTCAAGAAGGAGAAGAAGACGAGGGACTTGCAAACTCGTGCCATGAAAGTCAAGCCAACAAAACTTATTATGCCAGGACCTGATACAGTCCCTCAACCAGAAGTCAAGTACACGCTAGCAAACTGCTATGAGTACATCACTCCAGACTGTCTTAGAGCTTTGTACAACTTCACAAACGGCACTCTCGCACAGTAAGCTCTTTCGATTTCCTACTCTGAGTAATGGCTCACGTGATCAGATCTTCGTACGGAATTGTTGAGTACACGCCTCAAGCGTATCTGCAAAGTGATTTGAACCTGTTCTATTCCAACTTGCAACGCCAGATTGCTTCTGGCACTGCTCCAACGATAGACTTGATTGACGGTGCCACTGTTCAAACCTCCACCCAGAGCTTCGATGACAATGGAGAGTCTGATCTTGATTTGCAATATGCTATTGCTCTGGGTATGTTCTGTATCCATAATCCGAGACCTGGGCTAATTCCATCTAGTCTATCCTCAGAAAGTCACGTTATATCAGACAGGTGATGCTGTAGAAGGAGCTTCGTTCAACAACCTTCTTGATGCACTTGATGCTTCCTACTGCACCTCAGGTGGTGGAGACAATCCAACCTAGTAAGTCCAACGAATCACTGTCAGAAATATATCTAACATTTAACAGCGATGCGATCTATCCCGACACTGCATCCGGTGGGTACAAGGGTGCCGAGAACTGTGGCACCATCACCCCAGCCTCAGTCATCTCTACATCCTACGGCTACAACGAAGCCGATCTCCCAGCTGCCTACGAGGTCCGTCAATGCAACGAGTACATGAAGCTCGGTCTTGCAGGCACCTCAGTCCTCTACTCCTCTGGTGACTACGGCGTAGCAGGAAATGGTGGCGAATGCTGCACAGCCGCTAAATGCGTAGGAGGAACGTACAACTCTGGCTCCTCAGGGACATTCAACCCTGCCTTCCCGGCAACTTGCCCCTACATCACCTCAGTAGGCGCCACTCAAGTTAAACCCAACACAGCCGTCACAGCCACCAATCCCGAAGAGGCTTGCGAGACTGTCATCTATTCCGGTGGTGGCTTCAGCAACGTCTTTGCCATCCCAAGTTACCAAGCTTCTGCCGTAGCGACTTATTTCTCAGCCCATAAACCAACATACACTGCTACACAATACAACAATTCTCAAACTGTCAGAGGCTACCCCGATGTGGCGGCTAATGGAGCGAATTATGTCGTCGCAGTAGACGGTTCTCTATCCCTTGTCTACGGAACCTCTGCTTCGTCCCCAGTGTTCGGCTCTATTATCACACTGATCAATGAGCAGAGAGTAGCGGCTGGCAAGGCGGCAGTGGGATTCTTGAATCCTACGCTTTATGCTAATCCCAGTGCGTTCACGGATATCATTTCAGGAGGCAATCAGGGGTGTGGGACGAATGGGTTTACCGCTGTGGCGGGTTGGGATCCTGTTACTGGGTTGGGAACACCGAATTATCCTAAGCTGTTGGCTGTTTTCTTGGCGTTGTCTTAGATGATAAGTTGGATTGATGTGTTGGTGTCACGTGTGAGCGGGTGTTGATTGGAACTGGAATTTTGGGAAATTTTCACTGTATCTTTTTGAAAAGGATAATTTGAAGCTATTTAACGCTCAATCTGGTGGCTCTGATTCTGTTATTACCTTTATCCGAAGGATAAAGAGCCTCACCCGAAGAGTTCTAACGAGGAATTTCAACCCGCAATTCTTTTCACGTGATTCTGGTCCTCGAGAAGATTTTATTGGCTTTTGGGCAAAATTACTCCCATAAATTGAGGCGTACGTAGCACATTAATGCTTTACTCCTATATTGCTTGTGTTGCACTGACTGCACTGCACTGTACACTACAAGCTCGGCTACAGCCAGTTGTGCAGTAATAAGGCTCTATAGTCCGTACAATTAGTACCATACTGCTACTTATAGAGCCTTCAGACTCTGCACTTAGTGCTGTACAGTGACTGAATATAGAGCCTCAAGCTCATATTATAGCTTCATAGTGCTCATATATGGAGTACTTGAATGCTCTTCAACATAAGACGGATAAAGGCTCGGTAGCCCATCCCGATAAAGACGTCTGTTCTGATACGATAGACCTCCCGACGTTATACAAGGCACGTGTCGGATCATCATCGGGAGGCAAGCTTCCCCGCTTTCTCAATATAACATCAACTTCAATGCCTGGCAAGTTCAACTCTTGACAACCTCAATGCCTGAAAACTTCAATTCCTGGCATCTTCAACTCCTGACATCTTCAACTTCTGACATCTGTTTCAAAGACATCAACTTTGTGTGGTACAATTTAAACACCGCACATCAATCTTAACTCCCGTCTTCTATCGACGTCTTCGCACTCTTTCGTCTCAGCAATTTACTCGAGTAGAAACGACCACCATGAGCCTTCAGAGCCTTCCTCTAGAGGTCTTGCAACACATTTGCAGCTATCTCGGCCACAAAGACCTCCGAGTGGTCTCCACAACCAGCAAAGAATGCCAATCAGCCGCAAATGTGCACTTGCTGTGCAGGATTGATATCAAAGCTTTAGGTCGAGAGGAATTGCAGAGTGATGTGGGCCGTTGGAGATCCATACTTGAGCGTACAGTCGGCTTTGCTTATGTGAACCAAGTGTTCATCACAGCCTATATGCCTTGTGAAGAAGACCACATTCGAGAGGTCGACACAGCAGCACCAGAAGTACGGAAAGGCTTTTTCGCGCTCGATTCGAATAAGGTACCACTTATGAACATCGATGAAGAAAATGATTCCTGGGCCCCACTTGCTCAACTTATTCACCAACTTCCTGCACTTTCAGACGTACATTTTCATTGCGCGAACCAATTCCCTCGTACTCTTCTGGATACACTCCATCACAAAGTTCCTTTGTGCAAGCTACCAATTTCCAAGTTTCATTTGCGCAGTTTATATGAGCCCTATATGGATCCTCGCGAAGTTGCACTTATTAAATCGCCATGTCTGAACGGTGTCCAAGCATCATGTCGACGATTTGACAGTCAAGACAGAGTGGACTACAACCAGGATGCTCTCTATCGGATTGCATCTGGCTTGGCCCCGAACTTGAGAATTGTCAAAAGCTATCTGGCGGACTGGGATGCTAACAGATCCGCTCTCAACAGTCCCAGAGTACGTTGGCAAGGTTTCTCGTTCGACCACGACAAAAATCCATCAACCGCGGATGTATAGAGCTCTTGGACCTGCACCATTACGACCCAGGTGAGCTAATCATCTGGGAAGCTCATATCGACTTTTCCAAACTTGAGATCCTGTCCTTACGCTGCTATGAGGAATACTCCAATATTGCGGAATGGCTTCGGTCTATGCAAAACTACGCCTTGGACTCTCTCAGGACGTTGCGGATGTATGTTACGGAACGGTCTCCAGACGAACAGTACTACCAATCTTTCGATTCGTTTATCCGAAGTTTGAAACCTCTCACATGCCTGATGATCAGGGCAAATCTTCGTCCCAACGCGCTTGAAGCCATCGTTGAGCGCCACGGTCCGTCCTTACGCGTGCTCTCCTTCGATCACTTCCCCGTCGATCACGTCCCTGATACTGGCCGGCCCCAAATTGAATTGCATCATGTGCAGCTCCTCCAGAAACACTGCCCTCTGCTTGCTGATCTGACGCTGCGTATCCCGCGCTCGAAAGGAGATGCACAAGAAGTGATGTTCTATAAGACGCTTGGATCTTTTCCAAGACTTCAGGTTCTTAGGCTGACCCTGGATTCTCCTTCATATGCTTTCGTGTTGAAGAACAATAACAACAGCTCGCTCCTGTTAAGCGACGTGAGTTTCGACGAATTTGACAGGCAGCCATTCTCCATGCAAGGACAGGTTATAATGGATGGGCTTTGCAACGGCCATGTCAGAGACTCTTTCATCAACCGAGCAATGGACGAGAAACTGGCCAGATCCATTCTGGAGATTATATCGACCGGCAAGCGAAACCCTCAGTTCCCAATCAAACACTTGGAGCTAAAGAATAGGACTCCATATTTCTCTCATCTAGCGAGAGATCGTCTCCTGCAACTTGGCCACGTCGAAGAACACATTGGAGAATCATGGTCATTTCACTCTGGCTCGGGAGATAACAAGCATGAAAACTTCGTCGCGAAACAAGGTTATCATAGTTCCATCATTAGGCCTCCTGTCCTTGATCCAGGTCTCGATGCAGTGTTTCGAAAAACTTGGCCGCGAAGAGATAATGATACCGGTCATTGGCAACAAGATTGGCACAGCTTTCCCCTTTTCACCACGTAGCACTCTAAGATATCTCGTCAAAATGTACGAGGGGTAAGTACCGTTCACTGATTGTCCGGAGCGCGTCTTTCAGAAGCGATGGAGGTTTTTATAGGTCAGCCAGTGAATTTGTGCGGCTAAATGGGGCAATGAGACTTGGGAGACGGTTGAAATTTCTGCATTGGTCTTTCCGCCTCTTGATTTTGTCCGATCGAGCCACGAAGTAACGTCTTGCCCTGGAATATCTGGCCAATACTTTCACGGAGTCCTAAGAGGAGCATAATGCACATTGTACCGTTATGCTGCCTTGATATTATGAGCTAAAAAAAGTCTGTTCAATCTTCCAAGCTTCATTGCGCGTGCTATCAATGAAGTTGAATACATTCGGCATGACTTCGAATAAGTTGTATAGATATCTTCCCAATGCTTAAACGAGAATATGATAAACAACATGAAAAGGATGATGTGCAACATATGAAAAGTGATTCGAAGTTCGAGGACTGAACTTCAAAGCTGACTGGTGTCTGAAAGAAGTATCAATTGGCAATACCCTCATTTGGCAGTTTCCTCGCTTGCAAGTTACCCTCAATTAGAACTCTCTTCATCTGGAAATAACTTCATTTGGGAATATCCTCACCTAGAATTACCTTCACTTGGCAATACCCTCAATTGGCAATATCCTCAGTTTGCAATATCCTCAGTTGGCAATATCCTCAGTCGGCATTACTTTCGACTGGCAATACCTTGAACTGGTAATACCCTCGGCGGGCAATATCCTCAGTTGGGAATACGAGAATATTGTGGCTTGGCGTCATTCAAATGCTAAAACTCGAAGCTATGCACGACTGAAAATGGTAGTCCTCCAAGATTGGTGAGTCAAAATGTCCGACCTGGGGAAAGGACTTTTGATTGCCAGAAAGTTTGAAACAGGCCCAAGATTTAGAGAGAGTATACTTATTTGCCAAAGTTTTGATCTCTTGATTTATTTCAGCAGATTTGAATTCCGTTGAGATAAAGAAATTGTACATTGTGGTGTGAGTGATTTGCGTCCTCAGGCCCAGCGGTGAAACTTTGGATTGCATATTGGGGCAGAGCAGAGTGAATGTATGTGACCTGTGACAGCTATTTTACGTCACATGTTCCACGAGAAGAGAAGTCACTATCTAAAGAACACCAAAACAAGAAACAAACTATTCACAGTGCAGAATTACTACGAAGCATCGACGCAACCAAACGACATCCGCAGTAAACCATCCAAATCTTACAGCACAAAGCAAAGCAAAGCAAAATTCATATGCCACCATGAATACCGACCAAAGCAAAGAAGACAAACTGCTTAACGACATGGTCCCTCCACCCGATCCTCTGCACACGGTCCCGCGTGTCCTAGATGACGCACTCACCGGCAAGCTCATGGAGCACTACGGCCTGTCCCGAATCCCAGAGATCTCCTCGGCATTCACCAGGTACTTCGAAGCACACGAGTACCACGATCGAAGGCGCGCCGTGAGAAGTTTCATCGCTGGACGAAGCAACCCTCAACCTCTCGAACGGGAACAAGAGGTAGAAGATGGCTTTGAAGAGCGAGGGGTTGAGAAACAAGCTCTGGAAAGTCTGATACCCATGTTGAAGGCGTTTTTGGTCGAGGTCAATAAAGATATCCAGCCATATTTGAGTGAGGATGGTGTTTTTGAGCTGTGGACGCTGGTTGAAGAGTGTAGGATCGCGATGGAGGATGGGGATGTATGGAGTTGCTATGGTATTGTGGCGAAGATTCACAAGGGGCTTGTAGGAGAAGTCGGAGATAAATGCAATATGTATAGACAATTGGCCGATGTGATAGAGAGCTTGTGTTCAATGCTTACGGAGAGGCATTGAGCGGCCGAGATATCTCTTTGGGAAAGGGCTTAAGCGGGCCGGACTGTAGGGCGGAGATCATGGCTGTTGTGGACCATGGCGATTGTGAATTATGGCAATTGTGGATCATGGCGGTTGTGGACTGCATATGGAGTGAGTGAGCTTGCAAAGTTTTAATGGTTATCGATGCTTTGGAACGTAGATCTTTCAATCGCGTATCGTCATGACAGACTAGCAAGTGACCCCAAACTTAAACTTTAACTGAAAAGCCAGGTAATGATCTACGACAGCAAAAGTTTACTCAGAGACAAAGAATATGACACTGGGATAGACCCACTTCAAGTCAGACATTGAACAACAATGTGTTTGCTGATTGTGACGTAATGACACGAAAGAATCAAAAGATATTGCGAAACTTGGGGCTTTCAACACGTATCAAAGCGAGGCAGGAAGTGGTACAAGTAGAGGAGGATGGACGAATAGTTCCCAACTTCTGAAAGCAATACGACTATTCAAAAGAATTTAGGTCAAAGTTCGACATCCTACCCCTTCAGACAGAGTTATGATCCAACAACAGTCTGCTGAGGAGTACAGTCTTGGTTGCGGCGACCTGTTACCAGAAATCAATACCACTACTGGTTACAGTCCTTTTCTGGACGACCCGCTACCACACTTTGCAGGAGCATTCAGGCGATACTTCTTCGCACATAATCATGTAGCGCAGTTCAACTCGCTCGATTGTGACAAAACAGAAGAGTTCAAGTACTTGTACGAGCTGCTGACACTCTTTGAAGCTCTGCAAAGTGAAGTACAGGCTGGCGGGGGTAGATTTTGCAACGATTCTGGAATTACTCTCCAATCATTGATGGATAGATGTACTGCAAAAAAGAGGATTGGAGACGATTCGGCATGTTTTCGTGTGGCAGAAGCGCTTCAGGCATGGCTAGTAGCGGAACTGCACTCAAGAAAGGACAACTGCACAGGGGACATGCAAATGTGGCTGCGGTATGAGGAGCTGATCGGCTCACTCGAATCAGTACAGTAGCGTTTGATACTGTAATACGTCAACAAAGATATTCATGATCCATTATTTCGTGAACAATATCTGTGTAGAGCCTCCAACCTCCATGAACCGACCAGTAAACGCCTCTATTGTACTCTAGTATACTCCATTGATTATGGTTTCTTTCCCTCTGTCCATATTGTCTGCGTGGTGACAATTGTGATCATCATCGTTCGTTCTTTTGCCTGACTCATTTCAAATTAAACTTTTGTCCAGTAATCACTGGTGCGGCTGTTGTTGACTTGGAATTCGCTTTGCCACACATTGGACACGCTGTATTATTTTAGCTTTTGCTAAACAGCCCGGAATACAGAGGACGTACCATTTGCTTTGTATGCGCATTTTTGACAATATGTTCGTCCTTGGTCAACCTTGGTCTTACATGTCGTGCAGGAGCTAGAATACGCCGCGTATGGATTTCTTGCTGTCTTCGACAGTAATTTACTCTACGATAATGTTAACCTTTGGATTCATAGACCGCAGATGTAAACTTGCCTTTCCTATCCCGTTGTTGCCCAGCGTTGCTGAGGTTTTCGTCTTGTCGCCACTCTTCGAGGATCCAGCTGGAGAGCCATAATACATCTCATTCTTCTTCTTTACACCTGGTGTAGCCAATGTCGTCGATTTTGCAAGTTTTTGACACTTTGCGCAAACCATCTTGAATGATGCAGAGTTGATGTTGACAGTGGAGAAGGCTGTATGATGAGGCTGAAGCGGAAAGCCAAAGCACCGATCAGGGACAACGCTAGCCACATTAGGTGTGTTCCAAGAGAATGTCAGGCAGCTTGAAAGAGATCAGACTGCTTTGAATTGTCAATGGCCTCCACATTCTCTGTTCACAGCTCATTGCAAACTTATTATTCGACGGATACCAGATTCTACCGTGGCGCTTCCTTCGACGCTGTCTTGGAAATTTCGTACACCTCGTACTCACGAATCCTCCAAAGAGGCTGAGCAGTTTGAACCAAAAGAAGCTTACTCTTTCTATCACCAACATCACCACGACTCCGCGAACACTTCGAATCGATTGCGAACTTCGGATTACACTATTTATCACATTTGGATGTTGGGGAAAGGGACAGCATCGTGCTGATTGCGACAATTCTTAGCTGTTCTCCAGCATGGCTGGGGCGCGTTCAAGCAACCGGAATGATCTCCTACTCGATCTGGGTGATGAACAACCAATTTACAATGATGGCCAGCGGGCCCCTATGAATGACGAAGATCTATTGCGAGCATACAATGCGGATCACGACGCTACACAACCTCGACCATCAGTATCTTATGATGACTTTGTAGGAGGAAGTGGAGAGACTCAACCCTCGAGGCCCTTACCTGGTGGACCAGGAACTGTTCCTGGAGCCGGTCCATATGCATCGGGCACATCAAATAGGACATACAGTCAGACCTCTGGACTAGGAAACTATCAACGATACGCAGATGATTTGGACGACTTCCCCGACGATGGCCAATCGATGTACTATCACCAAGGCGGGGCCGTCGCTGGTGATGGAGCTGGCATGGGAAAGCCCAGGAATCGAAATAGCGTGTTGAGTATGGGTGGAGGATTGATGGGGAAAGCAAAGAGTATGCTTGGAATGGCACCGGAGTACTCGGAGATGGACCTGCCTTTGACTGAAGCTGGAGGACGAGGCCGAATAGACTCGACACCAGCCACGCCCAAAATACCCGGGAAGAAATTCGATGTTGGCAAGTTCAAATTTGGATTTGGACGTGGAAAACCAGATCCGTCAACATTGGGACCAAGGATAATACACCTGAACAATCCTCCTGCGAACAGCGCGAACAAATATGTGGACAATCACATTTCGACGGCGAAGTACAATATTGCAACTTTCGTGCCAAAGTTCTTGCTGGAGCAATTCTCCAAATTTGCCAACATTTTCTTCTTGTTTACTGCTGCGCTTCAACAGATACCGAATATTTCGCCTACAAATAGATACACTACGATTGGACCTTTGATCTTGGTGTTACTGGTTTCGGCGGGTAAAGAATTGGTGGAGGACTACAAGAGAAAGACCTCAGACAAGACTTTGAATAATTCAAAAGCTCGTGTCTTGAAGGGGAGCCAATTTGAAGAGACGAGATGGGTGAACGTTGCAGTAGGTGATATAGTGCGTGTGGAGTCAGAAGAGCCGTTCCCGGCAGATATCGTTCTGCTTGCCAGTTCAGAACCTGAAGGTCTATGTTATATCGAGACGGCAAATCTTGATGGAGAGACCAATCTCAAAATCAAGCAAGCTATCCCGGAGACATGTATCATGGTTAGCTCGAGTGATTTGAGCAGACTAGGTGGACGACTACGATCAGAGCAGCCTAACAGCAGTCTTTATACCTACGAAGCAACTCTGACTGTAGCTGCTGGAGGAGGTGAGAAAGAGCTTCCGCTTCAACCAGATCAACTACTCCTTCGTGGAGCAACACTCCGAAATACTCCTTGGATTCATGGAGTTGTTGTCTTCACTGGCCATGAGACAAAACTCATGCGAAATGCCACGGCGACACCAATCAAGAGGACAGCGGTCGAACGTCAACTCAACATCCTTGTCCTTCTCTTGGTCGGTATCTTGGTGGCCCTCAGCATTATAAGTTCTGTTGGTGACCTGATCGTGAGAAGCTTCCACGCCTCGGAGTTGAGCTACCTTGGGTACTCAGTATCATCATCGGCGCTGCAAAAAGTCCAACAGTTCTGGTCCGACATCTTCACATATTGGGTCTTGTACTCGGCTCTCGTTCCCATTTCACTCTTCGTTACTATCGAATTGGTCAAGTACTGGCACGCCATTCTGATCAATGATGACTTGGACATGTATTACGAGAAGACGGACACTCCTGCGGTGTGTCGTACTTCGAGTCTGGTCGAAGAACTGGGAATGGTTGAGTACATATTCTCAGACAAGACTGGTACTTTGACATGCAATCAAATGGAGTTCAAGCAATGCTCCATTAGTGGTATTCAGTACGCCGAAGAGGTACCCGAAGACCGCCGCGCTACCTTCCAAGATGGTGTTGAGATTGGTATTCACGACTTCAACAGATTGAAGGAAAATATCAAGACACATGAATCGAGCGTCGCCATCCATCATTTCCTAGCACTACTCTCAACTTGCCATACCGTCATTCCAGAAAGATTAGAGGAGAAGGGCGGAGTCATCAAATATCAAGCAGCATCACCAGATGAAGGGGCATTGGTGGAAGGTGCAGTGTTGATGGGCTACCAATTTACGGCCCGAAAGCCAAGATCCGTCCAGATCACAGTTGAAGGCAAGGAGTACGAATATGAGCTACTAGCCGTATGCGAATTCAACTCTACACGAAAGCGAATGTCAACCATTTTTCGATGCCCTGATGGAAGAATCAGATGCTATTGCAAAGGTGCTGATACCGTCATTCTCGAGCGATTGAATTCCGATAATCCACATGTCGAAGCTACGCTCCAGCATCTCGAAGAATATGCCTCTGAGGGTCTGCGAACACTTTGTCTTGCAATGCGCGAGATTCCGGAACAAGAGTTTCAAGAGTGGTGGCAAATTTTCGATAGGGCTCAGACGACAGTCAGTGGAAATCGCGCCGATGAGCTTGACAAGGCAGCAGAACTACTCGAGCATGATTTTTACCTTCTCGGTGCTACTGCTATTGAAGATCGTCTCCAAGACGGTGTCCCAGAGACCATTCACACCCTACAGGAAGCTGGCATCAAGGTCTGGGTTCTAACCGGAGATCGTCAAGAGACTGCCATAAATATCGGCATGAGTTGCAAGTTGATCAGTGAAGACATGACACTGCTGATCGTGAATGAGGAATCTGCAGCCATGACACGAGACAATATTCAGAAGAAGCTCGATGCAATCCGGACGCAGGGTGATGGTACCATTGCGATGGAAACATTGGCTCTCGTCATTGACGGAAAGTCTCTGACATACGCATTAGAGAAGGATCTCGAGAAGAACTTCTTAGATCTCGCTGTGATGTGCAAAGCAGTAATCTGCTGTCGTGTATCACCTTTGCAGAAAGCTTTGGTCGTCAAACTTGTCAAGCGCCATCTCAAAGCTATTCTTCTTGCCATTGGCGATGGAGCGAACGACGTTTCAATGATTCAAGCTGCACATATCGGTGTTGGTATTAGTGGTATGGAAGGTCTTCAAGCTGCTCGGAGTGCCGATGTGGCTATTGGTCAATTCAGGTATCTGCGGAAATTGCTACTCGTCCATGGAGCCTGGAGCTACCAAAGAGTCAGCAAGACTATTCTCTATTCTTTCTACAAGAACATCACCTTGTACATGACACAATTTTGGGTAAGCGCTACATTGTATTCTGGCGACTCGTCTAACGTCTATAGTACTCCTTCCAAAATGCCTTCTCCGGAGAAGTCATCTACGAATCATGGACCTTATCCTTCTATAACGTATTCTTCACGCTCTTACCGCCCCTTGCGATGGGCATCTTTGATCAATTCGTTTCTGCTCGCCTACTCGATCGATACCCTCAATTGTACCAACTTGGTCAAAAGAATACCTTCTTCAAGATGCATTCATTCTTCTCGTGGGTCGGGAATGGATTTTACCATTCCTTGATCTTGTACATCTGTTCGGAGGGAATTTGGTGGCTCGACTTGCCTCAAAGTGATGGTAAAACCGCTGGACATTGGGTATGGGGTACAGCCTTGTACACCGCTGTTCTTGCGACGGTGCTAGGGAAAGCGGCGTTGGTCACCAACATCTGGACGAAGTATCATGTCATTGCCATACCTGGCAGCATGATTATCTGGATAGTCTTTGTCGCAGTCTATGCAACTGTGGCTCCCAAACTTGGGTTCTCGACGGAATATGAAGGAGTTGTGCCAAGATTGTTCCCAAGTCCAATTTTCTGGCTGCAAGGATTGGTCCTACCTATTCTTTGCTTGTCAAGAGACTTTGCGTGGAAATAGTAAGTTCACCGAAGAGACTGTATACGAGTTTTGTTAACGTGACTAGTGCCAAACGCATGTACTATCCTCAATCATATCATCATATCCAAGAGATTCAGAAGTACAACATCCAAGATTACAGACCGAGGTATGTCACTACTACTTATCGTTTTGCAATGCTAACGATTTAGGATGGAACAATTCCAAAAAGCTATCCGCAAAGTCCGACAAGTACAGCGAATGCGCAAACAACGTGGATACGCTTTCTCACAAGCAGACGAGTCACAAACACGTGTATTGCAAGCTTATGATACGACGAGGGAGCGTGGTAGATATGGTGAAATGGCAAGTTCGAGGCCGGGTGGTAGATAATGGCTGTATGATCTTTGGGTACCAGTGTACTTGATTGTTTAAAGTGTTTGGGTTTAGGGGGAGAGAATACCTGTGAATGAAAGGAATGAATGCAAATGCTCAAATGGTGTTTTGGGTGGTCCATAGGTGCATGGATGTGTGTGATAATCCGAAGATTTGCCCCCCTAAAGTCTATCATTGTCTAGGCTGTGATGTTGATGTTATGAGAGCCGCAGCAATTTAGCGTAAGTCGGACAATCAAGAATGCGCCGCTTCCTTTTATATCCAATTTTGGGCTTGTTCTTGCCAAAAGTTATTTGATATCGATGCGATAGCCTGCAGTATTAGATTGAACATAAGATTGGTTGATCTCTGTCTTCTAGGTCACACCTATGGAGGCAATCATGTTCTGTCACAGTGAGAGACATCCAGGCTGAATCTTCTTTTACGTACATGCGTTGATGCAGAAAAGTCTGATGAGGTCTAAATGTCCCTCTTCCAGATCGAGATTCTGGAAGGGCTTATGTCAAAATCGACGATGACTATTTATACTCCCATAAGTCTTCTGAAATGGATGATCATCTCGCAAGGCTTAAGTGGCCCCCATTCACGGATTGCAGATCCTCGCAATCTGCATCGTTCTATTGTTAGAATATACTAGATCTGGCATTGCTCTCATCGATGAAGCTGTCAACTCACATGCTCGCAATCACGTGTCGTTTCGCATTGATGTTTCCACTGAAATCTGAGACGACCTCCTAACCTTTCAATGTTAGACACCCGAGTTTTACCTATTAGCGAGAGTTCACTTGGCAAGCCAAGCATTTCTACTCGCGCAGGCGTCCGTTCAAGAGCCTCCTGCGACATTCCAGACCTCATGGTTCCCTGTCCACGCAAGCAATGTCTTTGAGCCCCATCACCCGCACGGGAATATGACAGGGAGATCCTCAATTCCCCGACGTTCTCAATGGAGCCAAGTCCGGTATTCCAAGCCCTATCAAACCAAACTATTACTACCAAGCAAGGTCTCGGAAGTTTGCGACGGCTTGGACACGATCTTGGCCACCTGCCAAGCGGATTGGCAAGTCTCACTGCTATTCAAAGTCTTGTTTGTTTTGCTGTACCCATTTCTCTAATCCATACTCAAGCTTCAATTTACTCTCGGCGATCTTGGCTGCTGCGCGCATGATGGGGATTATCGTTCTATGCTGTAAATTTTGTCTTGATGATTTTCCAATATTAGCACAGGCCCGCGAAGGAGAGTCTTGGTACTCATGCTGGACTCAATACATAAAAAGTGTCTCGATCCCCAAGTTCTCCGGTTCTTCAGCGGTGCTCAATAATTCGTACGATACCCAATCATTTTTCAGAAGCAAGTCTTCTTCTTTCGGCATTTCTATTCTTCTCTCTTTTCATTTCTGCTTCATATAAAGCTTTTCAAAAACAAAATACCGCCAACATGCAATACCCAAGCGCTTACATCGCCCTCTTCGCTGCTACGGCCGTCCTCTCCATCCCCGTCCCCTTGAACATCAACATGGGTGCCTATTCGCCTGCCTTGGTGGTCGGTGATGGTGCCATTGGATTCAAAGGCACGGAATCAGTCACCCAGATCATGAACACACTCGAAGGCGCAGCAGCCAGCGGAGCAGCCACAAACGGAGCCGCAAACGCAGCACCTGCCGCAGCCGCCGCTCCTGCAGCTACTCAAGCTGGCATCACGCAAGCTGGCGTCACTGAGCAAGCACCTGCCACCAACACCGCGCCCGAAGTCGTTCCTCAAGGCGAACTTCCACAAGGCATGGGCAAGAATGTCGTTACTGCTCGTGACGAAGAGGAGTTAGATCTCGAAGAGCTCTACACCGAAGTCGCGAAGCGGTTGACACCCGAGGAGGAAATCGAGATCGATGAGGAGGTCGAGGAAGAAGATGCGGAGAAAAAGGTGAAGAGAGATCTGGCTGGCTTTAATGCGGCGCTAAATTATGCTGCAGGTGCGCTGAAGACGAGTCCGGAGGTACAATTGGGAACTGGGGAGGGGGGGTCTGGCGTTGGTATTACGGTCAACCCTTCGAGCAATACTACCAGAGTCGGATAGAAGGTCGGGACAACGGGAGGAGAAATTGGGTGTTGGGGTTGGTGGGACATTTATATATGAAGTCTTGTATTGTATAGCGACTTGTTAATCAGATCATCAATGGATGCTTTCGTCCTATTCAATCCAAGGCTGTGAGTTCTAAAGATTACCTAGCTGTAGCCTCTTACCAATATTTCATGTATTTGAGTAGTGAGACGCATGCCCATGCATTCTACACGCTCTCTTGTACACCTGTCCTCGACACATGAGCACGCCTTTCTTTTATAGTTTAAGATATCAACGTCTGGGCATCACACTTCTTGACTGAGTATTTCTAAGGTTGAACTATTTTCTCGGTTTGAATTTCGACCTTAATCATTCCCTTGATTGATACTCTGACTTCTGGAGTAACGTCTCACTTGACGGTCCCTTCAGTTGAGCGTTCCTTCACTCGAGCATTCCCTCGTTTGGGGCTTTTATCACTCGACTTGGGAATAAAACGGCAACCGCTCACAGATACTGAATAACATCACCGAGAATGAGAGTAAAGTCCAAGTTCCCTACTGATTGGTAATTCCTGAGCGGTGTGGGGTGCAGATAAGCGCTAACCAGATCCGACAAACTTGACACCTTTGATCACGACCTCCGAACCAAGATTCTCTCAACCAAAGTATCGTATGTAAATAAAGTTCCAAGCTACCCTCCCTCATCTATAGCATCATCTCCCACCACCAACCATGACAGCCCCTCCATCCCCACCACCCCTCCAACTCACCAGCCCCCGCCTAACTCTAGAGCTCTTCTCCCGCTCCAATCCCGCACACTACGCCCTCATGCTCGGCGTCATCAACAACCCCATCGCCCACGCCACCATGGGCGACTACGGCATCCGCACCGCCTCGCAACTCGACGCCCTGAACCAAGCCACGTTCCTCCGCTCCCCGATCTCCTTTCCTCAAGAACTCATCTACATCCTGCAGCTGCACCTCAAATCCGACGCCGAGACCGAGACCGAGACCATGATCGGCGCCGTAACGCTCGCTCAGAGAAGCAGCACCATCCCCCCGGATATCGGGTGGGCGCTGCTTCCGGCGTATATGGGGAAGGGATATGCGACCGAGGCCGCGGGGGAGCTTTTAAGGTGGGTGAGGGAGAGTTGGGGGGTGGGCGTTTGTACGTGGCCGGATGAGAGGAATGGGGGGAGTGTGCGGGTTGCGGAGAAGCTGGGGTTTGTGGATGGGGGGTTTGTGAGGAGTGTTGATGGGCATGGGGAGGTGAGGGATGAGGATGAGGGGAGGGTTGATGGGGGGGGGGAGTTGATTAGGACTTGGGTTTTGCCCGGGATGAGGAGGTTGGATGAGGGTGGGGTTGTTGAGATTAGTTTTTGGGGAGAGCAAGGTGGAGGAATGAGAGCGCGTGGAGAATGAAGTCAGGGTGAGGAGAAGGGAAATTGAGGTTGAGATCTAGACTTATAAGGATAATATTTTCTCAAAGTTTGTTGGACAATATGATCGGCTTAAATCCGGAATGGGTAAAGGACTTTGAAGCAGGTTGCGCAAAATAGCTTCTGTGTTACAATCGCTCTGCGGTTCACTTCTTCTGTCCGTGTAACTTTTAATACTTCTTGCGTACATATCAAGAAAGCGTCTTGAAAGCTCAGCATGACCTAACTAAATACTCCAGATCTGCCCATTCTACACACACCACCTCTCCGAACCCTCTTCTGCAGCAAACCCTCCATCCTCAAATCCTCACCATTAAAAAAAACTCCCCAGCCCTTCCACGCGAACAAGCCAAGACCCCCCTCCCCACAAGCATAACCCCTCCGCCCCCCTATCCAAGCCTCGCTTGTCCCGCCAAGTCGCATCCCGGACACACCAAGTGAAACATCCGCTTCAGCTTCAGCCTCAACGACACACACACACTCTCTTTCTCTTTTCTTCCTGCCTTTGAATGGATAATGATCGTACCATTCGGATTCTTCGCTTGAGCCAAGAGTATAGGATGAGTTGAGACAGAGGTAAGAAAGAATCTCGGAGAAAAATTGAGGGGAGGGGAGAGGTGGATATTGGGTGGTGATATTGGGGTGTGGTGATGGAAAGCTTGTTCTTCTAGGTTTTCTGGTTTGCTGTGTTGAGTTGAAGAGGGGTTGACTTTTTTTTTTTTGTGCCATTTCTGGTGTGGTGGATGACGTTTTCGTATTCTTTCTCATTCATCGAATTTCCTGTCGTCGTCGTCGTCAATTCTTCAGCACAACCAAAATCACCAGCAATAATGAACTCCCTCATCCTCCTCTTCCTCGCCCTCCCAGCATCCAACTCCCAAACCATAACCGGAATCCCCGAATGCGCTGTACGTCCCACCTTTCCCCTTTCAAGACATCCACTAACCACCCGCTTTCGAAAAACAGAAACAATGCGCCCTAACCTACCTCGCCACACACCCCGACTGCAGTTCTCTTAATACGCAGCCTTGTATCTGTGCTTACCTGTCTTACTACTCTGCTTGTGTGGCGGAGAGTTGTAATGGGACAGATGCTGCTGGTATGTCAATCTTCATCCCCAGGAACATAATTTCGAGAATGTGGAAATGACAGAAAACTGATAATGAATAGAAGCAACACAATCCCCAATCCCGTACTACATCCCCGAAGCTACGATCTCGATCGAGCCAACGGGTACAGAGACGGTGTGTCCGCTGTCTATGACGTTGGATACGCCGAGTTTTGGCGCTGGGTCTGTTACAGCGACGCAGACGAGGAGTGATGGAGCGGGGAGTGAGAGCGCGGTGGTGACTTCACGAGCTTCGACGACGGTGGGAGGAGAGAGTGTGACAGGAACAGTCATAGATGGAAAGACGACAGCTCCGCAAACTGCGAGTAGAACTTCAACGGCGACAGGAACAGAGACAGAGACAGAGACAGAGACAGAGACAGAGACAGAGACAGAGACAGAGACAGAGACAGAGACAGAGACAGAGACAGAGACAGGGCCTGTAGCTACCTTCACGGGTGCAGGGAGCGCGATGACGCCTAGTCCTTGGACTGGGAGTTTGTATGTTGGTGCTGTGATCGGGCTTTTGATTCCGTTCTTTGCTGGGTTTGGGGTGAGAATTTTCTAGGTGTCGTTCTTGGTGTTGGTTCTGATTGTGGTTGTGATTGTGGAGGGGAGCGAAGAGACGTAGAAATGTAGTTAGCTAATTTATATTGCCAGGAAAGGGAGCAGCTCGTCGTCTCAACGGGAGGGAGATACGTCAAGAAACTTGTCTGAGGTTTTGTTCGGTAGTTTAGAAATCTTGAATGAGGCTTTTAGAAGATTGGAGATATCAACACTTGTCTGTCCGGGTGGTGCCAGCTTTGCTTGACTAATGCCAACTCCACAACTCACCCCATCTCCACATAAATCGCATGAATTCAAAAATTGGATCATCAACAACATCCAAGATCCCCCAACTTCCAGAATCCACAACATCTAGAACGCTCAACTCCCGAACCCGGCACTTGCAAACCCTTAGTCAAGATCCAATTGAGCACATACTCCGCAACAACCTCATCTCCATCAATCGATGCCTCACTCAGACCACAACTCACCTCACCTCATTCCCCACTGTCCACATCCTCCCGAGCCCGAACCGGCAAGCATCAACGTCGACCGGCATACCGATAGAACAAGCATCGAGGCGTGCAAGCAAGCAAAGACTGGAAGCGAGCGAGACCCCTCCGGAAGCCCCGGATCTGGTGCCGCGCTGCGCTGCAGCTGCACTTCGCGAGATCTGCCGGGCTGGCTGCGGGTGTATCCGCTGCGAGGAGGATTGATCTCGACTTCTTTGGGTTGACAGTGCGTTTTGTTCGGATCCGTGGATTGAGATGAAGGGAGAGGGAAGGATGGAATTGATTCATAACGGCTTTTGATATTGATCGTTCGATGGATCTGCACTTGCGACTACAAGAGGAAGCAATGATTGTAGGAAGAATAGTAGGCGCGCGGTATACCCATGGATTATGAGAAAGTAGGGAAGTTCGGTAACCTATTCTTGACACGACAACCCCTTGGTCTAGAAGCCGAAGCCGAAGATCTGTTTCACTAGAACGCAGAATCTTCCTTGAAGGATACCCTATTTTCTCTCATCTCCAATGGCAGCAACGAAGATGAATAGGCAGACATTAAACAAAATAACCTTGAACGTAGTTCGTTCTCCACAGAAAAAAATCACATGTCCCGACGTCATGGTTCTAGACCACCTCTTTTCTCCAGTTGTTTTCGCTATGCGCGCGTCTTACGCGCAAATGGACAACTCATCTCTTCTGGTGAAGGGGTTTTTTGTTAGGGGATGTGAGTGAGTGAGTGAGTGAGTGAGTGAGTGAGTGAGTGAGGGAGGTGCGACGTCATCTGGTTTTGGTGAGAGAAGGAGGAATTATGAGATAGCCGCTATCAACGAAAACATCGTGGGATGGATGCGGTGCAGCGGGAAAGATCTGAGACAGGGCCGAATAGCGTGCGTGTGGAGAGGAGGAGGAGGGTTGGGCAAGACGGGATCATGCATCCTCTGTACGAGCACCTGAGCTCTTGACTCGAGACTGACTCGGTATTGTTTCTGTGGATTTTCCAGGTAAATAATTAAATGGGATAGAAAGGAAAGAAAGAAAGAATGAAAGGAACATCTCGGTATTCCCAGATTATTTCATGCATTAGTAGGAACTTTATATCGGCGAGGGGGAGATGCTGATTGGTGGTGCTTATCCGGGTCAATTGCGGCACCCCACGGGTACCTTTCTGTCTTTTTGTCTGTGATCTGCGACCTTGAAGGAAAGCTTGATGTCTGGATCTTTACTGTATGATGCGCAGGAAGAGGGGCACAACATCCCTCCGTCGAGACCAAGTGAAGTTTGTACGGTAAGAAGAAGAGATCTCCCCTCTTTGCCCTCCAATCGCCGTCCAAGATCATATCTTCAGTATCTCTCAAGGTGGCTGCTTCCTCCATCCATCCATCTATCCATCCAACTATCAAGGTATGTCAACTGTACCCCCAAAATAACTCTCCTCTCTGCCGCGCAAATCCGCTTGTAAGCAAGCAAGCAGAAGACCAGGATGACGAAAGAGGCGGATCCGCCGGGTTGCCCTCTTTGGTGCGTTTGTGCCTGCAGACAATCTATGCAGGTGCTGTGAGGGTGAGCCACAGATTGACCTTGTTGTGACCTTGGATGTGTGGTGGGGGTTAGTACAGAGGAGAGGAAAAGAGGGGTTGTGGTGGTTGTTCAGCGAGGCCTTGATGGGTAGATGTGCATGTATGAATGAGTTTAGCTGTATGTATGTATGTATGTATGTATGTGAGTCTGCGGTACGAGAGAGAGCAGATTCGAGTCGTTTTCCCTACTGTAACCTTTCTCCATTTTTTCCCATTTTTTACGGTGATGCGCGGATGTGCTGGAAATAATGAAGGGGAGGGATGATTGGAGACCGCACACAACATGGCATAACCACATGGCTCAGTTGACTGGGCTGGGCGGGCTGACTGGGCACTTGACTCGTTTGGTGGTGGGGGTTCGGGGTTCTGGCAACACAGCTTGGATCATCTACGAGGAGTGGACCTTGTTGGTGCGGCGCGAGAGGAGAGGAGAGGAGACGAGACGAGACGAGACGAGCGAACGGAAGACGCAACTCTGTGAGACAGACACGCCAGAAAATATAATCCAACCTAAATACCCGCTGCATGAGCTGGAAATCCACGTATGCAAGCAGCCCTTCGAGACTCTGCAGACCACGGATGATGCAATTTGTCCGTCTGGTGGAGTGCAATGCTGGTGGACCTGTGAATGTCGACCTATATTATAGACGGGACCCCTCACTTCCATTAAGAGAGAGAGAAAGACTTGACTTGACTCGACTGAAAACTGTTGTCCTCTTTCTATTGATTAATGAACCGTTGATCAAGAAGCAAGAAGCAAGAACCTGACTCTTGAATGAACACCTGAGCAAGACATTCATCCATCCTTCCTCTGGGCCTCTGTCACTCCCATCTCACTCTCACTCTCACTCTCACTCTGGCTATTATTATTCATTACTCTCCCGTTTTACGAAAGACACGAGTGAGGATAAAAGCCTAGAGCACGCCATATCAAAATCACACCTTAAGCGGTCAGCGACAAGCAATCAAAATTTTTCACTCACTGCTTGCTTCAACAGCATCTCGGCCTCTTTTTCAGCGCTTCTCTAACCACGATCGGTTGGCGACGGATATATATCCCAGATAACACCGTCCGTCGTACACTTCGGTGCACACCTTCTATTGTCTATCGCACTGCCGTTCGTCCAATTCACGTCCATCAAATTTCCTGTCCCGGGCTCCTATCATTCAGCGGTCAAGGAAGGGAAAATATAACCTTAGTCTGTCGGAGAAAAAAAAGATCCCAGATAACAAACCACTCCTCATAACCAACCAACGCCCATTTCACAACTCGCCATCCATCTTTTCTTTCTCGTCTCACGATAATTTCGCTCTCCGCTGTCGGACACTCTATCTCGTCGTCCACAGGATCAGATCTCCCATCGCGGTGCGCTGCATCAGATTATATATCCAGCGGGTGCCCTTTATCAATCGACCGGCCGTTATCGCTCCCCTCCACTTCGCAGGCCGAGGCGTCGAGTCATCCTTATCAACTCGAACATTTTCCTGTCATTTATCACATCAGCAGCAACCACCACCACCTCCACCATCACATCACATCACAAGACCAGCTCTCCTCCTGATCACCGATTCTCGGCATCGGTCTCACATTCATATATACACCTCTTGGCCATCCCAATTGAATTCTTCTTTCCTCCCTTATTTTACGTGGGAGGAGAGAATTAATCCTCTTATCAATTGGCTACCGACACCAAAGTTTGGATGGCACAATCACGCCCCCCTCCAGTCCGTACCCACGCGACAACCGCATCGCCGCCCCCATTATCACCGCGAACCTCAGAGAAGAAACACCACTCGCGGCGAAAATCAGGAAAGGACTACGTGGTGACCGAGAAGAAGCCATCGCGACCCGCGCCATTGAGTCGGAAGACGACTCCGCAGTTCATCACCAAGGTGCCTGCGTCGTCCAGTCGATACCGGGAACGAGACGATGAAGAGAGGGGAAGAGATAGCGGGGAGAGTTTCCCGCAGTTCTGGTATGTTTGCTTGCTTATTCGAGCGTTCCCAGGAACATGAACCCCCCAATGTGGGGTGCAGATGTGCTGACGAATGGCACAGCATGACCTGCGAAAAGCAATTCCTACCCGCGAATAATACATTCTTGTATTGTTCCGAAGCGTACGTTCCCCCGCAATGTCACCCGCGTTCCAGTACATCTCTTTGTGATCCCATGATCACCCCCCAAATGCAACCCCCATTTTCCCAACCGCAACCTTCCCAATCAAGTCCAAATGATGCTGACGATAATGATGACTGCAGCTGCCGTCTCCACGACCAACCACCAACTACTCTCCGTACATCCTCCTACTATCCCTCGCACTCTCATTCTCCACCTTTAACGCCCTATTCCCGCCAATTCTCCTCTTCGTACCACTCCACAACAACGCCCTCCCACGAAGACGGCCCCGACATCATCCCCCGCTTCTCACCCACCCAATCGCGACCCCGCTCCTACTTCTCCTCCGACCCCTATCCCACCCACCAACCCCCCGCGCCGCAATACTCCACCTCCCCCCAAACCTCAAATTCCAGCGCCCTAGCATCTCTCCGCGAACTAGCCACCGCTCTCCCTCCTACGCACCAAAGAACCGACCCCGAATCGCCTGCCAGCAGCATATCGCGCACCGGCAGCGGGGTCTGGAACTACATCCCTTTCGGGAACGGGAGCAAGACGGCGCCCGCGACGCCGGGGAATAGCTGGAGTAGCTATGGCGGGCGCAGTCGCGAGGATTTATACGGGTACGGGAAGAGTCAGGGCTATGGAGCTGGTGTTGCTGTGAGTGGAGCCGGGTATACGAGTTCGGGGGGCATGGGCATGGATAGACCGTTACCACCGAGGAGCGGGCCGGGCGGGTATGGACATCGGCCGAAGAGTATTGATTTGGTTACGCCGTTTGGGGGGCGTTGAGAGGGGGGTGGATGTTGAGGAAGAGGGTGGGAAAAGTCTTTTTGATGTTTTTTTTGGTTTCTGGTAATACTTCTTTACGAGGGAGATTTTTGGCTTGGAGCTTCTTATATATTCTCATCATCTCCTTAATTTTGGAGGATTTACTAGGGATAAGGACGGAGCATGGAACATTAGAAGGACACACACATTGGGTTTCGGCGCGCTGGAGCACAGAACATTGCTTGGTATTATTGGGTCGCTTGGTTACAGACGCGCTGGGAGCGTTAGATGGAGTTTTGAGGATACCTACCTCGCTCTACTGATAGTGTTTGATGTGGATGGAATTGAGATAATGAATGAAGAGGATGGAGAGAGAGGATTCAATGAAGATATTCACCATGGTTCCCTTCTTCTTGGGCAGTTCATCAATGAAATCGCCCCCCTTTTTCTCAAGCGAGAATTTTGCACAGCGCAGCAATTTTATAATTGAACCCAGATTGGAAAAGGAAATGCACATTTTCTCACAAGCAAGGACCCCAAAAACAGCCCCTATCTTTCCCGGCAGACGTTGCAATCAGATATAGATATCGCCATTTTCTTTGTCTCTTCTCAATCGCGCAATCCATCCATCCATCATCGTACCTACCTCCCCTCCTTCCTTCCTCTAATTGCGCTATTGATGAGGAAAGTTCCTACATCATGCAAGCATGTCGCTGTTCCTGAACTACTTACCTGTATTTACATCTACACACGGCTATGGCTCAATATTCTTAGTCATCTATAATTATCCATGTCTATATCCTGACGCTAGAGCTTTATATCTATAGTGTTTGTACTTATTGATTATATATTAGTTCCTTTCTTCCTTAGCACTCGACTAGGTATTTTATAAGCAAACCAACTTTGTTTTGTTTTTTGAACCGCCTCGATTCTTGACGGGGTTTTGAGATTTAGTTGCCGAAAATTGGGGTTACTGTAATCTTACATGTTTTGGGCACGCGGATGTATACCTAGGTATATATATATATACATGTTTATACATGGCCGAGCTTATAATTTCCTTGGCTAGATAGCTGGGGTTTTGCGTTACCTGAGTACATCCTAGACTGCTTAGCAGCCAAGTTGAAGGGGAGGGGAGGAAGCTTCTACAGTAGCTGTACCTGGGGTGGTATGGAAAGAATCTCCCTCTATTCACGCCATGAAATATCCCTTTTATTTTTCAAGAGCAGAGAAGAAGAAGAAGTTGTTGTACCGTTCTAAACTCCGCAGTTACCAACGGACTTTACTCATTCTATAATAGTAACATTTTCTCAGGGTGCTGCCCAAATGCAAATCAGAGTCACCTCGCAACAAATGATGACATCCACCAACTCCTCGCCCAGACTTTCATAGCACCACCGGCCCCGAATCTGCCTCTTCTGCTTGCTTTGTTTCGAGTCCGGGCTAATACGCTGCTGCTGAAGGGCTCTTCTGGAGCGTATTAATTGCTGGAATATCCGTGTTGGTTAGTTAGTAAGTTGGTTGTATTGTATAAGGTCGAGAGGCTAGACGTACCAATAGGCTGAGCATAGCTTTGATTTTATGCTCACTATGCGTGGAGAAACAAGCATGCTTTGTTTCTTTCGAGGGTGGGTTTGTTATAGTTTTCATAAATTGCGGTGTTGTGATTGGATCGATTCCAGCAGCTTTCTCTCTAGTTTTCTGCCAGTTAGCATCTTATCACATTAAAGCCCATGCTCCTGTTCCCTGGCGAAGAATCTTGGTAGTTTGTTTTTATGGATGACCTCCCGTCGCTATCATCAATCGTCGTCGTCGTAGGACCCTTCCCTCATACTTTGCCGTCTCCCAGCGGAGATTCTACTATTCCTGTGCCAGCTTTCCGTCCGTCGTCGCTGATGAGATGAAGTGTTGGAGATGGGTCTTGGTACCAGGCCAGCTAGTTAGGAGCCAGGGGATTTTCGTTAGAGTTGGATGGCGATGGGATTGTTGGGTGCTATGTCGATTGATGCGATGTTTAGTTTTAGGGTATGAGTTATTTGTTGTAGGGGGTTAATCGGTTACGTTGGTTGGAGCTGGGGGCGGGTAGGATCGTGGGGCTTGAAGTATTGTTGTTGCTGTTGATAATAGTGCGTCTGTTGCGAAATTTAGGTTTTGATTTTGTGGGATTTCTTTCTTTTCATTGCGTCCTCTGTGTTGTAAACGTATCTGATGGAGGTACAGGGATACAGTATCAGCCAATCCTAGGTAGGTAGTCTTTGCGCAGGAGGAAGGTTGTTGTCTGGGTCTTGAAAGAGAAGCAACCTCCGGGATAAACTTAGCGGGTAAGCGAGGCTTGGAAAGGGGGAGGAGGAGTTATGCTTGTGCAGGAGCTTAGTGGTGAGTTTAGGAGGATTTCTTTGCTGAATAATTGAGGGTTAGGGATTGGAGACTGCTTTCTTGCTGGAGAAGGAGATCTAGAGAGGAAGAGCAATGATTGAGGGCTTGTGAGATTATGATAGTCGGTGTGGAGTCACTTGATTTGGCACTTTCTTTTGGAGATGTAAAGTTGCTTAGAGAAAAGTGAGTGACTACTTAGTTGAAGATTCGATATTCGTTATGTTGATGGACCTCATCTGAAAGGTACCTAGGTACCTACCTAGGTAGTGACTTGAGCCAGGCTCACGTGGTGACCCACATTTCCGCGTCTTGACGTCGCGTTCAAACGCGTCTTCTGCCAAACTCAAAATTCCCAACCGAGTCTATCCCTCTGAATTTCTTTCTTCTCTCTCTCTCCTTTCACTCACCAACTCTTCTTGAACGTCCAAGATGCCCAAACGCAAGTCCGAACCCACAGCCGTCGAGGCCCCCCCTCCCTCAAAGAAGGCTCGCAAGTCCGAACCGCTCCCAATCGAAAAGCTCATGCTTCTCACCCCCGACTCAATGCAGAATTTCCCCCAAGAACAACTCATCTCCTTCATCACCAGTCTGCAGCACGCGTATCGCGAGCTCGAATCCGCACAATTGACCACTTCAGCTAAGATCCCCAAGGTACCAGCCGCCGTCGACGATCCTGCCAAGATTGCAAAAAAAGCGGGCAAGATTGCAGACATGATGGCCGATGGAATCAAGAAACAGATGAAGTGGCAGTCAGTTCCTCCCACCCTCCCCATTCTTGTCTCTATTGAAAGCCCATCTGACTTCCATTTGCCAAATTAGGCCCTCGTGCAAAACATCCGGAAAGAGATGGATATACGAATGCATGGTTCCGAGCGAAGCCGTCTTCTTGTCTCTCTTCAGATTGGAGGAAGAGAAGAAGGCGTAGAAGCAGAAGAAGATTCCTGTCGTGGATTTCGAACGCATCACTGGCGGCTTGGAGACTTCGGTATGTATGCCTGTGTTCGTGGTGGGAAAGGTGCTAATAGGAACGGAAGATTCGTTACGGATATTTGAGGGTTGTTAGTGAGCATGTCACGTTGAAGTGGGATAAGGATGCTCTGAGCTTTAGTGTTTCGGGTCTTTATGGTCTCTGAATGTGTTGCGGACTGTTTGTTGCATTTGCATGTGGTGGACATTTGCGTTTGAGCTGGAAATCGGGTGCTTGTTATTATTGCTCTTGTGTTTTATGATATCCCTGGTCGAGTTAGACATTGCGTGGCAAGCCGTTGACTGGATTTAGCATTGCTCAAATGAAGACATCACCTCAGAAGTATCTACTCTTCAACTTCTTGCTTTTCTCTCTGCCCTCCACCAGACCCCTCACAATGTTTTTCTTTCCTAGCATGTCCATCCGATCCAATTCTTCCTCAGCTCCGAGCTTCCTAATCATAATCTTTCCGACAGCCACACTTCCCCAGTGAAGTACAAAGCATATTCAAAGAATTGACTGTATCGTCACAGAAACGTTCATCTCCAGCCCCCCAATCGAACCATCCCAACACTGCTGCACGAACTACCGATCCACAATCCCACGACTCCACTTGGAACCAGTCCCACGGATCACCCTACCATCTGAGCCTCCAAAAACTGGGGAAACATCGGAACATAACACGATACTCGAAACACTATCCCTGCTGGGTCGTAACAAAACAATATTACATCTTCTCCACTTGAGACGAACTGACTCGTTTCCTCGTTTCCTTTCATGTTTCCTTTTCTTTTCGTCTCCATTGTTTTGACTTTATTCTCTCGTCTTGTTTTCTTTCTGTTCTTTTCTTTTGTCTATGTATTAATGGCAGCCATGACATACATCTCCCCAGCGGAAGAAGTCGCAGCGGGCCTGTGGACACTGTTCGCTGGCACGACCGTCTTTCTTGGCTTGAGGATATACTGTAAATTCGTGCGCCGAGCCGGTCTTTGGTATGACGACCAGACCCTTATTCTATCATGGGTTCGTCTCTCTTTCTCTCTTCTCCCCCAATTCCCCCATTAAAAAGCTGATATATAGAATAGCTGGTCCTAATGTCAACCGATATCCTCATCTCGATCGAATTCGCAACCGGCTACGTGACGGGGCACTGGGATGATCGCATGCATATCTTGATCAACACTTCTTCGTGCGGGACGCTCGTCGGACAAGCGCTCTCCAAGATTGCCCTGGGCATCACGCTCCTGAGGATGGCGGATAGGAAACAGGCTGCGATTCTCTGGTTTTGTGTGGGGAGTATGAATGTGTATATGTTGGTCAAGGTGTTTTTTCAGTGGGCGAAGTATTGCGGGAAAGATGATTATCAGAATTGGTATCGGTTGCAGGGACCGTGTGTTGGGTATGTGTTTGAGGAAAGGTTGAAGGTTGGTGGGAATAGTAAGTTAACTCTGTGAATGGGTGTGGGAGGGAAGTGCTGATGACTGGGGATAGTTTATAATATTGTGATGGATTTTGTGTTTGCGATGTTTCCGTGGTGGATTACGTGGAAGTTGGACATGAGGAGGATAGAGAAGATTGCGTTGTGTGGGGCGATGAGTTTGGGGATGCTGTGAGTGTTTTCCGGATCCAGTTCTTACATATACTAACCTAAAGGGCAGAGTCGCTGTCAGCTCAGCTGTCAGAACAGCATGGGTAAGTCGTCCGATTATGCATGTTCATGATGAGCATTACATCTGTAAGTCTTCCTTTCTCTCTTCTTTCATTTGCACCTACTAACCACTCACCCAAGGGCGCAACGGAATGTCTAATATCTGGTCAGCCACCTCTCATCTGCTCCCTTGTTTAGTCTCTAACCTCGTCAACAGGTTCTCAGCCGAAGTAGCCTTCACAATAATCGTCCAATGCATCCCCATCCTACGACCCTTCCTCCGCGAGATCCGCACAACCATAACCTCGAAACACCTCAGCGAAGATGCAAAGGCATCCACGTGGACACAGAGCTCAGATCCAGAAGTCATTGCTCTCAGCGACATACCGGAGACGCGCAAAGAGTCTGTTTCGTCGATAGTGATTACGGAGCCGGTTGTCCCAGAGGATTGGCGGATTTCGGGGAGTGATGTGCTGAGTCCACATTCGGTTAGTTGGGTCGAGTTTGATGATGAGCATGAGGAGAAGGGGTTGAGGCCTCCGCCGAGGAGGAGTTGAAATTGGGAGGATCATGTAAGATATGTATCAGTTATGTTGATCGAGTTGCGGGACACCCAATTGATTGCTCGGCTCTTCATCCACACTTGAACTTTGACGGATTGGACAAGACTGGAGCTTTTACGGGCCGCAGCGTTGTCGATGGCTAGCACTTACAATAGGGACATTAAACAACTGCTTTGAGAGTAGAAGGAAAATTCTGATTGTTCCAACGTGGAAGAGCTTGAAATCTTTGGAGCAGTTGACTTGTCATAATATTGAAGTGGTGGTTTGTACATTCGGACGTCACTTGTGCATTATCTACTGTTACCAATGATAATTACCGTCTAAATTTTCTTCTGAGTTGCTACTCGCCCCGAACTTAGCCTTGCCAGACTGGAGGTCCTGGAGGAGTATATGTACCCGCCTATGATTATTTCATTAGCTTTACTCATCATCATGCCACAAGAACAAAACCCACCGCCGAATAAATATTAATCTTGATCCCCGGATCCGACGCTTTATACACACCAGGGAACGAGACCAACGGACTCGGAGTCCCACTCCCGCCTCCCGTAACCTTGACTTGCGCGCAAGAGATATAGAATTGCGCGCCACCAGTGCTACTTGCTTGATGCAAAGCGATATGTTCGATTCGTAGCAGGTAGTCACCAGATTGGAGATTCTTCGGTATCGTGGCGCTGAAGGATCCTTTGTTCAAGCTTGCCCAGCTTAGTTGTCCGCCAGAGCTGATCGCTTTCTCGGCGTAAATCTTGAACCATACTTCGCCTTTGCCGTCCCATGTTGTGACGTCTTGTCCGTCGGGGACTTTGGCCATGTAGAACTGGATGTGTCAGCATTGGAAAAAGACAAAAGAAGTTGAAAGGGTCAGCGAAAACTTGAAATGCTTACTTGGATAGGACCAGGGTGGAAGATATTAGGACTCGATTTGAAAGTGACGCTTCCACCCGCAGCAACAGCCATGGTAGACTTTGCGCCCTGTGTACCTGCTTGGTAGCAGCGTAATTGATCGGAGTTGACATCGGCGAGGCCAGCGTTGGATTGGTAGTTGGTCGTTTGACGAACGTATTGCCAATCGCTAGTTGAGTCTATGGCCGGAAAGGTATCTAGGGTCGTTAGCTTTTAGGTAGCACTGACTTAATGCAGAATGGGAAAATACATACAGTGACGCTTCTTGAGAGGAGCTGGGGAGCCGCTGACGGCCGAAACCGCCAGCAAAACAGCAAGAGATTGAGGGAGCTTCATGACCACAAAGCGCTCTTCTGGAATCCTTTGGGCTTAGAAGCTTCACGTCGATACACAACGACAGATCTCGAAAACCGAACTCCTAGTATTCTCACGGACGGATCACTAACTATATAATATCGCCTTGGGCACCATTAATCGAGGGATTGTAATATCGCAGCGTCCCGTCATCTTGGTTGATCACGCGCCATTGTTTCCTGGAGAATAGATTGAACTTCATGTATCGGCTGAACAAAGGTCGGGAGATTGGTTGGCAAATGAGGTTATATTCTTCCACGCTTAAATAAGGTTTCCTACCCGGCTCGGCACTTGCTTGCTGTTACCTTTTCTCGTATCCTCGACATACTCGGTCGAAGAGGGAAATATGAAGTTTGGATGTTTGTGTTACATTGTTGTACTGAACCATGTGTATGCTGCCTGAGTCTGGCACAATCGGAGTTAAGGTTCTGGTAGCGTTCGCTTAATTTCAGGGGGTTCAGGGGCTTCTGTGGATTGGCGAGTTTTTGTACAATCGCTCAATTCCGTTATTTTTGCACTTTTTTCCAAGCATGGTTGCTAGCCTGACCCAACACTGCATGGGGTCTATTTTCTGTTGCGAGAATGATCACGTAGTCTTTTACGTTCATGTCGTGGTCTTGGTAAAAAAGAAGATGAGAAAGAAGGTCACAAGAAATCTGACATGTACTGGTGGAGAGGAGAGATGGGAAGCAGAAGTAAAGGGTTGATGAAGACGTGTAGAAAGCTTCTTTCAATATATTTCAAAAGTCTAAGCGTCTCAGGCGATCTAGGATGCATTATATATCCTGAGAGTAGCTATTCTCTTGCCTCGTCACCAATGTCAGTTGGTTTTGACTATGGATCGCAACAAAATATACAGACATTATATTGACAAGAAAGAAACCACCGAACAGCAGAATACAGAGAGGAAGACGGTCCGACAGGTTGTGCCTTTGCGATCAACCTCTATTTCTATTTTCCCCCGCCCCTAACTTCAGGTTTGTCAGCTAGCTTCTCCTCGTCTTTTCCGCTTATTTCTCCTTCTATTCCATATTCAGTATCTAATTCTGTTCGGAGGGCTATGTGCTTCTCTACGAATACTGTGATAAGGCCTGTAAATCCAAAAGCCACTGCTCCAATCCAGACAGGTCTCAACGCCCTCCGGTAAACAGAGATCACTTCTTGCTGTACGATCGGATCCAGAGAACGGATGTAATCACTACTGACAAGTTGATATGCCCGTCCACTGCCGAGTTGTTGACGAACTGTGGCGTCGCTGACATTCTTCAAGTATCGGTCAAATTGGCTGTTGAAAATGATACCAGGAATGGTGATACCCCAAACAAATCCAAAGCTCCGTAGAAAGGAGTACATTCCTGTTGCTACGGCTACATCCGAGTCGGGTAAAGAAGCCATAATCGCAGGTAGGACTGTAGGTAAAAGTAGGGCGCGCCCAATAGCGTCAATCATCTGGAAAACGACCCATACAGCCTTTGGAGTACTGCTCGACAGAGAGATGTTTAGTCCAGGGCCAAGAATACTGAGGCAAAATCCGAGTAGATGGAGTGGTCGATAGTGACCAAATTTTGACAGTATCCAACCTGCCACGGCTGCTGTCACGATGAGGAATGCTTCATAGGGAATAAAGTCGATGCCTGCACGAAGAGAAAAGGCTCCTTTGAGAGCCTGAAAATAAAAAGGCCAGAAGAAGCATACCCATTGTAGAAGTACCGAAGATATAAAATCGATGTAGAAGCCTGCGGCGGAAGTTCGCGTAGCAAAGATTCGCGGCGGTATAGAGACCTCTTTGCAAAATGCCGGCGGTCTCCACTCGTATATGTGGAATCCGATCCAACCTAGTACCCCAACCACTATTGGCAATATAACTTTCCAAGAAGACCAAGCATAGACTAACCCTCCGAACACAAGGCCAATCAAAAGAGAGCATAAAGACGCCACAAAGATTATGTTTCCCACCCAGTCAACTCTCGAGAGTGCTCGCATCCAAGTAGGCTCTCTTTCGTGGCGAAGGCGAAGGAATATTGACATGACGGCAAGAGTGATCCCAGAAATTGGAATATTCAGATAGAAGATCCACCTCCAATTTGCAAGTGAAAGAGCTCCACCTACTACCGGACCCAGGATTGCAGCAACAGCGCTCGACGAAAGAACCATGTCAAGGTATTTCCCCCTCTCCCTCAAAGGGACAAGATCACATATAATCAGCTCGACGAGCATCATGATGCCCCCAGATCCTAACCCTTGAACGGTGCGACCTGCGATGACCATGGCGGAGCTGTTGCGCCACCTGCTATTCCACTTCCGAGCGCGAAAACAGAAATGGAAATGAGCATCGGCATACGACGTCCAAAAATGTTGCAGAGCTGAGCGCAAAGTGGCTGAATCACTGTTTGAGCGACAAGGAACGAATTTGCGATCCAAACATAGTTGTTCGTCGCCGAGAGCTCGTTGGCAATTTTCGGGAGAGCGGTTGCGATGATGGAACCATCGAGAGCGGCGACAAAACAGATGAAAGACAAGGAGAAGAGGATTAAGTAGAATCGCCAAGTCTTGGAAGAGTTGGGGACGAGTGTTGGAGAACTCAGCGTTGGAGCAATTGGTGAGGCCTTCATGATGTCGTTCAGACTTGATCTCATTGTTAGTGTTTGGTGAACGAAAATTTATGGAGGCAAAGAGAAGATAATTGAACCCTTCCTGGAGCCCAAATCCAACATACGTTGGAACTCATCGGCTCGCGACAAACGACTGGAAGGCGGCCCAAGCGAATGTCATGGAAACGTTGGGCTTATTGCCTAGGGGAACATCCGGCAATACATCTCATATTGAGTGAACCGTTCTCCTGGGACGTTTGCATGGTCTGGCATATGCAGTCGAGCCCTGTAGTTTCCTGCAGAGCAACACTCAAAGTTCTCCAATCGCACTGGCCGAAGTCTGCTCGAACTGCAAAGCTTTCGGGAATATGGACAATGTTGGTTGTGTCATGCATGATAGCAATATCACCAATAAACAAAGCAATTAAAGGTTGCAAATCTCAATGGCCGTGCGCAAGATACACACTTCTCATCCTTGAACAAATTGCTGCCAATCACAAAAACAAAGTTCTCTACATATCTTCAGCAGACAGTGGCATTGCTTTGTCAGAGCTTGATACCAGGATTCTCCGTTGCGCATTAATATCCTCGCCAGCTCTGGGACTAATCTTGACCTCGATATCATTGTCTGGAACTGGTGTCGTCTCCCAAAGTGCAGCTTTGTCGGACGTGAGATGGACCCATTGTCCACCAGTAGGCGTGATATCAAATCGTAAAATCAACATCGCTGCGAAAGCCAAGATCTCAGTACTTGCAAAGTGACGCCCAGGACATAAAGTTGTTCCGCCACCAAAAGCGCGGAATGCGACTGGATTGTGGCGCTTGTTCTTAGGCAGGAAGCGGCGGTGATCGATCATACTGGCATCTGAACCCCAGGCGGAAGTGCTCGTGTGCTGAACTGGACCTGGGATTATGACTGTATTGCCCTTCTTCAGGAGATATTTGTTGTCAAGCATATGATCCTCCATTACCATCCTAGTAGAAATTCCAATAGAGTGGATACGAAATACTTCTTGCAGTGTAGACAACAAGATAGGGCAAGCTCCTTTCACTTCCGACATGTCGATGGTGTGTACCTTGGTCGTTTCTCCATCCTTGAGAGTGGTAGTGACGCTAGAGATGACCTTAGAAAGCTCTTGCCGGCAATCTTCCAACACATTGGGGTCAGAATATAAATGGTAGACCATCCAAAATGCCGAGGGCGCAGTGTTCGTCAAAAGCCCTATGGTATTGCCAACTTCAAATCTGGCGATATCCTTGAGAGGTATTTTATGCTCAGTACTATGTGCAAAACGAGACTTGACAAGGCCTGAGCCTAAGTTGTGACCTTCATCCTCGAAGTACTGTGTGAATGCTTCAGTCATTAACTCACGAGCACGAATGCATTCCTTAGCGAGTATTGAAGGATATAGCCCCACGATGAGAATTATGATCCCCTCCTGGAATTTCCTAAGGAACGTAATTAGTTGACTGTAGACGTGACTGATAGTCTTGGTGCTAACCAGAAGCCGTCCACAACCGCACCATCTTTGAAAGGATTTCTGGGTCCGTAAACCGCATCTGTAGTGGCGAGTGCGATCTCGTGTTTGATGAACTCAAAGAGTTGTACAACTTGTTGTCCTTTGATTTGATCAATCGACGCTGAGACCTTTTGTGCCATAACTCGATTCATGGCATCAAGCTCAGACCCCGGAGCGAGTGGCGCCCGAATCGTCTTGTAGAAAGTCATTATATAACCCCAATCGCCCTCATCGCCGTTCGTATTTGTGTTGAGGATTTCGTTCGCAGTCTCGCTTGATCCGCACACTCCCATTGATAATTTGGCTTCAAGAGGAAGGAAGGCTAAGACTTTGAATTGACGCTGAACGGAAGCAATCAAAGAGACGGAGTTGACCACGTAAAGTCTTGTCCCTGGAAGGCGAAGAGTGTAGATTGGTAAATCGTACTTGTTTCTATGGCACACATCAGGATTTAGAACTTGTTTCTTAATACAAAACATATGTATGCAATAGAAACTTGCCTGATCTCTATATAATACTTGCTCTTCTTCCTCATCAATCCAAGCATAGCTCCAACAAATGGGAATGTTGTTGATACAGGCGGTGGCTCTCTGTCATCATGGGTATAGTAGAGAAGCAAGTGGAGTAGACCGTAGATGAGGATGATTCCTGTAGCAATCAGTGCAAGCGTGCTGAGCATTTTGGCGATTGGATGTGAAGAAGAAATATTCGAGATGACGACAACGAGATTACAGAAGGAGAATTGGTTGAATGTGGGAGCAAGATCATACTCGCGAGTATCAACGACCCTGAGCCAGTTACAGCGGGTTGTATCAGCCGAACGGAAGCTTTGTAAAGGCAGGGTTGTCGATAGGCTTCAAATTGTGCCGGTTGGTGTTGGTTGGAATAGTGTTGTAACGAAGGACCAATATTTCGCCGAAATGTCGAACAAGAATCCAAGCGCTATTAAAAATAATTCGGGAGTTTGCCCACGTTGGATAATTTATTATATTTATTGAATTGTTTTTTGCTCGTATTCCTTCCCATTATTCTATGTACATCTACAATTCCATCGAGAATAAGCTCAGGCACCAAAGCTGCTATCGGAACCGTCATCGTACACGTCGTTGTCCGGTTCGGCATCTGAGTCACTGAGCTCTTTGTACTCAGCAACCTTGGCGCTTGCACCCTTGCGATCAGCTTCAATCTCCGTCTTTGGAACAGGCTTTGCAAATCCCATATCTAGTCGAACCTGGATCAGGTACGAGAAGATTTCATCATCGTCCTCGCGCTGGTCAGCGACACGATATGCTCGGTACTTGACTTCGCTTTCAACACGCTGCAATCTGTACTCCTCCACACGAGCGACAACGTGCTCGAACAACGCCTTCTTGGTGGAGTGGTCGAGGGCCTTGTCCAGAAGCTTCTCTTGAAGATTGTCCAGAAGCACCTTTCTTTCGTGTTTGATGATAGAAATGCGCAACATGTGATCTACAAATTCCGTGCATTTTGTCTCACGGACATAATCCAGCAGGGTGTTGATAGATGTCTCCTTAGACCAGTCCTTGTGAGCGGGGAGGCTTTTGACCGCGTCGTCAAACGCCTGAATTGAAGGTCAGCTTCTATTGTTACCAAAGGGTTCAAGTAAACTCTTACCTCTTGATTCACCATCTTTGCGAGAGGCAGTACTCGAATTCAAGGCTCGGTGATATTTTGCAGATATTGATCAAGCGTCAAGGCCGAGGGGCTTGTAGAAGAGCTCGAGCCTTGGAACAGGTCGAAGTGGGGAAGAGATCGAAGTATGGAAGAGGTCGAAGTATGGAAGAGGTTGAAGTGTGGAAGGGGTCGAAGCAGGGTAGAGATCGAAGTGTGGAAGAGCTCGAAACACAAGAGAGTTTGGAGAAGGTGAGGTTGGAGGCGAGATCAAGAAAATCAGCTTCCGGTAAACTGGTTGTGGAAGTAATATGGAGCTAGCGTTTGAGTACGCTAGCTTTTATGGTCATAAAGTTGGGGCATTAGCGGTTCAACGGTGATCGGAGCTGGCTTTAGGCTATGCTGTTATGACAATAATATACAATGATTGTCACCTGTTGAGATATACACATAACTCTGATCATATATTAGCTTGGCAGAAATAGGTAGGCATGCTGCTTCAATACGAACAGCGCTTACGAACGGAATTTGTGTCCATACGGATTTAAAGTCCGTCAGCAGCTAGGTACATTGAGAAGGCAGTATTTCTCTCCTCGTGAAGTTGAAGCAAAGTGATGGAGTGGCAAGAGAGTTACGCATAATCAAGGGCCACATTGCCAATTACAGGACATGGTCCTGTCTATGGTAGCTCAAATACCAATTCTACTTTTTGCACTAAGTTTATTGATGTTGCAGAAAATTGGTCTTTCCAAGGTTTGGCAATCTATTTCGCCCTGTATAGCACGTGGCGACCCTTCGGCCTAAGCGCAGCCACACCGTTGCTAGACAATCAAAATAAGGCCGGACCTGGAAGATGACATAGAGTTAGTTGCTTGTAGTCAGTAGTACTAAGAAGAGAGGAGGTGGTTGAGAACATAGCCTTGGTAGAAATCTCGTCTGAACATGAGAGGTAAATTATTCCATGCCTTGAAGTTGATCTCTTGACTTAGTTTATGTGGCATGAAGATGATGACCGTTCTTCATGCTTGATTCTGTCAATTGCGTCATCCCAACCAATCCGCAAGAACTCTCAAATGTCTGGCAGCTGATCTAAGCAAATGGGTTCATGGGACCCCTTCATAACTCAGCGCAGATCTCTCTTCGTTCTTGGCATGACTTGAATCAACAGCGCTTCTTTTTTGGGTATATATCTCTACTATTCTGATATTCTGGGGCACATCACGACAACATAAGTCTGACCTAATCACTCGCGTACACTTTTGTTGAACCTCCTCCCTTTCAAGCGAAACAAGCAGTTCCAGTGCGAAGTGCTATTCACATTCTGAATATTCAAGTTCATTGTGTTTCCCGAGAATGAGATGTTTTGGAACAATATTGCGCCCTTTGGTCACAAGTATCACTTCGACCTCTGATTGGCAGAACATGTTTGAGGCTAAGTAAAAACGTCGAGTCTAAGCCGCCTAATGCTGAATCCCATGTAGAGAATTGCCCTTTAGGGATAGTGATTTCATCTCTTGTGTACGTCAGCGATTGCAAAAGAAAGTTCATGGCTTTTTCTCACTTTTTCATATCTTCAAGCTCTCTGACAGTGCAGCTCATTGTTCATGAATCTGAAAACCACCACAATTATTTGAAAAAAATTTAATAAAATTTGACAAAGTTCAATAATCGTGAAATCGTGAGATTCTGCTTATTTAATTCGTATTTCAGTCTTAGGCAAGCAAAGCTCTCTTCTCTACTTTTTAACCTGTGATACTGCCTGTGACTAAATACCTCGCTTTTGTGCGCTAGTCGACTTCCACTGCTCTTCCTGAACTTCAACACAATTGCGACCTCTCAACTTTCACAACTCATCGACCTCAACTTTCGCCACATCGTCTCCACATTTTCACGGCATCGGATCTTCTCTCTCTTGTTGTTACTTCTCTACTCCATCTATTTGGCTAAGCGCTTCGATCTTCATTCTTTCGACCTTCTTTAAGTCACCAAGCGCGCCGAAGTCGAACACCTGAACGCGCATGTCACGTCATCATTACCAGCATCATTACGCGCTTCCTGCACTAGAGAAGTAGACCGCTCCCTCCCGTGAATGCAGATGACCTTTCATTTAGGGCTGTGGCTCATTGTCCTTGCACATTGCAGCCAACTAAGTCTGCCAGTCCTGGAGAGGCGGTAGGAATGAACCCATCAGGTATGCTTGTTAAACAGATCCTCTTGTGCCACACTCCATCAATGAGAAAAAGATGTGCTGACAACCATCACCAGACCGGAGGCTCTACTTATCGAGACAATGGACCGGGTCCAGTGGGAGCACTGGACCCCTGGGGCCCCTCGGGACCCCAAGGTCTATCCGCTTTTCCCAAGCCGGGGTTAGGTAAGCCTCCACAGTATGCATCCACTCACCATTGAACATCAAAACTGACTCATGTATTTCGGGATCTAGGTCGAACCTATTGAACATTGCGCCCCTCTGGGATGATCAATGATCTAGGCGGAATAAGCGTCCTTACATTCATTTGTCAAGGCGCTGCATAGTCGCTGGCTCCAGTCTTAATGTCTCACCATGTCGGCCATGTCTCCCTTCGGGTGAGATTACGACGAGACAGTGCCGCACCTCTTTTTGGAACCCAAATTTGAGAATTGTCTCATGATTATACCATATGACTTAGTGTCACATCTCCCCCTTTCGTGGTTGAGAACATCCTTCGGGATCTACCATATTCTTTTTCAAACAACCTATCGAGAACTTAGAATTCTCGAGACAGCTTACGTTGTCGCATGCTTTCCTACTACCATTGCGAGGGATAGCAGAGTATATCACATCGGGTACGTGCTTTCTGGAACAAATATCTCATCAAGCGTCTCTCTACAATGAGATCAATCACACTGACATAGTATTATTCTAGACTGGAGGAGGCGAATGAAGGTGAGATCGAAATTCTTCAACTTCAGAATACCCAGGCCAGGTAAGCCTATCCGGCTTCCCTATCGACGCTTGCGAGCTTCCTTTTCCTCCTGTTAGACGATACAACACTAATGTGCTACAGCAAAGGTACTAGACGAGCAGCGCGCGAGACTTGGACGATTGGCTTAGAAGAGAAGAAGATTATGGACATATACTAGCCAAAGACCTCAAAACAGATGGATATTTGTTGGGAATGACGGAGGTTTCAGCAAGTCAACGGGACGGCGGTGCCATATGGAAGCACACGAAACAAGAACAAACCTCTTTGAAATGGAAGAATGTATTGTTGGCAAGAGGCAGAAGTTACGATGGTGAATGAAGCTATACACGTACAGACATGTTCTGAAGTTTGAAGCCTGCGAGAAAGAAGCTTCATGAAATGAAGTCCAAATATACACCCACCAAGATACGTCCTTTGCGGTTAGAACAAAATACCAGCACAAGTGTCCTCTCGTATCTGACTTATCAACCACAAATTCCCGTCTACGCAAGCTGGGCATTGCATTGGTATGCTCCTCACCTTTTCACTTTTCTGTCACCTTGTCTACTTCACGTAGATTGATGGTGGTCTTGCTTGTATCACAGTTGGTGCAGTGAAGATGGAGTAGTTTGGATGTTGATTTGTCTAAACGCTGGACTTGGTTTATGGGGAATTACTCTGTGGTCGAGAATTGGAGAGTGTTCGGTGTTTAGAGGTTGGTGGAAATGGTGGCTGAAATGGAACACGGTTTGGTCTGGGAGGATGGAAATTCGACGGTGGTGAGTGATGGAGATCGGGCATGGTTGCTGATGCTAGCACGGCCATGCTTGGGAAGGGGGAGTAAGAGGGCTAACATTCTTGAGCTATGCCTAAGAGCGAAGCTCGGTTCTTGTTTGGCTACTCTTTGTGAAAATTACACTCATTTTGAATTCATCATTTGGTTGTTGAAAAGTCGACGTATCCGTGCGTGACTACTCCAATTTGAGGTTGAAAGCTCTCGTAAACAGTCTCTCATCTTTGATCCTCATGTAACCTAATACAATGACATTCTAAAAATTATCTTGCCCCTTTCCTTGTACAAAATGCACAAATCTTGTCTCTTTTGATGTCCTAGAAGTGACCTCTGCTCACTTGAAAGGAGTTAATTTGAGGACTTTTTCGTCTTGATCAATATTGGAAATCCTTTATTCAGGCTATATCTTATTACATTGATGGCAACGGAACCTGACGCACCCGGATGATCGAGGACCTAATCTGGCACCTTGCAGTGAGGATTCGTCAGGCATGTTGGCGTCAACAGGCTCTTGCTTTGTTGTCACTGGTTGCCGTTCGACTACCAGACCCTGCTCCATCGTCAATTGCTCGGATCTGGTCTGCTGTGCCTCATTCGTTCAGCGGAGTTCTTAGCTCTGAAGGATTGTAACAAACTAACTCGTAACCCTCGTATAGTGAGAACAATATAATGCTGGTGATTTTGAGAGTAAACGTAACCTAGCTAGGTCAATTGTGACATTTGAAGGATCCTGGCATGCGGCACAGCTATCTTCTGACACCCTATGGCAACCGCTACTCTTCATTTGGGAAAACCAAGAGAACTATTCTGGACCAACATTTTCTGCAACATGCGGCGTGATCAATTGCATATATCATTACAAATGGTATTTCCACTAAGTGCATCACTGTTAAATGTCGATCCCTGCATGCAGTCCTTTTGGGTGGAGCTTACCACTTTGAAATTTATTTCGTGTGGTCTAGATCATGCATCTTGGTTATCAAAATCTGTTACGTCCAAGTCGTTTCCGTTTTGTCGAATCAAAAATGTGCCGGAGGCATTTCCAACTTGCAGATCGAGAGGCAAGCCGCTGTCAATGCAACGATGGAGGGCCGACCCACTGCTACCATACCGAGGTGGATAGTATATGCCGATTATATGCACTTTTATTTATAATAGAGGTACCCAATAGCTCCTGTCACGTACGGAAGACAGGAAGGAAGGCAGGAGGACGCACACGGTGCGAACGTGTGGTCAGCGACTATATTGGTTGTGTTTTCTACAGCAGCTCTAATTCTATCTAAGCTGCTGTAATATAGAGAGTGTGGCCAAGCACGTGCGCTATACCCGATTAGGTATAGTGCTAGGGAGACTAGCGCTCCCGGGCTGGTATTGCACGTGCCACCACAACGATCTCATCCAGTGCTAAGACCTGGTTATACCTCCATATCTACTCTATATTCCAACAACTTTCAATAATAAATGCTGACTGATAGGCGGGGCTCGGGAAAATGAACCAGGACATAGCATAGCCTGTATGGGCGAACCGGTTTCTTGGGATCGATAATCACACCTCTGGGTTTAATGCATCGATTCTTCATCTCTCTGGCAGGTTGAATGTCGGCCTGTTTGATTGACATCAAGCTTTCTTTTTCCAAGCGCTCGTGCTGATCCCTTCTTGATTGCACCACACGCGCCAATTCTCCTGCATTTTTATGGCATTCGTTTTGGTAGCCCACCACACTTCTTCGAGATCAAGACTGACTTCGACTTGATCACATGGATGCTTGCTCAACAAAATCTTCTTTATCTGACAACAGTGACAATATAGGTTGCGAAACACGTGGGTCGAGCATAGTGCTGCGTTAGGAGGCCAGTCCCAAAGAGCGTGACGTACATGTACTGTACAATGGCAGGAAGAACTCAATCACTTTATCTATGAAGCCTTACATGGTGACATAGTTGCTATGGATTAATTTATACCGAAAAAGCTTAAATCCACCGAATTCTTTATGTCTCTTCAACGCTATTCTCAGCAGAGACATACATTGTCCATTGCACACTTGTTCACAACTCCAATCCACACCATAAGATTTTGTGATCTTGATGTTGCTAGCTTCCACGTCAATAGGATCCAAAGGTTGTGCGGAAGTAGCTTTAGTGTCGGAGTTGTTTTGCACACCATAGGCCAACTCAATGTGGTCGCCATACTCTTGAGACCCACTATTCTTCCTGTGTGTAGAAGAAATCTTGGATGAGGAGCCATTGGTGGCATTCTGGGATCCAATTGAAGTAAAACTTCGCACGGATCGTATGACTGATTCAATACTTACTTTCCTCACGGTGCCATACAAGAGAGGAAGATTCACGGCTATTAAGGCCAGACCAGTCTCAACAAGCATCCAGTAAAGGCCATTGGTATTGAGCACTGTGTAACATGACTGTCAACCAAATTTTAGGAAGTGCACGGTCCCGGAACCTACTGTTGGGGTCAAGAGTGGCAATCTCAGTGCTTTCTGCTGCTCCAACGTTAGCTCGTAGAGAGAGTACAACATTATGAATGTGAAATGATAGCTGCCCCCTCATTGTGCATAGTTGTTAGGAGAACAAACTACTGCAAAAACTGTCAGCAATGGAGCCAAATTAAACGCCAACTTCAGTTCAACTCGCACGGTATCTAGGTTCACCCCCAAACCGACACCATCCGGCTCAATCCCCCACCAGAATTCAGGATCGGGCGTTCTTCATTTGTCAGTAGTATCTGTCTTGCTGTGCTTGCCAGAATGCCAATGGCCGAGACCTCACTGTCTCCCGAAAGGGAGGACAACACAACTGTGCCAGACTTGAAAACGCAGACCCAAGATGGCAGGTATCCAAGCGAGGTACTAGAAGATGAAGTATGGGATGGACCAGATGATCCTGATAATCCTCTCAACTGGAGTCCAAGTCAGAAATGGAGCATCATCTTGCTCATTTCAACAATTACTCTTGTTTTGTACGCTGTTCTTGATCTCTCAAGACCAGAAAGCTAATCCAAATTGTTAGTTCTTCCTCGTCTTCGATCTTTGGTCCAGCCTTGCCTGAGTTCTTGAGAGAGTTTGATTCGAAGAGCGACACGATTGCCACACTCACGATCTCGGAATATGCTGCTGGCTACATATTAGGGCCACTGGTGATTGCCCCACTCAGTGAACTGTATGGCAGACTTCCAGTCGTTCACGCCTCGAACTTGGTGTTCGTTGTGTTCACCGTAGCATGCGCTGTGAGTTCTGATATTCCCATGTTTATAACCTTCCGGCTCGGTCAAGCTTTCTCTGTATACGGGACCGGAACTCTTGGCCCAAGCTTTATTGCGGATTTGATGCCAATTGAGCGTCGAGGCCTCGCGATGACAATATTCGCGGTGGGGCCAACCCTTGGGCCCTCGATCAGCCCTACGATAGGCGGTATACTCGCGCTCAAAGCGGGCTGGAGATGGATCTTCTGGTTTATAGCCATTTTCGCGGGTATCCTCACTATACTTACAGCTGTCATTCTCAAGGAGACATATGCACCCATTCTTCTAGCTCGAAGGCACGCTCGAAAACAAAACCCGCTCGGCACAACTCAAGCGCCAACGCCAGCATCTGTGATCCGCGCAGCAATTGTCCGACCGGTGAAGCTACTGATACACTCTCCTGTAACGCTCATTCTGGCTTTGCAGAGCTCTATTGCCTTGAGCTATCTGAATTTGATTCTGTCGACCTTTGCCTTACTATTTCAGACGCAGTACAACTTCACCACTTGGCAATCTGGCCTTACTCTTTTTGGTCTTGGAGTGGGATTCATTGTTGGGCAGCTTGTAGTTGGTTCATTCTCTGATGGATGGCTTAAACATCAGAATTCTCGTCGAAATGAGATTAGGCCCGAAGATCGTCTACCGCCATTGATCATTGGGTCCATTTTAATTCCTACGGGATATTTTTGGTGTGGTTGGTCCATCGAGTACCATACTCACTGGATCGTCCCCATCATTGGAAGTGCTCTTGTTAGCACTGGAGCGATGTTTTGCTTTCTCCCAGTCTCAATGTATTTGATAGATGCTTATACTGTATTTGCTGCTAGCGCCACAGCGGGCAATATCATGGTTCGTTCGATTGTTTCAGCTATTCTACCGTTGGCGGCGGAACCACTTTATGGAAAAGTAGGCTATGGATGGGGAGATAGCATTTTTGCGTTCATAGCTCTTGCTTTTCTACCTGTTCCGATCTTCTTGGTCCGATATGGCCATTATCTACGGACGCATCCACGATTCCAAGTTCAGCTTTGATACAATAACATCCAGGATTGAATCAGAAGCGTCCTGTTCCAAATTTGGTGCTGGAACCTGGGGCCGCTACCATCGTGTCTCTAGCATAGAACCATCATAGTCTTTTAGGTTCCCAAGATCGTAAAAGACGAATTTGAGAGGGGCTTCTGTAACTAGCCTATGTGGGAGAGCTTTGCGATTCTTCTAATATAACATGAAATACTTCTATCTTGATAACGCCAGGCATTCAATGTCTGCACGAAATACGTATCAAATGTTCTGTCATGACAGCACAGTTTCACTTGATATGATTGGCATTGGTCACCAGGATTGTTCCTGGATAAACTTTTTGGAACTTGGGGTTTAGTCCTGATCCGGTTAAGTTCGCGGTTAATTGCAAGAGCATAAAATCTTTCATTTCTGGGTTTTCCTGATTTGAATTGTATCGCACAATCGCTCTCATAAAATACGTTGAACATGGCCACCGAAAAAACACCCAACAACAAATGGATCGACCCAATTAAGTGGAACACCGCCGCTGCGCAATACGATAATGCCGTTGGTCGTAGCTCTGGCATCGCCGCTGCTAGACTTATCACCCTTGCTAATGAAATGCATCCCTTGAATGCTCCTTCCGTCCGCGCCATCGACCTCGGCGCTGGCACTGGCTCCCTAACGCACCTACTCGCAGCACAATACCCAGGTCTCAATATTCTTGCAACAGATATCTCACCAGGTATGCTCGAGCAGCTTATGTCAATTACCCACGATCAAACCAAAGTCACTGCTCAGGTAGTAGACATGGCAGCACCCATCGGCGGTGCGGCAACCGAGAGTTCTTTCTCTCACGTCTTCAGCACAATGGCTATTCAAGCGCTCCCAGATCCGGCCGGGGAGGGCACGCTTGCTCAGTGGGCGCGCCTATTGCTGCCCGATGGTATTGTCGCCATCGGATTATGGGATTTCGATGAGAACTGCGGACCACACGCGCTATGGGAAGAGGCCGCCACGGCGGTAGATCCAGGGTATACAAACCCACCACTGTTACCACCGCGACACTGGTATGGGCGTGCAGAGTTAGAGCAAGGCCTAAAGACGGCAGGATTCCGAGATGTGAAATCCGAAGTGATGCATATTGGGTTTGATGTTGGCAAAGAAGGGTTCTTGCGCTTCTTTTGGGAAAGTGGGAATCCGATGGCTAGGGATCGGCAAGCCAGCTTTAATGGAGATTTGAAGAAAGTCAGAGAAGAAATGGAAAGGCTGTTAGATGAAAAGTACGACAAAGGAGCTAAGATTCCTCTATCAGCAGCTTTGGCGGTAGGCAGAAAGCCCCTGGCAGGGTAAAGTAGGTTATCTGCCAGAGACAACGACAGCTACACCCACTGAAGGCTGGGTGTCAAATGGTGATGTCTAAGCTAACTTTAATGCTTATGCATGACTTTTGCGATAATTCTAAATGATGCTGAAACTAATTTTGTATTCATTGGTAAGGCGCAAGTACTATTCAGTGAGCCATGGTCCACGAGAAGTATCAAATGCTGTAATCGCTAGTGTAGTCTATGTCTATGCTGCATTTGAAGATATACAAATTCGCCGGCTTACAGACTTCACTTGGAAGAGAGCTTGATGTGATGTTCCTGTTGAAGAAACAGAGATGATTATGCCTTCTCTCTGTCTCATCATCGAAGCGCGGTATCAAGTAAACGAAGTTTTGGGAGTTCACCACCATGCCATGTTGCCATCAATTCCTTTGCGAATCATCTCATGGCATTAAAATCCTTGTTGAAGCAGACATAAGTATTTCTTCAAAGATCACTTGAATGGTCGGTTTTTTACAGGCATTTTATCTTGAGTACCTACCAGAGATAGGTCACGTGGGTGTTTTATCACATCCTGGAAGCTATTGAGATGCCAATCCAAACATTGTAACAATTACTGCGGTATCTTAGAACGAGAATTGAATGGAATCTTTCTTTATCTGATATGAACAAACTCTTCTAGATCTAACTGGATCCAAGAATTCACGCAGTTTGCATGGGTTATTTTTAGCTTATGCTGCATGTCACTCATGCGCTAGTGTTTATGTAAGCCACAGCTGCTCTTTCTACATCGAACTTCAGTGGGTGCCTATAGCCCCGTCTTTGCTCTCGAACAAGCTGCTTGACATGATGTCAAACACTGATCCAGTCGATCCAGGAACAGCTGCTGGTCCAAGCCCAGCTACTGAGCAGAAATCTGGCGACGACCTGTGGAGTGAGGCTGTCAAACTGCTCCGTCCCGGGGATGAAGAGCAGCTTCGTCTAGAGAAAGCGGATAAGCTTCCAGTCCTTGAAGAAGTCCTCGCGGCCGCGATCAAGAAACGCGAGAGATGCAAGGACAGACAATGGAGAATCAAGAAGAGAGACGGCACAGTGATCGTGCTACGCGATGTGTTTGACAAAATTGCGTCCTGGCTGAAGAAGCTGGAAAGCATTGGAGATTGTGTGGCCCAGCTTGATTCGGTGCATTTGGCACTACCTTGGTCTGTCATCAAGTTCTTCCTTCAGGTTGAGTTCTTCCCGCGCCCTTTATTTCGAGGCTCGCTGACAACAGCAAAAGCTCTCGACGGGCGACAATGAAAAGCTCGGCAGCGTTTACGACCAATTGGAGAAGATAACCAACCTGATTGGTCGGTATGGAATTTTCGAAGAGCTTTACCTAGAAGAATCTTCCAAAGCATCGAACCTCCTCAAGAAGGCCATTGTCAAGCTTTACGCCTCTGTGCTAACATTCCTAGCCGAGGCGAAACGATATTATGCGCAGGATACTGCGAGTAGGCATCCCGATCGAGACTATCTAGTTTCTGTTCTCGGGCTGACGAATCACAATAGAACGTATGGCGAAGAACATACTGCAAATCTCAGATTGGGATGTCGACAAACTTGCAGATAACATACAAAGCGAACAGGCTTGTGTAGATGAGATTGCGAGGCTGATAGATGCTGAGTGCAAGTACTCTTTACTGAATCATCTCGAAATGCTCTGCATCAGCTAACGCTCAAAGAGACAGCCCTGCGCAATGCAAGTCAAGGCATCAAGCGCTTATCAAAAGGGGCTCGAGAACACAAAGAAGAACTGAGGAAAGCACTCGGCGACCTAGGGATCGATCACATCAACGATCAATTGACGGTTCTCACCAAAGATCTTGCGAGTCTGTTTCTCACTTCCTTGGTACAACCACTATCACACTGACAGTGTCTTAGGCACAAAAAAACGGGAGTTACTTGATTGGATCTCCAAGATCCCTTACTCGGAGCACCACGAAAGTGTGAGAAAGGGCCGTTTGAAAGGTTCCGGGATTTGGTTGTTTGAACAAACTCAATACGAAGAATGGAGGAAATCAACATCTTCTTCGTTGTTATGGATTCATGGAATACGTAAGCAGCTTTTCACACAGGTCCTCCACGTTGAATCCGGAAGAAAGATTGCTCACGTATATTGTAGCTGGTTCTGGCAAGAGTAACCTTGCGTAAGTTCAAGTTCTGCAACGTCTGCTGGTGTATTTCAGCCCATCTTGGCTAAAGGTTTGGACTGCAATAGGTCACTAGTCATTGATACATTGAGAGAAAATCGGATGAATCCACAAGCCGAACCGCTAGCGTATGTCTACTGCGCGAGAAATGCTAATGAGCCTGAGCGAGCCGACCCCAGTCCAATAGTCCGATGCCTTCTTCGACAACTGGCATGTCCAAAGCCCAAAATGGACATTCAAGATGTGGTGTTGAGGAAACATCAAGAACTTGAGGAGGAAGGTTTCGAGGGTGTAAACCCCAGAGATCTGAGTTTAATAGAGAGCAAAGAATTGATCCTTGACTTGTTAGAGAGTCACAGAGCGACCATCATTATCGACGCTGTCGACGAATGCATTCCTGGATCAAGATATCAGCTACTATCTACCATCAAGGACCTCTTGCAAAATGCTTCGTGTCCAGTCAAAATATTGGTAACCAGCCGTAACTACGATGACATTGCATCTCGGTTAACGAAGTTGTCCAGCCATATTGTTGATGCAAGCAACAATACGGGCGATATTGAGAGATTCGTTGAGCTTGAAGTCACCCGGGCTGTCGAAGAGGAAAGACTGCTCGGCGGAAGAGTCTCTCCAGAGCTTCGGGATTACTTGATTCAGACACTAATCGATGGAGCACAAGGAATGTGAGTACTCAATGCCTCCAACTCCTAAAGTGTTGCTTATATGGATTTATCTAGGTTCTTGTGGGTAGCTCTACAGATTCAAAACCTTTGTAATCCTCAACGGATGAAGTTCGAGAAAGACGTGCTTGAAGAACTGAAAAGGTTGCCTAACGAAGTAAGGGGCTCGCAGATGTATACACCGCGATTTATGCAGAGATCCAATCATCCGGAAACACGACCCAAAGAATCGCAGATACAGCATTGCAGCTAGTACTCTGTGCTCAGGCTCGTTTATCTGCTGTAGATTTCATCAAAGCTGTCTCGCTTGACGAGAATGGAGAAGTAATTCCGATATCTGCCTCTACTCTACTAGATATCTGCGGTAATCTCATCGTCCTCGATACAGAACTCGATATTTTCAGGTTTACTCACTTGTCAGTGCGGGAATTTCTCGAAGCTAGGCCAGACTTCACGCCAAAGGTGACCCATGCTACTGCTGCCGAAATCTGTCTCAACACTCTCCTCACTAGAGAGTGGTTGTCATCGGATATTACGTGGAGAAAGCAACTCTTTACCAGTATGCGACACTATACTGGGCGACTCACGTTGAACGCTGTGAAAACAACTATCACAAAGACAAGATTGGAGGTCCTCTGACGCAGATCATGACAAGAAACGATGGAGTTGTGCCTTGGTTTGCTAAATGGCTATTGCAAGCTGAGGCTGCATCTCAAACTTTGGGCTTGGATGATCCTCTCAAAGACAAGATTGAGCAGTCACTCAGTCGCCCAGAGACCTGCCTCTTCACAGCATGTACATTTGGATTCGCTGAAGTAGTCAAGTTGCTGTGTATAGCCAATCCCTCTACTGTGAGACGGGTGAATGCTAGAGGGGCTTCTGGTCTGCATCTTGCAAGCCAGTATGGTCATCTCATCATAGTGCAATTCTCCTTGATGCTGGAGCAAAGGTGGATTCAAAGGATGACGATATGGAGACTCCTCTGGTTCGGGCGTGCTCAGCGGGCTGTGATGATATCGCTACACTCCTTCTTGACCGAGGCGCAGATCGAAATATTCAGAGACGAAAATACGGCTCTGCAATACAAGCAGCAGCACTTCGTGGCCACAACGCCACAGTCAAATTGTTACTCGAAGGCGCAGATCTTTCTGCCGAAGGGGGCCAATTCGGAACAGCGCTGCAAGCCGCATCGCTGCGCGGCTACTTAGATGTTGTCAAAGGTCTACTTGCAAAGGGCGCTGAAGTTAATGCGCTAGGTGGTCAGTACAGCGAGAGCGAGGAAGTCTCGACAGCCAAACGGAATCCGAATGGGGTCACTAGAGTTGTCGAATATCTCTTTAAACAACAAGAGCTGCTCGAGCCCGGAAGGCAAAAGCGTCGTCTGGATCCATCACCTCTAATGATTCATGAAGCGACTATCCAGCTACTCCTAGATGAACGATTAGATGTCAATATACAAAGCGGAGGATTTGGACCAGCGCTACAGGCAGCGTCTCGTGGTGGGCATGCAGAAGTAGTTCGAGTACTATTAGACGCGGGGGCTGATCCCAATGCTCAAGTAGGGAGTTATGGCACTGCACTTCAAGCTGCAGCTGTGAGTGGAAGCGTTGATGCTGTTCAGATACTTCTTCAAGCGGGAGCGCTCGTGAATGCCCAGCTTGGCATGTATGATACTGCTCTTCAAGCGGCATGCCGACGTGCGCATTGGCAAATAATTAAGACTCTGCTGGAAAACGGAGCCAACGTCAACGCTCAGGGAGGGCCTTATAACTCAGCACTACAAGCAGCTGCCCGGACAGGATCGACCAAGATTATGAGATTTCTGTTAGACCGAGGGGCAGACGTCAACGCCCAGGGTGGAGAGTATTGCACTGCACTGCAAGCAGCATCAGGAGAAGGCTTCCATCCTGTTGTGCAGATGTTACTTGAGAGTGGTGCAGAGGTTAACCATCAAGGAGGAAAATATGGCACAGCACTACAGGCTGCTTCGGGAGCTGGACATCTGAAAGTTGTCCAACTGCTCGTTGACCATAGTGCAGAGTTCGGCATGGCACTCCAAATTGCGACTTTGGGCAAACACTGTGATGTAGTGGAGTACTTCCTCGACAAAGGTGCGGATCCCGACAAACAGGAAGGAAGTTTCGGGACTGTCCTACAGATTGCTGCTACTACCGGGCAAGAGAAAATGGTAGAATTACTATTGGACAAGAAAGTGGACGTGAATTCCGAGGGGAAATATATTGGAACTGCGTTACAGATAGCTGCTGCAGCAGGGCATAAGGCATTGGTTCAGCTGCTTCTTGATCGTGGTGCGGACCCAGAAATCGCTGGTGGAAGTTTTGGAGCAGTTTCAGCTCAGATCCTGGAGAGACAACATGGTGATCAGAGTGATTACAACACAAGTCCGGCTACAAAGGTCTCCCAAACGCTGCACACTCCTCTTGAAGTAGCCTCAGGTAATGGCCATTTGCAGATCGTCCAGTTGCTAGTCGAGCATGGAGCACAGGTGAATGCAACCTCGTCCTGGGAGGACAGCGACGACGCAATGGGATTCAATAGCTTGACAAAGAAGGAGGGGACGACACCTCTACAAAGTGCCTCTAAAAATGGTCACGAAGATGTTGTCCGATTGTTGTTGGATGCCAAAGCGGAACCCAACCTAGTGAAGAACGGCAACCTTTCACCACTAGAGGCTGCGACAAAAGGGAATCATGAGTCTATTGTTCGCCTACTTCTTGAGCATGGCGCCGAGGATAAAACTAAAGAGACTTCAGCCTTATCAGTGCTTCAGATCGCTGCATACGGAGGTTTCGAAAACCTGATTCGCATGTTTCTTGAGAGAGGCTTGCCTGTTGGCATGACTGGAAAAGAGCCAGGTACACCTTTGCTTCTGGCATGTTTGGCTGGGCATTACGCAGTTGTCCAGCTTCTGTTACAACATGGATCCGATCCTAATGCTGTTGGAGAAGACTATCCTTCTCTAATCTACGGGAATGTGGTACCTAGTACAGCACTTTGCGCTGCTACAGAGGGCGGGCATGAGAACATCGTTCAGCTACTTCTTGATCATGGAGCGGATCCAAATGCTGATTATGGTGCGGTGTTGAAGACAGCTTGCAGTGCTCCCGATGGACTTGGCACCATCCTCGAACTGCTGGTTGCTAGAGGAGCAGACACAAACGTAGGCCAACAGTACGAAGAAATATTACTAGAAACCATGGTGGCCAATTGCTCGGAGACTGCCATTCGACAATTTGTGGAGCAAGGTACCAAAAGCAACAGGGCAAGGAGGCCTTACAGTAAAGCCTTGAAAATCGCTGTTACTCGTGGGAATCCAGAGGTGGTGAGACTACTTCTGGACAGCGGTGCTAATGTCGATGAGATTAAAAACAACCAAGAAGGTGCTAACCCCGAGTGTGAATCAACAGGTGAGCAGATGAAAATCCTGTACATATTCCAAACCCTTCTGACTTCCCCATCGATGAACTAGACTACCTTGGCGATCACAGTGTCCACTCCAAAGGTACCCATCAAAATAGTTATCGTGACACATCTTTGCAAGCAGCGGCTTTGGCTGGAAATACAGAGGTTGCCCGCATACTGCTCGAAGGCGGTGCCGAGGTTGGATCAAAAGACCGGAATGGACAGACTCCATTGCATTACGCCGCATACAAAGGACATGATGTTGTTGTTGAGTTATTTCTTGAAAAAGGAGCTAATATCGACGAAGCGGATGCGGAAGGTCGAACAGCTTTTCGATGGGCTGCTAATTATGGATACGAGAAGCTAATAGACCTATTGGTATCGAAAGGAGCTCGAGTGAACATTAAAGATGGAAGTGGCCAAACTGCAATGCATCGTGCCGTTCACGGCGGACACTTAGTAGCTGTCCGGCAACTTATCGAGATAGGACTCGGTGTGAATGCGCGAGATTCCCGTGGCCAGCCACCGTTGTTCTATGCTGTGCGAAATGGAAATGTTGCCATGGTTCTCTTTCTTTTAGCCAATGGAGCACTAATTAACTGTGTTGATGATGAAAACAACACTGTAGTCCATATAGCTGCATCGGCAGCTCAAAGCACTGTTATACGACCACTTCTAGAATATGGCGCCAATATTGAGGCAAGAGATTATGCAAACAATACGCCGCTACTCGCCGCCATGGCCACACCTCAATACGAAGTCCCCCGGATTCTAGTCATGCACGGAGCAGCTATTGAAGCACCAGACTCGCTCGGTCGAACGGCGTTACATTATGCAGCAACCCAGGAAAGCACTTCAGTTCTGAGACTTTTGCTAGCCAAGGGAGCGAATGTCCATTCAGTCGGTACCTCAGGAGAAACGCCATTACATATGGCAAGTATACATGGGAGAACAAACACTATATCGCTTCTAATCAAGAATGGAGCAAACATTCACACTCTCGACAATGTCGGAAAGCCTCCGTTGCATATAGCAGCGGAAACAGGCTTGGAGGCACTTGAAGCTATGGCAGCCTTGCTCGAGCACGGCGCAAGTGTTCACACCGTGAGCAGTGCAGGACGCACACCGCTGCATAAGGCGGCTTCAATAGGAGAACCCGAAATTGTAGCCTTCTTACTCAAGCGTGGAGCCAATGTTCATGTTGCTGATCATTCTGGTTGGACTCCATTGCACGAAGCTGCTTCAGCCGGAAAGCCCGAAGCCGTACAGCTTTTAGTTGATAATGGCGCTGATATCAACGCTGCCGATAACTTGGGATCAACAGCTCTACACGAGGCAGCTTCTCAGAACCAAATTGAGTCTATAGTAGCATTGCTGGATAGTGGAGCGAACATCGAAGCACGAACTTTACAAGGGGCGACTCCGTTGCATGTGGCATCGGAGAATGAATGCAATGAAGCTATTAGCATGTTGATAGAACGCGGGGCCAATAAGGATTCAAAGATGCTGAATGGAACTCTGGCTATCTCCGACGATATGCGTTTGAGGATCCAAATTCAAAAGGATCTTAGGCCGGAATACGAGAACGAAGGGCCTAAACATATGTATATCTCGACGCCATCTCCATCTTTTAGGTCATGGAACTCGCAAGGGGAGGACGAAGGTGAAGGTCGCGTCAGGAGACCGTCATTTACTAGGAGTTCGAGAACCGAAAGTCCCCAAGAAGAAGGCTCGGACAGACGCCGTAGACGCAAACGAGAGGGATATCGAAGTAAGGGCTCGCCTGCAGACAGTTATCGTTATTCTGATGATTACGAAACAGATGAAGGTCGACCTAGGAGACCGTCATTTACTAGGAGTCCGACAACCGAAAGTCTCCAAGAAGACGCCTCGAACAGACGCCGAAGACGCAGACGGAGACGAGATAGAGATCGAGATAGGACTTCGCGTGCAGACAGTTATTCTGATGATTACGAAACAAATGAAGATGGGAAAGCGCATCCGATAAACCCAGGTCGTGAAAGAATCGAAAGAGTGCAGAGAGTTGGCTTTGACAAACCCAAGGACCAGGACCAAAGTCAGGAGGTTAAGAAGAACGAAGAGACTGATCTTACAGCTTCTGCTCAACCTGATAATGGGGACACACTGTTAAGTTCATTCAACGCTTCAAGCTCGACCTTCGGTTTGGCCCGGAAGAGAGCATGCGAAACGATGTGAACTTGATATGTCTGCAGATAGCGTTATCTATTCCTGGAATCCTAACTTTTTTCTCTGATCAACAGTCTCACTTCTACCTCATTCTGGCTGACCATTTGGTTGAGTCCCACTGTAGCTTCTCGGTTTTTTCTTCAACTGCACTGTGCATGTGCTATATTCAAACAAGACCCTCATACACAATACATAGGGTTACACAGAAACCCCTATTTACATAGTTGACCATTACAGTTCGCTCAAATCTATCCACAGTCCTACCCCTTACACTCCCCCATCCCTCGCTACCTTCCTAAAATCAAAATAAAACAAACTCAACTTACTCGCTGCGCCACAAAACTCCGACGAATTGCCCGGACAAACATAATTACACTCCTTATCCGTAACATTCTTCCCCGGGGTCGCCCCACTATTACCCGCAAAATCCAGCGTGTTGCCACACCAACATTCGCGGCCGTATTCCACGCCCGCGTATTTGTATTGGGAGCAGTCGGACAGACATTTGGAGATCGTCATTGAGGTGCCGTTGTTTTCGTCTTGGGAGGACAAGAGACGGCCGGAGGAGGGCTCCGAGACGCAGGAGTAGTAGGTGAAGTTGGTGTTTCCGTTGGAGGTGACGGGTGGGCCGGTGTAGGTTGCGGGTTGTGATGATGCGGATGAGGATGAGGAGAGTGTGAGGGTGCTTGAGGAGGTGCTTTGTGTGGATGATTGTGACGAGGATGTCGTTGGTGGGACGCTTGAGCTGCTGCTGCTTTGCTGGGACGACAAGGGTGTGCTGGTAACGCTGGATTGTGCCGTTATGCTTCCGCTGGAAGTCTGAGTTTGGCTTGAAGTCTGGCTTTGACTGGAACTCTGAGACGATAAGACTGAAGATGTGCTGGAGATAACAGAGCTAATACTGGACTGAGCAGCAGTAAGTTTGTACATCTCCAATCTATTACCCGCACCACAGTACTCGAACTTATTTCCAGGACAAGTAAACGAGCAATCGGTCTGCTTGGTAGCAAGGACCGATCCCGTGCCGAGAGAGTTACCACAGTAGCCTATGGTCAATTAGTCCTAGTCACAAGAGAAACAAAAGTTGGGGGACTTACATTCGCCACCGTACTCAACGCCCCAGTATTGGAACGCTGTGCAGTTACCCGCGCAAGATTCGAGCGTCATCCCCTTGTAATCATAGATTGCGGCACCGGTTAAGGCTCGAGCATTGGTTCCTTCTGTGTAACAGCCCATGCGAGTATATGCTCCAACTGTCGGCTTTAGGGCGAGAGTCTGGGTGGGACCTGCTGACGATGAGGAAGACGTGCTGCTCACTGAGCTGGAAAGGGAGCTAATGACGACGGAGCTGGAGACTGAGCTACTAGAGATCGAGCTGCTAGGAACTGAGCTGCTCAGAGACGAGATTAGTTGTGGGGACGTCGATTGTGAAGAACTGAGACTCGAGGAGACGCTCGAAATACTCGAAATGCTGGTAAAAGACGATGACGACAATGGCGAGGCTAGAGTATAGAGTTGAAGTCTGTTTCCAGCTCCACAATACTCGGTTGCATCGCCTGGGCATTTGAAGCTACAATCAGCTTGATTCGTTGCTGCAACACTTCCTGCTGCAAGGGTATTGCCACAGTAGCATTCTCGACCATATTCGACCCCGAACATTGTATATTTTGAGCAGAACGCTGCGCATGATTCGAGAGTCATGGCGTCGTTCGCGTAGGTTAAACTTCCTAATGCACGTCCGGTCGTCGCTTCGGTCCAACAACCTTTGTAGGCGTAGCTTCCAACATTTTGCTTGATTGCTGGACCTGTTGCTGTCGGTGTGCTTGATGATGACGTCCCAGTGACTGTTCCGCTTGAGCTCGTCCCGGTTAATGTCAGGCTTGGTGTGAGGCTTGATGGGAGGCTTGATGTGAGGCTCGTTGTCCCTGTCGACGTCTGTGAAGAGGAACTCAAAATACTCGAAGAGCTGGAGGTGCTTCCAGCTCCCTTCATATATAAATTAAGATAACCACCTGCACCACAGTATTCTGTTCCATTTCCATTGCATGGCATACTGCAAGACGATGCAGCAGCAGAAACAGAAGAAGCTGCCAAGGTGTTTCCACACCAGCACTCTCCACCATATTCAAGACCGGCGTAGGTAAACCCTTTGCCTGAACATGTATCGACACAGTTCTTCACAGTCGGAGTAGCAAGATCGAACTCCTGGGTCAGTGCTCTACCTGTTGTGGCTTCTTTGTAGCATCCCATACTGGTGTAACCATCTACGCCTGGATTGACGAATGGTCCGCTGGGTGTCGTGCTCGTAACGTTGCCACTAAAGCGAGTTGAATCAGCGAACAGAGAAATGTATGATCCAACAGCATCAGACCCCACACCATTGCCACCACAGATTTGGTTGATGTCCCCAGAACATGGGTAGTTGCAATCGAGCTCCGAAACTTGTTGAACAGGAATCGTTGGACCTCCCCAGCATTCTCTGTTGTATTGCGTGCCACAGAAATCGTAGTTTCCAGCAGCACAAGCAGCGATACATTTCGCAATGGTGTTCGCGGCATCTCCATAGATCTGAGTCTTGAGTTGACGGCCTGGATTATTCTCCTTAAAGCAACCAGTGTATTGATATTTTCCAAGACCATTCGTCAGAAGAGGAGCGGCTTGCTCTGCAACAGCATTGCAGGAGAATTGAATAAACTGCTTGCCGAAGTTTGGATCGTCGACATTCATGGTCCATTGAGCTGTTCCGGAATATGGTTGAGTGTTCCATTGTGTTTTGGGGACCGAGCAGTAAAGGGTTGCTGTTGCGTTCTCCCCGGGAGCAAGAGTTGTTCCTTCTGCGAGATCGACTTGGTTATTCGCTCCGATGATTCCGGAAACACCGAATGGAGGCTTGGAGACAGTCAAAGAGAGTCTGGCACTGTCCGAGGTGGCATTGTTCGTCAAGCGCATTTTCAGAGAGCGGGTAGTATTCTCGGTCACATTGCCGAATGTGAAATTTTGCCCAGGCTTGTATTGAACCCATCCCGTTCCATCTGGAGTCTGGAATTCAAGTAAAGCGCTAGGAGCGGACCCCGAAGTACCCACAACATCAAACACTTTAGTCCCGCCATTCGAAACAACATTGAGATATGTTCCAAAATTGCCACTGGTTGATGTATCAAAGTTGACCCTGACAGTGACGCCAGTATTCCCAGGAATTGTAGTAGGCAATCCAATGAATGTGAACGCGCCAGCTTTTGGTCCCGCAGCAGTCATGTTCGCTGTCACGAATGGGCCTGTCTCACTGACGACCGAATATTTGATGTCCGAGATCGTTAATGGCGCATTGCCCAGGTTGTTGAAAAGCACGGACTGATTAACACCACCGACTTGAGCACCAGTGATGACGCCCTGGAAAGCTAAGGTGACAGGGCTGACTTGAAGCAAAGCACTGACACTTTGTCCAGTGCCACGAAGAGTGATTGGAATACTCGTGCTATAGCCAGCCACGTTGTTTGTCGTTGTGAGAACGATATCGGATGAAAGTGGTCCAACGGTGCCGGGGTTGAAGTAAGCTTGGAAGCTAAATGTGCCACCGGCTGCAACATTAAGAGGGGTTGTGGGCACGTTCGTGATATTGAAATTAGCATTTCCAGTAAGGTTAAAGTTGGTGACAGTGACGCCAATATTTGCTTTACATGTGATTGTCTTCAGTGTAGTTGCCGCATTGAGGTTGGAAGTACCGAAGTCGACTGGCGATGTGCAGTTGAGTGGGAGGTTAACTGGAGAGCCGAACCCATAGAAATATCCTTGAGTAGTGCCCATGTACACACGACCATCGCCAAAGACTGGCCGAGTGAACTTTGTGGTACCAGGAATGTTGAATCCAGCGATCTGGACCATAAGACCGTTGACAGGAACAGCATTGTACACTCGAAGGTTCTGACCATCGACATCGCTAGTCCACACCAGTCCAGTCCCGGGCTGACCATTGAGAGAAGTGGTCGTCCCATGTCCTACGCCGAGAACGTAGGCATTCTTGGTCGGGGAGTCGGCAACTTTGGTGAAAGAAGGAACTCCGTTGGTGCAAGAGAACTTGAAAACGTGGGTAGGGTATTGAATAACGTTGATATAGATGTACCCGCCCTCGAGAGGATACACTCCAGCTCCAGCGTACACCGAGTTCTCGTTTTGATAGACTTGGATGATATCGTCCAGCTTGTTGGGTCCATTCTGGTATCCTCCCAAATCATCAAGGTTCAACCAGTAAGTTTTCCCACTTTTGCCAGTGACTACACCGATTCTCTGAATATCTCCACAAGAGAATTCTTTAGGAAGCAATTCCAAAGGACTGGTACCAAGATCACGATCAGCACCGTCCAGTTGTGTCTTTTCCCAAGGCATGAAGAAGTCGACTATCGTGAGACTACCATCGTCGTTGATCGTCATGTGAACAGCAGCTTCTTCAAGTGAGGTTGGAGGATTGCGACCGTTGACTGGAATGGTACTCAGTTGAGACGCATATCCATTTCCTGAAGCAAAGAACAACGATCCAGCATCATCAGAAGCAAGACCTCCTCCGCTCATCCACACACCTGCTCCAGGAGTCGTATTCGGAACACCACCTCCTTCGGTGGCCCATCGCTCTACTTGAGCGCCAGTGGTCTTGTCCCAACCCATTATCCATCCGGTGAAATTGTATTGAACGCAGTGAGAAGCGAAACCAGCATAGATGTATCGACCTGTATGCAAGAGAGCTGGACGCTGGTGATGAATACCGCCATTGAAGCTTCGAATTGGGTTGTTTCTGGCAACGACACCTTCGAGATTGACAGGAAAGTTCGGACGTTCGCTAAGATCGTTGACATTGATGGCATGAAGAAAGTATCTTCCACTTGGTTTGCCTTGGGCGACGTTGATCTGCCTCTGATCAGAGTACGTTTTCGAGGTGAGGTAGAGAGTATCCGTGTCAGGATCGATGACTCCAGTAGCCGTAACACCAACATGAGGATTGATATCAACACACCCATTCAGATCTGAAGTCAAGAATGGAATAGCTAGATTTCTAGACAGGACAATAGCTCCGGTTTTAGCATTAATTTTGTACAAATTATTCTGTGTAGTAGCGAGGTAAACATATTGAATGCCGTCGGATGGCGTTGTGTAAACGAGAGGCTGAGAAAAGACCTGCTCGGCAGCACCACCGTATTTCCCAGGAAGGGCTGTCTTAAACAATTGTCCGAATTGGGAACTTCCGACGATGGCAGGGTCCATATTATGATTACTGAAGAATTGTTAGATTCGGACCACAAGAAGGATTGCCACTCACGTTTGATATCCAGTCCTGGAATTGTCACCACCCCAGGTAATTGTGTCGGTAGCACCCAAGGAGTAGACATGATCAAAGAATAGTGAGAGAAAGAAAATAACGAAAGTGGTCGACATGATGCCAGACATAATTGATGCAATTCGTCCTCAGACGTAGCAACTTCCGTGGAAAGAATGAAACAAAGAATATGGATCAACTCGAGAAATCTGCTCGTAAGACTCCTTCCATCTTATGTGTCGAAAAACTTTCCAATAACTTTTCTCTAGAGCTGTGCATGAGCGACGCCGTCTGATGCTAGAACAAAGTCCATATCCACAGCACAAGCACGCATAGAAGAATTTCCAAGGTGATGGGAGCAATGCACATGTTAGCAAGTGTCAATCCATCACTCAGAATGGTAAGGGGAATGCTGCCAAGATACATCCAACATGGATTTCTTTCATCGCAATCTATCGAGACTTGGCGGGCTTACCCGTCTGGTCATTTCTAGGGCCGTGGACCGACTTGGCATGGCGCCCGTTGGACCTGTAGGGTGCCCGTGAAGAAGGATGCACCGCTGGGTTCAGACTGTTTTCCCCGCCAAGAGCCAACACCTCGCTATCCCTGGCCTGGATCCAGGTACCAGACTCGCTCGAGCCATGGAGCCGACGGGAACGACCCACGCAGGAGGCCTGAAGGAGATTTGCCCAAATCACGCACTGAGCATGCTGTCTTGTAACATCCCACTTCGTCTTGGTATCAGCGTATGATAACGGAAATCCATTCAAATACCCTGATCATCCTTCTGCTTGTGTTGTTGATGCTTGTCCGCTTCCTCGAAAATGCGATGAAAGATCTGTCCAGGAGCTTTAGAAGTAGCCTTACGCCAAGGAATTAAGCTTACCTGAACGTTTCTCGTATCCCTCAGCCGCTTGGCGAGATTCCCTAATCCGAGGACGTGTATTTTGTTCTATTTTGGAACAGTGCATAACATTCGCCTCAAACCTACTCTCTAGCATGTCCTGTGGTCAGAAATTCCCTCACTTAGTACGGCTAACAAAGTCTTTGCTGGGAAACGCTTGACAAGGACAAAATTGAGAACTGCAACAATCTAGGACATGTAGTTGAAAACATGATGTTCTGAGAAAACTGAGTCTGGAGAGATTGTCGTCAGAAGAAAAGTAAGAAACGTCCCGCAATGTCTTAGACAGTCCCGTAACTATGACGTCCTCAACGGGTGTGATGCATATCATTGCGATACTGTACCGCTATTAGGTGAGGTAGTGGATGATCAATGCTGAAGCCGGCGATTTCAGCGCCACGAAGCCTCATCTCAATGTGGCTGATGGCGACCAGAATTCGGAGCAGGCCGAACTCTGCTAAAAGACTCAGATACCGATACCCTCACGATCCGATGCTCTTCGAAGGGAGTTTCGAGTTCCAATAGTCTTTCGCTGTCTTGGCACAGGGCTCTTCCAGGTCCAGAGTCGAATATAATGGATCCGATCACTTGGCGATGATGGCCAAGACGCGAATTCAAGAATCAACACCATTGTCAAAAAGCCCAGATTGGTTTTCAGCTCAAGGAGATAGCTCCGAAAATGGTTTAGCAGTTTTGTGGTGCATTTTTTATCTGATCTTGCTCAAGGAATATACATTGGCAGAGTTTCTTGTGGAGTGTTTTCCGGTGCTGCAAGGTGCCGCTCAACTTTCAATTTGACGATGCAGCCTCCCGACAGAGGCTAGACAAACACAATCGGATCCATGAACAGGCCATTTGTAGATTATGTTGATATACTGATTGTTCTTTATAAGGAGGAGAGCAGAGAAAGAAAGGAACAAAAGATGAACAGCAAAATATATATCAATCTTCTTCCAGGTCAGGGTTAGTGCCATCTCCTATCTATCTCTTATCGTCACCAAACGGTCAATATGCGCGCTAGACACGAAAAGTTTCTGCAGGAACCGCGGCGTGTTGTACAAAAAGAGCATTCCATCAATGTTCTCCCTTTCTCCCCTCAAACGCAACACACTTTTGCGCAACATCATAACAGTCGCAATGAAAGACTCCAATAAATCTCCCGCCAGAAGGCATCCTTATCCCTCCAGAGGTAGAGGTAAGAAGTCCATGACGACAAATGCCACTCCAAGAAATCCTCCGACTACATTTTCTCCTCCAACCCTCGAATCTACTCCACCTTCAAGAGTAGCCACTCCTCCTCTTACTGAAGATGTTCCTGCCGATACACCTCGATTCGCAGAGCTTGAGGGTATCCTTTCTCCCGTTCTCATTCAGACCATGACCCAGGATCTCAAGTTTGACCATATGATGCCTGTACAAGCTGCCACTCTTCACGATTTGCTCAAGGATCGCATTGATTGCTTAGCACAAGCCAAGACAGGAACTGGAAAGACTGTCGCCTTTCTCCTACCTGCCATTCAGACTCTACTCAACAAGAAAACAGCCGGCTCTTCCATCTCTCTCCTCGTCCTCTCACCAACCCGCGAACTTGCCCTGCAGATTCAAAAAGAGGCTACGAAGATTCTGCAAAGATTACCGCAATACAAGGTCTGCATCGCAATTGGAGGAACAAACAAAGATACCGAAGAGAAGAAGATCCTTGCAGGATGCGACATATTGATCGCAACTCCAGGACGTCTCCACGACCATCTCAGCGACGAGAGAATTCTTTGGGCTTTCCGCAGTCTCGATACACTCGTGCTCGATGAAGCAGATCGTCTCCTCGACATGGGATTCATGCCACAACTCAAGAAGATCGTCCAATGCCTCCCTGACAAAGCAAAGACGAATAGACAGGGAATGCTCTTCTCCGCTACGATCGCACCTCACGTCAAGGAAGTGGCACATTTGATTCTCAACAAGAATTATAAGTTCATATCCACAATCCAAGAAGGCGAATTAGGTACCCACGAACGTGTTCCTCAACATCTCATCGTTGTACCCACTTTCTCGGATGTTGCGGCAGCAATGGTTGGCAGTCTGCGAGCAGAGATCAAGCTCAACGGGGAGAGTACATTCAAGGCTATTGTCTTCGCACCCACAGCCGCTTTGGTTGATTTCTACGGCGACATCTTGTCTAAGATGCGAGATATGCCCAACGTTTCGGTGCTTCATAGCAGAGTTAGTCAAGGCAAGAGAACAGCAGCCACGAACGCGTTTCGAGAGGCAACAAAGGGTATTCTGGTCGCCACTGATGTCGTTGCAAGAGGCATGGATTTCCCAGGCGTCACAAACGTCTTCCAGGTCGGTATCCCGTCGGACAAGGAATCCTACATCCATCGACTAGGACGAACAGCTCGAGCTGGTGCTGAAGGAAGAGGAACCTTCATCATTTCTCAAGACGAGACCTTCTTTTCCCAATGGACATTGAAGGAAATCACTTTCGAGAAGGCCCAGCCTGATTTGAGGGCCACAGATGAGGTGCTGAAGATTGCGGAGAAGATGGAGCCGGAACAACATGCGAAGGTCTTTCAGGCTTGGTTGGGGTATTATAAGAATCACACAAAGGGCATGAAGTGGGATAATGAAAGATTGGTTAGGGAGGGGAATGCTTTTGCGTTGAATGGTATGGGTGCTCCTGAACCTCCAGGAATTAGAAAGACAACTGTTGGGAAGATGGGGTTGAAGGGTGTTAAGGGTCTGACCGTTATTCCTGATATGCCAAGAGTTGGGAGAGCTGGTGGTGGCGGTGAGGGTCGATCGGTTGATTCTGGAGGGAAGGGAAGACGTGGTGGTGCTGCAGGTGGTGGAAGAGGAGGTGGAAATGCTGGGTTTTAGACTTGGATCCATGGAAAGACGCTTTGGATGTACAGTATTGTATGATTACTTGCACTGATCTGGCGTGGTTATGGGTATGGTTATAGATAGATACCATAGCGTGGCGCTTATAGAGGTTGGGACAATGAATACTCTGCACCGGAACTGTCTCTGAATACCGTGCACTCGAACTTCGTTCCATTGTAGCATGTATGATATGTCTGAAATACAATTCATGTCTTCTTCGTCCAAATTTGGACTCCTGATTTCCGACCAATCAGATCTTGAAACAACTCTTTGTTGCACGTCGCACTTTTTTTCAGATGTTTCACAGCCTTCAGCGCATTCAGCGCGACTCTTCCATGCCTCTCGATCATTGAGCCGACCTATCACCAGCAATCCTAGAAGTCTCATCAATTGCTCTCCAAATTATGTTTGTTCCTCGAGAGGACCATCTAACTTTGCCATCATAACATTCCCCATTCCTCTCCTTAAATTTTCACATCCAGATGCTTGATCGTGGTTCTCCAGCCATGGAGGGGCAATTCCCTCTCCCGAAGTTCAGCCATCGTGAAACTCTACCCCACTACAATTTTCTTCCAACCTCCACCACAAAGCAGCATTTGAGTGAGGAAACATACATCACTATCTAAAGAAAGAGATGTTGCAAAGCTTTAAGACAAATGATGGCGTTACGTTGAGGTATGTGGATACAGGTGCTGGGAGTGAGGTGGAGGATGAGGGGAGAGACTGGTTGGTTTTGGTAAGCTGGATTTTGATTTCGTGCGTCTTCTTTGCTTGGTTTGAGATTTTGTTATATATGTTTGTCTACCATTCGATCTCGGGTCTTTATACTCAGGAAGTTCTCCAGCGAAGACTTGCGATTGAAAATTTGCGCTGTTGGGAATCATCCGTGGCGAAAAGTTTCATTCATGAGGATGATCACTTTTCTTACTTTAGTTTCACGGCTTGACAGCATTCTGATAATTTACAGATCCACGGCTTTACGGGCTCAGGCACAGTCTGGCAGCGGAATGTTCCTGCTTTTTCGAAAGAGTACAGGGTTATTGTCCCAGATCTGAGAGGTCATGGAGATAGCGATAAGCTACGACACGGATTCCACGTCTGTAGACTGGCTATGGATTTAAAGGAGATGATTTCACATCTAGAAGGCTCAGCAAGTTCAAACCGAGCTTGGAAGGCTATTGGTGGGAGTTTGGGGTGTTCGATATTATGGTAATTGCCTGCTCAAGCTCCAATTTCAGGGTGCTGATTGATGAAACAGGTGCTATGCTTCACTGTTCACCACTTCTCCATTCTCGCACATGATTTTCGTTGATCAATCACCCCTTCAGGATTACTCCCGGTACGACGATTGGGATGAACGATTCGGTAATCGAGGGATGAATAACCCTGCTGCTCTCGCTGGATTACAGGAGACATTGGCAACATCACCGGAGACTGCTCATAAAGGGACAATTGCTGCATGTCTTTCGTATCGAAGTCATCCCTTGCCTACTGATAATGGTACCGTATCCCCTACTACTTTTTCAGACTGGCAACTAACGATGAACCCAGTCGCCTCCCAAAAATCCTCGGAAGACGAAGCCTTCTTCTTGACCGAAGCCATGAAAGGCAACCCTGAATTCTACGGCCGTTTAATGGCGGATCATACTTCTCTCGACTGGCGAGAATCCATCAAAGCTACTTTCGGTCCTGAAAGCGGCAGTGAGACGAAAGTACTAGTTGTGGCAAGTAGCAGGAGTGGATGTTTTCCAGCTGAGGGTCCGATGAAAGTTGTTGAATTCGTCAATGGAGGGGTGGAAAAGGAGGGATTTGCGAGGGGAGAGGTGGTGGAGTGGGGTGGGCATTGGTGTTATTGGGAGGATCATGAGAAGTTTGATGGGTTGTGTTTAAGGTTTCTGGGGGAAGGTGTGGGAGAGCGCGTGAATCTCTGAGCAGGTGATAGAATGCTTAGCATGCCATAGATGCTTTCGATTGTAAATTGAGCTCTCATTTACCATGAACGTCAGGGGATGGACCTTCGGCCCATGGAATGGAAATAGAGGGCAAATGGCTCTCAATTAAATTGGTCTTTCTTCCAGCATAATATTTGCTAGCAATCTTGGAGTAGTATTCCAAGCTTCTAGCAGGCTTCCTCCATGAAACAACGACCTCACACGTGATTATATTCTTCGCCCCCACAAACGCTTGTTAATTTTTCTCATGACACAATCCTGCACTTTCATATAAATCCTTTCTTCTTTCCACCTTCCTATCCCACTAACGTCCTATCCTGTCACTATGGCTTCCCCCTCTCCTCCAGCCGTCCCCACTCCGTCCAAATTCCCGGACCTAGGCCCCGTAGGCGTCAATGTCTTCAGCGGCGGTGTCCACGAGAGAAACATATCCTGGCGTCCGGGCCGTCAACACTACACCGGCTACGGCATCGGAAAAGCCAGTCAAGACTACAGCATCCCCATCCAACCCGATCTCTCATACCCCACCATCCGTTCCGGCTCCTCGAAATTCTACAGCGATTCGTATGCCCAAAAATATCTCGCTTACGCAGAAAGCTCTGAATTCGAAAAAGGGACAGGGATTAAAACCGGGGTTTGTAGGCTTTGTAGGAGCATTTTGGAGGATGAGGAAGGAAAGAGGGGTTTCAAGGTTTTTATGTGGCATGAGGATGTTTTTCGGATGGTGAGGAGCGCGAGGTTGGGGTGTGGGGTTTGTAGGGTGCTGGGGCAGACGGTGAGTGAGTATAGAGATGGAAGTTTTTATGTGCAGATGGGGGGTGCGATGGGGTGGCTTTGCGTTTATTTGGAAGAGTGGAATGGGGAGGGAGAGGGGAAGAAGAGGATGGCGTATGTTACTTGGACGTTGAAGGATAGGCCGCAGAGTTTGTGGAAGTTTGATGCGGTGTGGATCTTTGGGACGGGTTTGGATGGTGGGTTTGCTGGGGAGGTAGGCAATGGGAGCTGGAGGGAGAAGTATCCTTCGTTGCCGGTGAATAGCAGGGAAGCTTTGGGATTGGCGAAATCGTGGTTGGAACGCTGTGAGAGCTCTCATAAGATTTGTGGCGTGAGAAGAAATGATTGGCATCCTACTCGACTTCTGTATGTCGGCAACAACACCATCAAACTCAAGACAGACATGACTACTCCAGTCAGGTACGCAACTCTTAGCCACTGTTGGGGGAAGCTCCATATCACTAGACTCGAAACCACTAACCTCGACCAATTCATTTTGAAAATTCCTGAATCCGCGCTCTGCAAGACTTTTCTTCATGCCATCGTGGTAACAAGATTCCTTAGTTTGGAATATCTCTGGATAGATTCTTTATGCATCATTCAAAACGATGCCGAGGATTGGGCAAAAGAGGCTGCGCTTATGGCTGACGTTTATGGCCAATCCACAATCTCCATCGCTGCTTCGGGTGCTGTGGATGGGAGTGAAGGATGTTTCTTCGATCGAGATAATAGATATTTCTGGAACATGCCCTTCAAGGTTTCCGAGAGTGGCAAGAAGCAAACACTTATTATGGCGAACACACAAATATTTGAGCGCTGTATTCGACATACCGAATTGTCCAAAAGAGCTTGGGTCTTACAAGAACGTTTGCTTGCACCCAGGACACTACATTTCAGCAAAGCGCAAGTATCTTGGGAATGCAAAGAAGCCAACGCTTGTGAATCATATCCCAACGGCTTTCCAGAATTCTTAGACATGAATTCTGCACTCGACGGCTTTGCGAAAGGCGCTACTCCTAGCTGGGAGAAGGTCGTACAGCTATATTCGAGATGCTTGTTGACCTTTGAGAAGGATAAACTTCCTGCTTTGATGGGCATCGCGAAGATGTTCCAGGAAGCTACGAAGATGAAGTATCTTGTTGGGTTGTGGAAAGAAGAGTTGAGGTTGATGCTTACGTGGAGATTTATGTCTGATAGAGGAGGTTGTACTAATGCTCGACCCGATGAGCCGAGAGCACCGTCTTGGTCGTGGGTTGGATTGGAGAGTCCCAATGCGCCGATCCTTTTGCCTGAGCTTAGGGAAATCGAAAGAGAAGGAAGAGCACTCTGGCATGTTGAGGTTCTTGACGCAAATGCCATGTTGGTCGACTCCGAGAGGCAAATTTGGAAAGGAGATCTGGAATTGAAGTGCGAAAAGATTGTTTCAGGCAACACCGTTTATATTGGCAAATTGTCGCGCTTCGAGGTTTTCCGAGCACGTAGTGACGGAAAAATACCGGAAAGCGATACCCAGATAGACTGGGATTATCATGAAGACCAGGTGGTCGCGAGATTGGACAGAGATCGGTTCATGGTCCCATTTTGTACCAATACCAACAACGAGGGGACAAAACAAGTTGAAGGACTGATATTGGAGAGATCTGGAACAGTTGCTGGATACTATAGGAGGATTGCAAGATATCTATCACAAAAGGAAGAGGTCGGGGTCTTGGAACGCTTGTTCGAAGATTATGAGGTTCCGCAAACTGATTTCGTTCGGAAGCTGAATGGGAGAGATGGCCAGAAAGAAGGATATGTCATCAATATAGTATAAACAGTATCCTCTTTGAGCATGTACTCTTGATAAAATGAAAACAATAAAACAGGAAAGACTCAAATTGATGGTCGAACATTCAAGGAGGATTTCCCTCCAAGCTTGCGATCAGAACTTCGCGTTTGGGATGCTCCTTCCTCTTGTATTGCTCTTTCCCACCACACTCCAACAACTCCACAGATCCTCCCCCAGAAAGAAATAAAAACCCAACAATCCTGCTAAGAATAACAATGCTAGTTCCCACTTCGAAAGCCCTCTCGCTTCTATTTCTTTCTCCTCTTCTTTACAGCACCAGCCCATCGCCATGTCTCATCCAATGTCCTCGATCCCACCGTCTTTGTGTGGTCGGGCCTCTGCTATGTTGGTACGCGGTCTTACACATATATCATAGCTAGCGATACTAAAGTTAGCGCACCTATAGCGGTGGGAGTAGAGTTCGAACTGAGATGCTGACTTTACTTTGGCCTATGCTGGTGAAGAGTGGTGCTGTGGTGTTTCCATTACTCGACATTTAAGAGAGAAAAAAGAGCAGAGACAGTGAGTAAAGATTTCTGTGGTACGAGAAGATGCTGAATTGTGGAAAGAAGTATCGAAGAAAGCCAGATGAGCAGACAATGCTAGATACACGAAGGTATGGAGGACGAATTCTCCTGCAAGGGGGCGCTGTTGTTGAATAGCGTGATGAAACAGAGGAGAAATTGAATGAAGAGGGAAAGTAGTGTTAGGAAGGCATTGAACCACTCGATCCAAGACAGCGTCCTCAACACCTTCATGCACAACGCCACTTGGGGGCAACCTAGGCACATTTTTCTTGGGATCACTGGCGATGTTGATGTTGATGTTGGAAGAAGGCTTCCGTCTCACTGATGTTCTTTCAGGGGTCTCTACGCTAAATTACAGTGCAGGATCATTACAATGATCTCACGGGAAACTCTAACTTTATTTTCACTGCTCTCTGGCTTTCAAGCATACAAGCACAGCTTCTCATTCAAACAATCTGCGATACAACAACCAGAATCCTCTGCAACGGACGTTCCTATGTTCGAGAATGTTGTCCTCGAAATCAGCCTGCATGTCACAATGTCAGCCTTGTGCACCAGATCTCTACCTCTGTATCGACCATACGAACTTGCCCCAGACCGACAATGCGAAGACGAGTCTGCGAACATTGTTCGGCAAATTGTAAGAACAATCAAAATCTGCTTCAGCAAAAAAGTAAGGTAAAAGCACATCAGCTATCACACCCAACTTGAAGTAAGAGCCATGCTTACCAGATTATTCTAGCAGCGTTTCACCACCGCCTACCTCCTTCTCCTTCCTTGTCACCGACTCTTCTGACACACTTTCAAACCATCTTCAAAGCACACCACAGATTCATAGCTGTATCTCGACGACATCTGCGAAATCATCCCGTGTGGGGGACACCAACAATCACAAGGACAAGATTACATTGGGTTGGGGCAGAATGCTGAAGATGGTATATTATGGGCAGACCATGGCTCCTGAACCGCTTCTTACTCGAGACCAAGTGCGAAGCCTGATCAGTACAGGGTTTACATTGGATAACGGATTTGAAAGGTCGCAGAGAAAGAGGAGACAGTAGCACAAATCGCACAACACAGCCAACAAGGCGGGAAGCTCCGTGTTAGCATTTGGTGCAGAAGGACATTTGGACACACGAGAAGGAAGCCGCCGAGTCATTACTCAACCTGTCTACGACATTTGATTGTTCCTTAGCAAACGTCAACATACGAATTCCCTCCTTTCCACTAGAAATTCCTTCACAGCCTCAACAAACGTCTCGAGTTCCTCCTTCGTGGTAACCGTCATTAGACTTATCATACCTCTCTGGGCAAGATATAACCCTTTCTTCAGCATATCGAAGAAGAACAATTCCCGGACGTTCGTTTCACTGGCCTGCACATCTGCAGCGGAACGGACTTCATTCTTGCTGAAGTGCAAGGTCATCAGACTTCCGACACCAGTCACTTTCAAGGTCGAACCTGCTTCCTTCGACGCTCTCTCGAGCTCCTTCTGAAGCCACTCTCCCATCTTATACAAGTCATCTGCGGCCTCCTTTGTCCAGACTTGTTCGAGAACAGCTACGCCTGCTGCCATTGTAGTGACGTTGTTATTGTAAGTGCCAGAATGGTACGCTCCACCTGGATGTCCAGGCTCGATGATCGACATTATCTCGTTCTTGCCACCGAACGCCCCGAAATTCTGTCCACCTCCAGCAAAAAACTTCCCAAGGGTTGTCATATCTGGAGTTACGCCAAGCAACGACTGCAGCCCTCCCGTGGACATACGACTCGTCATAACTTCATCGAACATGAGAATAGCACCGACCTCAATGGCTTTCGCTCGGGTCGCTTTGATAAATTCGATATCTGCTGGAAGGCAACCAGACGATCCTTGCATCAGTTCCAAGAAAATACAGGCAAGGTCATCCTTGTGCTTGGCGACCAAATCATGGAAGGCTTGAATGTCGTTATAAGGAGCAATCACAAAGTTGTGAGGTGCATTCATCGAGTTTGCTGTCACTTTGTCATCCTTACTAAACGTAGCTAGTCCTCCATGGTAGCCACCCTTAAACACTAAGATGGTGTTTCTCTTAGTGTACGCCTTGACAAGTGCTATGGCAGTCAAGTTTGCCTCTGTTCCGGAATTGGAGAATCGAATCTTTTCGATGCTCGGAAATCTTGAGCAAAACAACTTGCCAAGACGTCCCTCGAAACGATTGACCCCACCGAGAGCAAACCCGCTTTCGATGGCAGAATGCATGGCTTTGGTGATGACAGGATGACTATGCCCAAACATAGCAGCGGAGTATTCTCCGCACAAGTCAAGATAAGTGTGTCCATCAACATCTGTGAGGTATGATCCTTTTCCGGATTCTAAAATCAAAGGAAACGGTTTGAAATGAACCACATTTCTGGTCGTGCCTATCACTGTGAGGAGCTTTCTCAAGCGAGTATCTCAGGGACTTACCTCCAGGCAAAGACAACGATGACTCTGAGTTAATCTTTTGGCTTTCGGGGTTTGATTTCCCGTAAGTTGCACGTGCCGCAGCAAGTGCTTCACTAATTTGTTCAGATCTGGAGATTGCAGAAGGCATTTTCAAAGTGTTCATTTGCCAGAGAGACGTCAAAATTTCGATATCTCAACATATGAAAGGCGTGTCCTCAAAGGGCGCTCGGGATATGATGCCTACATGTCGAGAGGGTGGGGTTCTCGAACTAGTGATGTACTCCAGTTTCTGGTTGGTCAAATGTTGGGGAAAGTGTACCCGAAATGGAGAGAATTCACGCTCCCGTTGATAGCCGCTGCAGATCTCTGAGCAATAGGATGTCTAGGACTAATCGTCGAGGGATGTGGTCTTCAATATATCTTCATTGCTGCTCATTCTCTTTTCCATCTTGCGCTGTTTTGATATCAATTTCTCCTCAAAAAAACATCATCCTTGTCTTTCACCATGGGCTCGATCGAAAGACCTACACTTCAGCGTATTCCAGTCCACGCTCCTATTGAAGTATTTATTGAAGCCATCAAGAAAGATGGTGGTTGTATTTGTACCAATTATGTTAGTCCGGAAGACATTGCTACTGCGAACGCAGAAGTCAAGCCGTTCTTAGATGCGGATAAGCCATGGCAGGGGAAGCTCTTTCCTCCCGAGACTCGTCGCTGCAACAGATTGTTATGGCGCAGCCCGACCTGTCGAGAGAAGTTCTTCATGCACCCTTTATACCAAGTATGTTTACTCACTGAGAGTATACATCTTTGCTGATATTTGCAGGCTCTTGGAGAGCACTTTCTCGCAGAAACGTACCCGACGTGGTATGATGAGAAATGCCACCATTATACATCTCATCCTCTTCTAAGTGCCGCACTCGGTATTGATGTTCGGCCAGGAGCCGTTGGACAACGCCTGCATCGCGACGACAAGATGTATCATACATGGCATACTGATGCTACATCTACTGGCTGGACCCAAGGCAGAGATAATGGTTTCGGAGTTTTCGTTCCAGGTATCAAAACCACCGTTGAGAATGGCGCAACTCGAATGCTTCCTGGCTCTCACCTCTGGGGCGACGATCGTGGTGCCGACCCCAACGATCCGAATGTCTGCTATGCCGAGATGGATGTTGGAGAAGCAGCGTTCATGCTGGCTAGCACATTTCACGGAGGCAGCACGAACAATAGCAAGGATCAGAACAGGATGCTTTATGCTATATTCATGTGCAAAGGTACTCTGAGGACGGAATTTGCAACATTGATTGAGTATCCGCCTGAGGTTGTTAAGCCTTGGAGCAAGGAAGTTCAGGCGAGGTTGGGCTACAAAATCTCCAGCCCGAACTGTGGAATGGTAGATATGAGAGACCCAGGATTTTTATTGAGAGATGACTTCGATCCGGAAGCGCCAAATGTGGATGTTGATCTAGACTAAGTTGACTAAATTGAGACAGCTTCAAGTACTTCAGATACATCGTTAGATCATCTTTCAATGAAATAACTATCAGATACTCTCTCTTGGTCATACTTTTTCTGGATGTCTATGAATTTGCCGCGAAAGTCGAGTCTGGACCATGTCCTGCTCATCCCACTTTTGAAGCTCGATAAGCTGCGGCTGCTCTTGCTCTGCACCAAACACCCCGATCGGCAAGCTGCATAAGCCTCTGCTTCAGGGGCTGCGCGAGCCCACCTTTGGACCCTGTGGGACTATCCGCTGTTCTTGGATTGGAAGGAGTCCCCGAGATACTGATAAGGCCGTGATACTGTGTGGTTGTGCTCCGTGATCTTACATTTCGGGCGAGAGTGGGATAAGGCTATAATTTTGTGGAGGGGAGCTTAACATGAAGATATTGTTTAAGACGTGTGATGTGAAGGGCGTATTTGGTTTCTCTTTGTATTTTGATCTTTTACTACGTATTTGACGTCTTTCATTTACTATTCTTGAAAAACTTGAAATCTTTCACACCGAACTCAAAATCACAAAATGGGCAGCGTTGACACCAAGAAAGCCAATGTGCTACTTCTTGGAGGAGGAGCTGTAGGTGCCATTGCAGCGTTGAACATTGAGACCTCGGGATTGGGAGCTGTGACAGCCATTCTGAGATCAAATTTCAAGGTTGTGAATGAGGAGGGCTACACAATCGAATCTGTAGATCACGGGAAATTTAAAGGCTGGAAACCCACAAAGGGTACGCGAGCCTCAATCTCAGCATTAAACAGACACTGATCTTCTTGGTAGTCCTCAATGCAGTTCCAGACATCACAAAAGAAGGACTCCCACCATACGACTACATCGTCACCGTCACCAAGAACTGTCCTGATATCCCACCCACCCTCGAATCACTCATAGCTCCAGCCGTCACACCCGGCCACACAGTCATAGTCATGATCCAGAACGGCCTTAACATCGAAAAGGCAATGTTCGCTGCGTTCCCCACCAACATGGTCCTCTCCGGCGTCTCAATGATCGACTCCCACGAGGGCAGACTCGGCGAAATCCTCCACGAAGAACACGACTCCCTCTATCTAGGAGCTTTCCATAACCCTACCGTCAATGACCCCGAGAAGGAGATCGTTGCGGCCAAGGCGTTTATTGAAGTGTACAACAAAGCTGGGAAATCGACAGTCGAGTTTTCGGACAACGTCGGATTTGCCCGTTGGCGGAAGCTCATCTTTAATGCGGTGCTGAATCCGCTGTGTGCTATTCTTCGATTGGACGATGCGAGGATCCGGTTAGCGGGCTCGGCGATCGAGGGGCTTGTGAGGCCAGCTATGAAGGAGGTTTGGACTACAGCGAGGAAGTTGGGATATGAGCTACCCGAGGATATCATGGATAAGATGATCCATTGTGATCCTTTGGATCTATATCTGAAGCCGAGTATGCAGTGTGACATTGAGAAAGGGAATTATATGGAGTACGAGTATCTTGTTGGAGAGCCATTAAGGGAGGCTGAGAAGGCGGGGGTGGAGACACCCACTTTGAAGGTTATTTATGAGATTTGTAAGGCGTTGCAGTGGAGGATTATGGAGGAGAGGGGGTTGGTTACTGTGCCGCCTAAAAGGGTGCTTTGAGTTGATAGATTGGTATCGTTTCATTACCTGAATAGTATCACGCTCAAACAATTTTGACCGTCCGCAGTGGGATTTCCTCCTTTACAACATCCGCTTCCATTTTCACATTCCAAAGCGTTCCAATGCGCCTCCACAGCTCTTCGCCCTCTACAGAAGGAGCTTGAACCAACAGCATCAAGATCGTATCATCTGTGGTGGTGTACACCGATTTCCAGGACCGCATGACCATGGCGTATGCCTTGAACTTTTCAACACTGCCATGGAAATGGCGATCCACAGTTGATTTTCCAGCTACAAATATAGACCCGCCCAATGCTCTCTGGACGACTTCGCTCTGCTCTTCGTAGAGTGAAACCTCAAGGTTCGATTCAATAGTAAGGTTCACCTCGAAAGCCCAACTTTCCACCAGTAAGTAGCCGCCAGTAAGAATCGTGGATTGAAGGAATAGTAGATATATCGAGAATATTCATCTGCAAGCCAGCTTCAGCAAACTGGGGAGGGCGGTCCCCAAACCGTACAAGACCGCGGGCTGAGGGCCAGACCCTGAGGGGGAGAGATATTCGTCTTCGTCTTGATGTGCAATATCTTCCGTGTTAGGCGGATCACTAAGCAGTCGTCGCTAGCACAGATCATCCAATTTGAAGCATCCTATATTCGCGCTAAGTATGTTGTTTTTTTCTTGTCCTTGAATATGGATAGCTGCTCCACGCACAGATTCCACGCTGATATCAACTTGCTCAGCCTTAGGTTCGGACATGGCAATTTTCCTCAATGCCGTTCGGGGATGGTTGATCCCCAGCTACCATTGTAGACTGAAATCTACATTCACACGACAACAGCTCGTTGCAATGCCATACCCTTTCGTCGCTTGTAAATGTAACACACGTGGAGATAGAAGGTACTCTTGAAATGCCCATCCCCTTCCTTCGAGCGGGGGTACCTGTTCTGGATTTGTTGTGTCAGGGTACCCGTTGCGATGACGAGGTTGTCGCACCTGTATGAGACATTATGGTGCCTCAGGTTCTGGCTCGCCCGAGTGGCAGTTTCTAGCTGCGCTTGCTGCAATAGGCGTTACCATAGACTCGAGCCATTTGAGCAGCCTCCTTCTCCCAATCGGACTCTGAGTCTTGCATAAAGGATCGGTCCGGAAGAGGGACAGCGCACTTATTATAATGAAATATGAAATTTAATTTCTCGCTATATTTGTGCTAAAAAAGCGGCGAGTGGCTTCTTCCTTTGTAACGCGAGCCGGGCGTCACCGCATGTGCAACTCTTCTGCACGGGGCAAAAACCGTCAGAGATGCCGCACTTTGATTGATCATCTAATGCACGAGTGGGCTGAGAATCTGCCTGTGACGTCTCATAATAGCAAGATCCCGCCTTGGACAGCGATCTCAGGGATTGCTGTTCTGTGCTGACCACTAACGGGAGTGGAGAGTATATCTATACGCATGGCACCTGGTCGAATTATCCCAATGGAAGACAGAGAGCTTTCTCTTGTTACTGTATTATGAATTATGTATCTCATTGTGTGCAAGAGACGAGATATTGATCTTGCGGCCCAAATCGGATTATATTGTCTGCTAGTGCAATCGTATAGAGAACAGATCATGACACACTCTCTAGAACGCCTCGTCTCATAACTCTCATTTCTCTGTCTATGCATCAATTTCGGGATTGACTCTTGTGCTCCGAACCGCTGGATAATCTTCGCAGATGCCTTGCACGCTCGATCGATTGCCTTAACGATATCCCACTCTCCAGCTTTCTTCTGCGTGACGTATTCGAGGGTATAGTTAGCAACGAACGTGTCTCTGATGCGGACGAGTGCGTTAGCTGCCATGTTTCAAAAAAGGGATATTGAAGCAATCAATGAAGTAGAACCTACCCGGCTCCTGTTGCATCCTTGACATCAACGTTCTGTACGGCAGCGACCTCGCCCTCTTTCCCTTCCTTTGTGACATAGTAAGAACCCCTTGCACCAAGCGTAATGACAACATTCTTGACGCCCAATCTTATGAAATATTTCGCTGCCTTTTCCCAGGCTGCACGATCTTTCAACTCCTCGACATTGCAATCCGTTAGCTCCGCCGCCTCACTCTCATTCATCACAAGATGAGTCAAATTCTTGTATCCAGAGGAGGCAATAGTCGAAGCAGGAGAAGGATTCAGGATTGTATCCACGCCTTGCTTTCCTGCTGTCACTAGTAGCTTTCCGACTACTGGTGCTGGGATTCCCAGATGGCAAATGATGATGTCGGGCTTCTCTCCGCCAGCAAGACACAACACCGAGTTGTCATCGCGTGGCTTCCATCCCAAAATAGCACCCTGATATGCTAGATTCCTACTTTCACCACTGCTACGTTCCACCATAACCACACAAGTGCCGCTTGGCTCTCCGTCGGCCTTCAATACTCCCGACACATCAACACCAGTCTCTACCAGCCTTGTCTTGTCTTCAACTGCTTTCCAAATTCATCGCTTCCTACCTGACCATTCATAAAGACACGGACCTCTTGTTTGTTGCGATCGTCGACTGAGGAGCTGCTTGAACCTTCAGCAGCAACCCCTCTAGCAGGGCTACCTGACTTGAGATGACTAGCACGGTAGGCCGCTACGGCAGTGTTGGCACCCTTGCCCCCTGGAAAGTTGGCAAGAGAGTTGGTATCCATAGACTCGCCTGTGTATGGAATCCGGTCGGTCTCCATCACTATATCCATGTTCAGACCGCCACAGACCGCAAAAATAGAAGGGGCCATGGAGGAAGATGCTTTAGATCGCAGGCGCAGTTGTCTTTCGTCGGTTTGAGGGACCAAGTCTGCGAAAATGGCTGGATGTCTTGCTCTAGAAAGTGAAGAGGCTAAGAAGAATACGTATTGATTGCAAAATCTGGTGTTTTGTATTGGGAGCACGAGGCTGCATGAAAACGCACTATAGTACGGCAAAACCAACCGACCTTTTTTTTTTCAAACATGGAAATCTAAGAATGCTACCCCTTTATTGTACCACCACAACGCCTTAAATAAAGAATCTAAATTAGTAAATAGTGCAGTGTTGATTCTGCAAACCGAAACTCATGGCTTCAACTTTTCTCTAAATGGCTGTCTCGAAAGTCTGGCCAGAATACTAAACAGTTGGTGTCACATGATAAGAGGAAGTGAGTCCTGATACCTAGGTAGCTAGCCAAAGCTTAAGGCAGGGCTTACGATCTATACTCTATGGAATCGGCTTGGTATAGTACAGTGTCTAGTCTAAATATCTGACATCTACCACAATTGGACATAAGTCCAGAATCGTCGAATTACTGATCGACTGTAGTACTCATTCAACATATCAATCTCCTCTTTACCTAGTGTTCTCCTGCCACTCTTGAGATCCGCTGTCTTGGGATCGCGGATCTTGGTTTTGTAAATGATCTTGTACGCAATGGTGAATGAGAGAACAATCACCACACCAATCATGTACTCAAAGAAGTAATATACGGATGGAGTGTCGACACCCTAGGGAAGTTAGATACTGTTGACCATTGGGTGGGTGTAAAGCCTTACAATAGGATATAGTCCGATGTAGATACAAGACACTAACAGAACAGTACTGCCGGAGAACAACCAGATAGGAGGAAGAGGCCAGCACCAAGTCCTGTAGGCATAGACTTCAGTGAAGAGCTGGTCATTCTGTGCTTTGAGAGCAGCTCGAAAGCGCCAAGATGTGATGCAGATCACGAACCATACGATGAAGAAGGAAGATGAAGTGATCGAAACAAGCCAAGTAAAGACTGTAGTTCCAGTTGCTGTGATAACTTAGTAATTGAAGATCAGCCACGATGCGGGAAGGAGCTTACCACTCAGATTCATATAGGTGAGAATTACAGCAACCGTACCCGTAATAGCAACAGCCCATCTCGGTCGTCCAGTGGAGTCAACCCTTGAGATGAACTTCGGGATAAGGCCCTGTGCAGACATGGCTCTCAAGATTCGAGACGAGATGTAGATTGACTCGACGGCGATGGCGACTATACCAATCATAATAACAACATTGAGAAAATCAGGTAAGCCCTTGATGCCAGCGTGGTCCAATGCGATCACAAATGGTGAAGCAGCAGTGTCAGACCCTCCAAATAATCGAGGATCGGTCTCAGGGACGAGGATTGAGATGAACACAATGGAGAGCATGAATGTGACTGAGACTCGGATTGGGACCAGTTTCGTAGCATGTGCCATGGAGTATCGCGGGGATTGAGCTTCTCCTCCCATGATTCCGGTGAAGATTTGATCTCTGAATTACAGATTAGCACATGGTCCATAGAGAGCATAAAATCACTTACCCCATAGCCCAAATACCAAGCAAAGCACTGTTTGCAAATCCCTTAAATCCGTTCAAAAAGACGGGGTAATCTCGCCAAGTTTCTCCAGTATGCCTCTGGCCAGTTGGGCCAGCTCCCATAATCATTGCAAAGCCAGCCAAGATGAAGATGATCAATGCGAGAATCTTGAGTACTGATGCAAAATATTCGAAGTAGCCCCACCACTTATTGGATAGTAGAAAGATGCAACCACAGAAGACTAAAAAGATTGACACTTCGTATTATTAGCACGTGGGCTGAAGGATAGGCAGATAATCACTTACACCACACAGCTTCGTGGACTTTGTCATCAGCCCAGTAATTAATGATGACAGAGAAGAAAGTCGCTTCTGAAGCAACAACAGCAGTCCAGCCTACAGCGTATCAGTTTTTGGATTGACGAGTCATTGGAGAGGTGCGTACCAAGCCATTCAGCGAATCCGGCGCCAAATGCCAAAGCGGGGTCAACAAATCGATCAGCATAGTCGATGAAGTTTCCAGAAACCGGGAATGCGATAGTCATTTCAGAAAGAGTTTGGAGTGCAGCCCAGACACACGCTAGAACCATTTTTAGCAGAGATAGTGATTCTGGACCGTTACGGGATACTGACTGCAAACCATGCCGTAACCCAACACCAAACTGCCAGGACCACCTATATCGGAGCATCAGTGTTCAAGCACACATGTCGTAGATCTTAGATGTAGACATACCACTTCTCAATGCTTTTCCAGTTGCAATGAAAAGACCGCTACCAATCTGAGAGCCGAGGGAGATGATCTGTATCACAGATTAGCAACGATTCCGAGGCCCGAAATGTTTTGTCACTTACATGAATCAATCTCCTCGACAAGTTGCGCCTCAATTCGCCATTTCCATGACGTTCATCCTCGCACTCGACCACACAAATCTCTCCCTCATGCTCACTGGGTGTGAGCGAATTCGTCTGAGGTGAAATACCTTTCTCTGACTTCTCCATCATGATAAAATGAACCGATCGTCAGGTACGGAATACAAACAAAAAGAAACCGCATGGGACAGCAATTCTTATATGCATGGCCCATGTAGATGTCATACTTCAGTTGAAAGTACCAAGAACACATCCTCGCTATCTTTTTCTCTTGACTACGGTGGCTTGGACCATGGCCATTACCACACTTGTGGGTCGGGATATCCTTCTGCATACGTCGAATCACATAGCTTATCATCTCCTAGCCATGATTGCCATTCAATTAGACAGTTTTATGGGCCAAGCGATAAGAATCCCAAAAGACTTGACTGATAAATTGGTGGCGTTGAACCAGAAGAAGAGAAACAACTTATCAATAGGACTCAATTGGTAAAACCTAAATCAAAAGCCTAGGCCAGCCTGGTACAGTCTTGAAAGTAACACAAACATGTATTTGTTTGATCAAAATGAGTTTGAGGTAATTCCGCACTTCCAGCTAACCGACGCGGCCCGTCTGCTCTCATCCCACTTTTGGAGGCAGCGGAATGGCGAAGGCTACAGGGCCAAAGATGGCTGATGTTCTTATCAAGGTCCACAAAACCCCAAAGACCTTGTGAGTTGCAACGCTCAACCTAGGAGCCGGTGAATAGAGAGTTGCTGGGAAATGCCTTGGAGCCCATAGGTCACCCGGAAGAGTGGAACCCAGTGCCGTCGAGAGTGGGACTTCCTGAAATGATCTTGCCCGGTATATTCGGACCTGCTGAATCTTCGATTCTCCAAATACGTGCTTCAAATCGTCGTCGCCTGCCTCTTTCCCTGTTTGTTGATGGTTGATGTTGATGTAAGGTAGGAAAACCTGGACTGTGGTAAAGGAAAGCAGCGCTTACCTAAGCATCCCAACCGCAAATGCCTCCGTCAAGTTCATCGAAGAGGCCTCGACCGATCCGCCGTGCTGAACGCAAGCTATCTGCTGTGCAACCTCGACCAAGAACGCACGCATTTACAGGATGCCTTACCTGTCGAGAGCGGCATGTGAAATGCGACCTGGGGCAGCCAACATGCCAGAATTGTGCGAGATTAAAGGTTGCATGCGAGGGGTATGCGCGGAAATATTCGTGGATGCCTCCCAAGATTCCAGGCCAGAAGAGACGACTCTCAGGTCCAGATCCTATCGAAGAAGTAGAAGAAAGTCAGAGCAGTCGTAGAGTACTATTCTCAGGTGGGTGCCGAGACTTGCAGTATAGCATGGAGACTGATTTAGCAAAGATGAAGAGAGAGAGGCCATGATCATTCAAATGAGAGACGAATGCTGTTCGGTTTCTTCCAATCTTGGCCTTGATGGAGTGCTTCGAGAATTACAAGACCGGATTCCTGGAAACCAATTTTTGAGGATTGGTCCTTTCGGAATTCTTCCCCTAAATAACGAGTCTCCCAAAACAGAGTCGCCATCCGATGATGCTCACGATGTTGAGTTAGTAGCGAGAATCAAGACGCCCGAGTTGAATTTGTCGCTGTCTCAATTCTCTTGGGGTGACATCGATGACCTTCAGACATGGGATGCATTAGAGACTGAATCCGCCACGGCACTTGTGAACTTGAGATTCACACCGGACAAAGATCTGTGCAGCGCGGACACCCCATCTCAGTGGTTAATATCAAGATCGACATCAGCAGTTCATTTGAATTATCAAAGCAATGAGCAAGAACTCGAATCGGAGCTGCATATTCAAAACCTCATGACGAGCAATGGTAATTGCCATAGTCTCCATCATTATTCTATCTGCTGACACTCAAAGGAACAGAGAAAGATACAGAGACTGAAGACGTGGAACTATCTTTAACCTCTTGGCAAAATCTGCCCTCCATCATCACCATGTCCAATGAAGAAAATATGTCCAAAATTCCGTCCGAGGCTCGTTTGTTGCTGGACTACTATTCCACAAAAATTATTGATCTCATGTCAATGTCACCTAGACAGAAGCCTCCTTGGAAAACAATCCATTTACCATGTGCTATGAGCGCTCTTGCCGAGCTGATTGTGTACGGTGAAACCAGAACTTTCGCGAAGATGGCACTTTTCTATGCACTTCTCTCAATCAGCTCCTTTCAAATTGGTCTTGGCACCAAACACTGCACCGAGACTGGTCGCTACTGGCTTGAGAGAGGTAATTACCATAAGAAGAAATCCGAAAAGTATCTTCGATCTGCTCTGGATACGAGCATGTCGAAGTCATCTCGCGGAAAGTACAAAGAAATACTGATGACTACTCTTAGTATGGTCACTATTGGTGTAAGTGTTCTCAACGTCCTGAAATTCAAAACTGATCATCTGGCAGGTCTTCAGTGGAAATATGCAAGATGTCCACATATACTTGGCTGAGAGCGAAAGTCTGATTCGTACCGAAGGATTACCGAAGCCTGTGAAGTCGCAAAAAGTTTCCAAACTGCACCATATATTTTCATTTCTCAAAATCATTCATGAAAGCACTTCACTGAGGGGTACGAAACAAACAGCAGTCAGCAATAGCGACCCTTGGGCGAAAAATAGTACAGACAATCTGGCAGAATCGAACGATTTTGCGCAATCGGCAAGCTCCAGACTTGCTTGGGTCCAGGAAGATGAGACTGAAGATCCGGAGGACGCACTTTTCGTTTCAATATACCAGCTTCCTACCACGTTGCTATCTCTACTCTCACAAACATCGTCACTATGCAAGCAGCTAATGTCTCCGGAATCATCGACTCCTGAATTCGCCCGCAGGTGCCAGCTCATTGAAGACAGGATATTCAGATGGAAAGCTCCAGCAAACCTCAGCTTGAAGAATTATTTTAGCAGTACCAATTCAGCCGACATGTGTTCACCTGATGCTGCAGCAGAAGAGATAGCTGCGCATCTCGTCAACGCTACTTACCAAGCTCTGATCGTCCATTTCCAGAGGCAGATCCGCAACACAAATCCTCGAGTCCTGCAACACTATGTGATCAGCGCCGCAGACCATCTTCTGGCACACGAGCAACTGAAGCAAAGTCTCAAAATTGCCACTGCACCATTTCCGTGGCCTGGATTTATTGTTGGATGTGAGGCATACGACTTTGCTGCTCGACAGAAAATGGACATGTATCTCAAGCTTGTTCGCTACTACAACGTGGGAAGTCTTGTTGAAGCGGAGAAAGTGGTTTACGAGGTCTGGAGACGACAAGACTCGGGTCAACTTGATAACCACTGGGGGGACGTTTTGAAGGATTGGGGTATGGAAGTTGTCCTGACTTAAAATTTGCCATTTTCGAAACACCATCAGAGCAAAAGCGTCTTCCCAAGCCCACTCTTCTTTCAGAAGTGCTTTCTCCATAGCCAGGTCAGCTGACTGCCCACTATGTTGTGGGTCTTCCAGAAAGGAAGGAGACCGCGAGTGTAAACTGTCCTAGAGATTCTACTAACGGCCAATGATATCTGCCATCCTCTACCATATTACCTTCCTGGTCCCATCTTCAGCAGATACCAATCCCTCCCGATCGAATTGTCCACTATGTCAGCTTCAGCCACTCAGATTCAGACTGCCCAGCAGCCGCAGGAGAAGCTGAAACTATCCAATAGCCCACCGGGACGAACTTTAACAGCTGCGCAGGAAGCAATTTCTGCTGGAGGATATACTTTGCCAGGCCTGCCCACATTCTCGAATTTCGAAAGTCATCGACAATGGATCCGAGAACACATGGCGGCCGCCTTCAGGTCAATGGGCAGACAGGGCCTGGCAGAAGGACTTGCAGGTCACATCTCTGTCAGGGATCCAGAGCATAGTGACAGATTTTGGATGAATCCGTAAGTGATTATTGAGCTAGTGGCTTGCCAAGCAAGAGCTAACGTCTCTTGGTAGACTTGGTGTTCATTTCTCAATGATGAAGGCATCTGATATGGTGCTCGTTGACTACAAAGGCAATGTGGTCGGAGGGAATAAGGTGCGCGAGGAGTGAAGTTTTTCTAATGTCCAAGACTAACGTACTCAGGTTGCTGTCAATGCGGCTGGCTTTCAAATCCATTCCGCAGTCCACCGTGCTCGCCCTGACGTCGATGCTGCTTGTCATGATCATGGAATATCTGGTCGGGCCTGGTCTGCATTTGGAAAGCCCTTGGATATGCTTTGTCAAGACTCTTGTGTCTTCTATGACGCACATTCAGTATACAACAACTTTGGCGGAGTAGTATTCGAAGGCGAGGAGGCAGAACGCTTGGCGCATAGCGTTGCTGGAAAGAACAAAGCTGTGATATTACAGAATCACGGGCTGTTGACAGTCGGAGAGACAGTTGACGAAGCGACGTACTTGTTCCAATTGATGGAAAGGTTGTGCGAAATTCAGTTGAAGGTGGAGGCAGCAGCTGCGCCTGGAAACTTGGAGAAAGTATTTGTCAAAGAGGACGCAGCAAAGTACACTTTCGAAATGGCGCAAGATCCTGTGAGTTCTCATATTCAAGAGTAGCGTGATGAGAGCTGACATGCGACAGTTGACTTTGTATCAAGAATTCCAGCCTACATTCAAGTATGAGTTGTGGAAGAGTAAAGGCGAGTTGAAAGGATAGTTTGCTAAATTAAAATGCCGTTTCTCTGTTGTTCCGGTCTAATAATGCCTTCGGTCGTCGCGATACCGATGTCCAGGCATTTCTGATATTGTATTTCCAAAATTCTCCTGCCCAGCTATCACTTCAAGAGGCTGGACCTACATAGCAAGCTTGCTATGCGTAGATACTTCTTCATCCTGAAGCGCAATGCTATCTGCTATCCAATTTCCATATTGCCTCCTTTCTTCTCGTTTTAAGAACAAAAACATCAAATGCCAAAAACGCCAAAGGGATATGCAAGTGAAATGCCATTCGCGATCAAGGACAGCCAATCATTATCAGACTGAGAAAATAATCTTTGGGGGCGAGAACGAGAGATCAGTGCAAGGACTAACGCTGAAATTGTGCATGTATTCGATTCCAAGACCCCCACTCTCCCGAAACTTGATACAAGCAAGGCATGAGGCGCGCGCATCGATCAATCTAGCTCATAAATGTAGCAACTTCAGCTCGCAATCAGACATCTCCGTGTTGATTAGTTCGACACCATTGACCTTGGCTTATAAAAGTGGCTTAGTCGGATCTCCGACGAAAGAATCGAGCTTCTTCTGACTATAGACATCTCCTTCGACGAGTTTCTCAAAGGCCTATAGAGTTATTAGTGATTATGCGCAGTAATTTTGGAGAGTCTTACCCCGTCACCAGTGACCTTGATCAGTGTAGGCAGATTCGTCACAGAAAATGGTGCTTGTCTCCAAGGATTGTCACTATTTCTCCACCTATATATGTTATCAGTCTCTTTTCTCACAGACGTCATCCGGGACAGGATCTAAAGAGCTGATGGGATATTGACACTTACTCATCTCTCTGTCCAGCGTATGCAACTTTCACCTCCTCGGCTCCACTAGCGAATTTTGAGTTGACGAATGATTCTGCTTCACGACAGTCGCCACACCATGATCTTCCGTTCGTCAGTGAGGCGTAGACCACGAGAAACGATGATTTGGTGGGTGTCGCGGTGGACTTTAGCCATGCTGCAACAGCGGCTGGGGCTTCGTTGGTGACTGTGAGGGGCATGGCGGGGTAAATGGTGGGGTGATTTGCAGGTTCTTGGGCACAGTTTATGCTGGTTGCAAAGTTGAAGGACGAAATTTGAGGATCTGAGGAATCTTTATGTATTCATCGACGATAGATTTGTAAAGATGATCGAAGATAAATCTGGAACCTTTCTTTGATTAGTTTGGTGGCGTGCGAGGGGAAGAAAATTTAAAATCTCGCTTGAAGGGGCAGTCACGTGTAAATGTCTCAATATAGGGGAGGGGAGGCGAGAGTAAACGTACACACAAAGGATGCTGAGTTTTATCCTCTGCTCTTCTTTCAGCATGTATTTCTAGATGAGACATCTATCGCAGTTCGTGAAGCTGGAGGCACCCACGAGACTCCGCACGAAAATTCTTCGATCCATTGCCGAAGCATGTGGATGAAATTTTGAATTTGTCCTAGATGACTAAATTGAATTTCAGTGCTCATTCTATTAAATATTATGTGAAACTAATAATCAAATAGCATTGGGAAAGCGATCAATGGGATGCGCTTTGCATCTCGGCAGCATAGCGTCAATGGCCCGTTGTTCTTGCTTAGGCGGCACCGCTTTCTTTCCACACGCCTGTCCTCTCCTTGGACCTCTCTGCAATACCGCCCTACAGGTACATGCATACAAAGTGACATCCCTAGGTTCTGGAACCAGAAAGTCCGCCCAATTATCAATAGGCGCAACTTCAATAGCTGCTAGATATCCATCAATGGCAATATCTTTCAGCCTGATTAGCTCAGGCCGATGAGTCCGATTTGAGTATAGACATTCGAAAATCGTATCTTTCAGAGTCTTGCTGTATGCATACTCTGGTGCGTCTAAGTTCTTCCCATAGGTATTACCTTTAGGAACAGCCCCGTTGAGCATACGCTCTGGAAGGAAGGGCTCGGATGCTTTTGGTGGCCTTCGGGCAAGCATTGCTAGTTGCCACATAACGCATCCAATGCCCCCTAAAAGTTTCGAGTCAGTAAATATTTATGTGAAGAAGTACAGTGAGAGATTGAAACTTACAAACGTTGGTGCGCCAGTCGTAATTCCCAACTGTTGGATCATTTTCGTACCCCTTGTAGTCCCATCCTGCTGTAAATTGCTCCTAGTCCTCATATCAGCAAAGTTCCAGAAAAGTCTGAAAGATCATTGACTCACAGGAGCGTAGTAAGGATTTGTTCCATAAGTCCTCATCTTCTCGCATTGATCGGCATACAATTGTCCCGACCTTCCTCTTGGCATTTGTCTACTTATCCCAAAATCTCCCATTTTGAAGACGGGAGTATAGGGGTGGTCTGGCTCGCTTTTATTACCGAGGAAGATGTTGTCTGGTTTTATATCAAAGTGAACTACGGGTACCCAATCTTCTCTCTCTTCATCCGAGATTGGAGAAACAATAGTACCATTGACCATATCTTCGAGGAACTCTCCTCCCGCGTATTCCATAGCCGTACATCCATCTATCAGACAATCAAAAAACAGCCACAGGGTAGCTTCTGAAAAGAATTTCTGTCTGAAATCAACCGGTCATCAGTAAAGTTCTATGCATGGAAATTTTGCAGATCTTACTCATCTATTCTTTTATTCAATAACTGCTGAGCAGAGCCCAATGGCCCGGTCTCCAAGTATAACCTCCTTGTCACGCCGTCCCACTCAGGTCCAAGACCTTCGTCACTTGCCATGATGGGTGATGAAGAGGCTTCCAGTCCGATGATATGCGCTGAGCCTCTTACCGAAAGAATCGTTGAGAAATCTCCCTCACCCTTAAGGTCAAGCTTCCCGGGGTTCTCATTGATCTCTGACAGCTCCTTGACCACTAGACTACGTCCTGTCTCTGCATGTTCAAAAACAGCTAGTTGGGCCGTACCCTCTCCCAGATATTTTGTACCTTTCCATCCCGGACCCAGATCGTGGAATTCGCGCGCCATGTACTCCAGCTGCTCCTCTGTATAAGGCAAAGTGATTGGTGGCCTCGCTTCTCGAATTGGGTTTGCGAATGGAACAAAAACAGGAGGCGGAAGATCATCAAGTTCGACGCCATCCCATACTGCTGTGCGATAGTACGTGTTTGCTTCGGCCATAGTGAATTCCGGCTCCCCACGGTACCTCCGGAAAAAATTTATCTTATCGAGTTTTGGCGGCATTTTGGCGATTGGTATGAGGACAACAAGATGGACAATCTCTTGTCAGCGAAAGTATAGCAATGATTATAACATATGCATTGTTCGGGTTTCAAGGAATTAAATATGCTGTGTTTGGGATTCTCTTTGTTGCAACTTGTGGCCGCTTTCACTGAAAGGTCACACAAAGTAAAAGGTTCGAGCGCAAACATCGACCTCACCATTGTTTGCATTCTTTACGGCTAAATTAAAAAATTGACTGAAGCTTTTCCATTATGCTAGCATAACAATGTCGTTCTCTGATTGAGTGTACAGTAATGAAATATAGGAACAGCCGCTAAGCGAGCCCCCTGAATTTAGCGAAGGTCACTAAAAGTGACCGATCTCGATTTTGGGCCAAACGTCAAGTTTCTCCATTGCGTTTCTAATGAAATGCTCTCATATGAAAGTACTTATGAATATAATTAAGTTTAGATAGCTACAAAATAATCACATTTTCAGCCGTTGATATTTTTGATGCGGGGTAACGAGTGCGGGGTCATATGATCGCTAAATAAGCCCAAGATTCAGGAATGTCGGCCTACAAAAACCAGGAATGAGGATGGTTTCGCGGAGAACTTGATTGTTTGTCACAAGTATATACATGAAAATCATAATGAACAACAACTGCTACATCAACAAAAAGACATTTAGACAATGGTGATTTTGAGTATAATCGCTACTGTGTGCAATTTATCCCAGTAAAGTGCTGTAGGGCGTGATACTAGGGAAGAAAGATGCAGGAATAGTTGGAATGGCGATACTGGCTGTGATGCCCAAACCCGATGAGAGTTCTCCAGCCATAGTCGTATATGTATAGTCGCTAGACACAAGTCAGCGTTTTTTCTCGTCATTGGAAATCCAACTCTTACCTCATAGTGGTGACAGTGTAGGTGGTTGTGTAGGTCGAATACGATGTTCCATCGTTCAAGCACGGTCCGGACCCATACGCATTCTCACATTTGTAAAGCTCTTCATCCCCAGACTCGGTCCAGATGTAAAAGGCATCTATGGTAATGTCGTAACATGGAACTTCAGATGGACACAAGACTTGAATTGGTGCACGATTTTCACCATCTGCGCACGTGCCGTGCCAGTGCTCAAAAGACAAGTCATAATACTCAACGCCGTCTCCAGCGGCTAAAGTCTCATCGGTCCAGTATGCATTGACATCGAGGGTGTAAGCGTTGGTGTGGCCCATGAAGTTATTGAATGCGCAATTATAGACTGATCCGCTGCCGCCATTGCTCTTGATCATGAACATTTGGTTGCAGTTCTGGGAATAAATGTGATTGTATTCCACGTTGAAGATGGCTGGAAGAACTTAGCAGGACGCTCATTCCATGGAGGATTTATTACCTGTATCTGCACCCAGTGACCCGATTGCGCATCCACCGGACCAGTTGCAAAAGATATTTTCTACCATGATGTAACTTGCGGGACTCTGAGAAGGGGTTAGAAAGCTCCAAAAGCAATATTAGGATTCGCTTCTCACCTTGACAGTGACGCATTCATCCTTGTTTGTTACTTCAACATCATGAACCCAGATATTAGTTCCCCAGACATCGATGCCATCCAGGCCACCTTCGTTACCACCACGGATGACCATATTGTATACTTCACCATTGGTGCAAGTGTCAAAAGTCAAGTGGTATTGCGGCGCTGTTATGAAGTTAGCTGATATGAAAAGACGAGGCATAAGCGCTCCTACAGTCAACGAGGACGAAGTCATGAACCGAGAAGTCAGTGACTTCGTACAAACGAAGAATGCGAGGTCTATGCAAGCAATTAGATCCTGAAGAATATAAGACAAGGAATTCTACTCACCCATACGTTCCGTCTACGGTTGAACTTAGCAACAGCCTCTATTGTCAAAATGCGTGTAGCACTCACCAGTGGCAAATTCATAGCCGTAGCCCTGAATAGCACCTGCGGAGGTTCCACTATAGAATTCAAAGTCCTTGGTGTTCTCGATGTAAATCATATTCCCGCTCGCCGTTCTACGTCGATCAGCCATCGTCCTCAGACGAGGTTGTTTGTCACTTACCCGGTCCGGTAAATGATGCCCTCAAGATTGATCGAGATGGCACTTCCTCCAGAGAGAGTGATCCAAGTTCCTAGGCCATATTTGCCAGACGGAATATAGACTTTCTGATGTCAGTACATATATGAATGTAAGGCCTATAGTTAACCTAACCTTCTCCGCCATCAACACAAGCTGCCCATGCAGAGGTGATGGCGGCAGAATTATCAGTGGTAGCTGATGCAACGCCACCATAGTCTAGAATATTGCAGACTTTCGTAGCAGCTTTCTCAGCTCTAGTCGTGAGAGGACCAACAGTACCGGAGAGTTGTGCATTGGCTAGGAAGGGAAGTGCCAAGGCAGCGTAGACAATGGAAATAATAATAGTCTTCATCTTGAAGTAGAGCTCAATCCAATAGACGCACAAGGAGGAAATACGAGTGTGGGAAATGTCTTATAAGATTGATGGCGTGAAGCTGCGACAACAGACTTCGCGTTATCGGGATAACGATCAACCGTCATGGTGCTCGGGGTAATCTTCCATTTCGTGGTAATGCAACACCATTTTTACTTTCTCGCTCGAAGGTGGTTGCAAATCCACGAATGGTGTGATTTTGCATACTTATTGATCTCTCTCGAATCTTTTCTTCGCTCCTTTTCTTCGGCGAACGACCATCTTGGCATGTCCTCCGCATGCCTGCATCGCATCCACTTATTTCCGGAATTGGATCCCTCAAAGATTCCGTTTCGTTGAACTGATCCTTTGAAGTAGTGCTCCTAAGCAAACGAACAAGAGTGACAAACATTTCTGATGTCAAAGCAAGCCACGCTCTTTAGGCGGGAAACAGAGTCGAGTCTCTTGGTCGCAGCTAATGAGAAAGTCTTCGCGATGTTCCACTGGAGGCCGCACACTTGATGTACTGTAGGTGGAGAAACTCCAATCTTTTAATGGATCAAAGGAAATTTGCCGCGTGTTTCGGCATCGCAATTCCAATCTTGAGCCAATGAATTGCACTTACCCCACATTCCTCCATTGTTCCCTGCACTTAATCGCCAAGCTTTTCTCCGTTATAATTCTTCCGTTGCTGGGTCATGCTGCAGATCAGATCATTAGAAAGCTTCTCGAAGATAGGGTCTGGGACTTTATGCTTGACTCTTAAGCGTAATTCCAGTGGCATTTGAGTGTCGATGGTGGAAGATGGAGAAAGGCACGTGATTCGTTGAATGCGGGCTCTTACCTAGGTACGTATCTCTGGACTACCAATAGATATCAGAAGATAGACAGCTGGGAGAGCGATTCTGGCGTTCGGAATAAACGCGCAAAGCATAATGATTGCAAACAGTCTTTAGAAATGCACAGCTAATACATAAATAGATTTCAACCGGAGCAGGCTAGGCAAGGTACATTGAAGAGTTTGTTGGAGAACTTCCATTGAAATTTTAGAAGGTGCTAAGCTAGCTCCAAGACGGGGGTACAGATGTATAAGAAGCCTTCCTCCTCCTTACAGCGCAGCCATGAGTCCCAAAACACCAAAGAGACCCGCAAAGCTCAAAGAAACGCCCCCATTCAGCGGAGCAGCCGCAGAAGATCCTTTCGACGAAGCAGCAGTTCCAGTCGTAGAGGAAGTCGAACTTGATTCTGAATCAGAGGATTTCGTAGCCGCACCAGTGGCACTCGTTCCAGTCGTCTTTCCATTTCCGGTTGACTTTGGTGTCGTGGAAACTCCACCACATGTGCCTGTTGGTGTGTAAGGCGTATAAGAATATGTATAAGAAGAATAGGTGCCCGTGATCGACGTATCCACACTGTAGCTGGTCGAATGAGCCGCATCCCAACTCGACAAGGCGATTTTATAGCTGGTAAGCGCGGATGTTACGTATGCTGGAGCGGTCGCAAGATAGCCTGGTGTGGTGGTTGGGATGGCACATGCGTCTGTGAATGAGGCTGCGTATACAGAGCCAGCAGACACGAGGTATGAGTTTACAGATGCGGGAAGAGTAGGCATTCCGGATAGGGCAGCATCGAGAGAAGAGAGGGAGGCAAGTTCGGAGCTCAACGCTGGATCGCCTGTTGGGAAGCTGGCGGTCGTTACTTGCGGTGCTGGTATTGGGTCGGCAAGCACGCAGGCTGTGAGGCTGAGAATAGCGACGTTTCTTGCGAACATATTTGCTATATTTTAAACTGAATGTCGACGTTTTCGAGGATTTCTTAGGAAGAGGGTTGAAGGTGGAAAACAGGAAGAAATCGACAAAAATGTTATAGAGTGCGGCCAAAACTACAATTATGAAGGAAATCAAATCTGCCTTGCCACAGCAGAAAATTACAATTCAAGCCACGGCGTGGAGGAAAGCTTGCCATGTGTGAACTCCTTTTGTATTTTTGGCAGCCACTAAGTGATATCGGGACGGGAAGGAGGTTAGCGAGATCAGGGGCTTATGCGAGGCGTCGGGGCTGAGATATGGTTCGTCAAGTATCAGACGAATTTTGTGATCTGGGACGGGCCAGATTGTGAAACTTCAATATTAAATGAGACAAGATCAGGCAACAAACACTTTTGGCGTTCGAGCTGAAAATGGAGAAGAAAAAGGAATAACGTCGACTTTCAAATTTCAACCCTGAGACGATTTTGAGAAGTAAATTTGTAGAACCATGAATTGATGTTTGCTATGAAGAAAAATGGGAAGCGATGCTTTGGAAATCCAATGAATTGTATGGAGATGCGCCACTGCCGGTTCATTTCCCGAAAAAGACGAATCGATACCGCCACAACGTTGCAACAAATACTTCCAGCGAAACAAGAGTGCAAGCAACTTCTTATGCATCCGGCCCGATTGATCAAGCAATACTTCAAAGGCATTGCCCCCCAATCACCAAAGGTTTACCCCAATATACCAAGTGTGCAGCATTGATGCCCGTTCCATTTTGACCACCACAGCATTCTGTCGTCTCGGCACCACAGATGTAACTGGTATTCGTCCCTGTTGGATCAGTATTCCAATATTCGAGGCCATGATGAACATAGCCGAGATCCAGTGGTGGCAAGTTCGGAACACCGTCATTTGCGTGCGTGCAGCGAAAGAATCGAGTTGTTTCTGAGCTATTGGTCTGAAAATGGGTGTCTATATATGATGCAAATGCTGCGTTGCCTGTGCGTGGTTCGCCCATCGTGTAGACAGTCATGTTCTCATATGTCGAAGAGAATTGTGCAGCTGCGAGAGCGGCTAAGGAGCCACCCAGACTAAATACCCATGTCAGTGAAGCCTTTTGAAATTTGAACTATATATCTACCTATGTCCGGTGATCACAACCCCGTAATCGGGATATTGAGAAGTTTGCGACTCGAGTAAACTCTGAACATCGTCCACGACCGATTCCCAGAGCAGGTAATAACCGCCGTGGACTTGACAGTTCGTGCAACTTGGCATGGTATCGAAATCGGCCAAGGTGTAGTTCATATCGGACTCATAGTTTTGTACACTTTCAGTGCCGCGGAAGGCGACCACGATCTCTTGAGCAGCATCGTCTCGAAGTATCCATCCATGAACATCTGTTTCGCTGTTGGTGATGTCGGTTACTTTAGTGAGTCCACCGGGAGAGAGGCAGAGATCGCCATCGTATGTTGCCATGCATATGGAAGCATAATGAATGAAGGTGTCGAGTAGTGCTGTGGATATTCCCTGGGTCTGCGTGGATGCTGGTGCAGCTACTATAAGCAAAAAGCAAATGGTTGCGATGAATGATTGCATAATAGCTGTGGGATAAAACGCTCTCGAATGACAACGCCACTGCAACCAGTCAATGTGGCAACGCAAACTCGATGCCATTTATATAAAGGCCAACGACCTCGAGCTTTAATTACGTTCATCTTTAATCTCGCTAGAGCAACTGCCGACGACACAAGTTCGAGGGAATGCAGACAAACCTGCTGCTGAAAAGTGCCAGACTCCTCATTTAGACATCACAAGCTTTCTAGAAACCGAGGCTTCAAAGAGTGAACTAGGCACTAAATAACAGATGAAATCTCGGTAGGAGCAATGATAGGTTTAATACACACTACACTCAAGGCACCAATGACGAATCATCAAGTCGGTAGTGCGAAGACTCGGTGTTTCGTTCCATTTCTGGCGTTTTGATGCGAACAGATGGAGGATCCTTGTCAATGATCGTCAACCCCGCAATTCTCCCCTGACCGGTATTGACACGTGAATTGAACTAAATCCAGAAATTTCCTGAAGTACTTTCGTAGTCAAAAGGGGTTCGTTTGCTGGAATGCAGTAAGACTCCACTTGAAATATAAAAGCAGAATTTGACATCACAGCATCGGAGGGCAAACGACACCTGGAACTCGCCAGTTATCATGTTGACATAGGTGCTCATAGACTTGTCTCCCTTCTTCATAATTTTTGTTCGAACACAAGTTCAAATTGTATCTCTCAAAAACAAAATCGTGGCACAGCTCGCCTCTTTGTAAGAAAGGTGAAGAGTCGGATGAAATTAGAGACGCTCCGGGAACTTATTTAGCTTCTCCGAAGATTCCCTGGAGTTCGCTAATATGACCACGGGAAATGCTACAGAGACTGGAGTTAAGCGCCGTTCACCAACTCCTTTTACTTACTCCGGATGAAGGATTTGGATACCAACATGGTGATTGTTAATCATTGTTCTGAGGCTTACTTGCTGGAAGTATATAAGTTCTGAGTAGATTTCAAGTCTGCTTCTTCTCCAGCTTCAAGATTCCCTTTTACTTGCCGACTCGATTTACTGCAGCAATGACGCACATCCAGAACATCGCTATCATGGGCGCAACAGGCAACCTTGGCTCTTTAGTAGTCAAGCACCTGCTTCAGTCACACAAAAAATTCAACATCACAGCGATCACCCGCTCAGACTCCACATCCACCCTCCCAGACCATCCCTCATTGATTGTCAAGAAAGGCGATTATTCGTCTCCAGAGTTCCTAGCCTCGGCATTCGCCGGCCAAGAAGCTGTCATCTTCACTTTATACCATACTGCTGTCCCCGAACAAGAAGTAAAATATATCGAAGCAGCCGCTGCTGCTGGTGTGAAATGGATCCTGCCGGTCGAGTTTGGAGGCGACAATGCGCATCCTCACATGTCGACTTTCGTCCCAGTTCACGCTAAGAAGACAGCTCCCAGGAAGAGGATCGAAGAACTGTCCAAGACTCACGAGGGTCTAAAATGGATTGGCGTCGTGACGAATCCTTGGTTTGACTTTGTGAGTCCGTTGCGATGAAAGAATGACCGAATAGCTGACGTAAATAGGCAATGGAACGATCCATGTGGGGCATCGATATCAAGAACAGGACAGCGAATTTAATGACCGGAAACACGGGCAGATTCAACACCACGAACCTGGATACTGTCGCTCTAGCCACTGCTCGTATTTTCAATCTGCCAATCCAGGACGACCACGGTCCTTCACTTGATATCTTCGGAAATCGATTTGTGTATGTAAGCTCGTTCCATGTGACGCAGCAAGAGATATTCTCTGCGGTTCAGCGGGTGACAGGGACGACTGATGCTGACTGGAAGATCACTCGTACGGATCTTCAAACCTGGATCGATGAAGGCGCGGAGAAGCTTTCGAAGGGCCAATTTATGGGAATGGTGAATCTTTTGATGGGAACTACCATGCAAGAAGGTGGTGGTGGCGATTTCGAGAGTAAGAGAGGTCCAACCAACAAGATTTTATGCTTGCCGGAAGAGGATCTGGATGAGTCGGTTTCAAAAATCGTGGATAAGGTCATGGCCTAGCGATCAAGCTGGTGAGTCTTAATACGAGCACTCGGTACTGCATCGTGAGTTTAATAGAAAGTGTTTCATTGGGCTTGACCGATCCAGATCTTGCGTTCGTTAGCGTGATACGTTCCATTTGAGCCGAAGTCTTGGCCTTTGATATACGGCCTATGTTCAAGCGTCGAAGTATCCGAGTCAATCTGTCCGTCTCCACTTGACTTATCAAAGAATTGACTCTTGTTCTGAAAGCTGAGCTCAATGACATCAGTCCTCACAATATTCTCCGTACTGTCACAAGCCTCTCGCTTGCCACTGATACTCGTCTTTCGTGTGGACCGGATGTAAGGTTCGGATCGTCTATTCAAGTTACGTGGACCAGAACTGCCATATCGTGCACTTGTTGGATCGGTGGTGCCTCGAGCTGATTTCCACGATTGCGGGATGAACGCCGAAAGGATGGGGAGTGATGCCGCCACAACACCAAAGCAGAGGTCGATCAAAGTCCAGTTTTCGAGAGCGACAAAATTCCCTAGAATTAATCGTCAGTGCTAACATTTTGCTAATGATGACAAGAAAACGGAGCTTACATAAGATGTCATAGAACGTAAGCCGTTTCTGCTCAATCTGCCTCATGAAGGATCCAACACAACTCATCGCTCCAATACTAAACACAAAATAAAGCCTGGCTTTCGTACCCCATCCCATCCTTACTTTCCAAAGAACAATCAATGGCACAGAGAGCAGTCCAAAATCCATGATGACGTGAATAACACTCAACGTACTCCCAACAATGTTATCACTGATACAATGAAAGGACTTTCCTTCTCTCCCAATCCGAATTGGATCCCAGCCTGCGTAAGAAGGATCACACTGAAACAACGTCCAGAACAGGGACAGCATAAGATAGCAGAAGAGAAGGAAGAGGAAGACGTTGTTGAAGACTGTCCAGGCGCGAGAGGTGAGAGACGTAAGACGTCGATTGAAGAGACAGATCGATACTTTGATAAAGCCGACAGCGAGGAAGAACATGGGTTTGGAGAGGTTGGAGAATCTTTTGAAGTGACCATATTCTTCGTATGTTACATCGTACATCTATAGTTAAAGATATGTCAGCTTTTGAGACTTGGTTGAGGGAACATAACTAAGACTAGTGGTGTCTCCACATGGGAACCATACATGTCTGCCTGCGCCTCCATATGTCACCGCACAGATCTGAAGCGTCGGCCATGTTATAGCAAGCAGCTGGAAGAAATTAGTACTGTCGAATCTGTTCAACATTCAGTCGCTCCAGACTCCCAGGCGGTAAAACCGGAGCCCTTATCCATGACATCTCGCTCTTCAAATCTCTCTCTTAAGAAATCCACTCACCACACCAGGAATGATAAAAACATCATCCCATCCCACCAATAACCCGCGTCTGAAGACCCTAACCCCCAATCGCAATCCAGTAACAATGATCATTACCGCTATCGCAATACTCATCGACAAAATAATCCGCGGTCCTCTCGTCTCGTATACATATTGTGCCGGTCTTGCCGGAGGGAGGAAAGCACCAAGCGCGGGATCTGTCGTCTTGCCAAATACCATCAACAAGTACTTTGCAATGTAATAGTCATCTGTCGTGTTCGGAGGGCTTCCAATGTGTGCAGAGACCGTGCCAGTGGGGATTGGTCCAAAGGTCGACGTAGAACTGGAGGTTGCCATCCTGTTGATGGGCTTGATTGCTGTAACTCTCAGGCACTTGATGTCTTCGATGACAATGAAGAAGATGGATTCGATAGATGTAAGACACAAAGAGTGTGGGGAGTAGAGAAGAAGCCTAGACCACTGCCGATCCTTTCAAAGCGGAGCTTTGCAACCACGAAGTGAGGCACCACTATCTGTAGAAGTAAGGGACTTCTTTTGTCAGCTTTTTGTGGTCTGATACCGTGAATGAGCAGCTCTACAGGCCTGCCATGAATTCAAAGACATCCGAACGAGAGCCAGAAATCAGCAGGTTTACCTTTCCGGAGAATATCCATGTGTACAAGAAATGTACTATCCGCACTCATCTCCTCCAATAAAACAGCATAAGGCGATGGGGAATTCCCGCGTGGGGCTCTGGATGATTGTTCTTGAGACGGGTGAGACGAATCGAGCCTGGGATGTCGTTCATGCCCGATAAAGGAGCTCTTGTCACTTGAATCTTGTATTGGTGCGGCGAATGGCTGCTAGTCTGACGGTTGCACTAGCAACATCCTTCCAAACTTTGTACCTGAGTCAGGTTTGCCGAATATAAATTAATGCGGAAGCCATCCGTTCACGGGCCCCACTGGGGCAAACCTTGATGAATGCGATAGATGAAGGACAGATGAAAAAACACCTTCAAACAGTAGTGCTGCGATGAGACGGCTTTGGGCTTCAGATCCAGTTGTACGCAATCCGACTTCGGAGTTGAAACTACGAGCACCTTTGTGTTGCTAGCCCCGTTCGAAGTCAGGATGGAAAATTCGCTAAGGTAATGTTCCTCGGAACTTTCCAGGGCAAAGTCGATTATGAATGCGAGCTTTGGCGAGAAAGTTACTTGAGAAACCTGAGAGAAAGTGAGGCAAATACCAAGAAATTGTCATAGGATAATCCTAGCGGACGGGATGACTACCGGAGAAGAGCACCCCGCATTTCTTGAAACATCTCCAGGATTTGCTGTTTGATAGAATTGAACAAGAAAGAATTGAATAGGCATTTGGGGATCAAGAAAGGTAACTGCGTGCCTTCGAATAGCAAAGTATTGGAATGAGCGTAATTATTAACTATTGAGTGACCGCTTTCTCTGTGATGATTGAAATAAGAGTTCATGTGATAGCATCCGAAGGATTCCCGATGAAATCTCGTTCTGCTAAGAGTTTGGTGAGATTTTGGACTTCAACAATCTCTTCCAAGATTTCTGGATCAGAAGGCGGAGATCGAATGGTTCGAGATATATTCTATGACAGTTGCGATTGGTAGTATGCAGCAAAGAGGGGTTCTCACCCGGAGGGAGCCGGTATGCGGGCCTTTCATCTGAAAACATTCAGTCAATATTATTCACGCACATAAGACGATTTGACGGGCTTGGCAAATGTGGAGACCTTCTAGAAGCTGACATGAAGGTTCGGCACTTTTCCGAGCACTGAGTTCAGAGTCTGAACTTTGAACTTTGAACAGTGATTGTCGCAAGACAAATCTGGTGATTTGTTGCAATTGCTTGATTCCACTGCATTTATCCGTCATGCAGCTGTTGGCAGTCCTTCGTTTTTGTAGTCTGGCTATTGCTGTCACTGCAATTGACTGTAGTGGTATTAATGGCATCAAACCTCAATGCTTTTCGGCCGAAACGGCGTACAAGCGGGATGTATTCTGGGTCGGAGGGAAATACGTCAATGCAGCGATTGGACTTTTGACATATGATCAGATATATGTTGAAAAGTTAACACCAAATCAAGGCGTCAAAAAACCGTATCCCGTGGTCTTGTTCCATGGCGGCGGAATATCTGGAGCAGTAAGTTCTCATGCATAAGAAGAAGAGAGAAAAGCTGACACAGTTTCCAGACATGGCTGAACACACCAGATAATCGCAAAGGTTTCACTTCCATGTTCTTGGATCAAGGATATTTGATTTATATTATCGACCAGAGCTCCGTTGGAAGAGGCACGCAAGAAGACCTCGTTGGGTATCCTTTGCGGATTGGTAGCACTTCCAATATCACTGAAGTGGGGTTCACGAATCCTCAAGCTGCTGATGCATATCCTCAAAGCCAACTCCACACTCAATGGCCTGGTGCCGGCGTGCGAGGAGATCCTGTATTTGATGCCTTCGAATCTGGATTTATCCCTCTGACCTCGAACAATACCCGCCAAGAAATATCGATGAGAGCTTCGGGTTGCGAACTGCTAAATCTTATCGGTCCATCGTTCTTGGTTTCTCATTCGATTGGAGCCGTCCACCCAATCTTGCTCTCAGACGAATGTCCATCTCTAGTTGCTGGGAACGTGAATCTTGAGCCAGGAAACATCCCGTTCGAATCCTACGTAGGCAATGCGACTTCCTCCGTTGGACGAACGGCAGCTCGACCATTTGGTCTCACTGTCACGAACCTGAATTACGATCCTCCAATCAGTAACTACACTGACTTGATAACGGAGACGGTGGGAGAAGACACTCCTGCATCTCGATCATGCATCCAACAATCCAATTCGACGTCCAACTACACTATTCACAACCTTCCGAATGTAGCCAAAGTCCCTTATGTAGCGTTCACTGGGGAAGCTTCTCCGCATGCGACCTATGATCATTGCGTAATCCAGTATCTGAATCAAATTGGAGTAAAGACAGATTGGGTTAAACTCGCAGATGTTGGCGTCCATAGGAATGGCCATTTCGGCTACCTTGAGCTGAACAATGTTGCGTATTTCAAGGTCGTGGAGAAATGGATTTCAAAACGTGCGAACGTTCTTGGAGGTAACGAGTGGAATGACTGGAAAGAGTAAGACTTCATACAGTGGAATTGCGCATATAATAGTATCAATTTGTACATGGTGTTGTTAATAAAGGGGTTTGAAGACTTGCATGACTGTCAATCTCAGTCGCTAGAGGAAGTCTCTGCACAGAGAAGACCCGAGGCTACCAGCGAAATGAAACTCCGAGAAGAAAATATCGCGCAAGCAAGTTGAGGGTTCATACTTGCGAAGTGGTGATTGAGATAGAGAGAAAAGAGAATTGAAACTTTTCCTGACAAAACAAAATATACCCACTACGGCAACCTTTTCAAACTCAGTTGGCAAATAGAGGGACATTTGGACCCCGCCATCAAGGTCCCCATTTTCGAATTCAGAGCATCTTCGTTGCTCAACATATCTTCATCCGCCCTGCATTGACAGCAATGGCACCTCTGCCTTTGCGCAGACCAGAATGGCTGAAGTCCATCGTCGCTCGACTGCCTCCACAACTCCGCTTCGTCCCATTTCCCGCTGTTCGAATCATATCCCTCCTGATTCTCGTCAATCTTGCTATCTGGGCTATTGTAGCCATAGTCTTACGATCACACGCATCATTATCTTCTACAGCTCTCCTTTCATATACTCTCGGTCTGCGACATGCTCTAGACGCCGATCATATATCTGCCATTGACCTTATGACCCGACGACTCGTTGCAACGGGCTCGAAACCAGTCACTGTTGGAACATGGTTTAGCTTGGGGCATTCAACAATTGTGATTATAACATGTATTGTGGTTGCAGCGACTAGCGGGGCATTGGAGAAAAGGTTCGACGGGTTCCGAAATATAGGAGGCATAATTGGGACAGCTGTCAGTGCTGGAGTTCTGATCTTGCTCGGAATCGGCAATGCTTGGATATTGGTGAAGCTTGTCCAGCGGTTGAAGGTTGTGTTAAGAGAAGAGGTAGATGGTGATCGAGAAGCTGCGAATGAAGGTGCCGTTGCGGGACTAGACCTCGAAGGAGGAGGCATAATGGTCAGGCTCTTGAAGAAAGTCTTCAAGTTCATTGACAGGCCTTGGAAGATGTACCCTCTGGGTGTGCTGTTCGGACTTGGTTTTGACACCAGTAGTGAAGTCGCCTTACTTGGTATTGCTAGCATACAGGGTGCGCAAGGGACCAGTATTTGGTTGATCCTTATCTTTCCTGCTCTCTTCACTGGTACGCTTGCCCTTTTTTTTTTGGAATGCAAGTGTAGGAAATGACTAACTGTCTGCAGCGGGCATGTGCCTTCTGGATACCACCGATGGAGCATTGATGATGACGTTATATACATCTACTTCTTTGGCACGGGATACCATTGCTATCCTTTACTATTCCATCGTCCTGTCAGCTATCACAGTCATGGTGGCTATCACGATTGGGACCATCCAACTCCTCTCACTTGGTGCGAACTACTCTAGTGGGCGGTTCTGGGATGGAGTGAACAATGCCGAGGACCATTTTGATATCATCGGTGGATCTATTTGTGCTGCTTTCGTTGTCTTTGGAGCCGCATCTGTTGTGTTTTATAAACCGTGGCGCCGAAGGGTAGATCGTGGTCGAAGAACACACATTGTCGAAACAATAGAGTTAGAGGTTGAAGCGCAAGATTCGGACAAGAAAGAGGGCGAAAAGGACGCTGCAAACGTTGCATCTCGAGAGTGGGAGTAGACATCAGACAGGACCTGCTATCTTGGTACGGTAATGAGCGAAGTCTCCAACCAATAGTCTCCTCCAATCATTGCAGGATGTTTCTGATGCCAGATTCATGTCGGTATATAACTGTAAGTCAGTATTATACTAGAGTAGCTAATAGTCTAGAAAATCTCTTCATTGAATAACTCCTCGGTAGGCTTTTCTACAGCCGAATAAGTCCGTACGAGGCTTTATACATGAGCCTGGATGGATCTTCGAGGTGTCGTATGTTTTGCATAGTAATTGTGACTTGGTTGCGTCTTTCAACATGGCTGAAATGCATGTGGCATTGTGATTTTGCAATATTGTACTAATCATGCGATCACTAATCAATCGACCCTAAGATGCGGACGCTGGCGGACTGCGGCGGACTTAATGCATGTTACCAAGCACTTCTAGCCAATCATATAGGATTATTGTCTAACTGTCAATCAAAGAATTACGGGCGAAATTCAAGGGCGGTGCGAGAAGCTGATTAATGCAGGTTGTAATACGTGAAATTTTGTTATCCCTTTCAGGTAATAATGAATACGCCAGACTTACATCGCAGTATTTAAACTCCTCGTCCCTTCTCACAAACAACGTCCAGACATAATATTTCCTTGCACAGTAAACCAAAATCATTCAAGATGACTCTCCCAACCACAAAGAACCAAATTGTGCTCATTAGCGGAGTCAATGGCTACATTGCTTCAGTAACTGCGAAAGCTTTCCTGGAAGCTGGCTATTCTGTTCGAGGCACCTCACGATCCAAAAGCTCAAGTGAAGGACTTCTTAAAGCTTTACCCCAGTACGCAGAAGCCGGAAGACTCCAGATTGTTGAAGTGAAAGACATCACCATTGATGGAGCATTCGACGAGGCTGTCAAAGGTATTTCTTGTCCAAACATCGAAAGAAATAAACTAACAATGCGAGGTGTTCATGCGATTGCTCACATGGCCTCACCCGTCTCCTTCCACTTCACAGACCCCGACCCAATCATCAAAGCCGCCCTTCACGGCACAAATTCAATCCTTGCTTCGGCTCTCAAACACGGCTCTCCCACCCTTCAACATGTAGTGATAACTTCCTCTATCGCAGCCATAATATCAACCAAAGAACCACCCTACGTCTACACAGAAAAAGACTGGAACGACGAATCCGAAGCCGAGATAGCCCGTCTCGGTAAACAGACTCCGGGCTCGCACATCTATCGCGGCAGCAAAGCCGTAGCTGAGAAAGCATTTTGGAAGTTCAGAGACGAAAATCAACCGGGGTTTACGATGACGTCTATTAATCCTGCGTTTGTCTACGGACCGCCAGCTGTGTTGCCGGAGGGACCGGAGAAGATTGCCGAGACGGTGAAGCCCGTCTATGATATTCTTGCTGGGAAACCCCTTCCTCCCCCTATGGGTGGTTCAGGGGCTTTCGTTGATGTAAGAGATGTGGCTGCTTTGATGGTATTGGCGGTAGAGAAGGGGAAGGAGATGAACGGTGAAAGATATATAGCTGCGGCAGGGATTGGAGGTATGCAGCAGATTGCGGATATCTTGAATGAAGGCTATCCACAGAGGAAAGGAAAGATTGCGGTCGGAGAACCAGGAAAGGGGTATGAGCCTGGATTTGGTTTTCCTAAAGAAGGGAGTCGAATTGACAGTGCGAAAGGTAAAGGAATTCTGGGGAGGGAGTGGATTGGGTATAAGGAATGCGTTTTGGATGCTGCGAAAGAGTTCGAGAGGTATCTTTGAGCGTGGAGGAGTTGTTAGGGAGAGTTCAGTCAAGCTCTTACGTTGCAATATAGAAGGATTAGGTAGAAAATGATAGAGAAATCGTATGCTTATGAGTAATCTAAGCCGCGTTCGCCATCATACCATGCTATACCATCTAGGCACGCCTGCATTTCCTAAAAACCAGAAAACAACCAAAATTTCAAAGCTCTATCCGCTACAACTCGCCCGACTTGTGACCATTCTCAAAGGTGATAATCCTCAAGGGTGATCGTCCTCTCAGGTGACCTTTCTCAAATGTGAAGATCAAGTGGCTTTAGACGCAGAACCGGACCCGGAAGCTTCTGAACCCTTTGCAGCTCCCTTTGCTGACTTTGACTTGTCCTTTTTGCCATCGGATCCTTTCGAGGCCTCCTTTCCGGCCGCACCCTCGTCTTTCTTCTCCGCTTCTGGAGAAATAAGCAGCCAGAAGGGTATGTAGGTTTTGTCGTCTGCCATCTTATCTTCTTCCCTAGCTGTATCTGTTCGTAAATCTTCCCTGTCTGGTGATTCGATGAGGTGTGGAGGTTGGCTAAGGGCATCATTAGCATTTTTCTTAAACAAGTCAATAATCAACTTCGTAGTCCAAATGATCCGTTGAATTCGTTCTTAAGATTGGTTTGATGTTCCATTCGGCATAGTTGGAATTCTGCTTCTTATTTCATTTCTCGGCTTTTCGCTTCTCTCGCGCTTTCAATTCTGCTCCCCTTGGGCTTTTCATCACCCAGTACCGGTCGAGGACTTTGCAGAAATGAGGTGTAATGAAGGGTGAATACGTGCCTTGATGAGTTGACCCGATTTGTAGAAGGTTTCTCTCGTTCTTGTGGAAGTGTTCTTCGGTGATCAACTTGAGGATGCTGAACGCAAAGGATACTCGAGCTTCTTATATAGATAAGAAATGTTTTCACACGCTGGCATACACTCAGGATCAAAATTCCCATTCAAGAAATGAATCCCTCGAAAATGCCTTTCTCTACCATTCAACCCAGCTCTCGATACCGTTTTGATGCTATTTTGCGCAATTCTGCCCAGTATAGCCTAGCGCCCGACCTCGCTTCTGAATCCAGGGGTTCATGATGAGGAGATCGGACCGTATCGTTGTAACTCTCAAACTTTGGAAGAAATTGACATTGCTTCAATTCCAATCTGTTCAAAGGGCGAAAATAATGTGAATGAAGAATGCTTCGCCGACGCTCATTGTTGAACCTCAGCTTCTTATATCTTACGCTCGAAAGCGCATTTTGGCCCGAAAGGTGCTAGCGCATCTACAAATACGGCCCGCGATCTCTCTATGATGATCGTCAGCAGGCTGAAGACAAGGGACTGGTAAGCTTAAGTTATTTCCTTGTAGAATATATCAAGATCGCCACTTTACTGCGATATGCAGCAAAAAGACTAGAAATGCTTCTGTGCCTCGGAGGTGCATGTTCCGCTGACACCCTGTGGAAAACACGAGTGAGGCTGAATGGGGCTGTATTTCCCAATCATCGCATTTGGTCCCCGAAATGTCTCATCATGGACGCGTTGCGACTTTAAGAGTCTGGTACTATCATCCATGAAGTAAGCTGCTGTACAATGTTCTACAAACGCCGGACATTCCAATTCGTCAATTCATCGCCTTGTCAGTGTCGTAAATCCGTAATGTTTGCCTCCAACAATCAGTAGAATGCCAAAGTTCTTTCCTCGCCACATCCCTTACATTCAGTAGTAACCTCATAGCCATCGCCCTCTTCTCTTGGGCCACATTCCTGGCATAGTTCAGGAGCCATAACCTCCATCGGCCTGGTAGGATTCTCCAGCATCAGCAAATAGATTTCCGCTTGAAAGTCCGGCACCTCCTGAGTCAATCTGAAGAAACCTGGCTTATGGGGACCATTCAACATATTTCTCAGCTCAGAAATGCCAGCGTCAAGAGTGGCGAGTCGGAGCTCCGGATTCTCTCGTGTAGTTGTCTCATAGATCGACCGGACAGCAGCGAAGAATATTGTTGGTTCATTGACGTAGTTATTGAGGTTATAGCGAAACTTCAACACGGCGAGGGACTTTAGGCCAGGAATAGAAAGATCGACGGCGAGATTGAAGATTGAAATGTGGAGCGGAAGTGAAAAGTGGGGGGCTGAATCCTGTTGTAAAAGTTAATACAAATGTCCCAGGAATGGCTGAACATTCTTTTTATAAACTTTCCAACAAAAGGAGAGAACAGGAATGCATACCTGAGTGGTGTAGTTGGAGCCGTAAAGGTATTCCATCATCATCGAAACAGCCTCGTAGTCGTACTTATCAAGGCGGAGAATATTCGGACTCTGCCATGACAAATCAGCTTTCTCCTTTAATAAAGATATGAAGTATTACCTCAGCAGCCATAATCATCGATTCCAGGACTGAAGATTGAGAGCATACAACTACTCGATGGGCGCTCCAGCTTTGGTTACCGTGCGTGATGGTGAGGTCCGAAAACTTGCCCGAAGCCAGTGAGCTATTTTGTGTCAGCACTGTTTGTTTACTTCGAAGCAAACACCGCGCAACTTGAACCTCGACAGTCCGGTAGCGATGAGGACAGTAAAGAATACGTCTAATGTGTCAGACAAGGGAGGGAGCGCATACCTTTGAAGAGCCTCCATAGGGTTGTGAGCAACTTGCGTTGGTGCTGATGTGCCCTCAGACGAGGTGGAAGAAGATCCGGAAGCCGAAGACATGATCAAGCCCCTTTCTTCTGCGTACTTGAGTTCTTGTAAGAGTTGGTCTTCCGCTTCGTCGTTGTGGATTTCAAAAAAGTGTTGTGGTCGCTGGTCTTGCGCGCGTTGTTGTTGTTGTTTGTTTGTTCGCGATTCTCGCCTGACGTCGAAGTCGAGATGGCGAGACTCCGATTTTAGCTGCGCGATACTACCCATGACTCAACAACAATTTCAAGGTCAAATTGAAGAGCGCGGTGTTGGAACTACGAGAATTTGGTCAGACGGTCCCTAACATCGAAAGAAATCTGGATCAAAGAATGATTTTCGAAACTTCGGCTTCATAATCCGGTGGTGCTGCAGAATCCGGAACAGTGAATCTGAAAGCCGCAAAATCACACCGAACAATATTCGAGGCGCTGGATTTTCTCTCTTGTGTATCTCGCAACCTTGGGACAAGCGGATCTAAATGAGTTTTTGGACTAGGTACTCACGAGTGAAGACTCTTTCCACAATTCCCATTCGTTTTGGCTCCAAATTTCCATTGATATTCTTTCCCCCTTCACCTCGCCGCACAAGGTTACTCTACAAACCTCAGAGTTCACACAGTGGCAAAAAATATGTCTTGGAAAAACTCGAGAAGCATTTTTATGTGCTCTTCATAATAGCTACTGCTGTCGGCGTCTTTGAGCAGGTGAACTTGAAAGAAGAGCCATTCACTCGACAAACGTGTTTCAAGGCGCTATGGACAAGTGAAGAGGAATGTATAAAATCAGAAGAGCGAAAGAATGTCAGGTGGTTTGTCGGGCAGGTACTGTTCCTCGGATTGGGATTGGCATTCGTGGAACAAACAAGCGAGGTAGATACATAGGTAATAATGTCTGGTTGCCGGACGATCACACTACCACCGTGGCCTGTAGAAATGTTTTGGATCGAATCCTGATAAGCAATGGACTGAATCCTGATTATTGGGAGATGCGCATCGATCATGGGCCTGGTAGGGATGAACACTTGGCCCTGAAACTCAAGTTTTGTTGACGATTTTCAGTTACACTTATCAGGTTAGTGAGGATTAGTCGAGATCTGCTAACGTCGACTAAGAGGGTGACCGTCTCCAGTGGTCTATTTCCAGCGTATGAAAATGAAGATGGACAAGCCGTAGATATTAGTTCACAAGTGATGACAATCAGGGAAGCCTTCGCGCCTAAATTATTGCACAGTCTAAGTCGGTCCCAGATGCTCGTGCCTCCATCGACGGCTGCCATGGGTTCCCTTTGGATGATGATAGACTCGAGAGGCTGGATTTTAGGGATTCCATGTCTAGTGTAGCACTATTTTTGCCGCAAAGAGCAATCTGAGATTGAGAATACGCTGCAGACTGAACGCTTCGACATGACTTTGGTAGCAATGGCCAAAGCAGGATTCGATGCAAGTCGCGGTGTTGGACTTTTGGCCAGAAGAGAAGAATGGCTGAAACAAGCCTCGTTTATCAAGGTTGGTTTCTCCTCTCGTTGAGGTTAGATGCTAAGACGTTACCGTGGCAGGAACTTGAGAGCCAAGTATTCAGGAGGTTGAAAACGGTATGCTTAGGAACTGTGAGATTTTGGTATCATTGCTGACCCTGCTCAAAGCGTGACAAGATTACTATCTTGGAAAAGAAGCGTCGGGCCCGAGGAATTATGACAAAGTACGGGAAAGCGCGGGTACCCGAGAATCCTGTGCTTCTTCCGTTAGAGATTCCCGAAAGCCTCGATAGAGATGATCGAATAGACGCGAACGTTGTGGAAAGCATATGATTTGGCTTTTTGATCTGAGGACATCAAACGATGAAATGGCAGGTACAGTACAAGACTAGAGATGATTGCCAAAAAAAAGAAAACAAAAACAATGCAAGCTCCACTCAATAATGAAAGGTCTCAAGCACGTTGTGATATATTTGGCCTTGAGATCCCTCTTGATATCGTTTTGAATGAAAGTATGCGCCTAAACTATTTTCAAATTTGCAAGCCAGGACTAAGTTCGCCAACGTTGTTCAGCCTGTTTGAAATTTTCAATTAAAGTAGCTACGGTTCGGCTCGAAATTTTTCTTGAGCGTGTAAATCGACAGTCCCGTCTTTGCCTGGTGCCACGTGAAAACAAAGCACGTGATGATTAATAAGATTCATAAGAAGCATGAAAAGTAATTGGAATCTTATCCGAGGCAAAATGATATTGTGGATTGATGATATTGAGGTACTGAGGTACTAAGGTTTGTTAAGGATGGGCGGAAAATAGCGAATCGGGTGTCGACATCTTGCGTAAAATGTGGCTCATCCTGTGGCTGAACGCCGAACATTACAAAGCAATGCATAAAGCAAACCCTCGGCATTCCTTTGTACACACCCTCTTGCTGCAAGATCAGCTCTATTCACACTTTCATCTCGCTATCCGCACAAGCGAATGCCGAAGAGGCACGAGTGCGGCGTGAGTTCACATCTTCCTAGCACACGTCAGATGTATTGTAAATCTTCAAGCAATTTGGACAGGTTATCAATTGAGACACATCAAAACATCTTCTATAGTCAGACCGAATTTTCTTTCGAGTGTGCGGCATCCAGACGGCGTTTATTTATCCTCGAACGCGCCCCAGGAGAGCAAAACTCAGGCACACTTTTTCGCATTTAAGAGCTTCAATCTATTCATAGAATTCGACATGACTGATGAAATCCGTCGACGTGCAGCTTGCGACAGATGTCACTCCCAGAAGATCCGTTGCCCTAGACAGCCAGGGCAAGTTGCATGCAGTCGCTGCGTTAAATCCGGATCACGATGCAATTTCAGCCCATTCAGACAGAAGAAAAACCCCAATGATGATGGATCCCCTGGAGGAAGTGTCCCTGAAGACCGTGTTTTGACTAGTCCACGGGACGCAACTAGACCTCTGAGCACATATGCGGCTCCCAAACGGCGTCGGGTAGATCTAGAGCCAGGCAGGTCTCTACAATATTTTGATGCATGAAGTGAGACAATTAACTTTGAGTAGGTGCTTCAGAAGATCAAGTAACCACAAACGCAAGTCAATCATACGAGCCCTTTAATGTTGATGATATGGGTCTCGATTGGATGCAAGACTCATATCCAACGTCACAAGATGTTGTGGATCCAACATTGAGTCACATATTTCCGCTCCCAGAGGGAACCGGAAGTCAAGGAATTTTCTCTCTTATGGATTACGACCCGAATCCCATAGTGCAACTCCGCAAAGAACTAAATCTCACTCGGTCACTCCACAAAACATCACATTTGTTGCCGAACCCAGAGTCACGAGCTCAGATCATCCCCATTGCCCCAAATATGTGGATACCAGGAAATCCAGTCATTGAGACCGCATCCGTTGGCGATTGTGTTCAGAAGCTCTCACAGCTAAGTGTAGACTTGTACCAACACAGTCTAACACTGCCGCCAATGTCCATCCATGATCCAGAAAATGCTGATGAAGATGGGGCTATGGAATCTGGTTTAAAGGACTATTCTCAGTTCATCCTCGAGGAAACTTTTCGTCTTACTCAAGGCTTGATTGATATATATCCAACATTTCTATGCACATTCTTGAACCACGTCCCTAGTCAAGGATCGACTCCGCCTTTCTGGATGGACACGAGCCCTTCAGAAAGCAGCAGTGCTAGTCCTGAGGATTCTGGAGAGCCCGTAATACCTCAACAGCCGAGACCACCTCTTGATCACAGCTCCATATTGCTCATACTGTCTTGTCACACTCGAATCATCGAGATCTATGAGACATTGTTCAAGCATATGGATGTTTGCATGAGGCAAAAAGGGATTCCATTGAATAGTCGGCAGTCAAACATGAAAGTCCCAACACTCTCGATTGGGACGTATACCCCGCCTCCCTCTTCAGCTATACCTATGCAGATGCTTCTCTTGATTCAATTTGCCTCGCAGTTATTCAACTATGCGGAAGACCTGGCTCTCGAAATTGAAGGGCATGACGGTGGTCGGAAGCCGGTAGCAAGTGAGGATACGACTTTGGCTCTGACTCGAGCTGCGGCTGCCAATGTGAAAGACCGAGCAAGTCATATGGCTCAAGAAATTGGGACTATGAGAGGTCTGATGCTGCGTGCGGGAATATTGGCATAGAGTCGTCTCTTGTCGTCAAGGACAATTCCTGTGACTGTACAGTAGTTGAATGATGGCGGCTTTCTTACGTGAAAGCGCTGATTCATGTATTCCGACTTGATGCTTGCATTTGACTCAAGGCTATCCATATTGGATGAATTTGAGACGACGTAATCATCGCAAGTGTTCGTGAATCTTCAAGGAAGTCAGATCGAGCAGCACCATTGTGAGTCACGTGACTGTAATGATCCGCGTTGAGTTACTTGCAAGACAAAAACATGGAGACGAGGATTGGCAGCTTGGGTCAGATTCAGTCAGTATTGTAAGATCATGAATTGTGTCTTGGTTCCTTGTCTCAACGGACATTCAGCGGAGGCTCGGACGATCACTAGCCACATCCGTTGAGATGGAAGTCATTGATTGGCTTGCGCCACTCGGATGGTCCACACTTACGTCCGCCTCTCACTTCAATTCACCACAACATCTGCTCAAAATGCATCCCATCCTCCGAACTTCCTTCTTTCCTCCATCCAGACCTCTAAACCACCAGAGAAATATACAACACCACAGCGGATATGGCAACAATGTCCGGGGACTCGACCATCCAGGCTGAAAATCCACCGCCAAAGAACCCCAGTCGACAGCGGTTCAAGCCACAACTGTCCTGCACGTTTTGCAGAAGCAGGAAGTGAGTGAACCTTGCCTTGGACTTCTCTTTACTATTCTGATTCGTCCAGGTTGAAATGTGACAGAACAATGCCATGCGAGAACTGCGTCAAGAGAAATTTGGCCTCGTCTTGTACCTATGTACATGCTGCACTAGTGCGAGACAAAGCTCAAGTCCAAAAAACCAACCAAGCACCCAAAGATGTTCAAAGCCAAGTCCGACGCCTGGAAGAGCTGGTCATCTCTCTGATGAACAAGACGAATCAGGGAGAGTTGCCGTTAGGAGTTCCAGATCATGTGACGCCCGATCATTCCTCAAGCTCTAGCGATCAAGTTGCCGATAGCATAGAGGACGATGAGGGAGGGAGTAATGTTCCGAATCGGCAAATGAAGAACACTGCTCTCTCCTTTGGCCGTATCACGATAGGCGAGGATGACCGAGCAAATTATGTTGGCAGCAGCCATTGGACTGCAATTTTGGACAACGTAAGCTTCAGGTGTCACTAAGATTGCGGATTCAGCTGACAATTTTAGATCGCAGGTCTGAAAGACCAACTTGACATTACTGATGATCCACGAGAAGAGACAGACACCGTACCAGAAGTGCCTGGTCCAGATCTTCTTGTTGGTTCAGTCAAAGCTGCATCGAGGGCGGAAATCATGGCCTCCCTACCTCCCAAGGCTATCTCAGATAGACTTATTGACAGGTACTTCCAGACTGCAGACATGGGATCTTGTGAGTCTTTTCAATCTGAACCCTTGAATTTCGTCACTAAAGCTGGGATTTAGCCATGCTTCATGGACCAACATTCATGAAGGAGGTACGTATGTATGGTGCTGCTACTTGGGGACAGAGTTTGATGATTCATACAGTATGAAAAATTCTGGGAAGATCCAAAATCATTTCCGATCATGTATATCGGGCAGCTATACGGAATATTTACTTTGTCGGTATTTTATGAAGTGATTACTAAATCACCTTCGAGCTTGGCGGGAATGCCACTTCAAGATCCATCCGATGCTGTTGCGATATATCGGGAAAAGACCATCCAATGTCTTGTACTGGGCAATTACACAGACCCAGGACCATACACTGTGGAAACTCTTTGGCTTCATTACATCTCCGCTCAGTTCCGATCTCCAGATGCGCTTTTTGGAGGATGGATGATCTTCTCCCTTGTCATTCGAACAGCAATGCGACTTGGATATCATCGCGATGCGTCACACTACCCTAACTTGTCCGAATTCAAGGGAGAGATGCAACGTCGGCTTTGGGCTACTATTGTTCATCTTGATCTTCAGACTTCTCTGCAAGTTGGCCTTCCAAGGATGATCAGAGAAGGAATGTATGATACGGAGGCACCTCGAAATCTCATGGATGAAGACTTCTCCGAGATGAGCACGGTGCTCCCACTTCCTCGACCAGATCACGAGTTGACAGCTGTCGGGTGTGCGAATATCAAGCACAGGCTCACCAAAGTCCTTGGCATGATTGTAGACCAGGCCAACTGGACTTGTCCAATCTCATACGAGATGGTCATGAAGCTAGACAAGCAACTCCACGATGCTCATCGCAGGACACCGCCATCTCTCAGAGCTGATAGCATCAACGATCTGCTCAACGGCTCACCCGTCCAGAGGTTTCGGAAAGCCACTTTGGACCTTATCTTCCAAAAATCTCGATGCATTCTCCATCGCAGATTCTTCTTCGTATCCAAAACCACGGGGGAGTATCCATATCCGTACTCAATGAAGTCGTGCATTGATGCTGCGATGAGAATTCTTCAAATGCAACTACTCATGCACGAAGAATGCAGGCCTGGCCGAACGCTGTATGAGCATAGGTGGCGGACGTCGTCTCTCATGTCCCAAGACTTCTTGCTTGCAGGTATGCTTATCTGCCTGCATATCGGCCATGGCATCACGAATAGCCCATCCAAACAAGGAGAACCCCAGTCAAACGGAATTCGGTTGAGATGGTCCCGAGCGGAAATGCTGCAGGCTTTGCAAGCATCTTGTAAGGTCTGGGAAGACGCAGCACCTACTTCCAAAGAAGCTGCCAAAGCTGTGAAAACATTGAAAGCTATGTTAGCAAAAGTAGCAGGAAGCCAGCAGCCAAGTCCAGCGGTTGATGCCAAATCAGAAAGTCCTTCAAGAGGTTGGGCGAACTTTGCGGCATCACTATCGACAGGTATGTTTTCGGGGCATCTCCCTGATTCGAAGATTACTCACATGGAATAAGGTTCTGATCCATTCACGGGATCAACATCAGATCTGCAGACTGACGCTGGCGAGCCAGTCCTTTCGTCATCTTGGGTACCAGTGACTTCTCCACACCTCAATGCTTCGCTTGAAGCGGGTAGTGGTAGTCAGCCTTCTTTCGACAACAACATTGGGAACTTGGGTCTTGAAACAATGGACTGGGTAAGTGATGTCACCTTCCCTCTCTGAAATAGCTGAAATTTGCTCCCCTCGCTTGCGGATATATGTTAATCACCTAAGTCTTAGGAGCTATGGGATAGTCAAGTCTACAATACCAGTCTTGGCGATGCCCCGACTGAGCTTTGGAACTTTGATTCCAACATCAGCTTGGTAGATCCAAATCTAAATTCAGAAATGTGGGACCAGCAGCTTTGAGCCTGAAAATAGATTGTGAAGAAGTGTGCATAATGCAGGGGGTCCGTCGATATGATTGGCGTTCAACTCGGTTGATCCTGGTGAAACGCCAAGGATCCTGGGGAAACAGAGCACGGCATATCGCTTTCAACGGCCGCGATATAACGCCGTAGACAGCGAACCCTCTCCGAAGCCAAACCCTTGATGCATTGCAGGTAACATTGCAGAATAAACAAGGATCAATGTGTGGTCAGACCGCTTTTATCCAATATGTAAGCGAGCTTTCTACAGTCTCGGTGCAGACACCCACGTGTGTGTAAGCGGCGGAACTAATAAGAGAACATGGCTCGGCGGCAAGATGCGAAAGCTTCTCACAAATTGGCAAAGCTTGTTCCAGAACAATTGGCAACTCTCTCCACCTGGTCACTTCAGTCGAAAGGGAACGAATAGGATCTCCCCACTTCATCATAGCCGCTTGACCCTCGTCATTACCCCGCATGGAAGTATGCTTACCTCCACGCTTGTACTTTTGTACCTCGATTTTCAGCTTGGTCTCCAACACAAACCGAGTTTTCTCCCGAGCTATCACCGAGCCTTTATACAATTATAGGATGTATCTATGCTTCTTGGCAAAAATTGTACATCATCTGCCTCGAATGTACCCCGCGCACGATGCACAAACAGGCACCAGGGATCACACCAAAAGGTCCGAGAAGAAACTAACTACGCTGCATTGAGCTTGTGGTCCGATGGTTGCCAGCTTCCGGGGTGGTACAAGAGAATTGTCGACAAGATCATCGCGAGATGAGCTTCGAGAGCTCGGAGCATAAGAGGGGGATATGTCTCCTCACCTACCATGCTTCTCCACCGTCATCCGCATCTCTCCTCAAGCTTCTTGAAGCTCGGCCAAGTGTCAATTGATTATAATGCCTTCTCAATCGTGCTCCAGACTGCTCGGCACTTTGCTGGCAGTCGCAAGCCTGCACCACATTGCGCTTGCAGCTCCTACTGGTAGCTCAACGGCTCCAGTAGCTACCAATCTCCTGGGCTTTAGTCCCTCAAATACGGTCAAGAACGAGGATACAGATAATATACAGTATGCTCTTGCGGCAGGTCAAACGGACACCGGTACCATTGGAGCATTCCTCGACTTTAACAACGTCGAGAATCCCCAACCTATCCGTGGGACCAAAGGCGGAACGGACCCGGGACCAAGAACTGAAGCATACGATCTGCTGAATCCCGACAAACTCGCGCCGCCAGGAAGTGACCATGGCAATGTCAATAACGCACAATGGCCAATGGGTCTCAGTCACATGAAGCTCGGTCTTGGCAGAGCAGGATGGTCTCGACAGCAGAACATAGACAATATCCCTACTGCGACGGAAATGGCAGGTGTGGACATGAGACTTGAGGAAGGTGCATACAGAGAATTGCATTGGCATAAGGCTGCTGAATGGTCGTATGTTTTGAACGGCAGTGTGAGAGTTGAGGCCGTGAACGAGGATGGGCAGACGTTCGTGGATGATTTGAATGCTGGTGATGTTTGGTTCTTCCCACCGTAAGTCGACCAGTTATTATACCACGAAGAACTTAGAGTTGATTGTTAAATAGCGGCGTACCACACTCTCTCCAGGGTTTGAAAGGTGGTGTGGAATTCTTGCTTGTCTTCGATGACGGCAGTTTCTCCGAGGACAATACTTTCCTAGCGTCGGAACTCTTCGCAACTCAGCCAGTAAGTAATCTCCCCTCCACGCCCGGAGATACTTAACTAACCAAGAACTACAGAGAGAAGTCCTCTCCAAGAACTTCGGCGGCCTTCCTCTCTCCGCCTGGGCGAACATTCCTCCCGGCGAACTCTTCATCTTCCCCGGCACAGACGCGCCGGCCGATATATCCGAGCAGAACATAGTCGGCTCAGCAGGTCTCGTTCCCACGCAGCAATCATACACATACCATTCTTCCAAAGCAACACCGAATCACGTCACAGCAGGTGGGACGGTGACAATCATTGACCCGCTCGTGTTCCCTATTGCGAGCGAATTCTCAGCAGCCATTGTGACGGTCAAGCCTGGAGCGATCAGAGAGATCCATTGGCATACTTCAAGCGATGAGTGGAACTTCTTCATTGCGGGAAGTGCTAGGATTGGAATTTACGTGAGTAAAAGCCTATTACCTCTTGGCCAATGCTAATATACAAATCCGCAGGCTGCGCAAGGAAACGCGAGAACATTCGACTACCACGCGGGCGACACTGGATACATCCCAAAATCCATGACACACTACGTTGAGAACGTTGGCCAAGATGACGTTATCTTCATCGAAGTGCTGCAGGCTGATCATTTCTCTGGTATGACTCTCGATCCCAACTTTTGCGATGGAAGGCACTGACGTGAATCAGATATCTCGGTCGGACAATGGGTCGGTCTTCTGCCGCCACAAATCGTCATTGATACGCTGAATCTTACCAATGAGACCGTTAGTCAGTTCAAGAAGGAGAAGCAGTATATCGTGCAAGGAGATGTTGTTGCTTAATGTATTATCTGAGTTCTGCCTTGATCAAGCGTTCTTCTGATCTCTCTATCTTCTTTGTGTATACTTATCAACTGAATTTTGGTTTTATGCTTGGATTGAAGTATCGTTGTGTATGCATGTAAGCATGCAGGCATGTCAAGTGATAACAAATCGCCAAGTCAGGTACCGATATTTTCATGTGAAAATGTCCCAGACCTTTTCCGTACATTCTAATCAACAATCAACAGAGTGATTTATCGACAGAGGGATTTATCAACAGAGTTATTTAGAACGTGGGAGCACGGTAAAATGTTAATTTCATCGATGTAAAACCATGCCATTCAAGATTACGGTCGTCTACTAACGATCAACATTTAAATATCATACCTTCTCATCCACTAAAACATCCCCAAGATGGCAGCTTGTATACTCTGCAATCTATGTCCTCATCACCTCGCAGAAACGAACTTCAGTCACTTCATTCGGAGCCCGAATTGTTGTTGTGACGATTACTCTTTCCACCATTACTGGGTCTTCTCGAACTCGAAGGATCGTATCTTGAGCTTCTATCTCGGTACAATGCAGTTTCATCATCGGGTCTTCACGAAACCTCAGAGCGATATGTCAAGCTGGGATCTGGGTATCTCGAAACCGAAGGATCATATCTGGAGCTCATATCTGAAGACCTTAATGCTGCCCTGATCGTTCTATCCTCAGATCTTTCCGAGATCCTAGAGAGAGGCGTTGAGCTCTGATTGGGGTACCTCGAATTCCTCGACCTTTCTGCTTCTGCAGCTCTCCTCGAGAACTCAGAGCTCGAGCTCTGATCCGCTCGTCTCGAAGACGAAGAGCTTCTACCACCCGACAGACGTGGTGATTCGTCTTCGTAATCACCCGCATGCCTCGAAGCATGCCAACTCCTTCTCGTAGGAGAAGGGGCTCGATAATTCGCCTCCAACCAACTCTTCCCCGCCACATCCGTCTCCCCAATATAATCCGTCGCAGCATCCGGTCTTTGATCTTCCCCCGCATACCACAGCAAGCCCGGCGTATCTTCGTTACTCTCATAATACGGACCCCACCTTTCCGTCTCCAGGTCCCCTCCAATCAGATACACCCCGCCCTTATTCTCCGCCATCAAATCATCCGTCACGAAGTGATGCTCGCCTTTACAATGATATCCTCCCTTGACACGCCTCCAGGAAAACGCATCAGGACAGGCGCCCGTCAATCTCAATGTCTTTGCAGCCCATTCTTCTTGTTCCTTCTTCTCGGGCCCGTGCATGTCCTCGATCATCGGCTGTCGACTGGCCATCTTCTCGTCTTTCGGGTTGGTGTAGACGCTCTTCACGCTCGCTGGTGCGAGGGACTTGAAGGCCATGGCCGGGTGTGCGGTTTCGGGGTAGGTTTTCTGAATCATGGGGTTGTTCTCGTATTCGGTCAACTTTACCAAACCGCTCTTCTTGGGTGCTCCGGAGGTTGGGCGGATAGATTGTGCGGGAGTCTGGGAGGGCTTCTTGGATGCTGTGACGGGCTTTTCTGCAGCTTGGGAGGGTTGTCGAGAACTCTCTTTAGGAGGTTTGGACTCTGCCTTGGGGGTTGAGGATAGTTTCTGAGACGCTCGGGTTGACTGTCGTGACTTTTCCTTTGGGGTTTCGGGCTCTGGCTTCGGAGCTATGGAGCGTTTCTTGGACGGCTGTCGAGAACCTTCTTTGGGTGCTTCAGGCTCTGGTTTTGGAGCATTCGATGATCTCTGAGACGCTCTAGCTGATTGGCGAAGGCTTTGGGCCTCTGGAACTGGCGCGGGTCCGAATACCATGCCCTCGATGAACGTCCGATCACTGCTTCCGATGGGAGACCGTTGTGAAGGTTCTTCGTATGGCTCTTTACCCGTATATTGGGATGGTCGTACGGGGTCAAGTGCCATGGACAGAGAAGATCGTGGCGTGTTAGAGGCTTCGCTATGTCGGCTGGTGGCGCGAAAAGACATTTCTCCTTGAGCTGGTCGTGATGGAAGTTGTTGGCTGAATGGCTTAGGTGCCTCTCTAGCTCGCTTTGAGGGCTTCTTGTCTGAATCCATGATTGAAAGATATGTTCAGAGAGGTGGGGGCTTGGAAGTGTAGAAATGTAGAAGAATGTTCTGCTCTGCGAAAATACTCTGCTTAGGAGGCAAGGCTTCCTTATGTAACAAGATGTCGTCGCAAGATTTGTTGAGCTTGAATGTCCCGCTATCTCTTAGTGATTCAAGAAACCGCTTTCTCAGAGTCAATAACCCATGGATTTGGAGTCAAAAACGGTCGAAATCCTTGCCCAGCGCATTCACAGAGAGTGAAATGAGTAAGTCATCGATCACGTGTTTTCGTCAAAAATAGGGGTGAATGGGAATTCGGCATCTGCAGCTCATAGAACATCCAAACGACAGATATTTTGAGTTCCATATTGTCTAAATCTGCTGGGAACATGCAAAACGCACTTATCGGCATACTATGTGCTCACCGAAATGCCTTTTGTGTTCCTAGGAGCGGTAGATGTGGACGCAGTATTTGAGTCACCAGCTACAGGGATATATCACACAATGAAAGGAAGATGGAGTATAGAGAAGAGTAGAATCAAGACGCCTCTGAGATGTCTCCATCGCCCCGTTCCCTCACCTCCGGCTCACCCAAGTCGCGACTTCTGCGAGACAAATATGGTCCAAGTCGGGAACAGTAATCCCAAGCACCAAAATCCTACGTTATCGAAGCTTGAGCTCGCCCGCAACCGGATCGTAATCACCGAAGACCACTTCTCCATTCTTGTATATGACACCTAGGACATTGGCAGGCCGCTCTCCGCCTCCATGCAGGAATGCTGTAGGATCTTCTATGCGTATCCTCTCCCAAAGGCTCCACCAATCCTTCCAGGACATCAGGACATGCCTCCCTTGCCTTTTCGATCTGTTTATCACTGACGAAATGATGTCCATCCTCAGAGATGCCACCAGCGATGTCTCTCCGGTCCCATTGGAATTCTCCCCACAAATGCTCGCGCGCCTTATGTATGTCTCGCGCACCCATCGATCCTGTTCTTGCTTATCTGTCGCAGAGAGATCTTTGTATTGGCTTTGGCGCGCAGCCATCTCTAGGTCTCGTTTCGTTGTGAGGATACTTTTGGTGCCTGGTGGGGGGCTTGATCTCCTATGATCTAGGCTTGCGATGCTTGTATGAGGCTCTACAAGCTGTAGATTCAGTGTTGAGACATGCGTGTCGGACGCACCTGGGGAGGACTGAGTTCTTGATACCGATGGCCTCTCTCAACCGCGGCGACTTTTGCATAGCGTTTCGCCAGACATGCTGAGCTAGTCAGACATTTGGACTCCAGTGATTGTCTACCTTTTCCGGACTATAAGATTCTCTCGTCTTCTCCAGATGACGTGGTCGGCTTCTCGATAGTTGGAGATTCTTCATGACATGCTTCGACTGTGGACTTCTGATCCGTTTGACATCTTGTCTATCCTCTCAAAGGGTATTGCAAAATGTTGGATGGGTTTGGAGTTGAGTGTAAGCTGGTTCTTGAGAAAGAAAGGTATGACGGAAGAGGCCAACCTGGAATCTATCATAGCATAGAGCAGCCTGGGTGAATCACGGGGAGTGTGCATGGGGGAGTATGTGGACTGCTATACAGATGACTGAATAACCCGAAAGAGTTGGCACTACATGAGTCGTTGTATTCACTTCTTTTTGTCTAACTCGGATGAGGATATCAGGGTTAGAGTGTTCTGGCTGTAAATGATTTGCTCAGTTGATGAACTTCTCTGTTGATGATTTTCTCCGTTGATACTTCTCCCTGTTGATGATTAGGCCGTTTCGATGATTGTCGCAATTATACAAATATGTGGTAACGGGAGATAGAGGTGAATGTCACTTGAGTGGAATAGCTAATGGGATTCCCAGGGCATGTTGGCAAGTAGCGGTTGTAGATTCCTATTACTCAACACGGAGGTTTATAGTACTCGAGGAAAGTCAAAGTTTTCAGGAGGGTCTCTTTTGAAGTACTTATAAGTTGAGGAGATAAGATGTTAAAAACCAACCGTCATTGGTGAAGATCGAAGAAACTGGAACATAATGAATATCTGTAGTTCAAGTACTTTCAAAAGCCGTCCGAAGAAATCTTCCCCGATGGATGATGTAGGTTGTTTTCATTCTCATGCACGAATGGATGTATTCAGCTCAAGACAAAGTGATACATTTCCAAGAAACAGGTGTAATCGCATTCGTCGGACTACGTAAGCGAGCCCCTTTACCCCTGTACTAGCAAAACTAAGGGCTTCACTCAAAGCCGAATATGTTTGAGGACTTTGTCCAGGACAAAATTTTACCCAACCCACCAGATCCTGACACTGATATTGAGACTTAAGATGGTGACGATCTATACGTTCTCCTTTCTCAAAATCGCTTCGTCCTAGGCGCGTAGTACAGCTGATCCTTGCCAAAGGACTGAACGAGTAGGATTGGCTACTTCCTAACCCTTTTCTGGAGATCCTTCCAAGCAATATGCTCACTATGCCCCACGAATACCTCGCTCTGAACTCAAGGATCGTCGTGGCAATATTGCTTTAATGATAGCAGCTCCACGAAGATTTCGTACGACCGTCTAACAACTCTAAGAGTCTGGCGCCAATCCCGGACACAGTCAACTACTCTGCTAGATCCACCCTGTTCATGATCAAGAGTTGACTGAAGATCGCGACGAGGATTAATGATGATCATCAGTACGCTAGGATTGCAAATTGTGTCCCCATGCTCCCAGTGTCCCTGGCTCTCTTCGAGCCATCAATTCACCGACAGCAACTTTCCAAGCTTATCGGTAGCCAGCTACAGTCAAGCCGCCATTCATGAGATTTAATTCTTCGCGTCTGGATACTATAACGATGAGTAACACTCGGAGAGACGTAGGCACAATTAGTGAACTACGAACAGTGAATGATGGACTTTGGGTGTTCTGTCTTTGCACAGTGTTTTAGTATGGAAATTCGGTTGCATTGCAATGGATGATTGGACGTTGCTGGTAAATCCCTTTTCAAATTTGTACTTATGAACAATCTACCCGCATCTGGAAAACCGTGCAAACCAATTGTGACTTTCTTCCGCGACCATAAGGGAAGCGAAAAGGGGGCGCTCCGTCGCATTCACTTGCCCATCTCACTGAAATTTCCCCCAATGATGCTATAATCACCTTGCACCCAAATAGACTTTATCAACAGGTGCTTGAACTTCCACAGCCCGTCTGTGTCCCTAATCAGATCTCCACGGTACAAGCTACCGCCCATCAGATCATTCTGAGCCGGCTCCATTCCCTTACCCGCAACGAAGTGCTGCGAGAGCACTGTAGCCGTCAAGCTAGCCTCATGTTGCTCGGCGGAAAGAGCTGCCACTTTCATGTGCACACGCACATTGGAAACCATGTGCGTCGTGTCAACGCTGAAGATGAGAGCAAGTCCCGTTGCATGGATCTCGGGTAGTCCTGTCATGGAGCGACCGTTGACTTCAAATACGCCGTCTGGCATGAAGCTCGAGTCAAATAGGTCTTTGTCGTTTGTATCGAAGGCCATAACGCACCGGTACATCGCATCGACCACTGCTTCGTGGCCAGTCATGGGTGGGCTGAGTACCGCTGGGAGTGAGAATGGGGATGTCATGCTGGGTACTTTGTCTGAGGAGTCTATGATGGGCCTCCGGGTGACTTCTGTAGAGGGAGTTTGAAAGTGGACTATGGTATTTTCTCTTGGTAGTGAGATTAGAGAGAAGGTTGAGGATGATGGAGGCGAAAAAAAACTCGGGATTAAGCAGAGATACTGCACTTTCGAGGAGGACCGCTTGGTACTTAAATACACGCCGGCACGCCTTGCAGAACTACATGACCTTCGACTTTTACGTGGTCTTTTCAATGCGTGTAAAGCCCTTAATCTGTTTGATATGAGCTAATGTTGATGTTTGGACGAGTTGGAGGTATCAGCCAATCAGAGACTTTTACAGCCGATTTATGGCTAGTGCGACGTTCAATAGCCGAAAGTGGGTTAGCGTACAAAAGCTCTCTGGTGCGAAACTAGTGTCTCGTCCGGCTCCACCTGCATGCTCTTGTCATCCTTTCGAACTCCACCAAAACCCATGCGGTCACGGTGTCCACGGTAATTGATAATAACTCAAGGATGGCTTCAGCTTGCCCGAAAGAGACTTTGAAGCGCAGGATCATGCGGAGGTCGCGATTTGGGTGCCGAAATTGCAAGCTCAGAAAACTCAAAGTAGGCTTGGATAACTCCTCCCCATAGCATCTCGTTAATCTTACCGACTATGAAATCTCAGTGCGACGAAGGCAAGCCTCAATGCAAGAGATGCAGCTCGTTCGGAATATTATGCAATTTCAAGTCTAATGTCCCTGATCTGCAGTCCGTTGCCGATGACTCCGTAAGGTCACTGGTCGTTCCAGATAGAGTAGCTCTTCAGCCTCCTCCAACTAGTGCTATTTGGACATCTGATGCATCGACATCCTATCAATTAAACGCAAAGTGCCAAGACTTTGTAACCCGGTACTTGGGACGAAGTATTATTACACCAGATGACCCCAGCATGAGAGAAGTTAATGGCAAGCTCTTGTCATTGGCTTTCACCGTAAGTTTTATCCTTCTTATCCCTTGAAGTTTGAGCCGATTTATCTGTTACAAGACTCAACATCCGCTAATATATGATTTGCAGCACCCATTCTTGATGCACGCCTCTCTAGCTGTGGCACTTGCGTATGACCGCCATCTGAATAGCCCATCAAGCTCTTGTCGTACTGAAGAAGAGTGCTATCACTGGTATCAAAGCACAGTTCTCTTCAACAAACGATTAAGAGAGCCAATTGAAACGAAAGATAAAGATCCAATCTGGGGCACCGCTGCTGCTTTAGCCGTCTTAACCTTCTCGACCCCCGAATCCGATACACCAGAAGAATCATGGCCTCTAAAGCCCTCTGGTCCCTCAGATCTGGAATGGTTGCGCATGAGCAAGGGTAAAATGTCGTTATGGCGCATAGCTGACCCGCTGCGACCGGAAAGTCTATTTCGCGTCATGGCACCCACTTATGCTCAGATGAACTCGCCCCTACCAGAACAAGGTATAGATGGTATAACCAAGGACCTAGCCAGCGTGTGCCTTCTCGACAATTCCTCTACGGCAGAAAACAATCCGTACTTCAATGCTGCTCATGCATTGTCCCAGATCCTGGATCTCCCCGATAGCCAGCTCACGACTGGTCACACGGAACTTTTCACGGGTACCATACGTGGCCCTTTCAAATCTTTGTTGTTGGAAAAGGATCCTGTGGCTCTTTTGTTGCTGTATCTATGGTATCGCAAAGCGGGTCGTAGTATGTGGTGGATTGGGGCTAGGGCTAGAGTGGAATGTCCGGCGATTTGCTCGTACCTACGGCAACATCATGAAGGATATCACGCTGCACATGCGTTTTCCCCGGGAGGGGCTTCCGGGGATAGATAGAGTACAAATGGATTGTTAAGGTATATTGTGACGAGTGCTAGTTGTGAAAGTGAGACGAGGCTATAACAAACTGGGGACAAAAAGGGTTGATGATAATGACCCATGAAATTCTTTTTTGGAATGACTGACACTTGGCTCAGAAACGGAAGCTGAGGATATACGACACCTGAGAACAGCTCGAGAAAACCCAGCAACTGAGATGATCAATAAATGTTGCAAATGGCAGTTGCGGATATGCGTTACTCGAGGAGTCACTTGAGCGGGAGGTCTCAATAGCAGAGGAGATTCAGAGACTGAGGTGTTTCAGATTTTGAGAATTCATGCCAACTGAGGAAAAAGGTTATTTGTAGTTTATCGGTTCCTGTTAGACAAGGAATATCGAAGAGACCAACTTTTCATCGAGCTCTACTACCGGCTCCAAGAATCAATCCTTTTCGAAGATGATGTTCTCCGCCAATGTCTCCCTCAGCGGCCTCCATCCATCCTGATTCCCCCACTTCTTCAGCAGAGCAATCACTTTGGTTTCATCGGTCGACAACCCGAGATATGGGGCATCCGGAAAGTCTACAACAAACTGATGTTGCGGACGGAGTTTCCGTAGAATAGCAAGAAGGTCATTCCAGCTGGCGTGCCGACCCCAAACTTGAAGGCGGGCGTTTTTGACCTCGGGGTCAAGGACTGCCGCCACGTGCACCAATGCAATATCCTTGACGTCGACAACAATGGCTATAAATAATCAAGTTAGAGAACAGATATTCTGAAGATATAGGGAACTGAGAAGCTCGTTGCCCTAGAAAACATATTGAGGAACTCACTAGCAGGAAGCCCGAGGTTTGCAGTCTCGCCACGGAAAAGTTGCGGTACCCACGACCCTGTCGAACGGACGTAGTTTGGATGAATCGGCTCACCGAGAACAGTGCCAGGACTGACGACGTTGGTTGTAAAATGCGGCTTCTTCTCCTCGACGATTTTCCACACTGCCTTCTCGGCTGCAACTTTGCTCGCGAAGTATACCACGAAACCTTGGAAGGGCCCATATGGAGGAGGAGTCCATGCAAGTTCCACCGCTTTCTCATTCCATGAATCTTGGTCCACGTGGATTTTTTCAGATTCAGGGTACGCTGCTGCTGCGCAAGAACTCGTGTACACGAACTGCTTGACTGATGGTTCCTTCAGTGCCGCCACTACCAACAGATTAGTATTGTATTTGTGTCCGGGGCGAGAACCAGGAGAGGTCAGTGTGACAATCAGTATGCAAGGAACGCTGCCCCAATGATAAGAGAGCTCAAGAAATGGGACGAGGAAATATATTGGTTACACATGATTGAAGTGGCGACGGCGACGGTCAGTGGTATGACTTCATTCGGATCAGGACTGAATCCAATAACAGTGGCCACATGAACAATGGCCGAGACTCTCTTGACAGCTCCGTCGAATGCGTGCTCGGCACCGAAGTCCGCTACCTCTACCAGCTCGAAATCGCCAGTGTCTGCATACGACTTGAAGGCCTCGGTCGCAACCCAAGAGGCATCTGAGATATTTCGAACTGTACTGCGGACTTTGTAACCGCGTTCGAGAAACTGCTTGATGATGTGTGATGCCACGTAACTTGTTGCGCCGGTCACCAGGACCAAAGAGCCTTTCGGGATGGTGGTCTTTAACTCTGTCATGATGGTGATTGGATGCACTGGTGTATGTTGAAAGAAGATACGTTGGAAGCGTCGAGGTACAGCAGTTATATATAGCAATCATGTCGTGGAAGGTCGGCAGGACTTTTGTACCATTTGTAGTTGATTTCAAATCTATCAAACTATGGTCTTGCTCCTCATAAATTGGTGGGGCCCTGCATGTTCGAAAAGGGAAGGATCAAGTCTTGGCATCACCCCTCAAGTTGTCTCTCTGCAAGACCACCGCAAGACCGGGGTCTGCCTACGGAGTTGCCTTGATCATGATGTTCCAGAGTACCGGTGGGTATTTCATCGGGACCAGGCGCAGTCCCAAGGAACTCCTTATTAGCTATGAAGCTCTGGACAAGAGAACGGAGAAATGAGCTTAGACCGAAGGTTTTAGCTCCATCATTGAGTTCTACCATCTTAGTAGCTCCGAGCACATGGTTTCGGAAAGTGATTATATTGCCGAGCACCGCCTAGTGTGGGTTGTCAGTCTCAGTTGACGAAACAGTTGTGTTGGTGATTCTACCTCCTCCAGCGCCAGCGCTAGGGCATTGGCAATAGTGCTGCTGTTCACCGACGATGGGCCCCTCAATACAGCTTCTCCAAGTTTGTGGAGGCTCACAAGCTTGTACTGTATTGCTAATAGTCTGTATTTCTGCTCCTGGTCTTGATACAGACACAGATGGCGGCATGCTGAAAGAAAAATGCTGCTCAAGAAGCCTATATCGGTGAGGGCGAGCTGCAGCCAGTCGGACATCATACTGTGGAAACCATTTTCAATACCTTTGAAGAAAATACAATTTTCCATCGTCTCAGGGATGATGATTCGTACGTCTACATCTTGTTAGCAGCTCAACCCGAACCACTACAAGACAGGACTTCAGCTAAAGCACAGGCACACTCACAATAATCAAGCAGAAAGTTCTCTATGGGCGTAAAGGGCTTTACAAAGCTGGAAAAGGGGTCTCTACGATCGGGTGCCAGCAGGCTTACTGGGTCGGACAGAATCTTCGCATCCGATTCAGCACTCCTTCCAACAGACGTGGTCGTGTAAGATTTATCTCCATCATTCACTAAAGATTCCCGGACACCCTGCTTGGCAGTCTGCAGCTGATAGTTCATGGCCCGGAGGCGTCTCGCCCGGGCATGCGTCTCACGGGCCGAATGAGAGCGAGCCTGTCGCCGTGCGGCTGTTGTTGTCTCCTTCGTCTTCCCCGTTGCCGCGCTGGATAGGTTGATGAACTGTATCTTAGGCTGCATACTACCGGACATGGCGACTGAAGCTGTATATTCCTATGAGAATCGTGATGTGTGTATTGAGATTTGCAAATCTAGACTTTGAATGACAGGCTCGCGGTGAACAAAATTTCCCAGAGTAAAGAAGCCTGCCACCGACATTGCGTTCAATTGCTCTGACTTCTCCTTGGTCCGCCGCGAGGGCGGGAAAGCTTGTTTGGGCGGGGTTTGTGGTTGTAAGTTTGTAAGCAGTAAATTAGTCATCCTATTCTTGCCAAGACTTAATCCTTCCTATTACGGTATGGGCTACTAATTGGTAGGTCTTACTTTGGCAATTTTGAGCTCATCGCCATAATGCATGCGTTTTATTGAAATTTTCCAATCTTGACTTGATATGTCCAGTGCCAGTGTATCTGTCGGATTGGAGGGGAGTCATGGGACCCCAATGACTGAATCACATAGTAAATTACTCAAGCAAGGCGATTATAATGTTGTCAAGTCAAGCCAAAAGCTCGGGGAAAATCCCCAGCAAGACCCTCGAGAGCATTTCAAGCCCCCAGAGCCTCACCCCCAACTGTCCTTTAGTTATTGTGCAGTGTTAGTGGTTTTTGTGGGTAACATGTCGCAGCTTTCTTCAAGCTAAAGCATTTCGAAATTGCTATCGAGATGGTAGAGGCGTCGTCACCTCTACATCGAATATTGGATCTAAGGCATCAGCTTTGGTGGAGAATGTGTTGAGACTATTTTGACAAATACTAGCAAATTTGTTTCTGACACGTTCATGGATCTCAGGACTCGTAGCATATATCAGCCGCCTGCTAGTACCGTAAGCAAGTTTTCCAAAGCGAACAAGTGAGCAATCCATCAATAGTAGAAATTCTGAATCCTCCAAAGTCGAGTCATCGTGCCCCCTCCTCTCGTGAATCTAAACATCACCTATCAACAAACTTCAGCTCAACCCATCTCAAAACAGGATACGCCACCCCGGCAAACAAGAACCCCAACTCAGATCCTAGATCTCCGCCTTCACTTCCAATCATCTTTCCCACCACACCCGTATACCATGCTTCGCTCATCCCCAAAATCGCACCCATGCAGCCTACTAGAAAAGCGAAGATCGCGGCAACTCCGGTTGGCAGTCTCTTCCTATCATTCCATGCACTTAAATCCCAGCCTCTATTCATCCAGACCCTGAAAATCAGATGCTCTTCCACGAAGATGACCCAGTAGATGGTACACCAGTATCCGATGATAGCCATCAGATCTGAGAGCACAGTATAAAGATCATTGCGTCCAACAATAGCCATGATGACCATGATAACGCAAGAAATAAGCGTGTACACGTATCGAGGTAGCATCAGCGCTTTCGAACCGAAGATCTGCGTTGTAATGGAGATCGAGTAGTAATTGAAAACATTGTTAGAGATAAGGGACCAGGCGAATATGAAGATAAAGAAATAGCGGACTGGACCTAAGGGGCGGAGGACAATTTCCAAACTTTTACACATTAGCTGAAATGCAGATGATTTCGAGGAGAAGGGAACAAACAGATCAGCAACACTCCCATTATCGCTCCAATTCGCAGCCCAAGCATCATCTGTCCATAGAGCAGTCGCCAAGCCAGCGCCGCATGTCATGGCGAATGCAGGCATGACATACATTCCCAGGAAGCTCATCAGAAAGATCTTCCATGATTGGGTCTTGACAGGGAAGTAGATATAGTAATCAGCGCTGATAGCTACCCAGCCGGAGAAAGAGCCATAGACAACAGCGATGTAGGATAGTATGAGTCCTGTTTGCGTTTTTGTATCCAGGGTTGTGGGTGGTGCCATTGAGGTCTCGAAATGAGAAGCTCCGACTGCCAAAAAGGAGATGAACACTATTGTTGGACCAATCCAAGCCACTCTACTTAATATCAGCAACGAACTGAAAGAATCAGAGGAAGGCATACCTTTCGTAGTAGTGGATATACTTAAACCCTGCCGTGCCAAGAAACCACGGCACTAGCCCCATAATAACCATTCCCGCAATCGTGGGGAGTCTTCCCTTTGACAGCGTATTTAAGGTCTGTCCACCAAGAATGCAGTCAAGAACTCCGTACACGATGTTGGTAAGGTTGTTGAGGGCTGCAATGATCATAGCTCCGTAGTAACCGAAAATGAAACGAGTATTGACCAAAGCACGAAGTCCATTCTTCTTGCCAAAGATTGCAAGATATGCCGAGACAGAAGTTCCAAGGGCACCAGCTCCCCAGATAATGGCACATGTTTGATTGAATGTGAGATTGAACACGTTTGGACCAAGTAGTCCAGCTGTCAACGTGCCAATGGTGAGACCGGCTGATGCCCTATTGCACAGGATTAGCACTCTGGTAGTGAACGGAAAGGGGGAAGTACCAAATCATACAGAGACCCCAGTATGATTGAGGTGTTCGTTCATCTGGTCTAACGGGTTGGATTCCTCGTGCTTCGACACCGAGACTCTCGAGTTTGCGAGACCATTTTCCGAGCACGCCCCAATAGGAGCTGGAGATGTCTTTGTTGGAGATGAGATCGTCATTGTTTGCGAAATCGATATCGCCAGGTGAGAGGTCAGCAACTGGTGTCGTCTTCTCTTGGATTCCCTTTTCTGCGTCCATGGTTGTGTTGATGGATTGAAGAGAGCTTAAATGAGAATTGGGATCAAGAGCGCAGCCTGAACACTGTTTTGTAAAAGCGCGAGAAATTGATTCGAGGAAAGAAGGAACACGAGGAAGGATCGTGATGAACAGTGGCGGTTATCCTGATAAGAGGTTGTGCGACGTGGTACTGCAGATATCCGTCGGAATGATTGTCGCGTCCCTGCTGTGCGAGAGTGGACCTTGCAGGTGGATCATCAACGCAGCTGGAGATGGTTGTAGATAAATCAAGATAACATACAGATGGAGAGATAAGAAACCCGATTTCGGCTAGCAGGCAACGCGTCCTTGAGAACCATTTTGTCAAAGAAGGCAGTTTTTCCGGCTGATTGGGAAGCTACGATGGCTGTGAAATTGGAGCACACTCGAAAGGTTTACCTTGTAAGAAAAATGTCCAGACGATATGTTATTCTATAGATCTTAGTTCCAGCCGGTATCCAAGCTCATTACAGGTTCAAATGGCTTGACAAGAGCGACCTGGACTTGTAATACATTTTCACGTGACTCACCTCTACTCACAGACAAACGTACCTGAACTTTTACGGTCTTTCATTTTGATACTGGCACCTACCCTAATACTGAGGATATAACTGCTGTGTATAATCAAAGCCACCAAGCTGATCTAAGCCATTCGTCGGGTAAGGATCTGAATCAGCAGAGTCAGTAAAAGTGCATCTTGACACGAGGTATGGAAGCTCACCCCAGAAAATCGAATCAAAAAGATCCATAGGCGACATATTTAGAGTCTGATCGACTTGTGGATTCGACAAATCAACTGGCGCCATCATTTGTTGTGTGTAGTCAAGCCTGAATTATTGTCAGATATGCTTGATTCACAACCTTGGCATTCACGGTAAATGGCAAGAAAGGGGAGGAAACACTCACGGCGGCATAATCCCATTCTGCATACTGGCCATCGCCATGGCTGCATTTTGTTGCTCAAATGTCGTCGGGTCTTGTTCCAGGGCCATACTTCCATCAATTGGCGCACCGGTGTTTCCAGGGACTCCTCCTTTAGGTCGCTCAACCACCCATCCATGATCATAAATATTCTTCAGCGCAACAAGTGCTCTCGAAAGCGGTCCACTCAATTCGATATCTCTATCGCTTTTCGGTAAACTTGGAGATGTCTGCTCCTTTGATGCGGCAGTTGATAGTGCTGATATCAAGTTTCCTTGCAAAGTTCGCACTTCGGGATCTGTTTTCGTCTCTCCCAAGATCCCGAGTAAGACTGCCGACGAGAGACCATGGTACGTGAATGCCCATGATCTGGTTGGAATGACAGATAAGGAATGCATCTTCAGATACATGCGAACTGTCTCGGCAAGATTCTCCTTGCACTTGTCGGCTAGAATCTGCTTCTGCGTGCTATTCATCCCAGGACTTTCGCCTCGTCGGAGAGCAGGCCGACAAAGCACTGACACGACGAATGAAGTGTGGAGTATTATGGCGCAGTGTTGAAGTCGGTCTTGAACTGTTTTGCAAGCCTCTTTGATGCGAAGTTCAGGTCGTACTCGTGAGCGGATGTTCTCAACCTCAATAGAGTCGGCAATTATTTGGTCAAACTCGGGTTGTGAGCTTGTGTCATTATTCACGGATTGCAGAATCTTTTGGCAGAGGTGATACATGGCTTCAGTGTATGTGAAACCTTCGGTAAGAGCTGTCGGACCGAGAGGCAGCTGGCATCTAGTCATGATGGCTATGGGTGAGCGATCGAAAGAGAGTGAGAGGAGACTATCTTGCCAAACGATAGTCCACCTGATGTTGTCAGCGGTGTATCCTAGAAGTGGGGACGTAGCCTTACCAGAGCTTTCTTCGAGGTAAATCAGTCTCTGCCGGTGTTGGTGCTCGCGCGTACTCGTGTGGCCCTCGGTGCAACCCTAGTGCTTGGGCAAGTCTACATGTCAAACCTATCAATGCCCATGATGCCTCAGCTTTCATATCATTTGCGAGCACGAATCCGAGGATGAGAAGTGCCTGTAGAGACTCAAGCGAAGGGCGGATGAGAAAGTTCGAAAGTCTGAGACAGTGGAATGATATTTGGACTTTCGGCGTCAGTAAATAGTTTCAGTTTGAGTCATATATTCATACCAAAGGCTTGGGATGTTGCAACACGTTTGTGATATGGAAGTTCTGTATAGTTCGTCGACACAGCTAGGACAGCAAAGAGCATGCCCAACCAAGCTGACGAGACTCCTTTTGATCCAGTGGCAGGATGCTTCGCACTCGCTACTCGATCTTCTAGATAGATGCATAGCTTCGTCTCGAAGTCTTCGATGTCGATGAGGAGGCCCCAGAATGGTTGAACGATTTGTTTGTATATTTGAAATGACCTTGAATGGATGAGTGTCGGAGACCGAACTGGATATGAGTCACTTACTTGAGAACCTCTCTGTCTGTAGGCAAAGCAGCTGCAATGTCCAGTCGAATTCTGTCCATATGTTCCTTAGACATGAAAGGGTAGGGTGCTGAGGATATTTGCAAGCCAAGTATTGGCATAATATCCTTACGGATAACGTCTTGTTCCCCATCTACTGCAGGCTCCCCCGCTCTTGTCTCCTCACTCAAGAATGCGGCTATGCTGTTCTGACCCAGATACCGTGATTCATTGGGATCCTCCTCATCTGTTGAGACTTAGCTCATGTACCTCGGACTACCTCGGGACGTCATGCTGAAAGGTGACCGTCGTATGATAGGAGACGAGTTTGTTCGGGGAAACGAGGAGAACAATACAAGCAACAATATATAAGAGAGCGAATCAGAGTATGAAAATCCGGGGCTCCGCAAGTCCAGTGGCAGACCCCGCGGATGTGTTATCAATCTACATGTGAATTTAAGCTTACCATTAGTTCTAGGCCAACGATCGTCCTCTTTTCTTAGTGAGCTCTCACTTCCGGGTGAGCGACCCCTTTTCGTTCCCGTGACTGTACTTGATGAAGACTTTGACGCATTCTGCTTTGGGTTGTACGAACACAAGTTCGCGTGATCTCTCTTTACGCAGTTCTCACAGGGCTGTTTATTATCACATTTCACTTTTCTTTGTCGACAGGGCCAGCAAGCGGTGCCTGAATATCCTTAGCCTCGTGCGACGGACGGGTGGGGTGATACAAGATAAAAAACAAAACAAAAGCAGGTTGAGACAGAGTTGGGGGAGGGGCAAAGTGCTCACCGTATCGCACTTTACGATGCGAATGGATGATCCGGTTGGCCTCATCCGGTGTCAGATTCTCTATTGGATCTGGGGGCCCCTCACTACTCATGTCGCAGTATGAGATATCGAGTCGCTCGAAGGACGTGAGGGGAGGCGTTAATCGACCGTCGGAGAAGGGTCGGTATTGTTGAAGAAGTTCGGAGTGTTCCTCGACGACTTTTACCAGTTTTAGGTTCGGCATCTTACTAATCGACTACACGTGTTAAAGTGGAGACCCTTGCAACGACCATATATCCCAAGCTTCCCCGAGCAATGGCACACATCGGACTCTTGATGCTCTTCAATGTCGGACGGATGATATCGCGCATCACACACAGAACCTGCAGATGTGCAACGTGAGTCCGGCGACCCGGTTGTGTGATATATACCCGTCACGGCACTGTCAGCTTGCACCTGGACACGTTATTGGCCCCTTCTTCAGACGCATCGGGACCAGCAAATGAGGGGTATAGCCCAGCAGTTGTTTGAAAATAGAGTCTTGGCTCAACATCTGGAAGGCTCTCATCACTGTTGGCTAGTGATAAAGGATGCAGCTATCCGAAAGCAAGTTCTTTCGCCCATGCGTGCAGCATCCATAAATGGTGGGGTTTCCCTCCATCAACGACGCTCGGAGAATCCCCATTCCGGGTGAGGCTTGTCGCGTGAGGCGCTGAGACGGTTCGCATGGAACAACCAACAATTGGAAGTGTGGGATGGGAGAAGAAAGGCCCAGACAGAGTCTTCGGTATCAGTCTCGGGGCTTTTTCGACATCCGGGATCTTTCTCTGCATCAGACAACCGCCAGCTTGTTCTTACACGTGATTAGGACGAGCTCTGATGAATGTAGAGGATATCCTTCACTTTGGAGCTTATACGTGCTTGAAAAGTAGTTAGTATTAGGCAAGTGCAGCCCTGAAGTGTCTCGTAGTTTTTACATTATTCACTGAAGGCTTTCACGAGTAAGTCAAGTAAACGCCTTGGCAGAAAGGTCGGAAGCAGACCCCGGCCAGTAGATGGTAGTGCATCAACATCAAAAGGAACTCCCCCTGGCATTGCAGATTCATCTCCATATCTTTACCAGCCGTAAGATTCACAAAGTGTAGGCGTGCTCAACTTCGTGAGGCCAAGGATTACCTGTAAGTACCTACCGAGATAGGTGAAAATCCTGGACGATTATCTTAGCTGGTAGGCCTTCAACACTCGACCGCGGCAATCAAAGAGCCTTAGATAATCAGACATATACACACTCTCTTTTCTCCTTCTCAGTTGCTGGAAGTTGTCGTCGATGCTGCGCTCATCACGTGCTACTGGCATGTCACCGCAGCTTCCTGATATGTTGAGAATTAGGCGAGCGCCTCCCATGTCTTAAAATAGAAAGCTGAGTCTAGCAACGACATCTCACTGTAAGCTTCATTTTCGCGCTCAAATATCTCAAATCAGACATCTTGAAGGGTCATTTGGGGTGCCAAGATACACGTGATTCCTTTCTCGATTCACCTCATACCTAGGTACTCGTGAGTTTTCAAAAGCAAACCTGCCTCTAGATCATTCCCTGACATATCTAAAAGAAACTTCAAGCTCAGTCCTTCAACTTTCGCCTTTTCTGATTTCTATCAGCAACCATGCGCAGGAAAGCACTCTTGATCGGTATCAACTACTACGGCACTAAGCATCAACTTAACGGCTGTATCAACGATGCGCTCAACGTCCAGAGATATCTTGTTGAAGATCGAGGTTTTAATCCTGCGCCACATGACATGGTTGTCATGACAGACGATCCCAAGAATCGTGGCACACCGTTTGAACCTACTGGCAAAAACATGATGGAGGTTTGTTACTTCTATCTACAATATCGTACCTGTTGCTAATAATATTTGAAGGCTTTCAAGTGGTTGGTAACAGGGAACAATCCTGGAGACTCGGTCTGGTTGTCCTACTCTGGCCATGGAGGTACTACTCTCTTCCTCGATCCACCCCGTCATCTTCTAATTTTCTTTCTTCAGCGCAAGTCAAGGATCCCGATGGAGATCGCGAGTCAGGGTAAGCGAAGTGGTTACGATATGAAGCAGAAGAAGCAAGTATGCTGACGCATTTTCAGCTTCGACGATACTATATGTCCTCTTGATTTCCAGACCAACGGCCAGATAGACAGTGATACTGTGAGTAGTTCGCTAGGTAATGGTGCAAAAGCGTAATCTGATATCATGCAGCTTCACAGAGTTCTAGTATCGCCTATGATCCCACAAGCTCGGCTAACCGTCCTCTTTGATTGCTGCCACAGTGGCTCCGCAATCGAACTTCCCTACGTCTATCGGCCCAACTCCCAAGGTGAAGTCAACCTCGTCGACAATGTAAAGAAGGGCATCAATCTCGCCAGTCAAGCATACCAGCTCATGCAAGGAGGCTTCAATGCTCGGAAGATTCAAGATGCGAAGATGCTGATAGGAGGTGCTAAGAGTTTGCTTGCTAGCTTTCAACATCGGGAGCAGGAGCATAACGAGGATGGTCTTGGCGAAGAGAAGTTCATGGAAGATTGGAAGCATGAGGGGAAGGATGTATGGATGTTCAGTGGCTGTGCTGATAATCAGACATCTGCCGATACTAGTATTGCTGGAGCTGCGACCGGTTCGCATACACATTTTCATCATGGGTTTTTCATTTTTTACTGACTGAAACATGCAGGCGCGATGTCTCATGCCTTCATTTCGACGATGCGACAGAGTCCCAACCAGAGCTACGTTCAAGTTCTGCAAAGCACGAGAGCAGGGCTGGCTGGCAAATATCAACAGATCCCTCAACTATCTTGTGGCGGAGAATATAACCTGAATCAGCCAGTATCCGTGAGTCTGAGCTCCACGATTGTGGTTAAGATATAGCTGACAGTTGTGTTAGTTCTGATCGGCGCGACAGGTATATACTATCTGGGTCTCAAATTGCTTGCTCTTGCGACTAAGTTCTTGGACATAATGCAACAATGAAATGCGTGATCTTTCAGTATGTCTTGATATCAGAGTTTTGATGCTTGGCGCAAGTGCGAGGGCTTGACTACCTGTGGGTCTGAATCATATCCATGACGCGAGCGTTCTCTTCCCAATGATTCCCATGATTCTATGATCCACTCTTTATCACAACGTCTCCCAGGCATATCCATATAATGCTTGGCATACACTCTTACAACTTACAGTTCCCAAGACTTTCTTCAACTTCTCACTACTCAAACCTAGGTCAGGTTCGAACAGAAGATACACAAACGATACAACCATGCCGACGCAAAAGCTCTCTGACGCGGATCTTAAGAAGTTGATGAAGGGGAAGAAGTCATCGACTCGAGTTCCTCTGTCATCGCAGGCAAGTTCTGTGAGGCCCACCATGCTACAACGAGATTCTAAAACTTCGACGTCGAAGTCTTCACGAGACAATAATTCGGTTCAAGCGACCATGCTTCAGCGAGACAGAACTTCTGCGCAGCCAACCATACCTCAGCGAGACAAATCTTCAGTTCAAGCAACCATGCTTCAACGAGACAGAACTTCCGCGCAACCCACCATGCTTCACCGAGACAAAAGCTCCATCCAACCAACCCAACTACTCCGAGACAAGTCCTCCGTTCAAGCTACCATGCTCCAACGAGACCTGAAATCCTTTCCACCACCTGGCACGAAGAGCTTCTTCCGCAACAAGAGAGACGAAGAATTTGCATCTCGCCAACGGAACTTCGATAAACTCCCCAAACCAGAGCAACAAGAAAACGAGGTGTGGGTCCAAGACTACATGAAGCGCTCGGGTCCTTGTCCGCAAAACTTCAAGTGGGAGAGAAGAGGCAAAGGTCTCCACTGCACCGGCGGCAACCACTACGTGACCGACGACTTGATCGCCGAAGGAAAAGGTGGCATGATGTTCGTCCCGCTGGACTTCGGGGGCAAATGGGGAGTCCATTGGGGTCCATACTACCGCGATCCAAATGTCAAAGGCAGATATGTGTATGGTGGCCCGAAACCGGGTGGCAAGCATCCTTCTGGAGTCCCGGTGCGGTATGATGTCGGGCGCTGTGTTTTTGAACCTGGGCAAAATGCTTCGAACAACATATACATTGCGGAGAATGAGAAGAGGGCCCGAGAGTTGGCGGAGCGGAGGGGAGAGTTGAAAGCTGGAGCGCCGCTCTCCTCGAAGACACCGCAAATGAATAGCAAGGTTGTGAGAGCGCTTGATGCTGTGGGTAGGAGCAGGCGGTGATGGGTGGGGAGGAGATGAACGATCTTGGGAGTTGACAGGCTGGTCTGCAGGCATGCGAAGACAGCCTGGTGGCGATGATGCAGGTTGGTGTTGATGGTATGGACAGAACTCGCAAAAGACGCTCGGTATGTTTCAAACCTCATCTGTTTGTATGCTAGACACTTATCGCAGATCAACATCTTCTCATACCCCTTCGATGGTGCTGAATCATGTATATACGCATTGCGGCATCAACAAAATGAAACAGTAGTTCTTTTCCGGACCATGGCGCCATCAGTTGTGAATCATCCATCAACGCAGTCGAACGAGTGAATCTTGGGTATGTGATTCACGACGAAGGGTATAAAATCTCCAGACATCGATGACAGAGCTTCTCCTTCTCCTTCATCAACATCACCATCATATTCAAACGCATTTCGCAAAAGTCTCGCAGTTCAACTCAAGCTACTCGCAAAGATTACATCTCACAGCCTCACGGCGAAGGACTGACAGCGATACCGAGAGCACGCTGAACATCAACGAGTCTCCTTGCTAGCAGTAATGGGAGTTCATGGTAGGAATAGTGCAGAGACACTCGAGGTAGCATGCAATCAAATGTTCTGACATGGGAAAGACTAACAAGAATGACAGAGTCCACGCATGTTCACAGACTAAGGTGCTCTGGCCTGGCTCGTTTCCTCCTCCCGAGGTCGAAGACCTGTCACGATCCACGAATTGAGGCCCAATACAGCGGAACATGGGTGGATGTACATCGTTAAGGACACCGAGGGTCGCGTCTTGGGAGGAGAGTATGGCGAGTTCGGTGATCTCTGCTTGAAACCTCGAAGGCCAGAAGAGGACGGGGAGGAAGCGCTGCCGAGGGACATGGTGGTGAGAAATGATACTTCCTCCAGCTTTCTGGCTACTTTCTGACAACCAACGCTGTAGTAAACATATCATGAAAGTCCTCCTCGCCATGCTGCACATGGAACGCACCATGCTGAGTCCCATAGACTCTCCCCAACCTCGTCCTAATGAACTCCACCGCCTCCTCACCAGAAAGCTCTTCCGGCACCTCTAGCCAGATACCAACACCACGATACCGCTTCACGAACTCCTCATAAAGATCCGGACCCAATGCCTCCAAAAGCCCCTCCCTCTTCCAATCCGGCTTACTCGATCTCAAGTAAGACAGACTTTCAGCAGCTGGAAGAGGATCCCTCAACCCCAAATAAACCTTCTTCAACCCCGTCCACGGCACCAACCACGGCCCATGATTCCTCCCTGCCAGCTGACAACACACACTAACATCAACATCAAACCCAATCCTCTCCACCTTCTTCATATCCTCCCCATTAACCAACCTCTTCAAATGATTCGCACAAGACCACTGTCCCACAATACCTTCATTCCACTCTCTCCCAAAATACAGCACATCCCGCTCAAAGTTAAAATACACCTTCGCCTCCAGCGCAGGATGATCGTCCCACCGCTCAGAGACGTCGTTGAAGTCCGTCGAGCCGCGGAAGCCGAAGGATAGGGTGTAGTGCTTTGATCCCACGGCACGGGATTCGGCGCACACGTGGAGGATGGGAGGGATGGGGGCGCGGAGGCCGCGGTCGGTGATGGCGTGGATGGTGACGATTCGTTGTAGGCAGGCGAAAGCTTCCCAGATTGAGGTGCGGATTTCGAATGGGAGGGTGCGGAAGCGTGAGAGGTCCGGGATTGGAATGGTGGAATTGCTGGCTGAGAAAGGATTGGATGGGATTAATGCTTCTGTTTGAGTTGAGCTCGGTCCTGACGTCGTTGTGGGTTGGTGAGGTCTTTTCTCGTAGCAGTTCCATCCGGGACGGTAGCTGTGTTAGTGTGAGGAACGCTCAATGGGTGGGTAAGGTGGTGGGGGGATTGTACTGACGCCCAGTCCCCGGGATTCTTTCGCGCGCATTGTTTTGTCCTTGCCATTGTGTTCGAAGGACGAATGGCGGACTGGTATGACGGGGATAAGATAGGATGGATGAATGATAAAAGAAGAGAAGAGTATTCTGTTTTATAGATCAAACACAGATCCGATGAGTTGGTAGCGAGATGTACACGTGATGCTGCCTGGAGGAGGTAAATTGATAAACCTGCCAATCACTTGCACTTGCAACCAACATCCAACGTGCTGTGACTCATGAATAATATAGTGCCCGACATGCTCTGAGTGGAGCCTTTGATGAGCTCATCCAATACTTCGCCTGGCCTACTAGGTTAGGAAAATACTCCAAGCTGAGACAGCAGGATGGGTTGGAATCGTTGATCAGTATCGGCATATATACAGAACCATGTCGGTATCTCCCACCTAAGATGTGTTAATATATGCCAACATAGTCTTAAAAACCCGTTTGCCAACTAGGCACGTATAAGGAGTCTCTCAAAATAGCCTTGGCCTTTGAGGTCGAGGTCGAGGTCGAGGTCGAGGTACTTGCTCGCTTAATCTTCACAGGGATATATCCTCACCCACTCCCACCCATGTATTCCCCCGCAAACGACAAGGAACTGATTGGAACCAAAACACGAGCTTACCGCCACCACGCCAAGCTTCCTCCTCATCCGCCGCACATCAAAGCTAAACACCACCACTAACTCGATCACCAGAATAAAGGCCAGCCAACAACACCAGGTCCCCCTAGCGAACAATGCACCACCAAAGACCCGTCCCCAAACGAACCCGCAAGATCCACGCTCCTAAAGTCCGGACCGGCTGCATCACCTGCAAGTAAGCCTTCCCTTTCCCCCCACTTCCACCACGACGGCACAGCAAAAGCTTAGCTAACCATCCCGCAACCTCATTAGAATCAGAAGAGTCAAATGCGACGAAACCAAACCAGCCTGTCTCCGCTGCATAAAGTGGGGAGGCGACTGTGACGGCTACGCGAGTAAACCCTCTCAACCACCTCCCGACGCTATCAAGAAGCGCCTGATCCTCCCCGCCGCCATCACCGAGCCCCTATGTCGCTCACCCGCTAATTCGCCGTTTACCAACGATCTCGAATACCAGGCTTTCCAAGAATTCTCGCAGCATACCGCCAAACACCTAACCGGGTTCCGGGACTCGGATATCTGGAGTAAAGTCGTCCTCCAAGCCTCCGAGACAGATTCATGTATCCGGCACGCCGTGACGGCCATCGGGGCTTTGAATTTCAAGGATTGGGTAAGGAAGGATAATGAGAAGGCACGGTTGGAGTTTGCGTACCGAGAGTACGATAGAGCGATCGTAGGGCTGAGGAACGCGGGACCGCAAGCGGACATCAGGACGAAGCTGATCTCGTGCATCTTGTTTGCGTGTTTCGAGTCCTATCACGGCAACAGCGAGACGGCGACCGCGCAGGTGTTTGCGGGCATCGAGTTGATGGAGCAGTATTCGCGCCAGCGCCTCCGGCCGCCATCGACGACGACCGAGTATGTCCAGCAACGAGGAGGCCCAAATTCGAAGAGCATGCCCCCGCTCGACAAGGAAATCGTCGAGACGTTCATGCTGTTCGAGATACAATCCTCGTCCTACTCCGACGGGCGCACCACAGACAAGCACCGCGAGCGCATGAAGAGATTCGGCAACACGGTCCAGAAAATCCCCAAGGAGTTCACGACCCTCAAACAAGCATCCTCGATGCTCTCCCGCATCCTGCTCTGGGGCATCCACGTCCGCTTCACGCAAGACGGCACCGATTTCACGCCCCCCTCCGCCGCTTCATCCGAGCAACTCCCGCCGCTTCTCGGGCTCCGCCGCTGCACGACCGTGTACGCCGAGCTCGCGAAAGCGATGAACAAGTACAAACAATGGGAATCGGCCTTCGAGCCCCTGCGCACTAAAGCCCGGCGCGCGCCCGGCTCGAAACTGTTTAACGGGGTGGCGCTGCTGCAGTTGCATTGTCTGTCGTCGTACATCTGGCTCGCGGCCGGCTCGCCCAGTCGTGCGATGTACTATAGGAAGTATACGCGCTACCTGCGGGAGATTGTTGATTTAGCTAAGATTTTGAACGCGCAGCAGACGGAGGGGTCATTTTCGCTGGATTTTAGAACGGTGTTGCCGTTGATGATTGTGAGTGCGAATTATCGCCATATAGCGATCCGGCGGGAAGTCATTGAGATCTTCTCGTCGCGGCCGCGGCGGGAGGGGCTTTGGGATTCGGCGCTGCTGGGACGCATTATGGGGTGGGTGGCGGATATTGAGGAGGAGAGCGTGGATTTGCGGGGGGAGGAGTATGTGCCGGAGGAGCGGGTTGCGGAGATTGTGGATATCAAGCAGGATGCGGGGACGAGGTCGGCGTTTGTGACGTGTAGGCAGGGGCCGGAGGATGGGGAGGGGATAATGCATGAGACGACGTTGTATTGGTGATTCGAAATAGTTGGAGATGAGGGAATGTTAGTTTCCGCGTTGGAGTAGTGAGCCTCAATAACTGGGCTGGGGAGAGTGCTGGATGTCACGTGGTACTGGGTAATCCTCAATGATTAAATGAAATATACATAATGATACAAACTCTCATTCTATGAGTAGTCTCTATAAATGTCATGCGCAATGTATAGAATCCTCAATATATGGAATTATATAATGATGCAAACCCACGTTCCACTAGGAACTTTTACTTAATGAGTTGGTATTTCGTAAGAACAATTTACAAATTACAATCAATATCTGATGAAAAGGAGAAAGAAGAAGAAGAAATATCTTCGTGCCAATGACTCCGAAAACCCTCAGTTCATTTTCCAAAGTCTTGAGTGTGATTGCACAAATTAATCATAGCACCCTTAGCTATGCCACTATTAGTCTAGTACTCCGTTTGGATGACTCTTTTTAATACGCAGCCCGGTCGATATAACAATCTGCTATCCAATAACCCAGCCGCGCCGATTGAAAGCATTTAAAACAATAACTTGCTCTTCCAAAATCCCCATAACCTGAAAATTTCTGCTTGGACACAATATTTCATTGCTTGAAGAGAAGCCAAGTATTTTGATGGCACCTCTCAAACAGAAGAAGCGAGATTTTAACATCGCTCGTAACGGAGGATTACAGCATGCGGAGCAATTTTTTGGACTTCGAGATACCAAAGACTTCGATCCCTCTTCAGACGTTGTTTTTATATCTATCGGTCTAGAAGTATCAAGAGAAGAAAGATTCAAACCCGACGCCCCCCTCGCCAAAGAATTCGGCATCGCAACTCTCGACACTCAACATCTAAAAACCTCGCATCGCCATCGTTTACTGCTACCAAATCCATATCGACATTGCAATTTTCAACATCGCACGCCTCTAAAGACTTTTTTGATTGCGATTTCACGGACTTCAAAGAATGTGTATTCGCCGAAACGGATTTCGTCTCACAAACGGATCTTGCGACTACGATCATCAAATCCTTACGGATGCAAGACGATACCTCCTCCAATCCATCCGATCTGCGAAATATAGTCATCCTCGGACACTCCATCAAATATGATCTGAAGATTCTTCAACGACTGGGGATTAACGTGTACGAGGTTGCGCCGGTGCGAGCAATATTGGACACGCACCGCATAGCTCGAAATCTACTTGGAGCTAATTCCTCTACTCGCCTGGCCAGCTTCAAGCTCAGTGCGCTCTTGACGGAGCTAGGATGTCCGTATGAGAGCTCAGACCTCCATAACGCGGGGAACGATGCAACGTTCACGTTACATGCGATGCTTATGCTTGTAATCAGGAGCTCTGAAAGTTGAGAAATGGGTTTGGTCGTTCAGAGAGAGAATTTGGAACGTGTGCGGGCAGTGGCGCAAATGGAGCTATATGAGTGTGAACGTTGGAAACCAACTCGAAAGTCTTTGGGCTTTTATGCATCGGAGTCTCCCGTTGAAAAGGATTTGAGGACTCAGAACGATTAGAGCAATCGAGGGTCTATGTTCTTCATATACTTTGACGGTCGCCGCGAGAAGGAAGATTACAGTAGGGGAGCTTTCTTGCCAAAGAAGATGATAGAGTAGGAATTGACGAATAATAGCAGGCGTACTGCCGTTTATCTTTCAAACAGCCTTTTATATTGATCAAAAGGCTTGCTTCCACTACGGTTGTTCTCTTCTGACTTATTTTGCTTGTAACTACGAAAGTAACGTAACATAAAAATTTAGGCCGGAAGTACCATTGCTGCTCACGAATCATAAGTTCCAGAATCCAGCGTCAGTGATAGCTAGGTCTGTGTCAAAATAATGTTGGTATTAGCGTTGTCACCGCTGGCCCTACTTGAGCTAGAGTGAGTATCCTGTTATAGTTTATAGTAGTATTGAAGGCGTTCGGAGTTGCCATCACGCTATTAGCACACCTGGCGCGTACAGGAAGAAACGATAGATGATCGATACTAATATATCCCAGCGCATTAGCCCTTCCTGCTATACTTCTTTGGTCATATTAATTATCGTCGCTCAGGTCTAGGTCGACGATGCCTAGTTGCGGCTTCTTAATCACAAATATCGATATCGGAACGATAGTATGAAAGATGAGTATATTGCCTCGAGAAATCGAGTTCAAGAGATATGGAATAACCAAGTATCTTACATTGGAATGTTCTGATGGCATGGTCCATTTCTGGCTTAAGATCTGAGCTGTTGCTGCTTTAGCTTGAGTTGTGTGTGAGCAAGTGAGTCAAAGGAGGCGACTTGTTTGGGGCCACTCAGCTACGACTGCCATTCGCTAGAAATAACGACGCTCCTCTGGCGCTCGATTCGAGATCCCTATTGAAAGCCATTAAGGAGTGTGGATATAAGGGTATAAGCTACTTCCCTAACGGTGGCATACTAAAGTAGGAAAGAGAATACGACTACCAAAATATAAAGTCGTCACTAGACTGAATCATGCTTCAAGGAACGAAGTGAAGAGAAGTATTCCGCTGGCGTGCCAGTGGAGGTTCTCGTGCAGCAGAAAATCGCTGTGCCCCACATAAATCAAAGCTCAGCAAAGTCTTGTCAAAATTTTGATCGAAAGAAGAAAAACGAAAGACCGTGGGTAAAACTAGGCTAGAATAGAAAACTTGCTTTTAAAATAGATATTACTCCTTTTCATAAAAATGTTTTGGGACGGGTTTATACTTTAGTGAACCTCCCCATCTCTCTTTTAACCACCGGTGCCAACCATGCCCTTTCCATTCAACTGGCACCCATTCCCGCATACCAACAGGCCTGGACCCCCAAAACCATTCAACGGGTGACTCGGGCAATGACTCCGATTCGCAGGGTGCGTCAACGCCTAGAAGGGGCGAGACAATGGCGACATTGAAGTCTATGATTCCGAGGCGTAAATTCTCGGCCAGGAGATCTTTCCCAGAGCAAATAATATTACGCGGAGCAATGTCGTTATGTACTACCCCCTCGAAACGCAGCTTGAGATCTGCCTCCATAGACAGAGCAAGCACATTGAGACGGTCCTTTTGCGTGTACAAGTCGGGATCGAGTACGGATAGAGGCGTGCCTCTAATATTTTCTAGGAGAGTGAAGAAGACGGATCTGTTTTGGTGCTTCAGCGGTAAGTCGGGGGCCCAAGATCCGTAGAACTTGGGTATTAGGCTGCCGCCGAGTTTCTCGTCTAGCTGGACGTAGGCCGCGGATTCCAGAGCGAAATCGTGCTCTGCTCTGGCACGTCGTTCGGGATGTAAGGGAACTCGTCGTCCGCGAAGGGGTAGTAAAGGGGGTCGTACACTTTAGCGACTAGTTCTTCCTTGTCGCTGTGCCGTATGCAGGTGAAGACCTGCGAGTCGCCGCCCCGGCCGAGACCGTCTCCCACAGCGAGTTCATCAAGCACCTCAAAAGTCGCAGTCTCTTTCAATGACTCGCAAGGCAGCGGCCTGGAAGAGGCTGACAAGCAGTAATCGACCAAAGTCGTGGTCCGAAGAAAGTCTTCGCTCGGGAAACGGGCATCGCTGAGGAAGTCGGCAAAGAGGCCTGTAGGAACTTCCGCATATCGTCCAAGGAAAGGCGGAGGCGCTACCACGCGGCACGCTGTAAAGCGATGCCCCTTCTCGTACGGCACTTGTGGCTTCTCTGGTTCTGGCGGTGGGGACCAACGCCTAGATGAGGGCGACATGGAAAAACTGCGAAGATGTACCATCTGAAGAAAACGAGCCTGGGCAAATTCCCAGCGACTGAGGCTCAGTACACCTCCAGATATCCGGGCGGAACTTCTAAGGAGGAGGGAAAGATTTGTTGCCATCGGATTGCGACGGAGAAAAGAAGTTTTGGTGTTGAGATAAAATCGGCTAGGGCGCAGCCTCCATTCACGTAACATAACCCGTGACTCAGGTTGGAATTTAAACCAGATGTCATTAGCGGAGAGGGCGTGGTCTTGTTGAGCTATAGGTCAGAAGAAGCTAGTTCGCTTTTTGGAGTAGCGTCTCAGCCTACTTAAGTAGGTACTTTTGGTGGGGAATTGCCCACACCCACCCTGTGATATTTCAGCATTGCCATCACCATCACCATCACCATCATACTGTCTATATTAGCTGGTATTTCTTTCTTTTTTATTCCCAATCCCGTTCGCTTGATATCACAGGTGAAATTCATCTTCTCGAAAGACCTTTCCGCTTAGCCACATTCGCCTGACCCGCTACTTGTGTCGAATAGAAACCTAAATCCGCGCAATATAAACATTATGCAACGCCACCTGGGCGGTAGCAAGGATTGGCCAAGCGTAGTCCACGTGCACCGACTACTTGTGTTATACAGGCTAGAGCCGGGCGAAGCCCAGACCCCCAAAAAGTATGCAGTGTTACCAGGCGCAGAAATGAGGAATTCAAACCACGCAGCGCACTGGTCAAAGTTGACACATACCAACGCCGTATGAGCCCAATGCCGTATGATCCCAACGCCGTATAAGCCCAAAGTCGTATAGTTGATACAGTGGTACTGTCGGCCCCCGAGCTGCTGGTCCATCATAAGTCATGCTTGGTCTGCACTTGGTCTTATCGGCATTCACACGTTTAAAAAAGCTTCCAGGTTACATTTCTTGCATTCACTTCACCTCAAAGATAATCGACAAGATAATCAACAAGATGATGTCAAACATTGCCAGGGTCTCTTATCGTGGAATCCTACAAAATTTCCAGTCCCCTTTCTACGCGGAATTAACTAGGCTCTACCCAAACCAAATCCGATGGTACGTCAAACTAGAAATACACATGCGGAAATAGCTAATGCGGGATGATAGGAAATCGAATTTTAGCATCTATGATGCCTTCAAAACGGGTCTTCCTAACGAACATGGGGACAAAAGTCCGTGCGTTCAGGCTGTAGAACCTCGAAATTAAAACTCTT